TAGGTACTTAAACCCACCCAGACGTCGCACCACCGTCATGGTGTATATACTGGTGCTGGACGCTACCGCGTCCCCCTGCCCGCCGCAGAAATGCGAGCACGTCACCATTCGGACGGATCACCCCCGTCGCGAACGAGCATTCTGGGTGAATGGACGCAGACGCGTCCTCGTAGCGCGTCGAAACCGACGGGGCTATGATGTATCATAGCGGCTTCAACGCCGCACCCTTGTACTATAGGGCCCATGTGTGTGCAGCACATGGAACCCATGTAAATACTGTGCCACCGTCACTCCAAGTTGTGACCCTTACTCCATTGTATTATTATTTGGAGACCCGGCACGGGTCTAGGGAGGGAGAGTGTAAGAACCCGACGGTTCTTACTTACTACCGGCACTCCCTAGTGCCTGGACGGGAACGTCCACTTCAGTAGGAGAAGGTGTTCTCCGGGAATCGCGGAGAACTAGCGCATCTAGGCGCCCGTAGATTAGATACCGCTATTTATGTATCGTACGTAAGCGTACGGCGCCCGAAGGTTCGGGCCTCGGGCGCCTGGTGGGGGCAGAGTTCTACCACCCCCCACCATCCAGCGAGTACGCCGAGCAATCGAGCCCGGTCCAGAGTACTTGCGGGATTCGGGGAGTCGTGGGACTCGCGTACACTTACACGAGCGCAGTCCCTCGCGTGCGCGATCGGCGGTAGCCCAACCGGCGCTGAAGCCGATCCCCGCCCCTCCGCTTGCACGAGAGCCGTGGCCGTTCGCCCGAGCCCAGACGATTACCTCTGCCCCTAGGCCAGGTGGACCCGTACCGCGTAAGCCTGCAGAGGCCACTGGTCGACGTCCCAAAGCCGCGCCGGCGCGATATCCCGCGCGAAGTGTCACCCGAGCACAATCCGCAACGGCTCCCGACACCGCGGCACTCACAGGAGGAGGCGCGCTCCCAGCGCCAGCACCAGCAGAGCGTACGGATCGGAGAGGATCAGGCGTAGAAGGGACTGCGTGTGTAGTAGAGCGGGGCGCCTTCGTGAACGCGAGGCGAGCCACCTCGCCCGCGCGCAAGACGAGGAGCGCAGGGGAGGTTGCGGTATGGAGGGCGTTCTGCGGCCGACGCACACGCACACGCGCGCGGTTGACGTCGAGTCTTACAATATGTCCGACGTGTTCTCGCAAGAGATCACAATCGACCCGACCGGATGGGATCACGCGCACCCGCCCCCGACCGACTGGTGTATGGGCGCGGGAAACCGAGTGTTCGTGGCTGTTCATAGGCGAATACGGCGTTACTCGCCTGGGTACCTGTCTGATGGGGAGAGGGGACGGCGGACGGTGCGTCAACGGACACTGCGGCAGCGCGCGCGACTGGTGTCCTGAATATCTCTCTGACCGCCTGCTGTCCAAGTGTACGTTCAAGGACAGGACCACGCGCAAGCCTTAGGCATTGCAGACGGCATGGGTAGCAGTAAGGGTACGTTAGGATGCAATTGGGAGGTTTTGCAATACGACAGCAAGTGTTATGCAAAACGACGGCTGCTAACGGCCGCTTTGCAAAACGAAGAGTATATCGAGCGAGGCGGCCTAATAACCTGCTGTTATATTGCATACAAAGAGCCTCTTTATACAGCTACCGTGGCCGAGCGGTATCATGCAGCTCCGTTGTTACGAGTCTCGTGGTGACTGCGGTTCGAATCGCTGTGATGTATTTTAATTCTTGGCCGATTTCTGGCATATTTTACGAGCGCTTGTCGCATATTAACCGGGTGTTATGCAAAACACGCCGGGCTATTAGCCGTGGTGTTCTGCATAACAGTATGTAGACGGCTCCCAAGCTCGGGGTATGTCCAAATGTACCGTAAGATTATATCACTTCATTTTGATTTATGCGCGCCACAGCCAGCGTTCATCGTGCATTACAATCAATCTGTCAGACCAGTGTCGTACACGGTTCGGTGGGGAACACGTAAGGTCAGCCATACGTAACCGCTCGCCTACCGAAGGGGCGTGTGGATTGAGAATGATCTGTGGAAATAACTTGTATATGTGACGACTCGGAGCTATAGTTTAAAGAAACCATGCTTACCTGTGGGTGTGCAATTACGAACGGGCGCCAGGCACAGCTCGCATTAAAAAGTTTCGTAGCGTGGAGATTGAGTGGAGATTCGCCTCATCCACCTGATGATGAAAGTTCGTTCCCAGCCTGGGCGAGAGCAGTGGCACAGGACTTGCGGTGCGGGCCGACCGCAGGTACCATTCCCTTGCAGATGCGTCCTAGAAGCGGTGACCTATCTCGCTGCGCACGATGGTTCTATCTCCGTCTTGTCTTCGACTAGCTAACTCTCGTGGATTTTTTCAATCTCGGGCGGACGGACCTCGTATATATATGTCCGGCGTAGCATCACGAGACATGTCCAAGTCCATCTGCCAGTTCACCGAGCGTACGGAGGAGGGCCTAAGTGCTCGAACTCGCCCGCCTCGTGCGATAGAAGCGTCTGATTGGACGTCGCCGTGTGCTGATGGTCCGATGCGGAGACCAGAACGGACTGCGCGTTGGATGCTAGCGACGACACCCCAGACCTCTGCAGTGTACTTTCCCCCGCGAGAAGGGGTAGGGGCGGCGGTCTGGACTGCCGCTGCAACGGAGCCGACGGAGGTGCGGGTGCCATGGCAGACTGTAGAGCGGAGGCGTCTTGTTCCCTAGCCAGGAGAGACACGGCGGAGAGTGCACGATTCGGCGCTTCCCACGTCGGGAGACGGGGCCTGTGTCCTGTCGATAGCGAGCTCGTGGAGCTACCCTCGTAACCTGTCGCCGTGAGCTGGTAACTGTCAGACCGTTATACGTAGCACGACGCCTAAGTTGGCCACATACCGTCCACTTGAGGCACACACTGTGCCCGAGTCAATTTACGTTTGATCAGGTAGTAGATAGCCAGCATCGCCAGTAGCAAGACTGCCACCGCCCCGCCCACCGCCCCTCCTATGATCGCAACAAGGTTCGGTGGACGGCCAGAGGCTGCGCTCCCGGACAATGCACTTTCCGGAGCTACAGAGACAGATGTAGAAGCGGAAACGGAGGCAAGGAGCGAGGGCGTGGAAACGAAAGATGAGGTATCGGAGGTGAGGGCATCGGAGGTAACGAGCATGGAGGACGTGATAGTGGAGGCAGGAGATTGGGCAGTAGGGAGAAGGGATGTGGTAGGAACGATAGAGGACGCAACAGAGGATGTCGATTGCGAAGCAGTGGCAAGAGTTGCCAGGGTGGCAGAGGTATGGGTGGAAGAAGCGGAAGCTAGCGAAGAGCTTAGCGACGTTGACTTGGTTGACGAGAGAGTTGTACCCGAGCTAGATAAGGCCAGTTGAGTGGATGTGATACGCACTGAAACATTTGAGGCGTACCTGGTAGATTGCGTAACTGTACTGCTGGCAACATCTGACGGAATGTACCAGAAATGATCCGGCCAAAGCCTATTTGGCGCAGTCCCGTTTGGGTTTGTGACCACGAGCGTATGTACGCCGGGAGTGAGCGTAGGAGAGGCGAAAAATTGAACATTGAAGAACATCGCTTTGGGGTCCGCAGTCGGGTCGTGGTGGATCGCGTAGGTCTTACCGTCGATGACGAACAACTCTGATGGCCACCCCCAGTTCACTGTCTCTCCGCCGCAACCGATGACACCAACCATCGTTCCTATGGTTGAATAGGTTTAGCAATATCGAGACAAAGAGGATAGATTGGGACAACCTGTGAATACCAGAGTAGCCGTCAATCCCTCCTCCGTCACGTAGTGTAATGTACCATCATGTGCGGCTACGTCCAGTGATATATGCCAACCGCTGGAGTACACGATACAAGGGTTGCGATCATCTAGGTCAACGCGAGCCCCTTGTGCGGTCATTGGCGTGTAGCGGGGGTGCAGCGGTAGGAGAGGGTAATCGAGCTGGTGCAAGTCCAAAGCCAGTGTTATGGCTAGCGAACAAACATTGCAACTATATATCCCCCACTATGCCGTCGACACAATGATTGATATACAGCTACGGACAGATCGCATTAGAACATCATGTCTTTGTATCTCTTGCGCGCTGCCCGGAGTCCAATTGCAGCTATGGATAAACCTCGTGCATGCGGGTACCATCGAATGCTGCGACGTAAAAGATGCAATAGCTGTCAAACTATGTGATGAGTTTACTTTGCATATCGCACTGCCAGAAGGAGCATGTCGAGGTGAAGCGGCGGTAGCGCGCCAGCATCCGTATGATGCTCAAGGCTTTCGACCTGCAAGTTGTAGTCAGTGACCATGCGTATCATCAGGCACGTATCAGCAAAGCTCGATGCGTCCAGAAACCCCTACTATGAGTGCTCCAGTTTCAAGTTGCCAGCGAGTGCAAGTGAGCGGCAAAGTTGTAGGTCGCGGCCGCCTCGCAAGAGATCCCACAATCACAGAATTGCTTGCCTGTAGATGCCACTCAGCATGCGAGGCTACTCTTGGTTTGTGTCATCCGCAGTGTCTGGATCGAATTCGCAACGTAGAGATTAGCCCGGGTATGCGACGACGAGAGGCGAGTACATCGTGGTTGAGAGCGAACCCAACTTGGTGTAAGCGCCCGCTGCACTGCACCCATCGAACGGCCCGGCTAACAAACGTCCACTCGGAAGCCACGCCACCGCACGTCTTGATCGCGAGACTCTCCTCCACTCAACCTCCACTCAACAAGTTGCGGCTTGCCGTACTGCTACGTGTCATAGCGAGTTCAACGAATTCATCATATGTACGTTGGCCGTGCTGAGTCGTCGGAAGTCTCGCTCGACCAGCCTAACACCTTGGCATTTGAATTGTGGCCATCCAAGCAAAACCGATATCATCCGCCACGTACTAGCTCTAAGTCCTCGAATTGTTTGGGAAACAGCGCAAAACAGTGCCAACATCTACGCTGCTCGAAGCGTTTCGGAGATCCCAACCTCAGACTCGAGCAATTGCTACATATCAGTCGGTAGGCTCTTAAACATCACGAGCAAGCAATAATGGGGAGCTCTGATGCTATGAACTCGACTTCTGCATCTCCTAACAGGGCAACTCTCGAGGTCGAAGGCCCCACCAGGAGAAGTGAGCGAAGTCTACGAAAAGATGTTGGACGATTTCAAAGAACAGAGTGGGAGAATCACGTTTCAGCACACGCCACTCTTGGCAGTGGACGTGGTTCGTCCACGGGGTGAAATCGACGCCCTGGTGAGGCCCCACCTACTCCTCTTCTCAACGGTTCATGTTTTCTGATGGATCCGGGTGCGCTGCAAAAGACGCACCCTTCCGTGCATAGGTCCGGCGGCTCTAGCCTTCTCCCACATGAGATTTTGCTGCAAATATTCGAGGGAACGCAGCCAAATTCGCAGTACGAATACGACACGTCCGTAGTGGTTGGACCTCAAAACCCGTGGCTCAAAAACCTGCGCACCAAGAAGGCTCTCACGCTCGTCTGCAAGGCTTGGTGCGGACCCGCCACTAGGCTTCTCTACGCCGACATTGTTGTAAGACGAATGGGCCAGGTTGCAGCTTTGGCTCGCACCTTCCGCGAAGATCGATGTGCAGACAGCCTCTCCCGTCTTGTGCGCAAGATCACCTTGGACGCCTGCATCGTCGTCCTGGTGTTCGCCGAAGTCGTTCGCGAGGATCTGGAGCTTATCTTGCAGGTATGTACACACCTCCGGTCTTTTTCCTCCTATGCGGCCAAGGGATTTTGTGGCGGAGATCAGGCCTTTTCTCTACGAGATTTGACTTACTTCGTACCAATAGGGCCGTCCTCATCCCAGCGCATCCAGGACAGCCTACGAATCCGGGAGCTCCACTTGGTATCGCCCGAAGCGTGCTTCGAGTCGATCATCCCCCTTCTCTCCTCTGCGGTATGCCTTACCTCCCTCATCCTGGAATCTTCCCCCCGCTGGATTCGGAATGACTTGGAATCGGAGAGTCTCCCATCGCTCTGTTTTCCCTTACTCGAGAATCTCGAGCTCCCCTTCTCTCAACCTGATCTCGGCCTGCAGGACTACGTTCGCTCGCGATGGCGTCTACCAGCGCTGAGAGCACTCACGCTCGTTGACTGCGACGAGCCCTCCGCAGAAGGAATACTTGAAGCGCACGGTACACAGATCAAGTACCTTCACTTCCACGATTCGCCGTACCCCGACTTCCTAGCGAACAGCACAGCACCGCCTACGGTGTATGCCCAACTGGCGCGACTCTGTCCAGCGATAGAGCACCTCGTAATCCCCGCTGCCCACGCAGTTTTCATCGACATCCACTCGCCCACGCTACGGTACCTCGACGTCTTAAATCCACGCGATATGGGTCCTCCCTCAGAGTTCGCGCTACGGTATGGCTACCGACCGCGTGTTCCAAAGATCACGCTCTCAAAGACTGCGCGCGTTCCGCTGCTCACGTCCACCCGCTACGTCCTCTTCAGCTGGACTTTCTTACCACGCGCATGCCACCCCTCACTCATCACAGTGGACGAGCCGGACACGCAGATTATTCATCACTTCCAGTACTGTCGCATCATCCAGACGCGTGGATTCGTCATGAACGACCGAGAAGCATCCTCAAAGGACCTGTATTACGAAGACGGAGAGTCACAGGAGCTTGACGAGGACTCGGACGAAGGTAACTGGGAGGGCGTAGACGTATACGGGGAACCGGCCAAGGACGAAGGCAGCCGGTATGAGCCTTCCAGCGGCTCCGATGAGGAGACGAGCGACGACGACTTGTGGTCGGCGTCTGGAGACGAGAAAGTTCTTCCGCAGAACTACGAGGAGGACCCTGAGCTTCAAAATGACCGTGACGCGGCCCGCCGGTTCCTCCTCGAGCGGTTTAGTCTCAACCAGAGTTGCGCGCTCCTGAAAGGTGACGCGGACGAGGAAGATGAAAATGAACAAGAGCCCGAGGGTGCTGAGAGGGAGGCATCGATGGGGGGGCAGGACGGCGGGTCTAGCAGTGTGATGTAGGTCGACAACGTGGTGTCCAACGCTTGAGGTGAGTAGGGTGCCACATACACGTAACTACCTCGCTAACGCCTCCTGGTAGGTTTTCTATATCAACGATGTTGAAGTGTACCATAGTGTAGCCAAGTTACTCGAACAACAGTTATGCTCAGCGCTCTGGCACCTCCAGCTCTCTGAACCTTCGGATCGCAGCGACGGCCATAGCAGTCGTCAGACCCTTATTGCCTATCAAGATGTCGCTTAGGCCGTACTTGTACATCCACCCCGTCGGCCACGCCCCGTCCTCATCTTGCATCGTAAGGAGCCGGTCATAGCCGCGGCGGTCCTGTAGGCCGGCCGCAGCTGCAGCGAGGAGGCGCATAGACAACGCGGACGCGTCCCCTGGTTCCCCTAAGCGCTCCGCGACTCGCTCTTTAAACAGCACGGGAAGGTCTAATACACGGCTGGGCAGCGGGGAGGGGACAGCAAGCAGACGGGAGAGAAAGTAAAGGAATGCATCGGCGCCGAGATAGTAGCGTGTGCCCCAGACATAGGCGCGGGTCTTCAGGATGGCGAAGACCCAGTCGAGCATTTCGGGAAGCTCGTGGATACGGCTGTTGGTGTGGAAGAATGTGAGGACGTTCAGGCACACGACGTGGTCTACGATGATAAAGTAAGTTGGGTGTTAGACGAGCATGAAAAGCGCGTGCAACGCCTACCGATGCGAGGGCGGGAAGGGTCGTAGTACATGAGAGTGATGCCGTCTTCGTTTCGCAAGGCGAGGATGTCGTCCATGATGTCTTTCTTCATATCCTCCGAAAAGCGGTCGCTCATCACCGTGCATGCGATCGACGTCGTGTCGATGTCGGCGGGGTATTCCACCGTCGTCAGCACGGGTGATCCTTTGTTGAACGAAGACATTTAGTATACGACAAGCACACCCACGGACGCAGGCTCCATACCTGTGAAGAATTGCATCCTGCGCGCCGGCTGCGGCAGGTTGACCAGATGCGGCATTCCAATAATTTCCAGCAGGAGAAGCTGTTCGAAGACTTCCTTGATTTCGACTCCAGTGTCGGTCGTAGACCACATTCGCCCGGCCTGATCAGAGAGCCACTGTTCCCCATCGGTGACCGTATCGCGCGCCAGCATATGGAGGGTCCGCCTGAGCTCCGCGACCTCGTTGAGCCTGTAGTGTACTCCGGTCATGCCGATAGTCGTGGCGGCAATGAGATGTTCAACCTCGGTGCTGATGAATGCGCTCCGGGCAACGTCTTGACCCGTCAATTCAGCGAGGCGGCGGTAGAATGTGGGGCTCGACGTGCGCTGGCCTGCGTGGGAAGACGTGAGAACCTGGTCGAACTCGGCCAAGATGTCGGAGGGGCAAGTGCTGAGGAACATGTCCCAGTCGGGAGTGGAGATGTTCCAAACGCCGTACACCCGCGACCCTGGGGCGATCCTCTTCAGGTGGCGGACACGCGCGATGATGGGTCCGCTCGCCCGACGAACAGATCGTGCAGAGCGGAACTGGTCGGCAATGTGCGACACTGGAAGTGAGAACTGCGAGCTGAGCAGGATGTACAGCTCGTCTTCGCCGAGACGATCCCGTTCGTAGTCCAAGAACGACGTGCTGTGCATCATCCGTCGTATCGTGTCCATAGGTATGATGGCCCCGGGCGGCGAAGTCCATGGAAAGACATCGGCGAGATCAAAGATAAAGCTGTCGCACGACGACATGGCACGCAGAGCCTAGTGAGCCGGGATGGCCGGTAGGAGGGAAAGGAAAGATGCTCTTGATGCCTACTCGACGCCGCTTTTGAGGGACCCAGGCTTGGCTGGGAGCGTATTCCGGCCGTTATCGCGTTGCTCTTTGCGAGGGACATTAATGGGACCGAATTGGGTGTAAGAAATTGATCTCCGAGCGAGACGTCGACAGACGACTACCTTACGAGCTGTGGCACTTTGTAGTTCCCTCACGATCGCACCCGGCACTGATAGAGCTGGAAAAGTATCCATATCCGGTGACAGCGCAACGAGACGCATGATGGACGTGTCAATCATAGCTGACCTGCTGACATGCGGCCAGGCGGAGATTGTTTAACTACACTTGGTGCAGAGATGCCATTTCCTGTGCATCGACCGGCTGTCAACGCTTCGTCCAGAGCACGACTGGTGTGAATGCGACTCACTCAGGCCACTGGTGTTCAGCGGTACACAGTATGGGACGTAAGTTACAAGCCCACGTCTGCTCATTATCGGACAGGTGAATGAGCGTCGAGTGCGAGAGAAGATCGGCATGTACCTTGCAGCGCCCGGAAGTGCCGAATGGCCGCTACCGCCATGGCAGTCGTGAGTCCTCTGTTCCCCACCAGGACGCCGCTCATGCCATACTTGTAGACCCACCCAGTCGGCCACGCACCGTCCGCCTCCTGCAGCGCCAGAAGCCGGTCGTAGCCGCGACGATCAGAAAGGTTCACCGAGGCGGCGGCGAGGACGCGCATGGACAACGCCAGCGCGTCTCCGGGTTCTCCAAACTGCTCCTCGATGCGGTCCTTGAAGACCTCGGCAAGGTCAGAGTGGAAAGGGAGAGTCCCGGGGACTGCGAGGAGGCGAGAGAGGAAATAGAGGAAAGTGTCTGCGCCGTAGTAGTACAAGGTCCCTGAGGCGTACGCGCGCGTTCGCAGGACGTGGTACACCCAATCGAATGTTTCCGGGAGCTCGGCCCCGCGGCCGTTGGTGTGGAAGAACGTGAGCGCGTTAACGCAAACGACGGGATCTAAACGAATCATGACGCGGTCAACTATGGTACCAACCTATCACTGAGCAATTCGCGCACCTATCCGTGGACGAGTAAGATCAAAGTATGTGAGTATAATGCCATCCGCGTTGCGCAGTGTGAGGATCTCATCCATGGCGCAACTCTTCTGGTCATCCGAGTAGTTGTTGTACATGGCCGTGAATGCGAGTGACGTCGTGTCGACATCGGGAGGGAATTTCTCAGTCGTTAAGACACCCATCCCTACGTAGCCCCGATATGTCAGACCTAATTGGCCCATACCAGGACAGTGAGAAGTACCTTTGAAGAACCGCATCCTACACTCGGGCTTCGGCAAGTCTACGAGACTCCGGTCTCCCGTGACCTCGAGCATGAGCAGCTGCGCGAAGTTCTCCTTGAGTTCCACCCCTGTGTCCGTGGTCGACCACATGGTCCTAGCGTGTTCGCGAAGGAAAGAGTCCCCGTCGGCAACAGCATCGCGCGTGAGGATACGCAGCGTCTGTGCGAGCGCTTCGCAGGAGGTGAAGGGGATATTGACCATTCCGAGGGACGTGGCCGAAATGGCATGCTCGAGCCTGCTGCTGACGAACGCAGTGCGCCGCGGGTTCAGATTGTTCAGCTCCAGGAACCGAAGGTAGAGCCCAAGTTCAGGCATACGCGCGCCCATCTCCGCGGAGGTCAGCACGTTGTCGAAAGTCGACCAGACGTCTGTACGGATCGTGTTGCGGATGAAGTCCCAGTCTGGGGCGGATACCTTGAATCTCCCATAGACGCGGATGTTCGTTGCGGCTTTTGTGCGGCGGAGGACCTCGAGAATGTCTGCCTGAACATACAACGCTGCGCGAGCTGCGTGAAACGAGTCCGCGATGTCGGAAGCTTGGACGGGGAAGTGAGATTCGAGAAGGGCATAGAGTTCTTTCTCGTCGATGCTGCCCTTCTCGTAGTCGGAGAACGGGAGAGTGCGCATCATCCGCTGCATCGCAGACGGGGACACAGCGTGACCGAGAACAGGAGACCAGCGGAAAAGATCAGCCAGATCCAGCACAGCGTTGTCAATTGAGCAGCTACTAGAAGACATTATGTATGAGCAGGGACCGGGGTACGCGGCAACATGATGGAGGGACACGTACGTTCGCGGTTCAACGTCTACCAGCATTTTATGGATTCGGTGGCGTCATAGTTGAGTGAGCGTCCAGCACATGCTTTCGGTGAGCGAACGGCCATCCTCTTACACACCGTGAATGGATACTGCGTACAATAGCACGCGGGGCTCCGCGGGCGGCAGGAATAGTCGGTAGAAGGTATTCATGTCTCATTTAGTAAGACTGAGGCGATAAAGCTGCGAACAGGATGTCCGAGCAGTGTCGATGAGGACAGAGGCCGATCGGATGCGAGGAAGGTTGCTACCCGGGTCAATGAAAGATAGGGTCAGCGCGACGATTCGTTATATGCATCGCACTATATAACGCACCCGAAGTCAATTTGACCATGACGATTGTGGCCCAGAATGGCAGCGACGACGGCTGTAAAAACCCACTGCAGACCTCGAGCCGACGTTTGTGGTTAGACTTCCTCATGCACGAGAACTAAAACGCCACTGTGACTCTCAAGGCGCATCGATAACTTGTACAACTTGGGTCGTCCATGTATACAGAAGTCTACAAGGTTCTGATTCAAACGTCAGAATAATTCACAACGATGTGGACAGCACTCACCTACTCCACATGAGCTTCGACTGCGCTGGGTTTTCAGTTGGGTTGATGCGCACACGAGAAAATGGGCGTTTCATGTGAAATCATTGCTACATAGCACGTACAAGCATAAACCCATGATACATCCCGGCATATCCAGCCAGCCAACCCGACCACTCGCTCCAGACAGCGTACAGAAAGACGAAAAAATACAAGGGAGAATGTTCAAGACGTCGACGACGCAGCACGAGCAGGAAATCTGCATCAGCTCCCAATCGGCTCCCAGCCCTCTAGAAGCCGTTGGTCCAAGCGTGCGGGGCTTCATGTTGTGCATTGCAGTCTGCCCGTTGCGAGGTGTCCGATCCTGTCCATCCCCTTGACCTCTTCATCGTCTGTTATTGACCGAGAACGCGTCCGCAGCCGTCCCAGAGGAGCGAGGAACGGCGGGAAGTGGTCGAAAGAACGAAAGCGCGTCTAGTACAGACGGATGGGCTTGCCCATCGTCGTCTTGATGTGGAGCGACTTCACGTTCTGCCAGTTCTTCTTGAGCAGCGACACGAGGAAGTTGATGCCTGCAGAAGGTCAGGTCAGCATGCGTGATACAATACGCACAAGTGGGGCACGTACTCAGCATGACGTTGGCGAGGACCTGGTCGTCGGTCATCTGGATGTGGCCGACGGCGACACCCAGGCAAAGAACCTTCTTGAGCTGGAACTTGATCGTCGAGCGGACCTCGGTGATCTTGTTCGCAAGGTCCTCAGCGTGGGAGACGGGCGTGGGGAACTTGCCAGCTGCGGCGAGGGTCAGTATCCGTCGGACTGCACACACATGAGCTAAGCGTACCCTTGGACAGACCGGGGCCAAGGAGACGGGGGATCTGCTTGATCAGGGTCTCGGAGGCCAGGAAGGCGTCGTACTTCTTGGCGAGCTTCTTGACGAGCTTCTTGTTCTTGTTGAGCCTGGAGGGGGATGTCTATTAGGAATGGCCGCGGCGAGTGGTACTGAATCTTTACGCACTTCTTCAAGTCATCAACGGACATGTACTCCAGGTCGATCTGCTTGGCGCGATCGATGTCGGCGGCATCGGCGAGAATGCAGATGGACATGCGAGGGCGGGGGACATGGGGGAGCCTGAGCAGGCATTCCCGTCAATACACAGGACACAGCGAAAGCAGGGCAGGATGTACGCACTTGACGGTTCCAGAGAAACGCTTGTCACGCTGGGGGTCGTAGTTCTTGAGACCAATCTGGAGCTCGACGGTCTCGACGAAGTTGCGCCTCTTCTCGCCGGTTGCATCGGCAAGGAGCTCCTTGATGGAGCCCCGCACGCTTGACACTGAGAGCTTGCTTGAGCTGTACGCGTATAATCAGTTCCGACATCCTCATAAGGCGTAGAGAGCGTGGAGAACGGACCTCATGCTTTTGGATGGATGTCTTGAGGACTTGAGGGCTGTTTACGGTCGTCGATCACTCCGTCCTCGACGCTATCCTCAAATTCTGCAGAGTGGCTGCCGTGGGAATGAACTGTATAGTTGTGACAGTTACCGTGACACAATCACTCGGTCCGCGATCCCGAGTCCCGACGGTCCCACGGGCGCTTACAGCTGCTCGCGACACACCGCACGGCGCACACGATCTCGCCTTGAACTTGGACTCGGACAACCTCGGACAACGCGCTTGATTCCCTGCCGTGCTCTGGAGCCTGGATAACCTTGCCGACATCATACCACAGTGATCTGAACAGGATAGTGAAATGCCCATCCTGCACCTCCACTCCGCCGACTATCGGTGACTACGGTTCATTGAGCCGTGGGTGCATCTCCAGCCCGTTCTTTCAAGACTTTACTACGTTCTCGGGAGCTCGCCAGAGAGGAACCCGGGCCGGTATAGTTGCACAACCCATCCCTAGATCTGCTCGTATTCGATTGTATTGACATGAAATCCATGGTATCGAACCAATAGTTTATCTCTCACGAATCCTCATCTGTTCCCATCCGCTTCATCGTCTCCAACATCCGCCCAGCACCCTGGCCCTCCCTTAATGCGGTCCAACCATTGCATCTTCATGCTCTCAGTCCACCACGAAAGATTTCCCGGCTCGTCGGGAGGCGTTAGAACTACGATCTCCAGGTTCACATATGCAGGGTATTCTGCCAGCTTCCTCAACACCTCGCCGGACCTGCAGTACGACCTCCACAGTTCTCCTCTAAGTGCTCCAGACGATGGCGGATTGCAGGGTTGTATGATGACGCATCGTAGATGCGGATGCGTCGCCGGCGGCCACTCTCCAGATCGAGGCCACCTTTCCCTCACCGGCGTCTCCTCCTCGTGTTGTCTATCGACGGGAACTCCTATCTGTGCAGCGAGCTCGACGGGGATTCCGCCAGGCCCGAGGAGGTCGCTCAGATTCGATACCCGGAGGTGTGTCGTTTTAGGGGCGTGCGTCGTCCACGGCTCGAGTCTCTGCTTCCGCAACATCCCATAGATTGTTTTGGTGTCGATGATGTGCAGCCGGCGCAAATTCGGGAAGATGGGAGGTGTCGACACCCCAGAGAAGAAGCTGCGTGGGTCGCTCGTCCCGAACACAGTGAGCTCGCGCAAGGACGGGAACGTGCAGCTGAGGGTGGGAGCGTCCGCCGTGGAACCCGCCGACGAACGACCGCCGCTAGTAGGGAAAACCTGGAGGACGAGGGAGATTATATCCGCTGATACAGCTCGGAGGAGCGCGCGCGCACCATCTGGGAGGGACCATGGTACTGATCCAGGGACCTCGATAGGCGCAGTGGTGCCAGAGCCAGCAAACTCGGATGGTATGCCGAGTACTGCCAGGGTGAGATACAGGTGCTTCACGCGCGGCCGAGCACCGCACATAGGCTGGCATTGCTTTTCGTACGTCGACACGAACGACGATAAGCGTTGTGCATAGAACGCATCAAGGAAGATGGAGTGGAATCGGGTAGAACGGGCAACCGTACGTATGGTCTTGGAGGTGAGAGAGAGGGAGCAGCCGGTGCGACCACCATCAGTGCACGCGAGCGCAAAGATATGTTGAGTCACCTCGAGCGGTAGGATATCCATGGCACGGTGCGTCCGCTGAGCGCTGAGCTTCCGCGCGGGTTAAGTAGAAGTCTGCGATCAACCGCAGTTAGGTGGGTATGTGTACATAACCGTGACTCTCTGACTCAAGATCTAGCGAGCCCGGACCCGAATGGCTTCGTGGTGGTCAATATCATGTGTAACACGACTGCTACGTATCGGCCTACGCCCAACTCGCCACTATTGGCCCTTCGTCAGGCCGTCAGGTGTGTGGAATCGAAGCGTCGGGTAGACAAATTCTGACCAGAATAACACGCAGTGCCATATACACTTTGCAGCACTCGTATCGATATCCCAGCATTTCAAATGTCGTCATTCCGAATTCTCCAGCTGCGTTGTCGCTATGTAATCAGGCGAGACGGTCGTTACCATTCCGAAGAGGTCAGATGATCGTCATGAGCGAGGGACTACAGCGCAGGTTTGAAACAACAGGTAAGCCATTTCGGAATGTCGTCTACCCGTAGATTGATGACAGTGCTTTCTATGTAAAGGGGTAGTATTTCACACAGGCCCCGTCCCCGCCAACGCAGCAAAGAGCGGTGCCGCACACTGTGCGAAGTACAGCCATCGCAGGAACGGTACCATCCATCAGAGCCAAGCTTTTCTTTCTATCCGGCGATGCAGGCGTAATGTCTAATCTCCGTTGTTCTCGGACTATAGCGTTCGACGTTACTATCATGCAAACGATATTTGATGATTCGCATTCGAGGATGTCTCTTCGGCGCCGGATGAGATCGACCGGCTTCCCAGCCACTGTGCGCTTCTTCAAGACCAGCGATGGTCGGACAGAAGACGTAAACCCGCCCCAGGCCCGTTGGCGCATGCAGACGTCGTGGCGATCCCATAGAACACCGCCCTCATGTTCCGGCCCCTCTCGCTGCCACTCCGACGCATCACCGCCCATCGTCATGGCCATATAAACGTTATGAAGTTTCCGGCAAGAACCTGCCAAAAGTTTACAACTCACCCCTCATCTGTTTTCGCAACTGGCGATGGCACCATCTGTACCTCCTCTAACCGTTCGCCTCTTTCGTGCTGTCCATGTCTCCGGCTGCCCGATTGAGGGCGAAGTCGAGCTCAATTTGCGTGGAATACACGAAGAAGACATACAAGAAGTACACGTCAAGCTGCGGGGCGTCGCGCGGACGTACGTCATGCATCCGAGTCTCTAAACCCAAACCAACTCACACAACTTGTCCTAGGTGCATAACGCGGGACAAGGATGACTCCTATCAGCACATTCCTCTCTTCCAGGGCGACGCTTTACTCTGGCGTCGCGGCGATGCGTACCCTCCCCCCGGCTCCGACACCCTCCGTTTTCCGTTCCGATTCCAGCTCAAGCCCGACCTGCCTCCCTCCTTCAAATTCGCGAGCATAAGCAGAAAAGCATCGATCTTGTACGCGATCTCCGCAGTCGGCGTGCGCCCGGGCACATTCAACTCGAACTATCGCGTTCGTGTACCACTCGCCATCGTACCCGCAGATCCCGCCGGGGTGCTCATGCGAGAAAAACTGGACGTGATGCGTTCAGTGGAGTCCGAAGTCGGATGGAGGACCGAATGGAATGAGGCAAAGATGCGGCGCGGGCTCTGGGGCGAGTGCTCCACTGTCCAGGTCCTCGTACGTCCACAGCTCCTCTTTACGGATCGAGCACTGGCACTCATCTTAGCTTTGTATCAGCTCTCGATCCCGAACCTCCCGGCGTACCCGCTCCACGTGTCTATCCCGTTCATCATCAAGATCAAGTCGGTCTCCGCGCCGCTCACGCGCGCCAAGGCCGACGCCCTTCCCGCGGACAAGCCTGCGTTCCCCGCCGTGCCAGTCACTTATGAGCAATTGCAGTTCAAGCTCAAGAGCAAAATGCGGATCGAGGCGCGCACGTGCACGGATATGCCCACCAACGACGTCATGGTCTTCGCGCGTGGTGCTGCATCTGAGGCGTTCGTAGCTGACGTCCCACCGCGGGAGTGGGTCCCGCTCGAGAGTGACGGCGGCGGCGAGAAGAGTCAGTATGCAGTAGGCCCAGAGACGAAGGGGACGTGGATCCAGCGCGCGACCTTCCAATCCTCATTTCGCCTCGACTGCCCGCCCACGTTCTCGACGAAGACGGTACAGTGCGACGTATGTGCCTTTCTTTGCCGTATGTGTGAGAGCGATATTGCATGCTGATAGCATTCTCAGTACGCCCTCGCGGTGCGTGTGCCATTTCCAGGAATGGGCAATGACTTCCACCTCGATATGCCCATCGTGATCACATCGGGAATCACCTCCCCCGTTTTGCGAGAGTGGTCCGACGGGAGTAGCATGAGCCCGCCGCTGCGCCTGCCGCCGTATGTACCTGATCTCATTCTCCCTGCACGCTGGACTCATACCACCTGTCTTGCAGGGAGTATTGGGACGGCAGTAGTCTCGAGTGGACCGTTATCAAAGATTGAATTAGCGCACTACCACAGAGGCGTTATTTACATAGACCAGCACCAGGCAATCGTGTATATTTATTTTATTGCCATACCACATTTTCCACGCGCTGGATAGCCGGTATCCACCACTACACATACCATATTTGGAGGCACAGCCACCCAATCGACGCGGGAGGCCAAGCCTTGTTGCTGGTGGCAGTCCTCTCTCGTCCATCACCTCGGCGTCCACCGTTATTCGCGCATACCACTTTCTTCAGTCCCCTCCAGCACTGACAGTGCGCTCCTCTTTCTACATGACCTCTACTAGGAGTGTGAGTCTACCTTGTGCAGCCAACCACTCTTAGCTCGGTCCGTCTAGCGTCTCATCAAGCACTGCCTCTGGGTCCGCAGTGACTACGCCTGTCCACATATCCACATATGCTCGGCCATCTGCACGAGGCGTCACCATCATATAAGCTATATTGATTGCAGAGTTCGCTGTCGGACCCTTGGAGACGCCCCGCTACACCCTGTGAAGCAGTCTGCCAGCCAAGCCAATGGCCCCATCCATCGCGCCGATCTCCATCCGTCTTTACCACAACATCTTGGTTTCAGGGTGTCCCGTCGAGGGAGAGATAGAGCTCAACTTCCGCGGAATCCAGGAGGATGGTATCGAGGAGGTACATGTGAAGCTCAGGGGCATCGTACGGACGTACGCCATCATCCCTGTCTCTTCTCGTCTCGCCCTTGCTCACTAAGCCATACCAGCTCCGTCCATCGAAATAAGAGCACACAGATCGAGACACTCCACATTGTTCGCGACGATGCCTCACTCTGGTGCCGCGGAGGCGCCTACCCGCCGCCAGGTTCCGACGTCCTCCGCATCCCGTTCCGCCTCCAACTCCCGCCCTACATCCCTCCATCCTTCCAGCACTCAGAACGCGCCCGAGAGGGATCTGTGCGGTACTCAGTGACTGCGGTCGGCGTGCGTCCCGGCATATTCCAGTTCAATCGCCGTATATGCGTGCCCATGGCAGTCGTGCCTTTCGATGCTGCGGGTGTGGCCGTCCGGGAATCGCTTACCGCGACGGTAGCGGCGGGTGCAGAGGTTGATTGGAAAATGGCGTGGAGGGAAGTCAAGATCAGGAGGGGGCTCTGGGGCGATAAGTCTACCGTTAACGTCCAGGTGCGTCGCCAACGTTATGCTACCACAGGCTAGTTGGCTAACAGAGTCCACAGCTGCTACTTCCGAACATAGCTATATTCCCGCTCTTCACACCTATCCCTTTCATCATCAAAGTCAAGTCCGTCTCGGCACCCATCACCCACGAGAAAGCCAACGCGCTTCCCGCGGACAAGCCTGCATTCCCTCCAGTACCAGAAACCTACGAGCAGGTGACATTCAAGCTCCACAGCCACATGCGGATCTCGGTGCGGTCGATGTATACAGACCATACGTCTGCCGATGTTGCGGTCTTTGCGCGCGCCGCTTCGTCACAGTTCTTGACGGATGTCCCTCCGCGCGAGTGGGTCCCGATGACGCGTCCCGGGGAAAAGGGGACTGAGCCGGCCGACGAGATGGGGATATGGGTACAACACGCCACGTTCAAATCGTCCTTTAGTCTGGCCTGCCCTCCGACGTTCGTGGTCGAGTCGCTCCAGTGCGAGGTGCGTTGTTGTATGCATATCTCTCGGTAATGATCCGCGATACTCATCCCGATCGCAGTATATGCTGCAGCTGAAAGTGCCCTTCCCGGGGATCGGGAATAACGTGAACATCGCCGTGCCTGTCGTGATCTCTTCGGGCCTGAATGCACCGATCGCGCCGGGTAGTGGGGATGCCAGTAGGCCGACGGTACCACTCGGGCTGCCACCGTATGTATCCTGCTGCTCCGCCTAACAAATGTGCTTACAACCATTTTTCAGAGCATACTGGGACGCAAACGATCACCAGTGGTCGGACGATACCAAGGCCTGAGCCGTGGTTCGTAGTCGTGCGTATGTTTCGCAATACGGAGTTGCCCAGAAGTCCTTTCGCCCATCTAAACTCTCTGCTACGTCGCGCGAATGCAACGCTATCTCTTCCGTATCTGCCGCCGTATATGTCTTGCATATAAGAACTGACTGTGCATTGACGCCACTTGTAATAGAACATACTGAGACGCTGGCGACCTTGAGACGAAGACATTAAAGAGTGAGGTTCTAGTTTGCCCAAGATGTAAATACTATTCCCTCTGAGGTCTGTGCATGCCCACTACCTCTCTGCTTCATAGGCGGAACCTCTTATAGCGGACATGGTCATTTCTTTCGAATGTTGCATCTCTGCACAGTCGACATGTGAAAGATGTGATTCCCAGTAGTTTCTTGGTACCTGATCTTACGCTGCGCAAACTTTTGTTACAGCTGCCACAGACAGTACTGCTTTCCTAGCATATCACTGCGCATGCCATATCCAGCTGAATCCCTCCGCACCGCCACGAATGCCAAGTCGCCGCCGCTGCCGCACAGAGGCGCTCACTCTCCTCTCGGTCCGCGACGTCGATCCTCGTCGGTCACTTTCTCCCCCCTTCGTGCAAAGGTCCGAAGGCAAGCTTCCTCGATCTCTCATGCCGCTCGCGAACTCCGATGGCTATCGGATATTGATGTGGATTACCTACAACGTGCCCCGCTGCGTCACTGCGGCGCAGCCGACGCCGTTGAGCTTCGGGGCTGCCGTCAATGCATTAGCATCGCGCCCGCATGGTGACTTGTGGTGGCGATCATGAGCGGACCCGATCACCACCGCCATACGTTTCCTAGTCGGATTCGCTCCGAAGCCCATAGCATATAAAGCATCATCGCGAGCCACCGTGGCTTCGCAAGCGGCAATTCCGCGCCCACAGCCTGCCACGAGGCTCTCCACTAACATTTCAGTGTGTCGATCGCGACTTACTCTTGCATCTGCACGCCAACATGCCCTCCTCAAACCCCGCCATCTCCGTTCACCTTGCTCGCACCTTCTTGATGCCCGGCCACTCGGTCGAGGGTGAAGTCGAACTCAACTTCCAAGAGTTGCAGCAAGACAACATTCAAGAAGTGCACGTCAAGCTCAGGGGCGTCGTGCGAACGTATGCAGACTTTCATTTGCGTATAACGAGGATGCAATACTCATCACAGTTCCTCTACAGGGAGCTTACCGTAAACACCACCACAGACATCAAGACTGTGCCGTTGGTCCGCGACGATGCGTCCGTCTGGTCCCAGGGCGGCGCCTATCCACCACCTGGCTCCAACACCATACGCATCCCCTTCCGCTTCCTCCTTCCGCCGGACCTCCCTCCGTCTTTCCACTACAGTCGCTACGGCCGGAAGGGCGCTGTGCGATATGCGGTAACTGCTGTCGGTACTCGCCCTAGCACCTTTAGCTTGAACCGTCGTGTGCATGCTCCTCTCGCCATTATACCCAAGGATTCTCCGCAGGGCGTGGCGCTCAGAGAGAAGCTCTCTCTGATGGCGGCCACGGGCGCAGAATGTGAGTGGCGGAAGGAGCGGAAAGAAGAGAAGATGCGACGCGGACTCTGGGGCGACTACGCCACTGCTCAAGTCGAGGTATGTTACCGTACTGCGTCCATGTAGTTTTGTATAACAGGCTAAACACGCCTTGAGTATAGTTGCAGATCCCGAAAGTGGCGGCGTGCCCTCTCTACGTGCCGATCCCGTTCGTGATCAAGATCAAGACGATCTCTGCGCCTCTCACGCGCGCGAAGGCCGACGCGCACCCCGCAGATCAGCCTGTCTTTCCTCCAGTGCCCACCTCATTTAGCGAAGTGCAGTTCAAGCTCCACGAAAAGCTCTTCATCAAGGCTACCTCGCTCAAAGAGAAGGTCCCCGCGGACGTAGTTCAGTTCAAGCCGCACGCTGAATCGGATACTGTGCTCGCGGAAGACGTGCCCCCGCGCACATGGGTTGCGCTTGACAGCACCGACGAGAAGAAGAGCGGGGAAGTTGATCCGCACGCTAAGGGTACATGGGTCCAGGAAGCGACGTTCAAATCCACTTTCCGGCTGGACTGCCCGCCGACCTTCGCGTTGAACACGCTCACATGCGATGTACGTTCGTCCGCAGTCCAGCCATGCGATAAGGGTAGCTCATTCTATGCACAGTACGACCTCACGTTGAAGGTACCCTTTCCGGGTGTTGGAAACGATGTTTCGCTCTCTATGCCCATCGTCATCACTTCCGGCATCGATGTGCCAGTTGTGCGGGACCAACCAGACGCATCTGGCGCCCCACTGGACTTGCCGCCGTGCGTACTCTGCTTTGTGCTCCGATATCTAACTTACGACGACTCTCGCAGCTCATACTGGGACGCAGGCGACAAGGATTGGGACATTGACCTCAAGGATTAAAGCGTGACTTACATCTCATATCCGACATCGGCGCCATTATATCCTTGATGAATGTAAGATCGGCAACTACCTATTTATTGGTTCGGCGTGATCCACACCAAATGCGTCGAAGGCGACTCGAGTCGCTTTGCTCACGAATGCCAGATATCTCAGCTTTGATAAGGTGCGATATCAACCATCGGTTGTACATGCTGTTAATGTATCATCGCTCACGTTGGAATGCATACTCAGAAAGGGCTGCTCGGATCATTTGTGCCCTGTCAGTTCGAATCTGACTTGCAGGGTTTGCAAACTAGCGACCCGTCACGGTCGTAAGTGAACAGGTTGTACGCACCAGCCGGTCCCTTCGGCACGGCTAAACCACCGATGAGCGGCGCACGCGAGCCAGGCGCTCATTAACATCTCCCAGGAAGGCCCGAGTCTCCTAGCTTTCCCGACGTCTATCTGCCACGCGGCCGAGAGTCTGCAGAACAACGCCTACGCGGAAATATCTCAGCATGCACCGCCGCACACGCCGCACGCAGATTCTATTGAAAGCTCGAAGCGGATCATCACCTTGATGTCAGTGGGTAAGTCACCAGGTACGTGCATAGTTTTGTCGGCCTGTACACGCGCTTCTAGCTTCTCCTTGGCGAAGTCCTCGTCCATTCAATCGGGCATATTCGCGGAAGGTGCGCCTTGAGAGATTATCCGACTCCTTTCGATATGTTTCTGAAGGCTCGACGGTGCGGGCCGTCTCCCACCGCACCCGAGGGTATTGGTTCACAGGTAGGCTCGAGCTTATGGGTCCACGGCGTACGTTGGAGCTGATCGCGTCTACCTCGAGTATTGAATACGAACTCACGGAGATTTAGCAGTCATATGTCGCACGAAGCCGAGCGTCGCAGCCCGAGGTTCTTCACGAGTCTCTTTGCTTGTTTTGAGCTTCGAGCACTTCTCAGGATACATATTATCTGAGAGCGCGCTGTCGGGGTAGTATAAAAGACTGCGAGATCACCACTGGAGTCCTCAGCGTCGCGCTCTATCCAAGTCAAGCTCAGCACGATGTGGTCGACACTCCTCGCGTTTGTTCTCGCTTATGCCCAGATCTCCAATGCCCTTCTCCGCTTTCCATGCTCGCAGTACACGGTGATGCGCGCAGACCCGTACGTGTTCCTTCTGCTCTGCTACAACTCTGACTGACCAATGCACTTGCGACTAGGCTCATCAACCCGGACGCCGTAGGGCAGCATCTACATCAGGTATGCCGTCTCTTTCGTATATTGCACCCGTCTTCTGACCGTGCGATCCAGGTCATTGGCGGAGTGCGTACACCAATCCTGGGCACACCATCGCGTTTGACTCACGTCGAGCATCCTCGCCATACAGAACAGGTATGTCCGGTAGTGTCGAGGAAGTATATCCGTCTAACGTCGACGGCAGCTTCGACTTTAACATGTCGAGCGGGCTCGACCTAGAGCAAGCGTCGACATGCAGCTCGTGCTCGATCGTGGAGAATAAGTCCAACTACTGGACCCCGACCCTGCATTATCAAGCGGCCAACGGGAGCTTCATCCGCGTATGTTCGCGTTGAGCATCCAACGGCCCTCGCCTGATCGCTTTGATTTCCAGGTGCCGCAGGCTGCCGGTCCGCTCACCGGTAGTCCCAACGCCGGCATGGTGGTCTACTACATCCAGGTCGGTAGCAACATCAAGGCGTTCCCGAAGGTGAGATTTCCCGTTGCTCGCGAGGAAATAGCCTCACGCATTACGGGCATGCAGGGCTTCCGCATGATATCTGGCGACCCGTGGCTCCGCGCCTACGATCCGACTATCGACGACTCGCGCTCGATCCTGTTCCGTTGCCTACAGTCCAATGACGCATCTGGAACCGGCACCGACACTCACGGGCTTCCGACTACGCCTTGCCCGGGTGGTATCCGTAGTCAGATCAACTTCCCGACGTGCGTTATTCTTCGTGACGTCTTCACTGGCTGCTTATTTCGTTTCCGTAGTTGCTGGGATGGTAAGAACCTCGACACGCCCAACCATAAGGTGTGCAGCCCGTTGTACGAGTACGACATACGCAACTGACCACAAGACGTAGGACCACGTCCGCTATGCCATCAACGCGAGCTTCGGCGACTTCGGCCAAGGCTGCCCTTCGACGCACCCGGTCCAACTCCCGTTACTGTACATCGAGACCTACTGGGACACCACCGCTTTCAACAGCGGCTGGCAGAACGGTAAGCAGCCCTTCGTGTGGGCCATGGGCGACCCGTAAGTTCATGCCGCAATCATTCCTTTGCGTATACTTACCTGGTATTCGACAGTACCGGCTATGGATACCACGCCGACTACATGATGGGCTGGCCCGAGGATGTCCTCCAGAAGGCGATGGACCAGTGCACGGACTACGGAGGACAGGTCTCGTCATGCCCCGTTCTCCACACTCGTGCGGACCAGGACATGAATGATTGCGCCGCGCCTCCTCGCGTCGACGAAGTGTTCGAAGGCTGTGAGTACATCCACACACGCCCCCGATGTGCCTCCTGACGCAGTGCCTCCCAGGGACGAAGACTCTCCCTGGTTGCAACCCCGTCCAATCCGGACCTGCTCGTGCAACGCCGTCGAGCGGCTGCGGCGCGCCCACAACGACCCTGCCGGCGAACCAGGTCAGCTGGTTCAAGAGCGGCATCGACGGCTGGGAGGCCGTAGGTTGCGCTGCAGAGCCCGCGGGTCAGTCACTTCTTACAGGGGGCACGACGTCGAGCAGCAGCATGACGATTGAGTCGTGTCTGAGTACGTGCAAGAGTAAGGGGTTGCGCTTCGCCGGCTTGAAGAACGGCAACACGTGCTCGTGCGGTGGTTCGTTCGACACGAGCAAGTTGTCGACGAACTATGCGTGCAACATTGCATGCAAGGGCGACGGCGGAGGTGAGTATTTGATATTTCATGTTGTCTCGGGCAGATGCGCGTTTACTGATGAACCTGATGCAGAATTTTGCGGGGCAGCTAACCGCCTTGCTGTGTACAACAGCGGAGCGGTCGTTACCGTGCCCCCTTCTCAGCCCACGACCACTGCGCCCACTGGAACTCAGCCGACAGGAGGGGCTACGGTCGCCAAGTACGGACAGGTAGGCAATTCTATGCGAGCTGTCGTGCAACAGCTTACCGACCTCTCTACCCGGATCAGTGCGGCGGGCAAGGTGTAAGTCTCGGAATGATAGAGGCGAGGCATTAGCTAACGTTTTCTCCGTCTAGTACACCGGGCCAACGGTTTGCGAGGCGGGGTCTACTTGCAAACAGGCCAGTCCCTAGTGCGTTTTGCCAAATTATCGCTGCATTCATCAGGTTATTGACAGAAGTCATATAGCTACTCGCAGTGTTTGTAAAGTGATGCGTGTAGACGACGAACTCCAGATAGCTGGGAATTCACGACACCCAGCTACTATGCCTCACATGCTTTTGTATTACCACCCGTGTGCCTTTGAAATCCCGTATCTGCGCACTCCAATGGATCCGATTATTGTCACTACATGTTCGCGGCCTGCGTGTTCTACGACCAACGTATGCCCTGAACATACTCACCTGCCAGATCGGGAACATGCGCGTCGAGGTGACATTTGGGCGTCTACGTATATCCGTCGAGCTCGTCGCGTCTACCGTCTCCGCTACCACCGTCTTTGTGCTTGTATCTCTGGAAGTGCTCGGCTGATACCCCGGCTACTGCTGTACCATACGAAAATGCCAAGCGACCTAGACAAGTTCGTGCTCGTCCTTTCGCCGTCGCGCTCGCCTGTTCAGCTCTCGCACGCGCCAGACAGATCGAGCAGCTCCTCCGCTGCGAGCCCATCTCCGAAGAGCAGGTCAAGCGGCTCTGCATCAAGGCGCGCGAGATCCTCATCGAGGAGGCCAATGTGCAGACGGTCGACTCGCCCGTGACAGTACGTGCACCCTTCTTGCTCGCGCGCGGGGACGAACGCGGGGAATGACACAGGTCGCGAGATATGCGGCGACATTCACGGCCAGTTCTGGGACATGATGGAGCTTTTCAAGGTTGGAGGGCCTTGTCCAGAAACGAACTACCTATTCATGGGTGCGTACATAGCTTCCTGAGCCCGTACCTGCCACAAACCGTCGGTGCAGGGGACTTTGTCGACCGCGGGTTCTATAGTGTCGAGACCTTCCTTCTCCTACTCGCCCTTAAAGTGCGCTACCCGGAACGCATGACCCTAATCCGCGGCAACCACGAGTCGCGTCAGATCACCCAAGTGTACGGCTTCTACGACGAGTGCCAAAGGAAATACGGGAGCAGCAACGTCTGGCGCTGGTGTTGTGAGGTCTTCGACTACCTCGCCCTCGGCGCAATCGTCGATGGACGCGTATTCTGTGTCCACGGAGGCTTGAGTCCGAGTCTGCAGGGTATCGACCAGGTACGCATGCTGAATTGGTACTATCGGGCTCGTTGCAAACGCGTTAGTACACCAGATTCGCACCATCGACAGAAAACAAGAAGTCCCGCATGACGGCGCTATGTGCGATCTCCTGTGGTCCGATCCCGACGGTATGCCTTCCACTCCCTTCCAACCCTTTCCTGTGGCGCCTCCCGCTCACTGTCCCTCGTAGACATCAACGGCTGGGGTATCTCCCCGCGCGGAGCGGGCTACCTCTTCGGCGCAGACATCACCAAAGTATTCGCGCACCGGAACGGCATCGACCTCATAGCGCGCGCACATCAGCTCGCAATGGAGGGCTACAAGCTCATGTTTGACAAAGCGATCGTCACCGTCTGGAGCGCGCCCAATTACTGTTACCGGTGCGCATCCCACTCTACTACAGCAGTTTGGCGAATGCTTTCGGGAACTGAATACTGACGATGTATGCGTATGGTGCAGATGTGGGAACGTCGCGTCCATTCTGGAGCTCGACGAGCACCTTGCGCAGGAGTACAAAGTGTTCTCGCACGCGCCTTCGGTGCGTCTTCGTGCGTCTCCTACAGGCACCGTTCGACTGACCCAAATATCACCAGGATGTCCGGTCAATACCAGCAAAACGGCCGCCTGCCGATTACTTCCTGTAGCGTTGTAGAGCTTCCGCGGTCTTCGCACTTCTTCCCTCCAGATGCTGTACTTCTGTCTGTATTCTACGGCTGTAGCCTTAATCGCACACCCGCTCCTCTTGCCCCCACCACAACACCCAGACCCCCAGAAAGGAGAGCAAGAAAAAAGGGAGGCTGCGCTCTATGAGATTGCGTCGGAATACATGCAGAGGTCGTAACGATGTGCGGGGTGTGTTGTGAGATTCTTCTACAGACGTCTCGCGACGCGCGTACACGGTGCTACTAGTGCTACTACGGCTACGAAAACAAACGATGCGGGCTGCTGCTACAGAGGGTTCGTGCGGGGGTGGGATGCTGGGCGTACAACGGTCGTCACAAGCGCATGTATAGACAAAGGGCAGGGCGGAGGTGGGGCGGGGTGCAGGCGCATTTACGCCTTTCCTTTGCCGGCCGACTTGCTGAATAGCTTCGCCTTCTCGAGCGCTGCTTGACCTGCGGTGACGGTGGTCAACGCCGTACTGGCGTACGTAGAGAAGAGTGGGGTACGTACTGTTCTTGACGAGCATGTTCTTGTAGTCGACGATCGTGATGTCCTTCTTCGTCAAGTTCTCGATCTTGCGGTTCTTGACCTCCCAGAGCTCCTCCGCAACTTGCGAGATGAGACCTGTACGAGCCAACGTGAGACGTGATATCGAGAAAATAATCCATGGAAACTTACGGAAGTCGTGGGAGACGATAACGACACCACCGGCGTACTCCTTGATCGCGGTCGCGAGAGCGTCGATCGATGCCATGTCCAAATGGTTCGTAGGCTCATCGAGCAGGAGGATGTGCGGGTGCTCCATCGCGAGTTGTGCGAACACAACACTACACCTCCGTCAGCCCGAGTAAACTAGCCCATACGAATAAAAACGCACCGGTTCCGGAGACCGTCCGAGAGCTGCTTGATCGCCGAGGTCTGATGCGCACCAGTGAGACCGAAGCGACCGACCTGTGCACGCCAGGCCTGGATGTCCTTCTCGGGGAACTTTTCGTGGTACATCGACTGCAGGTGCTCGATCGGGCTCTTGTCGTACGGGAGCTGGTCCGCCGAGTGCTGCGAGTACTTCGCAAGCTTGAGGCCGACGTGCCGTGAGACGGTACCTGCGCACGGCTGCAGAGCGCCGGTGATCAAGTTGAGCAGGGTTGACTTTCCGGTACCGTTTTGTCCGACAATGGCAATGCGAGAGTCCATGCTACACGAACATCAGTACTGGAGATGTACGCCCAAAGCAACGGAGACGTACTCAATACCGAAAGACAAGTTCTGGTAAAGGTAGTCCTCCTTCTTGCCAGAGTAGGAGAACGCAACGTCGTCGAATGCGAGGATAGGCGGGGGCAGCCGCGTGACGTCCTCGAAGTTGAAGCGGAGCGGCTTGCCAATCTCGATCTTCTCGATGAGGCCCGCAGCCTCCATCTTGTCGATGATCTTCTGCTTCGACTTGGCCTGCCTAACCAAGTTCGCGTAGGTACCAGCCGAGGCGATGAACCTGGAACAAGCGATGTCAGAACGGGTGCAATTGCCTGTGACGGTAAACATACTTCTTGATGTGCTGAATTTCATCCTGCTGCTTCTGGTACGCCTTCATCTGGTTGACCTCGTTCTCGGACTTCGTGCGCACGTAGGTCGTGTAGTTACCACCGTAGTACTGCAGCTTCTTCTTCGACGTGAGGTCCATGATGTTCGTGCAGACGGTGTCCATGAAATCCTGCGAGTGCGACGTGATGACGAGGATGTGGTTGTACATGGACAGGTACGCCTCCAGCCACACGACGGCCTCGAGATCGAGATGGTTAGTGGGCTCATCGAGCAGCAGGAGATGCGGCTTGACGAAGAGTGCGCGCGCAAGCGCGACACGCATCCGCCATCCACCGGACATGTCCTTCGTGGGCTTGTGCATCATGACCTGCGTGAAGCCCAGACCGTGAAGAATCGAGCCCGCTTTCGCCTCGAAGGTGGACGGGTCCATCTCCTCCAGCTCCTCGTACAGGTGGTCGAGCGCGACCTCGTCGATGTCATCTGCGATAGACAACTCTTCGATGCGCGCCTCGAGCTTCGCAACCTTCGCTTTCGCAGAGGCAACGATGTAGTCGATCGCATTCACGTCTGACGGCTCCGCTTCGCCGCTGACAAGGTAGATATCGATGTGGTCCGGGATGGCAATGTCGCGCTCGGCGATGGATTGCAATAATGTTGACTGCGGCGCGGGGACATGTGCGTCAGCATGCGGTGCGGCGCGCGAAGGGGAAGCACGACGGGTATCGCGAAATCTGGCACCCCCGAAGATCTCCTGAAAAAGTCCAGATCGTGGATGGGCCATTTGCCGCCTCGGAGAAAGTTCGTCGAAAACGTACTCAGCCCCAGACGGAAGGTGCCCATTCCGCCAATATTTTCAGAGACCTCCCCAGAGTCGCGAGTATCCCGATGCCCGGCGTGCAACAAGAAGAGGGCGTACCTTTCCGGAACCGTTCTCGCCAAGGAGACCATATCGCTGGCCGTAGTTCAGGGAGATCTCGGCGCCCTCGATGAGGAGCCGGCCGTGGAAAGAGAGGGTGTACGAGTCGATCTTGATGTCGCGGCCCTTGGTGTCAGATACGAGCACACCGGCCGCACTCCTACGAACATATACCACTGGATCAGTCCCCTGGCCATGCGCATATTCACCTCAACATGTTCTTGCGCGAGATGTGGGCGGACGAGCGCGTAGATCGCGCAACAAGCATGTGAGGGAGGGAGAACGCGAAGAACTCACCGATCAGTCGCAATTTGGAGCTTCGCCATCGAGTTGAGGTCCTCATGGCTCGTCGCCGCCGAGGTGTTCGTAAGCGGGGTGTTCACCGACGAGCCGTTCACAGAGCCAGACGGGGTCGAGGTGCCAGTCGTGGTGGACGCATCCGTCGCGCCCTTGCCCTTCGCGGACTGCTTCGCCGCCTTCTCGGCGAGGCGCTTTTGTTTCGACGCTGATGGTGCCATATTTGCAGTTGTTCGTCGGTCCGATTGTCTAGAAAAAGAGCGGGATTGTGGCGGATGGGAGAGGACGAGGAGGGAGAGGGAGGAGAGAGAGGACCGCGTGCAGCGGTCGAATCGATGCACTGCAAAGTGTGGCGCGCACCTCAAATTTCCGCTTAGATGAGCGATCACTGCCCCAAAAAGGCAACCCTCCAAGTTACATCATGGCCACTGCGAGCCCTGCTATTGCCCCCGCACGCCTCCCACGCGAACACGCGTATGTTGGTCGCCGTGTGCTCGCACGCTACGGGATCGTGCATGAGATCTAGGGTAACAAGCGAGACGTGTGCGCACACAATGCGAGCCCGCGCGCCCGGAGCGCGGGGTCCATGGGTCAGGGTGCCGTCACAGCAGGAGATGCAGCGTTAGATATCGCGAGACAGGCGGCGAAATTTCATGGTGATGCAGCTGCAAGCTCTCAGAGGTGTGCTGGAGTATCCCCGGAAGTTGGAAGCCGGACGGAGAGGTAGAGGAGGCGGAACGGGCAGATCTGCATTGCTTCTAGCCAATCGCGCATCTTCCTTCCCCCGTACGCCGCGGCGGCGATGTCGACGAGAAGTTAGAGGACCCCGCCCTCCTCTGTCCTCTCCCGAGTCCCTCGGCTTCAACATTTCGGAACGCGGAACATAGCCAATTGCACCTACGCCCACAAACGACCAATCACACTTTTCCTTCGATTCGAATTTGATCACCCCCATCGGACGCGGACGCGCGCAGACGTCCCATCCGAGTCCGTCGCGTGATAGCAGGCCCAGGCACGCGCGCACGGCTCTATTACTCGGCTACGGGCCACTCTAGATACTACGATAGCGCTTCCAAGAAGTACACAATACACAACAGACACATGCGGGGATATATACAACCAACCGGGCGATCCTGGCAGCACAGAGACACGGGACGGTATGAAACACGGGACGCGGGACGGAATGGGACTAAGTAACAGTGGTATGTACGCAAGAGAGGCTCCGGGCGGCTAGATCCGTGGACGACACTACTAGGGGGCTCATACAGTATTCGTAAAGGGGAGTACGGGGAGAATAGACTATGTGCGGCGGCAGCGGTGGCGGCGCGGTGTGGGCTATGTGCGGGGCGGACTATATGGTACAGCGAATGGGGGGCGATAAATATCCAGCGGCTATGATACGGAGCGAACAGCAAGATGGACGGAGACAGAGGGTGCGTTTTGTAGCAGCAGCAGTAGTAGTGTAAGCGGAGACAGAGAGATGTGTGCGATGCGCGACGGACAGCGATGATGATGAGCATGTGCATAGTAGACCAGACCAGACCAGACCAGAGACCAGACACGAGCCGAGCCGACCGCAGGCGGCCGGCGGGAGAGAGACAGGAGCAAACAGAAGCGGGCGGAAGGGGAAGGGGAAGGGGAGGGAAAAGAAGAAAGGAACGGGGCGCGGGAAAGAGCATGTTGTATGAACGGTGTATGAAAGCAGCCGGCTCCTCCAGTGGGAATCTGGGGCCCTTTCCCGGCGGACGCATGGACGCCAGAAGCGCACCGCGCGGCGCCCACAAGTCCTGATCCAGACGAAGGCCCGCCCGCCCACCCACCGCCCGGTATACAAGGGCCTGCGCTCGAGGCGGCAGCTCCCGAGGGCGCACACCGCTCACTGCACGAGCCCGCCACGCCCGCGGTGGTAGCCGTCCGTGCGCCAGCCCGCGTGGCCCGGCATCGCGCCCGTCTGCATGTACTGGTGGTGATGCAGGTGGCCGTTCTGGCCGCCGCCAGCGTGCGCGGCCGCCACGACGCGCTGCGGCTGCGGCTGGTGCAGCTCCAGATACTGCTCCGCAGCGGCGTCGACAGGCTCCGGCGACGGGGCGCGCTGCCCGTGCGCATGCGTGGGCTGCTGGTGGTAGTAATACCCCGAGCCGTGCACCCCGCTCGCGCTCGCCGCCGATCCGTACGAAGAAGACGTGTGCGCATATGTGGGAGAGTGCGTGGGCGCCGGCGGGGGGTAGGAGAACGCGTGTTGGCCCGCGGAGATCCGGCTGACGCTCGCCAGCGACTGCATGGGCGGCTGCGACGGAGAGGCATAGCGCATGCTCCCTGCCATCGTCTGCGTAGCAACTGCGCCGGCATCGCGGCGGACGTGGATCGGCGCAAGGACGGGGGGCGGGGATGTCCGGCGAGCGCCTGAGGATGCTGGACCGCTGTGGTAAGAGCCCTGTTGCCCGTAGTTGAAGTGCGTGGGCAGCGACGACTGAGACTGAGACTCGCGCGCGTGCACGGGCGACAGCGCCGGCAGCGTCCGGTCATATGCCTGAGTCTGTTGCTGCGTTTGCTGCTGGGGCGGCGGGAGCGCATACCCAGCCGAGGTGAGCGAGTTCGACTCGTACTCGTACGATCCATATGTCCCCGGGCCTGATGTCGCCGATACCATCCCCGAAGGCAATTGTGACGTGGTGGGAGCGACAGGGCTGACCGACCCTGGCGGGGAGTCCGCGTAACTCCCCATTGAGCTCGGCACATAGCCGTATCCAGCGGGCGTCGACGGGTGGCTTACGACGGGCGATGCCGAGTGCGCTGATGTCGTCGAAGTCGACGTAGGCGAGTGCTGCCGATTGACCGGGTTGGAGATATGCGCAATCGAGTGGCGGTTGGTGCTCTGCTGCTGAGAGTGCGGTTGTGCGAGCGGACTGGAGTTAGTAGCGTTCCCAGAGAGGGCGGTGTTGCTAGCTTGGCGCGGCTGATAGTGGCTGTAGTAGGATGCTGACTCCTGGGACATTTGGTAACTCCCGGGCGCGGGCGCGCGATGCGAGCTTACGCTGTAAGCATCGACCGGTGACGCGGGCTCGGTGTACTGCGCATTCGCGACCGGGGAGGCCGGCGAATAACGGTCAGATTCGCTGGTAGGATATGACTGTTGCTGGTGCTGCGTGTAGGCCCAGCGCGGATCATCACCGGTGGCGCGGCCAAAGGAAGATGAGGTGCGACTCTCCTGGGAAGACGAGTACGAGTGGTCGTCGTATTGGGGATAGGACGCAGTCGCGAGGGACGACTGGGTGTAGGATACGGGGGAGTGATAGGAGGCTTCTGGCGTGGACCTTGTTGATCGAGTGACGTCGCGCCCATGGATTGGGAGTTGTGAATAGACGGGCGCTGTTGGCGGGGGTAGTGTGGGATAGGCCTGTGCGAGCGGCGGGGGAGTGTCGGGCGGCTCTAGGGCATCCGAGGGCGACGACTGCGGAGGAGCGGTTGCCGCGGCCAAGGATTGGTATGCCGGAGCGAGAGCAGGCGGCTCTAACGGTGGGGAGGGGACGGGAGTGGGTGGGGCGGGCGAGCCAGGGTCCGCGGACTCGTTCCTCGAGCGCCTGCGAGACGAGCGCGGGCGGTCAGAGGCACTTGCACGGTTCATGGCAGCGCGTGTAGCAGTGCCGGAGTTCCTGCGAGAGCCCGGCGAGAGGTGGATGCGGTAACTGCAGAAAGTTGTGAGCATGATGGAAATCGGTAAATGGACGCGGGAGAGGATGGCCGGAGCGAGTCTGTCAATGTGCAGGGTCGCGACACGGACAGACGCGCTAAGGCAAAATGACAGGGCAACGGGGAAATCCCGGGGACGGATGATAGGGCGGGAGTGGAGAATTGGACTGACTGCTGCTGGAGGTTGTCCTGGCGGGAACACCGTGTCTCGCAGCCTGGAAAAGGGCACTTGTGGTTGCGTTCGCCGGTGTGGATGCGGGTGTGTCTGGAGAGATGGCCAGAGGTGGTGAAGGCGCGCGTGCATATCTGGCAGACGTGTTTCTTCTTGGGGAGGGCGGGCTGGGGGGCATTGAGATCGGGGGAAGGGTTGTCGGCGTCGTAGGCGGGGTGGGAAGGATGGAGGTGGTCGTTTGACGAGTGGTCAGGGCCGGAAGGGGACGAGAGAGAGTGGGGCATGGTTGGCGGGTCGGCTAGGACGTAAAGCTAGCGTGATCGCGAAGGGAGGGTGTTGGCGAGGATTGGCGGGGCTCGGTCGGTGGGGGGAAATGGCGGCTAGAGGGAACAGGGACGGGACATGTATGGGCGGACGGAGCGAGAAGGGATGTGCAGGGTGGGGATTATAGTATGTTTCCGCCCGTGCACGAGAAGAGAGAGGAGGAAGGAGAGCCCTCCCAGGCCTTCTCCTCGTCCCCCCAGCGCTAACCGCCCCTTGGGTAAGCCTATCCCAAATCGGGCGGGGTAGATCAGAGCAGCGGCCGACTCAATCTAGGCGCCCACAGCCCGCCGGTTCCCTGTCCTTCCCCTTCCGCCCCCTCCTCCGGCGACCTCGTCCCCAGTTCGCGTCCTCTGCGCGCCCGTCCGTACTCGCCTCCGCGCGCGAATACGTGGCCCCCTCGCCCGCACACTGGGGCAGCCGCTGAGGGGGTGCCCGGGGGATGGGTGGGGGGCAGGCAGGCTTCTGAGCAATCTTCGGCAATCGACGACGACGATACAGGACCCGAGAGAGTCTGCCGTCTCCACGTTTCGAGCAGTGATGGGCCTTCGCGTCTTCGCTCGCCTGCTCGTCCTCGCCATCCTCGCCCGATCGACCTCCGCCGCGCATAATGAAGTCGGTCTCTATCCCCTCGGACCCTGGCGTCCACTCAAACGCCTCTTGCCTCTCGCACCGAGCCCCTCCTCGGTCCTCCGACCGGCCCCGCAGCTGAGACGGACGCTCGCTGGGTCCCAACGGACACCGTGGGCCTCCTCGTGTTGCCTCGTGCTACGACACACTCTCCCAACGTGACCGCCTTCTCCACTAGGCCATCTCCGAGAACCCCAGCACGTCACCCTCCCCTTATTTCTATTCCCGCACACACCTCCGTGGCTCTTCCGCGGCCCTCCTCCCAGGTCATGCGCCCCCCCTCCCCCTCCCCATTCGTCCTCTCTCCCCTCGGCGACTCCCCCAGGCACGCCAATCCACGGCCCTCGCCCAATCGCCTGTGCCCGCCTCCTCGTAACTCTCGTAAGGCCGCAACCACCCCCCTCTCCCGCTGCTGTGCTCCCCCCTCCCGGGTCCCTGCCGTCCAAGCTCTCGCTGCCCATACCGTAACCGACCCGCAGCACGTTCGTCCCAGTCCATATCCGCCCCTCCCGATTTCCTCGGCCACGCCATGCTCGGCACTCGCCGGCCCCAGCAAATCGCTTCCCTTCGCGCCCGCGCCCGCGAGCGCCCTCCCGACGCGCCTCCATCGCGCCCGGGTCCATGCCGCGCACGGCGTAGATCTCCCTCCGCCGTGCGGTCTTATACAAAACCTGCGGCGCGCCCTCCCACCAGCGTAAGCTGCCTGACCCGCCTCTCACGCCGTGCCCGCCATCTGCCGGCCCCGTCCTCGGTATGTCGCGATCCCCAGGCCGTTCCCGGACGCCCTGCTGCCTCTCCCGCAAGAAGCCTCCGCGACCGCGCCCTCGCGCGAACCGCGCCTGCGGACATCTGCGCCCACTCACGCACGCGTAAGCATCACGCCCGCTATCGCAGCGCCGCCTAGACAACTCGGCGCTCAGCGCAGCGTTCACACTTCGAAGTGCGCATGCATTGATCCCGGAGGGCACGCAGGTGAGTAAGGCGCATGCACGCACGGCTCGGCACGCGCCAGCTTCCTGGCGCACACCGTCGCCTTTCCCCGCCGCCAGCCTGAGCCTCGACCCTTCACCGACTGGATGTCGCGTAACGACGACGCGCCTTAACTGCGCTTACCCCCAGCGGGGCATCCCGAAGTCCACTACGTGGCTCGCCGCCCTACATTGGAGTGGGAACGCGTTCGGCACCCACCCCTGTCATCTGTGTGGGGGCCCGCAGATTTGCGCTCGCGCGCTGCGGATCTGCTGTGGATCCCTCGCGGCGCAGGCACAGTGCGTACAGTGTTCATTAACTTGCGCCAGACATGACATTGACCATTGCCTGACCGCGCACCCATCTTACAAAGTCCCTCCCGAGCCCCGAATGAACATGTACGTTGCCTGCCGTGCGGGGGCGCACCCTCCCGATCACGCCGCGAGCCCGCAAATTTCGCGTCAGGTGCCCGCACGCAGTGCGGGGGTGTGCCGTGGGGCTGGGCCCTTTTATTTTTTCGCGAAGACGTCGATATACACTCACCCATTCAATACAGCTGTACATGACGGCTAGCGCGTCCGAGCGGGCGAGCTAGTCGTCCGTGGCGCGAGGCGAAACACGCCCGAAGAGCTGCTGCATAACCTCAAACGCCCGCGTGCTTCTCCCTGCCGCCCCCATGCTAATCCGTTACCTCAGCCTCTCGTACGAAGCACTACGGACGGCCTGCTGTCTGCTGTCTGTCGGCCGGAGCCGCTCCTCGGCATCTCCTCCTGCTGCCGCCGGCCCCAACGTCAACTCGCTAGGTCCATCTGTGTCGACGGCGTGTCACTGGTCTGGCGTTTCCCACTTTTCTCGGAGCTCTCTCTTTCGCCAGGGGCGCAGCACTCTGCCCATGCCCACTCGACAGTCTCCGGCTAGCCCCGCATCCCCAGGACGACGCCTTCGAGCGGCACCAATGACCACAAGATTTGCAGGGCCCTTCAGCCGAAGAGAGAGAGGCACGGTACACCTCAAGCCGTAATGAACCTTCAAAGGCTCCTACTACTGCCGCCAGCCCATGTTGACTCACTGGAACTGTATGTCACCCTCGTGGACGGCGTGTGCGGTCTGTCTCGTATGGAGCTCTCGCTTTCTCGCTTAGGGCGTATCGCAACATACCATGCCGTGCCCAAGCCGTGCCATACCCGCTCAATAGTCCGCCGGCTCGCCCCGGGTCTCTAGGACGAACCCTTCGAGCGTCACCAACGACCACAAGATTTGCAGGGACCTCGGACCGAATGGAGATAAGTCACAGCACAGCTCGTGCCGTTATGGACGTTCATAAAACCAGTTGCGCTTGGCAAAACTATAATCCATGCACGGCAGCAGTCAAGCATTCCGGAACAAACCTAAGTCTTGCTTACAGGCATCGACAGCTCGGGCTCGTCAGCGTCCTGACGCATGGGTGCCCTCGGGCGGGGCGGGGATGACCAAGGTAGGCCCGCTCGCGGAGGTGGGGAAGCATGGGGATGTCGTAAAATCAATACCATACAGCTGTTTATAACCACCACATCGGCGGTGTCCTTCGTACGACCGTCGAAACATCGAAACAGCTGAGTTCTTGCCCGGCAACTGAAAAGCAGCCGATAGACGTCGGGCGAAGCTCTAGAGAGTCTGATATACAATGATAGGATGCAATTGGTATAAACGTACTCACTGATACAAACATCTATAATATACCCATAATACAAGACACACGTCCGAGCCAGCACATCCAAAGCGCACGAAAACAAACCACAAACCAAGCCGCACGGCCCCAAGCCGCAACCTAGATGAGACTAACCGTCGTCCGAATGAGCCCGCCCCGCCAATTGCGCATCCCCGCCGAGCGCCTTTGCGCCCAGTCGCCCTGCATGCGCGCAAACGCGTCCTGGATATGCTCCGGGCGCAGCGCCGTGCGCGCCTCGGGCGGCGGGAGGAACAGCGTGCTCGTCGGGAGCGGCACGTCCGCCGCGTCGTGCTCCGGGCTCTCCTCGCGCCGCAGGCGCTTCGCGTCCGCGCCCAGCAGCCCCGCCGCCGCCTTGCGCTTCCCGAGCACGGGCGACGCGCCCGGGTGGTGCGCGCCGCCAGAGCGCAGGTAGGCGTCCTCGAGCGACTTCTTGACTTCGAGCCCCGCGATCGTGAGCGCGCGCACCATCTCGAAGGCGAGGAAGCCGACGATGTCGACGGTGTCGTCGCCTTGCTTGAGGTCGAGCGCGGGAGGGAGGTTGAGGAACTCGCGGAAGCGCTTCGCTGGGAAGTGAACAGAGAGTCAGGACTGGAGTGAGATTATGGGAGGATTACCGACCTTTGCGGTATGTGAACGAGGCTTGTCTACAGTCGGAGTAGTGCTGGTACTCTTCGCGTGTCATCTCGCGCGTAGCGTCGTCTGCCTCTTTAAGTCGCTGAATGGACGCCTCGTGCGCCTCGATGTCGTCCTCGTCCTCTTCGTCGTCCGTCGGGAGCACATCCGAGAATATAGTCGTGATCTCCCAGGGCAGCTTGATAGTGATCTTTTGCGCCTTCGCCGCGAGTTTGTCTGCACCGGGAGTCAGGTCGGACATGGAGCACAAAGGGAACGCAACTCACCCTCTGCGCCGTCCTCGAGGTTCTCCACTTCGACACCACCACCGCCCCCGTCGCCACCGGAGTCCTTCGCGTGTTTCCGCACGTCCTTCCACGAGAGGTACGTTCTGAGACGGTTCACCTTCGCACGGTCATGTCGAATGAGGAAGATGAGGTCCTCAGCGGAAAGGTACCGCGCCCCTCGGCGAGTAGCAAGCGCGCGAGCTTGGAGAATCTACCGAGCCCAGTCAGAGCCCGCGCACAGAACACAATACAGGCGGACTCACGAGTTCAATAAGTTGGCTGCGGACGATGTCCTCGACGAGGTTGACGGTCTCTCCGTTCGGCTCCTGGACCTCGCCGAAGACGAACATCATCTGGGATATCTCCTGCGAGTACTTGTACTCTCGGTGGGCGGAGCCGTCTGCCGCGAACGACTTCTTGCCGCCTGACGCCATGGTGGATGAGCTGAATGTGCTGCCAGAGCTGAATCGTTGGACGCGGTACGGGCCGAGTCGAGGACGGAACCAAGGCGGTGGTGGTGGTGTGTGGCGGAGGTATGGTGGTGTGTGGCGGAGGTAGCTTGAGAACAGACGCCCGCGCCCACGTTCGCAGCACGCGCCGCAGCTTGAACTTGGAAGTACTTTGGACTTCCCCGACGGTCCGTACACAACCACGTTGCTCAACAGGCTACGGCGAGCTTGAGCTTAAAATTGAGTATGCACCTGAATCCTTCAGCTCGGGTGATTCCTGTGCGTCCACTCTTCGCCAGTATCGACGCGCATACGCCTCCTGCAGAGCGCGACACGGAATAAGTGCGAGGTACGCGACGAGTCGATCCTTCTTCCGCAGTTCAACCACTCTGTAACTGACCGGTGACCATCGCAGTAGACTACCCAACAATTCTTGGTCTGCGCGACCCAACAAAATGGCCGTCAATATCGTCTGTCTTCCCGACCCGGTACCTACGCAAACAAGGACAGCCTCAGCGGCCTCGCTCTCGCTCACTGGCGGCGACCTGCCCGCTGACGTTGTTCTTGAGATTCTCAAGAATCTCTCAGACACAGATGCAGTCCAGCTGGCGGCAGTATCGAAGGCATTCTACGCCGCTTTTCCCCCACGTCCTACGGATGTCACCTGCAGATCTCTCGCAAAAGCGACCTCGTTACAGGAGCGTCTCACCCGGACCACAGGTGCCGCCCTTCGTCTGGTTTCGCTCGACGTCAGATGCCCAGGCCCCACGTCCAAAATCTCGCTGGCACTCTGCGGCATTCTTCTGGAGGCCCGGAACCTCCGTGATTTGACCTGCGGCTCTGAAGAGCTCAAGTCCGAGAAAGTCAGGGACACGATACAGCACTTGTCACACCTCGCACACCTGAAATTATGCCTACCGCCCATCAGTGCGCTGACCACGATGAAATATCCTCCCTCGCTCTCCTCCCTGTCCCTGGTGGGGTTCAGGCGAGGGATCACCTGGAAAGAGCTAGCTCTTTCTCTGTCTGCGCTCACCAACCTGAGTAAACTCTCATTGCTCAACTTCATGTTCGACGAGCCAGACCTGGATGACGATGACATGGACGAGAACGAGAACGACACCGACGATGAGGCCGCCGGCGATACTCCCACTCTCGCCACGGTCACCTCGCTGGAAGCGTCCTCATCCGACTTGCCACGCCTCGCATTCTTCGCAAAGACGTTCCCGAACGTCAACGACCTCGTTCTAGAGGAGACCCACTTTCCCGAAGACGAGGAAGCGGAAACCGATGTTGCGGACCGGGTCATTCACAAGATATCCTTCCTCGTCTCCGAAGACAGCGACTATGCGGTTCCGTGGCAGGCGAACCACGTTGCGCTCTTCGCCTTCAACGTCGAGCACGTCAGCCTGGACTTCGGGCTCTGCGCGATGGATGGGCTAATCGGGCTCACTCTCCGAGTCCTCGCGTTCTCATGGGATAGCTGGACGGAGCGTATCAGTAGCTCCATCCCGCAGACGGTGCGCTTGTTGGAGCTGGAGAGTTTCGACGCCGACTTCCCCACGACGCTAGAATTCTTCGTAAGCTCTGCCCATTTGACGTAGAAGTAGGACATACTCACCCCTGTGTTTTGTAGGCGAATGTATTTGAAGAATATAGTCCGGAGGCAGAGGGAAAGCTTTCGGCCCTGACAGTCCTGTCGATCGCAGCCCCTTTGTTCCCGCGCCCCTTGGACGAGCTGCGTGCACGGTTCTTTGAACACGCCGCCCTTGCTCTACCGAAACTTCGCTATGTTGCGCTTGCCAGCCGGCCGCGGCTCCCTCGCGATTTCAGCGACCTCGCAGGCGACCGCGCGCCGTGGCGGTGGTGGCGTATCATCAGGAACGGGCAGGATGTCGAATTCAGGGAGATTCCCGCATGGGAGGGCGAACGAGTCCGGAAATACTTCCGTAACGCGGACAGAGACAAGGCCACAAGATTCGACGGTAATCTGACTATCTGTTCCCGATGTGCGCACATGTCTGACCTCATTTCTGCACACAGAAGAATTCAACGCGCTCCGCTAAGTGCCATGACTCGTTACTCGCGATCATTTTACTCGAAAAACGATGTATATGCATACAACATTGCGCTGAGCGTCACGGTGGATGGAGAACAGCCTGTCTGATAAAGGCCCACATTTCGTTCGTGATCTCGAATAAGCTGTGTGTCACGATCTTTGCGACAAGTAAATACCGCTGCAGTCCGCGATGGGCAGCATGGATTCACTAGTGCTCCTATTGCCAGCGCCAATGCCTAGATACATACGTATACCGTGCCTGAGCCCGCTCACTCCAGCGTCGGCGGCGAGTTTCCGCTGCCCATCATCACCCAAGCGCCCTCACTCGTGACATCGTCAACCGTGAGGAAGAGAGTAGCCGGTCCCGGCGGGTAGACGCGTCCGTTTGGCGGCGTCGTGAACGTGAGCTCGCTGCCGTCAGGCGAGACCTCCGCGTCCAAAAACACGAGCCGCGCGCCCGAGTGGAACGCGTGGCTCGAAAACCCAAGGTCCATCAGCGACACTGCGCGGTACCCTCATGAGTACCTTCCCATTCTACGACACGCAACGAGCAACGCACCTTGGACCTTCGCGCCCTCACGCGCAAGGCTCGCCGGGAGCGAGATCGGCACCGTGACGCTCGCGCCAAACGCAAGCTTCTCCGGGGTGCTCAGGATCTTCGGCCTGTCCACAAACATGAACGGCGGGTCGAGCGTCTGCACCCTGAACTCGCTCGGAAACACGATGCCCTCGCCCACCGTCACATTCACATTCGGGTTGCTCCCCCCAATCAAAAAGTTGCCCTGCGGCGTCAGCGTGATGCTCGAGTGGTACACGCGCGCGATGCCCGAGTCCGGCATGCCCGCGTTGCTGAAGCGCTCCCCGAGCGGGGCGTCTGGGGTGTACAGCGACGGCACAAGCACCGGGTGGTCCGCGTTCGAGTTCCCGATCGGGTCCTGTACGTGGCGGATCGCCGCGAAGCCGGAGCGCGCACCGTTCGCGATGAGGACCTGCCCATTCGGGACGTGCACGAGCTCGGGCATGATGCGCCCCTCGAGCATGTGCTCGACCTCCCAGCCCTGCGCGATGCCCTCTTCGGTGAGCGTGATGCGCGAGCATTGGGTCGTCGCGGGAGTCTGCGAGGACAGCAGCGAGGGGTCGACGGGGTCGGTCTGGGTGCCTCCGCAGACGAGGACCTCGGGGACGTAGTCGGGCGGGGAGAGCGGGAGGAGGATGGCGGAGCCGTCGATGGGGTTTGTGACGCGTACGTTGTTCGGGATATCGGGCAAGATGCGCTCGGTGTTCGCCTCGATGTCGTAGATGATAGACTGGTTGTTGGCCACCATGAACACTTTGCCGTCTGGCAAAGCAAAGACGCTGTCGGACGAACACTGCAATCAGCGGGAGCGGCACGACAGGTGAGAATGTACACACCGCGGGAACAAATTCGCCGGAAGAGACCTCTTCAGGAACTCGGACGGCCGCGGCGCGTTCTCCTTAGGCGGGAAGAACTCGAAACTCAGTGCGGGATCGGTGTTGTAGAACGGCGTGTCCGTGTGTATGCCGCCGACGATCATGAGGCTGCCGTCGAAGATGCGGATAGACGACGGGTACCAGCGATGCTCCAGCAGGTGCAGGTTGTCGGGGTCCTCGAAGAGCGTGCAACCGTCGCCGGACGGAGAGGCGCAAGGCTCGAAAAGCCGGATCGCCTGTGTGCCTGGCCTGATGGTCGGGTTCCCGGGGAAGCCGTCGGGGTCGCCCCCTACGCTAGCCTGGTGCAACCAACACGTCGTGAGCGACGCCTTTCTCAATGACGAAGCCAACTGACCATGGTTCCGTTGCTCAGGAGGGCGCCGCTGGCGCAGAACGAGTTGGAGAGCACGTCGAGCGGTTTGACGGTGCTAGTCTGGAGATCCCAAAGGGCACCCCAGGCGGAATGGTTGTTAATCTGCAGCGGGTCATTGGAAGCGCGATCGAAGAAGATGACGAGCGTCGGCGAGACGACGATGGACTCCAGAGCGACGATGCCAGAGCGCTCCGCCTTGAGGTCGAATAACCATCCGGGCGCAGCCGGTGCCGCAATGGCGACAGACAGCAGGGCAGAAAGCAGAGGGAGGATGAGCTTCGTCATCGTAGAAGCGAGGGCTGCGCTGAGAGGTGTTCCTAGAGGCACTTGAAGAGCCTTTGAACCTGGCGTCCAACGGAACGATGTGCACGTATATATGCATTCTCGACGGCCCCCGATCGGTTAAAGACCGTAAGAAACTTCGAGCATTGAGTAGGACAAAACGAGTCACTTGAGTGTCAGGCGAGCGATTCAGGGCCGGAATTTGCGCAGCTAGTGGCTTGGTGTGTCGTTCGAACCATCCATTCGTCGGGCAGCGCGGCCCTCCTGCAGCTCGAATGATCCTTACTCATGCATTTCAAGTGATGATGCCCTGTTTAAGGAGCGCGACGAAGCGAAATCGTTCCTCAAGACTGTTGAGATAATTCAAACGAGCTGTCTTGGCAGTACGCGCGAACCACGCACCAAATACCGTGTAGTCCATGCACGTCTGCCGGGAGAGAGAAGCTACAGCGGACGGCCGACGGCGAACGAAAAAGGCTTTGCATGGCGCAGATAATACCTTGGCGCTCTCATACCTATGTTTTAACCGTTGAAGAATCCAGGGGGAGAGGGCTCATGGGATCGCTGAATGTCCCACTTTTGCCACGCGTAAGGCGGGTTCCGCTGACGATGGTGAGAAACAGTGTTCGCTCCATCCGGGCCGAGGGCACTAGTCGATGGCCTGAGAGGCTTCCTATTATCGAAAGATGAGTTGCATGTGGTATCGACCGCCGCAGTTGGCCTACAGAAAGAGAGACTGTAGTAAAGGAGCAGTGGGTCGCAGACTTGGCAACGATGAACGACGGAAGATGGCGGATGGGCGTGCGGAGACACGCGGCTCTGAGCTACTAGACGCCCATCTCGTGGCACGAACCATGCCACCAGAATAGGAAGGTGACCTTCCCTTCTTGGCGGCCACGTCAGGACTGTGGCACATTGCTGTGCACCTCCTTCACGCTTAATTTTTCACTTGAACATCCTCCGACTCGGTCGGGGGTGTCTGACAGTATTTGAGCTTGATCAATGGACGACGTACTCGCTTGCTAGTTGCACTTCAACCACATACACGCGGCGTCAGCTAGACTGCACCGGTTCGTTGGATATCGTCCTTTCTCACTCAACTCGACGACGAATCTCACAACATGCAGCCGCCGACAGGGTGAGTATCGTTTCATGCGCATGAATATTCAGCAACACTCATTCCATCCGCTTTTGCAGTAAACGCAGACATGAGGATATCTCGTCTAATTCCAGTCCTTCAGCAAAACACCGCAGGACTGCTTCGGGTTCTGACTTCTCGACTTATGACATCAAGCACGCACTCGACATGCCTCCCCCACCTGCACCCCATGGCCCGCCTCCACAGCCTCCGCAGCCCCTGCCACAGGTGACAAATCGCACTGCTGACCTCTCGGAGCTTTTCGACTTCTGCGCACTCCAGTCTCAGCAAGACATCTCTGCTCGTTTCGAACTCCTCGCGTCTGAGTTACTGCACAACTACCGGCTCGAGGTGACACATGAAGAGAAGATAGAGTACCTGGAGATCCTTGAGCTCGAATTCTACCTGTACAAGTCCGGCTCACACGAAGACCCATTCACGCACGCCAGCGCAGAGCAGAGTCAAGCGGGAAGATGGTCCGTCATACTCTGCAATACTACGTCTTATACAACTCACCATACATCGCCTAGAAGGTACTTCCACAGACCGCCGAGACGCACGAACGATCCCGTTCCTCAGGGAGCTGCGCCAATGGGATACCGCGGCGGCACGCGGAAAGGCATGGACATCACGATCGGAGCCCCGCCGCCCACCGTCACCTCCAAGTACTTCCTGCCTGCCAACCCTGGCGAAGCATCTTCCTCAGCGGCCGAAAACGCCGTGTTGCGCGGGGGCGTCCTCCTGCGCTCGATCCGCCGCGCGAGCGACTCTAAAGTCATCTCCGGCCCGTCCCTCCTAGTCGACGAGCTCCTCCGTCTGAGCGGCGCGAGCGAGATCGCCGAACTCGTCGCCCTCCACTGGGACGGCGACATCTCTGCCCTCCCGCCCTCGCCCAACCTCATCCCTTCCCGCGACTCCACGATGTGGCTCCGGCGCACCCCTCCCGCCCCTCCCTCCGTATCCTCCAAACCAGCACCCACCCCACCACGCATATTCCGCTCCCCGCGCATCGGCCTCGACATCTCACACCCCTCCATCGCGCCCCCCACCGCGCTCGCCCACCCGCGCGTCATCTACGTCGCGCGCCCGTACCGCTTCTTCACACACCCGCACCTGCTCACCGCGAACGGGCGTGGACAGACGTTCCTGGGCGTGTACGACGCGCTCGAGGCGCGCGGGCACTGCACGAACGACGCGGAACTCCTTGGGGAATTGGTGCGCCTCACGGGGGTCAAGGGCCCAACGGCGAAGAATTATCTCGCTGCGCTGAGGGCGGGGCTGGGTGCGGGGAAGTTGGAGGAGTGGATTGGGCCGGAGGGGAAGAAGGTGCTGTCTTCGGTGACGAAGTGGCTCACAATGGCGGGCACACTGCGCAGGCTGCAGGCGGCCGCGGGGACATCTGCGGCTTCGGGGAGCGGTACCGCGGCTTGAATATGCATGCAATCACTAGATGAGTCTGTGACCTCGGACAACTTACATACGAGCTTAAGCATAAACGGATCGTAATAATGGGTATCACGGCGCATCGTGGGCGCGCGTCGAAGCGTCGCTACAGGATCTAGTGTACAATACGCTACAATGGGTTTTGACCGGGCTCAGCAGCGCCCGATACATAGTTTACCTTTAATTCTCGCCCCAACATCGCATCGCATTTATCACTGCCCCAAGAAATATAAGCATCTGAACCAAGAAATCCCGGAGAGAAGACGTCCGACTGCTCAACTACCGCCTCGGAGGAGGAGCATGAAGGCGCCATCCCGGGCCAACGCGCGGCGCTCAGAGCATATGCCGCCCGATGCGCCTCAGCTGCACCTTCGTGCGCTTCCCCTCCGCGACGTCATCCTCATCCCGCTGCGTGCGCTCCGCCGCCTCCTTCTCGCGCATCCGCGCACCCCCGCCCTGCCCCCAGACCGCGTCCGTATCCAAATCCATTTCCATCAGCGGCACGAGGTGCACCCTATTCCCGGCACGAGGTGCACCCTATTCCCGGCGGGCCAGAAACGGTCGTACACCCAATACCCGACGTAGCAGAGGATGTAGATCGCGAGCCCGATGTACGTCGCGACGACGTTCTGCGGGCTGAATGGCTCCGCGACGACGGCCGAGTACCCCTGCGCGGCGAACATGAGCACCGCGAGGATGACGGTCTCGATCGGGAGGATGGGGTACAGCGGCTGCTGGCAGGGTAGGTCTGCGAGCGCGCGGCCCTGTGCGGTCCACGCGCGCCGGAAGCGGATGGAGATGACGCCGATGGTGCCCCAGACGAGGGAGGACATGCCGGTGAGGTCAAGCAACCAGGTGAAGACAACGCCCTCGCCCCAGATGGCCGAAAAGGACAAACCAAGGATATGGCGAGCGAGAACCTGAGGGATACGTACTGGCCATCTGCGGCGGCGGACTCACGTCGGCGACTGTGTTGCCCATCCGGTGTATAGTATCCACCCTACGCTCGCGGATCTAGTGTCTTTGCAACCCCTGGTGTGGCAGAGGATAAATGAATGTCGATGGGTAGTTCGGAGGGGTCGTCGACCGTTAAGGTTGGAATGGGATGCCCAGCTGGAAGAGAGTCTGTTGAAGTGTTGGCAGCGTCGAGAGAAATCTCAGGTCGCATGTGGTCGTTGGCCGAACAGGTTTGGGGGCAGCCGTCATCGGAGGTGTCACCGCAATAGCTGGCATCTGACTCTGGAGGTTGCGTGCATAGGGCAAGCGGAGCCGGCGTAGCTGCATTCGGCTCCTTCAGTTGGTCACCGAGAGATGCAGAGGGCCGCAGCGACTGGGTAAGCGTCAACGAACTCCAGCATGCGCAAACGCTATAGGACATTCACTCACAGATCCTACTTCAGGTAGCACGGGCGTTCTCGGCCTGACAGCCGCAGTTGAAGCCGTCATCTCAGTGTCCGATACCTGTGAAGCCCTCTTCGCCGGAATCTCGGGATGTGCTGCGCCGGACTCCAGGCTAGTAGAAGCGGAATGCAACCTTGAAGCTCCCGAGTCTTTCAAAGAAGCAGGGGGAACCTTCGTAGGGGTATCAGATTGGTCGTCGGAGACGTCGGCTTCGGTAGGCGCCAGGGGTTGCTCTGATCGCGCCTTCGAATCGGAGGCTTCAGGCTTGTCTACGGACTGTATGTCGTGGGGTTTGTACTCGGTAGATACGTTAGCCTGAGTGTTGGCGCGCAAGTCGTCCTCGAAAGCTGCAGTGAGCACGTCGTCGAGAAGGTATACATGGATGTTGTCATCCTCGTCCTCGTCCTCGTCAAGGTTCGGGGAGATGCCGTCAGTAGCAGTGGACCCGGTTGAGGGGTACGTGTCAGATATTTCGATGTGAAGCAAGAGACACTTTTCATCGGCGAGGTTGAAGTCCCAATCTCGACGCTCGAGCTTGAGGCACAGTGTCCTGAGGTGATGGTCTTCCTTGTTCCAGTGCTGGTCAGCGGGAATCGCAAATGAGGCCTCGGCGACTTCACGTGTCCTGATCGACAGTTCGTCAAAGCGGGATGCCTGTACGATTTCAGGTGCCTTTCTGTAGAAGATAGGGAGCCCGGAGGGTGTGATTCGCATTGGATACGGGGAAGCTGGGGGAAGGCCGTTTGGGAGAGGGTCGTCCGAGTCGGTCAACGGCGACTGGAGGAAGTAGAAGTGGTTGATCACAGAGAATCGGACCGCGGTCTCCCATCTAGCCCAGAGGCGTTCCTTGTCGTGCCACTTGGAAAATGTGGTCTGGAGCTCAACAGTGTGTTTGAACGAGGGAACCGAGTCCTCGCTGGATGGAAAAGTCTGGTGCATTAGAGTCGTCTGTAGGATCATTATGTCCCGTTGCAACACAACGTTTAGAGGTGAGACAGAGAATCCGGGAGTAGTTAGACCCTCGATACAGTCAACCGAGAGGTCGAAGTGTGGGGAATCTTCCAAAGGTCGCCAAATCCGGAGACTCGCAAGGCCTTCTTTGCGTGGCTTTGGTCTGTCAGTGTGACGGAGAAGGAAGACCTCACTGAGAGATGCACTTGCGAGATGTTCCTGAACAACCGCGAGCGCCTCCTGAGTGAGACGTACAGCGCGACCAGGAGATGATTCCTGCGCGTGCTTGTGACAGGGTAACCAGGTAGCCACGTACATGCCTAGATGGAACGGGTCCGCTTCTTCGAACGTTGTGATCCGTCTTTGGCAAAGGGGTAGAGCGACAAGACAACCAGCCTGGTCCTGGCACCGCAGGAATGCGAGGGTGTGGGCGTAACGCATGCACCCTTCACAGTGTCCCATGAAGCTATTATCAGACCAGAGAAAGGATCGGAAATCGGGGGGTACGTTCATGAGGTCGATGCAGAGGAGTGGGATGCGAACACCTTCGGGAGTAAAGGCGCAGTGGAGTAACGGGATTTCTGCCTCTGTCTTTTGGAGGCGCCACGCAAATTCAGCAGGTGACAGGGGGGTGACATCGCCCACACGGGCGAAGTCGCGTGGAGATTCTGCAAGTAGAGACGGGGAATACGGCCCTCGGGCGCTCCAGTCGCATATCCTGTCCTCCAGAGATAAGACCGTGCAATAGCGACCCCAGGCGAAGATCGTTTGATCAGGGATGGTCCGGATGATCGCCTCCTGGAGACGAAGAAACGCATTCGTGCCCTCGCCATAGATAGGAGACATGTGGACGCGAAATAGGCCCATCAAGCAGTATGCCTGGTCTTCGATACGCGTTGTTTGTCGCCCGGCGGCCCAAGACATTCTACGTGCGACGCTGACGGAGTCAACAGAGACGCGGCCAGTGAGGATGTCGTGATCGACCCCAGTGATCTCCGCCAGCGTGGGGGCCAGTCCCATCTTCGTACCCAAGAGGCGCCAGGTGTTCGACAAAAACACGACACGCTCGGCACCGATGAGCTCTTGCAGTGTCCATCCACGCGTGTGCCATCTGCTGGTTCGGAATTTCGAGTCGGCTCGAGTAGGGTCGGGGCCGATGGGCACGTCCTCGAGGTAGACGTAGCATACGTCTGCGAGTCTGTACCACTCGTACATCGAGTTGATCGCCTCGGAGAGTTCAGAGCTGCTCGACTTGTCGATGCAACACGAGTCCATCCAGAGGAGCTGATAACCGGCCTCCCGAGCGATGTAGCAAACACCCTTGATCTTGTCCGATAGGGTAGGGCAGTGGGTAAAGATCGTGGGAGGGTCGATGGGCGAAGTAGGGGGATTTTGCAACGTGTACAGTGCCAGCGAATCTTGGAATATGCGGATATGATCATATGATTGCTCACCGCCCTGGAGTGGGGTTCGCCAGGTATGGGAGAGGATAGCGTATGACACTTGCTTCGGGTCCTCCACCCAGACAAATGCTCCAGTCCAAGTGTGCAGAAAGCGAGGCATGTTTAACCGCAGTGGGTCTCTAGCCCTAGCCTAGCAGAGACGTCAGCGACGGGATTGTTTCTTCCTCAGATGGATACTCACCGGAGTTGAATACTCGCAGTGGACGATAAGGTGTCCTGGAGTGCGAGCCCCCCACAATGCGAGGAAGATGAGAGCGCAGGCGGTGATCGATGACCAGGCTGCCAAATGCGCTGGCAAAGAGCGTCAATGGCAAAGCGCCGCGGCCTCGTGATAATCATTAAGGTTCACGGTTCAACGTACAGATGTCCGCACGTCGCCCCGATTTTTTTCAACGCGCACAACATGATTTCCAAGATGAAGCGACCTACGTAAAAAGCTTGGATTGATCTTCTACGCGGCCGTCGTGTGTGTCGTTGGGGAATGTATGGGGTATACCTAACACTCCATTGCACCGGACTACAAGAACCTCGTTATTGGTAAACGGGAGATCATAAGCATGTAGACGAACCTCCTGAAGTACCATGTGCCTAGTCACTAACGTCTTCTGAGCGGACAGACGGGATAGGTGACGGCGGATCTTGCGCAACAGAGATTCCACCTCCGGCTCTAAACTCCTGCTCCAATCTTCCGCCCACAAAACGACGATTTCGACGGTGCGCAGGGCGTTGAACTTCGTGCTGCTCAGCTCTTCCTCGATGAGACTGAACGTGTCCCATTGCAGCGCACTGCGTAGCCCCCTCGGTAGCGAATGCTCGAGACGGAAAACGATGGTGATGGTATGGAGGTAGTCCGCAACAATAGCGTGCTGGAAGAGACGTAAAAGCAGGTCCCACCGGTCGCGCGGGGAGTCGGAGACGTCCAGGGAGACCTCGAGTAAGCGGAGCGACGTATAGCTGCGCAGATGGTTGTTAAATATGCACGCTAAATAGGGCCGAATTAGGTGAGGCGATACAAGGATATGCTAGAGCGGCTTACCCGCCAAGGTCTGCACGGGTACGTTGAGATGCTCGACCGAAGGGCCGAAATGTTTAAGTATCTCCTCGGGGCCCTGTGCACCCTGGGGGATGGTCAACACTTTCAGCGACTCCCCGGTTGGACTAAGTGCGAGCCACGCCGCTACATGCTGTGACGCCATGCAGAATGACACCTGGAATATGGACAGCCGGGAGAGCCGTGGTCGCGCCATAGCCAGGTCGTCGACATCTTTCGCCAGCTGGACGTGCACAGCGGTACCGGAGATGAATTCGTACGTGACGCGGCGCAAGGACAGGGACGAGAGGTTGGGCAGGGCGCATACGAGGGACTGTATGTGTCTGAGGTGAAGGAAGACGACGCTTGAGAGAGATAGGTCCGAAACCGATGTGAAATTCGCTAGCGCACTGTACATAGGCGAGTGAAGTCTAGTGTGTGTGACGAAGTTTAGGCCAACAATACTGAGAGCTGATAGATTTGGAAGAGCCTGCGGATTGAGGGCGGGGAAAGCGCGAGGGGTGAGAATGTCAGATTCGTATCCCGGGCCAATGCGAAGCTGACGCGTAAGCGGGAGGTATGGGTGCATATACGCCCGTTCTAGAGCAAGGATGTTGAGGACAGCGAATAGTTCTTCGCGGACGACGGGGAGGAGCAAGCGGCAAGTAAGTCCACAACTGCGAAGAGCTTCGACATCGCGGGCGAGGTGGCCCACGATCTCAATGAGCAGTTCGTTCGGGAGCGTCAGGAGCATCACTGAGTTCACAGCGTAGAGAGCTGCCAAGGTTCACAGAAGCCGGACGCGGTTGATGAAGATGATAGACCGACTCGGAAGACGCTTGCAGGCATTTGTCAAGAAGACACACGTTTAGACCACGCGTCACTCACCTGATCTGATAGACCCGCAACATCTCCGACCACAAGACCTCTTGCATCGAGTCTCGACAACATCTCGTAGCGTACACACGGAAGTCCCTTTGTCTCAACCGAATTGGTTTTGCAACGGCTCGGAGGTAGTTCGCCAGCGGTACTATCGTCGGTTGATCGCTCGTGATAACGTGTCCTTCATTAGCAATTTGTCAAGACGCTAGAGGCAACTGAGACAAGATGGCGGAAGAGATGGAGGAAGAGAACAAGAGCCACAACTCTACTTGAGCGAGTTGCAACTATGGCGAGGGGGATCTAATCTTATCTAATCTTCCATGGGCCCCTTGCGTTGATCTGGCATGAACGGACTACCGGGCGCAAACTTGACCACGGCCACGACTCATACTATCATATAGTATTCACAAAAAGTGCGCAGGTACAAGCAACACACGGTTTCCTGACGGAGATCTTGATATATAACTAGTCTGAGCCGAAGGAAACGATATTGTGAGTTTGCTCACCGTCTGTCGACAGTATAGTACGCGCTGAGCACTGGAGTTCGATGAGTTATAGTTCTCTTCATGCGACAACTGCTACTATCTAGAGCACCTCCCATCTGGATAACCCCCCTCCCGGACGCAACCCCACCACAGCCGACCGGGACAACCACGTCCAGCGTACAATCAACGTCTACGGGCCTTCATTTCAAGCCCCGTCCCTGCTATCTCCCCGAGGACGTCTTCCGTGAAATATGCTTATACCTCTCCGATCGGGAAAGGCTCACATTCTCTTTGTCTTCGAAAGCGTTTTACGTGGCCTTTCCTCCCCGCCCGACGAATTTTATTTGCAGGAGAATCTCACACGCTGCTTCGCTGAGCCGCTACCTAGCCAGCAATCCAGGGAACGCGGCCCATCTGGCGTCTCTCAGTATCAACTTTCACCGACCTCGCGATGTACACAAGGCGTCAGATTATCTCCGCAAAATCCTCTCGGCGGCTCGGAACCTTCGTCATCTCACCTGTGGCAACGGGGCACTGGAGAACGCGCTAGTCAGGCGCGCAGTAGAGGCCCTTCCCTCCCTCTTGCATCTGACAGTATACCGACCGAAGAGGGCCGCCTTCACTACGACTTTATACCCTCAGTGCCTTGTCTCGCTTCACATCGTTTATGGTGGTGGCGAATTTGATTGGAGCGACTTGGCTGGACTGCTCTCTCATCTGCCCAACGTGATGGAGCTGGAGCTGGTAGACTCAAGCTTCAGCTATCCTGACGCCAGTGGTGAAGGCTTTGACGCCGAATCCGGTACTTTCAAGCCCCCAATCTCACACCCCACGCTTCGCAGACTAGTCGCCTCATCGACTTCCAGCTGGAGAGACCCTAGAGGATACACGTGGCCAACGCGCTTTCCCAGCCTTTGGTATATCGGACGACAGTTCCCTAATCTCAATACGCTCGTTCTGGATGACACGCCCCTCCCGGTTGATGAAGGGGACGAACCTAGATATATAGTAGGATGGAACGGCGCCCGTAAGCATACCCCGCGCCCGCTTGAGCGTAACAGCATATATTAACGGGAACATATACAGATGCATTGACAAGACTTACCGTGCGATCCGATTCGCTCACGCCATCCCTCTGGACCGCCCACGTTGTGGAGCTGGAGTTTACGTCCCAGCTCCGCTGGTTCGAGTACGAGGGTATCGAGCAGGACTTCTCGTCTATGGTTATATCGCTCGTGAGCTCTCTCGCGTTACTTTTCAAGTTTGACATCACTATACTGACATGTGCCACTGGCCAGAGCGACATCCTCTTCGAACACGCCTTATTTGAGCTCAAGACGCTGCCACTCATGTTTCTATGCATCGCGGCTCCGTACACGCATGACCCGTCTATATCAGATGACGCTGAGCAGGAGCATTGCAAACAATTGCTAGAGCACGCCGTGGTCGCCCTACCCAGACTCCGTTACCTCGCGTTGGGACAAATGCCGGAAAGGCGAGGGATACGGACGCGATGGCGGTGGTGGCGCTTTATTAGGGACACCGAGCGGATTGAGGTCAGAGAGGTACCAGCATGGGAAGGCGAGAGGGTGAGGGAGTATATGCGCGATGTCGATGTGGCCAGCGCAGATGCCTTTGACGGTAAGTCGTCCTCTCGCTTGACGCTTATTACCACACTGATAAGGCTCGACCGTCGCTCGAAGACCGATTCGAAGCCCTTCGATAGGTAATAATCCCCCTGAAGACTACATGAGATATATAATTGTTGTATTGCGATGGTAAAAATGCGACGGTATGCAGCACTCTACTCGAGGGTCGGCGGCGAGTTTCCGCTGCCGACCATCACCCACGCGCCCTCGCTCGTCACATCGTCGATGGTGAGGAAGACGGTGGCTGGGCCAGGCGGGAAGACGCGGCCGTTCGGCGGCGTCGTGAACGTGAGCGACTTCTGGTCGCGCGAGATCGTCGCATCCATAAAGACGAGGCGCGCGCTCGAGTGGAACGCGTGGCTGGAGAACCCGAGGTCCATGAGCGAGACTGTGTGCCAAGTCAGTGAGTACATTTGCCATTGTATGCGACTTGAGGAGACAGTCACCTTGGACCTTCGCGCCCGGACGCGTGAGCGTGGACGGGATCGAGATCGGGACGGTGAACTTCTTGTTGAACGCAAGCTTTGCAGGCGTGTTCAGGATCTTCGGCCGCTCGACGAACATGAACGGCGGGTCCAGCGTCTGCACCCTGAACTCGCTCGGGAACTTGATGCCAGGCCCGACCGTCGTGTTCCCGTTCGGGTTGCTGCCCGCAATGAGGAAGTTGCCCTGCGGCGTGAGCGTGATGCTCGAGTGGTACACGCGCGCGATGCCCGAGTCCGGCATGCCCGCGTTGCTGATGCGCTGCCCGAGTGGCGCGTCGGGCGTGTACAGCGACGGGACGAGCACGGCGTGGTCCGCGTTGGAGTTCCCGATGGGGTCCGAGACCTGATGCAGCGCGGCGAAGCCGGAGCGCGCACCGTTCGCGATGAGGACCTGGCCGTTCGGGAGGTGCACGAGCTCGGGCATCGTGCGCGGCTCGAGCATGTGCTCGACCTCCCAGCCCTTCGCGATGCCCTCTTCGGTGAGCGTGATGCGCGAGCATTGAGTGGTCGCGGGGGTCTGCGAGGAGAGCAGGAGGGGGTCGATGGGGTCAGTCGCGGTGCCGCCGCAGACGAGGACCTCGGGGATGAAGTCGGGCGGGGAGAGCGGGAGGAGGATGGCGGAGCCGTCGATGGGGTTTGTGACGCGCACGTTGTTCGGGAGGTCGGGGAGGATGCGCTCCGTGTTCGCCTCGATGTCGTAAATGATAGACTGGTTGTTCGCGACCATGAACACCTTCCCGTCAGGCAGCGCGAAGGCGCTAAACGCAGGAGGCGGTCAGTGTCGCACGCGGCACAGTGGGAAGACGCTCACGCACCGCGGGAACAGGTTCGCCGGGAGGCTGCGCTCGAGGAACGCCGACGGGCGCGGCGTGTTCTCCTTGCGCGGGAAGAACTCGAACGAGTTCGCGGGGTGGAGGTTGTAGAAGTTCTCGTTCACGTGCGTGCCGCCGATGATGAGCAGGGAGCCGTCGAAGATGCGGATCGAGGACGGGTACCAGCGCGATTCGAGCAGGTGCACCGTCGCCGGGTCCTCGAACAGCGTGCAGCCGTCCCCGGTCGGCGACGCGCAGGGCTCGAAGATGCGCAGGCCTTGCAGCCCGTTTTCGATGTCTGGGTTTCCGGGGAAGCTGCGTGGGTCACCACCCACGCTGGCCTGTCGGGGCAGCACGTCAGCATTCTGCATTCCGCATACGGGGAGGTGAAGAGACCATGGTGCCGTTACTCAGAAGCGCGCCGCTCGCGCAGAACGAGTTCGTCAGGACGTCGAGCGGCTTGACTGTGCTGGTCTCGAGGTTCCACAAAGCGCCCCATGCGGAGTGGTTGTTGATCTGGAGCGGGTCATCCGACGCACGATCAAAGAAGACGACGAGCGTCGGGGAGACCACGATAGCCTCCAGAGCGACGATGCCCGACCGCTCCTCCTTGAGGTCGAAGCTCCATCCTGGCGCAGCCGGTGCTGAGGGGGCGGCGGCCGCAAAGGACACGAGGAGCGGGAGAAGGGAGAACGTAGACCACTTCATCGTGGCTGGCGCAGAGCGTGCGTGTATAGCGCAAGTGCTGAGACTGTCGAGTCAGCCAAGGCCAGCGTTCAGGAAACACTGCGACCTGCTTATATAGCAGAGTGCATCCAAGCGGATGGCCGTCGGCTCACTGGGGTAGGCGACCGGGAGCCGGTATGTAAGGTATGCGACTTCGGCACGCCCCAGCGGCCGCAGAAACATTGTGGCACATTGGAGGTATGGGAACGCAGGGGGTGTGCTGAGCATATAATCGTGTCAGTATGCTCGCCAAATAGGAAGGTCTAGCGAGACCGTGGTTGACTGGTCTGATGCCGAGAGAAGTTCAGAGCGCACGCGTGCGACCGACCTTGAGTGCGGTGGGAAAACGCGCAGGGATGAGCGAGAACGAAGCGCGTCGGGAGTTCGAGGTGCCTTGAGGGGCACAGCTTTGTTGCTTAATTGCCCATACGGACCGATCGCCCGCCGTCATTGCCATGTTTCACGGTGCAAACTTAGCTTCACTTGACAGGGCGAACGCTGAATATATCATCGGTGAGAAAAGGCTTGTATACTCGGAAGCTGGCGGACTCACCAGACAATCACGAGTTTCAATATGAGTACTAAGGCAGCTCGGTCAGCTCGGTGATCATGATAGTATACAGCGCAAATCCAGATACACCCGAGGTCAAGAATAGGTCATCTAAGAATGTAGGACATCCAAGATCGAATGCGTCGCATAAATGCCTCCTGCGCGGACCGCTGATGGACCTACAGCTTAAAGCTTGGCTTTCTCGCTCCCACGCTCCTCGACCACGGGGTTGTACAGGGTACCGATACCGCCTGCGAGCCAGACACTCATGTCGTCCCCATCCTTCAGGTAGACTGGAGGCTTCTTCACGAAGCCGACACCCTTCGGCGTACCAGTCATAATGATAGAGCCAGGGAGGAGCGTCGTGCCCTGAGACAAGAAGGCAATGGTTTGGCGGACGTTGAAGATTTGGTCACTGACCGTTGTAGCAGGAGTGTGAGTGAAATGTGAAGATTTGCGTTTGTTAGAACTTACGAGGTGGTGCCGTCTTGGACAGTCTTGCCGTTGACAACAGTCTTCAAGCTAAGCTTCTGCGGGTCGGCGATGGCATGTGCGGCGACGAGGCAAGGGCCGATCGGGGTGGTGTTGTCTATTTGGCGTACTCGTATCAGACATGGTTCGTTAGTGCAAATCATGGACCGTACCATAGCCCTTGGAAAAGTTCCATTGCGACACCGCCATCTGGTGGTAACGGAACGAAATCTACACAGAGCTGTGAGCAAAAGAGTAGTGGTGAAAGAAGAAATGAACTGACGTCGTTGCCAACTGTGTAAGCCAGAACGTAGTCCAACGCGTCTGCCTCCGACACGTTCTTCGCGGCCTTGCCGATGACAACAGTCAACTCGACTTCGTAGTCAGGCAGGTGCTTTTCGACAGGCTGAACGTGTTTAGGGATGGTGACAGGGACCTCCGGGCCGATAAGAGACGTCGTGGGCTTGTAGAATAGAACGGGATAGCTGAAGTTAATGTGAGCAGGTAGACTATTTGTGAATATGCGGCGTATTTACGCAGGAGCCGCAAGGTTCGCTTCGGCCTGTCTAAGAGGTTAGATCGCTAAGGCACGACACCATGAAATACACGTACAGCATGGTCAGCATAGTTCAGACCAAGGCAGCGAACAAGCCCAACTTCCTCGCGCGAAAGCGGAGCAAGCAGCTGCTTGACAGTAAGAACGTTCTTCGTTACTTGCGCCGCAGGGTCAAAAGCGGAGCCAACGATCTCGTAGGCCTTGACAGGCTTCTTCTGGTGGATTGCCAGACCGACTAGTCGTCACGTCAATATTTGAGTCTTCAGCTGATTTAACGGTATATCTGCGTACTATCAAGCTTAGAGTCCACGGGCTCTCCAATGTGAATTTGAGCCGTCTCAGCGGCAACGAAGCGGATGAGGCGCGTCCATTGCTGTCATTCGGAATGAGCACGAGCGAGCACGACGTGCAGCGCAGCGTACTCACTGTCCTGATGGGCGACATGGTGGTGGTAAGACGAGAAGGTGGGAACGGTGCTGGGTCGGCGGCCGTGTGCACATCATGGCCTCCGCTTGCGTCGTTCAGGTGAGATCAAAATAGCCGCGAGGGCGGAGCTCCGGGCCTCCAGCGGGACGCGTCTCCCGCGATCACCTGACTGCAACGCGCTAGACGCGTTGGCCGTTTACGTAACCCCAGAGTGGGGTTCGACGTTCGAACCAGGGGCAGCCGTCGAACAACGCGCCCTTGCCGACCTCCTCACCTCTCTCCTCGACGACGACGACCACGACACCAGCGACGACTGACTCTAGCTCGCCCGTCTCTTCTCTGTCTGCGCTACTCTCACCACGCTCTGCCCAAACTTGAAGCCTACATGTGTTGACCCTCGCGCCACTTTCGCACTAGCCAGTCATGGACCCACTACACCCCGACGCGAATGTCGCGCCCATGCATGACATCCTCCAGGATGCCTTAGACGATGTGAGATTGCCAGCATTTGCCTCAAGCGTTTATCTGACAATGCGCAGCTGGCATCCAGTCGGGCGTCCGTTACAGACAAAGGGGACGCACTGGTAGCAATAGAGCACGTCCTCGCCGAGACCTGCGATCCGAGAGCGGAGGGACTGATAGGCTACTTCAATGCCTTGCAGGATACATTCCAATGCAATGGTGCGTCCTCCACGTCATATATGCACGAAATACATTGACACCACCTCTACCAGTCTCGTCACGCATCATCTCTTGGACGGCAGTAACCTCCGCTCAACTAGAGAGCTGCCTGAATAAGGGATCTATTGACCGTAAGCGAGCGTCGTTTCGCAACTGTGTAGCCACTCAATATATTGCAGGGGAGAAGAGGTCTGACTCTACCACTCTCGCTAGTCAGCTAGCCCGTGCCATGGCAATCATTCAAGGTGTGACCCTTACCCACAAATCTAGTAAACAATCCTTAGGGAGACGTTATTCCTTAGAGGTAATGTTATATCTATGTCAGGTCGCGAAGAGTTGCTCACGTTGACTGTATAGGTGCTCCTGGATCTTCTATTAGTGTCGCGTCACTTGGAATCGACATCCACCCCTTCCTCGAGTACCCCCACCTCGCCCAAATCCGACGCGTCCGCCGCCGCACCACCCAAGGCTACGGAGATACCCCTCGCTTCAGTTGTCATCGACACTCTGCTATGTATCCTGGTGGACTCCATCCCTGCACTCCGCGTATTCGAGGACTTGAACGGCGTGCAAGTGATTGTGAAGATCCTAAAGCGGGCAGGTACACCGCGTGAAGTCAGGTACACCCTCATTCATTCTCCTGCCTTCTATTTACTCATGCCGTGCCTCAGGATGAAATGTCTCGAGTTCCTCTACTTCTATCTGCTCGACGAAACAGCCAGCGTGCCGGAATTCTCCATGTCCGACATCCAAACACCCGCAGCGACGCCAGTTCACACCCCCGTAGCCCCTCATCGTTCATACCCTTCCGTCTCAGCAACTTCGGACTCTTCGTACACCACTGCAACTTCCTCGCGCTCCTCTTCAGCATCTTCCGCGTTCTCAGCCTGCTCTGCTTCTACCGCCGCCACATCACGATCACTTCACGAACTAGCTACCTCCCGTAATCCGGACTCATCGAAACCGTCTGCGACACCTCCTTCCATTCCTCCGGCCTCGTCCGTACCAAAATCGGTCATACCAGGCCTGGTCCCCTCACACCGCACCGTTACACCGCCCTCTGGCGCCCATGCCCTCAATGCGCTTGGACGTGGCCAACCCCGCTCGCTGCTTATGCTCCGTAAGGAGGTCGACTTCGTCCCGCTCAGTCCGAAGAAGCCCGAAGTCTCGCACCTAGGACATAAACCAAGCGGTCTGCGTCCAAAGCTCCGCGAGCGCACGAACGTGAGCACGCGTCTCCGCACCGCCGGCGACGTACTTTCTTCAGAGGAGACGGAAAGCGAGGAGCCTGTCGTTCGCAATGTGGCCGTCAGTACGCCTCGCACGCGACTTGGTGCCCATTCACGCGGCTTCTCGGTATCCTCGACTTCCTCGCTCTCCTCGACATCATCCCTCGCCAATGGCGGCGACACTCAGCCATCCACACCCCGTACAAGCCGCGACGACAGCAAGGGCAAGACGCGAGACCTACAAACGCCCAAAACAGCATCCAAGGTCCACCGACGCACACAGAGCCTCGCAGACGTCCTCACCGACTCCCCGTCGCGCATACCGGGAGCGGAGCTTGGCTCGGGCCTGAAGCTAGGCCCGCGGAGCGCGAGCTCGCCCAATGCAGCTGCGGCTACGAAGAACAACGGCCCGCGCACGATGGAGGAGAAGAAGGAGATCCTGGGGAGCATGCTCGGAAACGTGGACGCGCTCGTGGAGGGCGTGCGCAAGGCGGGGATCTGGGGGCTCAGCTGAGCGCCGGGCGTCGAGTGCGGACGAATGGTCAACGTTTACGTTCTATGGGGGCCACAAAGACTATGCAGTCGGACTGGGATTAATATGTGTGGACCGCTCTATGTTTGTATGCTTTCGTCGCGTTGCAATGCTATCGTTATGTTATGTGCCATATTCGACGCCGTTACGCGCGCGTGTGTACCCGACAGGGGTCCCGGGTCCGCCCGACGCCCGAAACTTGAGGCCGAAGCTCGCGCACGACAGGGGAGACGGGCAAAGCATGACAGCGATTAAATTTACAGTATAGACGATACACTGCTTGCTACACGGAGCGGCCCACGACAGGACCCTCCAACACCATAAGATTACGACGATAACCCACGAAAAAGCCCGCGGCCTGCTCTGCTCCCCCCACTGATCGCAAGTCCTGTGTTCCTTTTGCCCGCGAGCTGCTCCTTACATACACAGCCCGCGCTCGCGCCCGCGTGCGTGCGTGTCTACTACATCCGCTCTCCGTACCGACTCGGCCCCGCCATGCGGAAGTCCATGTTCCCGCCGCCCCCACCGCCGCCGCCGCCGCCGTGGAACTGCTGCCGCAGGATCTGGTCCATCATCGCCAGTTCTTCTGCGCTGAAGTCGAGCGGCATCGACTGGCCCAGCGCGCCCACGGTGGGCAGCCCTGATGCCTGCGCCCGCTCTAGACTACGTTGTTGTGACTGCTGCTGCTGTTGTTGAGCTTGTTGTTGCTGATGTCGAGCTTGCTGCTGTTGCTGTGCCTGCTGCTGGGCTTGTTGTTGTGCCTGCTGCTGAGCCTGCTGTTGTGCCTGCTGTTGCTGAGCATGCATGAACGGCGGCGCGTCCAGGTCCGGGAAGCCCGCGTCCGAGCTCACCGGTACCGGCAGCTCGGGGATCCCGAACGCCATGTACGGCCGGTTCGACAGCGGCTGGCCGCCCATGATACCCAGATCCATGCCCGTGAGCCCAAAGTCCATGTCCACATCCTCGGTCATCCCACCCAGCCCCGGACTGCCCAGCGAGTATCCGCCCAGCCCGAGTCCCTGACCCTGGCCCTGGCGACCACCGGTGCTCGGGCCTGCGACGGACGCGGAGGACGTGCTGGTCGCCGAGGTTGGTGAGAGCGAGTAGCCCTCGGCGGGCCCGGGCCAGTCGGAGAGCGGGGTGGAGGGCGATGCGGAGGAGGCGGACGCGGCGCTCGAGTGTGCGAGCGTGGTCGTGTACCGGCACTGGTCGCGCAGGGTGTCGAGGTTCGAGATCGTCGTGTTCAAGTTCAGGATCTCCGTGTCGGGCTGCATGTTCGCGCCTGGGGCGCCGCCGCCGTACTGCGAGTAGTCCGCGTGCTCGGGGAGCGCGGAGGGTGCGGTTTGTGGAAGGAGGTCCTTGGGCTCGAGCGTGCGGAGAAGCAGACGCGGCTTGAGCTGCTCCTGGAGGACAGTGGATAGGATGGTGGCAACGTGGTTCGCGCAGTCAAACGACTTCCCACAGATGAGCAGGTAGCGGATCGACTGCTCGGCCTGCGTGAGCGCACTCGTGAGCGCAACACGCCCGAGCCGCGGGCCGGACGTCGCCTGCACGGCCGAGAGGATGAAGGACGTGCCGGCGCAGAATATGACCTGCATAAGCGTGATCGGCAGGTACCGCACCGAGTACTTCTCGTTCCAGATCCCGAGCAGAAGCATGATGTTGTCCCCGGCGCGGTTGCACAGCTGCGGGGACGTGTGAGCGCGGTTAAGGTAGCGGGAGCGGTGCACACGTACCTTGACATGGTCGATCTCCGGACCTGAACCGCCAGACTTGCGCCGGTAGAACGGTCGATGGAGCAGGAGGAGGAGCCACCAGTAGGTCAAGTGAAGCATCAGTCTATGAGGCAGAGCACTTGGTCGACTGGCAGCTGTGAGGTCAACTTCTGGGGACAACGAATCCTTCCAGTTGTTGAGTTGAATGCTGAGGCATGTCAGAGCACGATCTCCAAATCCACGTAAAAGAAGAACCTACTCCATCTCGCTAACAATCTGCAACGATCCCTCACGCCGCAAACCGGGTCCCAGCGTGTTTCTGCCCGTCTGTCAGTTCCCACCGTACCCGTAAGATCGCGCGCACACTCACACAAAGTCCATGATACGCCGCGCGATGAGCATGAGCTCGCACGTCTTCTCGAACGTACGAACGACGTGACTCGGCTGTGGCGGCATCTTGCACGGCGCCCAGTACCACGGCGCGTGGTCGATCTCGCTGCCGACCCACGGAAGGGGGATCTGGCGATCCTTGCGGGGCGGGAGCACGCAACACTCGCGTCCGACGTAGAGCGACCAGAGCACATCCTGCGAGAAGGTCGCCCAGTATGCCCAGTTGCGGTCCAGCATGTCCTCGTGCGTGATGAGGCCCGACTTCACCCACGGCGAACAGTCGATGTTGAGGCCCACTGTGATAGGTTAGGGGTTACCGAAAAGATGTGAGCACAGTGCACTTACAGGCTTGGCTCATGCGACCGGCCATACCTGTCACAGGTTAGACAAACGTGCTGCGAGAGTGTGAGAGAAAGACCAACCAAAGTAGAGATAGCCCAAACTCTGCTCCCCCGCAGCAGAATGGAACGCCGCAAGGACGCCGAGCGCCGTAATCAGAGGAATGGTGGGGCGTTGACAGTCGGCTTCGATGTAGCTCTTCGCTTTGCGCGCATACATCTTGCGGTAGCGGATGTCCTTGATCAGCGGGTCATCCGAATATGCCGTCGACAACGCTAACACAGAGTTGTGCAGCATTGGACTGTAATGTGCGGATTTCAGGAGAGGGGCGGAAGGTGGGGCGGTCAGCGCGCGGTGCATGTCGCGTAGGAAGAGCTCCGGGACGATTCGGAGGCCCCATGACGAGAAGAACTTGAAGAGGATCTCGAGGAGCCGGTCGTGTTCTGCGCGCGTCAATGGAACCTCTGGCGGGAGGTACCGCGACCAGTCGAAGTACGTCGAAACGGGTACTGTAGCCGGGGCCGGTTCAGGGGAGGCGGAGGCTTTGGAGTCGCTGACCGAAGAGGAGCGCTGCGGGGCAAGGCGGAATACTGAGGTTGGGCCGTGATACTCTAGATCGTTGTCTGACAGCTGCATTGCGAGTTTAGCATGCAATCCGAGGCGGTGAATGTGAGACAAAGTGATCTTGGCGTGACATACTGCGCCCCAGACAGAAAAGCAATAGGATGCGAACGGAAGTGGGACATACCACCAAGTGTCGCGTGGGCGAAATTAGATGATCTATATCGGACTCGTTGTTGGAACTGCCGCCATCGTCGTTGTTGGCCTCATCCGAGCCTGATGCTCGGATGGCGTCGTCGGACACCACCGGACCAGATGTGCTCCCTGTAGCGTCGGACGAGCCAGAGGGGGGAAGGCCGCCGTGGTTGCGCCTACAGTATTCGAGATCGGCCTGGAGATCCTTGACCTTGGCCTCGAGTGCGCGAATGTAGTTCTCTAGGGATTCAAAGTGTTGCTGCGTACGAGCTTTCTTGGCGGTTTCTTTACCCCAAGTGCACTGAATTGCCGTAAGTAGGAGTGGCGGCAAGTGTCAATGGCGGCAAGTATTCATGAATATCGGCAGCACGAAAGAATGCGCAGTTGATTGGCGGGGTCGGCAGAAGACGGGAGACCCAAGAGGACGGAGAGCAGACGATGAGCACAAAGGGTGGCGGAGAAAGCGCTCAGCGCACCTCTGTAGCTCGGCCAGCCTTCTCGCAGGGACCACAGACGGGGGTTCGGCCGTCACATTTGCTTTTCCTGGAGGTGGATGAGATATGCGGGGTAATGCCGCGGGCGGCATGGCGAACCTTTTCCTGCAATGGCTGCAGGCCTGCTTTGCGTAAGTGCCCCGGCCTGATGGAACGATAGAGCCATCAGGTTTTGCACGTTGCTTTCCGGATTCCTTCATGGCGGGTGTGGGAGAGGGGTCGAGCGATAGAGGAGAGTACGGAGAAGGTGCGGAATGGGAGACGAGACGGGGGTGGCGGAGAGAGCAAGCGCAGGCTGAGGGGCATCAAGAGGACTGGACCATGGACCGGGCAGGGAGAGAAAGAGGACTTTGAAGAGACGGAGAGAGGAGCGTGAGTTAATGCGCGAGGGAGTCCGAGGCCGTTCTGGTCCAAAGCTCGCAGTCATTGGCGCACCCGAGCCCCCGCCCGTCCGTTCCGAATCCCGATTCCTCCGCCCAATCAAACCCGATTTCCCTCACTCGTCGCGGCATCCCCCGACCCCCACACCCGAGGCCCAGATCACCGCCACATCCCCACGCGAGCATCCCGAACCTAATCTCGATCCCGTCAAAATTGCCCGGCCCGACCAAGCACCCGCTGACTCTCTGCAATGGGCGCCTACCGTCCTTGACTTCTGTCAAATTCACTACAGGACCTCTTCTCCTCCCGCCTCTGTGCTGCCCCGGTTTCGCTGCTCTGCTCAGCATGGACCGCCACGCCCCTGCAGTATACCCGACGCGCTCCTCGTCGTTTTCCTCGGTCACCGACGGCAAGGAGCTCCCCGGCGATGGCTTCGACTCGGAGAAGGCACCCGTCCCCCTCGACTCGAACTCCGCCCATGAGGCCCACAAGGCCTCGATATGGAAACGGCTCCTGGTCGGAAACGCTAGCGCATCAAATGAGACGAAGCGTGCCATGAAGAGCCGCCATTTGACTATGATCGGTGCGGTTCCGACCACATCTATGATCCATCCGGACCTGTGCTTAAACGCTTGCCTCACCTCCAGCCATTGGCGGAACGATAGGAACGGGCATCTTTCTCAGCGCTGGATCGGTAAGCTAACCCGACCGGGTTTGGACTCCTCACTGCGCAGGCTTCACGACGCTGACAATTTCTCAGGCGATAGCGACCGCAGGCCCAGCAAGTGCCCTTTTTTCCTACTTCGTAGTCGGTGTATTCTGCTATGCCGTAGTCATCTCATTGTAGGCAATCAGTTTCTACCTCTCACTAACTAGTACTCAACCTATCGCAGAGGTGAGATGGCCTCCTACATACCCGTCTCAGGAACCTTCGCCGTCTTCGGAACCCGCTTTGTCTCCCCCGCACTTGGCTTCACATTAGGTATGCTCGGCCACTCTAACCGTCGGTGTCCCGCTCACCATGCTCCTCAGGGTGGAACTACTGGCTTCAATGGTGCGACAGTTCTCTCACTCGCAGCCGTCGCTATTACTTATGTCGGAAATTCCCCACCTTGCAGGAGCTTATCTATACGTGCGTTCACACGGCCGTCTTCCCCGCACATAGTCTAATTCTCACATGCTTCTTCAGCGAGCGAGTTGACGGCAGCAGCAGTTATCCTCCAGGTGTGAAACATCACGCTGTCTTGCTACCGCCCTTTGACTCACTTGGCTCCAAACAGTATTGGGACTCGCGGATAACAGCGTGGCAATGGGCTCTCGTTATCGTCCTCCCGATATTCGTCATGCAGCTCATCCACGTGCGCGTATACGGTGCGACCCCACAATCCCCCTTCTGTAATTAGCGCGTACTCACGGTTTGACATGTGCTAGGCGAGTCTGAATACTGGTTTGCCATGATCAAGGTCCTCATGATCATCGTCTTTATCTTCGTCGGCCTTATCTTCGACTGGGGAGGCGTCCATGGTCATCCCGGACCGGTACGTCACTGCTACCGCTCAATGTCCTCGCATCGCACTCACCCATGCGGTACCTGTGTACGTGTTCGCGTAATTGCAGGGGCTTTCCAACTTCCAAGGCGGTCAGGCATTCGTTGGTGGTTTCAGCGCGTTCGCACAGACGTTTGTGTTCGCGTTCTACTCGTACGGCGGAGTGGAGCTCGTCTCGCTTGCTGCTGGAGAGAGCGCGAGCCCGCACAAATCCGTCCCGCGTGCGATTCGCGCGACGTTCTTCCGGATTGTCATCTTCTACATCCTCACCATCCTGACGATCGGCTTGAACATCAACTACCAGGATCCGACCCTCCTCACAGCCGCTTTTGGTGCGATCATTCCTCACGCTTCTCACCACAGTACTGACCGCATCATGTAGACTCAAGTGTCGCCGCGTCTCCCCTTACCGTCGTCTTCCAACGCGCAGGCTTTGGTGCTGCTGCCCATGTGATCAACGCGGTCCTTCTCACCGCGGTCCTCTCCGCGACGAACTCGTGCTTCTACGCGAGCTCGCGCATGCTGCTCTCCATGGCACGCGCAGGTCATGCGCCCCGCGTCTTCGGCTGGGTAAACGGCCGCGGTGTCCCCGTCCCCGCTCTTCTGTGAGTCGTGCCTTTCCCCATGGCCCGAAAAGGCACTCACCCTGCCAATAGGCTCTCGCTCGCCGTGTCCTTCGTCACGTTCCTGTCAACCATCTGGGGCGAGGGCGTCGTCTTCACCTGGCTGCTCAACCTCACCGGCATGTCCTCCCTGCTCGTCTGGGGCACCATCGGGGTCATCTCCATCCGCTTCCGCCGCGCATGGACCGCCCAGGGCCGTGCGCTCGCAGACCTACCCTACCAGCAGCCGCTGTACCCCATCCTCCCGATCGCGACCGTCATCCTCGCGGTGCTCATGTTCGCCGCGCAAGGGTACTCGGCCGTCGTCGCGGAGCCGTTCAGCCCGCAGAACGTCGTCGCGACGTACATCGGGCTCGCGATCTACATCGTCTGCTACGTCGGCTACTGGGTGTATGACCGCTTCTGGCTGGGCAACAGGGTGCACCTCGTGCCGCTGATGGAGGTGGATTTGGATACGGACGCGGTGTGGGGGCAGGGCGGGGGCGCGCGGATGCGCGAGAAGGAGGCGGCGGAGCGCGCGCAGCGCGATGAGGACGACGTCGCGGAGGGGAAGCGCACGAAGGTGCTGCTGAGGCGCATTGGGCGGCATATGCTCTGAGCGCGCCGTGACCCGGGCTAGCGCCGTCATGCTCCTCCTCTGAGGCGGCAGTCGAGCGGTCGGACGCCTTCTCTCCGGGGGTTTTCTTGCTTCAGATGCTTATATTTCTTGGGGCAGTGACAAATGCGATCTTGTGATGAAATGAGAATTAAAGGTAAACTATGTATCGGGCGCTGCTGAGCCCGGTCAAAACCCATTGTAGCGTATTATATACTAGATCATGTAGCGCCGCTTCGACGCGCGCCCACGATGCGCCGTGATACCCATTATTACGATCTGCTCATGTTTAAAGCATGTATGTAAGTTGTACACAGTCTCAGACTCGTCCAGTCATTGATGAGTGCATATTCGAGCTAAGATGCCGCTCCCCGAAAAGGAAGGTCGCCTTCCTATTCTGGTGAGGTGGTTCCTGTCCACGAGGTGGTCGTTTCGACGCTCAGAGCCGCGTGTCCATATCATCGTCCGGCGCCCATATTGCTTTGCGATACATTGCTTGTCTTCTTACTTCTATCCTCCGGTCGTCCACCTCCAGTGAACGATACCACATGGCACTTGTCTATCATTAATAGGAAGCCTCTCGGACTTCCCCATGGCCCGGATCGTACAAGCTTCGTTTCTCACCATCGTCAGCACGCGTGGCAGAAGTGGATAATGCAGCAACCTCATGAGCCCTCTTCCCCGATATCTTCATCTCTTCAAACATAACTATGAGAGTGCCAAGACCTCGTATGTGCCGTGTAACGCCTTTTTCGCTTGTCGTCGGCCGTTCGCCGTACCTTCTCTCTCCCTCCAGACAGGCATGGCTCACACGGTCTTTGGTGCGTAGTTCAGCAAAACTGCCAGGGCGTCTTCTCAACTTATTCAAAAAGTCTCTAGGTACCATTTCATTTCGTTGACGCCTTGAACTGGGCGTCACCATTTGAAATGCATGAGTATAGAACATCCGAGCTGCAGGAGGGCGGCGCTACCCAATGAATGAATGGTTCGAACGACACGCAAGCCACTGGCTGAGTAAAGCCCCGTCCTTCAAATGTTCGCTTGACGCTCAGGCTCAGGTGAGATTTCAATCGACTCGGTGCCCGAACTTTCTTACAGTCTTTAGCCGATCGGAGGCTGTCGAGTGTGTATATATACATGCACATGGCCTCCTTGGACGGTAGGTCCACATCTCTGAGTACCTCTAGCAAAGCTTCTCCTCGCATTCCTCGCCTCGATCATGTCCAGGCTTGTTTTCTCTCTACTTGCTACCCTCCTATCTGTCGCCGTCGCGGCGCCGTCCGCACCTGGCTGGCGATTCGACCTCAAGGCGGAGCGCTCGGGCATCGTCGCTCTCGAGTCCATTGTTGTCTCGCCAACGCTCGTCGTGTTCTTCGACCGCGCCTCCAACGACCCGTTGCAGATCAACAACCATTCTGCGTGGGGCGCTCTTTGGGACCTCGAGACCAGTACGGTCAAGCCGCTCGATGTCCTCACGAACTCGTTCTGCGCAAGCGGTGCCCTTTTGAGCAACGGGACCATGGTTAGCCCACTTCATTTTCATGGTAGGCCCCGCTCACGATGCATTGCTTGTACTAGGCCAGTCTTGGAGGCGACCCGAACGGCTTCCCCGGTAACCCAGACATCAGACCCGGTACTCAAGCCATCCGGATTTTTGAGCCCTGCGCCTCTCCATCCGGTGAAGGCTGCACGCTCTTCGAGGACCCCGTCAACCTGCACCTTCAGGAGCCCCGTTGGTACCCGTCGTCCATTCGCATCTTCGACGGCAGCCTCCTCATTGTTGGCGGCATGCACGAGGACACGCCGTTCTACAACACCGACCCTGCGCTGAGCTTCGAGTTCTTCCCGCCCAAGGAGAGCGCGCCGCGGCCGTCCGAATTCCTGAAGCGATCCCTCCCTGCGAACCTGTTCCCGCGGTGCGTGCGCTTTCTCCCACTGCTCCACGTGCTCCTCCCGCTGATAGCAGTATTCGTCTGTCAGTATCTTCGCACTGCCGGACGGCAAGGTGTTCATGGTGGCCAACAACCAGTCCATCATTTACGACATCGAGGCGAACACGGAGAGGATCCTCCCCGACATCCCGAACAACGTGCGCGTCACGAACCCCATCGACGGCTCCGCCATCCTCCTCCCACTCTCCCCGCCCGACTACGTCCCCGAAGTCCTCGTCTGCGGAGGCACCCAGACCGACCCCATCGACCCCCTCCTGCTGTCCTCGCAGACCCCCGCGACCACTCAATGCTCGCGCATCACGCTCACCGAAGAGGGCATCGCGAAGGGCTGGGAGGTCGAGCACATGCTCGAGCCCCGCACGATGCCCGAGCTCGTGCACCTCCCGAACGGCCAGGTGCTCATCGCGAACGGCGCCCGCTCCGGGTTCGCCGCGATTCACCAAGTACAGGACCCGATCGGGAACTCAAACTCGGACCACGCCGTGCTCACCCCGTCCCTGTACACGCCCAACGCGCCACTCGGGCAGCGTATCAGCAACGCGGGCATGCCGGACTCGGGCATCGCGCGCGTGTACCACTCGAGCATCACGCTCACGCCGCAGGGCAACTTCCTCATTGCGGGCAGCAACCCGAACGGTAACGTGACGGTCGGGCCTGGTATCAAGTTCCCGAGTGAATTCAGGGTGCAGACGCTGGACCCGCCGTTCATGTTCGTCGAGCGACCGAAGATCCTGAACACGCCCGCGAAGCTCGCGTTCAACAATAAGTTCACTGTCCCCATCTCGATCCCGTCCAACCTCGCGCGTCCGGGCGCGAAGGTCCAAGGTAATCATCTCATCACCTTGCATACAATGGCAAATATACTCATTGACTTGACACACAGTCTCGCTCATGGACCTCGGGTTCTCGAGCCATGCGTTCCACTCGAGCGCGCGCCTGGTCTTCATGAACGCAACCATCTCGCGCGACCAGAAGTCGCTCACGTTCACCACGCCCCCCAACGGCCGCATCTTCCCGCCGGGCCCAGCGACCGTCTTCCTCACTATCGACGACGTGACGAGCGAGGGCGCGTGGGTGATGATGGGCAGCGGGCGGTCGCCGCCGACTCTGGAGTGAGCGGGCTTAGGCACAATACTTATGTACTTGGAGGTTACTGGACAAGCTAGTCATGACAATAAGCACTATCGTGTTTACGAAGATACAGCAGTTGGAGGCGTACACACATGAAGACTCACGACCTACTTCTCGCTGTATGCATGCGTCTCGGCCGCAAACTTTACTAACTTCTTGTCCGCCTCTGAGTCGACATGTTATAGCCAGGTGAAACTAACCCAGAGTTCGTCGATTGGAGTCCTGGAAGAGCTTCTTAGCCAAGTCATTTCATACACGATGATCATCTCTCCGTCGGCCGATCCTTGACTAATCAGCACATTTAGTATTCTGTTACCCCCGACGATGCGATCCCTAGACATCCTCGCCCCACAAAGCATCATTCCTACCGATCAACCAAATGTCAAGACCATGTCATGAGTTCACCGAGCATAGTAGTACGGAGGAGGGTTCCCTTCGAATTCGTCGTCTTCGTGCAATAGAAGTGCGTGGTTGGACGTGGATATGAAGCTGGGCTGTATATCAGATCTCGGCGAAGACACCCCGGATGTCTGCGGCGTAGGCTCCGATGCGGGTGCTTGAGGCCTGGGCGTCAAGACGGCCTCTTGCTGGTGTGCCGAAGCCAACGGAAGCGCGGGCACGACGGAAGATGCAAGCGGGGAGGCTGTTTCTTCCTTGCGCACGTCGGGCGCTGGGGAGGAGAGAGGGACCTGTGCGTCCTGCACGGAGAAACGCGGTCTGTGTCCGGCAGACGATGGCGGACTCGGATTCATCAAGCCATCTTCTACGCCTGTCACCACGTATCAGGACTTATGAAGCCGCAGGATTCACGATCGCGCCGACTTCGCACTCACCGTCTTCGTGAGGCACTTGTTGTGCCCGAGTTAGTTTGTGCTTGATGAGGTAGTAAAAGCCCAGCGCCACTAGGAGAATGACTGCCACTGCTCCGCCCACCGCTCCCCCTACGATTGCTGCAAGATGTTGCGGACGGGTTGATGCGGAGCTCACGCTGCCAGCCAATGGCCTTTCCGAGGCTTCAGAGACCAATGTCGGCGTAGAAGAAGAACCACTAGATGATGGCGTAGTGGAAGAAGTAGAAGAAAGTCCGAGGGCGGTGGAAGAGGAGGAGGAAAAGAAAGAGGTATTGGAGGTAGCGTTCGAGGTCGAAAGAGCGGAGACAGGGGATGGGGCTGCGGAGGTGGATTTTGCAGAGGAAGTGGACAGGATAGAGGATGGTATGGTGGTAGAAGGCGAGGATGGAGGAGTAGCAGTAACAGATGATATTGCGAGAGTTGAGCGAGTTGAGGAAGTAACTGGAGGCACTGCACTAGATCTACGGAAGATGAGAAACCTGTTCAGGACGCATGTGGAGAGTTTGAGACGTACGTGGTGGATTGTGGAACATCTGCGGTAGTAGTGTCTGAAGAGATGTACCAGAAGCGATCAAGGCATAGTGTATTCGGCACGGTCCCGTTCATGTTTGTGAGCACGATAGTATGCACGCCGGGAGTGAGCGAGAGCGAGGTGAAGAATGTAACGTTGAAATATACAGTGTCCGGCGACGCGGTGAGGTCACTTCGGATGCCGTAGGATGTACCGTCGATGACGTATGACTCCGATGGCCATCCGTACCGGCTGGTGTCCCCGCTACAGCCCATGACACCAACCAAAGTACCTGTACATGAGTAAGGTCAGTGACGAGCTGAGGGAACTCAGACGGTGACAGCTTGGATGAGGGAAGGGTTACCTGTGAATGTTAACGTGGCCGTCAACCCCTGGTCCAATGCGTAGGACAAGGTGCTGTCATATGCACCCCCATTCTCTCCCCTAGTCCAGCCGTTGGAATATTGGATACGAGGATCGCGATCGTCGACGTCGACACGAGCACCTGAAGCACTCATTGGAGGGCGGTCTGGTAACAGTAGAGGGAGAGAACTGGAAAATCAGTGCGAGTCTGAGATGAGTGCCTTGGTAGAACGGTGAGTTGGGGGAGAAGACCAAGTGTCGGGACCATCAGTTCACTGAGCGCACCGTGTGTTTATATCACCCTGGACCAAAACGATGATACCCGCCTTAGGATCAATCTGTCGTACATAGTTTGGCACAAAACTTGCCAGATCGCTGAGCTATTAGTAGCACAACTTCTTCCGACTAGGAGACATGTTTTGGCCCGAGGGTACTTACTAAGAACAACAGGCTGGGGCGCAGGGGTACTGGCACGCTCAATTGTAGACCGTAGACGTGAGCACCACGCTGTCCTGCGCAGTGCGCCAAATGAGAGAACAAGCTACGAAAGATTAGTAGGCAACACGCCAAACTTCCGGTGATAGCGTTCGTTGAAGAAGCTCTGCGGAGATTTGACGGCTTATTCCTGATGTAATATCGTCCTTCTCAAACCTAGTTAGGGTGTTACTAAAATAGACCGGCATGAACCCAGCTGAGTGTTGCATACCTACAACTGGGTGAACAAACACAACCATGGCGATTGAGGCTCTGGGGCCGCGGCACCGGTCTTGAGTAATGATATGTTGACGAATTGATCAGGCCGCACTTAGATACATGTCCGGGTGGATGAGAGCGTGAGTATCTGACGTACCAGATGAAGTGCCGCATCCTCAAATGTTTTGAATACGTGTGCAGCGACTCCTAACGACTCAGAGGCGCGATTACATCGTGGTTGAGATCAGAGATATTCCAAAGCACTTAAGCGCCCGTTCGCGCTATGGATTGATCTGCACCGCCGCGAAGTTAGGGCGGTACGCAGCCGAACGCACACTTTTTGCCGTCTTCTCGTTGAGCTTACGATGTCTCGGCGTTCATCAGCGCAAGCTGCAACTCCTTCAAATTGCATGACCGACTCAAACAGTACCCTATCTAGGTGAGCATGGAACGACAGCCTGAGTATGATAACTTTAGACTGGAACAACCATGATGTCCGCCTGGACACCGATCTGGCCGTGACCCGCTCTTTCGTCATTCGAGCTCGAGATGGGAGCCGCTCGTCCCAAGTGAAGCTTCTTCATGCATCATGCATCATGCACATGTCTGACTCGGAGCCGCCGCCTGAAAAAGTGTCATACGGCCCCGGGCGAACCTCGCACGGGCTCCGTAGTACCAACAAGGCCCATCCAACTTCCGTCAAATATGGCAGCCACTCCTACAGTAGACGATTCGTATTCAGCGCTCTGGTCGCCGTAGACGCACTTGCTGCTCCCCGAGGTAGGGCCGAGGATAGCCGTTATTCAGCAACCGTCTGTACGCCTCCATCTTCGGCTTCAGCTTCACAAACTCAAACCGCCCATGTACTTCCACAAATTCCCTCCTACGCACGCATTGTGAAGCTCCAGCGGGTTCGCGCGGCGCGCGAATTACGCCCTGTACAGTTCGTCTAGCATGACAAGATCCGACGCGCTCCTGCAGTTGATGAACCCATAGTCCGCGTGCATGGCCCGGTGCGGAAGAATCGGAGGCGTGCCTGGTTCCGCGCATAGAAACTGGTCGATGTACTGCTTCAAGTACCACACGGTCTTGAACCGGCGCGGACTCTCGGCCATGACGTCCCGGAAGAGCGCGTGTGTGGTGTCGTCCATACCAGCCATGCTCACCCTGTGCTCCTCCGCCAGCTTCAGGATGGAAGAGGTCCCGTACGCGGTCGAGAACTCGTTGAACGTGCAGTGTTCAAAGATAAGCTCGCCGTACATCTGGCTGATCGGCACCTCGTTCTCCTGTTTCATTGCGGCCACGTACCCGAAGGTGACCCACTGCTCCTCCTGCGGCGAAGGGTACACGTTGAGCGTCGAGCGCTGGTAGAACTTGAGGCACGCTTGATCGCGGCACGTCAAAGCCTGGGTTTTCGCAGCTATCGTCTCCAGGCTATCGTCGGGGGACCCGCCCGCCATGACCCACGCCTTCCGGGTGGCGGCCATTGCAGCGCGCATTGTGGCCTCGTGCGGTTCCGTGACGTCCAGGGGAGATCCGTCCAGGATGTGCTGGTGCTCAAGAAACCACGCAAAGTACGGACCCTGTCCCTGATGCGGAACGTGCTCGAACGCCGCCTTGATTCGCTTCACCATTGTGCCCTCCGCCAGCCACTTCTGCAACTCCTTCTCGGAGACGTCGAGGTAACGGAGCACGTACGTCCACAACCCGAGTAGCATCTTCTGCGCGTCGTCACCCACGAGGTTCTCCGCCTTCTCGAAGCCAAAGTCCTTTCGCGTCTGCATGTGTACGGGGATGAGGGTGGTCCGACACCCACGCGAGAGATAATATGCGGTAGCGATAGGTCGCTTGGGGTCGCAGTCGAAGATGTGGTCCCGCCAGTGTTTCTTCTGGCAGGCCTTGCTGCAGTACCACGTCGTCTCGCACCCCACGCAGTGTTTGAGGTCTGAGGCGGGTTTCTGTTCATAGCAGGCGTCACAGCGAGGTGGCCGCGGCATCATGATGGCTGCGACACCGCTGTAGTGAGCCGCGAGCTACTTGGACGTCAAGCATCAACAATTCAGAAGGCTCACAGTTTGTTGTCGTCCTGAGGGGAAGGAGCTTGGTGGCGGTACGTTACAAAAAGGGATTTTGGCGACGACTCGCGGTCTGCCCTCAGCCAGGTCGAGCCTGTCAAGAGCTGTCAAGGGTGCTTCTATTCGTATGTCATGAACCTTATCGTCATATCCTACCTCCTGGAACAATATAGCGACGCATATATGCACATATTTTTCTGCTAGACGATTCAAAAATGCATAGAGAACGCCGATTCTAGCGAGAGCCTCGACGGGCTCCTCGCCGCCTTCGTGGGGCGCTGTCCAGCTCCGTTGAACGAGACTACAGAACACGAATACTAGGCAGGCCTCGATGAGTTCCATATCACTTATCGCAACGGCGCATGCGCACCTGATTTGAACATGTTACAGACCATGGAACTCGTACTAGCGCCGCAGAACTAGTGCCCTTGAATCACTGATAGTCAAACCTACAAAAGCAGACCCTGGTCAGTCCTTGGTGTACTGTAAAGATGCAAGCAACGCCCAACGCCTCATTTACCTTCTAACTCCCCAGCCAACGGTGCTGAATGGCCGTTCCTCAGCAGGCGCTTGTACGTCTTTGTCTTCGGCTTGAGTTTCGCCAAGCCACCCACGTACTCCGCCAGCGCACCTGCAGCGCACGCATTGTGGAGATCCAGCGGGTTCGCGTCCGGGTACGCAAAGTACTTCGTGTACAACTCGTCCAGCAGCTTCTGCTCCAAGGCGTCCCTGCAGTTCGCGAACCCGTAGTCTGCGCGGGCGCCCCGGTTCGCGAGTACCGGAGGTTCGGAGGGATCCACGACCCGAAGTTGGTCGATGTACTGCTTGAGGTACCAGACAGTCTTGAACTCGCGCGGGGAAGCGGTCATGACATCGCGGAAGAAGGACTTCGCGGAGCTGGAAAGCGGGCAAGGCAGGTTCACTTCGTGCTCCTCGCCCAGCTTGATTAGGGAGGACGTCTGGTACGCGGCGGCGAATGCGTCAAATGTGCAGCGGTTGACGAGCCTGGCGTACCACCGGCCGATCCAGTACTCGTCCTCCCGGTCCATACCCGCGACAAACCCGAATACGAGCCATGATGAGAACTCCGGCCGGGGGTGCACCCCGTGAGCGACGAGCGCGTAGAAGTCGTGGCACTCCTGAACATGGCACGGCAGGGCCTTGATCTTGGCTCTGATGGTCTTGAAGTCATCGTCGGGCGATCCGCCCGCCTTGATCCACGCCTTGCGAGTGGCTTCTTCGACTGAACGTGTCCCGAACTCATTGGCTTGCGCCTTGTCTACTGGAGAGCCGTCAAGAAGGTCAAGGTGGTCGAGGAACCACGCGTAGCAGGCGTCACGTAAGTCGCTCTTCGGGAGTCGCATAAGCGTCGTCTTGATCCCTTCGACGAGTGAGCCTTTCGCCTGCCAGGCCTGTATATCCCTCTCAGACGCCTTTGCGAAGTCGTACACAACGGTCCACATTCTCAGTAAGTCGCCCTGCACGGAAGAAGGTAGGAGAGACTCGGCCTTAGCGAAGCCGAAATCCTCCCTCGTCTGGGAGTGCACGGGAGGAAGGCCCTCACGACAGGCCTGAGAGAGGTAGTATGCGGTAGGGATGGGACGGTCGAGTTTGCAGACGAAGATGTGGCGGGGCCAGTCCGCCTTCTGGCACTTCTTGCTGCAGTACCACACCTTCTTGCACGCGGAGCAGCACTTGAGCTCTGAAGCGGGCACATTGCCGCAAGAGTTGTCGCAGTCGCAAGACTTCTCACAGCGAGACGGCCGTGGTGCCATGTTTTCTGCGGGCCGGTCAGTCTCTCGAAACACCAAAACAGCCGCCTGAACTTTCAAGCTCACCGTTTCTTGTCGCGTGTGCAAAGACTCGACAAGGCGTATACCGTAGCAACGAGGTGTGGGCGACTTCCAGGAGCGAGGGTCCCGAATGTCATAGATTTATCACGTCGACGTTTAGCCGCGTTTTTCTGCAGGGCTGCGTGCGGCGAAGACAACATTGACAACTGCGCATGTTTGTCCATCCACCTTCTCCGAACATTCGACGGAGCACGATGTACGCTCTAGATCTCCGTGGGTTACAGCTGGAAGGTGAACAATCCTGACCCTACCACGTAGCAGCAGCTGGTAGGGGAATACCATAGCGAGACTAGCGGCAGTAAACAACCTTCTGACGGTGTTTACGGCGTGTCAACGGGCGAGAAAAAATATTCAATGTGTTGGCGGTCCACGCCACGCCCCCTCAGGAATCTCCTGGTGCTTCTAGTGCCGCATAGACGGGCGGAGGTGTATATGTGGCTCCCGTCGACCCTACGACTGCGCCCGCGCTGGCGTCAAGTCTAGAAATCTGCGACTATGATCGAAGTTTGACGAGGAAAATGAAAGAAGATACCTTCGCTCTCTCGTGCAGAGAAGCAGACGGAAGATCCGAAGAACGAGCTCGAGGATGGGAAAGCCGGTAGAGCATGCCAAGACGTCGTAGAACCCTCTCCAGTCAAAGTTGTTCTTACGATGCTCGTCGTTCAGACATAGATGACCCAGAAACTCCCAGAACAAATCCAAGAAATAATACCCGTGTGGTGTAGTCAAGCGCAAGTTATGTCGACAGCCAGGGCGCTGGAGTTTGGTTGGAGTGGTGGACGTAGAGCGGACGAGACGTTGGGCGCCAAAATGCTGTTCAAGACATACGGAAGAGCGGTCCGCGTCTCCGAGCACCGCGACGCCACAAGGCAGCTCGCCCAAAAAGTGTTTGTTCTCCTCCTCCCACCTCGACGACCAGCTCATTTGTGTGGGACCCGCTCGACGCCGGAAGCTTGATCTTGAAGGCTGCATGGAAAAGGATATTCACTACGGACTGTGCTCGCCTAGGCCTCAGGAGGGTTCTTATTGTGCTTCCTGCTGGTCACTGCCATGCGTCGCTATGCACTGAACTGCGCGACTCGACCAACAAAACACTGTCTCCTTCGTCCCACGCTGACTAAGCCCTTTATGTTCCTGGAATATCAAAGGGAATCAGCAAACACTAAGATGTTTTATTCGCTGAGCAGGTCGCTACGCTCGTATAAAGAGCTCAAGCCCAAACGTCGACCAGCAGCATTGATTCCGTCTAGCATCGGCCATGGATACTCACAGCGTCACATTGAAGTCCATCGACGGCTGTACAGGCCGCCTCTTCACGGCACCAACCGTCTTCGACGGCAAGCCAGTCGCGCTCGGGCGCAACCACGCCTCCTGGTTCCTCGTCTTCCAGCATCCTAATGGGACGAAGTTGACGCGCGCCGTCATGTGCCTCAACTTCATCCCTCCCGACGCCCCGCAAAGTGCCTCCAACGACGTCCTCGGTATCGCCTCCCCGCCGCGACACTTCACCATCGGAGGCACGCAAGGCCTGGAGGTGTTCAACATACTCCACAAACTGCGCGACCGCGCAGGGCGGAGGCCGATCAAGGTCGTCGAAATGTACGAGGGCGTACGCAAGGACACGATGATGCTTCGGGCGGTCGTACAGGTGACCATACCGGAGGAAGAACTCATCCGCGTGTGCGCGCGGTGCGGCCGGTGGGAGGCTACGTCCCGCCCGCGCTTCAGACGCTGCGGGAGGTGCAAGAGCAACTACTACTGCTCGGAACAGGTACGCCTGCGGGACCGCGACTTGTTGAGATGCATTGCTGACCTCCGCATAGTGTCAGAAGGATGATTGGAAGCCCGGCTACCACAGGGACGAGTGTCCTCTCCTAGGGAAGGGCAAGACATACGAAGCCGAGCGTCTCCGTAACCTCCACGACAACGGGTGGTGGTTTAACCATGGCGCTCTCGGTACGTATCACTAACCATTGCACAGACGGTGACTTTCTGACGAGACGCGCTCGTGCTTGTAGGCCCTGAGAACCTGACCGGACTCGACGAACGCAAGCGCGCTATCGACGACCGCGACAAGGATGCCCTCGTGTTTGGACGCCGCACGCCTCCTCGCGACGTCCCTATACCTCCGAAGCAGCCGCTACCGGGTTCCCAGGCTACCGCCGACAACGCTGCCGAGGACGCGAGCTCTCAGGGAAATGCTCCCGGCAGTCCTAGCGAAGGTACCAATGAGGATGACGATTTTCCTCACCCACTGACCGCTGCCGACTTCCCCCCGCTGCCGCCTCTACCCCCCAGCGCCGGGTTCGTGCCGACCGGAGACCCCTTCGTGGACGAGAAACTACTCAAGCGGCATCTCCAGAACAACCTGACCACCACTGAGAGGCTGGAGCTCAGGCTGCTCTTCGCCCTTCGCGCCGAAGTGTGGCTCACGCGGCGGCAGCTCGCGAGCGACCGGTGGCTGGAGGCGCATGGAAGAGACTGGGAGGAGGGCGGCGGGGATGATTCGGGCGATGAGAGTGCGGGCAGCATGCCCTCCATGCCCAGTGTGTCTGAGTCCGACTCCTCCGATGACGGCCCCTGGTACAACGAGAGCGATGATGAGGATGAGGCTCCATCCGACAGTGAGGACGGCGAGGGTGCAGTTTGAGTTTCAATAGTGTGGGCTCTGTCGGCTCTGTCTGTATACTACTACTTCTGTACTTGTTGCGTTATAAACCAAATAGAGAATTGATGTCCACGATGTGCCCAGCACAGACTCCTGCCTTTCCGGCATTTCCCGACACTGACTTCATTGAGACACGGTCGTCACTGCAGGAGACGCCCGTGATGCATGCTTGGACTTGTACTACCACCACCTACGTTCGGCGACTCGCATCCAGAATGTGAACTCAAGACTAAAATGGGTTTGGGTCATCTTTTAAACAAGTACTCATGCTATACCTTCGTCTGCACGACCGACGTAGACCTACGAGGATGCTTACATGGACTACCGCAGCATTTAGGTTGGCTTGAGACGCGCGCGAACTCGCCATTGACATGAACCTTAGCACGTATTCCCTCCTTGTCGACAACCCTCGCTACGACTGGCTTCTTCTCCGCAAGCCCTAGCACCGTATCTCGGGCAGCTGTCCACACCGCATCGCCCTTGCCTTGCCCCTCAGGCTCGCTCCAGGTGGGTACGCTCTTGAAGGCCACATCGACCTGACGCTCACTTCGAGGTTGGGGTCTGCTTCATATATAATTCCATCAGATGGAACCGATGAGCGAGTGTCCGTGGTGCGAAATGCCGGCAAGGAAACTCAGGCGTTGCTCTCGATGCAAGAAGGCTACTTATTGCAGCGAGAAATGTCAGAAGGAAGCTTGGCCCTCTCATATCTTCAAGTGCCTTCCCGGTCAGCCTATCAACACCGCCTACCGCCTCTATAAAGCGTGCCTAGGAGACCAGATACCCACGGACGAGGAAACGAGAGAGGACTATGGGTTCGCGAAGGCTGCACGCACTATGGGCGGGACATCTGGGAACATGCTCTGCGGATTGTTCAAAGGACTTTTCCTCTACATCTCGATCCCGCCGAAGGAGGTGCATCAGTGGAGGTTGGAGGGCCGGCTCGTGCAGGGAATCAAGGACGCGTTCGAAACCATCCCCCCAACTAATAGAGGCGGATACTACCCCTGGTTTCTGGAACACCAGTCCGTCTTGGAGGCTGAGGTCGCCGACGATGAGCTCATCCTTGACCATGCATCGAACATCACCCGCACCGCCTGGATCATGACCGGCGGATCTCCCAGAGATAGCCTCAACGTCATCGACACCAAAATCCGCGGTCTGCCCCTGTCGCGACAGACCTGCCACATCCTCTACCGAGGCCTTTCAGCCGGCGGACACCCCAATCCAATCCAAGACGAGTGGATCGACTTCGGCTTCGTTGCCACTTTTAACAGCACGGAGGAGCGCGACCTCGGTGTGGCATACTTGGCGCTCATCAGAGTCTGCACATTCGAGGAATTCTGCACCGCGCATGAGTCCTCCTCGATCCCGGCTCTCTTCGAGCGCTATGGTCTGCAGTGCACTCGGAACTTCCGCGACGTCATGGCCCACTCACCGTACACGCGCAAGTCCGCCTGGAACCTGAAGCACTACGTGGACCAGCTCAATGACGGGGCTCCGAAGGACGATGCTTCTCGGGCTACCCCGGTGCTGATTCCTTCCGTGACCGCTGACTACGGGTACATGAACTGTCGAAAGGACGGGGACACAAAACTGCTGGACACCGCGTACAAGCGCTACTTTGCCCATCCTCGAGCGGATCCTATCGCCCTCCATGAAGCCTGCATTCACGGAAACCTCCTCACGTATCTCACACCCTTCGCACACTGGAAGGCCTCCCAGAAGAAGGCTTATACTCGCCTGTTGAAGAACCCGTATCCGCTTCCGCAGCCTTTTGAGTACGCTGGTGCGCATGTTCTGTCAGCTTCGTTTTGTTCTTTATTTTGCTGACTGCTTCGCGCTTCTCAGGCATAACATGTAACGGAAACGTTACCATCTACCTCGGCGGCCCCCCAGGCCCTGACACAGCTTCGACGTCGACGGCTTGATTTTTCAATCAGTCCACACTATACATGGTGTCCTCAGTCGTCTACGCGGGCTCGCTTCCTCGTGCCGCTGGTGACCAAGTTCTGGAGAAGCTGGAGTAGTAGGAGAAGGTTTTTTGATCAGTCAGCACGGGCGGGCTTGGCATGAGGCGTCGATGTCGGGCTCGGGCGGCAGAAGGATCGACGCTGCTGCAAGATGCAGCCGCCGAAGACGGTCTGATTGGTACGCTTCGCACATTATGGCCTTTGACTCGCTCCCGCACGACTCCTCAATATATACGCGCGTGTAGCGCTGTGTCCTCAGTGGCTGCTGCGCCCGATCGGAGTCATATGCATTCCTTCTTCCCAGACCGTCCTGAATAGGCATTGGGTGAGAGCTGGGAGTACGTTCACGCCTACGCTGACACATAGAATCGACGGTTCCGTTCCCGAAGACGTTCAGGCGGCGACGCCTCGGACACTCTGTAAAGTCTTGGGTGTCGAAGGTATAAAGGCCCACTGAGTAGCGACGCAATTTGCCACACAATCTCACTGCTCGCCGCCCCTCTCTAACTATACACTTCTTTCAGATCGTACACAGATATCATGGCTCTCTACGGCGCACCCCCAGAACCTGCCACCCTCCTGGGCCACTACCGCAAGCTCGCGCCACGCGCCGCAATCCACGTCTCCCCACTCTGCCTTGGAGGCATGAGCATCGGCGACGGGTGGTCGAACCACGGGATGGGCTCCATGGACAAGGCGTCCTCGTTCCGCCTACTCGACGCCTACTTCGACGCCGGCGGGAACTTCATAGACACCGCGAACATGTAGTAAGTATCATGGTCTTGAATAGAAAACGGTTCTCACTCACAGCTCCGGTTTAGCCAGGACGGCTCGTCTGAGAAGTTCATCGGGGAGTGGCAGGAGCAGCGGGGCATCCGCGACCAGCTCATCATTGCCACGAAGGTCAGACACCCTGGTGATCTCAATGAGTCGTGGCGCTGACACTTCGCCTCATCGTAGTACACAAATAACCCATTTCGAGGGGTAGACGCGATCGCGCAGAAAGTTAACTACGTCGGCAACAACATTAAATCGCTCAAGCTCTCCGTGGACGAGAGCCTCAAGCGGCTCCGCACGGACTACATCGACATCCTCTACGTCCACTTCTGGGACCAAGAGACCGACGTCGAAGAGCTCATGGACGGCCTCCACACCCTCGTCCTCTCTGGCAAAGTCCTCTACATTGTACGCCCCGCTCTCACACGCCCCTTTCCCCGTCTGTCTCCCACTAACCTACCCCCAGGGCGTCTCGGACTTTCCCGCCTGGCTCGTCGTCAAAGCGAACGCCTACGCACGCTTCCACAACCGCACGCCCTTCGCGATCTTCCAAGCCGCCTACTCCGTGCTCGCGCGCGACATCGAGCGCGAGATCCTGCCCATGTGCCGCCACGAGGGCCTCGCGCTCGCCGTCTTCGGCGTGCTCGCGTCCGGGCACATCCGCACGGACGCGGAGGAGGCGCGCCGCGCCGCCTCTGGGGTCGGCGGGCGCACGATCATGGGCGCCGCGTGGGAGCGCACGCCCGAGGAGCGCGCGGTGTGCGCGGTGCTCGAGCGCGTCGCAAGGGAGGTGGGGGCGGGCGAGAATATCGGCGCGGTCGCGATCGCGTATGTGATGCACAAGGCGCCGTTCGTGTTCCCCATTGTGGGCGGGCGCAAGGTCGAGCATCTGTTGCAGAACGTGGACGCACTCAAGGTCAGCCTGACGGAGGAGCATATCAAGGCGATCGAGGCTGCAAAGCCGTTCGATATGGGGTTCCCCGCAGGGATCATTGTACGTGCCTGTTACTTGCACATCGTTTGTCGAGGCTGACCACCTTCCTCTAGGGCAACTACGGCAGTATACCCTTCTTGATATCTTCGCAGGCGAAGATTGAGCCTCCGAATCTCCTTCAGGCGATCTCGCCTTCGAGAACTGCGTAGAAACCTTCCAACTATGTCCGTAAATGTTCATCGGCGTCGAACACGCACGGGAGAGAAAATGATGGGTTGCGAGGGTAGACGCAGGTCGCTCAGAATCTGAATCGTTACGCAGCATCGCATGCACGTTGCAACTGAATGTATCTTGTTCAACAATCAGAGTCCGACGAGGCGTGCGAGGGGTCTGATAGCGAAAGGCATTGCACTCACCTGTATATCATCAGAGCATGTTGTACATAGCCGGTCGGATACGGACCGGAGCGGCTCTCAGTGCGCGGATTCACAACAACTATCATCATCATCATCCTCCTCTTCCACCTCGACTTTCTTCTTCGACTTCCGCCCAGACTTGCCGCCCACCACTGGTTTCTTCCCCTTCGCATCTCGCACCTTACTCGCCTTCACCACCGCCTCTGCGATCTCCGCCCGCATCTCCCCTATCTCCTCCTCCCCCACCTCCTCCGCGCTGCGCCTAGCTAAACGGTTGAGTACCGCGACCTCGGTGCGCCACACGCCCATACCCTCCGTCGCGAGGCTCTCGCGCGCCGCGGCGCTCGATCCGGTGGGCACGTCGTATGCGGGCGTCTCGAGGACGAGCGGGATGTCGCGCGTGCGCAGGTCGCTGAGGATGTGCGCGAACGTGCGGAGGCCCAGGTGGCCCCTGCGACAGATACGGGTGAGTACTGTGTACTGATTGTGGAAGCCAAGTCCATGCTATGCCGTTCCGAGTCCACATGCGGGTTACGCGGTGCACGGAGGGGCGATCGTACGGCAGAGGCGGAATGGGGGAGGGACGTACTGGCCGATGTTCTCGTGCCGGTCTTTCTTGCTTCCGAGCGCGCCCTTGGAGTCGTTGAGGTGCATGCCGCGGAGGTAATGTGCGCCTACCTCGCGCTCGAATTCTTCCACTACGCGTGGGGGCGTCTGGATTAGCAGCAGTCGGGATGTATGCGGCGGCGCGACGCACTGGTCTGTCTATGTCAAGTTAGTATATAGATGAGCCTGAAGCGTGCAGGCAGGACGTACCTCCAGCCTTCGAGTGTGGTGATGTTGTACCCCTACACCAGAAAAGGATTGAACGAACGTCCCCATACGGTAGGCAAGGTAGGTATGAGACTTACTGCGGCGTACATATGGCCTTGAAGCGATTTAGCAGGGGGCGCATGTCCAAGACCCCACATACGGGAACTCACAAGTGTCCAAACAGACGCCTACTCGGGTTTTGTCACTGACCTGCTTGATGATGCCACCCAGGTCCGAGAATCGCGAGCCGATGACGTTCCCTGAGCCTGCTTGGCAGCGACGCACGCAACACTCAGTAGGAAGCTCCTGCCTGAATACCGACGGAGGGCGTACCATGTTCTCCAATACTATGACGACGCTGGCCGTCTCCGTGTGTGCACGGTTGATACACTCAGCTATGAGCGCAAGGGACTCTTCTATGGTCCCAGCGCCGACGGTAGAGCCCGGGCTGCATATAGTTGAGTAAACGATCTTGCCAGAGCGCGATCGAGTCCGTGGACGTACTGGAAGTTGTATAGATGCAGCCCTAACTGCTCGCAACGCTTCAAGTCGTCCAGGAAACACGTAAAGGACTTTTCGCGCTTCTCACTGCGAGTTTGCGTTAGCTCCCGAGTACATAGGTCGAGGTCTACCCTAAGACCAACCTATCGGGATTGCCCAAATTTACGAGGTAGCTGCCGTGCGGGAGGATATGCGAGGGCGAGTACCCGAAGGTCTTCATGCGTTCTTTGAACTTCGCTATCGACTCGTCCTTGAGCGCGTCGGACTCCCATTTCCGCTGAGATTTGAGGAAGATGGCGAACGCGTTCGCACTGTGTGAGTGAGTCAAATTTTGCGCGTGAACGAGCGACACCGTACATACCCCACTGAGGCCGCGTTGATAATAGCGTTCTCCACGCCGCCGGCTGAAGAGACGTGTGGGCCAACCTTCCACGCACTAGTCGCTCGGACGGAGAAGTCGTCGGGCTTAGGCTCAGCAATCGGACCCTTTTTTGTCCGACGCTGTTTTTCCTGCAAGGGTGTCGCTGGGTCTTTAGCAGCACCTGTGCGGGCGCGTTTGGTAGGGCGAGGATTGGCGTCAGCATGGAGATTAAAAGGCGAGGACAGCGAGCTGAGAGAGGAGCCAGAGGGAGATCGAGCCCGTCGGCCATTTGCAGTGTCCTTTGAGGAGATCAGAGATGTCGAGGCGGTTGGAGTAGCAATGCGTGTGCTTCGTCTGAGAGCGGCCATCATCGTCCACAGACAAGCTCGAGCCTGAGCGTAAGCGCGTGTAAGGCCGGGCGTGTGACAATGTGTCATAGAGCACGTGCTTGTGATGACTCGCGTTCAAACCTTGCCGCGTAGCATCGCGCTCGCTCCTTGTTTTAACCTTTCACCATCTCGATACATATCATCCCCTCATAATCCCATGCTTGGCACGCAGAAACAGTAGCGTTGACACGCTGCGATATCAAGTATACGTCGGCTTTAGCAAAATTTCGCTACCTTACACCGGGAGCAGGATATCTTGTTACTGAGCTTGATATCAACCAATGGCCACCCCTTCAAGTATTCTTGTGAGTCATTCCCAGCGTCCATCATGATAAAGTGCGTGATTTATGCATACCTTGCAACTCTCCGAGGCCCGCCAGGGGATAGGCGTTCTCCAGCAGCCGTTTGTACATCGCCGTCTTCGGCTTCAGCTTCACGAACCCCCCAATGTAGTCCACCAGAGCGCCCCGGATGCATGCTTTGTGAAGGTCCAGCGGGTTCACGTGCGCGTGCGCGAAGTACTTCCTGTACAGCTCGTCCAGCAGCTTCGCCTCCGCCGTATCTCTGCAGTTCATCAACCCGTAGTCCGCGTGGACGGCCTGGTGCGGAATCACGGGCGGCGCGGAGGGCTCTGCGCACAGGAGCCGGTCGATGTACTGTTTCAAGTACCACACGGACTTGAACCGGCGCGGGGACGCGGACATGACGTCCCGGAGGAATGTGGCAGACGACGAGGTGAGTCCACGAGTCATGTATACTCCGTGCGCTTCAGCCAGATCCAGCATGGTCGATCCATCGTATGCGGCACAAAATTCGACGAACGAGCAACGTCCGACGAGCTCGCGGTACGCCCCGCTCACTCGTATCTCCTCTGCCTGGTGCATGGCAGCGACGAACCCGAAGGACATCCAGTGGTGAACATTTGGCCCAGGGTACGTGCCGAACGCCAAGAGCCGGTAGAACTGGTGGCAGGCCTGGACGTGATTTGGCAGCGCATTGATTTTCGCATGGATGGTCTCCACGCTGTCACTGGAAGACCCGCCCGTCTGGACCCACGCCCTGCGGATGGCATCTGTGCTCGCCAGCTTCACAGACTCTTCCGCCTCCTTTTTGTCTGCTGACGAGCCGTCCAGGATGTTCTGATGCTCCAGGAACCACTGGAAGTATCCGCCCTGCGCTTGCGGTGGAATGCGCGCGAACTCCGCCTTGACCGCCTCCACCATCCTGCCCTCCGCCTGCCACTTCTGCACTTCCTTCTCGGGGACGTCCAGGTAGCGAAACACCCCGATCCACAGACCAAGGAGCATGCTTTGTGCGCGCCCACCGACGAGCTCCTCGGCCTTCTCGAAGCCAAAGTCCCGCCGCGTCTGCACGTGCACCGGGATGAGGTCCTCGAAGCATGCGCGGGAGAGGTAGTATGCGGTCGCGATGGGACGCTTGGGGTTGCAGTCGAAAATATGGCGTCGCCAGTGTTCCTTCTGACAGACTTGGCTGCAGTACCACGCCTTCTTGCAGCCGGTGCAGCGTTTGAGGGCGGTCTTGCTGACCTCGTTGTCGCAAAAGTTGGCGCAACGCGGCGTATTGACTACAGGTGGTACTAGTACAATCAGTATCATTTCTCCTCTTCTTGAAGTCGGCGTCGCTCGGACCGCTGACAATCCAACTCACCGTCGTTTGTAGCCATTCTTGTCGAGTGCACAGGGACTTGGAAGACAACCAGCGAGTGGACTGCTACCGCAGCACACGAGGGGAGGCGCTTGTAGCCAGAAACGAGGCTCCACCAAGTCGGGCGTTGTCCTTCCCAATCAAATAACACAAACTCTATCGTCGCATCGCTCTACAGTCATGAAACTCTACAGTCATTGACCAGCATTTCTGTCACCACAGCACGCCTCTAGCGTGAGCCCCAGTGCCCGCGCTCACAAACCATCCACAAACACCTCTACGTCCCGCCTCCCCGCACCGCCCTCCGCCCACGCGCCCTCGAGCGTCCTGCGCACCCCCTGCAGCCGCGCGCGCTTCCCCTGCCCGTCCGCGCCAAACGCGCGCGCGAGCACCCCGCGCAGCTCCGCGCGCACGGCGTCGAGCGTCCCGGCGGGGGTGCGGCCCGTGCGGTAGATCGGCGTGAGCCCGGTGCCGTTGCGCACCTCGAGCAGCTCGTACGCGACGTCGAGGTCCTCGGAGAGGTGGATCGCGTTCGTCGGCTGGTCGACGACGATCGGCCATACGATCCTGGCGAACGTTGGCAGCGTCATTACAACTATTTAGGTAGGGCAAAGAGTGTATGCGCACATGGGTACTCCGGCGAGGATGCATTCCAGCACGGTGTTGTGGCCGCCGTGGGTCAGGGCCCAACCAGTCGCCTACAGAGAATCCAAGAATCAGTATACGAGAGCTCGCGTGGACCGAGATGCATACCTCGTGCGCCAGGACGGCTTGCTGCGGGACCCACTGCGCGATAAACGCATGGTCGTACGCCTGAAGCTTCTGCAGGAGATCCTCGGGAAGCTTCGCACTGGGGTGGGTGAACACCTGCAATGAAAGTCTGTGTCAGTACTCAGATCGGCACCAGCTCTGCGAGGACGACCTACGAAGGGGACGCCGTCTTCCATGAGGAGTTCGAGGGCCGCGACGAGCTTCGCCTGGTCCATCGGCCAGAAGAGTGTTCCGAAGGAAATCTAGTCATGCCCGTCAGACCCCTCTTTCGTGCAATCTGGGAGGACTACGCACAAAAATGACAGAATGTTCCCCCCGCGCGGCCAACTGGCTATCCAGGAATCGCAAGACGTCGCCAGCTTCCGACGCCCGCGCGACTGTCTCTACCGCATGGCTGCTCGGGACAAGCGGACCTGCGTAGGTGACCTTGCGCCCTGTCTCTGCCATCCACGCGCGGAACGCCGTCGTAGCTTCCGGATGATAGTCTGCAGCGTCGAACGTGAGGACGCCGGCTGCCTGCTTTATCACCCTGGATCATAGCGGGAAATGTAAGTCAGGAATCTGTTGCCAGAGCTCGTCTGACAGCATACCTCCCAATTCTGACAAACAGGCGGCCACAGGTAGCAGGAGGAAGAGGGAACTGCAGAACATGAGCGCGGAGTAATCAACGCGACACAGCGCATGACTTACCGACTGAGGGTGGAACTCGTAGTCGTACATCGGCGGCAGGCACGCACATTTAATCACTTCGCCTTTCGGGGCCCACACCTGCGTTTCAACAAGAGACGTCAGTCCAATTAGACCGAACGGGACAAATATAGACTCGCCTCTCGTGCGGCGTCGTCGAAGGGGATACCGTCACGTTCGGCGAGCGCCTCCACGTCGGGTATGATGTCTTTGTTGTACAGGGGTACCACGGAGTTGGTTGCGACGGGCAACCAAGCATATAGCGGGACGCCATTAGTCCCCGCCACCTTTTGCCTGTAGAGCTCGTCGTGAACCAGGATCAGCACGTTCTATAAACAAGTCAGTCCTTCGTAAGCCGGGTTTCGAGCGGTGAGGGGATGCAAACGTACATCGACGATGACAGCGCTGATTGGCGTTTCCCGCAGATCCAGTGCCTTGCGCGCGCCATCGAAGGACTCGCGGACGATACTCTGCTCGCTGCTCGCCGCGTTCCACGTTTCGATGATGCGCTCCTGGTACTCCTTCGGGTCCAGCATGTTGGTGCCCTGATCCACGGGAACGAAGCTAAGTATCCCGGATAAGCTGTAAGTGTACATCACATCGCGGGAAGAGCGCGGCGTTCGCTCACTGGATGCGAGACAGCGGCTCGTCATCGCTCGACGCGAAGTCGCGCGCTATCTCGGCCTTGACGCGGTCGTACAGGATGAGGGACACGAAGAGGGTGATTTGGACCGGGCGTAGCTTGACCAGGCGCGCGGCGAGGATGCAAAGCGGACGCGCATGTCCTAGAGGCACGATAGTCAGTCCCAGTATCATGATGCAAAGCAGACGCGGCGTGAGACTCACCCCACCAGTATACTGGACAGAGTACGATGTGCTTGGGGGAGCTGGGCATTGTCATGGTGGGTGTTCGGAAAGTTGGATTTGGGACTGGAACGCATACCTCCATACCTCCTTATATCTAGGACGCGCACAATGATTATCCAGAACGGGCGGACGCGAAGCTACGCAAGCCGCCCGAGACTCCCAAGGCCGTCCCGATCAGTGAGACACGACAAACTCGACCGGTGTTGGCTACATGTCGGGCATGGCTGTTTCCTCCGTCTTACGAGATCCCGGCAAGGAGGTCGCGCCTCGCTGAAAAGTACGTACCACAGACCTGAGACTCGGGCTGCGCTTGCTGAGGCGTTTGTCCTCCATCGCGCATAGGGAGGTCGAGCATAGGCCATGCGGAGCATCGCCACTGACCAGGAGGCATCACTTGCCGCTTACCCCATATAGACCAGTGTGCTGTTCTTCGCTCCGCAAAATCGATCAAATCCTGGAACTCAGCACCCGGGGAATCGCATAAGATTAGAACAGAGTGTACAATACCGCCGCTGACATATGAAGAAGCGCAGGCGTGTTCAGCTCATAACGGCGTCTTCTCGGGGCATACTGGACCCTCGGAAGCGTCTTGGAGCAGGAGACGCGAAATACTGTAGTAAAAAGTGAGCAGGCGTTCAGCCGACATGGGAAAAGCAGATCGAGTCTTTGGTCAGTGCCGCATCGTGCCTGCCGCGCAACGTAAGTTCAGGGTGGTAACGGAGAGGTTACTGGTGAATACTCACTTCGTCTTCATGTGATGCGCAAGCACCTGAACGTCCTTCTCGAGGGATAGACCCGTCCGCGGGCTGTTCTTTTTGACCATCCAGTAACACGTGCGACAGACGGGCTTCTTCGTGCGTGACTGGCCAAAACGCAAAGAAAGATGCTCGGCGACGTCGTCCGGGACGTCGTACCGAGGAATTATAGCCTGTTCGCCTGGGGGGAGGAGCTTCAAGCATGCCGCCGGCCCACTCAAGTAGTGGTTGTTGGTCAACTCCCGCTCAGGACGGAAGTTGCGAGGGCTAAGAATGGTGGTCAGAATACGAGCTCGGAGTCCCATGTGGGACTTGTGCACAATGGACGTACCGGTCGCGCAACATGAACTGATACAAAGCTATTTCTTTGCTGACATGATGTATCTGTAGGACATGTAAGAAGTTATCGCAGCGACGAAAACAAAAGGACACTGACCAAGCCACCCCAGCCGTGCTTCTTGATCTCCACGAGGCGCGGGTGCGCACAGAGACACGTTAGCCGTCCTTCGTGAACCCAGCTATCCATCTGCACCATAGACGTATCCTCCGGCAGACCGAGCGCGGTGAGGGCCGTTCTGGTGCGTAACTGCCCAAACGGCATCGCACTGACCCAAGGGAGGCTCGATGGCCATCCGTAGGGCCCTCGCCGAAGGTCAACAGGTTCCTCAATCGGCCACTTGTCGTTCCATTGAAGAGTTGGGTGCTTGGCGCGCCAATGTGCGCATATATCCGGCGCTGAGGCGGCAACTGTGTGAGAGCAGCGGTTGCATAGGAATAGCGAGGACGCCTTCGCGAGCTCCGCGTCGATCTGGGCCATGTCGTACGGGGGCATTGCCGGGGTATTGTGGACCTCGTATTGCTCACGATGCAGCATCTCCATCAAGTCGTGCTTTATCTGGGATGCGGACGCGCGGACGGCATGCGTGATGCCTTCTTTGAACACAGAGATTCGCTTCTCTGTGACCACGATCTTCGCGTCGTTCTCTGCGAGAAGTTGGTGGACAGCGGGCAAGACGCATGTGTCGTGCCAGTTGGGCGCAAATTGCCGATCAGAGGCGGAGAGAATGGACTGTAGAAAGAAGTCGTAGAATAACCGGAATTCAGCGCGGCGTTCGGCAAGACGATACTCAAAGATGGCCTGGCGATCGCCTTCACGCTTCTTTTCGATGAGTATACGAAGCTTCGGCAGCACGGTCGTCCAAACTATGTGAAAATTTGAGTTTATTGGAAGAAACGCAAGAGTTGAAGGAGGGACGTACTTCGCTCTGTGAGTTTCTTGGGCTGGTCGACGATGTTCTTCCACGCACGGTCCTCCGGATAGTCAGTCGTAGTGTAACCGAGCTCGCCCAGCCTTTCGAGAATGCTGTCGGGGGGTCGGTTATGGCAGCAATCGGATTATAGAGGAGAGCCAACTCACGCGGCCCTGCGATCCGCACGCAAAGCATTTTGATTAGCATACTTCTCCGCGTCGCATCGGTCAAGCCACTCCAGCACAGACACAGCATGCTATAAAACAAAGATCAGCGTGTCAACTGACATGAGCCTAGTGTTGCACGGCTCACGTTTTGCATCGCGGTCACAAATTCCCAGCGTTCCTCGAAAAAGGAACTCAGCTCGCCAGGCGCGGTCAAGGACAGAGCCTCATCAGCAATGGCGTAGCTTTCGGGGGTATAATACGTCCCGACCGTATCATTTGACCTAGCATCTGCCACCCCAACCGCTAGGTCAGCATGTAGCATGTTATACGCCTAGCAGTGCAGCCAATGCATGTTACGAACCAGTCTGGTAGTGCTCATAATACCCCAGGAAGGACCTGCCACAGAGCGATGGCATAATTGTTCGTACCTCTTCGGGAAGCTGGACGCCTACGGAATCCTGTATGGCTGCATAAATGGTGACCCATGCCTCGAAGCTTTGGGTAGTCAGTAAAATATTGCCGAAGGGGAGTGACGGGAGGCTTACTTGATCTTGAAGCACGGCGCACATAAACGGACGCACGCTGTATAATCAACCTTTGTCGATCGTGCGTTACCACAAGCCTGCGGGATTTCTATCAGCTAAAATGACATGTCATAAAACAATCCACGTACAAAGCAGTATTGGTCGAAGAGAACTGCAGCATAGCGCGGTTCGGGGTAGTACGGCGGGCACGGCGGGACTCCCGGCACATTTCCAAAAGCGGCGCGCCACAGGCTACGGGAGTTTTGAGTCATGAGCAACGAGCGAAAGTGCTTTGAGGAACGGGACAAGCGAAGGAGGTCCATAGGATGGAGCATCCGTACGATCTAAGAGCAGGTGGTTAATATTCAAGTTTGGCCATGCTAGCCACAAGTTTCGCATCGGTGCATACCTCTAAGAAGATGTCCATTGGCATATCTTTGAGTCCTGCGAGTCGTCCAGCACGTCCGCGAAGTATTTTAGGCTTTGGGGTCCGTTTCTGCACAGAAAGCCCTCTTGCCTCTGCCCTGCGTTGAGCCTGTTGTGCTCGACTCCCCTGATAATCAGCGACAAGAGGCTTGACCGCAAGGCTAAGAGCAACAGAGTCTACATGACGTCCGTCAGTCCATTAGCTTTGCAGGTGAGAGAGGGTGACCAACTGGGGATCCCAACCGGGGGTAAATTCGACATGGCTGCGAGAGGAAAACAAGAGAACGTTCAGGTTGGCGAGTCGCGAAGACGGAGCAGACGTACTTTTAATATGCAGGACGCATTGATGGCTAGTGCCATTGTTTGGCGCGAGACGCTGCATACGCATTGCGTCTCAGCGCATTGTGGTGGTGGCTTGCCCGGTCCACGATCAAAGCCGCGCTCGGCTGGGCCTCAGAAGATTCACGGACTCGCTATTGTGCCACATAGTAGAAGATATGTCGCGCAAGTTTGCGCTTCATGCATGTAAGAGTTACCGTACACGCGTCGTCCAAGCGAGAACATAACGCCGCGGCCACTCTTCAAGTTGGCGATCGCGAGCCACATCATCGCTGGCCTCGCAGTTGCACAGACGCAAGTTGCGCCCTCTCGCACCGTGGCCACTTCGCGGTCGTCTGGGGGCCTTGGAGAGCGGACCTGTGCGCAAGCACGTCCTTTGCAAGTAGGGTGAGTGAACGACGGCAGTGGTGACTGGCGTAGTGACGTCTAAGCGCCCTTGAAGCGCCCAACCTGAAACCGACGAGGGCAAGGGTGTGCCAGCGTCTAAATGTACGGTCCCGTAGGGCCAAGGCGTCCGAACCAGGAGTACAAATGGAGTAGCAATTCCGCAACCACAACTCCAGCGTAGCTTACAAGAACCAGAAAACTAGATTAAGGCGTAAAGTAACAGTATACAAGCGAGCGCAGACATGCGGGGAACGGAACAGAGCATATACGGGGCGGAGTCAATATTCTTACAGAGTCCTTTGGCAGTGACTCGACCAGCGAGGAGCGTAGAAAACATAGACCTTCGGCGTTCAATAGTCGTCGTCACGATAGCTGTAGAAGCAGATCGAGTTCTTGGAGAGCGCCTTGTCATGTCTGCAACGCAAGATGAGTCGAAACAATCCCCAAGTTTGACGTACCATCGCGACCAGCCGGCAGGGGACTCACTTTGTCTTCATGTGATGAGCGAGCACCTGCACGTCCTTCTCCAGGTAGAGCCCGTTCCAGTGGCTGCCATCCTTGACCATCCGGTAGCACGTCGAGCACGTGGGCTTGACGTCGTTCGCATTCAGGAGGGCAGTGACCTCCGCGACGACATCGCCCGGGATAGCGTACTCAGAAAGCATCATCTGTTCGCCCTCTGCAAGGAGCTGCAGGCATGGCGTTTCCCCGCTCAAGTGGTGGTTGTTGGCGACGTCCGGACCAAAGTAATGGCGAGAGCTGGAAACGATGGTCAGGAACCAGAGCTCCCATGCGAAGGTTGAGGAAGATGTACATACCGGCTCCACCCCGAGATCCGATGACACCATTCTATCTCCTTGCTGACGTGGTGCATCTGCATACTGCGTCAGTACAAAGAACGCCCACCAAATGAAGAATACTCACCAGACCGCCCCAGCCGTTCTCTGCAACAGCTGCAAGTCCCGGATGACCGCAGCGACAGATCAGCCTACCCTCGCGGACCCAGCTATCCATCTGCGCCATTGACGTGTCCTCAGGTAGACCAAGGGTCTCGAGCGCCGTCTTAGTGCGCGACGGCCCAGCAGGCTTCGCACTGACCCAGGGCAGCTGCGACGGCCACTCCGAGAACTTGCGGCGACGGTCGAAGATTTGCTCAATCGGCCACTTGTCGTTCCACTTGAGCGACGGGTGCTCGGTGCGCCAGTGCGCGACAATGACCTGCGCTGAGGCCGACTTGAGCGGACAGCGGTGACAGGTGAACAACGAGGTCGCCTTTGCGAGTTCCGCCTCGATCTCGGCCATGTCGTATGGGGGCATCGGCGAGTATTCGCGTGGCCCGCGAAACATCAAGGGACCCTTGGACCCATGTGTCTCGCGATGAAGCATCTCCATCAGGTCGCGCTTCGTTTGCTGGGCGGACGCCCGCACGTCGAGTAGGAGACGCGATTGAATGGTGGTGACCCGCGCCTGGGTGACAATAACAGTCGCACGGTTTTCGTTGAGTAGTCCGTGAACGCTGGGCAGGGCGCACGCGTCGTGCCAGTTGGGGGCGAATTCGCGATCCGCGTCGGAGAGCGTGTTCTGCAAGAAGTCTTCGTAGAAGGGCTGGAATTCCGCGCGCCGCTGCTCGAGACGCTGCTCGAACGCAGCTTGGCCATCGTCCACACGTTTCTGGTCGATGAGCGCACGAAGCTTCGGCAGAGCTGTCTTCCAAACTGCAGAACACATAACCTGTGAGTTGGATGGTAGGATGACGGAATGCCAACGTACTTCGCTCTGTGAGCCTTGTGGGCCGGTCGAGAATCTTCTTCCACGCATCATTGTTCGGATAGTCGTCCGCGGTATACCCCAGCGCACCCAACCTCTCGAGAATGCTACCAAGGCATCGGTCAATATGAACAGACGTGAAAGGGCCCTGCTGGACTCACGCAGTCTTGCGGTCTTTGACTGCAGCGTCTTCTTCAGCCCACTTTTGAACGTAACAACCACTTTTCCACTCCAGAACAGACCTGGCATGCTGTATGCCTCGTCAGTCGATCGATCTATGAGGATATGAGGTGCAACCACCTACGGCCTGCATCAAAGTCACAAAGGCCCGGCGCTCCTCTGCGAACGACGGCAGCTCGACGCGAGCGTCCATGGTCGAGAGCTGGTCGACGACAGCGTTCCACTCGGGAACGTAAAACGTAAGCATATTGAAGTTTTCCTGCGCGATCCGAGCCGCTATGAACCTCCAGGTCAGTCTGGCATATTGACGGTGTGCAGATAGAGAGCGAGATACGAACAGCGATCATGGAAAGCCGGATGATAGTGCACGATCGATCCGCAGAGCGTGGGCAGCAGCTTTTGCCGCTTTGGAGAGAGTTCTCGGCCTCGGTACATCTGTCTACCTTCGCTGAAACTGGAAATATTCAGCAAATGGTAACAGGAACCGTGAAAAATGAGCACTTACTTCGTCTTGAAGCATGGCGTGCAGAGTCTTACGCACGCGGTATGGTCAACGTTGGTTGAGCGCGCATTTCCACACGCCTGTGGTAATGCTGTTAGCCGATACGCTGGAGCGTAAAACAGTCGACGTACAAAGCAGTACTGGTCGAAAAGCACGGCAGCGTATCGTGGCTCGGATATGTAGGGCGGGCAAGGCGGCACGCCCGGGACGTTGCGGAAGGAAGCGACCCAAAGATGACGGGCGCTTCGCGTCATGAGAAGAGACCGGAAATACTTCGAGGACTGAGCCAGACGAAGGAGTGCCAAGGGATCGAGCTTCTTGACGATCTGAGGGTAGAAAGTTAGTGACTGCTTGCGCTGGAGATAGATGCTGTATCGTAACATACCTCCAAAAATATGTCCATTGGCATATCTTTCAGAGCCGCAAGGCGGCCAGCGCGCATGCGGATGGTCTTGGGCGTAGGGGACTGCTTCTTCACAGCGGCTCCCTTACCAGGCGAGTTTCTTTCCTTGCGTTCTGCCTTCTTTGCCCGACTTCCCCAAGAGGATACGGGCTTTGGCTTGGCCGCAAGGCTGAGCGCAACGGAGTCTAACGTCAATACCAAACATCAGTCTTCATGTCATCATGTGCATATGGGAGTGATCACTCACCGGGGATATCTGTAGCAAGCTGAGACATGGTAGTGATCAGAGAGAAGAGAATGTGAGTGTCGTTCGCGCCGAAGCGAGCGTACCTTTATCTGCTCAAGTACTGTGCGCATTGACAATGCACCTTTCGTTATGGGCTCCGGGGTACGTACTCATTGCTCAGCGAGAGTAGCAAGGACTTGCATGTTGCTATGCGCATTGCACAACGCATGCCGACGTCGGGATGCTCACTTTAGCAGACAATTGAGGTTGCCACAGAGCAGAAGGGTGCATAAGCGCCAAGTCTCTTGTTAGACACAGTGTCGACAACCGGTCTTCGGGCAAGCCATCTTTAGGATAAAGTCTTTTATAACCAAGTTCCGCAGGATGGAGCTAGTTTTTGTTCGCGGTTCGAGAAGGGGCCCACTTCGTGATGAGGCTGCAGTCCGTGCGGCGTGGACAACCAGTTCAGCGTCTAAATACGCTTACTCCCGTCGCGGATGACCGGACCGAGCCCGCCGGGCTTAGACCTTCATTCAGCGCTCAGCTCTCGGCGGACAAGTCTCTTGACGACGGCGTTCAAGTAGTCTGCTTCCACACGAACCCCTCTTACCGTAGCTGCCCATTTCGCGCTTAAGTAAGCAAATTTGATCTCCGAAACGCGTGTATAGATCTGGGCGCGTCGCGTTCTCTCCTCTCTTTGCTCTTCTTCGGACGTGCTCGAGTCTTATATCTGCTTTCTTGATGCGACATGTGCCATACAACTATGCTAGTACCTGGTATAGGTGGTTTGGCGGCGCCGAAATGTGCTCACTCCTTGGGGAGGTCCTTCGCATAACTGATTCCGTGGATCAGCCGCCGTAAGCCCAACCCATTCGCATCGCCGTGTACCGTTACTCTTACAGACTCATAATACATTTCCATGCTCCCAGGCCGATATATCAGGCACTGTATTCAGCTTTCAGCCCGGACTGTCGAGGCGATGGGTGCAGGAGCAAACGGCATACGGATTGCCATAACCGCGGGCACGAGGGCGCGCAGGCTGAACTCGGGTGGACGGAGCGGCATTCTTTTCGAAAGTTTGACTGCATGTTAGTCGCCTCTCGCCGAGTACAAGGTCCTGAAGCGAATAGGTACACAACACTTCAAGGTATGGTTGCTGCCAGGCGCAGCTAGGGTCAAATATGCTGTATCTAGGGTCACAGGTGAATTTTTAATAGAAGTAGCTGGAAAGGATGATCAACGCTACTGTTCTCTCTGATTATTACTACCAATAGACGAGCGAAACCTGTCGAAACACCCTCATACATGCGCAGAGTAATCGCAGACCTCAGGTCGAGTGGCTGAGAATGTCATAGATCTAATCTAATCGAGCGCCGGCATCTCGGCCATCACCAACCTGCAAAGCAAATTGCGAGCTACGGTCTGAGGGGCGCGTGTGGAAGCAGACCTTTACACACTCGTCCTCCCCGCCTCCAATAGAGTGTGAAAGGTCTGCCTCTGGGAGACTAGCGTTCAAGGCTTCGTGTGCAAACCGAGTCCATAGCCACATGTCCAAAGCGCAAACCGTACAAGTCCGTAGTCCTCTGGTAACAAGTGCGTTGGACTCTGTCTTGGACGCCACCGTCTCGATGATGCCGGTCGTAGAATTGCTGCCCCGGGAGAGGGTTCAGTAGCGGTAGTGGTGGAAGCATATCGACCCTTTGGAGAGTGATTTGTCGTGCCTGCACAACATGAGGCGTCAGTCGAATCCCTTAAAACGAGCACTTCAGCATAACAAGCATTACAGGGCACGTACTTCGTCTTCATGTGGTGTGCCAAGACCTGCAGGTTCTTCTCCAGGTACAGTCCGCTCCAACGAGCATTCTCCTTGACTAGCTCGTAACATATCGAACACGAAGGCTTGGTCTCGTTTCCGTCCAAGCGCAGAGTGACGTCAGCGGCGACGTCGTCTGGGATGCTATACTGGGGAATAGCGAGTAGCTCTCCCTCGGCGAGGAGCTTCAAGCAGGTCGTCTTGCCGCTCAGGTAGTGGTCGTCGATGATCCCTCCCTGTACATAGTAGCGCGGGCTACGAGACGACGATGCAGACAATGAGCGCCAGGTGCACGAGGCAAGGGCTTTGCACGTACCGATTGTAGGACATGCTGTTATGCCAATCAATCTGCCCACTGACATGATGAATCTGTATGACATATTAGACGAGCAGATCGTACTAAGAAACAGTGAAACATACCAGGGTTCCCCAGGAGGGCTCAGTGAGAGACATGAGTGTCGGATGAGCGCAGAGGCAAACCAGCCTTCCTTCACGGACCCAGTCGTCCAATTGCGCCATGGACGTATCCGCGGGGAGCCCCAGAGCTGAGAGAGCCATCATGGTGCGTGCTGGTCCGGACGACATCGCCTTCACCCAGGGAAGCGTAGATGGGCGGTCGGAGTACCTCCGGCGATGGTCGAAAGACTCCTCGATCGGCCACTTGTCGTTCCACTTGAGTCGCGGATGCTCGGCCCGCCAGTGAGCGCATATAGCCGTCGCTGAAACGGGGACCTTCAGAGAGCAACGGCGGCAAACGAACAGTGAGGACGCCTTCGCGAGCTCGACATCGACCTCAGGCATTTCCAGTGACGGCGGAGTGGTGTAGTTGCCTCTTCCGCACTTCTCGCGATGTAGCATTTCGATTAGGTCGCGCTTTGTTTGCGCAGCGTACTCGCGCACGTCAAGAACGATACGCTGCTCGATGGCGGTGGTCCTCTCCTGGGTGACAACGATGTTCGCATCGTCCTCGGAGGTCATCTCCAAGACACTAGGCAGAGTGCATGCGTCGCGCAAATTGGGGGCGAACAACAGGTCGTCCTGGGAGAGTGTGCTCTCGAGGAATACTTCATAGAAGGGCGCGAACTCAGCGCATCGTTTTCGCAGACGCTTTTCGAAAGCAGCTTGACGGTCATCCTCGCGTTTCTGTTCGATGAGCGCGACGAGCTTAGGCTGAGTAGCCTTCCAGACTTTCAAGAAATCAAGATCAATAAAAGAGACTGCAAGTTTAACGATTACGAACTTCGGTCGGTTACTCTGGTCGGGCGGGCCATAATCTTATTCCACGCATCGTTGTCTGGATAGTCTGCAGGAGTGTATCCGAGTTCTTCCAGTCTCTCGAGAAGGCTGTTTGCTCAAGTTAAGTAAACGCACGCAACGGTGCTGTTGTCACACTCACGCGATCTTGCGATCCTCACGCGCAGCATCCTCTTCTGTGTACCTTTCGTTGCGGTTTCCACGAAGCCACCTCAAGACAGATAAGTCATGCTAGTGGTTCATTGATCAGGCCACGAAGGAAGGGGATTGCATATCAAGACTTACCGTTTGCATGAGGGTCACGAATTGCTGTCGCTCTTCAACGAAAGTCCGCCGATCAGCGAAGGTTCGCAATGACGCGAATTTCTTAACGATCATCTTGAACTCGGGATAGTAGAATTTATTGGTTCTGCATGAAAACGTAGAGTTCTTCTTCGCATCCGCCGCTGTACATGAAACATTTAGCGTTCAATTCTTGGTGATGCGGAGTTCAGAATTTACGCACAGGATTTGTACTCTTCTGAGTAGAATTTCATAGTCGAGACGCATAGCGAAGGCAGAAGCTTCTTGGCGCTTGGGAGAAGGCTGTCAAGGTTGATATGCATTTCGTCGTATTGCTTGAAGCTAAAAACGGTCAGTAGAATAGACTGAGAATAAATTTACATTGAACGCACTTTGTCTTGAAGCAGGGTGCGCAGAGTCGCACACTGACCGTGTAGTTGACATTCGTCGAACGCGCAATCCCACAGGCCTACAAAAATTTCGTCAACGAGCGGACCCAAGGAGCGTAAGACAAACTTGACGAACGAAGCAATACTGGTCGAAGAGAGCCGCTGCGTAACGTGGCTCTGAAATGTAGGGCGAGCAAGCCGGAACTCCCGGGACGTTTTTGAAGGCAGAAACCCAAAGATGACGAGAGTTCTTCGTCAAGAGAATGGAGCGGAAGTGCTTGGAAGCTCTGGAGAGACGTAGCAAATCTAGTGGATGCATTTTCATGACGATCTGAGCGCATATAGTCAGTTCTTATATGCGGCGCGGGTCAGCGGGATGGGCACTTACCTCGAGAAATATGTCCACTGGCATGTCCATTAAATTTGCGAGACGACCAGCACGCACGCGAGTAGCCTTAGGCTGTGGGGGCTCCGACCGCGGAACGTACATTACCCCCAGTGGCAGCAGCTTGCGCTCCTTGCATTCCGTCTGGTATGCTCTGCTTCCGTACCATTCAGTAGGTTGGGGTCGGAGAGCAAGACTCATCGTGACAGATTCTATCGCATGTTATGAGTGATCAAATGTTGCCTAACTCTACGCCCATGAACTGACCGGGGATGGCTTTGGGGAGCAGGTTCATGGTGGTGGGGGAGGTAGAAGAACAAGTTGGGCGACTGGGACCAGCGAAGAGCGACCGCTCCCCATTGCTGCACCAGATCTGCGGATTGACAGGGAAGCTTCGGGGACGTCATATTTCCCCGATCTCGATCGGTTACTCTCAGAGCTACGCCCGCCATTCTCGTTTGCCATGAGCAGCGCAACATTGATGACTTTCAGCGTGGCAGAGGTGTTGAGAACTTCGCTGAGAGACATTGAATATTGTTTAGCTTTCCCTGGTACGCCAGTGTGCATATATTTTCAAGGCTCAAAGCGCGCGGCGCGAGAGCATTTGACATCGCAAGAGAAGTACTTACTTGTATATCGTTGTATATATCACGAAGATCTGCTTCTGCAGAGATAGACACAACCTTTAAAGTTTGCAACGCGAGAGTCATAGCGGTTGTTGGACGAGTTCGTTGGCGCCGGCGTGGCGTCGTACGCGGCAAACTGTCCGAGGAGTGCGAGGAGTGCCACGTGCGTCGTATCTACGCCGAACCGCTTCTTGAGATCTTGCCCTTGACCTTCACCACCACTCAAGTACTCACTCCCTGGGGCTTTGTACTGTATAAAACCAACCATGTGCGCTGGGAGTATGATACACTTACGTGTAATCACTGAAGATGTGTACCTTCCTTCTTATGCAGAACTTTTGGTTGACTAGCTTACGACATAAGTACAAAAGTTTCGAACTCAGGATTGTACGATCGAGGACTTCCACGCCAAGGACTATACTGAACATACTGAACACTGTCGACGAGCACATGTGGCCATTCACTCCAAGCGTGCTCGTTTGGACGGTGGCTCGCTGTCTTCGGTGTCTGTCGGCGCGTCGACTGTATGAGAAGACACCACCATAGTCACCTCCATAACTTCCTCCGAGTCTATTTCCATCGGGATTTCTCCTGTGTCGGCAGCGCTCGTCCCAGGAATAAAATTCTCCAGCTCGTGCACATCCTCTTGAGCCGCGTCGTCTTCCCTAGCAGCGCATGTTTCCCCGCTAGCGCAGTCCTTTTTTTCAGCACCACCGACCGCGCGAGCTTGATCTGGCGCACCCGCGATATCCTCAGCCTTCTCCGCCTCTTTCGCCTTCTGTGCTTTCTCTTGGGCTTTTATCTCGGCCTTCTTCCGTTTCTCCTCGACCTTCCTAGCCCAGCCCTCGTCGATCGACTCCTTCAGCATCAGCATCGCCTTCATATACTCCTCATACTGCCTCGCCGCCCGCTCCTTCGCACCCTCCCTCCCCTCCTTCGTCAAAGCCAGCTTACGCTCCTCAGAGTGGTGTGCAACGTTCACCTTCGTCACCCTATACAGCGGCTCCGCAAACTGCGCGATAGTCTTGCCGTCCGGCTCCTCCCCCTCCGCGCGCATCTTCTTGACGTCCTCGCCGATGATCCACAGCGAATTTTCGAACGAGTCGCGCATGTCCATGAGCGTCTGCGGGTGCTCGTTTCCCAGGCTGTAGTAGTAGCCGCGGATGCGCGCGGTGCAGGGGTCGCCGCGCTGGTGTCCGCGGAAGAAGAGGGCGTGCACGAACACGTAGGTGAACGAGTCGAGGTCGTCCCCGACGGTGTGCTCCCAAGGAACGTCGGAGAACGCGTTCTGGAGCTTGCGCGTTGGAAGGAAGCGCATTTTGTCCTAGGATTCGCAACGGATAGAGCGTGCGGATGAGTATTTCATGCATGCTGAAGCAGAGGTGAATTGACGTACGACGCGCACTGATTGTCTCGGAGTGGGCGGTGGCCTGTCGTACCATGGCTTGGGTGCGCGGGCTAGGGCTGCGTAACTCGAAATCATGTACTTGACGTTGGGCTCTATCATGATGTAGTTCGCCTCGGGATTGTCGCTGAATCGGAACCAGTCCATCGTGGGCGTCGCTCAAAGAACAGAGCAGAAGTATATTTGCGGGTGGTAGCCTCACGGAATGTGAGTGAAGGATGCGAGTGGCGGGAGAGTCAAGCACTAGGTAGTCGCAAGCGGAGGACTTGAGCTCGCACTGTGCCTATAAGTACCCTTTCCCGCTCCACGTACCCGTTGTTGGTCGCTGCTTTGATGTGCCCGTCTCGGCGAGGACAATGGGGTTCACTGCGGTGGCTAAAACGCAGGCGCCTCATGTACGGGGGGTGGGTGGCACCTCGCGCACACGTGCGCGCGTCCCCAGCAGGCGCCGAGGTCTAAGCGAGCTGCCATTCGAAGCGTTTTGAGTTCCGGAGCAGCAGCGCTGCTCTCGGTGTCAACATATTACCATCGCCTTACACAGCGGCAAGCAGAATTCGTACACATACACTGCACTGATCCATCCGGACGCGATAGCCATTCCTTCTTTTCCGGCTCCGGATCAATGGCTTCCCACCGACCGCTCGTCGACACGCGCCCCCTTCTTCTCGTCGTACTCTTTCAACTCGCCGTCCTCACCCTCGACGGTCTTGACAGGTCCCTTGAACCATTTTCTTGCAGAGACAACCCACCAGACGGACGCGAAGATGAACACTGCCATGATGATCACGATGGTGTAGTCTACGGAAAGGAGACTGTTAGCAACCACACGCGAATACAGACAGAAAAGAACGCACTCATGGTAGCGGCGGTCGGGTTGACCTCTGGAGGGAACACCAGAAGGACAACGATGAAGGTCACCCAGCTGACGGCCACGACACCGATGGGCATGTAGTACTTCCCCAGCGAGAATGGCCCAGGCTTGAGCTTGTCCCGCCCCGAGGTGATCCTCAGGAAGATCGGCGTCACGTACGAGACGTACAGACCAATAACGGATGCACTGTAACGGTATCAGCCTACTATCATCGACCGAGTCATTCTGGGAAAGACTTACCCAGCGAGAGACGACAGCGCCGTCTCAGAGAACCCGAGAAGGCCGCAAATACCAGCGAGAACGATAACGAGCCACACCGCGTTGACGGGCGTGCGCGTGTACGGGTGCATGCGCTTCCACCAGCGCGAGCCGGGCAGCGCGTTGTCGCGCGCGAACGCGAACACGACACGCGACGCGTCGACGCCCTGCGCCGCGCCCGTGACGTACTGCACGACGATGATGAGGCTCCATATCGCGAGCATCCCGCGCTTCCCGAGCACGTTCAGGAACAGTTGGCCCATCGGGAGCGGGAGCGTCGTCCCGAGCAAGTTGGGCACGGACGCGGTCGCGAAGGACGCGGCGATGTACAGGAGCCAGCCGAGGGTTGCGGTTGCGCCTACTCCGACGAGGATGGCGATGGGGGCGGCGCGCGCGGCATTGGAGGTCTCCTCAGATATGTGCGCAGCGGAGTCGTCTGGTACGAGGGCAAGCGTGAGAATGAGTGGGAACGGGGGGTACGGATGGGCTTACAGCCGGTCAGGGTCCACATGGGTGATGTAAACGCGAGCAGGAAAGCCCAGCCACCTGAATGTAGTTTAGTATCAAATTGTACGAGAGATAGATAGTATTTTGACTCACTGTTCGCCCAGCCGGTATTGTTTTCAAACATGGTGAATGCAACTTCTGTTGTTACCCTCTGCTCACCGCTGCGAGACAGCAGGAGGACGATCGCAGCGATAGTCGTGCCCACTGGCAGGAATGAAACATAAGCACACAATACAACGGCGAAGTGGTTTGAAATGAAACGCACCATTGATGAGCACATAGAAGATGTTCAAACGCGCGATAACGGACGTCGCGGCCGAGCAAACAAGTCCATGCGTGAACAAGATGGCGAGCAAAATTCCGAACGTAGCTCCTGCGCCAAGGTTGATTTCGCCGTCCGACCCAACGCTCAGCGCGGTGGTAATCATCTGTGCGCTGTAAGGGTAGTCGTTTGAGTATCCATCGAGAGCGGGTTTCGCACGCGGAGCGGCGGGACTACGCACCATGTGAAATCTATAGAGCACACAAGCGCCACCTGTCCGGTGACGTTCGCCCAACCTGTGATCCAGCTCGCGAGCGGCGCCCACTTCGGCGGCGCGAGCTTGGCTGAGAAGTAGTAGAGTCCGGCACTCGTCCTGCATGCCAGTCAGCTTCCTCGCGGCCGTAAACCATGATGCATAAGGAACTCACGGCATTGCAGAAGTCAGCTCAGCCAATGATGCCGCAATCGTCATTACGAAGAAGCAGGGAATAAGCCAGCCGAAGATCATGCCGACGTGCCCGCCTAGACGTTGGGAAGCGAGGTGCAATGTGAGCGCTAGCGCAGGGGGCAAGCCATGTGCTGACAGACGTACCGGAGACAAGCGGGAACGACATTGTCGAAGAAACCGATGCGACGACGCCCATGATAGAGAACGCGAATGCGATCGTCTCGACAAGCTACCGCGCGTGGAAGACACATGGTCATTGACATATCCATCGGCTGTGTCTCGCAGAGGGCACATACCGAAAACTCGCGTCTAAACTCGCTTTTGTAACCCAACTGCGCAAGCAGCTCGTCGTCTGCGTGCCGGACCACCGCCAAGTCTTCGCTGCCTCCATAGTCGGCGTGCCCCGCTGCGTGCGCTGGGGGCTTCCCGGAGAGCGTCCCTTCTGTAGACATTGTAGCCGGCGGAGGGCGAAGGGAGGATCGAACGGTGCGTCAGGGAGAAGGAAGAGAAGCTCGGGGACTTGGACGCGGAACGGCGCAGCCTTATGCAAACGGGCGCTCTGGCCAGCTTCTCCCCATTCATCGCGAGCCGAACATCACAAGATGGACGACGGCCTGGGAGATCTCCGCACAGGCGTTTGTATCTGCTATATGATATGCTTATCCGGCGGAATGACCAGCATCTGGCACTCGAGGCTTCGGGGAGTCAGATTGTCCGGAGGAGCGGCCTTCGCGGAGCTGGCATGAGAGAATAGGCTTGGTTATGGGCAGCGGACGCGTAGATATCGGTACAGGACTCACGGTAAGCAGAAGAGCGCTGGCTGATAACGCCCGCATGCGTATCGGCGACCGTGGGCTCAACGTTCAGCGGTGGCTTATCGCGGCGTCCTGGGCTCAAAAAGTGATAGCTTGAGTATTTGCGCGCAGCCGCAAGGAACAGGGGCTTTTATTCGTTCTCTGAACTGCTCGTACCAGTGGCCGGACGTCGCCTGCGGGTGCTTGTCAAAGGTGAGCTTCACAATCCGCACGGACATAAAACATTGCTTATCATTTTACTTACCTTATGAAGTGTCTCCTGAATTTATACATGCACAAATGGCTCCGTTGAAGACGTAGCGACGATGGTGCTCATGGGTGCCTGTGGTAAGTTCGGAGTCGAGGTGGCATTCCGGCGCTTCCGAGGACCCCACATTTTGGGCGCTCATGTGTACATATGGGCGCTTCCAAACTTTCCACTTTTCTTCCTTCGCGATTGATCGTCTTCACTATGTTATACGCTGTAGGGACATCCTGGATCCAACTTTACCACCGTGAAAGCAAGCTATGCATTGCGTCGTATGGAAACCAACATATGGGTACTCATCTTGTCGCGGTGTATCTCCACTCCCATGCACTCTTTCAACAGCATACTGGAGTGGTGACTCCTGTGAACGACGTACTGGCCGAGTGAGCCCGCCTCAAGGCCGCCTGCGCAAGTACAACTCCAGCCCACATGCATTTACCTTGTAAGGCTATACATTCAGACTTCTCTCTGTGGCTCATTTCCAACAAGCCCCCTCAAGTGGGTCCCTGGGATAACGCTGCGCCTATTTCCGAGCTTATCTGGATACTGCCGACGGTGTCCCGCTTCCGATGACTGGGTTCTGTGCTTGGGCTTCTCGAAACTTTGTGATCGAGTCCCTATCGTGTCGGACGATTCCACCGTAATCTGCGGCCTCGACGTCGACGAGAGCCTTTTACTCTGAGTCCTGTGTCGCGGGAACCCGTTAACGCAATTACACCACAAACGATGCCCCGCAAGATACTCATCGGGTTTGGGGTCGACGTCGACGCCGTTGCAGGATGGTGAGGTCAATTTCCACCGATATGTTCACACCAAGCTGACGCGTGGTAGGCTCGGCTCATACGGAGGCGAAGATTCCCCTCTTGACATATCGCGCGTAAGTCCGAGTCCCCGCCTGCTGTTTGTCGTCGTTTTGGCCTGTCCGCTTGCGCAATCCTCGGGCCGGATGTGCTCACCTCAACGGGTTTTGCGACACGCAGGGCCTGTACGCGGGCGAGGTCGGCGTGCCGCGTCTCCTGAAACTGTTCGCAAAGTACAACATCAAGACGACGTGGTTCATTCCAGGTGCGTCGAGCCCCTCTCTCGCCGTGTGGTGCCGGAGGTCGAGAATGTGAACGATCCCTTTCCAGGACACAGCTTGGAGACGTTCCCGGAGCAGATGGCTGCGGTCAGAGATGCGGGTCACGAAATGTGAGTGCGCCGATGCGGATCATACAGCGGGCATTTACGGAGAGTCGTTTCGCTCCACAGCGGTCTTCATGGGTACTCTCATGAAAACCCGGTGTCGATGACGGCAGAGCAGCAGAAGGACATCCTCGATCATACGTACGAGCTCCTTACACAGTTCAACAACGGTGTACCGCCCAAGGGCAGTGTTGCACCGTGGTGGGAGACGAGCAAGGAGGGCACCCAGATCCTGCTCGACAAAGGCATTGAGTACGGTGCGTCTGGGCCTCTATCTATGCAGTCCTCCCTCTGATTATCACCCTTCAGATCACTCGAACATGGCACACGAGTGAGTTATCAGCACAGACAGGAGGTCTGGTCTCTGGCCTGACCCCTTCGATAGCTCTCAGGCATACTACCTGCGCGACCAAGATCTGTGGACCAAGATTGATTACTCGGCGAAGGCGCACACCTGGATGAAGCCCCTCCAGCGCGGCAAAGAGACTGGCCTAGTCGAGATCCCCGCGAACTGGTGCGTGTCCTCGGAGCCGCATCGTGCGAAGGAGACATACTGACCGCATCTGTTTCGATGTCCCGATATCCCGCTGCCCGGCGTATATGCAGGTACCTTGACGACTTGCCGCCGATGATGTGAGTAGCGGCCGAGCGCCCCTGATGGGCGCGTCTAGCGCATGTACTTGTATGTCCTAACGGAGATGGCGTCAGGTTCATCAAAGCGAGCCCGAACTCTCACGGATGGGTACGTCCAACGTTCCTGTACAGAAGAACATACCTAGAACTTCCGTGACCATGTCTGGGCAGGTCAACTCGCGTGACGTCGAGCAGCTCTGGAAAGACATGTTCACATACCTCTACAGGTCAGTTCAACATTCATGCGCGTCAACGAGTGATCGGCGTTGTCTTGTTCCTTTGACTTGATGCTGACACCGCGTATAGGGAGGAAGAGAACTTCATTTTCCCGATCACTATCCACCCAGACGTGAGCGGGTACGTCCGTTTTCCAGCCTGATGCTGCTACGCACACTCACCCTGCCCTAGTCGCCCCCACGTTCTCCTGATGCTGGTGCGTTCTTCCCAGGTACTTACCACGAAGCGTGCCAACTAACTAACATCAATATCACACGCATCCTGCGCTCGCGTCCGCATCTCCGAACAACCTACGCCGTCCCTTACGTCCTCGCATGCGCCTCCCCGAACCGCCCCTACTCGTACTCAGGAACGCTTTATCGAGTGGGTCAACACGCACGAAGACGTGCAGTGGGTGCGCATGATCGACATGGCGGACGAGTTCCGCACACGCGTCGCCCCGCCTCCCGGCGCACTCATGCCTCGCGGAGTCGCGCCTCCCGCTACGACAATCGACGCTTGAGAACGCAGATTCGCGCGACGCCCTGGGCGCCTGGAGAGTGATGGCCGGCTGGAGGGTCTCGTAGCAATTCTCTCGGAAGTGCACCGCGCGAGTTAGGCGGTTCGAGGGGGTGCTGTAGGAGTGGTTCTTCGGGCATACCCCGAGGGCTGCGCGCGATTCCGGCATCGCTAGGCATGGAGGTTGGCGTTCTGCTGAGGCGCCGTTGATATGGGGGAGCGGAGAATTTTTGGGAGCATCTTTCACCTCTGTACATTAGCGCAGTAGCGCAATTCCTGTATCGTTGAAGAATGCGGTGGTTCTCCTAGGCTTTCTATAACCTACATGAATCGGTCCCGGACTCCCCGCGCCGAGCTGTGACCGTGTATCGGGTAGGTGCCTTGACCAGTCGAGGTGGAGCCATAGGTCCGACAGGTACCGCCGGGACACGTCACAGTTGCGATGTACAAGCTTGTCTCGTCCTCACTGTCCACAGATTTATCGATGAAGTATGAGGGTGTTAGTGTACACCGTGAAGGCTTAATCAAATTGTAGCATACGTCATGCATGGTGAACGAAGTTGAATACTTGCGCCCATACCTGATCGTTTGAAATTGCCTTGTAGTCGATCATATCTGAGCTTCTGTGCGTCTAATAGAGCCTTCCAACAGAACAAGTAGAAGATGAAGGCTGAAAGTAAGAATCATCAACGATCAATCGAAATCAGTAAAGAAGGCCGACCTTTGCCATGATGCCCGCGGAGTAGCGTGGCAGCAGCTCGTCCACCGTTCACAATCGACAACCTTACTTGGACCAAAGACGCAGGTAATCCAGGCGTGCATGCCGGCGAAGGTCAGATTGCAGAAGGACGTCTGGTGAGGTAATTGGCTGGGTGAACAAGCACGGCAGGCGCTCCGAATCGTTATATGAGGTGCCGACGTCCTCATGGATCACTGCGGCACGTCGAGCTTGCCTGAACATGCACGGTAGCGGCAGTGGATCATCGAGAACCCAGCATCACTTTTCGAGAGCGTCCTGTCATAAGAAGCGTCTCATGGATGGAGTACAGTGAGTGCATGACATACCCACTGTTCCTCACCCTAAAAGAATGAGCACACGATCGGGCCCGGCGACGACACAGGCACAGACAAAATCACCCAGCTTCGCGGCCACCCGCAGCCGCGACGTTTCGAACTGGGATCAGCGGCGTCTCCAGCTGCTTGCGACTCTCGCGATCGTGGGGCAGGCCGAGCACTGTGGGCCTTGGGCTGTGATACTGCGGTGGGTCTGCGTCTCGACGTGCGTGTGAGACCGTGGTGCGATTGTTGGTGAGCGGCGCCTCGGAATTCAAGAAACTGTCTGTTCGCTGAGATGAGACGTCGACAAGATCGCAAAGTCACATATAACACGTAAAAGGCTAGTGAGCGGCTGCTGCGAGCAAATAGGCTTGGCGAGAGTGAGGACGGGAGTGGCCGGATGGTGGTACTGCCCCAGCGAAGATGGCCGAGTTCAAACTATTGCGCGCTGCTGACGAAGAGAGAGGCGGCCGGGATGGGGACGGGGGACATGCACAGGGTTGCGTGCAAATTCGGGGGGTGCCTCAATTGAACGCGTCGCAACGCCAGATCTCGATCTGAGTGTGAACGACGGGAGCCAGATCGGGGAGCCGACCCCTTTGACGCGGTAACATCCCATCATCCCACCGGCACCAACGACTGTGACAGGGCCTCAGCCTCGCGTAGGCTGGACATGGCCACGCCCTGCCGTCGACCAACCGAGTCCAACATGCTCCCTGCGCTACTAAAATGCCCAGTCCGTCGCCCGACCACGCTGATTTCTCCCCCACCTTCCCGCCCGTGGTTTGATTTTCCTGCGCTCCGGCCATGGCCACCCTGTCTCCGTGTTATCCCGTCAGTAATACCGCGTCTTCTTCGAAGAACCTTGATTTCTTCACCGTCACCGTTTTTCATGATGCACGCGCCCACTCTGCCTCCTCCTCGCGGCCTTCGTCATCCTCCTCGAGCTCGAGCTACCCATCTCCAGCAAGCACAACATACACCGACTCACCTGTGTCCTCCGTGACAGGTTCCTCGCGCTCTGCATCGTGGTCCTCCTTCCCGTCGTGCCCAAACAGCCGGCCACGACCTCTCCCAACCCCTCCAACACCCTCCGCGAGCCCTCGCACATCGCTCCCACCGCGCCCTCTGCCCCACCCGCCGCTCGTGCGCCCACAGTCAGAATTCCGCCCCGCCCGCCGATCTCTCCCCCTCCCAACGCCCCCAACCGTACCTGAGTCGTCATCCGCATCTGCCAGGCCCGCGCCCTCTCAGACTCCACCCCGATCGGTACCTCCTCCCGAACCAGCCATGCCCGCTGCACAGCCCACGACGGCCAAGGCAAACGCCACAAACCCTGCGGCGTCGGCGTCGGCATCCTCAGCGAGGCCAATCATGTCGCTCACCATCCCGGCAGCCTGGCCGGCAGCGGGCGACGCCGCGCCACAGCTGAGCGTGCTCACACCGCTCTCGCCGCTCTCCCCGATCGCGTTTGGCTTCCCCGGCCCGCGCGAGCTGCGCAAACGGCGCGAGGACGAGCTCGACCGGTGCATGAAGGACCTCGGGTTCGTCGAGGCGCCGTCGCCCGTCGGCCATACCAAGACGGCCTCGAGCTCGGCCTGCTCATCGAGCTCAGAATCGGACCCGAAGACGCGTCTTGGGGCACACGCACGCGCGTTCTCGGCGTCGTGTGCAGACGAGTCCGACGAGGAGCGCGACGTCGTGCTGCTCGTGGACGAGCATACGGACGATGAGCCGGAGCCGGAGGAGCACCCGACGCGCAGCGAGTCGCGCGCGGCGATGCTCACGCTGTTCGCGGACATCGACACCACACCGTCCCCCGTGGGACCGAACCCGCTAGTCGAGCCCGGGGTGGACGTGCAGGTGGAGATCGTGTCGAAGAAGGCGGCTGCGCGTACGCGGCGGCGGTTCAGCCGGAAGTGGGTGCGCGAGAAGAGCGGGAAGCGATTGACTGAGAAGGACTTCTCGGAGATCCTGTGTCAGTTGCGCAAGTTGCGGTGACGGACCGACTGTCGCAAGAAGGTGCGCTGCTCCGTCGGCCTTGCACTGTTCGGGAATTGTTGCTGATGCCTTCTCTCAGATTTTGAAGCGGCTGCGTAATGTATAGCTTGTACTTGATATTCTCCTCTCGGTCCGACCCCGCTCTGCAACATTCATTTGTACATCCTCCCACATTTGCATTAGACCGTGACTGGGGTAACTTATTAGTGGCCTACTGGTAACTGCAGAACATGGCATAATATGATTACTCTATTTTTCAACCGCCGCAAATAGGTCTCAGTGTAGTGCCTGCAGCATCTCCGGCCCTAAAGGGCATCAAGACACCATACGTTCCACCTCCGCATCCGCTCGCGCTCCGGTGACGGCATTTTATATCTGTGCAGTGCTCAACCTCTTAGATATGCATGAGTATGAGTAGCTGGCGCCGTGCGCGGGACAATATTCGCAACGTTCCAATGCTGGGTAACATATCATAAAAGGTAAGATCACAGCTATGCGCGTCCTCTATTTGGGTTAGCACTGAAGCTTTCGCCGCTCCGCGCTCTACAGACTAGACTCCGAGTGAACCCTCTCCGAGTCCGTGGCGGCGGTGTCGGTCCGACGTTTCTCAGTGGATGCGTGGTGACGCACAACACGACTCTGGGTAGATGTGTATTTTTCTTGTCACTCAGGCCTGTTCTCACAAATATTTGACCGTGACCAGTCCACCAAGATACGGTCCTCCGCATTTGCGCGCTCGCGCGCGTCGTGCAATATTCCGACGCGTTCATCACGTGCTGAGACATCGACGCGTCCGCGTCGGCCGCGGGCGCGTCGCGATCACTGCAGTTTCGTCTCTCGTCTCCTCCACTGCCCCCACCACCGAGCGAGCTCAGCAACGATGGCCTCAGACACGCTCTCATTCATCCCGCTCGCCTACCGCCTTTTCTTCCTCTACATCGAGCCCGTCTCCGCAATCGTCGGCGCGTTCTACGTTGGGGCTCGACCCTCCGAGTACCTCGCCTACCTGTCCTCCACCGCATCGAGCGCGAGCGTTGCCCAAGCCCCGCCGACGCCCACACTCATCTCGCTATACCAGCTCGCAAACCTCTACCTGCTATTTGCGCTGAACGAGCACCTCGTGCTCTCGTCCACGACATCGCGCCGCACGTGGCGCCGCCTGCTCTTCGGGCTGCTCGTCGCGGACATAGGCCACCTTGCGACGATGGTCCCGCTCGCGCAGGAGAAGGGCTTCGCGGCGGTGTTCCTCAACTTTTGGGCGTGGAACGCGATGGAGTGGGGCAGTGTCGCGTTTGTGTATATGGGCGCTACCATGCGGAGCTCGTTCTTGCTCGGCGTTGGGTTGGGAGAGATAGGGAAGGTTGCTCACAAGAAGAAAGAGTGACATCTCGCTGTATAGTCACTCTGTCATAGGCCCAATATTTAAGTGAGTGTAGTATTCGTCTGTTCGCGCATTCCTTGTTCCAACTAAACCTCCCTCCGCCTTTAGCTAGCAACTACAATGTATGTCAACATTCCGTCGAGTTGTACAATCCATAGGTGCCCTATACGCATCACAGTAAGGAGGTCTCTGATGCATGCCCGCCTGTAGAAATACTTACAGTCAACCACTCGGCCCCTCGCGGCGCTTGCTGTGCGGATCTGGGCACCGGTGAACGCGATATGACCGGGTAGATGCCGGAGCTTGACGCGCTCTGACGCGCCCACGTGACGTCAGATGCGTGTGTGGCGCTTGCCGGGGATACAGCGCGATTCCAAGGACCCGACCAATTTGGTCTCTGAATTGGTCCGAAGCGCCCGCCCCTAACGATCAAAGTCAACCCTAGAATCAGGTTACGAGACCAATTGTACCGCACGTGATCCTTCTAGGTACTCCCCCGCGAAGTTGCGGACGGCCTCGATGGGCACACACCAGCACCATGCACTCGGAAAAATATAAATTACATTGAATTAGACGTTTTGAACGTACTGGAGGGGTTTTAGACATGTTCAGAAGGAATACGCTTGTGGTACAGCATGTATACTTGACCAGGAAGAGCTAAAGTTACTCTATGTGCATACATTCGCGGCGGCGCGCCGCCGCGAACCTCCAAAGAAGCCAGAGGATATCTCTTGTAAATTTTGGGCACTTTGAAACAACTTTGAGCGTTGTTCGAGCACATAAACACCGTCCACCTCGTCCTCCGCTTCGCGGGTAGTCATAACATAAGCGCCCATATCCGTACAGTGCGGCGGCGTGAGCCGCCGCGAAGCTCTCGCAAATCCATAGATTTCTGACTCAAAATATGCAGGTAAGTATGGTTAATATGTATGCATCGTACGCGACGCTCGCGCAGAAGTCGCGCGCCAGGGCAGTCGAGTGCGCGCCCTTGCACGTCCCGAACGCGCCTTCGGCGCGCGCGACCATCCCACCCTGGGCACCATATATGGGCCGCTGCGCGGCCCGTTTCGCACCGTCCGAGCCCTTGGTATGACTAATTTTCCCTTGCCGGGTCGAATTTGGTGGCGTACGATGACAGCCGAAACTCGCTTACACTTGAAAGCTTTCGGCAGATGGGAGTCTTCATTAATGTTTCATTCTCATCCAAAACGTCAAGTATCTCAATAAGAACGTTTAGAAGTCACCGACCGGACATCTCTCTCGGAAGAGTAGAGCATGACGAGAGGACATGAGGTGCGCACTTACGCTTCACGAACCAGCGGGTGGGCCTCAAAATGGATCAGGCTGCATCCGAGTATGAAGTGATCTGCGTCAACTTCAGGCTGTGGTACATCGACATACAGGGCGAGTAGTACAAACAACAACTACGTAGTACGAAACTACAAGATGATGGCGGAGAGGGTCCCCTAGGGCGTGCAGGATCGTGAAGCAGACATTCCATCATGCGTAGTAATGCAACATCGACACCCGAGAATAATATAAGTTACTCCTGCGTATACGGCGGCGGCAACACAACGTTGTCATACAGCCTCAATCCCGAGTCAACGTCTCTCGGCGCCGCCGATACATCGCTCCGAGGGCCCGCGCGATTTCCGCGTGAGAACAGCGAGCGCAAGAGCGTATGCGCGCGTCCATGAGAGTCCGGCGGCGCGTGCCACGCCCCAGGAGGTAGCGCGCCAGGGGGCATCAGTGGCGCCGTGCCACTAGTAGACGAGAACGCCAGCGAGGCGGGGGTCAGAGGCCCGCTTTGGCTGTATGATGACTCCGGACCCGTGCCAGGAAGGGAGGAGAATGCGAGGGAAGGGGTATCAGGGTCCGAGCGCGTCCTCTGGCTCTTCTCCGAGACGGGAGAAGGGCTATAAGATGCAGGCGCAGATGGGCTGGGGGGGGAAGCGGTGCGCCTCAGAGGCGCCAGCAGGCCGGCCCCGCTCGACGCGGACGGCGCATCGGACTCGGGACGGCTCACGACGCTCTCGGGCGCGACTTCGGAGGGAGGCGCGGTGGGCGGTCTGTGGCCGAAGTGGCTGCCTGCAGGCGATACGGGCAGCGTGGCGCCCGTGTTTGTGGAGTATCGCATCGAGGGCTGGTGCCCAGATACAAACGGGTCTTGGGGCAGTGTGAAGGGGGCAACTGTGCCTGCTGAAACGCGATGAGCGCATGATCGGAGTAGGTGCAAGCAGTTGGCAGAAGGACATACCTGGAGTGGTGTCAGAGCGGCGCCGGCGTCGAAGCCACCAAAACGCGACGCCGAGGAGGACCAGCAGCGCGACACCAGCGATTGTAGCACCAGCGATCACGCCCGCATTCGAATGAGAGGAGCTGGACCCGGAACCGCTAGTGTTCGCGGCAGATGTTGGGTCCGGCTGTAGTTTGACCGGCACCGTAACGCTCACGGTCGATACAACGGTCGCGGTCCCGCTGGTAGACGTGACTGTTTGGAGAGACACAGAAACGGTGTTGGGCGAGGGCGTGATTGTCGGAGAGCTTGAACCTGACGTCGAGTTTGGCGAATGATCGATAAGGAAGTAGTCCAGCCAGAAAGTGTTCGGGCTCGTCCCATCCGTATTATTGATGAGAACGATATGGTCCCCCGGAGAAAGATCCTGCGCCGAGAAGAACGTGACGTTATACCGCGTCTCCCCCGAGGGCGTGACCGGCGCACTGTACGAGCCCGCGACCTGCCCGTCGATCAAGTACGTCGTCTTCGGCTGCCCGTACTTGTCGGAGGGTCCCAGCGTGCCGACGACACTGACTCCGGTGCTACGCAGTCGTACGTTCGCATTCAGTCAGGAATATGGGCGGGAGGCGAAGATGTGCGTACCGGTGAACGAGAGCCATGCCCTCAGTCCCGCGACGTTTGCTCCGTGCCGGGTCGCGTCGACTTCCGCGACTCCCTGGTCCCATATCCAGCCGGACGCGTACTGCACGCTCGGGTTGCTGTCGTCGACCAAAGACATGGCCGCCGTCAAAGCTTCCGGATTCCTGAAGCAGGGGCACAGCGTTGATGTAGGTGGACGTCAAGGGGAGGGAGAGGGTGGGAGTATCCACGGGCGATAGGGTTATATGTCGGGCAGGTCAAAGTTCATAGTCATCCGCCTGATGGCACAGCGCCTGATGGACGTTGATGCGAGAAGCATCTGTCAGGTAGGCAGTATTAGTGCTTAAAGAGTAGGCTCGTCGGTGATGCAGTACCTGGGATACTCACACCAGCAGCGGCCCGTGCTTGGAAGCTGTGCACCCTGGGTATGGAGGAGTATAAAGGGCGGGCGCGCGGCAAGAAGTGCCCATCCGTGTTCCGAGCTGCAAAGTCGCACTGTCAAGGTCAACGTTTCTGTTTCTGTTGACTGCCCGAATCTTCGGAGCGCGCACTGACCATCGGACACTTGAAGTGACCAACCAAGTAGCGCACGGTCCTCAACGCCTAAAAGCCATCCGGCGCTAAAACCCGCACGAGGGGTTCGTGATCTGATGGACCCCTGCGTGAGCCACGCGGAGCCCAGCACTAACGCATGATGCGGGCCTGGAAATCACAAGGTAGGAAAAGACACAGGATGCACTTGCACTGGGCTCAAGGCCGTACAGCAGGAGACTTCCTGGACCCACAACGGTACCAAAGTCGATCGACGATCGTCGACACTGCACCAAGAAAAACACCAGCGGGAAACGCTGTTTGCGGAGGCTCTCGCATCGCCACCGCGAGGATCGATGATCACCCACTGCGCTGCGACGATGAAGATCTGACCGTGATCGACCCCGAGGATATCGCCTCGGAGTCGCCTTGGACCCGAATGTTGAGTGCAAACATGAACATGCGTACCTCTAGACCGACCGCACATTGGCCATACAAACCAGATTGTAGCTCACATACAGCGTGATGTGCGCAGTCGAAGACAATGAGGGACTTCCACGAAGGACGGGGATTGGGGCGGGAGGAACTCCTTGTTGTGATGGCTTCCAATATCGTGAAGGCAGTCACTCAAAATCATGATATGGATGAGGACTCTGCTCGACAGCGTCGAATGGATTAGCGGTACAGATACTTCGGATCGCTCCCTATTGTTCCCGGCTTCAGAGCGGCAGACAGGCCGTGGACAACAAAGTCGATAGTTGGAAGCCTGTGGACGTTGGTATCAGAAAACCGCTGAAAGCCCGTATTACTGACCCTCCAGCGTAAGGCCCACAGATTGGCAGTACTTACTACTGATAATATTCTCCGCAAAGAGCTTTGGGTAAGCTGTACACGGAAGTCCCTCAATTGCTTCAACTTTATATTGGAACGGCGGCTTGTGCAGCAAATTTTGTGAAGTAATGAGTCTCGAGTGCAGTACCGGTGTCCACGGCGGAGTGTGAGTGAAGCTATGATATGTTGGTCGTCGCGGTAGCACGCAAGTACTGGCAAGTGCGAAGCCGCCACGGAGTACCTGGCTGGGCGGGTTATCTTATCTTATCTCTTTTTCATTGCTAGATAGCGTTAACTAGCGCCTCCTCGAACCTGACGAAGACCACGACGACGAGCCTTGAACTGCACAGCGCAGGCAGCGACAAAGGCTCAGTATCTCCTTGAAACGCATTGCATAATAATAAATTGCCAGCGAAAGACAATCTGTGAGTTTCCTCTCCGTCGGTGTTCAGCGGGGCTGACCGGGACCACTCGAACAGCGCGATCCCAGTATGCAGCAACTACTGCCCCGAGTACCCACCATACATTTCATTTCCCTTTCCAGAGTTGGCGCGCCACCTACAGTTCTCAACGATCTGCACACCGCAGAACCGATGCCTAACGATCTATCTTCCGAGCCTCGTCCCTGCGATCTTCCCGAGGACGTCCTGCATGAAATCTGGCTATACCTCTCAAGTCACGAGAAGTTGAACTTCTCTTTGCTATCGAAATCTTTCCATTCAGTCTTCCCTGTTCGCCCTACAAATGTTATTTGCAGCAGAACTTCTACGTTGGCTTCGCTGAGCCGCCATCTGGCCAGGAAGCCGGAGGACGCGATGTGTTTGGTGTCACTCGCGATCACCATCGACTTCTGCGGGCGGGAGACTACTACTACTGGACGGGCTGGACGGGGTGGACGGAGGGGAGAGCTGCTACATGATCTATGTTCGGTCATCTCGGCAGCCCAGAACCTCCGTCGACTCATCTGTATCTCAAATGTGGCGTATTGGAACGACCAAGCCAGAGGTGCATTGGAAGCCCTGCCTCGCCTTTCCCACCTCTTGATATCCAAATCCGGTGGGGATAAGCTGGTATACCCGCGTTCCTTGGTTTCTCTCCACCTCACTGGTCTCCGGGGCACACACCTAACTTGGCGTGATTTAGCCATAATCCTTTCCGGACTCCCTCTTCTCGTCGAACTTTTGTTTAAGGACGCCAGATTTTGGGAATCTGGCCTTGAAGAATCACATCCTACCCCACATCCTATGCTCCGCCGAATTGTCGCCTCGTCGCCCCACGCACAATATCACGACATTCCCGCCACTCTCCCACTCTCTGGGCGGCAGTTTCCCAATCTCAACACAGTCGTTCTGGAAGATACGGAATTATTCGACCTACGCGGTCTCTATTCCAAGCGAGATGAACAGACAGAGTACTCCAGTAAGCTTGCTGCTCTCGCTTCTGATACGTGACAAGGTGAATAATCGGACACTTGAACAGCAACAAAGTTAACAAGCCTTTGCGTTCGTGCCGGCGCTTTCACTCCTGGACTTTGGATCCAGCACGTAGTGAAGCTGGAATTTGCGTCAGAGCTTCGTTGGTTCGAGTTTACAAGCAGCGCAGAGGACTTCCGTTCCACGGTCAGATCTTTTGTGAGTCCCCCGTTTCTTTCGACGCTCACCTGAAGCCTTGTTGTAGCTCGGAAATTCTGATATATATTGCGCTGAGTCCAGATCAATGTTCTCTCCGGACATACCATTCGCGAGGCAAAAGCGCCGCTCCCGCTCATGTTTCTATCTATCATCGCCTGCCGAACGCGCAAACCGAAGAAACAAGACATCGACGATCAAATTCTCTGTGCACGCCTTTTGGAGGCTGCCGTGGTCGCCCTTCCTAATCTGCGCTATGTCGCGTTTGCGCAGATCCCTGACGATGTACTCCGTTCAGCAACACGAGAATACGGTCAGAGGCAGTGGCCCAATGCGCGATGGCAATGGTGGCGAATCATCAGGGGCGCCGAAGGTATTGAGGTCAGGGAGGTACCGACGTGGGAAGGGGAGAGGGTAAGGAAGTACATGCGCGATGCGGATATGGCCCATGCAGACGACTTCGATGGTAAGTCACTTCATACAGATATCCGTATACACAGCTAACGCGTCCGCCCTCTATTTGCAGATCAGTTCGAGGCGCTTCGTTAACTCGTAGTGGCCACGCCCACATGATATTTGCAAATGCAGTCTGTTGTCGAGTAAGCTGGAGACTCGGATGCATCCCGTGCCTGCCGACCGGGGCATCTCGCGCGTGCGAGCCTCTAGAGCATTCTCTCAAGCACGATCGCGCGCACGATGTCCTGGTCGAGAGAACAGGTACGGGATAAGCGCTTGATAATCATTGTGGGTCCATGCTCCTTTACGGCTCGGCGCGCTTCAGCGATGAGCGCCGCCGCTCTGACCACGCATCTTCGCAACTAGAATTCAGGTACCATATCGACTTATTCCTTCTGCTAGTGCTAAACGACCTGTTCCGACGTTTAGGAACTACACATCTTCGGTCTAAGATCACGGCGCACGGCAGTCGCTCACCGGGGAAGGTAGACAACATGAGACGGACCGCGTTTCTCAGCGCCCATCTTGCATATTTGTGTTCTGTTCGGAACTAATTAGCACTGTGTGTACAGCGCGGAGAATGCTGAAGAAGCACGGGAATCGTTCGGTCTAGGCACCTGCCCTACCGACATCTCCGTGTCGTAGAATCTGTTAAAAGCGTCTCCAGGGCCATCTTGTCTACTAGTAGGGAATTTGTCTCTCTCCCTCAGCGGTTTGCCCCACTCTACGGACGGTCCCCTAGCCCGTGCCAACATGGGCAATTTACTCTCACAGACTTCAGCGATAGTCAGTAACCCAGCGTCCTGGGCTACGCCACTTCCACCGGACGAAGATGCGTCGCAATTCACAGTGTCGAAGGCAAAGTCCTTCGACTACGTGATTGTTGGAGGAGGTGAGTTATTTCTTGATCTGATAGATACGCCTAGCTTATATAGGTTCAGGTGCTGCCGGATGCGTTCTCGCTTCCAGGCTTTCTGAGGATCCTGCTGTCACGGTACTCCTCATCGAGGCTGGGCGGAGGTCGGTCCCCTGGTTTTTTGATTGAGGTCGCCGATTAAACAAGGCTTCTTATAGTCACAAGGAAAATTTACTCGCTCGCATGCCCATGGGCTTCGTGAAGATGTTTCGTAGTTCATGGGACTGGCAATACGAAACTACGTGAGTACGATCTCTGTTTTAAATGAGTATCGCTTACTCAAGACGTGCAGCCCCCAGAAAGAGCTGAATGGTCGCCGTGTCTCCTGGCCGAGAGGCAAGCTGTTAGGAGGCTCGAGGTCAGTTCGACGCCGTCAACCTTCCTATAGCGAGTGACTAGAACTTCATAGCTCTATGAATGCTCTTGTATATCACCACTGCGCTCCAGAAGGTACGACGATCAGTGGATTTTGCTTGTATGTTGACTGATGTCGTGTAGATTTCGATGCGTGGGAGAAAGAGGGTGCAACGGGATGGGGCTACGAGTCTCTTAGGCGGTACGCTTGCTCATCGTGCGAGGTTACTTTTACTTAGGTCTGCGAAAGGTACTTCCTGCGCTCCGAAAGGTACATACCCGATCCAGCACATCCGGGAGTGGATGTCTCCTTGCGTGGAAGCAGCGGCCCGGTGGTTACTCGCTACAGTGAGGTCGCCGTAAGTCTGTCCAGTAGTCCACCACTCTTCGCAGTATCTGACGTCTAGTCTAGCCCATCATGCCCGTCGTTTTAGAAACGGTGAAGAACATGGGAATCCCCTTGTCGGAGTGAGTCTTCGTTATCGAGGGCGTGAGGCTGCCCGACTCAACATCTACTAGCGACTTCAACACGCCGCGAGGAACACTGGGGGCCGGAAATTTCGTTGCTACTATCGATGCAAAGCGCGAGAGTAAGCCCGGTCGACACGGTCGCACCCCATGGTGTACTGACGTGCAACATGTAGGGAGCTCATCAGCTACAGCGTATCTCAACGACGCGGTCCTCCGCAGGCCGAACCTTACAGTAGCTGTATCCGCTACAGCGGAGAAGATCATCTTCTCATCCGGCAGTGACTCTACGCCAATTGCTGCTGGCATCCAGGTCTCGACAAGCAGGGCTGGGTCGCGCTTCGTCATGGCTGCTCGAAAGGAGGTCATTCTATCGAGCGGCGCCATCGGAAGCCCCCAGTTGCTCATGCTGTCTGGAATTGGTGCCTCCGAGCAGCTCTCCAAGTGGAAGATACCGATTGTCAAAGACCTCCCAGCAGTCGGACGCAACCTGCTGGATGTGCGTAAGAAAAACCGCAGCAAGTGACGTCTATCTGACCCTTTGTAATGCAGCATGTCTCCGCAGGCGCGTTGCCGTTCCGAGCAAAGCCCAATCTCACCTGGGACCCAATTATACACGACCCACTGAGGGCATTTTTGGCGTTCGTGCAGTGGATGACCATCGGCACTGGGCCGTTCAGCACGAACCCGACCCACGTTGGTATATTTGTTCGCGCAGATGACCCGAGGTGAGCCCTGCGTCATACATTGTCAATTCCAACATCTGATTGCGCGCCAGTCTGCCATACGGACAAGACTTGCATATCAATGACAACTCATCTGGGCCCGGTGCTCCTGAGATAGAACTCGCCTTCACTCCATTCACCGTCGTAGACAGCGGGGCACGCAAGTTTCCCCGCGGGACATGGGGGATAACCGCCGTAGGTGCAAACCACGTATATCACATTCAGACTATCTCTGATGTTACGATGCAGGGGTCGCTTCTACTCAAGCCCGAGAGCACAGGCTCCATTGAGTTACGCTCTACGAGTATCTATGACCATCCCATCATCAACGCTAAGTGCGATCTACGACGTAATTCTCGTCATGTTCCTTTTAACGCCCATCTCATATAGCTACTATGCGACGGAGACCGACTGGAATGTCATGATCAAATCCGTCCGTCTCCTCTTGCGCATCGCTAATACGGCTCCACTTTGCGACGCCCTTGATATCCGGACCTCCGACGCCACGCACGATGATGTTTTCTGGCCCGGCGATGCTGACCCTGACAAGGTAAGTATGTTTGCGCTATAGCGAGCCGCCAGGCTTCGTTATCTCATTCCTCCATCACCGACCTCTGTAGATCACCGACGACGAGATCAAGGCCTTCATCAGGAAGCGGGGCCAATCTGCCTGGCACCCAGTGAGTTATGCTTCATATGCTACTGCCCGAACGGTGCTGCTCACATGCATTCCCATAGACGACCTCTGCGAAGATGGGAGTGGACCCTAAAGATAGCGTTGTCGATCTCCAGCTTCGGGTCCACGGGATACCGAACCTTCGCGTCGTCGATGCCTCCGTTTTCCCAGACCAGGTCTCTGGTCACCCGTGTGCTGTCGTTGTGGCGATCGCCGAGAGAGCTGCAGACATCATCAAGGGCGTGGTGTGAGGCATCACCGCACGACAGCTTGGGGCAGCGACCGCTTGTATTGACAAAAAGCGCTCCGCGCTGTTGTTTGGCATCATCGTTATCTAAACATGCATCGTATAAATTCAGAAAATCATAGATCAGATATGTCACCTCCTGTAGACCTACAAATACACATGCTCTACTCAGTCGTGAACTGCAATGATAGATATTAGTCTCTTGTTTTCCACCGAATTTGTTGGAGCAATCGAGAAAACGTCGGCAGGAGTAAGAAAAGACTAGTATTCCGTTTGTCCCGTACGGTAGCGTCGTGGTACGAAGGCAAACGGATGGCGTACAAAACGGGTCGCGCGTACGATACTGAACGCTTCGGCAAGCGCCGGCGAGCAGGCGCTCGCTCGCTCGAAACCAAAATCCGACAGAATTACCCTGAGCTGAACTTCTCATGCACATAGGCAGATTCGCTCAAGGATTTAAGCTCACCCAATAATGAAGGGTGTACAGTCGTATAGAAGGCATGTCTCGTCCGTGGTGGTGCGGTAGGTTAAACGAGACTTGGAAAGAACACCGCCACATCGAGGACCGATATTAGGGCGCCTACGCGTCGGAGTCGAAGGCGTTCAAAGTTTGCGAGCTTCTCACTTGACCCCCCACCTTGAACTGGCCCCTTTGGACGACCACAGCTCGGTTGCGTGAAGACGAGCATCAAGCTGCACTGATATAAAGACTGTTGGGCCGCTGTACGGATTCAAAGTCAGGCTTCAACAGCACTGCTTCAAGCTGGGCCCTACGATAAATCATTGCGTAATCTATTCCCCGAGCTGTACATATCGCGAGAAACGGTGAGCTGCACTTGCAGTGGCACTAGTTCATGCGATTTTATAAGTAATGTATCTTCATCGTAGGCAACATGACACCGCGACCAGAGCACTGCCAGAGCTACTGCCATCCCGACGACGACGAGGAGTCCGCTGTCTCACCCGCCCAGCTCAAGTGCTGCGCGGGCTGCAAGAAAGTATGGTACTGCAGCAAAGTCTGCCAGCAGGCCGACTGGCGCCGCCACATCTTCCATTGCAACCCCAAGCGGCCCATCGGCACCGCCTACTACCTCTCGCGCGCGTGCGAGGAGGGCCTCCTACCCGTGCACACGCAGACGCGCAAGGACTTCGGGTTCGAGAAGACGGAGGAGCTCCTCGGCGCGCACGCTCAGCACAAGCTCCTTGGGCTCTTCTATGGGGTCTTCGCGTACCTCGACGTCTCGGAGAAGGAGGTGCAGCGCTGGCAGGCGGAGGGCCGCATGGTCGAGGAGGTCAAGGCGGCGTACGCGCGCCTCGCCCCGCGAGACCGCGGCGAGTTCTACGAGTGGTTCCTCGCGCACCCGTACGTTCTCGACGGCGCGCCCGCGGACCCGCAGGCGGCGCAGGAGGTCACGCGGCGCGCCGGCGGGGACGCCATCCGCAGAGCATGGATGATGTCGGGCGGGTCCCCGGACGACAGCCTCGAGACGATTGAGCGGAGCATCCACGCGCTCCCGCGCCAGGTCCAGGCGGTGCACTACTTCTACCGCCTGCTCATGTTCGAGGTGCACCCCGCGCCGACAGCGTACCACCAGTGGATCACGTTCGGGTTCGTCGCCGCGCTCCGCCAGGCGGACGAGCTGCCGATCGGGCAGGCGTACTCGGACCTCATCTTCAAGCGCTGCACGTTCGCCGAGTTCCGCACCGCGTACCTCTCCGGGACCATCCTCGCGCTCGCGGAGGCGTATGGGGTGAGCTTCTCCAACGCGAACACGCTCCCCGCCACGACGCGCGGGCTGCGCGACGTCCTCGCCGAGTCGCCGCGCCGGTTCAAGACGGTGTGGTATTTGAAGCAATACATCGACGAGGTGCTGTGCGCAGACTCCGACCCGCCGCCGCGGCCGCACAAGTCGATTAGCACGGACTACGGGTTCGGGAACTGCAAGAACGCGGAGGAGACGAAGCTGCTGGAGGAGCTGTACACGAAGTATTTTGTGCATGCGGGCGCGGACCCGCTGGAGCTACACAAGGCGTGCATCGCAGGGGAGTTGATGAAGTATCTGGGGGAATTCGTCAAGTTGAAGCCGAAGACGGAGAAGTATAAACGGCTGCTGAGGAATTCTTATCCGATGCCCAGCAGAGGGGAGTTGCAAGGTAAGCTAATATACTGCATCTGCTTTGAGACAAGACCTGAGCGCTGAATATGGTTTATCATCTGTAGGGGTAGCTCTCATGGTTTGACGTGGACTGCGTGGAAGCTGCCCGACGTTTTGAACTTTGGTTCTGTCTCAACCCAGTGTACGCTGTCGTCTGAAGACCGATGTGCCACTCATACATGTTGTACAGTATACGTTGTTTGTCTGACCGATGTATCAAGCTACCTTCCCGCGAGCGGCATGACAAGATATCCAGAGTTTCTTACATGATAGTCATCCGGATACAAATACAAGATGATCCTGACTCGATAGTTCCCTCCTAGTAAAAAAATCGGTCTATGCACGCGTATAACCCATCGCGCTCGGGGAGCGCAGACGCCTGAATAGCGCCATCAGCGTCCGCCCACCCTCAGGTCCCCACCTAACGCAGTCCGTCAGCAATACGCCACCACAGAAGACGCATACAAGCACTCACTCGCCACTCGCGACCTCCTCGCAGCACTGCTCAAACTCGTCCGAAACGGACACCTCCTCCCACTTCTCCACAACATAGTCCTGCAAACCACAATCAGCAACACGCCTCTCAGACACGCAGGCGAAACGCACCTCAACGATCCCATGCAGCTCCTCCCACGACGCCGACGCAAGCAACACCGCAAAACTCGCGCGCGGCGTGATCGTCGCCACGATATGCTCCAGCGCGAGCGCGCCCAGCCCCGGCATCCCGTACCGGTGCGCGAGCTGGTACATCGACAGCGCGCTCGCGGGCGGCGGCGGCGCGGTTGGGTGCGCGTGCGGGTCCACCGTCGACAGCGGCACAGCCTGTGGCGGCGGGCGTGCACGTTGCTTGTGCGCAAAGTGTGACGCGGACGGGGAGACGGGCCCCGGGACTGGCACGGGCACGGCCTTGGTACTGCGCGAAGTTGACGGGGACGTCGGCGGGTTCGCCATCGAGACCGTGAGCCCCTGGGTTGGCCCAGACGGGCCATGCGAGGGGCGGCGCGCGGTCGTGGGAGGGTGCCGCGACGGCGACGACTGCGTCTTCGACGTGCCAGATCCGCTGCCAGAGTGGCTCGTGCGCATGTTCGCGGGGACCTGCGGCACGGGCTTCGGCTTCTCGCGCGCAGCGTCGCCAGAGGACCGTCCGCTCCCGCCGCTCGTGACGCTGCGAGAGTCGCTCGCCGGGGGCTCGGACACGCCGGGGCCACCTTTGTGGAGCACCTTCCAGTCCCACTCGTCTGCGGTGCCAGGGGAGCAGAGGTCGCGCGCGCTCCAGCCGGCGCCGACACCGTCGACAGCTTGACGGGGGTCGTCGTCTGCGCGGAAGAGGAGCCAGTTCGCGTAGACCCACTTGAGCAGCCAGTAGATCGTCGCGAAGTCCGCTTCTTCCACGACGATGGTGTACACCTTGCGCTCCCCAGGCAAAAGCGTGCTCGCGTTCTCGGAAAACGAGGAACCGAGCATTGTCGCGAAGTATTCTGAGCGGCGGATGAGAATGTCCGAGTGCGCGTACATGATACGTTTCCGGGCGAGGGTCTGCGTCGCGGAGGAAGACTGGGAAGACGTCGAGTGCGGGCTGGTAGGCATACTTGCGCTCAGTGATTGCGAAGAGTCGAGTTCCAGCGAGGTCGTCCGCTCAAGGCACACAAACTGGACGTCGCCGGTATCTATGCGAGGTTAACAAGAGGTACTGACGAATGCCACTCGTGACTTACTCGGGTTGTCAAGGGAAGCCTCGAGACCTTCCAATAGGTCTCGAGGAACGTAATACGCCGACGGCTGTTGCGGGTAGAAAGGACCAACAGGCGAGTGCAACTGCACACAGATCACGAACGAGTCCGTCTCCCGGATCCTAGGGTTCTCCAGAAGCATAGACAGCGGCGGAAGTGCACACTCTAGAAAACACACATGAGAACTTGCTCACAGTCGAACAGAATGGGCTAGACAGCCAAACACATACCCCAAACTTCGCGGTCTTGCCCAAAGACCCAATTACTCTGCCAGTTCTCCCATACCCATTCTGCACGCGCCCCGCGCTCGCCGACGCGGTCGTCCTGACACTTGACTGCGGCGAACATGGACGCCGACAGCTCATACTCGGGATGCCCGTAGTCAATGGACAGGCATGTGATATGCAGGCAGAGTCTAGGAGGCTCCGTACGTATAAGAGGTACGGAGGGGTCTGTCTCCGCCAAATCGTTGTCACGGGTTATTGCTTCACACGCGAAGGGTCAGCGTGCGCGCAGATGAACGTATATATGTGACCTACATATTTCCAACTTGAACTTGCCATCCCCAAGCTCGGGCGACTCTTTGAGGATCTCAAACTCCTCATCGTCGGGGGCGTCGTCGCCTTCGGTGGCGGGTGGGTTCTCGACGTGATCTCTGAGCTTGCTCAAGTCACGAACGACCCACTCAAATGCCTTTGTGCGTGATTGCAGTGTGTGAGCAGTTGCACAGCAGAACCCCGTACATGTCATTGCTCACATGGAAGTTCCACTGCCGCGTCGTGGTGTCCTCCGGCATCGTACTCTGGCTGCTCGCCCTCGCGAAGCCCTGCGCCGTGGCCGAACTGGGGCCCGCAGCAGAGACCATTATGGTAGCGGGGTTCGAAGCTGAGGTCGACGCGCGCGAGTCCCAAGTTTGCGAGCTGTGGACAGAGCTGCTGGATGAATGGAACGAGCCTGAGACCGAGGACGAAGAAGAGCGGTGTGAGTAGGTCGACCAGGGCCAGTGGGGGCGGGAGAGCGGGGAGGGGCGACCGGGCGAGTTGGAGAGGGAGATGGGGCGCGGGGAGGACATGGAACGCGCTGGAGGAGGATACACGCTACGATGAGCTAAAGAACCGTCCTTTGTGTGCGCACTCGATGAGCGCAGGAAGACGGCGGGACGGTGGCGTTGCGACGCGCGACATCCGAAATGGAACGCGTCCAACACGTGACTTCCCTTGTACGTACTCTTCCGCCGCGATGCCGCGAAGTTCCTCTACATAAAGCTCCGGCGACGTCCACAGCCCAAGTCCTCAGATTCAGAACATACGGTACGATGACATCTATATCTTTATTTCTATTCACAAACACCCAATTTGCGCGCGCGCGCGCGCACCCTACAAATTCGAGAAAGAAGCAACACCGAGCCCGACCCAACATACAACAGATAACCTAGTCCATTCTTCAGCACCATCTAGAGTCAGGAACGTCCCAAGTGCCGACCGTGTACGTAATCCAGAACCACGATCGCTATAGGGAAATTAATGTTACTGTCAGGGCAACAAGAACAGACGAAAGTACATACCCTTTGTTCACAACTCCCCGCGCCCTGGTACTGCACACGGCGCAGCATTGCGGGTGTCGTCGCGCACATCACATTCGGGTCTTCTCCGTCGCTGACCCCCGACATCGGAGCCTCGTAGCGCTACATCCAATGCTGGTCAGAAAACGACGCAGGATCTGTGCGTTGAGTGATACTCACGCGAAGGCCGGGCTTGCCAGGGGCACATCCCTAGATAGTCCCCAGTGAGTACGCTGCATGTCCAGTGCTGAGTATGACCCGGGACGTACTTTGTCGCTGAACCGGCCCCAGTTCGACACACAACCGGGCTCGCCGGAGTTAACGTACCAAGTCCCCACGACCTCCCCCCGGTCCTGCGTGATCCATAAGCAACGCCACACACATTATCAAGCAACAAAACCACTACAGTACTCACATTCATCTCGCAAACGTCCAGCTGCGACACGTTCCGCCCATGAATCACCACCGGCGGCATACCATAGCACACCTCGAGCCAGTTCAAGCCCGCCGGGACGTCCCTCAAGTACGCAGAGTACGCACGCGTCCCATACGCACGACACCGCGCCTCCCCGCGCGGCTCCGTCCACCACACGCCCTCGCTGCGCCTCTGCACGTCAAGGCGGTGCCGCGCTTCCTCTTCCCGCTGCGCCCGCCAGTCCTCGAGCTCCGCGCGGTGCGCAGCGCTCGCGCGTTCGTACGCCGCGGCCTCTTCCGCAAACTCTGCGCGCGACTGCGCCCAGGTCGCGCTCTCGATGCGCCATTCGCGTCGGAGCGCGGCTTTCTCGGCCGCGGGGACATCGTTCAGCGGGCAGCGCACGAGCCCGGCGTTCTGGCTGAGGAAGAGGACGATGGCGATCGCACCAATACCCCAAAGGAACAGGTGCAGTGCTCTGCGGCTCCGATGGAGGCTTGCGACGCGCTTCCCCACCACCAGGGGCGTGTCTTCGTCGCTGAGGGGGCATCCGGCGATCGACGGTCCTGCGTCCGTAGCGCTAGCCGGCTTGGGCTGCTGTGGCGCCGTCGCTGTCCAAGGAGGGGGGAGTGTGGTGTACACCGGGAGAGGCTCCCAGGGGATGTAAGCCATGGTCGCGGGGATCGAGTAGAGTTCTGGGGAATCAGAGGGTGGGGTGAGGAGTATTTGAGGGTCGGTGGGCAGGCCCTAGGACGCTCAAGTACAACGGCTGCTGTATAGCCTACTTCGTTGGCGCCGCCGGGTCGCCGCAGTCACCTTAAGGTTCGTTCTGGCATCCATGACAGGTTATATCATTGCCTTGATCCGTTAAGAGCGATGCAGAATTAGCATCCTCGTGTCGCGTGCTATACTGCGTTTTATGTCAGAATGTGTGGTGTTTGAGCAACGTAGACATACCTTTACGCGTCTGTTTCGCGAGCTTGAAGCAGGTTAGAGAGCGGATGTGAGAAGCAAAGTAGCACATCTTTCCGCTCGCCACACAGCCCGCCGGGAGAACAAAGAACGCGGCAAGAGCTTATAAGGTTGCAGAATCGAGGGGTCTTCGCTACGAATACGAATACAAGGTATGCAGGTCACATCATCGCTCTCACCTCCAGGCCACGTCAACACCGCCACGCCACGCACGGACAAAGTGCACCTAGTACGTCTCCCAGTACGTGTCCGGCAGCACCCCGCGCATGATCTTCCAGTGCCCGATCGCCTCCTTCGCCTGCCACTCCCCAAGCGGGTTCGCACCGTCCTTCAACAGATACTTCTCGCGGCCGTCGACGGGTATGCTGTCGATGACCTCCGACAGGTCCGCCTCGCGCTCGGGGAGCTGCAGGAAGACGTGGCGGCGGAGGTACGAGCCGAGGAAGTCGGCGTCGACGGGTCTGCGGAACTCCAGCGGCTGCGGGGAGAGCGTGCAGAAGAAGACCTACAAATGCAGTGCTGTGTGAGATTTGTGGTAACAGGTAAGACGGCAGAGCTCACCCAGTTGAGGAATTCGGACGTCATGTTGTGCGACTGCTCTAGAGAATCGTAAAATGCGCGGCAGCGCGGGAAGGAAACCTGCAAAGTGTTTATGACGGCTTTGCCCGAGTCTGACGTCAGAATGCCAGCGAAGTTCTACCAGAAACGAAATCAGAGAAACACTCGAGTGAATTGCCCAGTCCGATACGTACCACAACGACAACTCCGTCAGGTCGGACGATGTTCTTGAGGTCTTTCCAGAACTCGAAAGTGTAGAGGTGACTAGGGACGCCTCCGCCCGAGAAACAGTCGTGCACAACAATGTCGTACAACTCCGGCGAGGCAAGGTCGCCATCCGTCACCGGCGCAGTCGCGGTAGTCGACTCAGTGAGCGTCGCACTACGATTGTGGACCCACCCCCGCGCGTCCTGGATGAACAGCTTATCGGGGCCAGGGTCCGGTACCCCAAAGAAGCGGTGGGCGGCGTCATACACGGCCTGGTCGATTTCGATGATCGTCACGTCGAGACCGTGCCTGTCAAACGACGTCGCCGCTATCCCTGCACCTAGACCGCTATACAAAAAAGAACAACCCCGGGTCAGCTTCGTGTCCGGCGCAGAGTAGGCTCTTGCCGAATATGGCGGCGCACATCATCAGGGCGTTCTTCGGCGTGCCGTTTCCGGGCTTCTTCACCACCAGCCGCGCGGCTTCTTGGAGCACGAACGCGCTGTATATCGAATCACCCAGGCTCTCGCCGGCTTCGTCCGTGATGACCGCGCTGGGCTCCTCTGCTGCGGCCTTAGGCCCGACCCATACACCCCCGAGGAGGGAGTGTCCAGCCCGGAGGTACCGCAGGTAGTCCATGTTCCCGATATTGTTGGGATCCTTCTGGAGTGTTTGGCCGACGACAACGACACCCGAGTAGGAAGATTGCACGGACGAAAGGATTCTGAGCTCGCCAGACGGATGTGTGTACGGCTCAAGAAGCGGTTTGGGAAGCGTCGGCCCCCGGAGGATCGTCGTTGTCAGGAACGGGAACAGCGGAAGAAGAGCGATCCGCAGTTTGCTGGCGGTCTTTTCTTTCTGAGGACGGGGATGAACGGGAGGAGGAACGGCAACGGGCGTGACTTTCTCCGGAGTGTTCTTCTTGCCCTTCTTCCCTTTCGCTGGTGAGGGGGATGGTTCCACTGCTGGTTCAAGTACCTTCACGACAGGTGCTGGTGGCGGGCGAACGCTGGCCACGAATGGCGCCAATGCCCACAACGAGGCACATACTGTGCCTAATTGAAGGAACTGCAGATCGAGGAGCGTTAGCAGCGACGCTATGTAACGTCTGCATGCTCACAATCTGAGTGTCGGGGAGTGTGGCAATGAATGGTACGGCAGGCCACAGGCCTTGGAGCGCGTTTACCGCCGTGGCGCACACGGGCAGAGTCATTGTAGACTGCGGCGCGCTGGCGTCGTCTTTGGCGTACGGCGCTTCCTATAAAATATATGAGCTGAGAACGTCTCACTTCAAGGGCGGAACCTACTTGCAGTGCCTTTACGAGGGCGACACCCAGAGACAGAATGGGCAGCAGCACTATGAGATGCGTTGCTACTGGGCCCCATACCGGGTCGCCAAGCCTACCAGTATATGCCGCTACCCAGTACGACGAGTAAGGCAGGGCATACAGCAAGAGCCCGAGGCCTAGTGTAGCTCGAGAAATTGGTACAGACGGGGCAAAGGTGCCGAGGATAGACGCAGCCCATACGATCTTGGTGAGATGTAGGCTGACGGGTGCATCGCCATATAGGGGCTCGAGAGAGTGCTTGTACGTGAAGGTGGCGAGCGAGAGGCCGAGGAGGATGGCAATGGCAGACAAGCGCGTCACCGCAACCGCGATGACACTGGGCTTCGGAGGCTCGCGCACGCCGGTGCTGGCCAAGCTGGCCATGTTTGATATGTGACGGCGGTAGTTTTTTCTTCACTGAATGGGCAGCATAGACACAGCGTCGTGGGAGGTGGTGGGAGGAAGAGGGAGAACGCGGGGTCGCGTCCAGTGCGGTCGTGTCCGTCCAGGGATTTGCCGGGGATGGGCCGAAGAAGCAGCAGCAGACCCGAGATCTGAGATCTCGAAATCTGGGGAAGGTACGTCCACGTGATGCGGTGACGTCGTGGGGCAGCGAAGTGCAGAGACGCGTCGCCGCTTTGGGCGCAGATGGGCGAACACTCCAGACTCCAGCAAGCTGGGCTCTCCCCGCCTTCTCCACCTCTCCTTCTCTTCTCACCGCCATCATGCCCACCGCACCCCTCGACCCCAAGGCCATTCTCGCAGTCGATCCCTGGCTGGAGCACAATGTGGACCATATCGTCCACCGTCACGATCTCTTCAGGAAGTGGAAGGACACCATAGACGAGATCGAGGGTGGATACGACAAGTTCACCAAGGGATATGACAAGTACGGCCTTAACGTCGCGCCCGATGGCACCGTCACGTATCGCGAGTGGGCCCCGAACGCAAAGGAAGCCGTTCTAATCGGCGAGTTCAGTAAGTCTATGTCTCCGTGCGCAGTCATGTCCCATACCTCATTACACCCACCTGGACAGACAACTGGAATCGGATATCGCACCCTATGGTGAAGGACCAATACGGTGTCTGGGAGATCGTCCTGCCTCCGAAGGAGCCGGGCGTGTGTGCAATTCCCCACGACTCTAAGATAAAGGTGCGTATCGAGCATCCTTCTGGAAAGGATGCGTCTAACGCAGACGTGGTATAGATTTCCATGATCCTGCCGACTGGCGCGCGGATTGAGCGCATCCCGGCATGGATCAGGCGCGTCACTCAGGACCTCAGTGTCTCTCCTGTGTACGACGCACGGTTCTGGAATCCGCCAGCCGACCAGGTATACAAGTTCAAGAACCCGCGTCCCCCGCAGCCCAAGAGTATCCGCATTTACGAGGCGCACGTTGGTATCTCAACCAGCGAGCTCCGCGTCGGCACATACAAGGAGTTCACGCAGAACATCCTGCCCCGTATCCGGGACCTCGGCTACAACACCATTCAACTCATGGCGGTCATGGAGCACGCCTACTACGCTTGTGAGTTTCGATCGACATGACTTACAAATTATGATGATACGAATTCGAACGTCTTATACAGCATTTGGATACCAAGTCACAAGCTTCTTCGCCGCCAGTTCTCGCTATGGCTCCCCAGAGGAGCTCAAGGAGCTGATTGACACTGCGCACGGAATGGGCATCACCGTGCTGCTCGATATCGTACACTCACACGCGTGCAAGAACGTGCTCGATGGCCTCAACTTGTTCGACGGAACTGACCACCTTTACTTCCACGAGGGCGCGCGGGGCAGGCACGAGCTCTGGGATAGCCGCCTGTTCAATTACGGGCACCACGAAGTCCTCCGGTTCCTCATGAGCAACTTGCGGTACTGGCTTGAGGAATTCCACTTCGACGGCTTCCGGTTCGATGGTGTGACTAGCATGATGTACCATCACCACGGTATCGGTGCGGGCTTCTCTGGAGGATACCACGAGTATTTCGGTGCCGCCGCAGACCTGGAGGCGATCGTTTACCTTATGCTCGTAAGTCGTGAAATGCTGTCATTCGGGAGGTACCTTACTACCTTTGTAGGCGAACGACGCCATGCATGAGCTCTATCCGCATACCATCACCATCGCCGAAGACGTCTCCGGCATGCCGCTGCTCTGTGTGCCCGTGTCGAAGGGTGGTATCGGTTTCGACTACCGGCTGTCCATGGCCATCCCGGACATGTGGATCAAGCTGCTCAAGCACAAAACGGACGACGAGTGGGAGATGGGCAACATCGTGCACACGCTCACGAACCGCCGTTACGGCGAGCGGAGCATCGCGTACGCGGAGAGCCACGACCAGGCGCTCGTGGGCGATAAGACGCTCGCGTTCTGGCTTATGGACAAGGAGATGTACACGCACATGTCAGACTTGTCGGAGTACACACCGGTCATTGCGCGGGGTATTGCGCTGCACAAGATGATCAGGTACGACGGACTTGGATAGCTCTTGCTACTGCCGCTCATCGCTTCTTAGGCTGCTCGTGCACTCCTTGGGCGGCGAGGGATACCTGAACTTCGAGGGCAACGAGTTTGGCCACCCCGAGGTTAGCAAGGCGAGTGTTCCTGTAGACGCGCTACTGATCCCATGTCTAGTGGCTGGACTTCCCCCGTGAAGGGAACAACAACTCATTCCAGCACGCAAGGCGGCAATGGAACCTGACCGACGACCCTCTCCTGCGCTACAAGTACATGAACGAGTTCGACAAGGCGATCAACCATACCGAGGAGCGCTACGGCTGGCTGCACGCGGAGCCCGCGTACGTCTCGCTCAAGCACGAGGGCGACAAGATGATCGTGTACGAGCGCGCGGGCCTCCTCTTCGTCTTCAACTTCCACCCCTCGCAGTCGTTCACGGACTACCGCGTCGGCGTCGAGGAGCCGGGCGAGTACACCGTCGTGCTCAGCAGCGACGAGAAGCGCTTTGGCGGGTTCGAGAACGTGCTCCCGGGCGGGTCGTACCTCACGACCGCGCTCGAGTGGAACGGGCGCAAGAACTTCACGCAGGTAAGTGGCGCGTCGGGTGGAGAGCCCAACAACGAGGGGTTTCTGAGGGCGCACGCTGTGCAGGTGTATGTTCCGTCGCGCACTTGCATCGTCCTCGCGAAGAAGTAGTCGGGCGGACCGGTGGTCATGGTCGCTGGTAGGATTGAAACGGAGCAGGAGGAAATCCGGGATGATGAGCTGTAATTTTGTGTGGGCCCGTAGCCGTCCCATACGTTGTATTATACCGTGCTTTAGAGTCCCAATATGCCTCCAACAGTTCGAATCCAAGATGCGTACACGCCCAGTTCAAGAGGCTATCCGAGCGATATCTCGGCGGCCAGTATCCGGCCGGCGTACCCAGCATCTGCCGCGCCGTTGTCAGTCGACCATTGCCCGGACATCTGAGCGCAGATGTCCGGCGGCTCTCTGCCCTGCAAATCTCTGGATATCCAGCGCTAGAGACCAGCCGAGTGCTGGCGCTATATTCGGTGGTCATACGGCTGAGCTCGTTAAGACATCCTGTCAGCGCCAAAGCCTCTTTGGATGTGAAGGCCGAAATCTCCAAGTGCTAAGCGCCAACCACCAGCGCCGCACGATGGAGGGAGCTGTCGGGCGGCACTTGGGCGGCACTGTACTTTGCTTTGACCGTCACTTCCCTCCGCACGTCCAGTGTCCACCTGTCGCTGTGCCCTCCCTTACTCCTCCAACGTCACTCTTCTTGCTCACCCTCTCAGGCCGACTTCAGAGGCTGTTCTCGCATTCGAGTGAGTTCTCAGCTCATTAATGGCAGCTCATGCCAACAGTCTCGTGTATTCGTCGTCACAGTGCTCGTACATCCAAAACACCAAGGTAAGTTCGCCCATATATACGAGCTCGTCCTTGCACAACCACTTCCCTATCGCCCTCTACCCACGCCGCTGTCACGTATACTGCCAGTGCATCCCTGCCTCCGTCGAAGTCCGTCCCTCTCCTGCTGTATGTACTCATGTAAGACAGTACCTACAGCATGTCAATTGTATAATACGTCGTTTATCCCTACTATGCAATGCCTGCAGCCCCCGCAATCCAGTATTCTGCATTTCGGCCACTGACTTTCAGTGGGCGCCTGAGGTATGGCAGATATCTTGCGTCTCCCGACGAGAGAGCAGGATGGTATCCACGCTACGATCTCACGCGTTAACCGCTGGTCGACATCCAAGAGATATCAAGGCCGGGATATACGACCGACGTTTCGGCGCAAATACCCGTAGCGAATCTGCCCAATGTCATCAAATATCGCCCGCGTGAGATATCTTGGGATAACTTGTTCCACCGGGCGTGTACAGTACTCACCGGCGTAAACGCCGGATGAGCCACGCGGGTTGACATCATCTTGCCGAACTCAGCCGAACGCCTTCAGCCACAATGCCGTCGCTAGCTTGCTGAACGACTTGCTCTTGCTCATCGACTGCGACGACGACCGACTGCCTGTTCACGGCGCGCCCCATAACCACTCATTTCCACGTGAGTGCGACTTCGAGCTATATATACCGAGCACACGAGTGCGTACGTTGCCGGCACAGTCTCCTGCGCTAGTTCTCACGAATCAACCCATATCGCGTGCTTCGCGTGCGTCTGTACCCCGACGAACGCCCCGATAGCTCCATGACTCGCGCCTTGTTCTGAACCATCACCACCACCACCTCCCCCTCTACCGAGAGCGAGACCGACGATGGCCCACCCCGACGAAAAGCAGCCGTTCATCAAGAGCGAGCCTGCAGACGGCTCGATCCCCATCCCCATTGCCGCCGTGCCCGCGAGGGTGCGCGCGCCCCTCGTGCCCCGCTGGGCGCGCATCCTCCTGCGGGTGTCGCTCGTGGCGTGGGTCTGCGTGGTGCTGCGCAAGTGGACGATGGCGAACGTGGACGTCGTGCTCGAGGCGCACGAGGGCCAGTGGCTCGCGAGCGCGCTCGCCGGCGCGCACACCGGGCACCCGCGCCGCCACAAGATCCTCTTTGGAAAGAAGGCGGAGCAGAAGTTCCTGTAAGCACCCTCAGACAGCCTGTCTCTCTCGCTGGCCCTCTCACGCGTGTGGGGGAACTGTAGGACGGTGCCGAATGCGGCGAGCGCCATCGCCGCGTCGCGCCAGTATGCAACTAAGCCGCACATGGCGGGCACCCCCGGCGACTTCGAGACGGCCAAGGACTTCCTGACGCTCCTCCAAACCGAGCTCGGTATCTCCGCGCCCACTGACCTTCCCCTCTTCTCCGCCGGCACGCCCGAGTCGCGCAATGCGACACTCGGAATCACTAAGCTGCACAAGCCGACGGCCTGGATCGACACGTACTACCCGGTAATGAACACCCCGCTGGACCACAGCCTGGAGATCGTGGATGATGAGGGTAACGCGGTATGGACGGCGGCGCTTGAGGAGGTCGCAGACGACACAGACCCCGAGGCGGGGAAGTACTATGACGCAGTGACAACTTGGCATGGGCTCAGTCGAGGCGGCAGCGCGACGGGCAAGCTCGTATACGCAAATTACGGCACGAAGGAGGATTTCGACAACCTCGTCGCGAGCGGTAAGCCCAGGCGGATCGGCATGACGTATCGCATTGCTCACATCGGTACAGGAGTTAACTTGAATGGTAGCATCGTCATTGCGCGCTATGGAGGCAACTTCCGCGGACTGAAGGTTGGTAGTTCAAGGCAGCAACGCTACGGAATTTAGAGGCTGAGCGGGCTTTTACCTTACAGGTCAAGGGTGCCCAGGAGCACGGCGCCGTCGCCTGCTTGATTTACTCTGACCCCCGCGATGACGGCACGGTCACTGCAGAGAACGGCTACGCTGCGTAAGCTTCGGTCACTTAGCATCGCAGACGTATACCTACAGTTTACCTAGGTACCCGCACGGGCCTGCCCGTAACCCCAACTCGGTGCAGCGTGGCAGCACGCAATTCCTCTCTATCTACCCGGGGTAGGTACTTCTTCCGTAGAAGTGTGAAAGCGAGTCTTAACCGAACGTGAACAGCGACCCCACGACTCCTGGGTACCCCTCGTACGAGAACAGCACACGCACCAACGGAACTAACATCCCGTCCATCCCGAGTCTCCCGCTTTCTTGGGCGAACGCGCAAAAGATTCTGGCTGAGATCCAAGATGGCGGTCTCAACCGCACGATTTCGCTTGTGAACAACGGTAAGCAGCTTGTACGGCACACGCGTAGCCGAATTTGACGGAAGGCATTATAATTATAGTCGACGACAAGGTCATTCCGATCTGGAACACCATCGGTGTCATCCCGGGACATATTAAGGACGAAATCGTGGTCGTGGGCAACCACCGCGATGGTGTGCTGCATCCATATTGCTAAGTCGAAGCTGTGTGCTAATATATCGGCACAGCGTGGGTCATGGGTGCCTCGGACCCGTCGTCCGGAACCTCGTCTATTCACGAAGTCATCCGCGGCCTGGGCGAGCTGCTCCGGAACGGCTGGACGCCTCTCCGCACTATCGTGATCGCCAGCTGGGACGCCGAGGAATACGGCCTCATCGGCAGCACCGAGTGGGGTGAGGACTTTGCGAACTTCATCGACGAGCACGTCGTCGCGTACTTCAACCTCGGTACGCACAGCGCAATGATCCCTTTGAGGCTGTGATGCCTAACATGTTGTTGCTCGGACAGACTCGTCCGTATCTGGCTCCCGCTTCCGCGCACTCGCGACTCCCTCGCTCGCCCACTTCGTGCGCGGCATCGCCGAAGAGATCGAGCACCCCACGAAACCTGGAAAGACCCTCTGGGACGCCACGAAGGACAGCGGTGTGCTCACCGGGGACCACATCGACGCCGAGGCGCTTGCGGCCTACGAGGCGTCCGAAGTCGAGATTGCTGCTGACGGCACTGGGGTCGGTCTTCTTGGCTCTGGAAGCGACTTCACTGTGTTCGTGCAGCGCACTGGTGTATGTGGAGCTATTTCTGTCTTTTGAGACATGTGGATGTTGATGCGGTACGCTCGTTTGCAGGTCGCGTCGAACAACATCGGGTTCCAGTCGACGCTTCAGGACCCGGTGTACCACTACCACTCTGTCTTCGACTCCGAGCGGTGGATGGAGACTTACGGTGACCCCGGCTTCGGTCGCCATGTTAGTGCCTCCCACTATAATGTTGTTGTCCGCAAGCTAACCCTTCGCATATAGGTGGCTATCGCGAAGCACCTCGGCCTGCAGACCATTCGCCTCGCAGACTCCATCGTGCTCCCGATCAACACCACGCACCACGCCGTCGAGCTCGGCAAGTACCTCGACAAGTGCGTCCCTCTCACTACTCACACTTCGTATCGCCCGCTCATCACGCAAATTCACACACAGAGTCGAGTCGATCGCCACCGCCACCTCCCTCGACGTTGACTTCAGCGACCTGCGCAGCGCCATTAACTCTTTGCAACACGCCAGCGCGAAGCTCGACACCGAAAAATTCACCGCCGAGAAGAAACTCCGCAAGCTCCTCCGCCGCTTCGCCGTCCGCCACCTCGTCCGGCGCAACCTCCACCGCGCCTTCTGCCGTCTCCGCAAGCTCGTCGGCAAAGAGTGCTCCGGCCCCCACGCGCACGTCCACGGAGTCGCTCCGGTGGCGCACATGGAGAAGACGTTCGAGTGCTCGGCGATGAAGAGCAGGAACGGCGGCAAGAACGGCCTCCTGCCGTTTAAGCCGCGCGTCGGGCACGCACCCGCGTGGCTTAAGGAGCACCATGGGCACGAGCATGGGCATGGGATGAAGCCGCGCTTCCCCGCGAAGCGGTTCAGGAAGGCGGCGCAGCGCGTGCGCGCGGTCAACCAGAAGCTGAAGGCGTTCGAGCGCGGCTTCATCCATGAGGACGGGATCAAGGACCGCGAGTGGTACCGCAACTTGGATATTGCTCCTGGCAAGTGGCTGGGTAAGTGCAAAGTATGTGTACCCATGCGGTCGATTGCTAAACAGGCATCTGCAGGTTACGGCGCGACGACCTTCCCCGCACTCACGGAGTCGTTCACCATCGAGAAGAACGCGACGATGGCCCAGTACGAGGCGAAGAGGCTGCAGAAGCTCATCGAGAAGCTCGCGCACGAGATTAAGGTCTGAGATTAACGTGCAATTGATTATTGGCTTGTTCCGGTACTGTAAGAGTAGTATGTATGGGATGGATAGCGGACGTGGATGGATATGAAGCTTTTATGGATGCTAGTACGACTGCAACGGAAACCCTACGAAACAATTGCTGAACAACTTGAGATGGAACGATAATCACGACACATGGCTACAACGCGAAACAGTGACGAGATAAAGATACACTGAACAGACCACCTAGAGTACACGGCGAGACCGAGAGAATGCGAGAAAAATACAGATTTGTGACGGCGGGAATAGTTGGCTTTTACTTGTTGTTGACAGTCCACCCATGCTTGTCGAAGACGACCAGTGGAGTCTCAATCCCGTAGAACCTAGTGTTCGGTACGGCAGCCGGAGCGTTCGCCGGGGGCCAAGGACGTCCACTTCCAGGAGGAGCAGGAGGAGAGCTAGAGTAGTAGGTCTCTCCAGGACTCCGACTCGGGTGCCGCCCCGCGTTGGCGAACTGAACCGCTTGGCTCATAGGCAGAGAAACGCTCCCAGAACGGGCCCTTGACGCGGGTGGAAGCTGGGCAGGAGCGTGGTGGGGTGCGCCCTGCGGGCGAGGTCCTATAGGCTGTGCATCCAGAGCAGCGCGTGAAGCCATTTGCGACAGCGGAGAGAGCCCAGACATCGTCATCGACAGATAGGGGACCGGTGGGGGGAGGTTCGCCGTAGACACGAATCCCGGAGCGCCGCCAGCACCAGCAAGCTGCTCAGGCGCGGTGAGGCCGGGACGACTAGGTACGCCTTGCCACGAAGCCTGCTGGCTGAGAGGAATGTGAGTCTGTGTACGCTGGCGCCCTACGTTGCCAGGAGGTGCAGCGAGGTTCGTCCGTGGGGCGGGTGGGGCGTGGAAGTTATGCCTCGAGTTCATTGGTACAATGATGTTGTGAGGGACCGTATTGGTGTGAGCGGCAGCCTGAGCATGTTCCGGCGAACCCCAGATAGAACGAGGCTGGTGCGGCTGCGCAGCACTGAGCCGCCTATCTTCGAGCCCAGAGTTATGAAGCATTACCCGAAGACGTTCGAGATCGGCTTCTATGCCGTGGGGAAAAGGACCGTGAGATCCAGGAGGTGCTGACGAGTTCATGAAAGGGGCTCCATGAGGGTTCTGCTGGGGGAAGGTCGCAGTCGCTGCCCGTTGATGCGGCTTGAATTCCCAGATCGGAGCAAGAGGGTTGAGCGGAGACGTGGTAGGGGTCGCACGAGGAACCGTGGGGGCCTTAGCATCGCTAGGAGCAGGCACATCCTTAGCGACCGGCTGCTCCTTGGGGCCTGACGAAGGGCGGGCTTGAGTGATTGGGGCAGGCTGAACTTCGGGAGCCGACGACTCCGCCGGAGCCATGGCAGGCGACGTTTCCAGCGAGCCCGCTGGGGTGTTGTGTGCGCTCGGGGAGGTCTGGTCAACACTGGACGTCTGCTGAACCCAAGAGTGAACGCGAGGAAGCCATACGGCCACCCTCTCCCCTTTGAGATAACGCTTAGAGAGGCCGACTGGACGTTTCTCGGGAGACTGGGGTGGCGAGTCGGCTTTTCCAGGAACGGAGGGCTTCTCAGGCGACGCGTCGCTTGGAAAGGGCTCAGTAGATACAGCTGGTTTCACTGGGGATGGCTGTCTCGAGCGAGGATTTATGGGAGCTGCCTGAGTGGATGGCTGCAGCGGGCGAGATGCGTCGGCGGGAGGCTGCGCGTCCACTGTGGGCTCTCGATTGCTGGGTTGCCCGTTACGCGGTCCGTCGTGTGTGCGACTGGATGCGACAGCAATGCTACGCCCACGCGGACGCTGTTGGAGATCAGCCTTGAGATCCTCGATAGCCCGTGCCCAGGTGGGCCGTTCCTTCGAGTGCGCAGCACCCTTGTTCTTCTTCGATTTCCCGCTCGCAGGTGCCGCTGCCGCTTTGGCGGGCGCAACATCCGCAGCCTTCTTGTGGGGCGGGGCGGCGGCAGATCTGGCGGGGCTAGCTGACCGTGCGGGGGTAGGACAGCTGGAGGGAGATGCCAAGGGTTCTTGCAACAGTCTCGCCGACATTTCCGGATACTGTAGTGCCAGCTATGCCCATTTGAGTCAGTGATCGTTTGAACGCAACAGAAGAGAGTGCCACTCACATTCATAGCGTCCGCATACGTAGAAGGCGCAGGGATGTCAGGGAGTTTGACCGTAGCTTCAACGCCGACGCTTGCTGCGATCGTGTCATTCTGCTGCACCAAGCCCAGGCTCGAAATAGGCAGCTGACTGCCCGAAGGAGGAGGTAGGTCCTCAGAAGAAACAGCGCACGAAACCAAGGATTCAACCACAGGAGAGCAGGGACGATCAACAACACCTGATGTGGCTGGCGCCGACAACGAAGCAGTGATGGTGGGAGGGGGAAGGACAGGACTCTTGGAGACATCGACGTCACCCCAATTCGGACTCCGTGAAGCTACTGCTTCTGCTAGGATATTTTGCATCACCTCCTGGAAGCGGGTAGGCGTAGAGGGCGTTGACCTCGGCTCCGAGGGAAGGACGATAGACGTGTCCGCGGAGTGGGAGTTGGCATAGGAAGAACCGAAAGAGGCGAAGGATAGATCGGCTTTATGTGCGTCTACCGTCACCTCTAAGGATTCGGAACCATCAGCACGGCTCCTGCAGGAGAGTTCAGAGAGACTCGGCTCCTCCGTTATGTCGGATAACAGCCCAGTAGGCAGAGAGAGCGGCTCCATGTCGAGAGACGTCTGCTCAAGCTCAAGAGACAAGTCATCGGCACTGACACTGGGTGTACAGTCAAGAATGAGGAAATTGACCGCCTCGGGGCCGATGTCGACCTGTTCAGATGGAACAATTGGGGGAGGCAGTCTCACAGTGATCGCCTGCTCGACGTTTTAGTGAAAATCTAGATACGCAGCCGAGCATGGAAAAATGGACGCACATCAGGCTCGGGGAAGAGCGCCTCCACGAAGGCTGAGGATCCTGGATTCGGTGTCTCGATCGCTTGGTGGACCACATCGACGACAGGGTCCAAAGACATGTCCTCCTCTGACTGCGACGAACCCAGCTGTGGCGTTTCGAACGTTTGCTCCTCCCCGTCGTCGCTCTCATCGTCCAGTTCCAGAGGCTTCACAGCGTCGTTCGAGGCGTTGACCAGTATGAAGGAAGTGGTCGTGTCTTGCACGGACGGGGTCAGGCTATGATCGCAGCCCTGGAAAACGAGGGATTGGTCAACATCCCCAAGCGAGGTCTCCGTGCGGCTGTCAGGATCGACGTATGGCTGGAATCGCGCAGGAGAATTCTCGTCATGCTCGTCGACCTGTTCGTTCATCTGTGAGGCGGTATACGTGAGCCATGTTCAATTCCTGGGGCCCGAACTAGTATGCTTACACTCTGCACCGACGGCTTCGAGACCGGCTCTTCGTTGTCAACCTGAGGCGTATCGGCCTGTGCATTGTCTCCTGCAACGACATTCTGCGAGCTAGGCTGGAGTACGTTCTTGATCTCCCGCCGCTCAGGAGAGGCGGAACGCGACCGCGGAGCGGCTTTGTTCTGCTTTGCGGAACTGTCTGCATGCTGACCGCGCCGGAAGAAGAAATTGCGCGTGAGGACGCGAGAAAACATGAGGAGGATGTGTCGCGGATAGATGAGAGATGGTGGGAGTAAGGTGGGGAGAGTGTGAAGTCCAACTCGAACCCTGCGGTGGACGACCCCGGTTATGTGAAGTAGTCTGAAGTGTGAAGGGAGTCTGTCAAGTCAACTCCAAACCAAACCTACCTCCCTCGGACGGCCCCGGACAACCCCCTCGAACGTGTACCCGTGCGTGCTCCCTGGCCAATTCGACAGAAGAGAGCGCATATAAGGAGTGCGAAACTTACGACGAATTGAACCTAGACACTTTCCAAATGAGTAACTTCGGCAACTTCCGCACCCCTGCGCGCCCTACGAGAGACCACGATCCAATAGATTACACCAATACATAAGCACCATTCACAGCGAGAGGGACTTCAAGGAGAACAACGGGGCACCGCACAGTGGGGGCGAGGTTACATTTCACTCGACGCGATCACGCTCGCGCATCGATACAAAGGGAGCAGGGCCTTCCTCGGGCCTCCGTCCCGACAGCTTCACAAAGTCTTGCAGGGCGTAGTCGCAGCCAGTAATCTATGAACGCAGCGTCAGCATATTCCCTAAAACACAGTCGATCTAAGACCACTGACCCATTGAGCCAAGTCGCGCAGGAAGCTCGGGAACATGTGCAGCAGAGGCACAAAGTTGGCGTAGAACGGCAGGTACACCACCTGTGAGTGCCGCTCGTCCAACGCGGCAATGACTGCCTTCGCGACGTCCACCGGCGCCAGGCTTGGGAAGAAGAACCTGTACAGGAAGGACTTGGGGTGGCGGGCGGTCGCGAAGAGCGGCGTCATGATGTGGCCGGCGATGAGCAGGCTTGTCCGGACTTCGGGGGCGTTGTATATGTGATCCAGCTCGTATCTGAGCGACTCGTGGAGGTTGATGAGCGCAGCCTTGGATGCGCCGTAATCGGCTGTTAACGATTTGGTCAGTATGTCTATTATATGGCACATAGTCAGCACTCACTGAGGCGTGCCATGCCGACCATGCCAGCAGCTGACGAGATGTTCATCTGACCGACAGTTTGAGTGAGCGGCGTTGCCCAACAAACGCATGGGAGTACTCACAATGTGGCCGGTCTTTTCTTTGATCATTTGAGGAAGGAACGCCTTCAAAGTCCAGAAATGAGCGAGTGTGTTCACCGCGAATGTCCTAATGGAGTATTGGAGTGAGTATTAGCGGATGGTATATGACGCCCTGGGCGTACGCACTGCTGGACATCCTCTGGCGTCAGGTCAAGTATAGCCTTGCCCTGAACGACCCCTGCGTTGTTGATAAGCATTGTCGGGTGGCCGAGCTGTGAATGTGATGAGTGTTAGGACTACAACAGTTTGGCGTATGCTCGTACCTCTTCGACAATCTGCTTCGAGACGGCCTCGACTTCTTCCCATTTTGACACGTCGCACTTGTAGTACGTGATGTTGTCTACGCGGAACTCGTTTAGATGTGTATGCTGTGCATGTCACAACGCGACTCACGGTTCTCCGTCTGGATCGGCTTCACGTCGAGGACGACCACGAGCACATTGCGGACCGCAAGCGTGTTCGCGACGAGCTCCCCCAGCCCCGAAGCACCTGAAAGACAAGATATATGGCGTCAGCACTGTAGCGGCACGACAATTACTGGTGGGACGTACCTCCAGTGATGACCACAAGCTGCTCGCCCCAATCAAGCCGAGCTGGTCCGTGGAGGAGGCTGCCCTGGTTACGATAGAGCCGCGAGTACCATCTAAAGAACCCTGTAGCAGTCTCTCAGCAGCTGTCACGTTCCCGAAGGTTGTTCACGTACAGAAGACGCAGAGCGCGAGATTGTAGACGGCGGGAATGACCACCACGGGCGCCGGCCAGCGCGCGCCCTGGAAGTAGTAGAACACGGGGATAAAGAACGTGAAGAAAGGGCCTGACGTGATTCCGGTCAGCTACTATTCGTGAACGACTGCGATGTACTCACTGAAGGCAGTGTGCGCGAGTACTTTGACCAGGAGATCAAGGTCGAAAGTGTCGTAGACGGGGTTTCCGAAGTCAGCGAATTGCGACATAGCTCAGAATACAGCAGCAGAAGCTTCAAGCCCAGAAAAACGCGAGTAGAAAAGAGATGAGGTGGCAGTCGCACAGCAACTGACGGTGGATGTGGTCGAGGATGAGTTCCGTCTGGGCCGTTCGCAGCGCCGTACGTGTAGATCTGCCACCGCGGCACACCGGCCCAGACCCTAATCTAGCCGAGAGCTGATGCCCATATCGGGAGTCTTAGCGCCGACATAGCGGTCACGGAGGCCCATCCTTCTTTCCTCCACCTCCGTCGGATATGCATGTGCGCTCGTACTTGTGGTACAACGATTTGAAACCTCTGCGCAGCAACACCTCGTAATTTACTCAACTGTTAGAGGTCAGAGAGGTGCTCCGGTAGCGCTAGAACCTAAAGCAAACCTAAAGTACTCAAGACTTTGCAAACGACCTCAGTTTGAGTTTCCCGACAACTCGTGCAGATCTGTCCCCCATCCCATCATATTGGTTTTCAATCGGATCACTAGCGTAAACTTACCCGCTATTGCACTGGCGTGTGGTGGACGATGCTTTAGATTATCAGACGGACAATGCATGGGGCCGGGAGGATGTTGCAACCCGACCGTTTCCATGGCACGCCAGGGCGTACCAGGGCACTCCATTCCGTAGGGCCCTTGGCTAGCGGAAGCATCCTGTCCTGATCCACTAGCACACCGTCCTAGTGTCGGGCTCGTCGTATCTGGGGCTATGTCGCGCTGAAACAATTAGGGGCGCGCGCCACCGTCAGGAGTGTTCTCTCGTATAAAACTGCGGCTCTCCCTCCTCGTCCATGCTTGCCAGAAACGCCCTCTTCGCGACGTCCATGGCTTCGCGCCTTCCATCGCGACTGGCGGCTCTCAGCGCGCTTCTGCCCGACCTCTAAGCGTTTACGACACACCGCTGCTCTCTCCCAAGCTGTCTCGTCGACGCCGTCTGTTTCCTGGGCGGTGGACTCGCGCTTGTTCACTAGCGTCCATGTCGATCTCGGTTCTCATGGGCCCACCGCCCGACCCCGTCGCGCACCCCTTCCCCGATCTTCCTACAGAAATCATCATCCAGATCTTCGAAGCGACGGCGTGCGCGTCTCGTCATGGCGCTCGGTCAATCTCCTTGGTGTGTACGTGGTCTCGACCCATCGCGCTTCCCTATCTATTCGCGACCATCGTCCACCGCTCGAAGACTTCCTTCTCGACAACCCTCTCGTCCGGCGAGCGGCGGTCGGAGGTGCGATGCCGTCCTTCCACGCCCCTCCGATGGGGCCACCTCGTGCAGAACCTGTGGACGGAAAGCGCAGGCGTCTCGACGCCCTCCGTCGAAGAAGACATCTTCCGTGCCTGTCCCAACCTCGAGAACCTCGCTCTGATGTCATCGTCCCTCCGCGCCGTCTCGCAAGCGATCCAGGCTCGGAACACCGCTTCGCGCGCGGAAGCGCACCCCTTCCTCCGCCACCTCCAATCAATCACGCTCATCACACACACCTTCCGCTACGACTGGCACTTCCTCGTAGGCGCGCAGCTGCACGATGGCTCCCAGGCGCTGCACAACATCACGCACCTGCGCATCCTCGACATGAAGGTCTCCGCGTTCTGCCCGCACAACCTCCTCCCGAACCTCACGCACCTCGCGCTGCCGTACCTCGACCTCGGCAACAACTTCGAGGGGGACGCGCTGCGCCTCCCGCCCGGCGTGCTTGAGCATCAGGCGCTCCAGATGATCGTCCTCACGATCGCGGAGGAGAAGTGGTTGACCAACCCGTGGTACCAGATCGCGCGCTACCCGGGCAAGAACACCAACTCGCCCAAGGAGACGTTCCGCACCTTGGTCCGGTGGGCGCGTCAGCGCGACGACAGGTTGCACGTTGTGCTGTCCCCCCGGCAAGGAGTAGAAGACTGCGCCGAGTGGGCCGCTGCTGCTCGCGGAGGCAACTCCTTGTGGGAGGAAGCCGCCGAAGCTAGAGCGTACGACTCGCACGGTGCGGGCCTGCCGAGCTCATATCCCAAAGTTAGGTCCAGATAACGTCAAGGAACTCGATTGGTACGTTTCGTTTCCCCAGCCTTTGATGTTCCATGCTGACGTCTCTGCAGTATAGTATAATTGTTCATAGCGGTCCAACCTCGGACTGCTGTAATTCGCGTATCTTAAGGTTGGCACCGGCCCCGTTCTCATTCATTTGAACATACGTTATTTGTCCATGTCTTATAGTTCTACCCTTTAGAGTCTAGTAATCACCCGGCGCTGGTTGGCCGCTCTTGAACCCTTTGCTGTTGTCGCTTCCGTTACTCTTTATTCGCTCTTGTTCGCGCTGACCGCTCGCTATCGACCCTCCCCCTTATTGTAGCTTCTCCGTACGGAACCGAGAACAAGTTTCAGCCAGGCTGTTTTACGTATATGATTGAATCATATCACACACCCTGCCGTTTTTTTTCGCTAACTCGTTCGATGAGATATCGTCAGTGTAAGTATGACCAGAGTTGCAGCTTGACGAGGGCTGCGTGCATAGTGAGTACTCTTGGCACATATTGGTATGGAAGAACGTCCACATGTTCATTCATATGTATTACCACCGCCAGGGTATCCGTCACACGCCGGTTTGCGAACCGCAACAAAACGATCTTCTAGTACTACGCCTCTTCCTCAGGCTGTGGTCCCCCACAACCCGGGCGCTTAACATACGGCCCGACTTGCCTTCCACTCTCACGAGCAAAGTCCGCGCAACTTCGAAGCTCAATACAACCTGGGAACGAACATCGACCATCCATGTCTTCGACCCGGACGGCATGACATCGTATGTCTTCTAGAAAAAATGCTTACGCTCGGGGCGGCAGAAGCGGGTCACCCGCCCGCTGGCATGCCAGCACCGCTCGTGCTACCGCCAACTGCCAATCGACTTCGAGCACCCACTAGTACTCGAGGCGCAGACATACCGAATATAGCGCACGACTTACCGCTCGTGTGTCCACTAGCGAACGACAGATACCGTCACCAGCGCAAGCAATGCGGCGTTCGTGCAACGCCTGCCAATCGCGTCCATCCCAGACCCCCGTTGCGTGCCCCGTCTACGTGACCCTCGGGCTCTATATGCTAGGCTGAGAAGGCCCTTCTCACGACCAGCACTCTCTCCAGCCCCCCGTTGGGCATGCGTCGTCTGGCTCCCGTCGTGCACCCACCTCGGCTGGCGGCAGCAACCTCTTTCCCTCCCTCGACCGAGGCGCGAGGCATCCGCCGACGCTGACGCCCCAAGTTTGGCGGCGGGCCTTGTTTCAGCTGACCTGCTAGGTCTTGACGGATCGTGCCAAGTCCCAACTCGCCACTTCAAGAACAAGGGCGCTTTCGCGGGCCTATACCGGTGCGCCCATGTTCCTTCAACATCGTCCAATGCAGCCCACCCGCTCACCGTTGTCGTTCAGCATTGGCGTAGACAAACTCGCAAGGTTGCGGATGACGCCCGGAGTGACCCGCCGTCCCTCCTTTATGCGCGTGAACCGGCGAATAGGCGTGTATGTCTGTTGACGATACCCCGAGCCTGAACTCGACGATTGGCGTCGAGCTGGTTGGATTCGGCCTCTCACTCGCGTGAGTACCTGTCATCGCTGCGGCGTCCTACATGCATGCCGAATGGCCCGACGTTGACCCGCCACGGTCTGTTTCCAGTTTGTATGGTATTGCAACCGGGCAGGCGGTTGCCTACTTCAGACGCTATGGACAACTGCCGCTGTCGCCCTGCATATATCTTGTTGGTGTCTTTCAAATCCTCGATAGCACCCGCAGTAGCTCACCTGAAGCTCTATGCGCAGGTCACCGCATTATGGTTAGTGACACTTAGAGTGTTCTTATGCCGGCAATTGACGTGCAACGCGCTTATGGTTAGGTCAATCGGCACTCTGCATATCGTGCTGATTGCATACACTATGTCTGTATATCTTGTGTTGCAGCGGGGCAATACTGCAATTTTCTCGGAACCCCCGTGGACGCTTGGGGTTAGTCATTCCTTCGCCATCTTCACGTGCGACTGGTACTAAGCGAATAATCCCCAGGCTATCGTTATTCTCACAGTGAGCTCTGCCTTCGCGCTGGTGTCTCCGGAGACTGACTACGGTATCGCAGGAGATCAATGGTCTGTTAGTGAGATTGTGAGTCGCGCCTTGGGTCGGAGTCGCGAATCCGCTGAGCATTCTGCAGCGGTTATGCATACAGGATATGGAGATGTACGTGCCCGAACTGCGTGTCCCGATTCCGGTACAGTGCTGATCGCCTCTAGTGAGCGGCAAAAAGTGGCTTGTACCGTGTATTATAGTGCGTTCTTTCTCTCGACTCCCGCAGACGTAACGATCGAACCGTCACCACGGCAGGCGACATCCTCAGTATCCAGTTCAGGTGAGTGTGTCTATGACTCATCAATGCGCGATCTAACTTTCCTTTCGCAAAACACAGCTATAGGTTTAGGTGTGTCGTCATTCTGAGAGCGAGTGCGAGGTTGCTAATCGACTGCGCAGCATTCGCCGGCCAAGAGTATGATGTTTGTTTGACACTCACACGGCTGTCACTCACGTATATCGTAGAGTGCATCTGAAGTCCTGGACCCGGGGCCAAGACCTAGGGGTGTGTGACGCGCCATGAATACTCTCCGTTCAGGCCTGACATTGAGCTTCGTCTAGTGGATGCTATACAGCGGTTTCTCATGTCAGATCGCTACGGATACCCTCATTGCATCCGCAATGTTTGTGCTACTCCGGCGGTTCAGAACCGGGCTGAGACGGTATGCCTTTTGCTTCCGGCAGCTACTGTCCTGCTTATACGCTGCTTAGCCTCGATCTCGTTATCACGATGATCGTCATGTACACCGTAAATACCGGGATCCTCACCATGTACGTGTGCTCCTCTTTTCTACTTGAATTTACCTTGACCTACCCCAATTTAGACTGGGAACTGCTCTATGTATCACCTTCGTAGGCGTCGATCTTTTTTGGCCCGGCATACCCACCGAGCTGACTTGTGGACGTCTACCAGTTCGTCCTCCGACGAACGTCATTCATTTATACCGGCTTGTACTTTGCTCTCACCAAACGTGAGTCACCGTCGTATCCTGCCGCTCCTTATGTTTAATCAGGCTGCTTCCCAGTGTGCACATGCTCGTTCCTCGGCGTCCTGAACGCAGAACAGCTCCTTGTACGGCGCGCCGGCAGCAACGGTCCGGGCACGACCGTGCCAGTGTTGAGCACCGCGATGCGTGTAGAACCGACCGCCACGGCACAGTGGGAGGAGGACTTTGTAGATGTGCGGGAGGTTGTAGCTTCTCGATAGTACCCTATGTCATGCTACCACAGGTCATCTCTTTTGAGGGTTTCGTGGCCCCGCACCGGTGTGGTCGCGGACGAAGTGGCAGACTGCTCGTGTCGGCGGGTTTCAGGTCGGAAATGCGCGGCGTCCGCGGCCCGTCATCATGAAGCATCATTCATGTTGGGCGCTTACGCGGTAGCCTCTCTTCCACGGTCCACGACCTCTCCGCTTGCTGTCGCCGTCCATTCGTCTTTAGTACTCACTGGGTCGCTGGTTCTTCTCCGGTTTTGTCTGTTATCCGTATCACAAACACCTCGGGGCACATCTCGTCGAATTGCTAGACCACTTCGTCTTCTATGACGTTATTACACATCCTGAGGTGAGACCTTTGGTGTACGTGCGTGTGAGGCTTGGTAGCTGACAACACACGACAGTTATGCTGGCGGAGCCGCAGCTTTCGTATTTGTTACCCTGTCTCTAGGCGAGTTTCATAGCTGTTGGGAGAAGTGCGCGAACTGACCGTGAGGCCATACCCGTAGCAAGCGGTCTTCTTTGGATTTCGGAGTTGATTGAAGAGCACTCACGATCATCAAAAGCAGTAGGCCAGCGGTGCATATATGTAAGTCTTCTTTGCTTGCTTGCTTATTTGACGCACTGAGCGGCTCTGTAGGCCATCATACTACTCCACGTACTACTGTACTTCTACGACGCCCTTCCTCTCAAGCACATCCTCTTCTCAATATTCTGCCACGTCGTCTACCTCCAGAACTTCACGTCTAGTTGGCCATTCATTTCGCTCTCATCTGCAAGTTTCATCGGTTCCTGTGTACTGGTAGTGCTCGACCACTTCATGTGGTTCTTCTACTTCGCACGGATAACCCAGGAGGCGCGTCATAGAGCACACCGTTCCTACCGAGGGCCAGCTATGGCACATCCGGTGCCCAATTTTGGCGAGATTGCGACGTTCTTCGGAATATGCGTCTGGCTTGCTCCACTCTTCCTCTTCCTCAGTTTGAGCGCAAACGACAACGCGCTGCCCTTGAATGCTACCGGTGAGTCATATGGTACTCTATCAGCTTCGTTATACTCACTATGACCACAGGACCTGGCGCGGTACCGCTCTCGCCAACATCTGCTGCACGGCCCGCCCTAGGAAGAACTCGCACCTCTCTCTTCAAGGCACTCTACGACGCTCTCCCCATCGACTCACTCCCGCGCCTCCGCCGCGCCCGCCGCCACGACACCTCAGAGGGCATTATTGCTCCACGTTCACCGCGCACTGCGCCTCCCTCTCCTGGCCTTGGTCCAGTTCCTGCGATGAACGGTCTTCCCTCGCCCATGCTCTCTCCCCGCCGAGTGTCCAGTGACGGCTACAGACCCGCCTCGCCATCACAATACGCGTATGGCGACTCCGCCGATCCCGCTAATTTCTCCCTCAGCACCCCACCGCGGAGATCTGTCGGCGAAGAGCCCCCGAGGGCCATGCATGGGGCAGGGGCACGGCGGTTGGAGATGAGGCGGGTTGCGAGCGCGCAAAGTAGCAGGGAAACACGACGGGATCTCTAGTGGACATCTCATGGATTCTCTTAGGACGTAGCTTTGTCTCTCGAGAATGTGTAACCTATATGAGGGTTTTTCTTTCGGCTCTTCTACGATGGGTGTAAGTAACTTGGAGTTTCGAGAGATGCACCCCGCAAATGGGGGGCACAGCCACCGGGGCAGGGAACGTCCTCCGATCATGCAACCTATTCCGAGTTCTCTCTCCCACCTCACCTCCGCTTTCGTCCAGTTATCTGAGCTTTTGGACAAGTCATTTGCTGTATCTGTGTGCTGGATCCTGATTGGTGTCTTTGAGCGCGATCGCTGCTTCCGCAGTACAGTACTTGCGGCAAGTGCGAGGCCGCAGTCCGACTCTCTGGGACATACTTGACCGTAGACCTCCCCAGGACCTGTCTCATCTTCTGTACCCTCGCTCCTGCTCAACTCTCTCTGCGCAACTCTCTGCAACGAAATGTACTTGTATCTCGGCGAGAGCCCTCGGACTCTGTACCTGGTGACCAGCTCCGAAGATGAGAGGCGCGGCGGCCCTGCTCGAGCCCTTGTCTTCCGCGCGGCCCAGGACTCCTCGTCCCAAGCGGTGGTCGAATTTCTTCCGAAGCGTGAGGTAGACTTGTCGAACGCAACGAGGCTGAGCTCGCGGATCGTGAAGGGATGTCTGGGTCTGATCTCCATCTCCGGAGGTACGTCCACCGCTTGCGTACGTTCCCGCACCCAACCGATGGTCTGCGTCGTCCATTAGAGATGTTTCTGGCAGTGATCACTTCCGCCACCGATGTTGGCAACACAAGACCCTCCTCTCCCACTTCCGAAAGCGTTTCCCAGATTCACGACGTCAGCTTCTTCTGCCTCACCTCCTCGCTCTGGGACGAGAGCTCGCTCAATGGAGATGCGCCGCCGAACCCAGGCTACGGGGATCAAAACGACATGTACTACAACGCGAGCGGAAGCGCCACTCCTGCGCCGGAACACCCTTGCCAGCCTCTCAGGAAGCTGATCTCTACGGGCACCTTCTACTACGCGTCAGACCCGCAGTGGGACATCTCATCGCGTCTGCAGCGCCGCCTTGCCCGCACCGAACCATGGGATGCGTCGATATTCGACGATCGTTTTGTGTGGAATGAGTATATCATCAGGAGTTTGTTGGACTTCCGCGAACGTCTAGACCCGCAGGAGCGTGCGGAGCTGGATCAATGTCAATTTATTGTTAGTATGCTTTTTCGCCACTTCAGCAGGCATGAACGATCTGACAGTTATGTAGGTACTAGCTATTCAGGGATACGTTGGTGTATGCACGCTCGCGCTGCCTGCACCACCAACAAATGGCACCCCTGCCGTGGCGACACTCTCGCTCATATCCAGGCTGGGATGGAAGCGCGCCGGAACACGGTTCAACACACGAGGAGTCGACGATGACGGCAACTGTGCCAATTTCGTCGAGGTAACACTCATCGCAGTATTTGGCACATCGACGGAGGCTGATTATACCTTCGCCCTCAGACGGAGACCGTTTTCAGCACGGACCAACATTGTTATAGTTACGTACAAGTACGGGGTAGCGTTCCGTGTATGTATTTCTTTGCTTTCAATCTATGCCATGCCATTGTTCACGCATCTTGGTCGTGTCGTGCTTGTGTTCTCACAGTGTTCTGGGAGCAACAGGGCTTGCAAACGTTTGGCCACCGGATCCAGATCACTCGTCCACAAGCATCACAACCCGCATTTGACAGACACTTTGCTAGTCTGGTTGAAGAATACGGCGCCGTGCACGCCATCAACCTGCTTGGTACGAAGGAGAACGAGACTGCGCTCACGGCTGCGTATTCCCGCCACACGAAGTCTGCGCAACATGCGCTTGGGGATGCCATAGGTCTGACCAGCTTCGACTTCCACTCTGCTGTTCGTATAGGCGGTCATGAGAGCGTCTTCCGAGAAATCAGGTCAGCACTCCAGTGTCTCCGTACGTCTCCTGTCATCACAGATTACAATGTTCTGCATGACCAGGCGCCTGGAAACGGTAGTCGACAATCTCGACAAGTTCGGATTCGCGATGGCTGACGCCAACACGAACGACATCATCACCGAGCAAAAGGGTGTTTTCCGTACCAACTGCCTCGACTGGTGCGTAGTTTACAGGACGTGGTTATGTTTCGTCTCGCTGAATCTCTAGGACACCAGTCTGGATCGCACGAACTTCGTGCAGGATATCCTGTCCCGGACTGCACTCGAACAGTATCTCCTGCATATACGTCGCGAGTGGATACACTCCAACTCACTGTGGTCCAACCACGGAGAGCTATGGGCTGAAAACGGCGATGCGCTCTCGCGTATATATGCCGGGACAGGCGCGCTTAACACAAGCTTCACTCGTAGTGGGAAGCGCACGTTAGCGGGTGTCTTGTCAGACGCGACGAAGAGCGTCTCGCGAGCATATATCAACAACTTCCAAGACAAGGGAAAGCAGGCTGCGATCGACATGTTCGTGGTATGTCCTACTTCATCCCGTCAGCCGTGCCTTAGTCTGCCATATTCACGCCCATTTCAGGGGAATCTTAGCACTCAACGGCAGGTGACCATCTTCGATCCCATCCACGATTCTGTGCGCGCAGCGCTAGAAAACAGGTACGTGCACCCCACCAACCTTGCCTAGTCCACCATATTCTGATGCGTCGTAGACTGTCAGAGTACTCGACAACAAAACAGTGTACTATATTTATCGGCACCTGGAATCTCAACGGCAGGGTGATTAATGCCCGCATTTAGTGCGGTTACATACCATCTGACCCTGCACACCAGCCACCACCTACGGAGTCCCTCCTGCCATGGCTCTTCCCTCGACCTAGTTGGTGTAATTCATCTGTCTTGCTGCCCAACCGCTGACTAGCTGTTTATAGATACCCCCGAGTGAGTGAGAATGAAGTCATAGGCAACATCGCTAGCTGACACCCTTTAGGCCGGACATGTTTGCACTTGGTTTCCAGGAGATCGTGCCTCTGACGGCACAGCAGATCGTCCAGACTGACCCAGAAAAGAAGTATGCCCTTGAATGCCCTCACAGTATGACACTCGTTCTCATTGCTTGCAGGCGCGTGTGGGAGGCAAAAATCATCGATACCCTAGAACGCCGGCCCCACAAGAAGAGCAGTTACATTTTGCTTCGAAGCCATCAGGTAAGGAGCCATTGTATCTTACATATGTCGACTTTTATTGACCACTCGAGTAGCTCGTGGGCACAGCGCTCCTCGTTCTCGTCAAGAAGGAGCTCACTGCGGTGATTCGGAATGTCGAAGCTGCTTCTCACAAGACTGGTCTTCGTGGGATGTCAGGCAACAAAGGCGCAGTGGGCATCCGCCTCGACTACCACGACTCGAGCTTCTGCTTCCTCACGGCGCACTTTGCCGCTGGACATGGGAATGTGGCTGAGCGCAACGCGGATTACCGGACCATAGTCAACGGATTGCACTTCCTCAAGGGCAAGACTATCGACAGCCATCAGTAAGCACCATTCACCTCTCCCGCGTTCAAAACTGACTATTATATGGTGAAGAAATGTAATCTGGTTGGGGGATACCAACTACCGAATAGATCTGGACAACGACCGCGTCCGTACGCTCGCGTCGATCGACGACTTTGACGCGCTCCTCGCCGCTGATCAGGTATGTCTACCGCTTAGAGATATGTCTGCTTGTGATTGCTGATCATATCGCTCAGCTACGGCGCGCCATGGATGAGCGCGCAGTGTTCGAGGGCTACCAGGAGGGGCCGCTGCTCTTCCGTCCGACGTACAAGTACGATCTCGGCACCGACAATTACGACACGAGCGAGAAGATGCGCGTTCCAGCTTGGACAGGTACGACTTCACGCTTGGAATCGCACAGAAATGGGACTCATGCTCGACAGACCGGATATTGTTCAGGGGCAGCAATCTCGACCTTGCAGTTTATTCTCGGGCAGAGCTGAGGAGTTCGGACCACCGCGCAGGTGCGCTAATTAGCGCTCTAGAGAGGACGCCACACTGACTGCCGCCTGGAAGTGTTCGCTATATTCCGCGCAGAAGTCAGGATAATCGACCACGTGAAGCGAGCTGCTCTCTCGAAGCTCCTCCTGGAGAGCGTCACAAGTACGGCGCCGGGCGAGAAGCTTGACGAGAAACTGGCTGGCCTCACTTTCAGCCAAGAGGAGCCTGATCGTGCGTCTTTCAAAGTCCAACTACCACACTGTTATTGTTGATCACCGTTGCCTTCATGTAGTTCCGCCCCCTAGTTCGGACGACGCCGCTTGGTGGGACGACCTAGGTATGCACTTCACAGTCAGATGCAGGTGCTCTGAGGCTGATTGAATCCCGCAGAACATCCCAATGGCATTGTCGTCCCCATTGCCTCGAAGAACGGGAGGGGCGGCAACCCATTCGACTCGTCCAGCGAGTCGTCCCTCTCGTCGTCGCCGTCCTCGTCTGAAGAAGAGCTGTATCATGCCCTGCAAGCACCCATCGCTCCCGTTCAGACGACACGGAGACCGGCCCCGCCACCACCGCCACGCGCCACGAAGGTTACGCCAGAGTCGGACTCGTAGTATAGACAAGGATGTATGATACAGACACGGACAGCAATAGCACTCGCATCGGTATGGAGAGCACAGAATGGACAAACGAGCGTAAACAGCAAAGCAGGTCAGATGAGACCCTGCTTCTTGAGATCCTCGTACGTCTTGCGGTTGTACACGTTTCCTTCTTCGTCCTCGAGCTCCTCCATGGTCTCCTGCTCGAAGATCTCGGTCCGGCCCTCGCGTTTGAGCTTCTCGGCAACTGGGAGCAAGGTTTAGGTTCGCGCAGCCAAAAGCATATCGGTCTAGGAACTTACGCGCTAGCGCGTCTTCGATCTTGGTGATCTCGTGGAAATGCTTCGTGTTAGGCAAGCCAAGTGCACGCATACCAAACGCATGCCTCGATTCCTACAAAACAAACTTCAGCCAGCTGCAAGAAGATACGCCACATACAGATGCGCACCTGGAAATGCCGTTCGAAGTTCTTTCGTCCCATGTAAACATGGTCTGAGCAGATCTCGCACCGGTACTCCACACCCAGCCCGTGTAGCTTGTACAACCAGTACGGGATCGGCTTGCCGTCCCATCCCAGGGGAAGCTTCAGCGGGTTATAAATCCGCTCCTCCTCTTCCTCCTCTTCTGCGCCCTCGCCGTTTGCGGGCGTCTTGTTTGCCGGTGGGGGCTTCTTCGACTGCTCGAGGAGCTCCTGCTCGCGCTCGCGCGCGGTGAGAGAGAACCGGCGCTCAACGTTGGACTTGGTGTCGTTCAGCGCTTGAGAGAGTGCACGTAGGAGGGCCGTGCAGAGGTGTGTGAGGAGCGCAGCATTGCGATGCTTGTCTTTTCCAGAGACGTGCGGCTCGGTTTGGTGGGAGCCGCTCGCAGTAGGAGGGCCATTGGGGTTCGCCGGTGGCGCACCTGCGGTAGCCTGTTTTTGCGCGGCCTTGATGTGTTTCTTCGAGGTCAAATGGGCGTCGTACACCGTCTGTTTTGAGTACATCTTCTGACCTGGTTATGAACCTGTGAGCTGGACAGATATACGCGCATGTCAGAGTACCCACATGCTGCACACCAAATCCCGTCCCCGCTTCCGTTTTCAGGCGCCTTAACCTGCGCCTCCTCCCAGTCATTCGACTCGTCCAACTCCCAATATGTGTTGAAATGTGCTTCAGCTTCGCGTTGTTGAGACTCAACGTCGATGAGGGGTTGTGAGCGCTTCGTGAAAGAGATGAGGTATGCATGGAGAGCACGAATGTACCTGTGGGGTAACCGATTGAATGATGAATAGCAGTCAAATGTGGGAGCACGCACAGCTCGTAATCCCTATGAAGCCTGCACTCCTTAGGCAGCTCGGTGTGAACGGGTTCTGACTGAGCAGCAAGGAGGACATCGAGGTATTGCAGGTAGGCAAGCCGCTTGCCAATATGCTTGAGATTGTTGTATGTCGTGTGGTTAGCATAGAGGTCAAGGTATTTGCCATAGCCCTCTTCACCAGAGAACAACAAGGCAACAGCTGGCAAATATACGAGGTCAGCCTATAAAGAATGCCGTGTAATGAACAAGAACGTACGATCATCCTGCTCGAAGTCCTCGTCCTCATATTCCTCGTCATCATCCACAAACGCAGCTAGCTCTAGCTCAAACCCGCCAACGGTTGAATCCGGGTACTTGGTATGGTGCTCGGTGATCTTCCCCAACTTCTCGTAGAAGGCGGACAGGTCGTCCTGGCGGGTAGACCCAGAGATTGCATCAATTTCCGCCTTCCGCGTGTCCTGGTCTTCATAGAGGTTGTTGAGTGTGACGACGCGTGATTGTAGACGGTCCAGCAGCTGGGAGGCCCTATGCTCGTTCTGCAAGCGGACCTGGTGTGTGGACTGGGTTTTCGCGAGGATGGTATGGAGAGCGCGCTCGAGGTGCTCAATCTCCTCATGTGTCTGGCGCTGAACCTCAATAACGGAGTCCATGATGAAGAAGCGGCGACGGAGGGTGAGGTGAGGAGGACGGGGAGGACGTCGAGGACAGACCCTTGCGAGCGCCTCCGGATGCACGAACTCGGCTGTGGGCGCCTACCGGGCTTCTTTGCGAGAGCGTCCTGATTTTGAACTCCGAACCCTGCTCTCTCTCATCCACGACTACCAGAATGGCTGGCATTAACCCCGGTGACGAGGTGAGCACCGGAATACTTTGCATTCCTGCGTGCGTTGCTGACGAGGAACCTCCGTGGGGTGCAGAAACTTGTCTTTGAGTCCTCTGAGGCGGTACCGGTTGTTTCGACCTTCGATGACCTTGGATTGAAGGAGGACCTCCTGCGGGGCATCTACGCGTACAGTGCGTATATTCATGCTCTAATGCGACGTCTTCTCTGTAACATCGCGTTTCAGACTTCGAAAAGCCGTCCGCTATCCAGCAGCGTGCAATTCTCCCGATCACTCAAGGACGCGATGTCATTGCGCAGGCACAGTCCGGTACCGGAAAAACCGCCACATTCTCCATCTCCATCCTCCAGTCAATCGACGTGACCGTTCGCGAGACGCAAGCACTCGTCCTCTCCCCCACCCGCGAATTGGCCACGCAAATCCAGTCGGTCGTTCTCGCGCTCGGCGACTATATGAATGTTCAGTGCCACGCATGCATCGGCGGGACGTCCATTGGCGAGGACATCCGCAAGCTGGAGTACGGGCAGCACGTCGTCTCGGGCACCCCCGGCCGTGTCTTCGACATGATCCGGCGCCGTAGCCTCCGGACACGCAACATCAAGATGCTCGTGCTCGATGAGGCCGACGAATTGCTCAACAAGGGCTTCAAGGACCAAATCTATGACGTTTACCGGTATCTCCCTCCGGCGACCCAGGTCGTCCTGCTGAGCGCGACGCTCCCCTACGACGTTTTGGAGATGACCACAAAATTCATGACCGACCCCATTCGGATCCTCGTCAGGCGTGACGAGTTGACGCTGGAGGGCATCAAGCAGTTCTTCGTGGCGGTAGAGAAGGAGGACTGGAAGTTCGACACCCTTTGCGACCTGTACGACACCCTCACGATTACTCAAGCCGTCATCTTCTGCAACACAAGGAGAAAGGTGAGTACTCACAGGTACCTACGCCGGGAGTGTCGCTAACGCGGCTTTAGGTCGACTGGCTGACGGAGAAGATGCGGGCGGCAAACTTCACGGTGTCATCCATGCACGGAGAGATGGCCCAGAAGGAGCGCGACGCTATCATGGCAGAGTTCCGCAGCGGAACTTCGTATGTGCTCATTCTCTTCAGGTTGTTTGTCCTTTCTAACCCTTGGGACATAGCCGTGTTCTCATCACCACTGACGTTTGGGCGCGTGGTATTGATGTGCAACAAGTGTCCCTTGTCATCAACTACGACCTCCCCGCGTAAGTCGCAAATTCTATGAGCATTGTCATGGTCAGGAGCTGACTAATTCTATCAGAAACCGTGAAAACTACATCCACCGTATCGGTCGGTCAGGTCGGTTCGGACGCAAGGGTGTTGCTATCAACGTACGCCGTTTATTTGACAAAGACGTTGCATTCATGGCTGACACTTTCCTTAGTTCGTGACTGTGGACGACGTCCGTATTCTCCGCGACATTGGTGCGTGCCCTTGCTTGTATGGTTTTAACGGTTGTGCTGATTCCATCGCCTTCTCCAGAGCAGTACTATGGTACACAAATCGTGAGTGTTTCCTTCGGTGCACAAAGAAACAACGGAAGTCTGACAGAGATGATGTGCAGGACGAGATGCCCGTCAATGCTGCAGAACTCATCTAGGTTATCGCTTGCTATGTATATTTTATACCTGTACAGTATTCACGTCGGGAAGTCCTCCTTCTATTCTCTTTCCGCTGAGTGCAATGATATCACGAGCTTTGGACTTCCCAGAGTGCGTCACCGCCGGCATTCTTTCCGCTGCGACGATCGTCTCGACTGTTCCGGAGGCATCCAAAGCGCGATGTCGTTCGACCCGCCAAGGGTCTTTCGCGGTGTGACGGGTCTCGGCTAGGATGTGACGGGTCGCGACCGTGAGTGTGACTCATCTGTGACGTGACCGTATCGCGGGTCGCGACGCGTATGGCCAAGGCGCGTGGTTTGCTTTCCAACTCCCATCATAAATACCCCTCTCTCCCTCTCCCCATCCTCGGCCCCCGACATCAAGCTATCGACATCCTCAAGACATCCTCAAGACTACTCAAGACTATGGCGCCGCGTCCTGGCCCCCTCATGCCCTATCCAGTCGAGCTCTTCTCGGCGGATCCGCGTGTATCGGGAACTCCACTCAAGCATCTTCGCCCCAATAAGAGGCCTCATTCGCCTGGACGAGGATCCTTCGACAGCCCGGCGAAGCGCCGACTGAAGGAGGAGGGCAGCGTCAGCTCGCGACACACGAGAAGCCCGCTGTCGGCCACCAGCAACAGCGCGCGCTTCGCGCCCGACCACTTCCAAGCGCTGCTGCAAGGACCCGACAGCCCAGCCAAGAAGCTCGAGTTTGGCTCCTCGAAGTCGGCGGCCTCCCCGTCTGCAGCTTCCGAGTCAACGGCGTATGACACTTCCAGGAGTGGTTCGCGCACCCCCAGGCGCAGCCCGAAGAGGACCTCCACCACTCGCGTTCGACGCTCTCCCCGTTTGTCCGCAAGGGCATCAAGCGTCGTCTCAGAGGAGATCGCTGTTGAAGAGCAGCTGGTGGCTCGTATCGAAGTTGCCTCTTCCTCGGTGCGCGTGTCTATCCCGGAACCCGTCCTCGTCCCTCGTGTTGTCACCCCGCCCGATGTACAATCAATCCACTACCCCGGCTTCGATATCTATCAAGACCCACATATCATACTCCCTTCTACTTCATCGCTATCCCACACGTCTACCTCGGACGGGTCACAGTCCGATAAGGAGCAGGAGAAGGAGAACTTCGCCCCGCCCAAGAAGTCCTCCAAGCAGGCGAAGAACCCCGCTACCCCCTCCAGTGCCCCTCTGATCAAGGCCGCCCTCTTTTCTCCTTCGACACGCGGCGCGCCGCCCAGCGTTGGCAAAGAGAAGCCCGTTCCCGCCTCGCCGCATCCCAAGCACGTATGCGATTACCTGTCGGCTGCGCATATCACCCCGAAGGAGCGCACCGTACGTCTCACGTCGAGCCCAGCCAGCACCTTGGTCGGGGCCACGCCCGGACGGACGCCTCTAGGCAAGGAGGCTCGGCGGCAGATGCGAAGGGCGCTGGAGAACGAAGTGGACGACTTCGACGGCGATGACGACCTTTGAGTGTGTTCTTCGCTCCCCCTCCTCACGGACTTTTTCACCGGTCTTGGCTCCCATCGATTTATCAACCGCGCTTCACTGTATTCTTTACTCATGCTCCCATTTCATGCCCCCATCTACCCCCTCTTACCATCTTATCCGCCTTATCCCCCACCACAAGCCCCTCCCTTTACGCCACGTCTTTGCTATGTTTTCACCCCTCGTTTTGGACTATCCCAGACTGCTTCGTCTGATTAGTTAGTTATGGATTTGTATGACCTCTTGGAATGCGATATGTTTTCGACATGTACGGATTCAGGGACATGCCGACTCGGGTGCTGTCCGCCACTGGCGCGTACCGCGTTGTTTGGCGGTGTTGGCGTGCCTCGTTTGCGGGGTGACACGTGTATCTCAGCCACCGCTACTCACCACACCCTCTGAGTCCCTCGACCGTTCCACTGCTCGCAACTGTCTACAGAACACAGGACAGAACATGCTACTTCATTCCATTCTCTTCTGCTTGGTGCTCCAATTTTCCGGGGTGCTGGCCCAGTTCGGCTTCTTTGAGCAGATGTTCGGCGGCCACCAGCAGCAACAGCAGCGGCCGGCGGGTGGAATGGGACAGTGGCAGGCACATTCCGAAGCAGGTGCGTTCTGATCGTTTACGTCGGCCGCCGCCTTGTAGAATGGTGCAAGAAGCTGATCATATTGCTCGCGTGCGGTACACAGTGCCGTGCTCCAGCTACCTGTGTCCGGATACACTCGTCTGCGTCAACCAGCCGGCGGAATGTCCGTGTCCGGACGTCCAAGACGTCAAGTGTCTGATTCCGGATGCGCAGGATGCGGGTGCTTCTACGGTGGTGTGTGTACGGGGCCGGGAGGAATGCGAAGACGTGCAGAGAAAGTCTCGGAAGATCTGAGCGTGCATAGGTGAGGCGCATTCGGGCGGACTGCTCCGCCTCGCTGCGAATGTTCATGCTCATCCTTTCGCGAAGAGTAGAGCGTGTACCCTTCCATATCATATCACGCAAAGTTTCAAAACACCGCAAATTACGTGTTTGCCTCTCGGCGGACGTGTCCCGCCCGAACCTGCTGTTCCCGGATAGCTCAAATCTACGTCAGGCGCACGGGCGGCCTCCAGATGGCTGGTGAACGTTCGACGGGAGCGCAATGCTACCCGCACCGGCCGCCTGCGATACACTTCCATTCACCTCGTCCGCTACGTTGGGGACGTACACCCTCGACTATCGCTTGCCGCAACTCAATGGACTTCTGCATACATTCGCCTATCAGTTCATTGAACTCCTTCGGTATCCCGGAACCACCCTCGAGGTTGCGTGCAATTATGCCCTGAGTGCACCCTGGTGGAGACTTCGACGGACAGCCTTCTCGCCGGAGTGTTCTACGGTGCTCGGCTACTTTTTGCACGCGTTTACCATTCAATTCACTCAACCCAATTTGCAGGCCGTCCCCGTGCCTCTGGTCGCATTTCCAACCGTGCCTGCTCTGCCGCATCTTCGAGGCATCGCTTGGACGGACCAATCGACCGCTGAGTTCAACTTGCAGAGGTCGCCGCCGCACCATTCTGCTAAAGGACATGATTCAAATTCGCATGCTAATACAGTTTGTCCTCAGACCATGGGGTCGACTGGCGTTCCTGCCTGGATTGAATGTTATCTCAGCGGCGCTGCTAAAAGCAGGCATTATATGATTCAACTACTTCTGTCTTAGGCTATCGGTACTTCCCTGCTACAGCCGCAGCGGCAGTAACGGTAGTTCACGATATGTCTCAGCGTCGAACGCTAATGGGTGACTGCACCGTTCCTAGCATTGATAGTCCCTCGTGCTAACCAGGACATACAGAACCAATTCCCGAACAAATGGAAGCGACACATACCCGCGCAGCAGTTGGCAGGAGAACGTCCTGGTCCAACCTTTCTCCGGCGGGTATCCCAGTGCGCCAACGCCAATGTCTGCAGACCGCTAGCAACTTCTCGGATTGCGTTTCACGATGACAAGGTGTAGGAGGGTGCGTGTCAACGCGCTCGCGTGATGCATGCGGTACGCCCGCGCCACATAACAAGCTGGCGCTGATGCACACACCCCACAGAGCGCATTAGCGTGGAACAGCGCTGCGTTCGACGTCGGCCATACCGCGAACCGAGTCGGCTACTTAGTCACCAGCGCGGGCGGCGCGCGCCGCAAAGGTGCAATTTAGGCTAGGAGCCCCCGCCGGTGTGTTCGCGGAGGCGCAGGGATCGTCGCTGTCGCTCACGCAAGCTACACGGGCCGCGAGCGGTCTTTCGGCATCCTATTCCACATGCAGCGGGCCCCGCCGCGACCTCCGCGGAGGATGTGCGCGCGCAGGCTCGTGCACGTCGCGCTAGCTCGGCGGCGGGCCCGACGCTGCGTGCAAGCGGGCACGCCCCCGCCCGCTGTGGCCCTCAGGCTGTGGCCCCGGGGCCTGCCATCCCATGGAGGAATGACGTCTTGACGTGCCCTCTCACGGGGGCCACGGTGCTGGCACGGGGACACGCAGGCTAATGTGTAAAGAAGGCGTGCGCCACCCAGGCCCCATGTTGCCCCTCTTATTGAATATTGAACTCCCATGGTGAACTTAGCGCGGGGACTTTACGAACCTCAGCGGTTCCCCGCAGCGCGTTCGTATGATGTGTTGCGTGAGACGGGTGAACTCTCTCGTACAACGTGCGTATGCTCACGTAGTGTGCATCTCTACTGTACTTGTCGACATGCTATGTCCGAGCTGACGATCATACACAATGATCAATGTCGAGAGCGCAGCGCCCAAGCAGCGCCCCCTTCAGGACGGTATTGCTCATCCTCGTCGCCGACCTCTTGCCGTTTGTGATGGATTTTCGCGGACCCATGCGTGTCTCCATGCGAGGTGATGAGAGAGCGACCACCGGACTCTCATGCGCGCGGTATGCGGGGAGGCGCAGTCACACGGGAAGATTCTGACGAATCCGCTCGCACTCCGCCAAGAAAAGCATGGGGTATAAGAGGCACAACGCGACGGTGAGTAGGGCTCCAGACACTGACTGCTCGTGCCTCTCAAGATGCTCACTCAACTCCTCGCCGTCGCCGCAGTCGCCGTTTCCTGCGTTTCCGCGCAGAACAGCACCAACTTCACGATCTCGGACGTTACGTCGGCGTTCACCGCTGCGAAGATTGTCCCAGATGGTGCGTAGCGCGACACTTCACGGCCAGCGGCGAAATGCTGACGGCACCGCAGTGCTGCCTGCATTCAATCCGACCGGTATATTGAATGTGGTGTTCTTGGACAACACTACCGGGTCCTCCGTTAACGTAACGCCCGGCGAAAACCTGACCAGGGAGCGTGAGTGCAATGCAGCTTCGCCCCTCCTTGGCAGGGTAGCTGAGCGTAAATCCGCCTAGAAAACGCACTTCGTCCGCAGGTGTTCTTGACCACGAACGACACGTCGTTTGCCCAGCAGACGTTCGTGCTCGCCATGGTCGACCCGGACGCGCCGACGCCCCAAAGTCCGACGGTAGCACAGATTCGGCACCTGCTCGCCCCTGGTATCCAGGCCAATGGCAGCCTCGCTGCCGGCGCAGCCCTCGTGAACAACACGCCTGCCATATCGGACTTCCTCAGGCCGACTCCCCCTGCAGGGTCTGACCCGCACCGGTGCGTAATAGCGTGCCGCTAGGCTCCATCTTGCCCCGCCCAGGTACTGACGTTCGCACCGTGCGCAGCTACATATTGCTTCTCTTCGTGCAGCCGGCGAACTTCACCACCGTCGCGTCGCAGTTCGTGAACGCTTCGACGCCCATCAGCAACTTCAACATCTCGCTCTTCGCAGAGCAGGTCGGGTTGGGCAGCCCGATCGCCGGCAACTTCTTCTTGACTGGCCCGGACGCAAACAGCACCGCTACGAACGGTACGAACACCACCAGCACCGTCAGCGGATCCGCTGCGGCGGCCAGTTCGACGAGCCCAGGAGGTGCGCCGTCGTCGAGCCTGGGCAGGGCGGAGTTGAGCTGGGTCGGAGCTGCTGTTGCTGCAATGTTGTTCGCGGTGTCCCTTTTGTGATTCGCGACCGCTAGTGTCCAGTGTTGGCCGCCTCGTAGCACGAAAATACAGGTGATTTGGCCTTTAATGGCGTAGCAGGAGGTTGCGAGGATGAGTGTTGGCGGTGTCGGACTCTGCGGCGAGGCTGGAGATTGTCGGCACGCGTGGTTCCTGCGAACTTGGCTCGACCTGCCTTTTTGGGAAAACCGCGCGCCACCGCGGCCCGTGTGCCACACTCGCCCTCAGCGCTCAGCGCACACTGCTCAGACCTGCACCACGACCACGACCATGGCTCTGGCACGACCGACGGTACTTCTCGTCCCCACGGCGTCTTAGGCTGCTGCTTATCTGCTTCCCCTCAGACGAAGCTGCCCCCCGGTGCGAACAGAATCCTGTTCGTGAAGAATCTGAACTACCAGATCACCGGCGAGGACCTGTACGACCTCTTCGGCCGCTACGGCAGCATCCGCCAGATACGCATTGGAAACGATCAGAAGTCGCGGGGGACCGCTTTCGTCGTGTTCGACGATGTCATGGACGTGAGTACCTGCTGTTCAAACGCCGCGCGCCGCTCCGCGTCTGACACGGTACAGGCCAAGAACGCGCTGGACCACTTGAACGGCTTCCATTTGCAGGAGCGCTACATCGTGGTACTGTATCATATGCCTGCCAAACAAGATGCGGCGGCGGCGAAAGCGGAAATTGCGCGGAGGGAGGAGGAGTTAGCGCAGCTCAAGAAAAAGCACGACATCACAGACGAGGACTGAGGCCCATTCGTGCGTATCCGTGCCCTCGCTATCGGATAATTTGCTCACCCACCCGTCTGTAGCATATCTCTGCTACTGTATCACCACTGTAATCGTATGTTCGCAATGCTATGTCGCAGGTTTGTTCCAGTTGCGGTGCACAACTGTTCCGATATCCCCGACTGTGTCCTCATTCTCTCGCTAGCCATCTACCCGAGCGGAAGGCCGTACAGATAAGTGGAGCGGTCGGTGTGAATACCAAGAAATTTCAGTCATATTTCGGTCTCACAAATGTCACTGGGCATATAGTACAACATATCAAGAAGCGAAGAACCGGCGGGTTCGGTAGCCGCGGCTGCTCAGCGACGTCCGGCGTTGACACAGAAGGGGCAGAAGAGGTCCTTCTCCTCAGCTATGAGGTAGTCAGTGACGCCGCTCGTTCCGAAGAATTAACGGTTAGACTGACTGTACTGCTGCGGGGCGGTACGGCTACAGGCATGGTGAGCAGCAGATCAATAGAACGGGGACTTGGCACTTACTATTGCCAACAGTGCTTCTTACAATACTCCCCGGTGCAACCCGGAGTGTGATTGGGACTGAAGATGCAATTGGTGCGGTCGCAGCGTTGCTGTACCTGTCGTATTAGCGGATGTCTTTCCTCCGGAGTCCATGGATGATCACGTACGTCTTGATCAGGCTATTATGGCGAGCTTGGGTTAATGAACGAGCAGAGGGACTATCGGAATACTCACGGCAGTGATCCCGTGTCCGCACCTGTTGTCAACGTGTGAGCTTGGTTTAAACAACCTCTCTTAACGGCGACTCACTTCTTGAACACAGTTCTGACCCTAGTGTAACGAAGGTAAGTGAGGGGCTAGGAAACACTGGAACTGTGCACGCACTGGAGGAGACGACACATGCTGGCGATGCGTACGGTGGTAGAGAGGAGGGCTTTGGGATTTGTGGGAGTAAACGAAAGAGCTTGAGGGCTTGGTGTTCAGCGGGCCCGCGTCCCTCCTTTTATACGCAAGTATGTCCCGGACCCACTCGTGCGCTCGCTGACGGTGGCGGCCTTGATAGTCACGGCGGCATGCAATCTGTCTACGGACCGCCGGGCCAATTTTTCGAAGGATATTCGCTCGCGTACGCGAGCCGCCAACACGCTTGACCATACATGGCTTTCTCACCAACGCCGCTGCGGGAACAATAATTGGCACCATAAACTACCATAAGACGCGGTGGGATGTCCGACACGGAAACGCCGGTCCCGCTTCCACCAGAGCCGGAATTCGCGAATACACAAGAAACGACAAAGAGGTACGGCAATCCAGATCTCCGCCTGCTGGGCCGACGTCGCGTCCCGATTCATTAACCCCCCTAACCTAATCCGTCTAAGGTACTCGTCCACTCACCGAATCTCATCTCTTGCCGCGACGATCTCGTTTCATATTACGTTCCCAAGGCTAGCCATGTGAGCCCCCTGCTGTCGCGAATATCACGCACGTCGCCGACGCCCCAAATCGCACGAAAACTTCCATTCTGCCCCTCGTTCCGGTGCCGGAGTACCAGCGACACGGTGCCAGTGCCAGGACGACAGTCGCGTGTTGGCGCTCCGACATGGGCGTTCGATCCCTACGCCTCACGGAGCGTGCCCCCTGAACACCAGACTTGTTCGGGAAAGGCAGTGGCGGAACGGGACGCCGGAGTGGGCAGGCGTTTGCCGCGGTTAACCGCCACCGAACCCCTCCGGACACGCACGATATTCCAATCCGTGTACGAAGGAAGCCGCCGGTGTACCGCGAGCGCGATAGCAGCGCGCGAATTGGGCGAGTGCGCCAGGGAAGCGTGCAGTCTGGATCCGGACGGTTGCCCCGGTCGTTACGTGTGAATATCATATGCTACTTTTCGCGCTACGGGATACATGCAATTACATACTCGCGACCGCCTCCTTCTGGTCCACCGGCATGACGATATCGAATGCGCCTGTTCCCGTGCGACTGAGCCTGCCCAAGACAATATTGCCCGATGGGGTTGTCAGGTCATCGAAGTCGCCGTGGAGGGTCGCATCGGACAGGAACGCGGCGGTCGTCTCGTAAGAGGCCTTGAGGAGAGGCGAAGGGTTCGTGGAGATGCCTTTCCGGTTGAACGGCTTGTAACCGCCATCGAATGTCTGCAAGGCACATGAGCTGAGCGTGGCGCGGCATTGGCCCTCGAGCGGAGGATACTTACCATGTAATCGGCGATTAGCTCCAGGTGACGGATGTCAACGTCGATCTTGTAAACGGCAAAGACGCCACCGATCTCTTGCAGGATCGCAGCACGCGCTGCCTCCACGCCGTAAGCGCACAGGAGCGCGTGGATGTCGTTGGAGTAAATGCCGTTGTGGTCGATGATGCTGTTACCCTTTCCGCAGGCGAACTGCCATAGCCCGGGCAAATTGGATCCATTCGTTGTGAGCTGCGGTGGCGCGTTGTCAACACGAGGCGCGGGGTGATAGGAGGAATGTGTGGACCCACAGAGAATATTTTCTCCCCATTCTTCCCGTCGTCCTCATTCTTGAAACAATCTGTGATGCCTGGAATCTCCCGAACGACCGTCTTCAGACACACGCGCTCGACTAGCCCGACAAGTAGTAGCTTGGGCATAGTGGACCCGAACTGCACGGGAGCATCAGTACGGCATTCACGTGCGATGCTGGCAACAAACTCGCCTGCAGTCCGATCGTGCAGCCTGAATCGCGGAACGAGAACGATGTGGCGCTCGGCAGGTTGTCCATGAACAGGCTTTCGACACGGTCATGTTCCTCCGCCAGTGAATCGGCGCCCTGGTCCATGTCCTCATCGCTACCCTCGTCGTCGTCGGACGAGGAGGCATATGCTGCTTCGATGTCGAGGTCCCCCATTTCTCCCCCCTCATCCGCGTCCTCATCCTCTTCGTCCTCGTCCTCATAGGTAGCCTGCTCTTTGCGCTGGCGCTTGTGCTTGGACGTTGTCGCATCGCCGTCGCCGACCTCGCTCGCGTCGTCGTCATCGTCCTGCTTCCGGCTGCGGGGGTCGTCACCGTCCTCCTCTGCGTCGCCGGCGGCACCCTGGTGCTCCCGGACGGTCTTGCCCTTGCCCAGCTCCGCCTTCTGGCTCTTGAGGTCCGCATCGAGCTTCTTGAGCTCTACCTGCAGCTCCTTCTTGAACAGCAGCGGGAACTTGGTGGCGAACGACATGAGGATCTCGAGGGGCCCGACGTCGTACTCCTGCTCGTACTCGGCGCGCGGGTAGAACGCGAGGTCGATCGTGAACTCCTTGCTGCGCGACTCGCCCTTGAGCACGAGCTGCTCCTTCACCGTGATCTTGTCGACGATGTGCGAGAGCGCGAGCCGGCTCGCCTTCTTGCAGAACCGGTCGATGCTCGCCGCCGCGACTCCAGCGTGCACCTTCATCGTCATCGACGGCGTCTTGGGCTTCGTCGACGCGGTCATCACGATCTCACGCAGACGCGGGATACCGAGCGTGACGTTCGCCGCACCGTGACCTGCGAGGACACGATGTCAACAAAGCTCGGAAAGACGGAGATTAGGGCGGCGGCCGTGTGAGATAACATACCGGCGAAATGGAACGTGTTCAGCGTCATCTGTGTCGACGGCTCGCCAACACTGCGGTCAAACAAGATGAGGATGCATGGTGGCGGCCGTAACAGACGCCGGGGACATACCCTTGAGACGCCAGTAAACCCACGGCTTCGCCAGGCTCGACGAGGCTGCGCATGTACTTTACGCTGGTGAGCAGCTGGAAATTCTTCTTGCTGAGGGGCGCCTTGCGGCGCTTGATGGGCAGGCTGTCGTCGCCCTTCTCACGCAGGAGGCCGTGCGGGTTCTTCTTGACGTAGTCGTCGACCTTGTCCGCGAAGAGCTCGGACGTGCTGCCGAGGAAGCGCTGCGGGGGGTACTTGGAGAGCGCGGGAACGTACTTGTCGCGCTTGTGCTTCCGGTCCTTGTACTTGACGATCTTTTTCATATACTCGACGGCCTCCTCCGACACGAGCCCGTGCAGCGAGCGCGGCTGGTAGCGGTTTACGAACGACGTCTCGTTGCGCGCGATAAACTCGAACTGCGTGAGGTGCTTCTGCTTCGTGACGTCGAGCGAGTCCCCGCCGTAGTTGAACTGATAGATCGACGAGTCGCTCCCGCGCACCGTGTTGTCGTAGTGCACGCGTACGCCCTCGAGGTGCTTGATCAGGCAGCGCTGGAGGTACCCGGAGCGCGACGTCTTGACAGCGGTGTCGATGAGGCCCTCCCGGCCGGCCATGCAATGGAAAAAGAACTCCTGTGGCTTGACCCCTGTCAAGAACCGGCTCGCGACGTACCCTCCGGCGATGGCCTTCGTCTCGAACGGCTTGAACGACGGCAGCGTCTTGCCGCTCACCATGACGGGCACGCGCCGCCCCTCGAGCTCCTGCTGGCCAAGCGCACAGGAGATCTGCTGCGCGTTCACGGCGCTCCCCTTCGCGCCGGACACGGTCATCGCCTGCATGTGGTTGTGCGGGAACTGGCGCAGGAGGCCGTGGGGCATTACGGCGTCCGCGATCGACTTGGTTAGCTTCGCCAGTTTGCCCTTCACGGTCACGTCGAGCCCCGCCATCTTGCTATCGTCCCGGAGCACGTCTTCCAGGAGAGAACGGAGCACAGCGGGCCTTTCGCCCTCCGGCGTCGTCTTGAGCACCGGGAAGTTCTCGATGGCGCCCTCCGTGCCGAGGTTCGTGCTTTTCGCGATAAGGTCTGCCCGACGCGCGTTGCCGTCGGGCGTGAGCGCGAGATCGTCCATCCGACACGTAAACGCGCGGTGCTGCAGGAACTTGGTGAACAGCCGGCTGAGAACGCCGAGGAGCTTGCCAGCGACGTCGGCGCCGTACAGCTCGTACACGGAATGCACGAGACCATAGTCCGAGGCTCCGAACGCAGACTTGTCCAGTATGCCGGACAGAAGCTCGCCGTCCATGAACACGACCTTGTCCTCCTGGGAATCCGTGCCCCACAGGTGCCCGGGGACCTTCGCCGCGGCGTGCAGGTTCAGGCCGTCGAACTGCGGCGGCGTGATGTTCTTCATGACCGTAGAAATCTGTCAAGTGCGCGTACCGCCGTTAGCCGCGGTCCATTTGCATATTGCGCTCGGGTGTGTGCATACAATCTGCTTTCCGGTCCAGAGAGGCTTGGGCTTCCATATCGTCGGCGGCAGAGTGACGAGGCGGCCGCCGTGCTGCTCCGGGTCGTCCTCGGGACGGAGCGCGCCGTACAGCAGCTGGAAGTATTCTTCGCGCGTGAAGAATGCGTCCTGCGCTGTCATCCACACGCCCGCGACGACATGATCCTGGATGAGGCCGCGAAGAGGCTTGCCCGACGTGGGAACAAGGTACTGGTTGTCGGTGTTAGCGATGAAGTACGCCTCCGCCCGGGCGACGTGGTTCTCTGCACACAGATCAGCTTGTGAAGCGAAGGCGGACCGAAGAAGCACGCACGAGGAAAATGAATGTTCATCTCTGTGCAGATGGTCAGCGCTGGAATCATTTCTCATCCGACTGGTACGCACCATCTCCATCGAAGTCGGCTAGTCGGTGAGAGCGACGTGTTAGTGTTCTGTCGCCGGAGCGTTAGAGAGTGTGACACACCATTGTACGAGTTACTATTGGACGATGTGAGCGTGGATCATGGACAAGAAAAGAAACCAGCTAACCAATTCGCGTAGTGCATTCGGATCGTCTTCTCGCCTTGCAGGACGCGAGCCTTGTGGCACATCATACTCGGTTTGTGGAGAGTCGGTTGACGGTTCAGGATAAGGATGTCGCCGTCCCGAAGATGCCGATACACCTTCTTGTTGACAGCAGGCGTGGAAGTGTACAGACCCTGCCTCTGCGCAGACCCGTGTGACCCCTCCTGGGGAGTCAACAATTGGTTGGCGATAGCAGTGCGTTGCTCCAGGGTGAGTTTATCCTGGAACGGAGGTCAGCCTACCGTAATGTCCGTGGCATGTGGCACGCACCAGGAAGTGAAGATGTCCGTCCTCGTACTCGACCATGGTAGCACCAGGATATCCACGAGCACCTGTGATCACTAATTGCCGCAGCTCGTGGAAGTTGTTCGGGGTGACGGGCTCCGGGAACGTCAACTTGCGGGCGAAGACGGGAGGAATACCGATCTCATTGGGCTCGATGTTGACGTCCGGCGAGATAACGGAGCGGGCGGCGTAGTTGACACGTTTGCCCTACAACCCGGTCAGCGAAGCACCTTAGCAAGCGGAGAGGCGGGCTAACCATCATGTGCTTGCGGAACAAGCCCTCCTTCTTCTCCAGACCTTGCTTGACACCAGCAGGGGGCAGACGTCCCTGTCGTATAGGTGTGGGGTTCTTGCTGCTGTCGATATAGCTGTTGACATCGACCTGCAACTGAATGAGGGTGTCGAGGAGTGACTGAAGGATGCGGCGGCGTGCCGCTTCCTCGACGTCGGAGCCCTTCGTGGAGGCAGCGCGAAGGTTGTTGTTCAGGTCGCGCAGGCGGTAGGATGTCGTCAACACCTTGGACATGAGCTCGTTCTGAGGATGCTCGAAGAGCATCTCGCCCATCTTGGCAGGGGGACGAAAGCGTGTGGGGCTGACGGGGAGGACCTCCATGAAGAACATGTCGGCAGACGCGAGGGAGAGGTTGTTTTGGTTGACCGGAGCCAGAGGACCGTGTCGCCCGAAGAGCAGCGAACACATTACCGATTCGTTACGGAAAAGACGGCGGAGGTGAGCTCGACACTCTTCAGGCGGCACGACGCGCTCGTTGCGGCCACGCGCAGTTTTGACCTTTCCGCTCGCAGACTTTGGGAGCGCAGCACCATTGGCAACAGGATGGCTGGACTCCTCTTCGTCGGAAAAAACGTCATCCCCTTCCCCTTCCTCCTCGTCTGACTCGTCGCTAGCCTCTTCGTCGGACGAGTCTGCCGCGCGGCTCTCTCCCTGTGCGGTTTTCTGGCGCTTCGAAGACTGCGACTTCTGGTCGTTCAAGACGTTCGGTCTCTTCATGCCCAACAAGTCGTGCTGCTGCTGCTGTTTTGCCGTCAGAGCCAGCTCAATGATCTTGGTATGGCCTTCTTTGCGGAAGGAGTAGCCGTACCTGACATCATAAAGTCAGCGAATCGCCCATATTAACACGACGCGCATTGGCCCATATTCTGGGGGAGCGACCAGATTGCTAAGGATAGGATTCGGAAATCCTTTCGAATTTTACCACCTTCACAAGCGGGTGAACCGGGGACAGCGACATTCACCATTCTGCCCCAAATGCCGTAGGCGGCGCTTCCCCTCCAGCCACAGTCGTGGGGTGCTCGTAAGGGACGTGCATAACGCGTAACACGTCGCGCGACGGCAACCAGTCACTCCTGCGCGGTCACGACGCGCGAGAACGCGTCGTGGCTGCATATACGTTAGCACAACGCGGCGCGACATGGGGGTGGACGCGTCCAAATGCGTCGCGACACGCGCGGGAGACTGGCAGCGCGAGGTGAACAGACGCTTACAGCTCATATGGGAGCGGGATAGTAACTCTCGCTCCCTCCGTTTTTACCCCACACGTCAAAGTAGTAAGTTTCGGGAGTCCCTTCCGAATCTTACTCTTACTATTGTGATGTATACTCGCCTGTCTCAGGTCCGGAACAGGAGACCAGCTCAAGTCATATTCCAAGCCTGTTCCGGACCAGAACCAGGGAATTTTGCCCATCGTGATATTACGGATGTTCAAAAATATAGACTCACGCGCCGCAGTTGGTGTTTTGGCACTTTTTGGTCATCGACGTCTTGATGAAGTCGCTAATGACGTCTTTTCTTGCCTGGTACACAAGCCCGTCCTTGTACGAGTCGCGTTTGCTGCTTGATGCGGTCGCCAGATGTGCCGCGACGTAGAGGTTCACGCGCTGCTCGAATGCTTCGTACGACTCAGCTGGCTCGTCGTCATCCTCGTCTTCCGCGCCCCGCTTTCCCTTCTTGGTGTCGTAGTGCATGTCGTCAAGGGCCTTGGCGGCAACGACGAAGCCGTACTCCAGCAATCGCAGCTTCGCGACGTATTTGCACAGCTGTGGGTGATGTGAGGACTCGCGCGCAATGCCGTAACGAGGAGACTTGCCACGAAACGGCTCAGCTTGAACCTATGGCAGAAGAGGCACGTTCCACGAATCAAGTGGTACGCATTGGCCATGAACAGCGGGTGGAAGACGGGGGCGGGGAGCTCGATGTGACCGAAATGGCCAGGGCAAGTGAAGTAGGACAGACGGCATGTAGCGCAGCTGGATAGGCTTCAGTTACACTCACGAACATGTACGGCAAGCATCCCAAGATATCAGGACTCTAGATAGGCCCAAAAACTTGAAACAAACTGTCAAAAAATCTCTTCGTACGGGGACAAAGGATTGGTGACAGTTATACTTTGCCTCACAATCTTGCAGTCTTTCGGGGGGCGTGATATCCTGCGGTGCTTGCCGTGACATACAGTACGTGAGTACTCACATGTCCTGCTTGTCACTCGGCCCAAGAGACGGGTCATATAGACCTCCAACATTCGGACGATTGAGGTCGTCCAAAAGTACAGGGTTCACGATCTGCTTGACTGAGATTCTGCGCACATCTTCTGTCGTGAGGAAGGAGAAGGAAACGCTCGCGACCGTCGAGGGAATGGGGCGTGCGATGTTCATGGCGGCGACAGAGTCTTGACGAGCAGAACGCCGTAGAAGAGAGGAGACCCAGAGACCTGCACAAGGAGTTGCGGCGGGTTGCAGCCTGTCCAAGTCGACGGGCGTTCAGTAGAAAATTATGATCGGGAAAGTCACGGGACCCGATCCGCGAGTCACGGAGCGCCCGGTCCCGCGATTCACGAAGTCGGCGTCTTGCCGGAGTACTGAGGAAGGACACGGACATATGAACGCTACCGGTATACATACAGAGAAGTCGCACTCTAGAGGATCTAGAATCCAAGTAGGGGCGTGGTATTATATGAGTACAACACAAGAAATCCAGCTCTACAATGCGCCGCTCCCTCGCCGGCTGCCCGCTGTGCGCTTTCCCGTCTTGATCTTCTGCGCCTCTCCCACCAGTTCCCCGATGAGTTTGTTGTAAGTCTCCGAGTCCTGCTGGAGACCGTCCCGCATTTGCAACAGGTATGTCAGCAAGGCCGATGCCTTCGCCGTCTGCTCCTTGATCTCCGCCAGGTGGGCCTCTACGGAACGTAGTGGTAGCAGTGACAACTCGTCTGCACGCTATGAGCACAAGCAAGTACAAGAGAAGTATCGGACAGACCTGCAGACAAGTCGAGGAGCGCTTCCATCTTCGCCTCGTCAATCTCGGGCCGCGGGCCGAGCCGCAGCTGGGAGGCAGCCAACGCCCCATGTTTCGCTGCAGGCGAGCCCGGTTGCGACGTGCCGCTTCGTGCGCTGTTGAGCGCAGCAGTCTGTAGCTTGCTGACGCCTCCGCGAGGGCCCGGTGGTGCCGACATTGGACGCGTGTGGATCTCGAGCATAGGCAACGCGCCATTTGCGCGAGGAAGGACCTCATCCAGGTTGACCGGGATCCCAAGGGAGATGAGATGTTGTCGTCGAATGCGCGATCGTACCCAGTTCACGGGCTGGAACGAGGGCGGCGTGGGTGGTAGGAGGGCGTTATACAGCTGCCGACTGGAACAGTCTGTGAACTGAGATGCAGAATTCTAGGATGTGGCTGAACGCAAGTACCTTTCTGGGGTCACCAGTGTCTGGCTGAGGCCGCCCACCTCCCTGATCTCGTCCTCGGTGATATGCGAAGTGTCGTCGTGTGCCCATAGCGGGCCAAGGATCTCATCCACCTCCTCTTGTAGCGTATCTCGTGATGGAAGAGGGTCCACTTGTAATGGCTTCCAATCAGGCGCGAAGGAGGGACCCCCGATGCTCTCTGGCTCGTCGTACGTTGCTCCGCCAAAGGACGAGAAACCACCAGGGGTTACGGGCATCTGCTGCGTCTCTCCAAAGTCGCCAAAGTCCCCGAAATCATCCTCGCCGTCCTCTCCCGAGCCCGCAGCGGTCTCCGCAGGCGTGCCAAAGTTATCGAAGTCGTCGAAATCGTCCTGAGTCGACGGCCCAGGCGAGGCCGTGAAACTCGGAGGCTGCACGGTTAGCGGGGGCATGGGCTCGGCAGGGGCACCCCACACGGACGCCGTAAACGCGATATCGTCCTCCATCGTAGTTCGTCGAGTGTCACAGGAAGCAGCACCAGCAGGAGCGGAGGTATCAGACACGGCCGGGGTTGCTGGGCGTGGTGCGGAGTCAAGGTGATCAGGCTTCGCGCGCCCAGCGCCTCACGCCGACCGCGGTGCTTGCCCTCTCTCCCACCGGCACCCCCGACGCTTCCGGGCATATGCCACACGGCGAGCACTCGTTCCTCTTCAGCTCGCTCGACTCGAAGCAGCCCAACACCGCGCGCAAGGTGCACCTCCGCCGGCTGTTCGACGTCCTGCACCTATGCATCCAGCGGCACGACTGGCCGCGCGCTAGGCGCGCATGGGCGATCCTCGCGCGGTGCAAAGAGCTGGACTGGAAGACAATGTGGCGGACGAGTCTGCTGCTGCTCGGCGAGGGCGAGAGCGACGCCACGACCCATGCCCCCGATACAGACGGCGACAAAGTCGGATTTCTGACTGTCATGATGCGCCAATTTCCAGAGGAGGTGAGCAACTCAGGGTGCACACCCCAGCGTCCGACACAAATCTTCCGTTCCAGAATGGCTAAACCGCACCCCCCGCTAGCGCGAGTCCATCCTGAAGGAGCTCGTATTGCACCTGATACACGCAGGTCAGCACCGGCGCGCGCTCGAGGAGCTCGATCTGTACGTGCCCCAACCGCCCAAACGCACGGCCGCCGTAGCCCCACCGCTAACCCAGCGTTCCGTCTCGCACCCACACAGATACCTACCGTCGTACCCGTACCAGGACAACCCTGTGCTGCACGTCTACGCGGGGCTGATGGCGCTATACCTCGCGCAGCCCGCGAGCGCGAGCGACATGTCCGAGGAGGCGACGTACGGTGCGTGCATCACCGCGGCCGCCTGCGCAATGAAAAAAATTTAGATGGCTCATATTCATTGCACCTTCGAATCTGTCCGGGCAGGTCAAGGGTGGGACGCTAGCCAGCTCCGAAACGCACAGGCACATTTCGAGCGTGCGCGCGCCGTGGACCCGTCCAACGTCGTGGCGGACGCCTTTCTCAACCAGGTAACTCTGCGCACCATGCATATGGCGATGAAACGCAGCTGACCCGCGCTATTGCCAGCTATCCGGCACCGCACGCGCTCAGGCCGCAACGTCGAGCCGCTACACGCCCGACTCGGACGAAGACGAGGACGAGAAAATGGAGGTCGACGGGGCGCTGCAGGCCCGCAAACGCATCAGGGCGTGAACCTTGCTCGCGGGCGATCAAATAAACGGCCGCTCCGCGAGGCTCCGCGACGTTACAGGACGGCGTATACATGCGAACCACATCACACGCGCGAGTAGCTACTCGGAGTCCGAATCAGACCCAAGATCGATCGTCGGCATAGGCTCGTCCTCGTCCTCCTCCCCTGCCGGCATAGATGCATGCGTTACGGGAGCGGCGGACGCAGCCGCGGGCGATCGTGCGCCCAGCGCAGCACCGCTCGCGGGCAATGGATCGGGTGGCGGCGGCAGAGAGGTCGGCGGGGGCTGCTGCTTCTGCGACGAGAACGGCGGAGGGGGCAGCGCAGTCTGTGTCTGTGTGCCGGCGGCGGGCGTGGGAGGCGGAATGGAAGGCTCGGCAACCTTTACACTCGCGATGCGCGGGGCAGCATCGACCTGCATCGCCGTCGGGCCCCCACGCGCCAGCGGCGGCTCGGCGGTTTCTACGACCCGCCGGTACGAGGGCGTGGGCGGAAGCGACGTCCGATCGTCGACTGTCGCTGTCGGCGTGTACACCTCCTCGGCGACGTCCGTGGGCTGCCCAGGAACCCGTGCTCCCGCGGCTCCGACCCCGATATTTGCCCGGGCGTCCGCCTCCTCCTGGCTCTCTTCGGCACGGAAGAGCGACAGCATCTCGACGTGCGGGAGCGATCGTACCAAGGGTGGGACGCGCGGGTGCAGCAGCAGGTCGATTTCGGTCGGGACGGCAGCAGTCCCCTAGAAGATGGCGCGAGTGTTAGCACGCCCACATGCCCCGCGAATACGTTCGCGCAGATTAGCTCACGTTGTCGCCGAGCGTGCCGTCAGACACGCTCAGGATGAGGCCCAGCGCCTTGCCCATGGTGCTGGTCGTACCGATCGCGAGGTGCGTGCATGCGAGCTGCAATTTCGAATACAGCCGCGGGTGCAGGGACAAGTCCGGTGACAGGATGGCAGGTGGCAAAAGAGGTAGAGAGGCGTAGATCGAGAGCAGTAGCCGGGAAGCGAGCGAGCGGACGGGCGGGTTGACTTGCGTTCGCAGCAGAAGGGCCTCGAGAACTGGATGAGGAATTCGTAATGGTCAGTTAAGCTGAGCGGCGTAGGAGAGGGTGGCTCTCACCATCAACGGCAAAGAGCAAGATCTCGCCCTGTTCGGAGGTGGGGCAGACGATTTCCCGGCCTACCTTGAACACCTCATCGCCCTCGTACCCTCGTGCCCGTTTCTTACCCTTCTTGCTGCCCCCATGCGCCGCCGCCGCCTGGGTGCCGCTCTCCCCGTCGACTTCTGAGCGTTTCGACAGAACGACCGTGAGAAGAGGCAAGGTGGCCCGAGTGAGGCGGGAGGATAGGGTCGTGTCATGTAACTGACAACCACCCTCCAACAAGGACAGGGTAGCACGAAGGAAGCGTACAACGTGGGCTCTGCGAATAATGAGCACCTTTCTTGCGGAAGAATATATTGAACTTACGGTGACTGGGGTTGTTCAAGGTGATATGAGAGGTAAGACAACACTGCTGGCAAGTGCGGCGCGAAATGGTGCTGGCAACTGTATTTCACCGTGTCAGAGACTATCAACCCAACAATAAGATGCACCAACGCTTGGGACAGAGGAACCAGTATATCACAAGCAAGTGTCCACAGAGTGGGCACGATGGAATCCTCGAGCGAGCGCGCGATAGGATCCACAAGGGGATCGTTCTGTAGAAAACGTTTAGCAAGCAACGCATGTCGTCTTCACAGAAGCCACAAACTTTGTCGTCCTGGTGAACTTGCAAGAGTGCCAGGCAAAGCCGCACTAGCGATCCGGTAGGTATTGAGACAGGCCTTGAGGTAGAGGCTCTATACAACTATTAGCGGTAGTTTGTAAAGGGCAAACCTGATTTGAGAGACTCACCGTAGGAGGTCTCCAATGATATGTACACCTGCTCTGAGGCGGTCTAGTGCCAACGGCACGCCGATGAGGGGATCCTCGGTCGAAGAACCTGGTTTAGCAAAGGCGGCATGGGCTGGAAGAACTTCTTGAGCATCGTACACGTTGACTTATACTCGCAAACATACCTTGGCTGGGATATGTAGTTCTCAACTGTAGGAATGCACCCCAGGCAAAGGCCACCGTATCGTCCAGCGACTTGCGCCACAATGCCGCCGCGCCTACTTTTCCGCCCGTGAGCGGGAGCACAGAGTACAGCCGCGAGGATGCTTCAACCATAGCGACAGGCGTCGGATTCGGTGCAGAGCCATTCAGATGAGACAATGCGACGTTGGATAGTGCGGTTTGCAGGGGACGGCAAAGCGAAGGGTAGAGGGACACTATGTGAGCAAGGGTGTCCAGGACGAGGATCTACATTTTCATTAGCTAGGCAAAGTACATGTAGGTGTATTTTCATACATCGACTTCAGGGTTCGCTCCTTTCTCAGCAATGGTGATGAGTGCGCTGCCAAACTTCGGGATATTGGGCACGCATAGTTGGCGCTGGAATTCCGGGACGTCCATTGCACACGAGAAGACTAATCTCAATAGCCGTATAGCTGCTTTTGTGGTAGGTACAGGCTGATTCTAGGTGGATGGTCAATCTAGGCCTGCACGAGATGATGAGAGCCCGAAACGCACCACGAGAAGGGGCATAGCCGCGGCAACCCAGTTCTGTGCGCATTCCAGCATGATACTCCTAGAAAATACCGCCGTCTGGAAGGCAAGACAGAGACCACTCCATCTTGCTCCGGGATCTTTTGAGTGGATGAGGGAGTTGACGCGGGCGATCCACTTCTGGGTGTGTGCAGATGGCTGGAAATCTTCCTTGGACAGAGACTCCAGCACGAAGGGTAGATGCAGCACAGCGTAAGCGTCTGAAGCAAGTTGCAGTTGCAGCAGGTCTTTTAGGCGGTTGGAGGACGCCATCGTTGCGTAGAGACTCGAAGGAATGGCAGCAGACAGAGGTGGAGGCCTCAGACGGGCGCGCGCGCGAAGTCTTCGCGGAGAAAAGTCGTCTCGATCACGTGGTAGACGCGTCGCGTCCAAACACGTCGCGTCCTTCGCGACTCGCGAGTACCCGCCGTTTCGCGGAAGAATGCGACCCGCAAGTATTGCACAGCGTAGTGCATGCGATTTGTAGGTAGTGCATGCGATTTGTAGTCGGGGAGAAGAGATAACCCGTCTTTGTAATGAGGTTAGAATATTGAATGACGAAGGCAGCCCGCAGCTAGGGCTCATCGGCCAACATATTGGACACAACAGAATACGTTAGTTACTATATAGCTGTAAAACTACGAAGACAAGGAAGACATCAACACGGCATAGTCACCCAGGGCTCCCATCCAGACCCAGAAACCAGACCAGCCACATCCGACGAAGCCCTTCCAGCAGCTCGGCCTGCTGTCAAAGTCGGTCTGCCAGAGCACACGCGCCAACTGCGCTGCCGCCAAGCCAACACCACCGTAGAACAACGCACCGTGACCGTTGAGGTACCCGGCGTACGTGATCAGGGAGATAGAGGAGGCCGACAATGCACTCAGAATGGGCCGCGTTCTCTCCCCGAACAGCAGTGCGGTGGACCTGATACCCATGTTGACGTCGTCCGTCTTGTCCTGAACGAGAGCGCGTGAATAATTAATAAAAATTTGGTGCTGCAAGCGGCGTACCTGGTGTGCGTAAATGCTATCGTATACAAGTGTCCAACAAACCCCGCCGGCGTACAGCGGGAGGCAAACGCTCCAGTCCACCGCGCCTGCGACGGCAGACCAGCCCAACATCGCACCCCAGTTGAAGGCGAGCCCTAAAGCCATGCAAACACGCTGCAGTTTAGCAAATATATACAAAACAGATCAAGATTCCATGCGGCATACCCAGAACGGCTTGGGGCCAGTGTGTCACTCGCTTCATGAAGGGGTAAATGGTCACCACTGAGAGTGAGGATGCACCAAGCAAGATGCTGTGGCAATGAAATGGCATGAACAGTCAGCGAATGATTCTATATTCGATGGAGTTCTCGTACCTATACCAGTTCAGTTGAGTGAGTACTCCGAGCCCAGCGGTCAACTGGAGGCCGAGGAACGCAAACGCCTGCGTTGGTGTGATGTCCCCAGCAGCAAGAGGTCTCGTCTTCGTCCTTTCTGGCCTCATGCTTGAGCACCTACAGACGGGAAGAGATACTGGCTGACACATACCGACACCCTTGTCAAGATCCTTGTCCCACATATCGTTGATTGTGCACCCCGCCCCGCGCATAACCAGCGCGCCCAAACCGAACAGGCTGATGTAGGTCAAAGGGGTCGTTAAGGGTGTCTGGAGGGCGTACGACGCCATGGTGATAGACGATGCTAACCGTCAAGAAGCGACCCCGCAGTGAGCTCGGGCACGAACGGGCGCGAGAAGAAGGGACCGACCACAAGGGTAGAACAGCAACAGGGTGCCAATTGGTTTGTCAATACGCGTTAGGTATAGGTATGGCCGAACAGGCTTCGGCATACGGTCCACCCATGTTGTCGGAGGTGCCGGCGACGCGTCTGAGAGTGTGCTAGATCGCCGGGGAGCGGTCTTCAGCAGACTTTGCCGGAGAGTGAGCCTTCGCGCAGATTGAGGTCCCGCATGATGGCGTAGAGCATGCAAGGAGCGACAGACTAGACCAGATGTACCCCAGGAATGATTCGCAGAGCGGAGTACAGGTATGAGGTGTATTTGACGACCGAGGACGTTCATGGTAGTCCTCAAGCCGAGTGAGTGGGCGCTTATGCGCGTCGCGCTCTATGTAGCGGCGTCGCGTAAATACGGGTGCTACCTCCTCCTCCGACGAACCCACGCGATCAAAACAGACACAGCACGAGGACGAGACGAGCACGCTGAATACACTAGACGTGCTTGAACAGCTCTCCTCCATGTATTCCGTTATTCCGATACACCGATTGTGACCAAACCAAAGATATGCAGGATATAGATGCGAGACAAATACATGCGAGAGCGGTCCTTCACCATTCCTTTCCGATTTTGAAACTCCACTCCCAGTCTACGCCACGAACAAAGATGAGCGCCATATATCAAGATGAACACGAAAACCATAACAACGCACCGGCGTAGACCTCGCCGTCATCGTCGACGACACGGCTGCGGACCGAGTACGTCCCGGAGCGAGCCAACATGCCGGATGGTGACTCTTCGGGGTCGAAGTTCTTGACATAGGCCTCCCCCTTGGGATGCGGCCCGTACGAGCCAAGCATTTGCTCCATCTTGTCAACTAGCGGACGAAGTGGTGAGCGATTACTCTACAAGGGGACACGCAGTTGCTTCATACCTTTGATGCCCGACCGCTTGACCACTTGGATGTATCGGACACCCTGCCACAAGTCGGCTCGCATTTAGACGCACTCGGCAAAACTAGTGGCGGACTTACCGAGATGATCGAGTGGTTCACCTTGAAGCTAATGCGGACGCTGCGGGACGATCAGTAACACGACCTCGAAGAGCTGCAGGAAACCGAGATATTCACTTGAACTCGACGCCCTCCTTGATCGTGATAGGGTTCTTCTTCAGGTTCGCGATTTGATTCGTATCCTGCAGGTTCATCACGAGCTCCTTGCCCGGGGGGAGGGTAGTGGAAGCGAGCTCCAGACTGTAAATGGTAACCTGCAGGCGACGTACGGTCAAGCACGGCGACGGTGTGCCACAAGGTGTTACTCATACCTTGGGACCTTGTCCACTGGTGGCCGAACCGGGGACGATGCCCAGGCTGGCTTTCCAACGCGCGAGACTCTCGTCCTCAGCATCGAGCTTCGCGTACTCGTCGACACTCTTCGCCGCGCCGGGCTTGTAGCCTGAAAGACGATGCACATGAGCATGAGCGGCGCCGGACAAAGACATGCACCCGAGCTTACCGGGGGTGGAGGTGGGGACAAGGTCGTCTTCCTCGTGCTCGTGCTGCGGGGCGGGCGTCGGTAACAGAGAAGCACGACGAGCACTGTGGCCGACAGACCTGCGTGGACATCCTGGGTTTATGGTGATGGTCGATGGAGGAGGGGGACTTGTGCTTCGCGCCGGGGTTGCCTCGGTTATGGCTGTTCACCACTATCGATCGATTTCCCACGCGTGCTATACGGTCGTTGCCGATATTGTGTACAGCTTTCTTCTGGCTTTGTTCAACTTCAGGACACTCCCGCCGGCGGTCTCGGTGAGATAAAATATCAGACGGTGCAGGACACGCAGGAACTTTCGGCGGAAAAATCTTCTCGTACAGAACGATAGAATGACGTGGTTCGAGTTCTATGAAGTCGCATAGATTTCGACTAAGTGCTCTAAATCTGCGGGTAGAATGATACTTACGTCGTACCTTAGATTCCGAAGCTGCGGCCTTCGAAGCATACAGCGTACAGGTAAAAGCGTTAGGACTTCATTAACGTACAAAATATCAAAATCTCTGCTCTTGGACCACACGCACCTACGCGTTTTTTATTTCAGTAGGTGTGCTATGTGACTCAACATGACGCTGCATTCCGGCCTACGTACGTACTCGGGTGGCAAGGTACGACTTGCACTTAGTAGCTCATTGGCAGAGTAGCGGGCTCTGTCGTGCTTGCGCGACCTCACAACGCGTCATTCAGGACGGCCAGCTTGCGAAAGCAAGATCGAATTCCATTGACAGTATATATAACCAGGAAGATGTTACAGAGGATTGAACGTGTACTAAGATCGATGACGGCGTAGGAAGGCTTAGCGCACTTCGACATAAGTTACTTATACAACTCCTATAGGATCGTGATATGTATGCTAGCCTGCTGCGCGAGATGGAGGTATATGGGCACAAAAGATGCTCGAATGCAATGTGTTTACCTATCCAACGATACTAGGAGATCGGGCCAAACGCCGCCAAATTCCGTATTCGCTTTTTGGTTAAGCGACCTCGACGAGCTGCGGACCGACGGGGGGATGCATGCCGTCTACAACGGACAGATCAGCACTGGAGCATCGCGAGGCGGTGGCCTAGACTTACCTCCTTTGAACCAGCACTTCCCCTTGCTCAGGTGGAAGCATCGAGCACCGCTTGGGCAGACGTGACCCTGAACGCGTATTGGGACATTGTCGTCGGCAGAGATGGAGGCACATGACTTACCCAGCAGCAGTTGTCGCCGTGCGGACAAGGGATGCCTATAGGTCAAAGTCAGTACAAGAGCTAACGGTGGTGACGGCCATGAACGGAGACATACCGTTCTTAAGATAGTTGCAAGGGGCCTTCTTCGCGTTCCGAGCCAAAATATCGAGCTGCTCCGGGGTGAGGTACCAATCGTGCGAGTACTTGCAGTTCGACTGACGATGACGCGTGTGAGCATGTATCCATGGTGGCAGACAGGTTTGGCAAGAAGCGACCTACTCCTTTAGAACACGCCATGAGGTAATGCTCGTTGCAGGGCGGCGGGTTCTCTGTGGACGGTCAGCACCGGCTCTATCAATTTCGGGACGATATACTCACGCTTATGGAGCGGCTGCAAATTTTCGCATGAGCCACGTCGCTGGCCCGGCCGTTATACAGCGACTCACCTTCGTAGCATCGATGTACCTCAGACCCTCGGACGACGAGTGGCGCGGCGGCGGCGTGGACCCCGACGACTGGCTCTCCGACTGGGGGCTAATGAGGCCGCCGTTCGTGACGACGCTCGAGTGGCCGTCCGCGAGGCCGAAGAGGGGCCCCGGGCGACGCGCCGCCCACGGGTTGACCTTCTCCGTCATGAACAGGCCGTCGATCCGGAGCGTCCGCGCCGACATCCGGCGCACGGCTGGCGACATCTCGTTGGGCGGCTGCATGAGAACGAGCTTCCCGACGAGGTCGTCCTTCTCGAGCCCGTCATACATCGCGAGGTACGTGTCGTCCACGCCTGCGCGCGCATTCAGTCCGGGCCCGGGGGCAGATGCGGGGCGCGGTGCTCACCTCCGAAGAATAACCGCAGCGTCTGCGGGAAGCGGATGTACGTCTTAATATATTCTATAGCGGCCCTGGGTTACTACGCAGCGCGCATGCGTGCAGACAGGGGATGCACGTACCTTTCACCTTGACCTCAGTGCTCTCTCGGCCCGGGCCCGCGTCGACGATCAGGAAACGGGGCGACGCCTGGCCGAACCCGAGGAGGAAGGACTCGAAGTGCTCCGGGCTGGCGATGCCGTCGTCGCGCAGGGCGGTGAGGATCGCCCTCTTGTTGATGTACAGCGTCACCCAGAACGAGAGCCGCTCGAAGACGGTCAAGCCCTGCTGGAGGAGCTCCTGCGCGATCGCCTTGGTGAAGTCCTGCGCCACCTGACGGCCGCCTGCGTAGCCCTGCTCGATCAGGGTGGGATGGAACATGAGCCTGTCTCCGTCGATGGCGCACAGGACCATTGGGTCCTGCCACGGACTTATCAGCTACATCCATCAGGACCAGATGAGGTGGCGTGTGCGCTCACCTGGGCAACATTGTAGCTGGAGGATTGGCGCGTAAGAGAGGGAAGCAGCGCGTTAGGCGGCTTCTTTTCAACATCGGATGTGGTGTTATAAGCTAGCTTCAGGGCGGCGAGCTCACCCTCGAGCTCGGCGACGCGTGACTCGAGCTCGGAGTGTCTATAGACGGTGGCGCTGGAAAGGTCTGAAGACAGATGATCAACGGCGAATGAGACGGTGGCGCCACAGTAGGACGGACCATGAAGATGAGCGAGAGCATTGTCCCTGGAAGAGATGGTTAGATGCTGCGGCATATTGGGTAGCGCGCGAGGGTATATTACCAGAGCTGCTTCGTGGACACGGCCATAGCGTGGAAGGCTGGGAGGTGATTAGTCGTAAAGGAGCGATGTAAGGAAGGGCGGATGAAGGAGAGGAGGGGAGGAACGAGATGAACAGACGGGAGTACTTATAACAGCGGAAGGTGATGCGTCCTGCTGCCAGGTGCGCTGCGGGAATGAGCACGCAGACGGTCAGAACTTCTTCTATCCCGGTATACTCGTACAGGGAAGGTCGATATATTTGGGCGGTAACCTAGTCCGCTTCTCAGCTCCCACGACGCAGAGCCATGGATCTGTTGCAGATGATGAGCTGGCCCCGCTCAGCGCTCAGAACACGCGGTGGTTGACATGCGGCGCACGCCTGGGCGTGCCCCTGCTTCTGTCTGCAGCAAGGCCGAGGGTCCTGACCTCTCTATGTCCACCGCCGCCAAGAACCTGCTCGCAATTCCGGATAAGCTCGAAAAAATTGCTAGGACGCCCGTTGTAGTCCTGACTCCGGTATCCACATAAATCGGGCACAACAATCACCTTACCAAGCGGGATGTTGATGTTCCCGAACGAGCCGGGCGACCGGTGTCAAAGCCTAAGCTGACCAGGAAGCACCCAGAGCGCCCTGAGGCAGAGATGCGATGGTAGGCGTGCTGGGTGCGTGGTGGACTGTTGCGCGACATGTTCCGCGGTTCCTGCGCTGCATGCACAGGAATATGCCACCTACGCGAGTCATTGGACTCACGATCCGAACGTCCGAGTCGATGTCATAGGAAGACGAGGACGATCGAACGAGCAGGGCAGTTCCTTCCTAGGAGGCGGAGAATTCACGGCGGACGAACCTGGTCGACACTGCTAGCCCCGAGAGCGAGTCACGCCGTATGTGCTGCCGCGGCAAGTCCATGGAGGGCAGGGTAGGCCCGGCAGGCAGGGGATCCGTGCGGACTGACACGTAATCGACAACTCTTCCTGGCTTCTGGTACCATTTGTTTGAATTCTCGGGCGAGCGCCCACGCCACAATTGACGGAGATGAAGGGCGCTGCGGTAACCCCCTATCCTCGGTAGAACGGTGCTCTCCTAGATATCCGGTTAGTACATTTTGGAGTTTGATCCCTGTTCAGCGTCGCCTTCGTATGTGCCCAGATACTTCCTCGGCACCGTGCGGCAAGTCAGCAGCGGACATCGGAGTCTGTTGAGCGGTCGCTGACAGCGAACTCATCATATCTCCGCCGCCGTATCGCAGCCACAGTGGTCCGACCGAAAATAACGTTCAGGAGGGCACCGGACATAGTCAGAAACGGAACGCGGAGCTGAGCTCGCAACTAACACACCTGTGCCTGTAGCGCAGTCTTCCCCCTGGATTCTCCGCGTACGACGAGGACGACCCGGGCCCAAACTAGGCGCACCAGTCAAATAGCCTTGGTCGAGTTTGAGACTCAGCAGTCCTAACGCGTCAAGCCATTCTCATCATCATAGTTCTGCGAAGTTCCGGGGTGGTTAGGAAGGGCACGATCTGTGAGAATTCGTCAAACATCATCGCCTCGAAGTTACAGCCTCACCAGGAGCTCCGCTGTGGGCGGCTCAGGCAAGTCCGCCGAAAATCCCCACAAGGTGGACTGCCGAGCAGATGAGATTGAGATATGACAAGATTCGGGCACGGACGCTTCGAGGGGTTGTTTCGCGCGATTGGGTGCCTGCCGCGAGCGTAGCATGTATGCGACGGCTACCGGACCGCAGGGATGGTTGTTTGCTGGAGATACGTGTTTGCTGAGCTCATCGCACTGAGGTACGTCGTGCTTTGCGAAAAGGTCCGCGAGCCAGGCACTGAGTACTGAGCGTTCGTAGTCAATATGGGCGGAGGCCGGTCGACGAGGTACAAGCCGAGGTCACTGCCATCATGCATGCGCGCGTGGTGGACGGGCGCTTCCATTTGTGGGGGTGTCGGCCACGCGCGGCGGTTTGCAGCTTTGTGGCGCCCACGGTGGTGCCGCGTGAATGTTGTCCTCCTCCGACGAGACCGTCTGAGGATGCTCACGAGAGCAGTCACTTGGACACCTTCCGCAACACCTCGCACCGCATGCCACGGTCTGTCATGCGTTATCGCGCGCGAGGACTCAGCAAGTGGGTGCACTGGAGGTGAGCATGCACGTCCATCGCCAAGCGTTGTCTCCCGTCGAGCTGATTTTGCGAATGCCGCACCAGTTTGTTCCGGAAAGATTGCTCCGCCGTAACCCTCGTTCTACGGAACGTTTATGCACACACTGAGTATCGATGACCACCGTGTCCGTCAATTTTCGTGAGGGTGGGCGCAGATGCCGCCGTCGTGCCGCCTCGCGCCGTCCCGCCCAACCCTCGCGCATCTTCTCGCGTCCGGCGGGTGCGGTCAGTCGGGCGCACGTTCCGGGACCCTCGATCTTCGATAGCGACGTCATTCCCGCCACCAGAGTCAAATCATTCGTCTACCGATCATCCAAGCGCGCCGGCGGCAGGTTGCGCTCCGAGTCGGTGCGCTCGCTCAACGCGACACAGCGCGTACGCTCGCGTGCCTTGCGACAGCCACACCTACTCGCATCAACGATATAGACATTCAAGCGCGAGCTCGCCGTGCGCTGCCGCCCGGTGCGTCGCATCTCTGTCCCCCAGAATGGCGTCCGGTGGAGTGTCCACGCGCTAGGAGAAGAAGCCCGGTCCAACCCTCGTGATCGTGCAGAAGGAACGCCGGCACCCCATTGCTGCTCGCGCGAAGCCATTTTCATACGCGCTGAGAGGATGAGCCGAGGAGAGGCTTTGCTTGCGTTTATATAGGGCGGTCACGCCCACGATGGCGAAGCACTCGGCCGAGTGTCTCCCCCCTGTCGACCACCCGCAGCCATGTCTCGCTCCTCCTTCTCTCCTCGTGTGTCTGTTGACGGCGCCTCTACGACTTCCCGGAAATCGAAGAATGAAGCTACTGTGGCCGTTGACTCCTCTGAGTTTGATGCAGAGGTCGCCGCCGCGGCACCCCTCCTCAGCGGGACTGCATTGACAGCTGCTATCGCCTGTGTTGCGGGAACCGGTTTCACCTTGTTCGGGTACGTCTTTCTCTGTTTATAGGCAGGAACTGTCTCGTGCTTACCCACGTTCATAGTTATGATCAAGGTGTAATGTCGGCGCTTCTGACTGCTAAGCAGTTCGAGAACGTCTTCCCCCAAGTTATCGTCAACGACTCACAACCGTCGAACCACGCCACGCTCCAGAGCTTCGTGGTCGCCGTATATGTGAGTACATTATTTGCTGGCTGCAATTCGGACCGGATGCCTAATGGACGTGCCTAGGAAATTGGATGTCTGATCGGCGCTCTGTCCAACCTCTGGATCGGCGACTGGCTTGGACGACGCAAAACAATCGTGCTCGGCGGCATTATCATGATCGTCGGTGCCATTCTCCAGACCACGTCCTTTAGCTACACCCAGATGGTCGTCGCCCGCATCATCACCGGCTTGGGCAACGGCCTGAACGTAAGTCTTGTGCCGTCTCTGCCGCGGGCGTGCCTTGACCGAGCCGAATCTTCCGCAGACGTCGACTGTGCCCTCGTATCATGCGGAGTGCTCGCCAGCCGCGCGCCGAGGCAGCCTCATCATGGTGGAAGGCAGCTTGATTACCTTTGGAATTATGATATCGTGAGTGCCCTCGTTCGCCTCGAGTTGTTCCCATCCTGATGTCATCCACCGCCATCGACAGATATGTGCGTACCGGTTGACCGATCTGCCGCCGAACACACTGTTAACGCTCGCGCTTCCCTAATGCAGTGGATAGACTTCGCATTGTAAGTGCGCCCGCCCTGCCACCCGACTACGGCGCGTCTAACCGCACACGCACGCAGCTTCTGGATATCTGGATCATCAGCGCAATGGCGCGTGCCCATAGCACTGCAGATCGTCCTCGCCATTGTCATGATTGCGGGCATCATGTTCGTGCGTGCCGCTCCCGCCGCCCACACGTCCATCTTCGCTGCTGACCGCCGCCCACACCCACCACACAGCTGCCGGAGTCCCCGCGGTGGCTGGCGAAGCACGGCCGCAACGCGGAGGCCCTCGCCGTCATCTCCGCGCTCGACGGGAAGCCGCACACGGACCCTGGGGTGCAGCAGACGTACCACGGCATCCGCGAGGCGATCGCGGCGGAGTCCCACGTCAACAGCAGCGACGCCACGCCCCTGCGCGAGCTCTTCACGAACGGCCGCTCGCAGAACTTCCGCCGCGCGTTCTTGGGCGTCGTCGTGCAGTGTTTCCAGCAGATCACTGGTATCAACCTTATCACATACTATGCGGTACGTCCATCCCGCCCGCATTTACCGCCGCCCGCCACTAACGGGACGTTGTGTTGATTCGATTAGACGTTGCTGTTCGAGCGACTCGGCATCGACGACGTGAAGGCGCGCATCATTGCCGCTGCCAACGGGACGGAATATTTCCTGGCGTCGCTCATTGCCATCGCGCTCATCGACAGAGTTGGTCGTCGGCCGCTTATGTTGTTCGGTGCGGTCGGACAGACCATCACGATGGTGCTTCTGGCCGTGCTCGGTAGCATAGATTCCTCGGGCACGCAGGTCGCATCAGCGGTCCTGTTGTTCGTGTTTAACTCGTTCTTCGCGATCGGCTGGTTGGGAATGACCTGGCTTTACGTGAGTGCCCTCATTCTCCTTCGCCGTAGACGTGCCCTTACGCTGTTTTTATTAGCCTGCTGAGATCGTGGGCCTGCGCATCCGTGCGCCCGCGAACGCATTCAGTACGGCGTCGAACTGGACGTTCAACTTCATGGTCGTCATGGTCACCGGGCCCTCGTTCAGCAACATCAGCTGGGGAACGTACATCGGTACGTCTTGCGCACGTCTCTTGCTGCTATACCGATGCTGATGCGGAATCACAGTGTTCGCGGCCCTGAACGCGTTCATCATACCCGTTGTGTACTTCTTCTTCCCCGAAACCGCAGGGCGCTCCCTAGAAGGTACGTCTCGCTGTTCCTATGTGGGTGTTTTATACGCTGAACTTGGGATACAGATATGGACGTCGTATTTGCGCTTGCATACAACGAGGGCGTGTCTCCTGTGGGGGTGTCGCTGCGCAAGGACGTGCCACCCGCAGGCTCGGCTGAAGCCGACGAGATTCTCGGCATTACTGCAGGCGGACGTGATGGGTCGCTGCGGGAAGACCCGCCTGCGCGGACGCAGTCGGAGAAGGCGTAATGGCCTGTATTCGAGCAGAATTAGGCGGAGTAGACTTGTATAGAGTCCCGCGTGTAAAGTTAATGCTTACTGTGTAATACCTACGTCCTCACGATGCTTCAAGCTTCTTTTCTTTACCAATCGCGCGGTCTGGATTGTGGCGGGTGTCGCTGAACTACCGCTGAACCATTACTTGTGAACGTTGTCCGTTAGCTCCGCGCATCCAGCGTCTCTGCGCGCGTTTGACTTCGTGTGTTCCGAATACTCCAAGCACCAAATACCAGGCCACAAGTTTCTGCACCATCCGGACGACCTCATGTATAGGTCGAGCAGGAGGCTGCAGCTACGGTGTGCTGCTCGAGGGACCGAAGAGTGACGCGAGCGGCGAGGGAGGCGCGCCACCGACGCGTTGTCGGCGCCTAAATACGCGTGCGTGGGAAACTGAACCCGGCGCGTAGATGCGGGCGTCTGTCGCGTAGATAACCTCGCAGATCTGCTGGTGTGTTGAACTTGCACTCCTCCCTCTCTCTCCCTCTTCCATCTCCTCCTCTCCATCATGTCCGACCTCTACTCCTCCCTCCGTGTCTCGCCTCGCAAGAAGCGCGTTCTCCCCAGCTCGGACGACGAGGACACCCTCACCCCCAAGCGTCTCAGGCGTAACAGCACGGTGTCAGTACCATTAAGCCACCAGTCTTGTTGATGTTCGTGGACTCACCGCTCGTGCAGCCCTCCTACCCCTTCCTCGACGCGTCGCAAAACCACCGAGGATGTCGACTCCAGCTCCATTCCCGCACACATCTCTCGCATGCACACCATCCAGACTGCTCTTCAGCATGCCCTCTCACATGCCCTCGCGACCTGCGCGGTAGCACCCTCAGAAGACACCGGCGTCGTCCGCAACGTCCTCAACCACATGTCGCTCGGCGCATACAGTGGGATCACCACCAAGATCGAGATGGACGATCTGAAGCGGCTATGCTGGCTCTGGGAGTGGGATGGCAAAGACCCATCTTCCGATGCAGGCGCCAGTGCAGGCAAGGGCAAGAAGGCCGAGGTTGCGAAAGAGGACGCAGAGGACAACCCTTTCCTCGACGATGCCAAGCCGGTCGCTGCTCCTCCCTCCAAGGACTGGCAGCGAGGTGCTATGGGTTTCGTTATTAGCCAAACGACGTACTTTTCCAAATCTGCGGGAGCGAGACTCCCCGTGTATGGCCTCGGCATCGAAGTCGAGATGGACATCGACAAGGATATGAAGGGAGGCATGGCTGCTGTTGCTCGCTGGACCTCCGGTGCCGAGACGAGGCGGAAACAGGTCCTGCAGAAACTGCAGCAGTGGGTCAAGGTATGTGCTTGTCAAAACGCGCATGTAATGTAGCTTACCTTTCCCGTAGCTTCATGCCGACGACAAAGTCGTGCCTCAAATACCCATGGCAGTCCTCCCACCTCTTCCATCGGCTGCAAAGCCCTCCAATTTGACGCGTTTGCTTGCGTCGTCTTCTCCAAAGTCTCCCGCTGCTGCTTCGATCCTCGCTGCGCCCGAGTGTCCTCCATCTCCGACGCGCTCGACTTCCAAGGCTCAGCTCCTGAAGTCGCCAACCAAGAAGATCCGCGAGTTTGCTGTTCCATTCCCGGTCACACCTTCAGCCAACCGGATTGGCACCCCTACCACGAATCGCATCCTGGGGACGCCTTCCACGAACCGTGTCCTAGGAACACCTTCCTCCAGCCGCAAGTCCGGCACCCCATCTATGAACCGTGTTCTGTTCCCTCAGACCCCCTCGCGCCATAGCCGCAGCGAAGACGACCTCCGCACGCCCACCAGCGCGCGCACCCCTTCCCTTTGCGGCAGCGACACGCCAACCGCATCCGAGTCGTCCGTGCCTTCGACCCCAGTCCATCAGCGCGGCGACGACGCAGACACCGTCCCCCAGACGCCCACGAGCTCGCGCAGGCAAGCCCTGTACGAGCGCATCCGCGCCCGCTCCGTCCAGAACACCCCCACGAAGGCGCACCCCAGCGGCGCGCCCATGTCCAAGGACCTGCTCCTCAAGCTCTCCCAGGAGGAGATGCGCCGGCGCTGCCTGCTCGGCCGCCTCGGGGGCGTCGCAGAGAGCGTGTGGATGATGTTCTCGAACCCCGCCGGGCTCACGGGTGTCGGGGCGGCGAGCGCGCGCAAGCGCCGCGCCATGCCTACTCCGGAGGTCGCCGCCGCGGTCGTGAAGTCGTCCCCGGTCCCGATCTCCGCTGCGGAGGCGCACGAGTCGCTCATGATGCTCGTGAGGCTCTGCCCGTTCTTCTTGCGCCGGATGGACGTCTCGGGCGAGGAGTGGCTCGAGATGCCCGCGCAGACGAGCGGCGCGGGCTGCGAGGCTGAGGGCGAGGCGGCAGCCCCCGTGGTCGTACCGAGCAGCCCTGGGAAGCTGAAGCTGGCGAAGGACGAGAGCGCGTCGGAGGTCCTCACGCGCAGCCCTCGGCGGGTGAAGCGGGAGGGGTGGGGGCTGCGCGAGGTGCGCGAGCGGATCCGGAGGGAGCTCGAGCAGGCGGACTGAGCGCCTGTCTCGAATGCTTGCTTGTTTTGCTTTGCTTTATTCTGCTACGCGGACGATCCCGTACATTGCTCTAGCTATCCGCCCGTGCACGATTTTGAACGACTCCTTCACGATTGCGTTATGTATATATTATCTAGTTGTGCGCATTTATAGTACCTGTACGATCCGGCCAGAACGAATACCAATGACTGTATACCTCGCACTTCCTTCAGTCCGTCAGCGCAAAATAAACATCACAAGGTATCCCATTCGTTTCATTCGAGCAGAGCAAGCAGGTATAATCGTACAACAGATATCCCAGATACACAAAGCACCCACACAACCCTCAAATCTGCCCAAACTTCTCCCTCGCCTCCTTCTCAAACTGCACACAGTCAACCACCCGGCCCTCGCGCCGGCTCGTCTCCGCCGCAAACACCGCGAGGTGGCTGCGGAGCACGTCCGTGACGTCCGCGCCCAGCACGCGCTGCTCGCCCGTGCGCACCGCCTGCACGAACGTGCTGATCAGCCCCAGGTCCCCGCCCCCGTGCCCGCCCCCATCGGCGCGTGGGGTGTGCTGCGTCGTCTTGCGCGTGCGGAAGTCGGTGAGCGCGAAGGAGGTCATGTCGCCGACGATCTCCCCAAAGGCGAAGTGCAGGCGCGTCTGCCGCTCGCAGATGAGCGTCGTGTGCGCGACCATCGTGAAGGACGCGGTCGCGCCGTTCGAGAACTCGATGTTCACGACCTGTGGGGTGGTGAGCGGTTATAATGCAACGGTACGAATGGGCGATACGTACCTGGTTGTCGCACACGTCGTTGTCGCACTCGTACACGCACCGCCCGTACGGCCCGGTCTTGAGCGCGTCGGTGATATTCTCGATGTCGGGCAAGCCGTCTACCAGGACCTCTGCGGGCCAACCGGTGTTGCCTTGCACGACGGGGTCCAGATAAACTGTATTGGCCGTTAGTTCGGTGATAGGAGCAAGCATCGCAGCCGGGCCGCGTACCCTTCTTCGCGCTGTATGCACAGTCGCGTTCGTGTGCGCAGTCGAGGCAGCGTTTGGCCTCGCCCGCTGCGGCAGGCTTGTTCACCTTGCGGAAGTGCTGCAGCGAGCCGAAAGAGGAAATCCGGGTGGGGCCTCCGGGGGCGAGGTAGTGACACAGGATGTCCAGGTCGCTGACCCATGTCGTCAGCCGCAGCGCGCAGTAGGTATACAAGGTTGAGACACATACTGGGAACTCTTCGTCAGAAGGGAGAAGCAGCTGTCCGCTTCGCGCGCCCAATTTCCTCGGACGTAGGAGTGCGCGAAGTGGTAATATCCGACCGGCTCAATGTGCACGACGTTGATGAGTTGCCCAAGGTTTGCGGTGCGGATAGCTTCCATCATCGCCTTGTTGTACGGCGAGTAGCGGAGCACTGCCCAAGGACCCTCAGTACAACTGAACTCTCCCCAAAAGGTTTGCACCTAGACCCACCATGACCCATCCCGAAGATGATACCCGCCTTCCGCACAGCGGCTTCCATTCGGACGCACGCTTCGACGGACGTCGCCATGGGCTTCTCGCACAGGATGTGGTACCCCTGCGCGGCGAACGCGAGCGTGACCTCCATGTGCAGGTGGTCCTGGACGGCGATCACGACGGCGTCCGCGAGGCGCTTGCCGATCGTCTGAATGGTGTCCGCAGAGGCCTTCAGGAGGTCCTCGTACGATTCGAAGACGAGCGTGCCGTCAACGGCGTGCGCCTCTGCGACGATCCCGCGGGTCTTCGGGCGCGGTTCCGCGATCGCGACGACCTTGCACAGCGTCGGTTCCTGCAATGCGTACTGGGCATACCCCTAAAGCACAGTTTCGATGTCAACAAGGGATCGAGGGCAGCATAGTAGCAGACACGACGCACCCGGCCGCGCTGCCCGCAGCCTATGATGGCGAGCGTAACTGGTTCATTGGCGAATTTGGCGAGGGGGCCAATCATGGTGTTGTTGGTATTGGCAGAGCCTGACGAGGACCCGGGGAGCCTGAGGGAGCGGCGCCACGCGCTTTTAGCAGCACTGGCCAAGGGCATCGCGGTCCGATGTTGGGCTATCCTGGTCTATCTGCCTGCGCGGCACAGTCTGCTTTGGAGCGCAGATGTCCAGAGCGCGCGGCGGCGCAGCGGCAGCTGACGCGGGGAACGAGTCGAACCAGGGTATAGAGTTGGGCGAAGGCGCACCGTGCGTATCTGCACAGGATGGCGGGAGAGTGCCTGATCGCTGCCAGACTGTCCAACGGCGAGCGAGGGATTGCGTATCTTAATCAAGGGAGCCCCCATTTGGCTTCGCAGTGGCTGTAAGCACATGCATCCTGCGTATCGGGCGGACTGGGTCATTGGTGAACACCTTTAGCAGCGGAAGATACGGCGCGAGTCGATAAACGAGAGCGTGTAGAGCACATCGACTGTTTTACGTCCAGAGGTGGTCATGGCGTGAGGTCGACGTAAGTACGAGAGGAGCCGATCGTCGAGACTCGAGTGCAGGGGTTCCGGCGAAAGGCGCGACGGCCGAGGCGCGTGGCGCGCATGCCTCGTCTCATACCACGACTCCTCCGAGCACTCAACCATGCCCGCTCTCGTCCTCCGCGCTCCATTCGCAGACCGGCCGCGCCACCATCCCTATCATTAAAGGTATTGACACGGCAATTCACGCGTCCTGAAGAAGTCGATATCTCGCCGGACGGCCGCAAAGAGTCTATTCTGCTAGACCGCAAAGCCCTCCGTCTCATCTATCGACATGCGCGATACCAGCGGTCGAAAGGTCTCGCGCCGTACGTGTATGTGTCCAAGTCCAGATGGAAGGCGAAGCAGTTCAGAGGCCGGGCACCTATGGACGTCCTTCCGCGGGAGATGACCGAAGAAGAGAGGTCATTTTACGCAAATCCTTACTGTGAGCAACTATCGTCCGAACTCCGTCTGCCCTTCAATAAACTCGAAAGACAGTGCGTATGCTAGGCAGCCCTCTGCGACAATGTTTTCACACAAATTGGATGCTACCACGAGGTCAGTCTAGCATATATTCTGCCCGCTCGCACCTGCTGAAATGAGTACAGAGATGCTAATACGCATGACACCGATGCTACTGCCCACTCCACCCTCTGAGAAACCGAAATGCACATTCCTGCCCAGCGGCCTCGAGCACCCGGCCTTCTCCCGCTTCCAAGGCGGGCGCAGCGGCTACGTGCTCTGCTACAAACGAGCCCTCGAATCCGTGCGCGAGCGAGGTAAGCTACACGCCCGCTTTTTAGATGTCCCCTGTGCTCACCCAACCGCGACTTTGCTCCGCAGGCACATACCGACGCTTCACGCCCGACGGCGTCGCCACATCACCCATGCACCCCCTCATCACGCAGCAAGTCGGACACCTGCTGCGCGTGCGCGTCCTCCAGGAGCTCCAGATGCTCACACGCCGACTCCTGCGGCGACGGCGGCTGGCGAAAGCAGACGAGCCCCCACTACTGCGGCGCCTCACCCGCGCTGAGTGGGCCGAGATCAAGACGTCCGGCGTGGTGCCTCACAAGAACGCTGTCGCGGTCCTCGTCGTGCCTCCCCCGAACAGGGATCCGGGGACGAAGACCCGCCCAGCTCCCTCCTCCAGCTCTATGCCGGACTCCGAGGATCTGTCACCGAAGGAACTGCCTAATAGTCTGCCGCTGTGCGTCATGTATCCGACCGCGGAAGAGAAGAGGTTCCAGAGCAGCGGGCTCCCGGACACAGTCCCCTCGTCGCGCGTTCCCTTGTATAACGGCGCCTCCTTGTTCCCATCCAAAACACAGAGGGCCGCGCTCCATGCGGCTCTTGGAGAGGTGCTGAGGGCGGAGCGCACGACGCGTCTTATGACAGGATCGGTGCCAGTACTGCATGGCAACGACGCAAAGTCGCCCGATGGCGTCCCTCTGCGGGCCAAAGGCGACCAGAAAGCCAGTCATGCTATCCTTGTTTGCTCCGACGAGAAGACCCTGTTTAGAGGAGACACGGTCCCCCTCGCGATCGCGCTCTGGAGGATCCGCATGTGGGAAGGAGGTCCGGACGACGACTGTTCTGTGGACTGGATGGCAGAGCCCCCTCGACAACGTTACACATAATTGCCACATATAATGCACGTAGCTTCCCACTCACGGACACCACACGATGTACCATCCTAGCATTACACTATCGACCCACTCAGAGTAAACGTCCAGTATACATTGCGCATAGTCGAGTTCTATGCGTCTACGGCCATCGCCACGGCCGCCGCCAGGTCGGCGTCATTCGTAGACGTCCCGAGCACCTCCTTTCCTTGCCAGAATTTAGGGAGCTGGTCCCCGGGGACGAACAGCCGCTCGACCTTGTCCTCCGTGATCACGCACATGCGGATCACACCACCCGACGAGCCGTCTCGGGACATCGCCAACGCGAGGGCTATACGCACGATTTAGCTCCTGCTGTAGCGGTAGAGAAATGGAATGCGCACTGTTCTTGACGAACTCGACGGTCTGGTCGCGGTCCCAGCCCTCCTGGTATGTCGCGTCGCAGTAGCCGTAGACGTACGTCGAGCCCGATCCGCCGATCGCCCACGGCTGCTTGAACAGCCCACCGCCGAGGGGGATGTTGTACACGCTCGGCCCAGTCTCCTTGTCCCAGCCGGCGACTATGATGCCCGCGGAGAGGCCGTCCTTGTTGTCGTAGCAGAGCTTCTGGAACATTGTAGACGCGGTATGTACGGATGGTGGTGCGCCGCTGGTTTGTCTATGGCGGAGAACATCAGTTATGATGCACCCGAAGGGGCGGTGAGAAAGAAGTACGTGTGGAGTTGGAGGTAGTAGTGCACAATGTCCGCGATGGCCTGGGTGTCTGCCGCGGATCCTGACCGACAACAGTAGATGCGGTCGTGAACATGGGTCAATTTGTCTGTAACACGGTTCGCCTGAGTCGGCAGTTAGTCTCTGCCTGATCACTAGAGAAAGCATAGAGCATACAATGTAGCTTCCCGTGGTCGTGCGACTGTCTGCGCCCACCACAACGCCATCCTTGAACTGGACCGCCATGATCGAGGTCTAAATCCCGCCAATGATCAGTAGAAGACCCTTCAGCAAATTAGGACGGTACGCACACCGAGGTTGACCTCGCCAGACTTGAGGCGTGCAATATCAGTCGTTTCCATGTCGTAAAGCGCGTTGTTGGGGAGATGGTGGTGCTTAGATGAGGGCAGAAGACGAGGGACACTGCAGAACAGGCGGTGGCTGAATGCAGGAGGTGACGCGTCGACGCGCGTCGCGAGCGTCTCTCTTCACACCTCCGTCCCTCCTGCACATCTCCGTTCTGCATCTCCCTCTCGGCCTGGTTCCCCCTTGCATACAACTAGCACTCTAAGATGGCGCCCCCGCAACTCGTCCAGCTCTACAAGGAGCTCCAACAAACATTCATCTCGGGCAACCTGCCGCAGACTGGCGTACTGCTCACCAGGCTGAAGGTACGCATCTGTACATCTCTATGAGAGGATGAATTTGCTTACAGTGCCCGCCAGATCGCTTTGACGGAAGCAGGCCTTCTTGTACCCGTCGGCAACCCCAGTGCTCAGGACCTTGTCATTGCCCGTGAGTGTCCAAAGTTAGGTCATCAGAGTTCAGTGTGTTCACTCTCTCGCCCCGCACCAGGTGATATCCTTGAAGTCGGCGCGTTCTGGAGTATACGGACAAAGGACATCCCCTCCTTCGACCGCTACTTCTCGCAACTCCAGACCTTCTACAACGACTTCATGTACGCGCGCCCACCCTTCGCTTTCCGACACTTCTAACCCTCCGCCTCTGCAGCTCCGTACTCCCCCCATCACCGCGCGAATACCCCCTGCGCGGGCTGAACCTCATCCGCCTCCTCACGCAGAACCGCATCGCCGACTTCCACACCACGCTCGAGTCCCTCCCCCTCCGCGCGGACGCGCTCACCGCCAACCCGTACATTGCGCACCCGATCAACCTCGAGCAGTGGCTCATGGAGGGCAGCTACAGCAAGGTCTGGAATGCGCGAGAAGAGGCGCCCGCGGAGGAGTACAAGTTCTTCGTGGACAGCTTGATGGGTACCATCAGGTGGGACAAGCGTCCAGGCTTGTTGCAGGAGTATTGCGCTAACGAATGACCTGTAGAAACGAGATCGCTAGCTGTGAGGAGGCGGCGTATGATAGTCTACCATTGAAGGACGCTGCGACTCTGCTTTTCTTCAAGACACATGCGGAGCTGGTTACCTTCGCGCAACAGGTATGTTCACATATTTGTTGCAAAGATAGATTCGCTCATATATGTTACCTCTTTAGCGAGGGTGGCAAGTAGATCTGACCGCAGGGAAGATCACCTTCTCCAAGAAGACCGAGGAGAAGGTTGAGATTCCAAAGGAGAAACTGATTCTGGCGAACCTGCAGTATGCACGCGAGCTGGAGCAGATTGTGTAGTTTACCGTCCCTGCCTTCCTCTGTATTTCTGGTTGTCTCCCACCGGCGTCTCTGGTCAAGTCCCCTGCGTCCAACATCGAACACTGTATCCAGAGCTTGATCCGAGGTGTCAGCACGCACTACAGTCGACGTCAAATGGTCACCGATGAGTCCATGGTACATTACAATGCAAGGTATGACACGATCACTCGAAATTCTCCAGAGCCTCCTTCGCCTTTCGTGCAGCCTCCTCGTACAGGTCTTTCGGTACCGCTTGGTGGATGCCGAGGGTCTCCTCGCCGACCCACGACATTTCAAGCTCGAAGTCCTTCTCCTTCGCATCGTCGTGAACGAGGTAAATGCTGGGTATTGGTGAGTGAACGGCCTGCATGGTACAGCGCGAAGACTTACATCCGCGCGGCCTCCATGACTGCTTCCCGCATGGAGAGCTCGTCAAACTTGAGCTTCTCAAGCTCTGTCTTTGCGAGCTGACGGCCCTTACCAACTGCCGCGCCACGGTAGCCCTGCGATCATGTCAGGCTATGTACAATGAGATGGACTGACAGAATGAACGTACGTATGATACGCCACTAGGCTCTACCACGAACAGTGTAGGACCAGTCTTGTCCACCGCGCCGAGGATTGTGCTGCAGCCAAATGGCCGGACGGAAGAGTACAGAGTGTATGCTTGCACATACAATCCTACCCTGTCCACAACGTACTGCATGGCGATGAGCAATACGTCCGACACTCAGTCGCGAGACGCGCTCACCTGGAGCGTGGGCGCGGCACGGTAGTTCTCGCGGTAGCTCGAAGCCTCATCCCGTGCGCGGTTGGCCAAATGCCGGCCATCCGCAAGGTAACCTGCGGACGCCTGGGCAGGGAGTGCTTTAGAACATATGGGAATGAGACGGAGGTGAGTTAGACGTACGATCCCGATGTGCTTGTCGACAGTGTATATCCGCTTGTTGTTCTCCGGGATGAGGAGTTTGGAGTGGACGAGCTTCTCGACCGCCAATACAATGCCGTCCTTGACGCGGATGCCGACGGCAGTTCTGTAGGCAGGAGAAGATCAGTCGCGCTCTAGTAAGTTAAAGCAAGGCGCATGCGTACCCCGAGTTCTCTACCGCCTTGTTCGCGTACTCCACCTGCGCCAAGTGTCAGATCTGTACAGAGGCGTTCCCGGACGCGTTCAGTGATCTTACCTGGAATATACGCCCATCCGGGGAGTACGTGCTCGCCGACAAATCATATCCCGTGCCGATGGAGGTCATGGTTGTCTCGGGGTGGCTTCAAGTCTGAGCAGAACAGAGGGTTGGAGGCAAGCAAGCAGAGGAAGGGAGGATTGCGTAGGGTGCGTATACTAGCAGGACGCGCAACCCCTGCCATCGACGCGTGCGCGTGAGAACGACCTGCCGTTCTGGGCGCGCTCGCGTTTGGCGTCAAATGACCGCGTTCCTCAGTCGCGTCCGCTGCTTGTACACAACCCCTCTCCGTCCTCTGTCTGTGTCCACTCTCGAGGCCCACAATGAGCGGCGAAGAAGATTGGGAAGAGCTCTTGCGAAATCACCCTGTGTTTTCTCTGCCTAAAAGCGTGTCTGGTCCTCGCGGGAAGGGCGAGGAGTCCTTGAACCTCTCGCTGAGCTCGCTCCCGGACTTTGTGAACCTTGATCCTATTGACGACAAACCGACTCCATCTGGGCGGAGACAAGCGGTCGCTATCAAAGATGCCGACCTCATAGTGGCCGTTGGTACTGAGGTCCGGATCACCAGTCTCGGAGACTCGAAGGGCGCGCGGAACAGCTCTGAGAAGTTCTACAAAGTACGTGCCGTGGCGCGAAGCGTGAACCACTATTGAACCTAACAGGGTCGCGTAGATCTTGCATACCCCGAACCTGCAGTTTGAAATCCACCAGGTTGCGCTGAACCCGAGCGGAAAGCTACTGGCCGTCGCCGGTGCCTTCCAGGTGGCGGTCATTGTGCTGCCTCGAACAGGCTTCAACAAATTGGTCACCGCGACTGTTGACTGCAAGTAGGTGGTACGCAACCTGCAGCGCTTCGGCTGATTAACGCAAGTAGGTCCATTCAGATAGGACAGTACTACCATGCCGCAGATAACTCTGCACCTGTCGCCAAGATTGATTGGCATCCATGGGGTCAGGGTGGCTCTACGCTCCTGGTCATGACCGTCGATGGCAAATTGCGGTATGCGTCATCAAAGTTCCGGCCACCCGCATATTCTTACATTGTACACAGAGAATATGACATCTCGGCCGACGCCGACGAACCCCAGCAAACCCTCTCGTTTGTCCCTGAGAAGAAGAGAAACACTTTCGATGCGGAGGACGCAGCAGAGCGAGAAGTGGCGTCGTTCACGTTTGGCAAGGGTAAGGCAGACTGGGGTCCGCTCACCGTCTACGCTGCTATGCGAAGTGGCGACGTATATGCTATATCGCCATACATGCCCAAGAACGCGTAAGTTGTATCGGTTGGCCCGTTAAATCCCTCTGACATTATTCTGTGCAGCTCGGTACCATCAACCTACGTGCATGCGTTGGAATGTTATGTTGCTGCTAAGCAAGAATTTCTATCAGCCTCAACCGGCGGCGACTCCGGAACCTCGGACGGCCTGACTACGGTTTATGACTACCAGCGCAAATATGTCAACGCGCTACTAAAGCAACTGCCCCCTGGGACTGCTTGGCCAGCCACTACACGCCTTGTACCAATGCATCCACCCACCACCATCAAGAACACACCCGCTCGGCAAGGGCCTTTCCTCCTACAGCCGTCACCCCGAAATTTGGCAGGGAGCGACGGTGGCGATGCCACAGACATAGTATACTTGTCCTTTGGCGACGACGCGGCTGAGGAGAGTGAGGGGGAGACAGAGCGCCTGGGGCTAGTCCTTCTGTCTTTCCAGGATGGCAAAGTCGATCTTCTTCTTGATGTCGAAAAAGTTGAGGCAAGATGGGAAATGAAGCAGGTTAGTGTATTTGGCGCGCTACGACACTCAAATGCCAGTTGCTCACGTTTTACAGAAAACATCGAACGAGTTGCCCATGCTCGCAACATATGAGAGCATCGACCTCGGCATTGTGTCCACGCTCAAGAGTGCAAGCACCTCGCAACGTGGCCAGTCACTCCTGGAGCTCGTGCAAGGAAATCACCCGGTCTTCCTTGCCGATCCAATACACGACGACACGATCTACGTCTATCATGCATTTGGCGTCCATGTGCTGCAACTAGAACCCCTTCTGAAGGGTCTCGCAATCGCATTGCGTGACACTAACGACGAGGCTAACAGTGACGCCGGGTCATTGGAGGCTACACTGGACAAGGTCGCACAAGCAGACGTATTGCCAATACTCTTGACTTTCTCTGTCGAACAGCAGTGAGTATCCCCTCAAATTCGATCGATGTGTGCAATTTAACCAACATGCCTCCCTGCTTAGATCGTCCTCCCCAGTTGTTGGTGTAGCAGTGCCCAACGACGTCTACCTCACATATAGCATATTCATCCTAACATCCGCTATGCGGATGTCCGTCTTCCCTTTGAACCTACGGTCCGAGTCGCCTTACTCTCCCGAGCCGGAGCCTTCTCCCTCCGTAGCTACCCCAGGTAGTCTACCAGATCTCCCCCCTGCGCCTTCCCATCCCGGTCCTTCCACCGCTCCGAAGGCCCTTCTCGCACCGCCGGAGGCCCCTCCAGCCTACGTGTCTCTTCTAGAAGAGGAACCGTTCAAGATCCCGCAGGCCATCGCGCGCACGACCGGCCTCCCCCCCAACCCCCGCCTCTCCCTCCCGAACAACCCCGCGATCACGAAGGGCGAGTTCATGATCACGCCCGACACGCTGCGCTACCTCGGCACCGTTGTCGAGCACTTCTCCGCGCAGATCCACGACGTGCAGCTCGCGCACCGCGCGGCGGAGGCGCGCGCGTCGCTGCAGGAGCAGGAGTTCAAGCGCCAGCGCGCGAAGTGCGCGGCACTGCTCGAGAGCGCGCGGGGCCTGGGCGGCGCGGAGGGCGCGCAGCGCGAGCGGCTCGCGCGCGTGCAGGAGACGCAGCGGGCGCTGCTTGCGCGCCTTGATCGGACGCTGCAGGGCCTCATGGCGAAGGCAAGCCCGGAGCTAAGTGAGAACGAGACGAAGTGGTTCGAGGAGCTCCGAAGGATGAAGGCTGAGGTCGTGGGCGCCGGCAAGTTCGACGACCGGGCTCTGGTAGCCAGGGCGAAATTGGTGAGTGTAGCGCGTGTGGGGCTGCATGGAAGGAGGCTGACATAGACGTACTTGCAGCTCCGGCGCGAGGTCGACCGGCTACTGCCATACCTGAAAGAATTGAGAGAGAAGGAGGAGACGCGACAGAAGAGTCTCGTGGCGAGCCGGGAAGCCCTCGGGCTGTCGCAAGCTTTCGAACTCGGGAAGCGGTCCACCGAAGAGTGAGTGAAATTCAAATCTCCGTGGGGCGCCGTGGATGGGTGTGCTGATTTAGCACTGCAGACGAACAAGGATCACTCTCATGGAAGCTGAAATTCTGCGGTTGGCGAACGTACTAGACGTCACGCTCGGGCGGCCACCCGCCGTACAGACGAAGGACGGAGAAGCACAAGCGAAGTGATTCGCTCCCGCGAGGGCTTGTTGTGGATGTATTTCTAGTCTCGGAACGCCCGTTGGTTTTGTACGACCGCTTGCCCTGTTGGACGACATCGCTTGCCCCGCTGGACGACATGATGCATGACGGCTGATTTACACTTCGTCCGTGCATCCCGCTGGCAGCTCGCCTCGGAACCTGTGTGCACAACTCCGGTAAGGTTTCCGGGTGACGCGCTGGGTCTCAAGTAGGTTCGCCTGCGTCTTCGTCCGACACGAGACGGCGTTCATATCGGGGCGCCGTCCTCTGCGTGATAGGCTACCTGCGCTCAGCTCTCTGAACACGACCCAGGGAGGCTGTGTGTACGAAGCCATGGCAGTGTCCCGTATGACGCATGTTTGTGTATACGCGCGCGGGCCCGGTAGAAAGCAGAGTCAATGTATGATCCCCGCACCTCCCCGCACTCGCGATCACCGCCTCGGGCATACCCCGCATTGCGCATGACCGGGAATAGAGCGAATGCCGGGCCGGCAGCTTCTACAAGCGACCGCCATGGCGGGCTGGTCAGAAGCCCTGAACATAGCCCAAACATAGCCTGCAATGCTCTAGCATCCCGCCCAGGACGCCCGCAGGCTTCTATAAGACTGCACCCCACCGTCCCTCCGCCGTCCTCGGAACCGTACCTCGCGCCCTCTTACGACCCACCACTACCGTCTTGCCCCCTGTGCCCCCTATCAGCTCGCCAGTCTACGATGTCACCACCAGCACCAGCGCCGTACACTCGCCCGGTCTTCACGGGGGACATCTCACCTGCAGTCCAGGACGAGATCTCGAGCTTCTCGAAGGTCGTGATGGAAAAGGGCGCGTTCGCGCGCTCGACAGGCTCGTCGCTCGTCCTGACAGAGGTCGGCGTGTTCCAGCGGGAGAAGGACGGCAAGGCGCACGCGCGCATCACGTACCAGACCACCGTGCACGACGGTACGTCCTCGCCTCTCGACTCGCGCAGTGCTGAGTACTGAGTGCCGGGTTCCGGGGCTGCGCGCGCAGAGATGCTGAACATCGGCGGGAACATGCACGGCGGCTGCGCGGTGTACATGATTGACATGTGCGTAGGCTCCCGTATACACTGCGGCTCCGCACGAGTCAGTTTGACGCGGTCTCCGCAGATGCTCGTCCATGGCCCTCGCAGTCCTTGGCATGGCCACCGGGAAACCATGGAACTTCGTCTCGCAGGCTATCAACACCACCTTCCACGCGCCCGTACCGCTGTGAGTGCCCCTCCGCTGTCCCGCCATGACGGGCTCTGGCTGAACACGCGTCTGCCAGTGGCGCAAGGATTGAACTCGTGAACACGACGGTGTCGTTTGGGTCGCGCACGGTGTCCGCTATCACCGAGGTGAGTACACGCCCGTCATGCCTGGCGCCACAACACTAATTGCGCGCGCGGGGACTTGGAAGATTTGGGATATCACGAACAACCGTCTGTGTGTAACGGGAGTACATAACAAGATGAAGCCGTCAGACCCCAAGCCTCAAGCGAAGCTGTGAGGGGCCCGCGTCGGCGATCGAGGAAGAGGAGCGTACACATATCGACTTGTAGAGCGCATGTCAGGCGAGAACAGTCGGAACAGGCTATACTACTACCATTCTATCACTTTTACTATAACTACTTGTTACACTACGCCAAGGAACGTCTGTCATATATTGGTTCATCTTCCCCAATACACCTCAAGAGCGTTGTCCAAAGGCCTTTATACACCTAATGACAGCCAGGGAACAGACATCCAATATACACATATACACATGCCCCCACTCCATTTTTGTCCGTCCCGATAACTGTTTAAACGGCAGCAGCCTGCTCCTTACTCTTCTTCCGCCACCCGCGCCAGCTGAACACGCCCGCCCACCACGCGTCCTGCGACTGCCAGTGCCAGATCGTCGAGAACGTGTACACCCCAGCCATCACCGCGCCCAGCACGACCGCGAACAGCCCGAGCAGCAGCCACGTCGTCGCGCGTGTGGTGTCCTGCAGTGCGTACGCGAGCGTGGACCCCGCGAACCCCGCGATCGACCACACGAGCAGCACGGGCGGCAGGCTTAGTAGTAGCGCGTGGCCCGAGAGGCCGAGCGCGTTGTTTCGTGCGTTATGCAGATACGAGAACTATGTGGGGGCAAGGGACGAAGAGGGGAGTAGGGTAAGGCAGGGTAAGGACGCGGATGCAGAGACATGAGCTAGAGGGCGCACCGCAGAATTGAGGTGAATAGGACGCACCGAAGAGGGCATGCGCGTATTGCGTTGGTGGCGCCAGACGAAGAAGACGCCGACGGTCATGCTGCCGAGCGCACAGAAGGCAGAGAGCATCGCGGCGACGCGGGTCGCTTCGCTTATGTCGTTGATCGTGAGGAGGCCCACGGTCGCGCTGGTATTCGCAGTGAGCGGGGGCAGCTAATAGACGGGGTCTTTGCTTACGACAGCAACACGGTTGCCTGATCAGAAGAGTAGGATGAGTAAATAGAGGCGGACGAACGTCCGAACGGAAGGCTTACGATGAGAATGAAGTCGGAGTACTCCCTGACGAGCTGGAGCGTGTACGACTCCCAGCTTTGTTTGAGGCCCGCAAGGTGCCCGCGGAACTCGCTCGCGCTCTTCACGTGCGCGAGGTACGTCGTCGGGATGCCGAAGAATGGGCCGTTTATGAGGCAGGTGAGGACGACGCGCGCGAGCGTCGACGGCTCCCGCGTGAGCTCGGGTGCCTGCCAGATGCTTTCGCGGTACGACTTGAGCTGGTCGCGCGTCACCTGCCCATACTTGTCTGCGGTCCGGAAGCTGTCTGTAGATGAACGATTCAGTGGGTTGTCAGTGAGGAGAGTTGGAGGGTGTACGTACAAACGTCTTTCAATACCCAGCCGAGGAGGGCGATGGTGGAGGGCAATATCCGCTCCTCATCTATTAGGCTGTAGCTTGGTCGATGCGGTCATCTTTAGGGGAGGCAACTCACGCCTTGCGCTTCTCAGTATGCTTAGAAGTTCTTCACACTCCGACTTGGAGAACGGAGCGAAACACCGCATGCCAACGTTCATATGTTCTGTAAACGACATAATCGTGAGCGATCAATGAGGTGATTATAGGCCAGTGAACCCACCGTGATGATAGGAGCGCAGTGCATCAATAGCCTCGTCGAAGCCTTGCTGTGGACATGGCCGGTGTGAAGGGTGATAGCTCACGAAATTCCAGTATAGCCGTCTCCCGCGCATCACTGCGACACGCACGGAGAAGCGTTGTTAGGCCTACAGGCAATCTGCACGTACACAGGTTTTACTGACGAGCATTAACAGACATATCTCTGACGGCACTGCTTCTGACTTTAGGAAGTTCGTAGCCCGCGACGCATTGCTTGTGGTTGACGAAGAGGCAGAAGGATGCGTCCATGCCGCCAATCATGTGCGCCTCCATGCCTTCCGGGAGAGCGAGCTGAGAACACTGGGCGCAGAACTCGTTGGCTCTCCTTAAGGAAGACGGTTCGCGGATGTCATCATCCACGACAACCTGATGAGTGGCGTTCATCCAGTAAATGGCTCCGCGAGGGTGGACATATGTCGCCCAACCTGGCGCCAGCGTAGAATCCCTAAGATGTGATATGGTGATATATGTGTCGTCGGAGGTCCCGCTAATACGATTTACAGTTAGACAGTATGCGACATATGGGCGCGGAGGCTGCGGTTGGACGAGCGTACCTTTCCAGTAGACCGTCCTTGTTTTCGGAAACGATGTCCTCCTGGACTCCGGTAGAAATGTCCACATCTTTTTCACTGGCGGGAGAGGCCAATGTCGTGTCTGGGTGTGCCAGAGTGGTCGTTAACGTCATGGTCTCAAGAGCGGAATGGTGGTGGCGCAGATTTAACGAGACATGGGCGACTCGTTTGATGTATTTGACAGATGGCGAGTCGGCAAGCGTCTGTCTCGCCCGAGTACACGAATGCAGCGTGGGTGTAATGGGCGTCTATGCAGACGCGTCCCTCACGTGTACCGTGTAGCTGGGCACGGCAGCTACGAGGAACACAGACAACTCTTGTACGAACGAACGTTTCAGGGAGTGATTGAGTCAGGGTGTCCGAACAGGTTGCGGACGCGAGGAATTCCGTAAAATCAACTGCAAGCCTGTAGCCGAGCCAGTAAATATTCAAAAGTAGCCGTCTGGCAACCGCCGGACGAAGCTCTGGTATACAGTATGGATAAAATGTAATTTTTATATACGTACTCGCTGATACAAACATCTATAAGATACACATAAGTAATAAATAAGAAGCACGCGTTCCGAGACCGCAGCACATCCAAAATGATAACAAACAAACCAAACAGCACGGCTCCGCCAACTATGTATGTCCGCCGAGTGGCGCAGCGCCTAGTCCCCTTGCATGTGCGCACACGCGTCTTGTATGTCTTCCAGGCCGATCGCAGTGCGCACCTCGGGCGGGAGTAGGAATAGGGTGCTTGTCGACAGTGGGACGTTCGCCGCATCGTGCTCCGGGCTGAGTATAGGTGCTAGAGAAAATGTGTCGTGATGTCGGGGGATTGGGAGTCGCAGGATATGAGCAAGCGGTGAGTCATCGCAGCCTCGATAGAGGAGCCCCTTAGAGCGTGGATACCCTTCCCAATCACTCCTTGTCATCCGACAGAAGCAGAGCGCACAACCTATCCCACGCAGCGATCCTATCGCCGCACCTATACATCCGCGCTTCGACCCGACTGAAGCTGAGTTCAGAAACCCTGTGAAAGCATGCTTTCAGGTAGATCGCGACGGCCTCGGGGGACGTGACCGGGGAGGTAATGAGGTCCAAGGAGACTGCACGTGTTCGCGGCCGCTCTGCCGGTACGGATCCCGCTTCATCTGCCCAGTGGTCTCCCGTCGCGTCAACTTGCAGGCGCATTTCCTCGAGAGCAGGGCAGCGCTCAGCGACATGGCGCAAGCCTCGAAGTGTGGTGCCGGACGAAGGTAAATTGGTCGGGCTTTCGAAGGGCGTTAGATGAAGCACGCGGAGACGCGGCCATGAGGCTGCCAGGTCTTCGCATAGGGCATCGGAGATTTTGTCCGCCTCCAACCATGCCAAACGCACATCTACGAGGTTGATGGTCCGGAGGGTATGGAAAATGGTGACGGAAAGACGGGTGATTCTTTGGTAATCTATGTCCTGGAAGTCGCAGGGCAACGACAGGGAGAGTGTGTCCAGAGACGGACCAAATTTTCGGGCGATGCCCTCGGTGATAATCTCCTGGTGGCGTATTCGAGCATAGCCTTGCAAAGCGACAGTGCATTGCCGAACACCGCAGCGAGGCATCCCATCCAAGAGGTTGTGAACGAGAGAAGATGGCCCTTCTAACGAAAAGGCTTGAAGAGACTCGAAGCCAGAACTTGCAGCTACGAAGTCGACGCCGTCGAGGTTGGTCTGGTCGCAGTGACAAATTTGGAGGGAGCGCAAGGATGGGAGCTTGGACAGCTTTTGGAGTGCCTCTTGGGTTGCGATGACGTTTGTGGTAGCGGATAATGCTTTGAGGCTGAGCAAGGAGGATAGCGCATCCAAGACGGCGGCAGAAGATGGTAAGAGGGAGCCGTAGATCCACAGAATCTCTATTGTGGTCAGCGAGGCGCATCGACGTGCGATAGTGTCCAGCCCGTCCAATAGCGTCGCGAGAAACTCGGCATCCTGCAATGGCGAGCTGTCTAAGGAGACATCCACGTGCACTGTAGTAAGGGAAGGGACGATCAAAGGCCAAAATGGCTGAATGGTAGCCTTGAAAGGAATCACCCAGTCAAGTCGTCTTAGATTTGGTAGTAGGGGCGTAGCGAGCTCCGAAAGTAGCGAGGGTGAGATCGTTCCAGACTTGACTCGGATATCTCGGACGTGACGCATATATTCGCCCATGCGTGTCTGAAGAGCGGATGCAGTTTGCCAGGAGTGTTGTCAGCAGTGTCAATCAACCACATAGGAGCATACACACAGTGACGCCATCGGTCCTGGTATGCACAGACTCCCATAGCGAGGCGATCGGGTTCATGCTGTCCAATCGTGCCCAGAGGGTCGCTAATGCGAGGGGCGAGACTGCTCTGCAAACCCTCGCTAGGGATGCGAGCGTTTGCCGTCCTTCATCTTGGTCGTCTGCCTCGGGTTCCGTAAGATATCGCAAGATGTTCCGAAGTAATTCGTTGCATGCTAGCACCGAAAAGCAAGCGGAAGGCATCCCGCTGGGATTCGAGCGAGATTGTGAACGTTGCGGTGGATTGAAAGAGACAGACGCGTAACAGTGTAGCTATAGGGAATAGAGCAGAAGAGAGGCTGCCGCCGTTTACACCGAGAGATGGAAGAGGTTCAAGTTCAAGTGAGCGGGGCGCCGGGCGCTCTAGTCCTGATCCAGCGCGTCTATGCGGACGCGTCCCTCACGTGTACCGTGACGACAGGCGCTAAGCCGCAGGCTCACCGCAGACGCTCTCTCTTGGTGGCCACCATCGACCTCGCATTCTGCTGCAGCCAACTGGCGGATGCGCTCTCTCCCTCTTACGCTCATCTAGCTTTGCGGCTTGTCTCATAAACATGCCTCCCTCTTGGGACTCTGGCCTACGCCTGCTTGCTCGTGCATTTAACGATACCGACACGCCTGGCGACGACAATCCGACTCTCCCTCCGGGCTCGCCACCGACCCGTACGTACACCTACAACCTACCACCCTGGCTACACTGAACGCGTTCCTTTCAGTCAAGTTTGAGGGGCCATGGTTTGTCACCCAGATCACGCTTTCAATCACTATCGGGCTCGTGTCCTTTCTTGTCTTTTCCTACTGCCGCACAAGATGGCCGCTTCTCTTCGCGCCGCGGACGAAGCTCAAGGGTGCGTCGCATAGCATATATACTGTCCGCATTTGCTGAAAGTGCTACCTCAGGTTTCTCCCCGCACGAGGCTCATGCTCACCAGGCCCAGGCGTTCTTCGGCTGGATCATACCTACAATCAGAATCTCCGAGTTCACTGTGCTTCAGATAGTTGGCCTCGATGCTGCAGTCGTATGTGGCCCATCATCTGTCACATATCCTCTTTGTCTGTCCTCACCTTCGTGACCTCATTAGCTCCTAGGCTTTTTGAAGATGTCATTCTGGCTCTTCGCGAGCTGCTCAGTGTTCGCCATTGCTATCCTCATGCCTATCAACCTAAAGGTATGTATATCCTCTCTTATGCACGAGAAACCACGCCAAACTGATGCACTCAGAACAACATTGACATTGGAGATGGCCGAGAGGACGCGGGAGGTGGCTGGTTCGCATTCATCTCTTCTTTGGACCCTCCACCGATAGGGACCCCATCTGCCGGCGACAACTGGTGGGACCTGCTCAGCGATGCTAATTCCTACCTTTCCGTTCACCTGCTCTTCACCTACGTTTTCACAATCCTTGCCCTGCGCGCCATCTACAAGAACTTCAAACGGTTCATACGCTCTCGCCAGCTATTCTCCTTGGAGCTCGTACACTCTGTACCTGCGCGGACGGTCATGGTCTCTCACTTGCCGCCGCATCTCCAGACTGAGCCCGCGTTGGCGGAATACTTCGAACAGATGGACCTGCGAGTCGAGAGCGTCAATGTCTCTCGGGAAGTTGGTTCACTGAGGAGGCTACTGGACCTGCGCACTGACGCGCTCTTGAAGCTTGAGTCTGCCTGGGTTGACTACCTCGGAAACCCCAGCCAGATTGCCCCGACTACCACTGCGAACCATCCGCTGGTGGACACAGATACCGCCTCAATAGAAAGCCAGCCGGAGCAGCTCGTGCTCCCCAACCGGAAAAGGCCGACCGTCCGGCCAGGGTGGTTCACGCGCAAAGTGGACGCGCTAGAATACTACGAGCAGAAGTTCCGCGAGGCAGACGAGCTCGTGAAGAAGCGGCGGCGCAGCGGGCGTTTCAAGGCGTCCCACGTCGCTTTCGTCACCTTCGAGAAGATGTCCAGCGCAGTACGTCGTCCACCATCCCATGCAAACTCACAGCGCTCACCGTCACTCCCTCGAACAGCAAGTCGCCGCACAAGCCGTGCACGCGCCGCACCCGACGCAGTGCCTCACGCACCTCGCGCCGGAGCCGCGCGACATCGTGTGGTCGAGCATCTCGCACCCGCCCGCGGGCGCACTCGTGCGCGAGTGGCTCACGATGGGCGCGATGGTCGTGCTGCAGTTCTTCTGGTTCATCCCGATCACGGCGCTCGCGGGTCTGCTCAGTTACTCGGAGATCAAGAAGACGATGCCGTGGCTCGCGCAGATGATCGAGCGCAACGAGCACCTCGCGGCGATCGTGCAGAACTCGCTGCCGTCGGTGGGCGTTATCACGCTGAATGCGACGCTGCCGTTCTTGCTCGAAGGTGCGTGGTCTAGTATTTTTCGAAGATGTGATATTAACATTAGTCGTAACAGCGTTGACGCTCATTCAGGGCCTCCCTGCGAGGAGCTGGATTGAATTCTCGATCATGAAGAAGTGAGCGACAGTTCTCGCATACGATAGACCAATGCTTACGGGATATCCTCAGATACTTCCTCTTCCTGCTCGTCAACGTCGTCTTCATCTTCCTTGTGGCCAGTACTTACTGGCAGCTGGTACGGGACCTCGCGAGTTCTCCAGCCAAGGGTATAGAGAAGTTAGCAGATGCACTAGCGGCAGGTAAAGCAAGGCACTTCTTCGTGTCCTATGTAATTCTTCAAGGTACGAGAGCCGTCTTCCTGGCCACAAGTACGGTATCTCACCGCTGCGGGACGTAGGTATTGGCTTGATGCCGCTGCAGCTGCTCAATCTCGGGATTCTCATTCCAAGAATGTTCTACCGCCTCTTCATCACTCGGACGCCACGCGGTAAGTAGGCTCTCCCAATTGATGGACTTAATGGTTCTAACAGCATACAGACTTCGCCGAGCTCAACGCACCACCTATGATCAACTACGGCATCGTATACCCGCAAGCAATCCTCATCTTCGTCATAACTCTGCTGTACAGTGTCATTCAGCCGCTCATTCTCGTATTCGGCGCGGTGTATTTTGGCGTCGCCTACGTCGTGTACAAGTACAAGCTCCTCTTCGGTATGTTCTCCATCCTCTCCCTAGGTCCACACCTGACATCCGCCCCGCTAGTCTTCTACAAGCCGTACGAGTCGCAGGGCCAAGCATGGCCGATCACGTTCGTGCGGCTCATCTGGGGCGTGCTCATCTTCATCGTCTTCATGATCGGGCTGTTCATCCTGAAGAAGTCGTTCATCCTCGCGTCGCTGCTTGCCCCGCTGCTCGGCGGCACGCTCCTGTGGTGGTACTACACGGACAAGCAGTTCCGTCCGCTGAGCAAGTACGTGAGCTTGAGCTCGGTGCACGAGGTTGAGCGTGGAGAGGAGAGTGCGGATGTGATGCGGCTCAGGGAAGGCCACCCGGTGACGTGGTCGCAGAGGTGCGTGTTGGCGGATTGGAGAGTTATGATTGAGGTGCTGACAATGTTCATGCAGCAATTTGAACCGGCGTCGGTATGCACAAAACGACGAGACTTTGTACGTCGCGCCCGAAGACGAGCGCACAGACTACGTGAGTTCGGTTTATATCACGCATGATCCTTCGATTTTGAAGCTTCTACACAGTCTCAACCACCAATGGCGAACTGGTATAGCGGAGTGCTCAAGTGAGTGCCGTTATGCGCCGGACCTCTTACAGTATTGACCTCTGTTCAGTACCGGAAAGCGGAGATACGGTCACCCCGCCATCACCGGCGTGCTCCCCGTCCCATGGCTGCCCATTAAGCAAGGCCAGAGCCTGAACAGACATCGCGACACAGGCGACGATGGCACGCCCGCAGTCGTGCTTACACTTCGCAAGAAGTACAGCGTACACCGCGAGACCCTGCGGCAGCCAAGCCAGGCGAGCAACGACAGCAGCTCGAGCGCGGAGCAGGCGCTATCCCCCGGCGGCGAGCACGTCGCGCCCTCAGATCGCTCCGTGCTGGGCAACCCATGGGAGGACGCACCGCCGCGTCCCCGCCCCCGCCCACACGGGCACCGGCAAACGGGTAGCACGCAGGTACGGCACCGGCTGAGCTTCGACGCGGCGTCTGGGGTGATCATGCTGCCCGAGGACGAGGACTGGATGGAGGAGGACGCGGGGGACAGCGACTCGGACGACTACGGGGACCTGCAGAACTCGACGCTCTCGGAGGTGGGCCCGCGCGACAGCCCGGGCGTTGAGGGCGGGTACCAGGCGACGGCGGGCTCGCCGGGCCATGGGAAGCGGTACAGCACGTACTACCACCATCCGGAGCGGAGGAGACAGCCGCCAGCGTCGTCTCCGCCTCAGTAGTGTATACCCATTTGGCTCGGAGGTGTTGTTACCTATGGATCTATTAGTTCGACACACGGTATACCTGTCTACATTAACGACCTCATACTTGCTGCATTGTACCACGCTTTTCACGAAGATTTGTTATAAATTTCCAGTTTCTACCCACATTCAATAGATCCCTTGTCATCGTCGCAGCTGAAGCTGAAGGCGCAACGGAGGACTCCGACACTCGACGGGAAGAGACACGCGCCGAGTGGCACACGTGACTGGGAGGCGCGTCTCCGCGTTCGCGCACGCGTTGTACTCGCTCTTGCTCCTCTTTTCTGTACCACCATGAGTTTCTTTGGTCAAAATTCGGGCGCAAATAACAGCCAGAACACAGGAACAACGAACTCCACGCCTGCGGCAGGCAGTTTCTTTGGGCAACCACCAGCAGCTGGAGCAGGAGCATCTGGAGGCAATCTCTTCGGCGGTGGTGGTTCAGCCTTTGGTGGTGCGTGCATCCGTGCCATGTCTCGCGTACCATCATTCACACCCATGCTATAGCGAAGCCGGCAGGAGGAGGTCTCTTTGGCTCTAGCAACACCTCAAACTCTTCCGCTCCTAGTGGCGGCCTCTTTGGAGGCGGCTCCAGCAACCCAGCACCAGGAGGCGGATTGTTCGGATCGTCAACCACCACTAACACATCCGCTCCCGGCGGCGGTATCTTTGGCAACAACACCAACGCGTCCTCTACTGGAGCCCCCGCGGCAGGCTCGGCGGCCGGCTCGGCGGCCCCTCCTGGCGGGTTGTTCGGCGGGAGTGCATTCGGCGGTGGTGCATTTAACAGCGGCGCGCTTGGCGTGGTCCCTCCCTCAAGCACCACGAACGCACCAACAACAGGGACGAATGCGGGGGCGACGGGCGGCAGCGCGTTTGGCGGCGGTGCGTTTGGCGGCGGCGCGTTCGGCTCGACTCCTGCCTCGAATACGGCAAATGCACCAGCAGCAGCGGGGAATACGGGTGCGACGGGCGGACTCTTCGGTGGCGGCGCGCCGAGCGGTGGGCTTTTTGGTGCGAAGCCTGCTACGCCCGCTGCTGGGGCCGCGCCTCAGGCGGGCTCATTGTTTGGCGGCGGTGCTGCGCCTGCTGCTGGCGGAGGCTTGTTTGGAGGCGGAGGGGCGACGAACACCACTGGCGCGGCCGGAGCGACGAATACCAGTAGCAGTACGCCGTTCGGCGGGGCTCCGTCTGGGGGTCTGTTTGGCGCGAAACCCGCGGACCAAACCTCCTCGACACCGGCTACTGGGGGCGGACGTATGTGATGTTCATTATCAACTGCACGCGCATTTATTGACACCACCGGCAGTCTTCGGTGGTCTGCCTCCCAAACCTGCAGACCCGCAAGGCACCACCGCTGCACCCAGCGCAGGCGCGGCGCCAGCTGCAGGTGCGGCTCCGGCAGCGCCCTCAGGTGGTCTGTTCAGCGGCGGACTTTTCGGAGCCAAGCCACCAACATCGACCGCTACGCCTGCAGCTGGCGCGACTGGTACCGCTCCTGCTGCACCTACATTGCCCGCCTTCAATCTCGGGGGTAACAAGGATACGTCCACAACTGCAGGCGCTACTAGCGGTACGTCACAAATATGCCATGACATAATGGAGCCTGACGTTAGTTCCCGTATGTATAGGCGCAGCGCCGAGTCTGTTCGGGGCCAAGCCAGAAGAAAAGAAAGATGGGGCAGCAGGTGAGAGCGCTCGACCTTCGTTGCGATGGCGTGTGCTGAACAACCGCAGCAGCACCTGCAGTTGCACCGTTCAACCTCTTTGGAGATAAGAAGGCCGCTACGGGTTAGTGGAAACCTTGACACTCAACGTACCGACCCATGTTGACGCCAGATGACCCTACAGCTCCGGCCACGGGCGCGACTGCACCGGCCGCTGACAAGCCCAAAGATGGTGCCACAGGTATGTTGCCGCGCTCTGTCGAGATATTCACCATCTGACCGTCGACCGCAGCCACTGCACCGAACGCTTGTGCCCCGGGCGCGTCAGCAGCCCCCGGAGCTCCCACTATCGCCGTCCCGCCTCCATCGATGTTGCGCGGTAAGACCATCGAGGAGATTGTGAACAGGTGGTCGAGCGAGCTGGAGACGCACGTCCGCGAGTTCACGAAGTTCGCGGGCGAGGTCGCTGTGTGGGACCGAGCGCTGATCGAGAACGGGAACAACGTGAGCGTGTCTGTGTATGCTTTTGACCGCTCGTCCTTACGCTATACATGCAGCTCGCCCGGTTGTACGCTACGGTTCTCGCGGCTGAGCGGGAACAGAACGACATCGACCAGTCGCTCGACCACATCGAGCAGCAGCAGAAGGACCTCGCCTCGACCCTCGACGCGTATGAGAAGTCGACGGAGGAGATCCTCGGCGGCCAGGGCAGCAGTCTCCGCGCGCTCGACACCGGCCCCGCCGACACCGAGCGTGACAAGAAGTACGTAGTATTTCATCACCCCCTTGATGCTGACGCTGACCGCGCACACAGCTACATGCTCGCAACAGAGCTGCACGGGCACCTCGACGACCTCTCCGGCTCGCTCATGCAGATGATCGACTCCGTGAACGGGCTCTCTTTACCCGCGGGCGGCGCTCAGGGCGGGCAGGCGCAGGACGGCGGCGAGGACGCGATCGGGCAGATTGCGCAGATCCTGAGCAGCCACCTCGAGAGCCTGCAGTGGATCGACGGCGCGGTGCGCGAGCTGGACACGAAGGTGACGGACGTGGAAAAGCGCGTGCGGGCGTCCACGGATGGGGGGCTGGGCGGGAGCACGAAGTCGCGCGGGTATGGGCTGGGCCGATGAGGAGCCCGAGTGTTCGATCTGTATTTGACTTGTAGATTGGAATTGCACGACCCTTCACGATTATGAAGAATGGCGGGATGCGCCGGTCGCGGGGGCGCTCCGTGCTGGATCTCGCTTGGCCGACTCGGTATCTCGGGGCGGTCGCTGGATCTGGCCGACGGGATGTACTGCTAGGGAAATAACTACGGACTCTGCGTCGAGGGTAGGTGGGTATTTGACGCTGGGCGTCGAGGTGAGCAGATAGCTGGCGCCGGAGAGCGTCGAGAGTAGGTGAGTGGTCGGAGCTGCGAGCTCGTTCTCGCAATTCAGACGGTAGGAAAACCACAGAAATCGCATTGTGCACTATGGACAGTACTAGGACCCTGTACGCGCAAGATTCAGCCGCAAAGACGGAACCGCCGCCGTCCACGACACTTCGCGCACGCAGGGGGACGCGGGCGCCTATTCTGACACGACTCGAAACTCCAAGGTCGCTCGTCGCGGCCAGCTCTCCTTCCTCCCGCCACTCGTGCCGCTTTTGCTCTCACGCTCTCCTGCTGCGACGCGGTCGATTTCTGTGTTTATCGCCATCCAATCCGCCGTCTGCCAACCCACACGTCAGCAGGAAACCGCACAACACAAACACGGTACTAGTACGCACCTTCTTCGACTGTACGCGCGTGCGGCTCAGCTGCGTCCCTGTCAGCGCGTATTTAGGGCGCAAATAACCTGGTGCGTGGGCGGAAGAGATAAGAGCACTTGTGTGCGTCGTCACCGCGCGCCGAAATGGACACCCGGCAGAGTCTTCAAGCTGAGCGGCAGATGCGTCGACGTCGTGCGCGTCACTGTCCCGCGCCAAAGTCCCCTGTCGAGTTAGCTACCGCATTCCGAACAGGTAGGAATCGGATGCTCACCTGTTTATACTCTCCGAAGCCTGCCGAACGCGTCGCATGCGATGCACGGTGGCGGGAAACATGAGCTCGCAACCGCGGGTGTAGCACGCGATGTTTCCCGAAAGCGCCGCCGCATCATCCTCGCTACATGATTCAACATGAAGATCATGGTCAGTTGACGGTAGGTGCCAAAACGGACAAATGGCTTACCGGAGTGCATCCCGGAGACTATCTGTACGCTCAAAAGCCCTTGTAGGGCACTTCTCCCCCCGCGACGTTCATCGTCCCTTCGACACTGGCTGGAAAGAGTGTCGTGCGGGATGAGAAGGCAAGACGGCGCCCTTCATGCATTGGACCTCACAAAGCCTCGGAGGCGTCCGGAGCACTCGGCCCGCTCAGCACAAGCAGGCAGGCAAGGGCGCCTATTTCGACTTCGCGCGAGTTTGCCAAGTCCCGCGCTGCCACTCCGCTTCTGCCGTCCCCGCGCTGCTGCCGCTGTCGCTCGCTCTCGCTCTGGGGCCCGCTTTCGATGTCGCCACGCTCTCCGCGGCACATAAATCCCCGCGCGCTGTCTGCAACCTGCGGAGACGGCGCGTGTTCGCTCAACTGCGCCTGTATAAAGTTCGGGACGGGAAGCGAGCCAACGTTAGCGTTTGCCGTGCACCGGTGAATGTGAACATTTAACGAACCAGAAACATCGCGTCGCCACCGCGGGAGGCCGCGTACCAATTGGGAAAGGTGAGCAGAGACGCGTGTGTCTGCCGGGAGCTTTCTGTGAGGCAGGCAACGCTCTCACCTCCCTCGTGTCCTCGGGATCTCATCAGGGACACTCGACGCACAGGACAAGTCCGCGCTGGGCACGCCCGTGTCTCTGCTGGCCGGAACGACATTTGTTCCAGGCCAAGACCCGACTGCTCTCAAGCTTCAAGCCAGGGACTGTTTGCGGCTGCACTCGTGCTGCATGAACACCGTGAGTTAACTTGATGCGTGATGCATATGAACCCTGAACCAGTAGCTCACCTTTGCCATCAACCACTCCTCTCCGAGTGCGTCTGGGACATGCATTGGGCACATTGTGCTTGCGACGTAGGTACGCTTTCCTTTCCGGTGTGAACAGGTCTAGGCGGGGGAGAAATGGTGCGTGCCCTCGAGCGAGTGCGCGTGCATGGATTCGCGTGCCTGGGATGCCGGTGCGTGCATGTTTGCGCTCGCCGCGCGCTCCTCGCACGGGAATATACATCGTACTTGAGAATTTGCATCAGTGTCGTGCGATGGCATGGGCCGCTTGCTGCGGTGCTGCACGAGATGAGACACGCCCTGCATACAACAAGTTAGCTCATGAGGGCGGAGTAGCAGAAGGTCAGTGGCTTACCAGGTCCGCACATCCACAAGCAAGTCCAGGATGATCTTGAGCCGCGCGGTGGGCGCTCCATGCCTGGGGTGTTGTTCTCATCTCTATAAGCACAACGAGGGGTCGTGCAGCGTAAATTTGCACGATGGGAGCATCTTCGACGGGTCCTGGCAGGGGTGCACAACGTCCGTGGATGGTCCGTGTACGCCGGAGACTGCGCTGCACAGTCGCGCGAGCTCCCAGGTGCGCATGCTGCACGAGGATGTTGCATTGCTTGAGACCAGACTGGCGATAGCAGTATTCTGAGATATGTTGCTCACCGTACAAGTGCCCGGTCAGCTGGCCTGCATCCCTGGCCACCGTGAGGCAAGCAACGCCGTGCTGCAGCCTGAAAGGTGCACAAGCCAGGCCAGGCCAGGTTTCAAGGTGCAAGTGTGTTGACTGAAATGCTCCAGAAGGCTTCTTCTGATGCCAAAGCTGACGGACTTGTCAACCAAAGGGATGGTTAGTGAGGGGGGTACCATGAGTTGGATCAGGGAAGGGGAGCAGGGAGCAGGATGGAGGATGAGGAGGAACGTGCGTGGCAAAGCCAGCGTGGCAGGGACTTGGAGGTTCTGGCTGCCTGGACGGCCGTATCCGTCCAGTGCTGTGCTGCGGTCCAGTGCTGTGCTGCGTGCAGGATGGTACGCCTGCAGTGGGAGCATCACGGCAGACGGCACGGTTTCGGGGTGCGTGTGGTTAGATTTGCTCATTTCCAATCTAATTCTGCCACCGCTCGCTTGTAGTTCGCTGTTTACTTTACTGTGCTGGACCAATCATAATGCCTGGATGGGTGTGCGGTGTGATCGGACATATGTGTGAATATTCTGAGTGGATTGCAATCAAAGTGGCAACCCGCCTCATTTTAGTTTTCCCGCTTCCGTAATTATGGATGACTTGGGCGAAGCCATTGCACACTGATCATATACGGCCTCCCAGAAAATGCTCAAGGTCACTCATTCAGAGCTCGAGGAGCCAGGAATTTCGGTGTGTGCAGCACAATGATGTTCACACTATTATTCCTGACCTCCTCCAGCTCTGCCTGGTAGGTCTGTATCACGCATAGCACTCATCATTGGAACAGAACACATGCTCTCTTCTGTTTTACGTGAACGTCCGGGTGCATGAACGTTTGCCGTCCGTAAATCTGAGATGCACTTCCGCCAGGGTTGCCGGCGCTTTCGATTGAATGTGCGGTCGAGATCTGCAGAGATGTCATTGCCGCGTGCGGTGTTAATCGGCAGTCAACACGGTACATGCTGCTACCAAGTCGTCGAGCTGGTTCCGTTCGTGAAGCGAGCGCAAGAGTGAGCTTGTAAGCAAAGCATAGCGGTGAGAACTAACTTTGTGGCCGCCCAGCAGTTGCCTTCTTTGGTAAGAAGGTTCGAGCCGCCACCGTCGAGGCACTCCGACGCACGCATTCATCGTGCTCTGTCGTGTTGTCCTTGCAAAATATATTTGTCGACACCCTGCGAACTGAGCATACCGAGGCACCGGACAATCCGCGAGCTCCACACACCATCAGGTCCGGAGAAGTTTATCCCTGCTGTTTCGCGCCGGGCCTCCGGAATGCATGGCTGCTGCCGTTCCAACCCCTGCCGGTACAGAAACAAGCGTACTCGCCATTTCCAGTATCTTCCCTCGCAACGATGGTACCTGCGCCCGCTTGAAATGAGGACCTTCTTGATACCTCGCGTACTGGGCGCCCGCCGCCCACTCTCCGAAGCGAGCGCAACCCTCAAGTCGAGGCCAACGCGCCACGATGCTCCGCACCGCGTTGCCATGCCTGTGCTCCCACATCATGTCCGTGCGGAATCATCCCCGCTGGCCCTGTCGTGCTCGGCTTGTCGTGTCGCTCCGTGGTTGGTGCCCCGCCCAGCGGGCTCGGTGCATGCCTCCGGCCGTCTCGTAAGGCCAGCGTGATGCGCACGTTTCCTTGCGACAGACTGAGACTCGGATGAATTGGCTCCGGTGCACGGTCGGTGCACGGACCATGAACCGATGCGAAGAATCGGAACGGCCCTGAAGTACAGCCGTATAAATACGCAAGCGGGCGCGGGCGCGATGCGGACATGCTCACCCTTGTCCCTCCCTCTCGCCTGCTCTCTCCATCTCCCCCACCAGCTACTTGCAGTTCGCATCGAAGCGGGCACAAGAGGTACGTCAGTAGCAACATACTGGCAGCATCTCACTTACCTGTTCATTCGTAGCCCGCCCCTCGAGCAATCAAGAAGCGCAAGATCTCGGGCATGGTCGGCAGGGAGCTCGAAGGTACGGCCGCATGCGGTGTACAGTCTGCCCCGAAAAAGGTAGGAAGTCATGATTTGTCGGCACAGATACTGATCTCCGCCGTGGGGCCTCCCACGGCATGAACACGACGTATGCGCGCGCGTATGCCATCGCAGGTCACCGTGCACCGGGAGCACGTAGGGCGAGCACACTGCGCGCATTCTGTCCTACGGTCCGACCTCTCGTGAGACCCGGCAGCCCATTGTTTGCGCAATGGATATCCACTCATGCAATCGTAGGTCTCGCCTCGTACCTGCCTCAACCGTTGTTACATCCTCCGCGCCGTCTCGCGCTCACCGGAACCCGGGAGATCTGTAGGGCACGATTGCGGTAAGCATGTCTGCCCCGACTCCGAACACGTAGTGCTGCCACTAACCTCGATCGCTCTCCGCAGTATGCCGTCGCGAAGCGGATACGACTCGCAGACGTGCGTCGCGAACCGCGACGCCGCAGCGCCGGGAGCGCGAAAGACGTCGCGCACGAACACGGTGGTATGTGCTAGCTACGCCGCCCAGCAGCGCGCACGCACCTTACGACGATCCTGCACGCCGTGAGTACGCTCTCTATCCTCGGCGAGCGCGCAGTGCTGCTCACCGTCTCCGATAGTCCTTCCCCCGTGCCGCCCGCGCCGTCCCGTCGACGGTGTACGCGAACTCGGCTTCCGGCCACACTTGCAGGGCGAGATCGAAGGTGCAGTACGCGCAGGTGAGCACGACAGCCCGGAACTCGCGCGGGCACCCAGATGGCTTACCTACACGTGCAGCAGTGCACCGTGCGCATGGCAGCACAACGGCGGCGCGGAGGTAGAGACGGCGCACGAGGGAGCCGGGGTCGACGGCGGCGGCCCGGGGGAACAGGATACGGATAGACTACGATACCAGTATCTACGTACGTACGACCGGAAGCCTGCACGGGCTCCCTCGTCTCGCGTGCGGTTGCGGGGGCGTTGGCACGCTAGAGGAGAGGTGGGCCGTCGGTTGGGAGGAGACGGAGGTGAGGTCAGGCGTGCGCGTGCGCGTGCGCGCCCGTCACATTGTAGTTCAGCCGCTCCCGCCTGGCAGCGAAAACCTCGCGACTGGACACGACAGCGGTGGTGTCGTCTCCTGGAGCGTCGCGCACGGAGATGGAGGCGCGCGGCACGCCGGCCGCTCGCTTGTGCACTGGGCCCGGTCCCGGTGCACATGGGGTGTTCGACGGCGCCGGCGGACTCCGCATGCTCATCGAGCGCATTCGGTGCGTGAGTGTTCCGCTGCTGTCGCATACGCACTCCACATTGACAGTGCTCACAGATGGGTGCGCGCGCGGCGCCCCGTGGACCGCATCAAGGTGCTTGGAGGGCCGGTCCCCTCCAGCTCGCCGCGAAACGTGCACGGTTCGACCCCGTCGGGCGCGCCAGAACACGTCAAGGGCCGACGTGGAACGTGCCAAGGACGTCCCGTGCCAGATCCTGCCGCCGGAGGAGGCGTTCCGGGGCGGGGACGCGCATTTTTCCGTCGTCGAGGCCTAAAAACCAATGAAATCGAGCGAAATGCGCCCGATTTTTTCTCCTCGGATCGCCACGTAACTCGCTGGGGGAGTGCGTTCTGGTGCACGGGAGCGGCTGCCGCGTTTCTGGGCGTCCCGGAGACGATGCTGGGGCGCGGGAGAGGCGGGAGCCGCGCGGTGGGCGGCAACCGCCAAGCTTGCCGTGCTCGTTCCACACGCGTTGACACGGCGACGCCGACGTGGATCGGCGTGCAGAGTGCGCCGTGGGGTGCGTGCCCAGTGGTGGGGCTGCCGGGACGCGAGGGGCTGCCGGGACGCCCATTTCTTTGCGGCGTTTCAGGGATCACCCATGAAATCGCCCGTGACTGACCAGATTTTTTCAGCGCGGATCGGCGCGAGACTGCGCGGGTATATGTGCCCCGGTGCGGGGGAACGTGCATCATATGTTTTGAGCGCGCTGGACACGATGCCAGGGCGCGAGCGCGCTTGCAAGCGGTGGTCGCGGCGATCTTGTCGGGAGCGTGCAGCACGCAGGACGTGAGCAGTGCGCTCGTGCTTCGGAGAGGTGCGTCAGGCGGGCGTGGCGTACGTATCTGGAGCGTTTGGAGGCGGCGCGACGCAGCCTGCGGGCTGTGGGGGAGGGTGGCCCAGGCGACCGGAGCCGGTGCTGACGTACGCCCTCCCGACATCGATGTACGCTCCGGGCGTCGTATATACGCCATTGGGCTGTTCTATGACGTCGGAAAAAGGGCGGGGCGGTCGCCATGGAGGGAATAGCGTCGGTGGTACCATTTTTTGTACTAGAGCCGCTTGAAAATCCAAGTTTGTCAGCGCATTTCGCGTGTCGGTACGCTGGGAGCCTACCTGATGCGACGATAGCACGGTGCACGTCGTGCCATATACAAGTGCCGGGCGTCGACGGAGGCGAGATGCCGGCAGGACGGGCGGAAGTCGGTCTTCGCATCCCAGGCGGTTAGGCGGTGTCCCGCACGTACGACGCGTGCGGCGTCTTCGTGCGTGTACCCACGGGTTCGCAGGGGTGTGGTGAGCATATATCCAGCTCGCCAGGCGGAGACGTCGAGGGACGCGGTTTGGGAACAGTGTTGTTGGGCGCCAGGGCGAGCCGAGGACAGGCCCGACGTCGACGCCGCAGTTCCGAGTTGCGCGATAAACACCGCGGTGGGCATACTGCCACGGTGTATGCGCACATTTTCTGTGGTCATCACACCGCGTATCGCGCGACACGGCGCGGATATTTGCGATTTAAAGTGCGCACGGCCTATAAATGAGACGTCGTCAGCGCAATTCGCGTGGCCAGAAGCTGCGGACGCACTCGATTAGAGCGTCATGCTGCCTCTTTACGTGAACGCTAAGCTTGCGAGTGCCGATGGAAGCGGCGGGGCGGGAGACGGCGGAGGACGGTCGGAGGTGTCGCCTCGGTGCGCAGGCCCCTACGTGCGGAGGACGTCGATGGCACCTTGGCGCACGCAGAGACGTTTGGATCCAGGCGTGGTGAACCTCCCCTGAGCTTGTAGAATGGGGGCGCCGAGATTTGCGGATGGTACACTGCGATATCGGGGGCGCCCGTGGGTTTGGCGTGTTCGTGCCACTGGCGTCGCAGTTTTGCCGAGCGCCGCCCACGCCACGGCTGGCACGTTCAGACGATACCCGTGTATGTATTGCAAGAGGACGGAGGGCCGTGCGGGAAGAGCGGGAGCAGGTGCGTGCCGTGTAGTACGCGGGCGGCCTGTAAATCGGCCGCTGTGAGTGCAGTTCGCGCCGAGAGAAGCTGTAAACGCACCTCGATGAAGTCCATCCTCGGCCCAACGCCGTCGTGGACGTCGCACGCGAGTTCATGCAAAAGGCATGATGCCAGACGGCGCGAACGGGATACGCGGACTGCTAGGTGCACCGGGCATCACGGTCGAAAGACGTTGAGGGCGCGTTAGCGCACATAGGGTCGTCATCCTCTGGGTGTTGTGAACGTCCCCTGGGCGTCCTGACCGGGGGCGTTGAGGTCCGGGGATGGCAGAGTGGGTTGAAGAGGGCGATACTGTCGGCTCTGCGAGAGACGCGGTTTTGCAAGGTTTGTGAAACACCGTCACGAGGATGACAGGACGGTGCGTACAAAGGATCTGTACGGCTGAGTCTGCCCGTACTGCGCCATGGGAAGACGGCGTTTAAAAATTACAGGGCGGGAGAGCTGTGAATCGCAGATTGTCAGTGCGGATCGCATCGGATGGGCCTGCGAGCGCACCTGGATGAAGACGACCGTTGGCCAGTCTGATTCAGATCGTCGCGCACCGCTCGCACGCACACCGCTCGCAGGGAGAGAGCGCGCGGAACGACGGAGTGCGGACAGCGGAGACGAGGCAGCAGCAGGGACGAGAGCACAAGCTGGGACATGCGCTCGGACGAGAGCACGCACTGGACGGAGGCAGGACAGGCGATCGAGCAGTGGCAGCACCGTCGAGTGAGCGGAGAGAGGGGGGGGCAACTTGAACTCGGACCACCACAATCAACGTTTTTCCCACGCTCCTGCCCCGGCGTGAGGAAGGCGAGAGACCCTTATGGGCCAAGGTAAAGTATGCCGGGTAAAGCCCTCAGGAGTGTAGACTGGCCAGAGACACGCGACGTCGGGCCAGGCAAAGAAAAGGGGGAGAATAGAGTGAGGAGAGGTGGATGACGTGTACACACCGGGTCAAACCGATGCCCCGCCGAGCGGATGCCTGCCCACCTGGCGGATGCCCACCGAAACGCGTGGATGCCTGCGACTCCAAGCAGAGGACTGAGACACCAAGGGTGTACAGGAGCAGTGGAGATATACTAACACCTGCTCGAGAAACGGAGTACGAGAAGATGCGACCGAGGCTGAGTGGGCGCTAAACAAAGAATAGACGCCCAGTTTCAGATTAGATCAGATTGATCGAGATAAGATGCACATCCCATATCGGGAGCATGCTGCGGTGGGCGCTAAACATCAGTCGCTCTTGCCTCCCGCCACCACCGTCGCTGCCACCACACTGCCCCGGCATCGCGCAGGACCTCTGAACTGATGACCGACGGCCGAATCGAAAGGAGCGATTGCGAAGGAAGATCCTGGAAAGCCCCGCTCGAAGGCGCAAGCGAACAAGCTCTGACGGCGGCATTGACCGGCCTGGGAAGATACGCCGACCAATCCAGCCTGTCCGCAAACAGCCTGACCATCCCGGGGCCGGATCAAGCATCGCCCAGGGCGCCAGACAAGGCGCGCGCGGTGCGCTGCCCGCTATCTTGATGTAACGAACGTTTAGAAGGGTCCAGCCGGGTCGCGCCTCCTCTCTCTCCACCATTTCCCCTCCATATTGCACGCGTGGTGGCCCTGCCATGGCGAACGGGTATCAAGCAAGCGCGCGGGCGCAAGGAGGGAGAGAGGACGTCCCTGGTAAGCCCAGAACTCACCGGGAAATGAAGATCAGCCTGAACGGACGACTGGCGCGGACCTGGTAGTCCCGACCACGGATCGGGCTTGAGCCCAAGTCGTCCGTGCCACAGTCCTAGGGTGAGTTGGCTAATCCACGCCGATTTTTCCGAACGGAAGGGTGAGTATGTGGCCGAACACGGCAAAGAGGGCCAGGGCAGGCGCATCCCGCTACGCCGATTAAACCCGAGGTGTGAGGGTCGGTGTAAGTTTCAAGGGAGAATGCAGCATGCAACGAGTGCGCTGCCACCGAGCTGCAACCTACAAGGCCACGCGAAGCAATCCCCGGGTCTGGCGGGGCGTTCTGTAGCCCAGGCTTATTCCTGTGGGGGGTTTTCTGTCCTCCGACGTACACCTGTATTTCCGCGCGAGCATGGCGCAAGAACGCGGCTTGGCGAAGAGAGCTCAGAGCATGAGTATCGAGTGACCGTCTTCAGTGACCGTCCTATAATGAAGTTCTGACCTTAACCTGAGTGCGTACGCACATTCTCGCGGAGTTCTGCCCGGCCGACCGGTCTAACTCTGCGGGGCCACTGAGGCCGCCGCGACTCAACGGCGCAAGTGTTTCCCACTGCAGCCGGCGCGGCAGGCTACTTGTTTTGTCCCAACGAGAGCATTGCGGCCGCTTCTTTCCAGAATGGATGGGCGAATGCCTTACTTTCATGGGAGAATGGCACGAGCATGTTTCTCAATTCCCATGTCTTTCCTGACCACTATGAGGAACAAACACAATCTTGACCGATGCAAAGTGGCGCGTTAACTTCTACCCCGAATACTCCGATGTGACTGCGTTAATATGCGTGGAAATGCTGAATGAAGAAGCGGCCATGCTCGAAGGGTGATCCACTCAGAGCTAAGTCTTGCCCTGCCCCGGTGGATTCGCGTGGAGAGTCACGAGGCCTGGCGCGTCTCAGATATGATGGCCCCGGGGCTGATGAATGCTCTGACACTGCCGTGGCCCCAACCATGCCAGAGCTGCCCGGTAGAGTGTCTATCCGTTTCCTGCCACACCTAAGAGATATTGAACCGTGCTGATACCCGAACTACCGCATAGCGGCGCGTCTATCTTTTCTCTAGAGTTCCAGCTCTCCCTACTAAAGCAGAGGGGCTGACTAAAATCCTGGTGATCCCCAGAGCCCAAGGAGGCCATGCCTAATCATCTGGCCCTACTGCACCTAGTTTCTGGGCTAGCGGCCCCATTTTTGAAGCCCTGGGGCGGCGGATCAGTTTTCTAGACTCTAAATCGCAATTCGCTTCCTCCTGTGGCAAAAGAAATGCCTGTCTGATAGATTTCCCTTACAGAATCCTGCCTAATTCCTAAGCCCTTCTCCAGGAATTACAAGCGCTGCTACACAATATAGCCTACCCAGAACTGAACCCTCATGAACCCCAGGATGTCCCTAAAACCCCTGAGTTGCCTCCAGATGTGGCCAGAGCATACTGAAATTTCCTGGCTCCTAGCTAACTAGCCCAGAGAAGATGTAGGGCCTAAAACGTCTCCTTAGAGCGGCGCCCTAACTAGAGAACCTCTCCAAACCTAGGGGTTTTACCTGGCCCTGCCTCTCCACCAGAGGCTTCAACTAAGCCAGCAGGCCCTATAGTTAGGAAGACCATGCTCAGGTTAGAACTCACAGAGAAGCAACCTTCTAAGGGAAAATAGGAGAATGCCTCCTAACCAGGAATTGACCTTTAAATTTATGGAAACACCCTCTGAGTTTTAAATAGTGGATGGCGTGTCTCCCTGCCTAGCCTCCCCTTCCCCTCCAACCACCACCAGTGATGACCGCCATCCCAGTCCACACCAAAGAGAGAGGGTCGGCACCCTCTAGCCTCCCGAGAACCCCTCGCTCTCTAGACACCATCTCCCTAGACGTCGTCATCCCTCCCCCGTCCCCCCTGCGTGTCGGCGCACGCGTAGTGATCCACAGCCTCACCGGCTGCAGCCCCCAAGGCGCGCGAGGCCAAGCGGAGTACAACGCGGAGAGGACTGGAGTCGAAGGACCTATCGTTGGAGTCCGGAGTATGGAGCTGGCGGTGACAGAGTTCATCGTTAAGAACGACAACCTGAACTCGACGACCAACTACGCTTACCTCACCATACAACACCGCCAAGGAGTGACCGTCCAGCTGGAGGCGTGGCGCTGGGTTTGGCGTACCCTGTCCCTCCCTTTCCTCCACCACACGAGACACGTCCCGCTCGACCACGAAGCCGTCATCACTCCACGGGAGTACAACATCGAACGCGCCCTCGAGAACAGAGTCGACCGAAGGGAGGACGGGGCCTAGGTAGTAAGGCGGGCTCATCAGTGCGGCACAGAGCGATGTGAGGGAAGGGAGATGAAATTTGTAGAGCGACCGGAACCCTGACATACCGAGAGCACATGACATGTTGCCGCTAAACGACCGCGCCCGGCAGTACGCGATGGACCCGCCCAGCCAACGATACCTGCCCTGCGACAAACAGAAGGCCTCTCACGAGCGGGGAAGGCCGCCAGTGCACCAAGCTCGTGCACTAAGCTCGCCCCCGTCTCGATCTGATAGTCTCGTGGTTGAAGGCGGGCGCAAACTGGGGCACGAGCCCACGCCGGTGGACAGAGCGGAGCGCTACGCGAATCCCCTAGCGGACCGAAGCGCATCTGGTGGAAAGACCAGCTCTAGTAAGAAACCCACCAAAAATGAGCGTGCCATCGATGTGTGAGGGAGAGGAATGGGCCCCTCCTGTCTCTGAAGAGCACGAATGCCTGGGCATGCAAACTAAATGACCGAGGAAGAAAGCGGCGCACCCGAAGTAAATGAAAGCACGAGAGCAGTGAGAACAGCCGCTAAATGCGTCTAAACAAGCATTGACGCGTTACGAAACATATCCGAACGAAGGAGGACGGACATGCAAGAAACGCACGATCGAGACGTGAGTGTACCACGCGAAACGCACAGGGACTGACGCAATATGGACCCATAAAGTGCGGGTACGGGAGAACGAACGGCGCCCACAAGTCGCACGAGCCCTGCTGAGAAATTGACTCCCACGCCTTTTCACGAGAAACTTCCCACCCTCGGGCGCGTCAGTGAAGAACTCGAATCCCAAGGGCTCTGCCTGTTTGTGACCGAGGAACGTACCAAGGAAAGATAGCATGCCCAAATCGAGGCGACAAAGTGTGACAACTGACGGACGAGACTGCAAGAATGCAAGTGCTGAACGACAAAGGGACTGACGGGGCTGCGATCGAACGTGCCGCGGGCCGGCCGACCGCCGAATCTCCTAAAGGAGAATGTGGCCGGCCCCGCCTCGTGTCCCGCCCCACCAAACTGGGAAGGGACGCTACAGCAATGGAAAGACGCCTCTCTCCTTGCTGCCTCCCCACCGCGATCCCCACCACCTGAACCGAGCGAGATGCGCGTACCCGCGACTGCATCGGGGCGCGCGGCATGTGCGAGGATGGATTTAAGAGTGAGTGAGCCCCTCAGTATCCGCGTCGCACGTCCCCCTTCCCCTCCTGCTGCCCACCGAGCTCCTTCGCGCCATGGATCACCGAACCTACCGCCGCACGATACCGGAGGAAATTGTGGGCTCGCCCTGCCCCGTCGACCTCCCGCTCTCGAGCAGCCGCGAAGGCTCCCCGCATAGCGACAACCCAGAATTTTCCGACCCACTCCCAAACATCACCGACTTCAACCCGGGGCGTATGCCCTGCTTCCCGAACGCGTCCCCGACGTACCCGGGCGTACACCAGAACGCTTCCCCTCATGACCCGGAGACCATCACGCCTACGCCGAAAGGCAAACAAAGTGAGTTTCGTAACCTGGGGCACCCCTTCTCCCACACTCGGCCCGAAGAGGTCTCCTTCCCCCTCCACCCCGTCGGCGACGGATGGCCTCGCCTCCCCACCAAAACAGGAGGCAACGCCCCGCCGCTCACACCGCAAGCTGGCGTCTCTGAGAGCGCCGCGACCCAAGCACGGCTCGGTGCCACGACCCAGCCCCGCCGTGTCCCGGCCGTCACAGTGCGCAAGTCTAAGAAACGCCTGAGGACGGCCTCCCTGGACGCGGAGCTTGACAGCGGCGAGGACACGGGTCCCCAGCCCTCGCAAACTGCGAAGGGAAAGCGGGCGGCACTGCCAGTGAATCCCGCAGGAAACACCCCGTGCGCCGGAGAACAGCAGATGGCTCCCACTGCCAACGCCTTCTACCACACCTGGTCCCTGTCAGACCGTGAGCATGAACATTCTAATGCACCTGACCAATGCACTGACCGACGCCGTGCTACCCAAAGACGAAGCTGAGATGCCGGTGCGGGCAGAACAGGCAGAGCAGGCTGGACACCCCCAAGCCCAAGCTCACCTCGAAGCGCAGGCGCACTCACTCCCCCCCGGAACGGAGGCGAACGCCGCGGTACCCTCCCTCCCGGGCTTCGATGAATACATCCAGGGCGCCATACACAACTACTACACGACGCTCGCGGCGGGCCAAGAGCTGTTCCTCCCGCTCCTGTCCGCAAATGGAGGCGCGCTGCCGACGGGCACGCCGCTTGCTCAGAACATGCCGGCCGACCCGACTTTGCCCTCTCCCATCCCTCAGCACGTGTCGCAACCTCCTGTCGCGCTCCTCCAGGACTCGATACACGCCCCTGCGCGCGCGTCGATGTCGGAGAAGACAGCACCGCCGCCCCCGGATAGCATGGACGTCGATGGATATGAGCCCGAGCTCCGCTCCGCCCCCTCGGAACCCCCTCGCGCAATGAACACGACGAGCTCGAAACATGAGCAAGCTAGACAGGCAGCCCCGCCGGCTCACAGCATGGCGAGAGCGCCGCGCGCGAGTGAACCGCTTCCAGCGCCGACCGGAGGCGGCCCCAAGTCCCATACTGCCCGTACCCTGACTGCGAGTAATGCACCACCCGCAGCCGCCCCGGCCCAGCCAACCATGCCCCGCGTCATAGGCCGGGCGGAGTACCTCCGCAACGCCGGAATCCTGAACGTCCTCTCGGAGCCGGAGGGGGGTTTCCCCAAAAAGCACGCGCAATCGACGCGGGACCTCCTCCGCGGTCTCCCCGAGTCCATGGCTGACACGTGGGAAGGACTCAGCGGCAAAAACCATGCCATACTGGAGGTCTTCATGCAGGAGCGACGGAGCGACAAGCCGTACCTCGACGCGGTTGAACGCGTGATCAGGACGACTTTTGGCAAAATCCTGGACTCGACGAGGCTCACCCTTCTCTCCGCAACCGAAGGACAGGATGCCGCGGCGAGCAAGACGCTCTCGCTCATCTGGATGCTCTACAACTGCACAGACGCCGAGATGGCGACGCTCGCGCAACAGTTTGTCTGGCCGACCCCAGATCTCACCGCCTGTGTCCATACTGTCTTTGTTTGCATCCCGGAACACCTCCTCACCTACACGGGTTTCAAGATACCGTACGACGTCACCATCAAGAAGGGGGTCACTGCCGCGTTTCTACAGAACGAACCCTTCCGCGCCCTTGTCAAGCTGCTGAAGCTGGAGCACGGCGACCGAGCGGGTGTCGACTATGCGGCGATGGCGAGGGCCGTCGTCCAGGGCATCCGCGTCAAGCCCTACCGCGTCGGCAAGGCGGACGGCCCGGGTGAGATCGTGGCGTCCGTCTACTGCGACCCCCCGACGACCAACGCTGGGGCTTGGTACACGTGGCAATGCGCCCTCTTCAACACGACGGTCACAACGGACCTCAACGAGACTGCCACGCCGCGCACGCCGGTTAGATGCAGCGTCTGCCACGCCGGCGACCATGACGAACGCAACTGCCCCTTTGAAGAGGTGGAGGGGTGGTTTGGCAAGCTCAACCTCGGCCCGCTCGACGTCCCCGCCCCCCAGCCGCCGCAACCACCGCCAGAGCGCGCCCCGCAGCCCGCACCACAACCACCGCAGCCGCCACAGCCCCCCACGCCGGCCCCTATAGCTCAGCAGGCGCCCCCCAGCCAGCACGCCCAACGACCGCCCACCCGCGCTCGCACGCCGCAGCAGCGGGGCCACCACCACCAGGGGTCATCGCGCGAGATGCAGCCGCCCCACCCGCAGAACGGAGCACTGTACCAGCAGCCGCCGCCTCCGTACTCGAGCGCGGCCGGTGCTTGGCCGCTGCCCCTGCCCCCGCCGCACGCACAGCCTATGCTGCGGCAGCCGTACACGGCGCCCTACCCGCCGGAGGCCCCCTACCCGCCCTATTACCCTCAGCACCAACCCTACTACTACCACCCCCAGTTCTACGCCCAACCGCAGTATGCTCCTGCGCCGGCTACCGACCGCGTCGAGCGGTATGAGGAGTACGAGGAGGAGGGGAGCGCAGGACATAACGGCTCGCAGTCCTCGTCGAGAGGCCGCGGCGGTAACCCCCCGCGCGGCGGTCCGCGCCGCCGAGGCCAGTACCGCTCACAGAACCCGCCTGCCCCCCGTATGTGAACTTCTGCCGCGCCCAGATGCCCCGCCCTCGTTCTTGACATCTTGTAACCGTTATCCCGGACATCCTGAGCCCACGACGACCCGTCTCCACGCTCCACTACCATACAACATGCCATAGTCCCTAAATTTCTCTCCGCTGCTCTCACCTGCACATGCACCGTACATATGGCTGACTTCTTGACGAACTTGACTGCGCACGTCCCACAGATGTTTCTTGGTACCCATGTCTAATCTGGCCCAAATGAGATGCCGACTGTCCATAAAACTGGCGCGAACGACTGGGCATTCTTTTAACGAACTAACACTCTAGACGGTTCTACTAGCATGACCAACTAGTATCTGCAACCGGCCCATCACGCACGGCAGGCGTCTCAACCGCGAGAGAAACCTGTCGCGCGAGGCACCGTGGTCCGCTCTTGCCCAAATATACTGGCTCCCTGAGTACAGGAAAGCTCGAGCGTTCTCTGTGCTTGCACAACCAACGGCGGCTTATTTAAGCCACGACGTGCCGTGCCGAGAGGCTGAAGCTGATGGAAACGCCGCTGCACGCGGAAGCGGCGCTCACCTGAATGCATAGTCGACCGTGGGGGCCGGGATATGCCCCCTTACCGTTCGTCCTGGTTGAGGCAGAACGGGAAAAATGACAACCACTACGTTAACACAAAGCACACACACCACACACCCTCAGGAAAATCTACTGGCTCTGGAAACGCGCCTCGGAGCTACCGGAGGTGCTGGTGACCTCCCTGCCAGAACTGGCACTGAGGATGGTAGCAGCGAGATCGGTGGCAGAGTGGGGGGTGGAAGCACTGATCGGACAAGCGACGGACAGTCAGCCGAGGCTGTGCGACAAGGGCAATCGGACGGCGTCCCGAGGTCAGTACCTCCACAACCTGCGGCGAGGTCGGAGACGGTACAGAGTGGAAGAAAGAAGCCCAGATCAAAAGCGAGACTCACCATCGCAACTTTGAACATCAAAGGATTTGGTACCGAGAGCCGCACGGAAGGCTCGAGCAAATGGATGCTTGTAAATCAGCTAGTCAGGGACAGAAAAATCGCTATCCTCGTACTACAAGAAGCGCACCTGAACGACGAGCGCGTGGAATCCCTGAACCGTGTTTTCGGACGAAACATGACCATCCTACACTCCCCGGACCCCATCAACAGTACGGGTGCGAGAGGGGTAGCCCTCGTAATAAACAAACGCGTTCTGAAAGACTGCACACCCGTAATGCGGCAGATAGTGCCTGGAAGAGCCATCCTAACTTCCATCCCCTGGGCCGAAGACCGAACGCTTAAAATATTGAACATCTATGCCCCGAACGATGCGACGGACAACGAGGCCTTCTGGGTGAGACTGGGGAATGAACGCCTGGGCCGCATTGACTTCCTACTTGGTGATTTCAACCTTGTCGAGGACCGGGCGGACCGCGTACCGCAGAGAGAGGACCCGGAGAGACCGCGGGAGGCACTACAAGCCCTCTGCGAAAAGCTCGATCTGATAGATGGGTGGAGAAGCTCGAACCCCCTTGCCCCGCGCTACACGTTCCTGCAGGAGAGCACCTCTTCCCAATCACGACTAGATAGAATTTACGTGAAAAGACAGACGTTCAAAGACTGCTCGGACTGGGATATTACGGAACCGGGCATCCCCACTGATCACCTACTGGCGTCGGTGGCGATTCAGAACTACAAGGCGCCCTTCATCGGGAAAGGCCGATGGGTCATGCCTACTCACTTGCTCGAAGACCAGGAAATGAAGAAATCTATGCTAGCTCTGGCCGCTGCCCTCGTCAGACAGATCGAAAGCATGCCGACGAGGACGGCCGAGTCGAACCCCCAAACAATGTACGCCGCCTTCAAAGCGGAACTCTCTGCTGCGGCTCGAACCCGGGCGAGAGAGAAGGTGCCCAAGATGCAGAAAAGAATCGACAGGATGCGCGAGGACCTAACCAAAACGCTTGCCCACCTGTCTGACGCGGAACTTCCGGCCGAGGAGGTAACGAGACAAGCGGAGCGTGCCGCCCTCTTGCAGGACCGACTCACCAAGCTAGAGCAGAAGAGATTCAATTGGAAGCGAACCGAGACAAATGCCCGGCACTGGGCTAAGAGCGAAACCATGACGCGGTACTGGATGCGTGGAAACACGACGCCGGAAGTGTCGGAAACTATGTACACAATGCTCGAACCCGGGTCGGCGCCGCCGACCTACACGAATCACTCTAAAACGATGGCGAATATAGCCAAATCTTTCTATAACGACCTCCAGGGCGACGACCCGCTCGAAGATGGAGAGGATCATGATGCTTACATTGCGGAGGCCCTCTCGGACACGAATGCCAGGCTAACTAATGATGCCAAAGCCGATCTGGCCCAGAAACTGAGTAGGGACGATGTCGCGGATGCCATCTTGCAATCGGCGTCCGGGAAAGCCCCAGGCCTAGACGGGCTGCCGACTGAAGTCTGGAAAAGCTACGATAAGTGGTACAGAGCAGCTATCAAGAAGGGCGCGCCGGCGGTGGATCTAGCGAAAGCCATGACGAAGGTCTTCAACGACATTGAAACCTATGGCATCACAGACGGCTCGGACTTCGCCCATGGCTGGATCTGCCCAATCTATAAGTTAAAGAAGGACAAGAGAGAGATAAACAACTACCGACCCATAACACTACTGAACTCCGATTATAAGATCATGACAAAGGCACTTGCGACTAAGCTTGCGGAAGTTGCCCCGACGATCATCCACGAAGACCAGGCGGGCTTCATACCAGGCAGACGCATCTTTGATCACATTCGCCTCTCGCAGCTGATGATAGAGTATGCGGAAGCTGAGGAGGTCGATGGGGTTATTGTCGCACTAGACCAAGAAAAGGCCTACGACAAGATTGATCACACCTACCTCTGGGAAGCCATGCGACATATGAACTTTCCGAACAACTTCATACGCACCCTACAGCATCTCTACAAGGGCGCGGAGAGCTGTGTGATTGTTAACGGCGTTCGGAGTGGTTTCTTCCGGATAGTGCGCGGAGTCCGACAAGGGGACCCCATCTCCTGCCTGATTTTCAACCTAGCCATCGAACCGCTAGCGAGTGCCCTCCGTAAGTCCTCGCTGCGCGGCCTCCGAGTCCCGGGGGAGGCGGAGCGCCTCATCGCGAAGCTCTTCGCGGATGACACGACGGTGTACCTGAGTAAGGACGATGAGTATGATGTCATGCAGGGTATCGCCTCCCGATGGTGCCGTGCGGCGCGAGCCCGTTTCAATGATGAGAAGACTGAAGTTCTACCTATTGGATCGCCCGAGTTCCGCGCGCGCGTCATCGCGACAAGGCGGATGACGGCGAACGGCCCGGAGATCCCCCTGGCAGCGCACATCGTGCCGGATGGGGAGGCGATTCGATCTCTAGGGGCGTGGATAGGAAATGGTATCGATAATTCAGCCCCCTGGACGCCCGTAGTAAACACGATCCAGACCAACCTTGCTAAGTGGCAGAAGGGGAAGCCCTCCCTGAATGGCCGTAAGCTAGCAATAGGCATTGAGCTAGCAGGGCGCACCCAGTTTCGTGCGATGGTTCAAGGGATGCCGGAGAGTGTTGAAAAGAGCCTCACGAAGATCATGATAAACTTCGTCTGGAATGGAGACCTACACCCCCGCATCGAGCGCGAGCAACTATACAAACCCGTCACGGCTGGGGGCCTGAAACTTCTCGACATTCGCTCAAGGAACGAAGCGATAGATCTCATGTGGCTGCGGAAGTACCTTGCTCTAGGCCTCAAGCGCCCCCTCTGGGCCCTGATTGCGGACGCCCTGCTTGCGAAGGCGATAGCAGCGGAGTCGAAGCACGTTGAAGCGAACGCAAGAATTAACACTTTCCTCCAGAGCTGGAAAGTCAGTACACGCGCCGCAGCGGGACTGCCGCAGTGCCTCCGCACAATGATGAAAGTGGCAAAGAAGTATGGGGTCACCTGTGAGACTAGCAACCCCTCCATGGCCCTGCGAGCTCAACTGCCAGTGTGGTACCACGTGGGCCGTGGTGAAGGACGGAACTCTGAAAACTCGAAAAGCTGTAAATGTCTGCGTGACTCCCACCAAGTCAGGACCGTAAGCCAATGTGCTGAAGCTGCTAGACGCACGACTGACGGGGACAGCGAGCACCGCCCGAACCGTGAATGCCGATGTGTGCCATGCCGGAGAGACCGTGAGGTGTACGCCTGCGACAATCCACACCGGTGTGCGACGGCGGCGGCTGCAATCCTGACCAAGTTGACGTCTAAGTGGAGCCTGGCAAGAGCGGACAACACGGACGGCCTCACCCTTACCCCAGGGAGAAAGAGGGCAAATGAGTCGGCAAGGATAGCGAATGACAGGATACTCTTCAACCCGTCGATCACGACGCCTGAGCCCCTCGTGGAAGCGTTGAGGGCCTTTGTTCCGACTAGCTCGAGAGACCAAAGACCGGCCCTGCGCCCGAAGCCGCCTTTTCAAGTGCGAAGTGAAGAAGTTGAGATCTTCACGGACGGATCCTCGGTAGGAAATGGGTCAGGGAACGCTCGTGCGGGAAGCGGCGTCTGGTTTGGGGACGGTGACGTGAGGAACGAAGGGGCAAGGGTGCCGTACGACTCGCAAACGAACCAAGTCGCAGAAATGTACGCTGTCGAGCTAGCGCACAGGAAGACCCCGCCGCATGCCCCCATGCACATTGTTAGCGACTCGAAATACGTGGTTGATGGACTGACAAAACACCTACCGCTATGGGAAAGGCAGGGATGGCTGGGCGTTGCAAATGCGGATGTCATACGAAACCTGGTCGGACTCCTACGCACGCGTAGTGCGCCTACGACCTTTAAATGGGTTAAAGGCCATGCGCGGGTGCATGGGAATGAAGAAGCGGACCGACTGGCCGGACAAGGTGCAAACCTAGCCCGGCCGCACCTCCCCATGTACCCCCCGGCGCCGGAGAGGTACATAGTCCGTGGAGCGTCGATGCTCTATCTCACCCAGAAGGCCGCGTACCTTGGCATTCGGCGCTGGAATGGGCTGCCGCCGCGCCCGTCGACCGAACGTAACGTCCATGAGATATGTCGCTCGATGCTACGCGATACTGGCGCCGAACCGACCGAAAGCGCGATATGGACCCTCCTGCGTAAAGACCCTGTATCTCGAAAGGCGCGTGACTTCATATGGCGAGCCATCCACAAAGGGCTCCGTGTTGGAAGCTTCTGGAGCAACATACCTGGCTATGAGGCCCGGGCCCGCTGCCCAGGATGCCAGACGACTGAATCCATGCAGCACATCCTGTGCGAGTGCGTCTTGCCCGGACAGGACACTGCATGGGCGATGGCCAGGGGACTTCTTGAGAAGAAAGGCGTGAAGCTGCCGAGGATTACCCTGGGCATAGCGCTCGGCGCCCACACTTACTCTGTGCGCAATAACCTGAACGAACCGCTGCATGGCCCCACCAGACTGGCCCGCCTCATCCTGACTGAGACTGCGTACCTGATCTGGGTCCTTAGATGTGAACGTGTTGTTGGCGACCGTGCCCCCCTCCAGGATAGACTGGAGCGTAGGTATGTTGAGCAACGATGGATGCAAGTCGTAGCGAAGCGCTTCTCCCTAGACCGCGCTCTCACTAGCAAAAGAACAGCGGGTAAGCAAGCGATTCCAGCACCAACAGTCATAGCAACATGGTCCGGAACACTGCAAGATGAGCAAGCCCTGCCAAATGACTGGATACTCACTCCGGAGGTTTTAGTGGGTAAGCCGCTGTGCCTGTACGATGCTGATCCGGGGTAACTCCCGACGCCGTACGAGGTGCATGCAGTCCCACACTGCGACACCTCGGTGTCCGCGTGCGTAATGCATTTCCTTCCGTACGGTAGCCCATGTATACAGCACTGAGGGCCCTTGCCCTCTTGCTTAGCACATCATCATGAAAGGCGCAGTAAGCCGCACATGTTGAGCTCCGTTAAAAAAGAGTGAGCGGAGAGAGTGATGTCATCGAATTGGCGCGCGACGCGGGCTCGCCGGGGCACGGGAAGCGGTACAGCACGTACTACCACCATCCGGAGCGGAGGAGGCAGCCGCCAGCGTCGTCTCCGCCTCAGTGGTGTATACCCATTGGAGGTGTTGTTACCTATTAGTTCGACACGGTATACCTGTCTACATTAACGACCTCATACTTGCTGCATTGTACCACGCTTCTCACGAAGACTTGTTATACATTTCCAGTTTCTACCCACATTCAATAGATCCCTTGTCATCGTCGCAGCTGAAGCTGAAGGCGCAACGGAGGACTCCGACACTCGACAGGAAGAGACACGCGCCGAGTGGCACACGTGACCGGGAGGCGCGTCTCCGCGTTCGCGCACGCGTTGTACTCGCTCTTGCTCCTCTTCTCTGTACCACCATGAGTTTCTTTGGTCAAAATTCGGGCGCAAATAACAGCCAGAACACAGGCTCCGCCGCGCCGGCAGGCGGTTTCTTTGGGCAACCACAGCCAGCTGGAGCAGGAGCATCTGGAGGCAATCTCTTTGGTGGTGGTCCAGCCTTTGGTGGTACGTGCATCCGTGCTCTGTCTCGCGTACATGTATTCACCGGTGCTACAGCAAAACCCGCAGGAGGAGGTCTCTTTGGCTCCAGCAACACCTCAAACCCTCCCGCTCCTAGCGGCGGCCTCTCGGAGACGGCCCCAGCAACCCTGCACCAGGAGGCGGATTGTTCGGATCGTCAAACACCACTAACACATCCGCTCCCGGCGGCGGTATCTTTGGCAACAACACCAACGCGTCCTCTACTGGAGCCCCCGCGGCAGGCTCGGCGGCCCCTCCTGGCGGGTTGTTCGGCGGGAGTGCATTCGGCGGTGGTGCATTTAGCAGCGGCCCGCTTGGCGTGGTCCCTCCCTCAAACACCACGAACGCACCAACAACAGGGACGAATGCGGGGGCGACGGGCGGCAGCGCGTTTGGCGGTGGTGCGTTCGGCGGCGGCGGATTCGGCTCGACTCCTGCCTCGAACACGACAAATGCTGCGCCAGCAACGGGTAACGCGAGCGGAACGACGGGCGGACTCTTCGGCGGGGGCGCACCAAGTGGTGGACTTTTCGGTGCGAAGCCTGCTGCGCCCGCTGCTGGGGCCGCGCCTCAGGCGGGCTCATTGTTTGGCGGCGGTGCTGCGCCTGCTGCTGGCGGAGGCTTGTTTGGAGGCGGAGGGGCGACGAACACCACTGGCGCGGCCGGAGCGACGAGTACCAGTAGCAGTACGCCGTTCGGCGGGGCTCCGTCTGGGGGTCTGTTTGGCGCGAAACCCGCGGACCAAACCTCCTCGACACCGGCTACTGGGGGCGGACGTATGTGATGTTCATTATCAACTGCACGCGCATCTATTGACACCACCGGCAGTCTTCGGTGGTCTCCCTCCTAAACCTGCAGACCCGCAAGGCACCACCGCTGCACCCAGCGCAGGCGCGGCGCCAGCTGCAGGTGCGGCTCCGGCAGCGCCCTCAGGTGGTCTGTTCAGCGGCGGACTTTTCGGAGCCAAGCCACCAACATCGACCGCTACGCCTGCAGCTGGCGCGACTGGTACCGCTCCTGCTGCACCTACATTGCCCGCTTTCAGTCTAGGGGGTAACAAGGATGCGTCGGGCGCGTCCACAACTGCAGGCGCTACTACCGGTACGTCACGAATATGCCATGACATAATCGGGTCTGACCTCAATTCCTGTATGTATAGGCGCAGCGTCCAGTCTGTTCGGGGCCAAGCCCGAAGAAAAGAAGGACGGAGCGGCAGGTGAGAGCGCTCAACCTTCGTTACGATGGCTCGTTCTGAACAACCGCAGCAGCACCTCCGGCATCGTCATTCAACCTTTTTGGAGATAAGAAGGCGGCTACGGGTTAGTGGCAACCTTGACACCTAAGGCATCGACCAGATGTTGACGTCGAATGACCCTACAGCTCCGGCCACAGGGGCGGCTGCTCCTACTGCTGACAAGCCCAAAGATGGTGCCGCAGGTATGTTGTCGCGCTCTGTCGAGATATTCACCATCTGACCACCGCCCGCAGCCACTGCACCGAACGCTTGTGCCCCGGGCGCGTCAGCAGCCCCCGGAGCTCCCACTATCGCCGTTCCGCCTCCATCGATGTTGCGCGGTAAGACGATCGAGGAGATAGTCAACAGGTGGTCGAGCGAGCTGGAGACGCACGTGCGCGAGTTCACGAAGTTCGCGGGCGAGGTCGCTGTGTGGGACCGAGCGCTGATCGAGAACGGGAACAACGTGAGCGTGTCTGTGTATGCTTTTGACCGATCGTCCTTACGCTATACATGCAGCTCGCCCGGTTGTACGCTACGGTTCTCGCGGCTGAGCGGGAACAGAACGACATCGACCAGTCGCTCGACCACATCGAGCAGCAGCAGAAGGACCTCGCCTCTACCCTCGACGCGTACGAGAAGTCGACGGAGGAGATCCTCGGCGGCCAGGGCAGCAGCCTCCGTGCGCTCGACACCGGCCCCGCTGACACCGAGCGCGACAAGAAGTACGTAGTGCTCTCCTTTCCCCTTGATGCTGACGCTGACCGCGCACACAGCTACATGCTCGCAACAGAGCTGCACGGGCACCTCGACGACCTCTCCGGGTCGCTCATGCAGATGATCGACTCCGTGAACGGGCTCTCGCTGCCCGCGGGCGGCGCGAACGGCAGCAGCGGGGCGCAGGACGGCGGCGAGGACGCGATCGGGCAGATTGCGCAGATCCTGAGCAGCCACCTCGAGAGCCTGCAGTGGATCGACGGCGCGGTGCGCGAGCTGGACACGAAGGTGACGGACGTGGAAAAGCGCGTGCGGGCGTCCACGGATGGGGGGCTGGGCGGGAGCACGAAGTCGCGCGGGTATGGGCTGGGCCGATGAGGAGCCCGAGTGTTCGATCTGTATTTGACTTGTAGATTGGAATTGCACGACCCTTCACGACTTTTTGTTATATGAAGAATGGCGGGATGCGTACCGGTATGACCTAGGTGCAAATGTTCACGTCCACACGCACGACATTGATACGACGGGGGCGGGCATGTGAAAAGTCCGGATCGCATGGCATTAGAATCATCTATTAGTGTCGTGCTATCCGAATATCGTGCGGCCAATTGGCGGCGCAATGTAGGTTACGGTGCTGTGTTAAGTATACAGTGTGTACCGTTGCTTTCGTGAAGGGGGTCATAGATCCATCTGGAGGCGGCTCTCCCCCGCGCCACCGTCCGCCGCTGAGTCTCCGCTCAGGAAGAGGGGCGGCGTCCGCGCGATCGCCGGACGCGAAGGCGTTCGGGGGCGGCGGCGAGCCACCATCATGTTGTCTATCCACAAACCGCTGAGGCGATGTGGTGGCTCAGCGGGCGAGCGAGCTGCTTGCGCGCATGCGCTCGCCGTAGAACCAGAGGAAGATGGGGAAGGGGATGCCGAGCAGGATCGCGAGCCCCGCGAGGAGCGAGTTGCCGCCGCCGAGCCCGAGCGCGGCGAACATCTGGCTGCCGAACAGCGGGAAGGCGAAGCCGAGCATCGAGCGGAAGACCTGTGGCATTATGCGGTCAGCTACTCCGGGATTAGACTATGTGTGCCAGGTGGATGCGTACCGATGCGGCGGCCAGCGCGCTCGCGGCGTAGGTGAAGGTGTCGACTAGGTACAGTTGGATGGGGAGGCTGAGGGACAGCGGGTGCGATCAGTACGACTGGTGGTGTTCTGCGTAAGGGAGGACGTACAAGGTTGTCATCATGCCGAAGCCGAAGATGCCAGTTCCGACGATAGGCATCATCCAGTGGATATGCGCTTGTGCCGACCAGCCATACCAGCTGCTTGGTTGTCAGAAGAGAGTAGCACATGATGTTTGGAGGAAGGACACGCACAGGACACCGATGGGGACGAAGAACGAGCCAAAGACCAGGGCAGGGATGCGGAACTCAGGCTTGCCAACGCCGTTGTTCTTTTTTACCAACTATGTGCCACGGGACAGGTGGGTGTCAACAGGAGCACCAGACGTATGATGGGGGGCTTGACGTACGTGTGCATATACTTGGTCGGCAAAGTACGCGCCGAACAGCGTTGCGAGGAAGAATCCAACGCCCAGTCCAATGTACGCCAGACCGCCTGTGCCGATGCTGAAGCCATATATACCCGTGAAGACCTCTATGGTAGAGTGAGCACCAAGGTCCGTGACCTCTCCGCGGGGAACACTTACCGGGAAAGATGGCGAACATGAGGTAGTAGATACCTTGACATATGTGTTAGTTATCTGTAAACTGCACGAATGCTGCGAGGAAGGCTTCATACCATACATCCTATGTAAGGAACGGACGTCAGAAGTGAAGACACAATTGAAGACGACGCAACTTACAAGGCCATGTATGCGCTCAGTAAGAAGCAAATGATGCTCTGCGTCAGGAGGATGAAAGGCCTCGTCATGTCGACATAAAGCCTGTGCAGCTTGCCTCCATGCTCGGCGATCAGGTGCGGGTGCGCTTTGGCGGCCTTCTCCGGGTCTCCAGATTTCTTCGCGCGACGCAACCGAATAACCGGGTGGTACGTCTCGCGGAGGAAGGGGATGCCCAGGACGGCTGCAATAGCGGAGAGCCCAGCGACGACCACGAAGATATATCTGAAACCAATGGTCTCCGCAATGAATCCACCCGCTACGGGTCCGATGACGGGTCCCAGAAGTGGACCAAGAGAGTAGATGGCCATTGCGGAGGCCCGCTCTTTTTCTGAGAAGAGGTCACTGACGGTGCCTCCGCCGCACGCGATCGGTGCGCTGCCTGCAAAACCAGCTGGTGCAAAGTGAGCCCACTAGATCTGGGGAACGCAGAGCGCCTTTGACACACCAAGAACCCGGAAACCAATCAAAGAGCCGACCGTCGGCGAATATGCACAACCGAAATTGAATGCAAGATAGAGCAGGTTGCCAATGTGTAGTACCTACGGCAATGAATGCATTAGAGATGCAGCAGCGACTCCGCGTAGACATCCTATGTGACTCACCCATGAGCGGCCGTAAATTTCTGAGAGGGGTGCGAGGAAGAGCGGGCCTATGGCGAACGTTATGAGGAAGACACTGAGCGTCGCAGCTATTTCCGTCTGGCTTGTTATGTTATAATGGGCGCCAATGTCTGGAAGCGCAGGTGCCATCATAGAAGATCCCAGAGGCGTCACAAAGGTGTAGAGTGATACCTATGAATTTATGCTGAGTGCGCTGGACGAGTGCGAGGCAACACGGGGAAGACGTACAATCGAGACCATGATCCATTTCTTGCGGAAGGGCCAATTCCGGGGGTTGATGGGGTCGTGCGTCCAGTCTTCCTCTGCGTTCTCCAGCACCTCTTCCTAGTTTGGAGAAGGCGGCATGAGGACCCACACGCGTCCACACCGGTTGCGTCACCCTCCCGATAATCACGCACCTTCTTGTCTTCCGGGAAGGCGGACAGGCCCTCCCCTCCGTGCAACACCGCAGCGTCCTTGGCTGGACCGGGCGTGCTGAGCTCATCAGCCGGCACATGCGTGCCAGACGAGATGGTCGGGCTCCGGGAGGCCTTGAACGCCTCGGCCGGGGCTGGCGCGTCGTGCAGCTGGGTCGTCGACATCGTGCCAGGGACTGCACCAGGAGCGGGGGGCAGGGAAAGGACAGCGAGAAATAAAGGCTGCAACAGGCTATATAGGAATCAGACGTTTCCGTGTCATACGCGATTTGTAGCAGCCCTCTGCCGCACCGTCCTATCATTAACTGCGAACGCCGATACTTGCCCTGCCGCGCCCCCGCACCCCGCACCGACCCCGGCCTTTTGGGGCGCAAGCCGCCCCCTCCCCCGCCACGATCGCTATTCCTGTGGACGATCATGCATCCCGCACGACTCATTCCGAGTCTGCTAGAAATATTTTCGCTTGCATACCATGGCATCTCGTCGCGTCAGCAGGCTCGCCAAACGCCCCGATGCGCTCGTGGGACCTCGGTTGACCCTGTGCCGATGGATCACCGGCACCGCCGATCGAACTGCTATTCTGGGGCCGCGTATTCAATTACGGGTCCCGATAGAACTTACCAGATGAAAGCCTATTTGCAGCCGCAGGCCTAGGGGCGTCAGTTGGCAAGGCCACTGCAGCACGGCCCGACTGGAAAACAGGTTGCATTGCGTATGGTAGGAAACGTGCGAAACAAGGGTACAAGGACACAAACCGACTAGGATGCAAGAACACTTCTACACAACACTGTATCTGCCCGCGGTCGCCGTGGGGTTGCGCATTTCGGCTTGCAGCGCAGCGGCTGAGGCCTCCACGAGCAGACGCTTGATTTCCCGTACGGCTTGTTCGACCTGTACGACAATGTGAATATCAGTAAAAGACACACGAACAAAGCAGACTTTACTCACCCGCCACTCTTCGTTCGACTCAATGAGCAGATGCAGTTTCGGCGGGCCTTCGACAGGCGGCTCCTTCCCAGGCTCGTAGTAGATACCTATGACATATGAGCGAGCGGTTCCCACCACACCGGACATATGTCAGCGCACCTTTGTTGGTCACCGACGCGCCCGTCATATCGATGAGCTGCACCATCGTCTCCTTGTTCGTGACGCGCCAGCGCGCCTTCTGCGGGTAGTCGTTGATCGGGATGACCGCGTGAAACTCGGTCGCGTCGATCGCGTTCCGCTTCGTCGTGATCTCCTCGTGCTGGATCTGCGACTGCGCGACGAGCTTGTGCGCGCGCAGCTGCGCGTTCAGCTTCGCCACCACGCTCAGCGCCTGCTTGTGCGCCGGCGTGTCCTTGCCCGCGCGGTCCGCCGCCTCCTGCGCCGCGCGCAAAGAGTTCTGCAGCTTCTCCTCCTCCTTCTGCTGTGCGAGGCGTCTCGCGGCCGCAGCGGCGCCTGCTACGCCGAGGAGGCCCTTCGAGGAGTCGGGTGCAGGGCCGCGCTTGACCTCGACCTTGAAGCTGCCGAAGGTCATGTCGTCCGTCGGGGCGGCCGCAGCCTTCGTCTCCGCCGCCGCCTCGTTGGCCTTCTCTTCGTCGGGTTCGCCGTACGCCTTGCGTTCTGCCTTCTCTTTAGCATCGCGCTCCTGGTCAAGGCGGTCAAGACCCTTTCCACCAAAGCCGGAGCCAGCGACCTTAGCCTTGCCAGTCTTGACTTTGTCGAGGAAACCTGCATCAACGTATTCAGCATCCATTCTTGCGGAGCATTGTAGAATCACTCACCGTTAGCTAGAGTCTCGAGCTCCTTTGGCATGGCCGCGCTGCTGGCCTGGAGGGCACGGTAGATATCCACCGAGTACCGATCCTGCTCCGGGGTGATGAAGGTGACACAAGTCCCCTTGTTGCCTGCACGGCCGGTACGTCCCGCACGATGCACATAGTCCTCCATATGATTCGGCGCGTCGTAGTTGATGACGAGCTTCAACTGCTTCACGTCCAGACCACGGGCCGCAACGGAAGTGGCGATGACGACAGGCACGACGCCCGACTTGAAGTCTGCAATCGTGGAGTCGCGGTCGACCTGGTCCTTCCCGCCGTGCAGCGACATGCAGAGATAGCCCTTGCGCATGAGCTCTCTGAGCAGGTTATCCGCGCCCTCCTGCCTGTCGACGAAGATGAGCGTGCGGCACTCAGGGTCCTCGTTGTACGTCTGGCCAAGGATCTCCAGCAGGCGGTTGAACTTGGAGTCCTCATCTCGGACCTCCACGATCTGCTCGATCTCGGGCGCGACAACGGACCGGCCGCCAACGGTGATCTCGAGCGGTTTGCGAAGGATTTTGCGTGCAAGCGAGTCCATTTGCCGGGGGAAGGTGGCGGAGAAGAGGACAGTCTGCCTGTCAGGACGGATGTTGTTTACGATCTTCATGACCTGAGGCTCGAAACCCATATCGAACATACGGTCCGCCTCATCAAGGACGAGGTAGGTGACACGCTTGAGATTCGTGACGCGACCTGAGTTGGCGGTCAAGAGGTCGATCATGCGTCCTGGAGTGCACACAATGATCTCAGCGCCCTTCTTCATTTCCGCAATCTGGTCCTTGATGGGCGAGCCACCATACGCACAGACAGCCTGTAAACGACATTAAGACACGCGTTCGACATAAGCAAAACATCAACACTCACACGAAGGTTAAGCACGCGAAGGAACGGCTTACACTCGCGGTGAATCTGAACGGCAAGTTCCCGCGTCGGCGTCATGATGACTGCAACAGGCCCCTCCATTTGCTCGAGGGGTCGCTGGTCCTTGATGTGCCGGAACATGGGAAGTAGGAAGGCGATAGTCTTTCCTGAGCCCGTCTTAGCTACACCGATGACGTCTCGACCAGACATGATAGCAGGGATAGCCTGAGCCTGAATTGGTGTCGGCCCGGCATAACCGAGTTTCTTGATGACTTCCAAGCTGCATGAGAAGAGTATAAGTAACGGTTCAATTTATTGCGAACCAGGGTACTCACCAGCTCGCAGGAAGGCCGAAATGGCTCCATTTCGTGACAGGGCGAGGGCAATCGACACCTCTGATCTTGATACCGTCGAGCTCGAGTCGAAGAAGATCCGCATCCTCGTCAGTCATCTCAGCGATATCTGGAGGAGGAACATAGAACTCCTTGCGGAAAGGTTCGTATGGGACCTTGGAATGGTCCACTGCAGCCATATCCTTCTTTCTTGCCTTCTTGGCGGCGAGAGCAAGGATATCTTCCGGGTTGAGTTCTGTGGCGTCAAGCTCATCGACCTCTGGCCGACTTTCGTCGTCCTGATCGTCTCCGTGCTCGTCCAAACGAACGCCAAGATGGCCCGTGTGATTCAACTTCTTCATGTCCTCCAAGTTGACCTTCTTGACCTCTTCTTTCACACCACTCATGAAAGCATCCAGCGGGTCGACGTCATCGTCCTCTTCCATGGCGTCCTCAGCCTTGGTTTCTGCGGCGGCTGCGGCCTCCTCTTCCTCGTCGTCGCCCTCCAAGCTGCCAATCTTCGACTGTTCCTCCGTCATAGTCATGTCGACCTCTGGCAGGTCGAGTGTCTGAAGCTTCCGCTTAGTCTCTACAGCATCGTCGAAAACAGCGGCAGACTTGGACGTCTTCAACAGGTCAAGCTTCACAGGCAATCCCTTTAGCCCAAGGCTTCCAAGAGCGGAGCGGTTGAGAGAGCCTGCCGTGCTTGTGCTCGCCGCAGCTACAAAGGATCAAGTGGTGTGAAATCACGAAATACTAGGATGAAACCTAGAAGACTCACCAGCAGCGGACTTCCCAGCTAGGGCCAAGGCCTTCGCCTTGGCTTCATCCAGAGCCTTCTTCGCCTCGCGCTCCTTCTTCCACGCTTCGAGTTTCGCGCGCTTCGCCTTGAGTTTCTCATCCTCTACCGGAGGCGTGGAAGTCTTGCTATCGGGCTGCGGTGGCGCTCTGGAAGGTGAAGGCGGGCGGTCGCGGTCTCTGCGGTCCCTGGAGCGCGAGCGTCGGGGGTCGTCCCGCCTACCGTCGCGGTGGTCTCGGCGGCGGTCATCACGATACCTATCGTCGCGGTATCTGTCGCGGTCGCGGTCCCTCTCCCTATCTCTATCCCTGACGTCCCTATCCCGGTCGCGGTCCCTGTTGGGTTCCCTGGCCTTGGGAGGCTCCCGCTCTCGCTCTCTGTCCCGGTAGCCATCCCTTTCCCGGTCGTCGTCGTACCTCGATCTAGTGGGCCTTTGGGCGTTGCGCCTGGTCGGCGACGGAGACCGAGGTGAAGAACGATGAGACGGCCTTACCCTCTTATTCGACGAGTCCGGGGAGTATGATCTGTCCCTCCGTGCCATGCTGAGATGGATAGAGAGTTGCAAGGAAGTGGGTGAGGATGGTGTACTTGGTCGAGTGGGACACCCGAAGACGCGCAGGAAGACGAAGTACAATAGACGCCCATTTACTCCTTTGCTGTTGTTTGGCCTCCTTCCAAATCGGGATGATATGCTTGCGCGTTCTCGTGAGCGCCTACGACATCCGCTCCTCCCATTGACCTACGATGAGTGCGAACATACTCGACGCATCTGCTCTGCTTCACGCCTTGCCGAAGGTTCTGCCAGCCAAGAACAAGAAACTTGAGTCTGCTCAGGACGGAATCGCTGCACTTGTACACTCTGCCTTCACTGTTCTCGGCTTCCGTCTCCTGGGTACAGATGAGAGCGGTCCCGCACGTACCTTTGAGGACAACGTCTTGCCTGAGGAGTGGAACCAACACGGTCCCAGCAACTATGCGTTGAGGTACAAACATGAGCAGAGTAGTTTGGAGTTTCTCGTGAAAGTGGTGAAGTTGGGTAGTCGCACACTCATCAACTCTATTGCGATCGAGGTAAGCTACAGTGCCGCGTTATATATTCGATCTATGCTGACCTTGCGCGACTAGACGGACAAAGCTGCTACGCTAGATATCTCCACGGGCGACTTTATTTCGCCCTCATTCTTCCCACATGATCTCTCCGCATCTGACGCTCCCCCGCTTGTACACGGCTTCATTTCCTCCAATCGCATCGACGACTTCGTCTCCCAACTTAAACTCAGCACGCTCCAGAAGCTGATGCCTGGCCTCCGCAAGGAAGGCTACACTGAGCAACCGGAGACAAACGCTGGTCCTAGTCAACCACGCGCTCCCGAGGCACCTCCCGCGCGGCCGCGTCCTGAACAGCCCCCATACGCTCCCCAAGACATCTACCCACGTATGCCGCCCCGCAGTCCACTCGAGATCGGACGTCGTGACCGTGACCCTTTCCCGAGCAACCCTTTCGCTCCGTCTCCGCTCTTCCCGGATAGCTCTGGGGATGGTATGTTTGTTGGTCCGAATCATCCGATATTCGGTCCTGGGATGCGTGGTCCAGGATCTGGAGGTAGGGGTCCTTGGGGTGGAGACGGGTTCCTTCCTCCGATGGGGGCGCCTCCGGGAGCCAGATTCGACCCTATCGGCCCTGGAGCCTTCCCCGGTCCGCCCCCGTTCCCAGGACAGGGTAATCCTAGGGGTGGTCGTGGTGGTCCGCTGGGTGGGCAGAATCCTGACAACGACGAGTTCATGCCTCCCGGATACGTAAGTACTCTAAAACTTCTATATACTGCAGTTGCGCTGATCCATCCATCCGTATGTAGGGCGACATGTTTAGTTAAACGACAACCACGAAGGAGCGATCTCATGTACGATAAATGCACGATGTTTGGGGAGGTAGCATCATGTGTTTCCGTGTAAAATATATCGGCAACTATGCGATGATGACTCGGTGAATGAGACGTCCAGAAGAGGATGCGGCTGGTGGCCCGCCTGCAAATTAGCGTCACTGCGGACCTGGGTGCTGAATTGAGAAGCTACCAGGGATACGTACTGCTTGCTGATCAGAACCGCGCTCGCACTTGCCCGATCATATATAAGCAGCCTCCTGCCACAATTGTTCTCCTCTTTCCTCAACACCCCCTGTACCCGCCCCAACCTCCACGCACCCGCTATTTGCTACAACATGCAGTCCCCAACCAGAGCCCGCAAACAGAACTCAGATCTTCCGTCGTTCATGCGGCGCCCACCGAAGCCAGATGGTGTCAAGAACATCACCAACGCCCCCATCCACAAGCTCTCCCTCCGCGAGCTCGAGGAGCGCTACAAACGCAACGCGCGCACCCTCGCCGAAACGTAAGCTCCCATCTTGCAAAGTCGGTCGCTGCGGCGCATGTGCATGTCTTAATACCCAGGCACACTCCTCCCCCTCTCGCCTCAAAGCTCAACCTCTAGCTCAACCTTCATCAAGCAGCTCGAGGACCAGCAGGCCGCGATACGGGCGCGCCTCGGCGAGCTCGGCGTGGAGGGCATCCGCAACCAGCTCGAGCAGACGACCATCCGCGACGACCAACATTCCATGAACGTTGACGCCGCGCCCGGACCCTCTTCTCCAACACAGCCAGAACCCCCGAAGCCCATCGGCGCAAAGCAGCGCGCGCTCGCGCGATGGGTGCGTGCCTTTTTTCAGTGCTTCTTGGGAGCCTAGAGTTGATCGTGACCTCAATATTCAGGCAGGGGCAGGGGCAACGCCCACAGCAGCGATGTCGTACACGGAGGCGGACCAGATCTTACACGACACATTCGTCCGCGAACAGGAACACAAGCAGAAGCTACTCGATAAGCGGCGGCGGCGCGGCGAGGTCGCGCCTGGCGAGCAGCTTACACGGGCGGAGATGGACCAGCGCATGTGGGCATTCCTGTATGCTGCCCCTCCCATACCCTGTATTTCCGGCTGACCAGTCTGCACAGATCATACAAGCCCTCGGAATCAGATATGGAGGAAGACGATGACGACGAAGAAGATGACGAAGAAGAGGAGGAGGGCCGCCCCGCGTGGTGGGACGAGGACGACCAGGAGGACGGGATCAAGGGCCAGGACATCATCGAGCCGGACACGGAGGAGCTGTCGAGCATCATCCGCATCGACGAAGCGCGCATCCCCTTTTCCATTCCGCGAGACGAGTAGAGACGGTGCTAGGTATGTTATCGGGATGTAACGATTAATGTGTAGCAGTAGGCCATATCCAGGTGCATAGTCAGAGCGATAGCATATGTACGAAGCAAGAACAGCGCGGGCGCGGGCCTCAGCGGGCATGTACGGGGCAGCTGCGGCCACGTTGTAACCAGGATGACAAGCAAGCTATAGCGGGAAAGTCAGCATAGGCAGATGCGCATGGAGTAGTGTTTTGAATACCGTTGTGGAAGCTGCACAGGCAGCTCAGCCGAGCCACGGTAGAACCCTTAACGAACTCTTCCAAACATATAACACCTATTGAGTCACGTCAGTCTAGAATCTGGATGTCAACAAACATGGAAGCCCACATTCAGTGCCAATCAGTGCACTCTCCGCGGGAAGCTTATACACAAGGTATTTGGCAGTCTGGGGCACCTTGCCACTACCGCCCTCCAGACAGTTCTTGACGTGTGCTTCCTGTACGTCGGGAGTACCGAGGTCGTCCAAGGAGACATTGCACACGGGACATCTATTCGCAAAACATGAGCATCGCACTATGATCACTGGGGCAGACACTCACTCCGCAAGGTCGCTAAGCTGCGAGCTGGACTGCCCGCGCGTTGGGCTAGGTATCGAGAGCCGCCTCTGGTCGATGAATATCCGTTCCATCGAATTTGTGCGCGATGTGGCAAGCCCAGTGGGCACCGTTGCCGTCACTTCCTCGTAGCAGCCCTGGCACACACGCTGCTGGGTAGCAAGAAGTGTGGCCTCAGGGAAGGAGGGATCGTGCACGATGTCAGACGGATCGAGCAGGGCCCTATACGAAGAGCAGCGATCGCAGAATATGCGTCCACACCGCCGGCAATGCTAGAGGGAGAAAAGTTAGTATGCGGACCACCGTCTGCGTGAGCCTATAACGTACATGCTAAAAAAATGTGAGCATATGCCAAGTGATCGTCCTAAAAGCAAGCTTACTCTGCGATTCAAGAAGTTGAAGCGTCGCCGACATTCCCGACATTCTGATACATGTTCGTCTCTTTCCCACTGAGCGTGGACTTGGTGCGGCGTCGGCGCCGTCCACCTAGGGGTCAACACCTTCTGCGGCGCCTCATGCGTGGGCACACGGAACTCAGGAGCTTGAGAGAGGTGCGGCGTAAGATCTGCCGGTGTCCTCGAGCTGGACCCGCTCGCACGCGCGAAGTAATCTGTTGTTGTGGACCGGAGCGAGGGCGGGCGTGCAGTCAATGGAGGGGATGGCGCGCCGGGATAGCGGAATTCCTCCTCGTCATCATCATCGTCAAAGTCGTAATCATCTATGCCACAATATGTCACTCGCAAGCCTTGGCAAATTGGAAACGACATACCTTCACCCGATATGAGCAGCCCTTGTGCGCCAGCAGAAAGTCTGCGCCTCTCAAGCTCGCGGTTATAAGCGTTCAGGAGAACCTCCCCTTGGATGCGACGCTCGCTATCTTCGTCGGCTTCCATGACTGTCAGCAGGCATCGATGCATATAATCTATAGGACAACTCACTCAGAATTCCCTGCCTGAGTTCAGTCGTGGCACGCTCAAGCTTCGCAATCATACGGCGAGCATCCAGCGCAGAATCGGCATCATGGCCATCTTGAGGGGCCCCGACTAGGTATCTCGCACGAGCCACATAGTCCTGCGATCCCAATCCAGAACTCGGCATCGCGCCCAGCTCCTGCCCATCACTCCCTCCATAGTCGCTCCCGTCGTGCTCGAGGAAGGGTATCAGCTGCCCGTCCACCAGGTGGTACATCGCACCGTCCGGCTGGAGGAACGGCAGCGGGGGTATATCGAGCCTCCGCCGCATCACGCGCACCCACCGGCGCCGCCGCACCCACGTATGGGGCCCGTGCGGGTGCGGGCCCGTGCTGGTGCTCGCGCGGCTGCTGCTGCGGTTGCGAGAGCTTCCTCCCAGCCCGGCGGCGACCGCCCCGTTTCCTGTCAGGAGCCGCTCGAGCTGCGGGGGCGCCTCTGAGACCCATTGGTCGTCTGGGTCGGTGAATGAGTGCGAGTACTGCCATCCGTCCTGCGCGTCCACTCCAGGAGGAGTTACATCCAACGTCCAGTCAGACCTAGTGATGAAACACACATGAGACAGCGCGCCATAGAGAAGTGTAATGCACTCACAGCCAGAAGTGACTTCGCTCTGCGCCCTCCTGCGACGACCCAGGTTTGGGCAGGGTAAAGGGATCTTCGCGAAGAGGAAGTTGGACATCGCTACGCCATGCTCCGATCCTGTTCCCGCTCGTCTCCGATGGATTCGGCAGTATCAGTTCGAACGGCGCACGCTGACCACGCCTGCCTAGTCCAGATGCAGAGAATTTGGGACGACCGCCGGAGACTGCCAAAGTCTTCAGCCTGACATCCAAACGTTGGTTTTCGTACAGTACGAGTGGAACGGTAGTGTGTACGGCCAACGGATTGAATGGTACGGCCGAATTCCGCCACTTGTCCGCTTCAAACCTTTGTAGTACCTGTATGACGGTGATGAGGTGTTATAGGTACCAGAGGTCGTATGCCATGTTACCTCGCAGATCCAGACTTCGAAGACGGCTGAAGCGACATCGTATGCGGTCTCTCCCCAGTTGTTCCTCACAAGCGGGTCGGCGGTCTGCTTAGTCAATAAATATAGAACCACCGGAAGGTGTCCCTTCGAAGCAGCGTTCACTGTAGGACGGTACCACGTCGGTGAGCACGGTGATATCACAAGGTCATTGGGGACGCACTCAATGGCGTCCAGCCGCCCTTGCTGCGTACGTCAACACCGGGTGCCCCATCGACTTCAGAAGTTGCACCTCCACGTTCGCAAAGCCAGCGAACAATATCGAGATAACCCTAAGCGAGACTCAGTAATGCATACAAGGAGACGAAGGTTTTATTCAGTCTACCTTTGAGCATGCGTTGTGCAACGCAGTCCACCCGTCTGCGTCTCGGGCATGAACGTCGGACTTCCCTGGAAGCAGATACGAGATGACCTGCAGGTGACCGTTCAACGCAGCCTTGTGCAATGCAGTCTGCCCGTTTGAACATCACGTCAGTCTCAACACCCGCCAAACACGACTTATCGCGCACCTCGCCCTCCTTGTCCTCAATGTCCGGTATCGCGCCACATTCGTCCACCACTGCTCGTACTCAGCACGCGCACACCCAGAAATAGAGCAAAACAGCACAGCACGTACGCCACTTCACGATCTCCAAGTACCCCCGGCTCGCAGCCGCGTGCAGCGCGGTCAGGCCCGTGCGCGGCGAGGCGTCGTTCGCAAGCTCGAACGGATCCACGTCATCCGCGCGCACGGCCTTCCTGAACTCCGTCTGGATGCGCCGCAGGTCGCCCGACGCCGCCGCCGCGTGAAGCGCCTCGAGCTGCGCCGCGCTCGGGTGGCTCTTCGACGGCACGGGCGAGTGCGCCCGGGCGGCGTGCACGAGTGGCTCCGGGGTCGGCGTGCCTGCGCGCGGCGGCGACGGCTGCACCGCGGGGGCGGGCGGGGTCGGCGGGGTTTCGGGCGCGGGGGCCTCGCCGTCGGTGCTGGGGTACACGAACTCCTCGTCGTCGGAGTCGTCGTGCATGGCTGGAGGGGAGTTTGAGGCGGGCGAGACGGTGCTGCTTGCGACTCTACACGTGCCGGGCGTTAGGCGGGCGGCGAGTGGGCGGCGGGGTGCGGGACTCACTCTTCGATGGTCCCGAGGTAGTGCGAGGCTGAGTGGAGGCTGCTGCTCATAGCAGAGAGGAGAGCGGGAGGGAGCTGCTGAGAGCTGCAGCGTAAACTCACCCGACCATGCGCATCATCGCAGGCAGCCGCAAAATGTTCGGTGCTAATTGATGCGCTCGCCCACGTGACCCACCTCGCGATCATGCGAGGAAGAGTCGAGCTTTTTTCAAGTTCACTCGTGTGCGTATATGTGTTTGAGCTCGGTTTTATTTGAGCAGTAGGTGGATACAGAGAGGCAGAGACTACCGGTACACGAATTAGAATCTAGTGGTCATATGTACGCCCCAAGGGCGGTCATCATATCATGAATCGTCAGGTGGACATGCCGAACGTCTCGACATGCAGCGTCACCGAGGGCGCGCCCTTGAGGACGCTCGTCGGGCTGGTGAGCTTGGAGGAAAGCGTGCGAGAGACCGACGCAGAGAGCGACGAAGGGCCAGCGACTAAAATAGCACGTGGTCAGCACAGAGACGCAGGGCTGATAGTAGACGGTACTGACCATCGACAGAGACCGGGCCCGTGGAGGAGTCGATGCCCTCCTGGAGGACACGCCGGATGCTGGGGCGCCCGTGCGTGATCTTCAGCGACGAGTACACCGGCAGCTCCTTCTCGAACTTCCCAGTGTCTGCGGGGCTCGGCGGGGTCGACGTCCCGTCAGACGGCGCATACGCGGTGCGTTGAACCTCGGGGATCGTGCACGTCGGGCCCGTGATGTAGACGTGCGGCTCGATAGCGAGCGAGGTAGACTGGGCAGCGGCGAGGGCCTCGTTCAGGACCTTGGAGATCCATTGGAGATGCTCTGCAGGCACTCGTGTGAGAACCGCACTCGAGGAGTGTATTGTGGCGGTAGCCTTACCTGCATCACGGACTGCCCATACAAAGATGACCCGACGCACGTCCGACGTTCCTGCCCGGGCACGACTGGCCGCAGGGAGACTCAATCAGCCAAGCGCTGCAGCCAAGAGACCGGGAGATACGCACTGCACAAGGTCCACGAGAAGGGGCAGCGTGTACGATACACCAGAACCACCTACAACAGCGCCCGTCAGGGATCCATACAGACGCCGATCATCCAATGAACTCACCGGCCACTAGGATGCAGGTGCTGTACTTCGACAGATCAGGCGGGCACCCGTACGGTCCGTCCACAAAGGCCGCGACGCGCGATTCGCCGCTGCGCTGGGCGTGCTCGCGCAGACGGCCCGTGAAGCCGTTCCTGCCCCGCACGATGAACACGACGTCCTTCTCGCTCGTGCCCTCTGTCCCGTCGAGCGGCTGCGAGATGCTCGCGATCGTGAACGGGTGCGCCTCCGTCGGAAGCTCGCTCACGGTCGGCAGCACGAGGTACGCGTGCTGGCCCGCGCGCCAGTGGAACTTGCGCTTCAGCGTGAGGCGGATCGTGTCGGAGGAGACGAGCTCGACGGTCGCAGTCCCGAACTCGTGGTCGGTGCCGCCCTTGCCTCTGTTGTTCCAGAGCAGCCGCGTGGTGCGGAGGACACGGTCGAACGCCCAGACGACGAGCGCGGGCCAGAAGTAGTCGCCGAAGCTGTAGAGGGCAGGTCAGCAAGCCTTCTAGCAGGGTGCGACACGTGGACGACGCACTTGACTTCTCGGGCGTGGAGATATCCGCCGATGATGAAGATACTGCGAGCGTGAGATACGAGGTTAGGACTATATGTGGAAGTCGGGGCACGAGCGCACTCACCCGACGAGAACGATGTGTGAAACAAGGAAGAACTCGAAGAAGGCGTTCCGGATGAAGCGGACCGAGAAAATTGTGGCCAAGGTGAAAGCGGCGAGGCCGATAACGCCCCAGCGCATCCAACCATGCGTCAAGTCGAACTTTTCAGGGAGACTGGACGAAAGTCAGAGACTGTTGCACTCATTGGTAGATAGTACTTACCCGGAGATCGAGCGGGCCAGAGCGTGGATCCACAGGAGGATGAGACAGGTCCTCGCAGTAGCCCGGTGGAGTATGTTCAGCTATTCATAAGTATATCAGTGTGAGAACGCTTGTAAGACGACCCAATTTGCTAACCTTTTCGTGACCAATGCCCGTGAAAACTAGGAGAGTATTAGCGACCGTAAATAGAGTGTTGATGTGTGCTACTTACGGGAGATGATATTGTTCTTTCCCGCCAACGCGACGATGAACGGAAGCTGGCAAGAGGCCAGATGGGCAGCCCTGTCTTCGAAGAACCAGAACTGCAAGTCGAGAGCTAAATCGATAAACTGTCAGCGCTGTAGGTCCACAGTAACCGGTGTATATTCGCTTACTGTTCGTCAGGGTGAGGGCCAACATGGTAGCGATGTATCCGAAGATAAAGAACAGCTCCGCAAACGATGCTACGCCAACACCAAGAGGGACCTGAATGCGGAAGGCGACCACACGGAAGCCCGAGACGACTGCCGCAGGGAGACGCCTCCACGACGCCCGCCCAGCGCGACCAGGCAGAATAGCTTCAGGCGAAGCCTTCTCCGATTGGCTGGAGGCCGGCTGCTGAGAGCGACGCCGGAAGAGGCGCACGAAGGCGAACCGCAAGACGCGAGTAAGGAAAAGGACAGCGATGATGGCAGTAATGAGGAGCCACAGCTCTTTGATCGCCTTCTTCTGCTGGGAAGCCTTCATGGCCTTGTCCGCAGTGGTTGGCTCGAAGTCGCGGGGGCGCAAGCGCAGAGAGATCGTTGGCCAAGACATCTCGGACTCGACAGTGGCTGGGATGATGTTTGGGAGTGGTGGTGCTGCTCACGGCGACATGTTAGCCGAGGGTTGGTATTTATGTCGTCCTACACGGGCACTGGAGAAACATTCCCTCCGTGGACTGGCAGCGCCTCGCCAAAGAAAATGGCCACCGCGCCCGCGTGATATTGACAGCTGCACGCGGAAGAGCAGTTATTTGCAGCCTATCGTTGCAGGGCGAGTGAACTGAGGTCATCGTCAGGGCGAGATCTGGCTGCGCACACCGAGTCGAGAAGTTGGTGAGCATGCGTTGCGAATCCGGGGTAAACGTCTTCAAATGTTCGGGGCATTGCATTGCGGCGTGGGGTAAGTGAATGGGGCGTTTGTATCCGAGGCGGAATGACGTGCGACGTATGATCGGTGCTTGGTAGACATAGAGGCCCGAGCTTCGCCCAAGTCGCGCCTCGGCGGTGAAGATTCGGTGGCTGAACGGGTAAGACTCGGTTCGGAAGTGTATAGAAGTGCCCGGCGACTACTTGATATGCGTTCCGCGCTACCAATTGCGTCGCAGACACCAATCAAGCGCAACTCGGAGCAGAGACGGATTATCTGATAGGCCAAGGTGTGAGCATGTGCCAATGAGGGAAGTCGAGCCAAGTTGACGTCGCGAGGACAGATAGAAGGTTCACTGCACATTTTCTGGTGGTGAAAACGCGTGCTGGAAGACTCATTTGCGGGGGAGTTGAGAGCGATCGAAGAGGTAGAATGCGTACCATGAGTCTCGCAATGCGGCTATGTCGTAAGTGGCATGCATCCGCCCAAATGTCGCGGGACCAGCGTGGGAGGCCCAATGGGGCTGTATTGTCCGAGCCATTCGAAGGCGGGATGGTGGCCGAGCCCACTTCAATGCATGCATGCATTCCTCGTTCCCATGTGCGGCAGAGGGCAGGATGAGATGGGGGGCAGTCCATCTTCATTACTCACGGGGAGGTGAGTCGACCTGGACGATCTGCACATGGTGTCAGACTTGCGCGGTGCCTCAGTTCGTCTGTCGCACGTGTATGACAAGGCCGGGGAATGATGGTGAGCGGAAAACATAGCATGGAGAGCATGGGACGATGGCGGGATGCCGACGAAGAGACAAGATGGCAGGATTGCAGGCGGAGGTTGTTGACGACTGTGTAACGGTGGGCTGCCCGGCCCGCCACTCTTCCCATCGCCCATGCCGATGCACTCGGAGTCCCCGCACCTGCACCGCACCCACATCGCGTACTCGTCTATCCTCTCGATTGTGCCTGCTCTCGGGCTCGCGCAGGACGCATACATCCAGCCTGTATACCGCCGCAAGGCCCTCCAGGAAAGAGAGCGACAAGAAAGGGCCTGTGCGAGATGCTCGGTCGGAAGAGAGTTCATCGCGGAACGCTGACGTGATGATTGGCTGGGATGGCACGAGCATCGAGCGGTCCGTCGATTTTCACGCTGCAGACGACCCTGACGGCCTCCAAGCACAGAAGGACACTCGACGCACTCAGCAGCCTTGGCCGCGAGAAAACTCTGCTCTGGACGCTGTCGTGGCCGCACAAGCCATCTTCACACTGTGGGACCCGCCCTGCGCTGACTCGGTCGACTGCCTCCGATATAATCCTTGACGCCGCCCTCATCTCTCTGACTCCTTCTTTCTCCCCGAGCGCTGCCCGCCATGTCGCCCTCCGCAGAACCGCGCACAAACGGAGTCAATCACTCCGCGGACCGCTCAAACCTCATTCCGTTCTCCTCTCGACTCAAGGAGGGCAGGGCGCTCGCCCAGGATGTCTGGTCCATCTTCAAGTACGTCGTGTGATCGTGGCCGCTCATTCAGAAGCTCACAAAGCATCAGCGCTGCCAACCTCCCTGCGGACTGCATCAATCTCGGACAGGGCTACATGAACTTCCCTCCTCCCGTGTGGGTCAAGGAGGCCGCTGGAGAGGCGCTCAACTCGGTGGCTGCGAACCACTACTCCCACCCGAAGGGTCGTATCCGCCTCCGCCAGGCCCTCAAGGAGCACTTCGGTCCTGACTTTGGCAGGGATCTCGATGTCGAGTCTGAGATTCTTGTAACGAGCGGGGCAAACGAAGGTATGCATGCCCGAGCTCCCCGAACGCACGATCCGCACAACATCCTGACATTGCAACCCAGGACAGTACTCGGTCTTCGTCGCCTTTCTCGAGCAAGGCGACGAGGTCATCTTGTTCGAGCCGTTCTTCGATCAGTACCTGCCCTCGGTCACGTTCAATGGCGGCATCCCCGTTTACGTTCCGTTGCACCCGCCCAACCACGATGGCCGGCACAGCAGTTCCGAGTGGACAATCGACTTCGACGAACTCCGGTGTGTATTCCGTCTCCGCGGTTCCGGTAAAGCTTGCTCATCCAATCCAAAGACGCGCCGTGACACCGCGCACAAAGATGATCATCGTCAACACCCCGCACAACCCCGTGGGGAAGGTCTTCACGCGCCACGAGCTCGAGCAGATCGCCGCCCTCGCCGAGGAGCACAACCTGCTCGTAATGTCGGACGAAGTTGTAAGCACCGGCCACGCCGCCCTCTCCACAGCTTCGCGTCGGCTGACACGCTCCCAGTACGATTCCCTCGTCTTCGACGATAACGAGCACGTCCGAATCGCCACCCTCCCCGGGATGTGGGATCGTACCGTGACTGTGGGCTCCGCAGGCAGTGCGTCGGCGCCCGCTCCCTATCTGCCCGAGGGTTTCCCCGCGCGCTGACACTGACGCCATTCCCGCAGAGATGTTTGCTGCGACCGGTTGGCGCGTTGGCTGGCTCATCGGGCCCGCTTCGATCATTACGCCAACGCTCGCAGCGACGACGCGCATCGTGTTCTGCAGCAACTCGCCGCTGCAGGAAGCGTCTGCGGTTGGTCTTGAGCAGGCGAAGAAGCGCGGGTTCCTGCTTCAACAGCGGGACGAGTACGCCGAGCGCCGCGCGATCTTGACCGCCGGGTTCGACAAGCTCGGGATGAAGTACACACTTCCGCAAGGGAGTTACTTCGTGCTCTTGGTGCGTGCGCTCGCCGTCCCGCCCGTGCGGCCCGTGGCTGACAGCCCGCTCCCATTCCCAGGATATATCCACCGTGCGGTGGCCCGAGGACTATCCGTTCCCGCAGAGCGTGGAAGGCAGGGGGCGCGATTTCAAGTGGGTGATACTGCGCGGTCGGGCGCAATGCGGACACTCATTCCTCTCGCGACAGGGCGTGTTGGTTCATCGCGATGGAAGTCGGCGTGTCGTCAATTCCCGTCAGCGAGGTACGCATTTATCCGCTTGCCCATATGGTGCCTGCGGAGCTAACGTATGGACGACCCTAGTTTTACTGCGAGGAGCACATCTCGATTGGCGAGAGCTACGCGCGGTTCGCGTTCTGCAAGGACGTCGACACGCTCAAGCACGCCGTGGAGCGGCTCCAGACCCTGAAGAAGTTCCTCGCATGATCTGCTCCATAGGGTTGCCGCCGGTACGTGTAGGGGTCTATAGAGGCCGGTCCGACGTCGTGTATGCTACATGGGTAAAACGGAATCTACACTTTGTGTTGTACACCGCTATCCGTCTAGCTCGTCCACGATCCGCGATAAGAGCTCGTTCACAGACGTCGACCGCGCGTCGTAATACGCCGGGTTGCTCACCAGCCGCCGCGCGAGGAACGTGCACGAGAGCACGTCCACGGCCGCCTGCTTGTCCGGGATGCCCCCGTCCTTCCGCCGCTCGCGGAACCACGCTCTTAGCACCTCCGCCTCGAGCAGCCGCGACTCGAGCGGCAGCCCGTCGTTCAGGAAGCGCGTGATCGTGTCCTTGCCCTCCGCCTGGCAGAAGAGGTGGAAGTGCCCCGCGCCGCGGTGGCGCACGGCCTTGCCCTGCATGCGCACGAGCTCCTCGAGCGCGTACTCGCGCACCTGCCGCTCGTCGCCCGCGCCCCCGGGTGCGACGTGCACGTACTGCGTGCCGAGCACGACGACCGTCGGCGCACGCACGGGCAGCGTCCAGCACGCCTCGCGCGGCGCGACGAGCACGCGCAGCAGGCCTTCTGCCCAGAGCTCGAGCATGAGCAGCCGGTCGGGCTTCGCGATCCCGTCGTGGAAGAAGCCGACGCCGCGCGTGATGAAGTCGCGCAGGAGCGCGCCGTTCTGCAGCCGCGCAAGGTAGTGCTCGAGCAGTTCAAGCGAAACTTCGGCCGGGAGGTATCCTCGTGCGGTCTCCATCTCGAGCGCGCACTGCGTGATGAGGTCGAGAGCGACGGAGGTGCACTGGTTGCGGGACGGCACGAAGACGATGGCGGGCTCCCCGCGGGCCGCCTGGATGGCCGCATGTGCGGGCTTTGCCATCGCCTTGAAAAGCGCCCCCGAGTGTGGGATGGTGAATGTCTGCGTCGAGACGGTGAGTGCCTGGTCACGGTCGCTCGGCTTGAAGCTATGCAGCGCAAGCGGGTCGACGTCCAGCCATGCAGCAAGGTCGGCACAATCAGTCAGCGAGTTGGAGAGCCCGAGGAAACGGACTGGATGCGCTTGCGTGGCGTGGAGGAGCAGCGATAGTCCGAGCTCGTACACCGCGTCTAGGAGCTCCAGGCTCTCGCAGAGGACTAGGCGGAGCCGTGATAGCGCCTCTTTGACGTTTCGTTGGCGCGAGACCGCATGAAAGAGGTCTGTTGCCGTTGTGACACGAACGGTTTTGCGGACCGGTTTCTCAAAGAGGCGATCGGCTCCTACGAAGTCGACTGTCGCGTCTTGCCCCTGGGACGATAATCGCAGGTCCGAAGTTACCTCCAAGGCAATACTTCGTCGAGGAGCGATAACGAGTGTCCACGAAGCAGTGGGAGAATTTTTCAGTGTTTCCCTGTCATGAATAGAATCATCAGCACAGTTTGTTTGAAACTCGTGAATGCTACTCGCCAAATCGCTATGTGCCCCAGAACTGACTTGCCGCATGCCGTGGGCGCACACAATAATGTGTTTAACCTCGTCTTCGTCACGCTCCAGAACGCCTGGCTCTGAATAGCGTTGAATCCGTGCAATCGTGGTGCGAGGAAGTCCTGCAAGGGTGGGTTCTGGACAACAGAGAGCGGGAGGAACGGAATGTCGAGACGAGGTGTATGTGAGTCCGACGCAGCCGGCATGACGAGCTCCTCCAGAGACACCTCGACCTCCTCCTCGGCGCCCTGCCACCGGTCGGACACGAAGCGAATCGTGACCGACGGTGGCCGTTTCTGGCTCGGCAACGAGATGACAAAATCGACGTCCAGGGTGTCCGTCGTCGGCCGGAAGATGAGATGCGAGAGCTGCAGGATATTTGTCCCGTCGTGGTCCTCCACCCACACCCAGAACGGCTCGGCAGACCCGTGCGTCTTGTTGCTCCAGTTGAACGCGCGCTCGATCTTCACCGCGATCTTGAGTACGTCCGCACCCAGAGGCCGCAAGCTGTACGTGATGCGAGCAGTGGGGAACTGCTTGGCTGCTTCACGCACGGCGGAGCCGTGTCTCTCGTTTAGGTGGAGGAGCTTCCCAAGATCATCAGCGCTCATCTCCGCAAGCTCGGCCACGGCGTAGTCGTCTGCCCAACGCTCGAGGTTGTACAGTACGTCCATCTTCAGCTCGAACTGCTTCAGCGGGTTGTCAAATGGCCACAGGCGCTTCTCAATAGCCTTGCTCATGCCCATCAGCACTGCGCTGACGTTCGCCCATTTGCGGGAGATGGCGATCTCGAGGAGGGCGCGTATAATACGCCCGCCGTTCTGCGCTGCATATGCCTGGTCGGAGACGAGCGCGAAGTCCTCTGGCCTCTGTTGAGAAATATACGCCTGGAGCAGGATGTTGACTTTCCCCTGACTGGTGTCGGTGCCACCCTGAGATGTACCAGTGAGCATCGCGAGTGTAAAATTCGGTATCAAACCGGCTACCTTGACCGCACACGGGATGTTCTCCATCATCGCTTCCAGCTCCTTCACCTCGTTCTCCCTGACCTGAATCTGGTCGAACTGTAGGAAACAGTATTGAGTGTCAAAGTGTATCCTCTTCACTCCAAACAGGATATATACCTCAGTACTCATGCTCAGCATCGACAACACGTCCGCCTCCGACATCTTCGGCCGGAACTTCTCGTTGAAGATTTCGATGGACTTGTGCCGGATGTAGTACTTGGCCGCGATCCTGCCCAGGTCTGTGACAACGAGACTCCCCGTCTGTCGGTCGAACGCGAGCATGCGCGCCTCGGCGAGTTGTAGCGCGGCAGAGGTGATCAGTTGGTTCCGCTTCGCACCGAGGTATGGGTCGTCCGCGACTTCATCCCATGCGAGGCCTGGTGATGCGTCAGCACGGAGGCAGTGGTGCAATTATGTTGACCGTAGACATACCGTATGTGAAAGGGTTCTTGCGCATGCGCACGAAGAGGTAGGTATATCCGAGCCACTGGACGGCGTCGTGCACGTTGGCGACCGTACCGAGAGCGACCTCAGCGTTCAAGGAATCGATCATTCCGGCAACGAACCTGCATTGGTGTCAGCAATACGTCCTCTGCTACAACGCCCATGCCACGCACTTGGACTCTATAGGGAGCTATGTACGGGTTAATAAAAATTGTACAGGCGCAACAAATGGGTGCACTCACTTGAGACGTCACTGCGTCGAGGTAATGTGTGAGTTTATCTTCCGTCGTGCAAATATATCCAACACCGCTATCTTCCATGCCCGGGCGACCAGCACGTCCGAAGACTTGGAGGACATCTAGCACTGACAGATCTGTGAATGCTCCCTTGGAGCTATCATATACCTGCGTGCCCTTGATGATAACTAGACTTCTGTGAGTCCATGTTTCGTGCATATCCCGCATGCTCATGTAACGTACCTGCATGGGCGGGCAAGTTGACACCCCACGCCAGTGTTGCTGTACAGCAAAGAACCTGCTTCCTGTCAGCTTTCTTCGCTCACACCCTAACACGCTATAACCTACCTTGATCGCACGCGCCTCGAACATCCTCTCCATCATATTCCTGTCCGTCCTCAGCATCCCCGCATGATGGATACCAAACCCATGGTCAAACAGCTGCCGCATCTCCTTATTGCGCGACTGCCCGATATCCCGCCTGAAGAAGTCGAACTGCGGATGCTCCTGGCAGCTGAAGTCCTCGAGGCCCCCATCGGCGAGCGCGGCCTCCTTGATCGCCTCTGCGGCCTTGACGGTCTCCTTGCGCGCGTGCACGAACACCATGACCTGGTGGCCCTCGCGCACGAGCTCCGAGACCTTCTCGTACGTGACGCGGTCCAGGTTCTTCTTTGACTGTGGCGAGTTGAGCTTCCCGCGCACGCCGATAAAATGCTGCTCGAGTGGGACCGGCCGGAAGGAGGAGTCGAAGTAGAACAGACCAGTATGCCGGTTAACGCTGTACATGACGGATGTCAGGTTTGGGGGTAGCTTCGATTGGACCAGATATATACCTCAGGAAGTCTGCGACATCGATGTAGTTGGGGAGCGTAGCACTCAACCCTACGATGCGAATCACGGATTGCGTGGACTCGACCTGCCTGAGTGTACGCGCGACGATGGTTTCGATGACGGCGCCACGTTCGTCGTTGAGCAAATGCACCTCGTCGATGATGAGCAGTTTCACTTTCTGGACTCGCCGTCCAAGTCAACAGGATGTCCCACAAAAATTTGAGCACAATAATGAGACCAACCGACGCAAGTTCGCCCTCGCCCGTGGGCTTCCTCGTCACAACATCCCACTTCTCCGGGGTCGTCACAATGATCTGCGTCTCCGCGATCTCTTTCTTGGTGAGCTGCATATCACCTACGCGGTGATAAGTGAACGTGCACCAAGGCGTACGTAGGAAGGCGTACCTGTGAGCTCGCGCACTCGTATTTGGAGCCACTGCAAACGCTTCCCGAGCTTGCGCGTAATTTCCGAAGCTAGGGCTTTCATGGGCGCACTGAAGGTATCATGTCAACACCGTTAGTGCCGTTCAGAACATACAGCGGCGCTTAACCTACACATAGATGACTTTGAACTTGTCTCTCTCTATTGACGCGGCCAAGTTGTTCGGGTTGGCATCGCGAATCCTGAACTGGTCCAGGACGCGCAGCACGGAAAGCATCGCGACGTCCGTTTTACCCTGTGCTCCTGTCAGACATGGACCTACGACACGGCGGCGGTTAACTCACAGCACCAGTAGGAGCTGTGGATGACAAGTGAGTATGATATTGTTTCAGCTATGGTGTTTGCAGCATATTAGCTCACCGCAAATTAACATGTTTTCATTTGACTGGTACGCGGTCGGGTAGACAATCGACTGTATCCTGTTCAACGAAGTGTAGCCCTGCATAGGATACCCTTCAGACGTGTTAGTGTGTCATTCATTTCGTCTGCAACATACCGGGAAAGACCCTCTTGCGAGTGGCTCCAGCTCAGTGACCGGGATCAGACGTTCTGTAGCGCGCGGTGGTACGGTCTTCGCTGGCGGTAGTGTGACTTCCTCGTAATCCTAGAAGCAGTTTAAGTCGGATCGATGCGGCACAAATGACTGTCATAGTGGCTCACCTCGGTTTCGCGCCTGACAGTCCCCAAAGGCAGCATATAGCGTGTCCCGAGGTGTGACAGCACATTCCCCTGAGCCATAGCTGAAGAGGTGTAGACATGAGTGAGGGCCTCCGGTGCATCGTGCTAGCAAAGCCATGTATAAACATGGTGAACTGGTACGGAGTCGGACCAGGGACGGCATACCGCTGTGCCTGTGTATAGCGGGCGATCGGCATTGGCTCGAAGGGTTTCTTCCATGCGTCTTCGAGCCTCCGCCGGATCGAGGGAGTCTAACTGCGACGATGGGGCTAACCGGTGTGTCAGTGCGTCAATGCTTATAGGCACAAAAACTGTATATAGTACCTTGCTTTTGCTTCCCCTTACTGCGACCATTGTGCTGTTCACGTGCAGGTGGTGGTGGCGGCTGGCTGGAGCCTCCACTCAAGAACGTATTTAGCTCCCGGACTGCATGTTTGCGATTGACAAGCAGCTGCATCGACAGTTCGATATTGTCGAAGCCGATCATTTCGACCAGCTCCTCTGAAATCGCATCATCCGGTTTGTTCGACGAGAGGAGAGACACCAGAGAGGGCAATAGATGCTCCACGTCAGGCTTCCTATGAAAGCGAGAGACGTCATGTCAATGGACAAACAAAATATATTGGTGAAGGGTACACACGAGAGGAGTGACGAAATGATAGAGTCGTCCGACTGGCCATCGGGAGCGTTTGACGCGTCCTGGAGAAAATCGAGAATGGAGTCCCATTCGTCGTCTTCGCCGAGGTCGCTCGAGACATCTTTGGGTGGAACACCGTCTAACGGACATCATGAAGCTTAACGATACTAGGAACAGAGTGGAAACCCACTGTTTCCTGGGACGGAGTACCTGAACTCAGATATCAGCTGCGACTCCGAGGTCCGGGACGGGGCTTATGATTACGGACCTGGACCATTCGTCCAGGAGGCGTTTCTCGCGGTCTGCAGATTCCTCGGCGGTACCTACGAGATATTCCAGATGGCCGGCGAGATCTGGTGCCATGTGCGCTGTATGTTTGATGGATCGGTTAGGGGGTGAGGTAGAGATACAAGTACAGGTGTAACGCCTCTCGGAGCAGGAGGGCTTGCAGCGAATGATTCACGCGACGGTGCCGCGCCGGAGAGTGTGATCGTGTAGGCGCCCAGTATGATCGCCGATGACCGGGCGTCTATCCGTCCGTGTACTTATCTATGGGCGCCTGGCGCCACGATATGTCGCCAAAAGACTCGAGCGCCCAACTATCTTGAGCGGATTCGAAAGCCACACAGGCACCTTCTTATCTCCTCCGCAGGTTTTTTGAGCCCAGAATGCACCGTACCGATGATATATAGTCCTGCGTTTTAGCAGCCTCGGCTCGCTGAGTGCTCTCTCCCTACCCCACACATCCCCTATCCCTCCCGGAGGCAGCCATGTCGATTCGCTCGGTGACCACGGAGCAACCGGAGAAGACGTCCTCGCCCTCCGTCTCCAGCGCTGGCCCTACCAAGCGCCGCTGGGGTGCCGGAGGCCGCTTCAAGCACCTGCGCGAAAAGGTTACTACTAGACATGGCTGGGTCGGCGACTACGACTATGCATGGCTTTGCATGCCCACCGCCCCCTGGCGACGTTCTCGCGCGAAGCAGACTAGGACAGGCCCGCCTTTCTATGCGCTTGACTCCGAGCTGCCCATTATACTTGCTGCTGCCAGTGGACTGCAGCATGCGCTTGCCATGCTAGCAGGGCTCATCACCCCACCTATCATCTTTGCGAATGCCCTCAGTCTGGACTCCGCGACATCCGCGTACATGATTTCGGCGTCATTAATTGGCTGCGGTGAGTGCATTCCATGGCCCAAGTTGTCCCATGTACTGACCCAAGGTCCCACTAGGTATCCTCAGTTTGGTGCAAATGTCGCGTCTGAGACTATTCGGAAACTACTACCTCGGTACTGGTCTCATCTCAGTCGTCGGAACAAGTTTTGCTACGCTGAGTACAGCCAACGCCGTACGTACACTATACAGGATCCTGCTATGAAGTGCTTACACGAGCCCCTGCAGATCTTTAATACTATGTACGCGGATGGCACTTGCCCGTCTACAACCGCCGCCGATGGGACCGTCACGCGAGGTGCCTGTCCCGACGCGTACGGAATGGTTCTCGGTGCGATCACCTTACCCATTTTTGCGGATGCACAGGCTTACAATTTCACAGGAACGTCCATGATTTGCGCATTCCTTGAAATCGGCATGTCTTTCGTCTCACCCAGGATCCTCAAACGTGTCTTCCCGCCTATGGTCACTGGTCAGTTGCCCGTCTCGTAGTTATATTACGCAGTATTGACCTGTTACATCAGGCACGGTGATTGTTATGATTGGAGCGTCCCTCATCGGCTCATCCGGAATCCCGAACTGGGGAGGAGGTTCGAATGACTGCTCTGGCCGCCCCGCATCTGGCTTCTTCCAGCTTTGCCCCAACATCGCGGCACCGCGTCCTCTGCCATGGGGCTCTCCTGAGTTCATTGGCCTTGGCTTCCTATCGTTCGTCAGCATCATCCTCACGGAGCTGTTCGGGTCGCCTTTCCTGAAGAACATCTCCGTCATTGTGGGTTTGGCGGTAGGCTGCATCGTAGCGGGTGCGGCTGGCTACATCGACGGAAGCAGCATCACAACTGCACCTGCCATCACTTTCCTATGGTAAGCGCGCAATTGCCACAGTTGTCTGGATAGTTGCTCACTTCTCGCTAGGGTCCATACGTTCAAGATCCGCGTGTACGCTCCCGCTATCCTCCCGATGCTGGCCGTATATGGTAAAGCGTTCAAGCACCGCACTCTCGGAGACTGGCCTTCCTGACGGCTTCCCTTCAGTTTCCCTTGCTATGGAGGCCATTGGAGATATCACTGCATCCGCAGAGGTCTCCCGTGTATCGGTAGTCGGAGAGGAGTTCGACTCCCGGATCCAGGGTGGTGTTCTGGTCAGTATTCTACTCTTTCTGCTGCTTCATCCCATTTACATTCTGCACAGAGCGACGGCATCGGTGGCTTCCTGTCTGCCCTGTTCACAGTGACGCCGCTGTCCATTTTCGCGCAGAACAACGGTGTAATCGCCATCACGCGGTGCGCGAACCGCACAGCGGGTCGTTTCTGCTGCGTCTTCCTCATCCTCTTTGGTGTCCTCGGCAAGATTTCCGGAGTCTTCCTAGCCAGTACGTATACTGCCCAACACCCACGCCTCCTCCGCCGTACTCACTATCGTTCCGTGCCGTAGTACCGAACCCCGTCCTCGGTGGAGTGACCACGTTCTTGTTCGCGACGGTCGCGACGTCCGGCGTGCGCGTGCTCTCGTACAACCGCTTCACTCGGCGCGACCGCTTCGTGCTCGCCGCCGCGTTCTCCTTCGGCATCGGGGACCTGCTCGTCCCCACGATCTTCACACACCTCTTCGACGGCGTGCGCAGCCCGAACAAGGGCCTCCAGGGCCTCTTCGACTCCATCACAATCGTGCTCAGCACTCCTTGTGCGTATTCCTCCTTTTGCGGTCGTGTGGGGGGTTTGGCGCTGACTTCGACGACGCAGTCTTGATGGCGGGCCTGGTTGCGCTCGTGCTCAATCTGATTCTGCCGCAGGATGACGCGGACGGCGATGACGACGACGTGGTGGAGGTTGTGGACGTGGAGGCGCAGCCGCATAGTAAAGAGAAGGAGTTACACAACTGATCTACAGGGTTCTATCGCACAGTGACATATTTACTAATGCTCGGGGCTCTGGGAATGACTACATCTACGCTCTCAAACACTCATATACCATGCCCGATGGCGACGCTACAACCTGTCAACAACTCCCTTGGTACCTCAGGACCCGGCGGCCATAGCTGGCGGTACGATGTCGGTCGCGAGGAAGCCGCCGAACGCTATGCGGAGCATTGAGCGTTCTGCTCCGCGGGGGTGCGGGGGAACGAGGGAGTCCCTGCGGCGTCCTCTGCATTCCGCGCTGTGGCGCAGACCATCCTGAGAGCCATGTTGACGGTGAGCTAGAGAGGGTGGGTGGGAGAGGCTGATATAAGCACTTACGTCGAGCAGGCCGGCCTGGGTACAGTAGTGCGTCGTCGTGCAGCGGAGTTACGGCGATGCGCAGACATATAGCAAGACAAAGAGCTACATAACTAGCGAACAGCATAGCTCTAGCACACATGACTACGACCTTTCAACTTCGGTCCTCCGATACACGTACTTTGAACCAGCTCAGGCTCTATCACGCTCATGCGCCTGAATCAATGTCGGGAAAGGAGCATCCCTGCCGCCCTCCAGATCATCCCAAGTATACCCCCGAGGAGAATCACGACAGCCCTGACGAGGATTCCGGGCAACGCGATAATGGGCAGCACGATGAGGCACCACGCGCCATAAACCCCCACCGCCAGTGCGACCGTAGTGAGAAGCGCTCGCGCACTCTCCTCCGCTACGATCTGCCGCAGCTCCATCCTCTCCCGCGTGAACTCCTCCGTAAGCATCGCCCGATAAGCTAGCAACATTTGCCCCTCCTCGTCACTTTGCACGGGCGCAGGCACACCGGGCGCAGGCTCCGAAGACACAGGCTCCGGCTCCGGATGTGCTCTGCTGCCCCCGCCCTCGTGCCTCAACACGACGAACGGGTCGTCTTCATCGTCCACACTTGCGGGCACTCCAAGGCTCTGCGCGTATGCGAGCACATCTTCGACGGTGCTCGACTCGCGCGACTCCGAGGCCGCAGACGGCAGCCGTGGAGGCATGGGCGGCGGTGCACCGTGATGGGCCAAAAACGCAGTGAACGCAGGAACGTCCGCCATGCCCACGTCCTCGAACTGCGTCAACTCCGCCGCAGGCTCACGCGCCCGGTACCCGATGAGGGTGCCCGCCCACGGCGTGTGTGCGCGACCACCGGTGAGCGCGCGGGCGGCACGGTTGGGTGGTGCATCGTCGATCGCGAAGCAGTCGTCGAATGCCAGGTAGAGTCGTGTACTTGAAGCACCGGGTCCGGCGGAGGGCTCGATGGGCCCGACGGGCTGCGAGGTTACGGCGAGTGTGTGCAGGAGGGCGGAGAAGTCGATGTGGTGGGTCTCGTCGCCGGGCAAGCCGTCGATGCGGCACTCGGTCTGCACGACCCGTGGGGCGTCTTCATCGGTCGGGAAAAGAAGAACGTCAAGATCGCGTATCCCTGGACGTTGTTGTCGCGGCGGTGATGCAGGGGGCTTCCCGCACTGTGCGTTGTGGCGTTGGGCATCCTGGAAACCGTCTCAACAATGAACCGCGGACAAACGGTAAACTTGCTGAGACTAATAGACTCACATTAAGTTGGTGAATCCGGGTACAGTAGTACGCCGTTTGGCAACGCCGGCAGCGCAAGTTATCTGAGCCTAGGAGCGTGCAGAGTGGGTACGCGCATGACTGTGTTGCTCTGCGGTTCATGGTGGACGTCGGTGTGCTGGCAGCAATGGCTAGAGGGTTGTGGGAGTACTGCTCCCGCTATAAGGCCGGCGCGACTTGAAGCTGCAGGCCTGAGCGGTGCTGCAGCGCAATGCTGGTACGCGTGTTGGAGCTACAGTGAGGGCATGTCGCTGCGTAGCGGGACGAAAGCCTCGTGTGGGGCTTCCGCGAAGCCAATTGAACGTGGTTTTCATAACATGCGGCGGATGGCGAATATTCAAGATGCCACCGAGAAGGAAACCTACAATAATGCATACGACCGACCTCGAGCCGACATGGAAGGAGAGATAGAACCCAGGTCTGCATTTTGACATCAGATGCATCGCAAGTCGAGGCGAAGGCGTCCGAGTCGAAGAGGCCACCGTCTGCTTGTAATCAAACAAAGTTTGATACGTGCGACAACGGAACCGTTTGGTAACCGCAAGTGTACTGGTATGCACAATATGCCTCGTGTGGTCAAGTCGAGAGATGGCCGGTGGTTGCTTCCTATCCTTTCAAGGAGCACGAAGGCGCATAGACTGATGGCATAAGCATTGCATTACAATCGTACAACGTAAGCTTGCGGAACGATACAGACATACTGTTGTTGCACTTCTTCGATCAACCCAGCTACCGCAGCGCACATCCTTTCTCCGGCCCAACCCGCGGTTTGAGTTCTTCGAGAAGTCGATGCGACGCCCTCCATTCATACAAGAGTGTGAAGCATCACAACGTCTGGGATAGCCGGGGCAAGCCGTGTTCCATACTTTTGGAAGTACGTGATAAAGGAGGCGATGTCCTGGTCCGTGACATCGAGATACTGGATGTACTTCGACGGCGGCTCCCGGCGGCGGACGCCGACAAGATTCCCGTACCAGACGATATCGTTGTGCCCTTCGGTGAACCGGCGTACACAGCAGTTCTCCGTGATGTCCTGAGATGTCTGGTCGACGCGCTCGAGGTAGAGTCGGCTGTCGTGCATTGATGGCCGCTTCCTGGTGAGACCAACGGCGCCGCACATGGATCCATTTGTGCCGAGAATATGGGAGAGGTCGAGCCACTCCTCCTGGAGACCACCCCAGGTCTCGCTCATCTTGATACGGCATTCCACGGGGATAATCCGAGGCGGAAGACCATTCGCCGGGAAGAGTATGACGGTCCTCGTCTTGCGCTCGGTGTAGTTAATCGGTTGCTGTACCGTGTCGGAGACTACAGGTGCGGGGTTCGCGCACAACGTCTTGTGGCGCTTGATGTCCTGTAAACATGTCAGCAACGCGTCAGAATCATAGCGCTAGGGAGATTAACCGTCATTTGGTGCAGACGGCCGCAGTATTGCACGCTTCTGCATCGAAAGCAGACGAACTCTTGACGAGCTGGTGCGCTGCACCCTGGGTTTGCACAGTGGCGGTTGATATCGTTCTGAGGGCAGACGCGATCCATGAAGATCGTTGAGAGATACTCTGCATATGGTGGATGAGCGAAGTAGACGGTCTAGCAAAGTCGGGGGGCGCAGGGGCCATTTATGATGAGGGAGCGTGGACCATTCTGTGATTGTCCCATTGTGCGATTTAGAAATGTGGCTTAGGACTGGAATGTAGTGCCGTTTCGCCTATGTGAGCCAAGAGTTTACTTGCAGTTTGCAAAAGGCGAATGGGTGGATGATTTATTCATCCGCCAGGCCGCCTTGTACTTAGAGGCGCGCCAGCTCTTGAAGAATGTATATAGGCATCACACCCGATGAGGTTGCAAGATGTTGACCAGACAGCTTGCCGAGCAGAGTTCCCGAGCAACGCACAGTCATGGCAGCTCCAAGACAGATATCCTTGGGCAGAGCACTGTCATGAAAAATGGAGGGCTTGAGAAATGCAGCCTGAAGGGGAGTCGGAGATGAGCGCAAGAGGTGGACCAGGACGACCAGGGACGCGGACGAGCGCCCTGCCAGTGGCCACACTCATCATGCACGTACGCGTAACGGCAAGTGCCGGCGCCCTCTAGCTGCTCGCCTCCTGCCACCATGTCGAGCTCTACGTATGTTTCCGTTTCGTGCTTCAAGCTAGTGCTGGACGCTTATGGATGCATTACGACAGAGTTTCGCTGTACCTCGACCCGCAAATACGGGATTGGGTCCTGTTTCCGATCACAGTGGTTATGGTGCGTCTTCCCATTTTATTCCTCGCCTTCGGTATTCATCATCTCTGCCCGTGCAGATCTTGGTGGGCGTGCTGAGACACTACGTCGTACTACTGCTTCAGTCGCCACCCAAGAAACAACCACGCAATGCCGTTCGGGAACAGTACGTTCCATGCATTCCCCTACCCCGCAACGGCTCACGTAGCGGCATGACGTGCAACTCAGGCGTGCCCTTGTCCGGTCCCAAATTCTCCGCGCCACGTCCGCGCACTCTCCGCTGCCACCCTCGTACTACAAGGCGGTGTCCCAATACCTCTCGCAAGCGTTCGCGGACGGCACATACCTTAAAGATGGCCCACCAAAGGCCGACGCGCCCGCAAGCGCACCGCCCAACCCTCTGACGGACCCCAACGCCATGGAGGGCATGATGGCCGGCATGAAGACGCAGATGGTGATGATGGTCCCGCAGATGGTGATCATGGGCTGGATCAACTTCTTCTTCCAGGGCTTCGTCCTCAGTGAGTCCTTCTCTACTTCCCCGCCGGGTAGATGCATGCGGAACCCCTGGAAACTGCTTGGAACGCCGTCACTCGTTTGCTCTTCGACAATATGATTCGCTGCAACTATGCCTACACGCTTTGGAGTCTCCACGACCGACGCGGACCGCGCCACGCGTGAGGTGTTGTATCAGCTTCGCGCGCGACGCATGCTGCTCAGGCAGAGTCGCAAATATTTACGGGTTCGTCTCATTGGCTCGCTTGTGTTATAGCCTCGGAGTTCGGTATAGCGCCCAGTACTCCGAGGACGATTGGCTTTCGCGGAGCCGGAGTTTCCAGACAGAATTATACTTCCCCGCACCTCTTCGCCCGCGTCTGATTGCGCGAGCTTCCTCCTCCGCCCGCCCTCCGAGTTTTCGCTGACGACCATGTGACGTCCTTTCCCCTCCCCAGTCAAGCTGCCCTTCCCGCTCACACTCGGGTTCAAGAGCATGCTCCAGCGCGGAGTCGAGACACCTGACATGGACGTCCGCTGGGTCTCCTCGCTCTCCTGGTACTTCCTCAACTTCTTTGGCCTCAACGGTCTCTACCGGCTCATCCTCGGTGGCGAGAACTGTGCGTCTATCACTTCCGCCTCGTCCCGCCTCCGCCGCTGAAATGCTGCTGTGCTTCGCGTTCTATTCCTCCTAGCCGCCGACTCGTCGCGTGACATGACCTCGCCCTTCGCCGCGGCCGCAGCGGCCGCACCCCAGCCAGGCCAGGCACAGGATTACAACAAGCTGTTCAAGGCCGAGCGCGATAACCTCGAATTTTCGGAAGGTTTGCATACGTGGATAGCGCACGACGTCGAGAGCCGGATTCTCCGGAAATACGGTAGGTAGGTTAGAAGATGCGAAGCGACCCGTGAACTTGACGGCGATTATTATCCATAATGATACGCTTCTTCAATAACATACATTCGCTGTCTATCACGCCAAGATACATCACTATACTGTTCATACAGCTCCAAGCCGGAGTCCCTCCAAACGCTGATGACGAGACGGGAGATGGTATGGTCGTCAAGGGAACACCTGTTCGCTGGGATGTCAGTACACTACGCTGGCAGACATGAGGATCGTCGACGTACCTCAAACTCATGGAAACCGCGACGTGCTGCCGATGCCTCTATACTAGTCCGTCGTATAGTGACAGGGCCTACGCTTTGATCAGCCCTGCGCGTCTGCCCCGTGTTCGAACCACTCACTTGTACGATCGTCGGGTCCTGCTTGCTCCCCTCCACGAACTCGTCAAAGGTCAGCTTAGCGTCCTTGTCCCTGTCCATGTTCCGGAATATTTTGTCGACGCGCTGCACGCCAGGACGCGCGTTCAGTCCTCGTTCATGATGCGCACCGTCCGACGGTCGCTCACCTTCTCCGGCGTGTCCTCGTCCACCGGCAGCTTCACCATCTGCCCCGTCATCTTGTAGATCGACTGCACGATCTGCAGCATCTCCTGGTACGTGATGAAACCATCGCCGTCGATGTCATACAGCTGGAATGCCCCTGCGCGCGCGGACAGGTCGAAGACAGTCAGCACCAGGTCGCAGCAGGCACAGCATGTGGCGCAACGCACATTTGAGCTTCTCGTCTAACCGGCCGCGGCTCGTGACGCTGAGCGCGCAGATGAACTCCTTGAAGTCGATCGTGCCGTTCTTGTTCTCGTCGAAGACGTTGAAGACGTAGTCCGCAAACTCGCCAGGGTCGCCGAAGGGGAAGAACTGCTTGTATATTCGGCTGAACTCAGCCTTGTCGAGCTGGCCGGACGGGCAGTCCTTCAGGAAGCCCTTGTACCTGCGCACAGCGACAAAGGGGACGCGCGGGAGAGAAAGGAGCGCGGCGGTGAGACATTGGAGGCCTCATCGAGATCGGCGCGCGCGTCACATACCACTGTTGGAGTTCTCGCTTGTCGACTGGGGACTGGTCGTGAGTGCGTGCGGCGCGGGCTGCGGGGTGGGAGACACGCACAGTAGGTGTGTTTCTGGAGATCTGCAAGCTGTTCCGGCGAGAGTTTGCTCTGCGACTTGCCCATGGTGTGGTGGGAGAGCGGACGAGGAGAGGAGGAGGGATGGATGCAAGCTTGGATTCGGGCCGTGCGCGAGTAGATCTATCGCCGGGTCCTCGCTGAGGCGGTGAACGCGCCAAGGCGCGCGTCATACCTGCCGGATAAGTCCAAGGGGGGTTATCGCCCAAATCCTGCCCCCGCCCGCGACATTGACCGCCGCAGCCTGCGCGGACGAGCATACCGAGCGGGGGCGCGCGGACAGCCCCGGGCAGGGGCGTGCTTGGCGGGGGGCGCGAGGGGGTCGCGCGCAGCGCCCTGCGCGGGGGGAATTGGGGATATTTTTCGGGGATAAGGGTTAGCACATAATGTAAGGGCGGGGTGATGTGCAGCGGGACGGGGAGCACGCTGCTGCCTCGAGGCCGGGGAGGAGAGAAAGGAAGCAGCGTTCGCGTCCAGCTGCGTCGAACCGCCATCGCGAGCTCGGGGCAGTCTTGCAAGTCAGTCCCACCGCCTCTCGCCCTCGCCCTTGGTTTATCGCGGCCAACTTATATGACTCGCGTAAATGGACTTGATCAGCTACGTGAACAGGAACCGCATGCATTTCCCTTCTTCCTCCTCCTTCCCAGTACAAATACCTCTATACCCCTTTTCTGGCTCTCTCTCCGCCGTCCTGCTTCCCTCCCCTCCTCCTCTCCTGCCGCCGCTCTATCCCTCGCTCGCCCGCAATGTGCTACGCAGTAGGCTCTATCCAGCAGGCGACTAGCACCTGCCCCATGTGCAAGGTCTTCAAGCCCAGCGCCTCCAGGTATACTCTCCCTGCTCCCCCTCCTCTGTCTGGCGCCCACATCTCGCCTATCCAGGTGTCCGCACATCAAGGAGACCTGCTCAAACACCACAAACCACCCCCGCCATGAAGTCATGTTCCTCAAGAATGCTGAGGGTTAGTCTCGCCACCCGCCCTTCCCCCCGTTATCGCCGGGGTCTAACCTCAGATCGGTCTCCAGTACAGACCTTCAACGGCTGCGGGTACTGCAAGGTACGGCGTCGGCGCCATTCCCCCCTCGATCGTCCGTAGCTGACCCGTTTCACCCAGTGGGCGAAGACGAATCCGCCCCCGCGTCTCGCAGGCTATCAGAACCAAGGATGGCCGGGCTGCTGCCGCGCCCCCAACCCCGGCGAATACAAGTTCATTGGAGCCGCAGACTGGCCCACCGTCAGTCTCGTCCATCACATCCCCATCCCGCCCGAGATCAAAGCCATTCTCGACGGCATCACCGCTCCCAGAGGCGCGTCTCCCCTCGCCGCCACCAGCCCGACCGGGACGGTGCGCAGCGCCACCGTCCAGGCGGCTGCCCCGGTCATGTCGCGGCGGTCTAGCACCAACGTTGCTAGCCCGACGAGAAACGAAGCGGCGACCGCGAAGGGCACCGTAGCCGTCAAGCGATCGGGAGGGAGCCCGCAGCAAGGGTCAGTGTCGCTCTCGGGCAGCCCTCGTGGCGCTGCGGGAGATGGCGCGATGGCATCGCTGTCGAAGGCGTCGACGCTCGAGCAGCATCAGAGCTCTCGTCGGTCGGCTATGGACGTCTTCGCGGAGAAGCGTCCTGATCCATCGAATACCACACAGCATTCGCCGGGGCGTAAACACACTGAGCTGAGTGGCTCACTCATTCGACGCAGCTCTGAGCAGCGCCGCCCGTCCATATCTGCCTCCCCGCCGTCTGCCCTCGCCACCAAGGCGGACGCCACACCTCAGCGCCGCCGCACCGCGCCGTCGACGCCCAATGCCCCAGCTGCCGCCACACTCCCTCAGCCGATTCGGCCCGTCGAGCGGCCCGCCCCTGAGCCCAAGCGCGGCAGCCCGCTGGAGGAGGCCGTCGAGAAGATGAGCCTGTCCAGTGCGTCGAGCAGCAGCAGCGGTAGCAGCTCGGAGACCACCGTGATCTCCGACGGTGGCTTCACCGACTACCTGTCCGATGAGTCCGAGGCGGAGCTGCAGCGGCAGGCAGAGGCGAAGGCGGCGGTGCAGGCGCAGAACCAGCTCGAGGAGCTCGAGTTCAAGGCTGCGCGCCAGCAGCTGGCCCATGTCGACCTCCGCCCGCCCAAGTCCTGGAGGACGGACATCCACAGCAGCACGCCGCGCTCGCAGGTCCCCGCCGCCCGCACGACGTCGTCTTACGGGCAGCCGTTTGGCGCCGCACCGGCGTTCGCCGCCAGCGCTGCATCTACTCATTCGCGGGGATAGGGGATCGAGGGTGTATATGTCACGCAAGGGTGAGATTCGGGGCGGGGTCGAAATGTATCACTGAAGGGTTGGGACACTGGGTTTCATGCAAGCACCGACATACCATGCACTACCATCTAACACTGCTGTATTTCCTGTGTTTCTCTAGCTAGGCGCCACTGTAGCAGACTCGTCTGACTCTATGTATGGCTTACTTAAATCGCAAACATCTGCTGTGCTACTGCCCGAACGCCCGTGTGTCCCCGCACAAACACAGAGCCCAAAGCAGCTCGGGAGGACACGCCGCCGCTTCCGTAGCACGGCGCACGTGACAGCTATAACGCGATAGCAGGCGCGTGCTGCCGCCACCTTGCTGCAGCCGCTCCTCCCTGTCCTCCCACCACCAACTGATGAATCTAGCGCGGCATTCAATCAGTTCCACCGCCCCTGTCCTCATCTTCGACGCCCGCTTCGACCCCGACTGCCGCATCTTCACCACCTCCACCAAGGCCGGCTTCGCAGTCTATCGCACATGGCCGCTACAACTCCTCCGGAAACGAGGTGTGTCCCGCCGATCGGCCCCATTCCCGCGATGCTGAACCTCTTGCGCAGAGATCACAGGCGGGACACTCTCGGCCGTCGTGCCCCTGCACACGTCGTCGCTGCTCTTCCTCGTCGGTGGCGGGCGCAGCCCGCGCTACCCGCCCAATAAGGTCATTCTCTGGGATGACGCGCTCGCGCAGGAGGTCGCTGAACTGGAGTTCAGAGAGAGGGTCCGGGGCCTGGCGTGCCGCCGCGGGTGGCTCGCGGTCGCGCTGCGCCGGCGCGTCGTCGTGTTCCAGGTCGGGGAGGCGGTTGCGCGGTACGGGGAGTGGGACACTTGCGACAATCCAAGAGGTGAGCGCCGCATCAGAGTCTATCAGTTGGAGGAGGGTGTTTACGGTTCGTGGGGTGTTAGGCTTGCTCACGATCGCCACCGCTGCGTATTCTACGTTGCTCGCGATACCTGGCCGGCAGATGGGACACATCCAGCTCGTACACTTGCCCCCTTGTCCTCCCCCACAACCCATCGGACCCCCTGCGTCCACGCCGCCCCCAAGACCACCTCCCGCACCGACAAAACACCCAGTGTCCATTATCGCCGCACACACGACCGCACTTAGTACCCTCTCCGTTCCCCCTTCTGGCCGGTTACTCGCCACTACCTCATCGCGAGGCACCCTCATCCGGATATGGGACACCACCACTGGGAAGCTCGTACGGGAACTCCGCAGAGGGTCGGACAAGGCCGAGATCTACGGTGTCGCCTTCCGTCCCGACGAGCGGGAGGTATGCGTGTGGAGTGACAAAGGCACCGTCCACGTATTCGCTCTCACCTCCGGCTCAGGCGCCTCGTAAGTAGTCCGGAACCAATCCCGGTGCGCAGACGCTTACAGATACGCCCCCGCAGGAACCGGCAGTCCACCTTCTCGCCACTCGCGCCATTTATACCCCTGCCCAAGTATTTCGACTCAGAGTGGTCGTACGCGCAGTACCGCATCCCGGCGCAGTCGGCGCACATCTCTATTTCCGCACAGCCTGCGAAGTCACCCACGGCAGACGTTGTGGACGAGGAGAAGTGCGTCGTTGGCTGGATACAAATATCCCCGGAAGACCAGGAGGAGCCCGGCCGCGCTCACCCCATAGAATACCAACTCGTTGCGCTAACCTATACCGGTGGCTGGTACCGCCTCGCCCTCCCCTCGTCGTCCACCGCCGTTTCGTCTACCTCTCCCATAGCAACATCCTCGTCGGCCAGCGCTCGCGCGGGCACTCCGACGTTGCGAGAGCCGCTCTCGGCCTCTCCGCCGAGCGTCAGGACGATATCGATGGCGCGGCCTCGGTCCGGCAGCGGGTCGTCGTTCGGGGTGCGGTCCGACAAGGGCAAGGAGCGCGAGCGCGAGAAGGAGGAGAAGCCGGGGCGGGACTGCGTCCTGCGCGAGTACCGGCGGTTCGGGCGGTGGGACGGGTGGGGCTGAGCGCGGCGGCGGGCGCACGGACTCGGACTCTGCTGCTAGTGACGACGGCGACGATCACGACGATTCATGTTTAGGTTGGATGTGTGCATTAGGATATCCCGCTGCGCGTGCTTTGCTCTCGAGACGGTCGTATGGCATATGTAACTCTACCACAGCTCATCAGTTCGCAATAGTAATCTTGTATATGTACGGAAGTACCCGTGCCCCATGCTTTCGACTCCAAATGCATCGCCACAAATACCTGTCTATCGCGCATAGGTTTCCCCACATATATGTAATACACCCATTGGATCGTTCATGTCAACGCACGGAAACACAATATGAGATTGACCAAAGAAAGTTCGAACATATGCGAACTTCGGGAGTATGATCATCAGAACCCTATTGCAGGGTTGGCGATCACCGCCACCTCTCTGCAACCTACCACCACCGGATGCAACTGCATCCAGTAGAACCACCGCGTCGTCCTAAGTCGTACACGCGCACATCCTGGCGTAGATCCGCTAGAAGGTCACAAAGTTCACTATCCTGCTGCTGAGCAAGTCATGCCCGAACCTATCAGCATCGTGTCCCCGTTGGCTCCGCGTAGCTCCACCTGCGGATATTGCGGTGCTCCCGGAGAGCGCAGCGACACGGAATCCAGCTACCACAAAGCAGAATGCCTCGCCTCGCAGCTGTCATGTCGGGTGTGTGTTTCAGACCGTTCTGACAGGGCATCAGTTGGGCTTACATGGATGGTGGTCACAGGTGTACCAGGAGATGATCGACCGCGGCTGGCGACGCTCGGGGACTTACTGCTATAAGCCAGACCTGAAGCGGTCGTGTTGTCCTCAGTACACCATAAAGTAAATTATGGTCTGAGCGTTCAACCTCAGGCGCTGATTTCTGATTGCATACCCGCAGGTTGGATGCGCTCGAGTTCAAACCGTCGAAAAGCCAGCGTAAGCTACTCAATCGGTTAGTCAATCTGCTCCGTAAAAGGAACCTGCTGAATGCGTGATTGCAGGTGGAATCGTTTCGTTGTCCACGGGGACGGTCGAGACGGAGATGATCCTATGGACGGCGGCAGTAAAGGGTAAGTACTCTTAAGATATGTTAAAGTGATGACTCTAGAACCTCGTAGGTCATCAACTACCACCACCGCCACATCGAAGGGCAAAGGAAAGGCCACTCACGTTTTCAAATTGACGGAGGATATACATGCCTCTGAGTTCAGCTTCCTAACGGCCGGCGAGACGCCCGCACATAAGTTCGAAGTAAGCTCCAATCTACCACTTCAGATCGTGATGCGCTGACATTAATCACCCAGGTCGCGTTAGAACCGGCGGCGTACACCAAGGAGAAGTTTTCGCTGTACAACAGCTACCAGAAGGAAATCCATCACGAAGCGAACGACAAACAGCCATCAGGCTTCAAGCGGTTCTTGGTCCAAAACTCGCTCGTGGTAAGTGCGCGTGTCTCCGGATCCAAGCAGAACGATGCTGACTATGGACCAGCCTCAGGCTATAGAGTACCCGTCAGGACGACCAGACCATCTCCCCGAGAAATATGGCGCCTACCACCAGCTGTACCGGCTGGACGGCAAGCTCATCGCGATGGGCGTGATCGACATACTGCCGAACTGCGTCTCGAGTGTGTACTTCATGTACGAGAAGGAGTGGGAAAAGTTCTCTCTGGGGAAAGTAAGCACAATGCCGAGACACTTCACTATGTGTTGGAAGCTAAGAAGCACCACCAGCTGAGTGCTCTGCGAGAAGCTGCCCTCGCGAGGGAGATGCACAAAGCGGGTGTTCCGGACATGAAGTATCTATACATGGGTAAGTCCTCTCCTCAACCGCGTACTAGAATAACAACGGACGAACTGAGTAAAATCCAGGCTTCTACATCCATTCGTGCCCGAAGATGCGATACAAAGGCGACTACTCGCCCTCATATCTAGTGGACCCAGAAGACTATTCATGGGCGCCCCTTGACAAATGCCGCCCCCTCCTAGACAAGTACCACTACGCGTGTTTCACGCATCCAGAACGATCTCTAGAAGCACCGGCGACATCTCCAGGCGCGTCTCCCGCTATCGCAGATGTATTGCCAACTCACCGTCGCTTGTCGCGTTCGTAGATCCGACACCGAACATGCCTATGGAGGTACTCCAGAACGCGCAACACGTCGTTCGCATACAACGCGGCCAGGTGGTAGTAGCACCGATTGTGGTAAGTCCACGATGTCATGCGCCCGTCGGGGGCTGGCACTCACCCACGTACCGCAGGACTCAGCAGAGTGGCAACGTCACCCAGCACGAGAAACCCTCTTGATCACTCTGGATGCATTTGGAGAGAAGCTGTCTCAGGAGATCATCTTCGACCTCAGCTATGAGTTGTAGTGCGACGATATCAGTTTGCTCGTTATTTGCGACAGGTTTCGGAAACCTGGTGGTTCGATAGCCTGCCAAATTCAGAGTTCGGACTTTGAGCGCGGGAAGAATCAGGACTCTATTACAAGGTTTGCGATCTCCGCCACCTACAGGTTACTGACCACCATCGCGTACAGCTCCATCGAGGAGAATCACTAGCTGACCCTTTGCACTACGTGCGCAGTGATCTCTCTGCGCCGATACATCCCTGCGCCGCCGATCCATCAACGATATGCAGGATCATTGCATTACTAACCAGGCTTTGCTAGAGCACAGTGTCATCTCCCCGTTGAGTCCGCGTCATGGCTCTATCTGCTTATATGATTGCGGCGCATCCGGAAAGCCTTACTATTCGGGACTGGGGAGCTACTTCAAGGCAGATTGTATGGCCTCTCGGTTGTCGTGTCAGGTACGTATTTATCGAGATGTGTTGAACGCCCCAGAGCTCCGGGCTGCGAATGGGACTTACACGGACGATGACGGTTATAGGTGTACCAGGAGATGATCGACCGAGGCTGGTGGCGTTCTGGGATGCACTGTTACAAACCAGACCTGAAGCGTTCGTGCTGTCCTCAATATACTATCAGGTGGGTTTCTATCCGAGCATACACTTTATGATGCTAAACTCAGCTACGCTCATACAGGTTCGATACACTCGAATTCAAGCCATCAAAAAGCCACCGAAAGCTGCTCGGTCGGTCAGTACTAGTAGCAGTTCTTGAGAGGACAACGTGCTGAATACATCCCTGTGGCCCTGGCAGATGGAAGCGCTTCGTAATCCACGGGAGTGACAGCCCAGATGACGGTGAACTCATTGAAGGCGGAATTCGAGGGTAAGTATCCTTTTGCGCAAGTCGACTCAATGTCATGGAACCTGAACCTCGTAGGTCACCTGCTACCGCCATCGGAACGGCCAAGGGTAAAGGAGGATCGACACATGTCTTCAAGTTGACAGAGGATATCCATGCCTCCGAGACCAGCTTTCTGAAGGACCTTGATGCACCCTCGCATCAGTTTCAAGTGAGTTCTGTGGTGCTGGTACTAGGTTCTAGATATTCGCCAACTGATAATATACCCACGCAGGTTACTCTTGAACCTGCATCATATACCGAGGAGAAGTTCGCGCTGTACAGCAGATACCAGAAAGAGATTCATCACGAAATTTGGGATAGGGAGCCGCCGGGCTTCAAACGGTTTTTAATTCAAAACCCGCTTGTAGTAAGTACGCGTGCGTCCCGGGAGAGCTGGTCTGACCCCCGAGCAGCCTCAACCCATAGATTATCCGTCGGGACGACCCGATCATTTGCCTGCAGAGTATGGCGCCTACCATCAGCTGTACCGACTAGACGGCAAGCTCATAGCGATGAGTGTCATCAACATACTGCCCAAATGCGTGCTGAGCGTATACTTCATGTGGCAGAAGAAGTGGGAGAAATTCTCCTTGGGGAAGGTGAGTGCGGTGGTGAGGTGTTTCCGAGATACGCACCAGCCGCTGACATCAAGACCCCCAGCTGAGTGTATTGCGGGAGGCTGCTCTGGCCATCGAGATGCACGAGGCGGGCGTCGTGGACATGAGGTATTTATACATGGGTGAGTGCATCCCTTGTTGTCGAGGGGCAGCGACTGACGCTTAGCCACAGGCTACTATGTCCATTCCTGTCGGAAGATGCTATACAAAGGCGACTACTCGCCGTCATACTTGCTCGACCCGGAAGATTATACATGGGCTCCCCTGGATACATGCCGCCCCCTCCTGGACAAGAATCACTACGCGTGTTTCACACATCCCGAGCGATCACGATGCATTCCCGCGGGTTTTCCGGGTACGTTCCCGCATAGTCTATAGATTATTCACTCACACTCAAGGCCCGTCCCATTCGCAGATCCGACGCCTGATATACCTCTGGAGGTGCTCAGGAAGGCGCAGCACGTCATTCGGGGCGAACGCGGACAGGTCGCAGCCCCAATTGTAGTAAGTCTATGTGTCCGTGTACCAACAAGGGAGTGGCACTCATAGGTCTATAGGACTCAATAGAGTGGCAGCGGCAGGACGTGCGAGAAACACTCTTGGGCACGTTTGATGCGCTGGGAGAGAAGCTGGCCCAAGAGGTCCTTTTCGATCTAAGCCTCTTATCAACTTGTCATGTTTCGTCGGGAGATGCCTTTGGAGGTTTTCCATAACGCGCGGTACGTCGTTCGGATACAACGCAGCCAATGCAATAATTGTAGTAAGTCCACAATGCTATGTGACCATCGGGGTCTGACATCCATTTACGGTAGTACCACAGGACTCTTTAGCCTCAGCTATGAGTTGTAGTGTGACGATGGCACCGATGTGGTCATGAATCATGACAGTCTTCGGAAACCTGGTACGCTGGTCTGTCAAAAAGAGTTCGAACTTTGCGAAGAGAGGATAAGACTCCTTCATAAGGTTTGTGATTACCGCCGCCTCCCTGTTACTTACCACCACCGCGTACGACTACATCCAGGACGACTAACTCCAGTCGCACGCCCGCACCATCCTTGCGCAGGTCGGCTAGCAAGACTTCACGAAACTGGGTAGTATATGGCTGATCAAACCGTGCCAAAGCCCATCAGTACAGTATCCCCGCGGCGCCCGTATAAGTTCACCTGCGGATATTGCGGTGCACCCGGGGAGCGCCCATACAAGGAATCCCGGAGCTACCATACGGCAAAATGCCTGGCTTCTCGATTGTCGTGCCAGGTGCGTGTTTATCGGGGTGGTCTGGCAGGTTGTCAGTTACGGGTTGAACAGTGAGCTTATACGCACGATGACGCTTATAGGTGTACCAGGAGATGATCGACCGGGGGTGGCGGCGTTCGGGAATGTACTGCTACAAGCCAGACTTGAAGCGGTCGTGTTGTCCGCAATATACCATCAAGTAAGTCCCCCTGGAACATCTGTTTGACGCTGACTTCTGAATGGGTGCTTTCAGGCTCGATGCGCTCGAATTCAAGCCGTCGAAAAGCCAGCGGAAGCTGCTCAATCGGTCAGTGGTATTACATCGCTCAGGGATAACATCTTGAATGCATCTCTATCGCATTGGCAGGTGGAACCGCTTCGTAATCTACGGGAACAGTACGGACGGCGATGGTCATGTAACTGAAGGCGGCGGTGAAAGGTATGTGTTTTTATAGACATAAGACGAAGTCATGGAACTTGAACGAACCTCGTAGGTCACCTATTGCCGCCACCGCGATAGCCAAGGTTACAGAAAAAACGAATCGTGTCTTCAAGTTGACGGAGGACATTCACGCATCAGAGAGCAGCTTTCTCAAGGATAGCGAGGCAATCGCTCACGAGTTCCAAGTAAGCTTTATGATGCTACCAGGTCCCATGACTTCGTCGATTGACTCTATACTCACGCAGGTCACCCTGGAACCGGCCTCCCATACCGAGGAGAAGTTTAAGCTGTACAACAGCTACCAGAAAGAAATCCATCACGAGGCTGGGGACGCGGACTCTTCAGGCTTTGAACGGTTCCTGGTTGAAAGCCCGCTCGTGGTAAGTTCGTGCGCATCCCGGGAGAGTTAATCTGACCCCCAAAACAGCCTCAAGCCATAGATTATCCGTCGGGACGACCAGATCATCTACCGAACGAGTATGGGGCCTACCACCAGCTTTATCGGCTGGACGGCCGGCTCGTTGCCATGGGCGTCATCGATATACTACCGAATTGCGTGTCGAGCGTGTACTTCATGTATGAGAAGGAGTGGGAGAAGCTCTCCTTGGGAAGGGTGAGTGCTCCGTCGGGATCTGACGCCTCCATTGTACCTGCCGATGGCTGATCGAGACGGCCAGCTGAGTGTGTTGCGGGAGGCCGCCCTCGCGAAGGAGATGCGCGAGGCGGGTATTCTGGGCATGAAGTACCTGTACATGGGTCAGTTTGAGCCTCCTTCGTACACCCAAGAACGACTGACGGAGATTTTGATAGGATTCTACATTCACTCGTGTCCGAAGATGCGATACAAGGGCGACTACTCGCCATCATACTTGCTCGACCCGGAAGATTATACGTGGGCTCCCCTTGATACGTGCCGCCCCCTCCTGGACAAGTACCACTACGCGTGCTTCACACATCCCGAACGATCATTAGACGCGCCCGCGACGTCTCCCGGTACGCTCCCGCGTGGCTTATTGGTTGTCACTTGTGCTCACTCATCCATTTTGGCAGACCCAACGCCTGAAATACCTCTGGAGGTGCTCCAGAACGCGCAGCACGTCGTTCAGACCGAGTGCGGACAGGTCGTAGCCCCGATGGTAGTAAGTCCATACGTCTATGCACTATGAACTGGGGAGTGGCACTCACCGGTGTACTACTTATAGGACTCAGTAGAGTGGCGGCGGCAACGCACACGAGATACACTCCTGGGCACGCTTGACGCATTTGGAGAGAAGCTGACCGAAGAGGTCCTCTTCGACCTAACCTCCTTATGAATTTGTTTTGGTTCGTCCTTGTGCGCGTCGTTGTCTTCTCATGTAGTTCGATGGCCTGTGTACCATTGTCAGATGTTTTCTGAGGCAACTATCAAACTAATTCCGCTCACATTAGAACTGCAATTTCACGCCCCTCCGCGATTTTATAACAGCAGTCTAGACAGGAGACGTTGAAGGTATTGATGTCATTTGATAGTGATAACAGCCTAGTGTAGTACAGAAAGATGGTACAGTGCGTGGAGAGCTAATGCGACAAATCTAAGATGAGGTAGGATACTTATACGAGTGAGCGGGGTCATAGTCATGCGAACCGATGCAGAGAATAAGGTAAGAGACGTCCTCCGAGAGCGAAGCGATACACCCGAGAGCTTAGAAGTCCTCGTCGACGGAGCTGCAGTATGATGTCAGAACACCATGAAACCGGAGCAGGTTAGGATTGAAACCCACAAGTTCTTGCTCGTGTTGACCTCTGAGGTCGTGCTCTGTGCGGAGGTGCTGACACCCGCCTTCGAGTAGTCCGACACACGCTTCTCGAAGAAGTTCGTCTTGCCCTGGAGTGAGATCATGTCCATGAAGTCGAAGGGGTTCGTGACGTTGTAGAACTTCTCGCCGCCCAGCGCGACCAGGAGACGGTCCGCAACGAACTCGATGTACTGACGCATGAGCGTCGCGTTCATGCCAATGAGCGCACAAGGGAGAGCATCTGCGAAGGCAAGGTTAGCGGCCTAGCACATGATGCAAGAGCATGGCACTTACCAGTGAGGAACTCCTGCTCGATCTCGACCGCCTCCTTGATGATTGCGAGAACGATGTCGGGGTGGGGACGCCTCTTCAGGTGGCTGAAGAGCAGGCACGCAAAGTCTGTGTGCATCCCCTCGTCGCGGGAAATCAATTCGTTCGAGAACGTGAGGCCAGGCATCAAGCCACGCTTCTTGAGCCAGAAGATGGAGGCGAACGAGCCAGAGAAGAAGATACCCTCGACAGCGGCGAAGGCAATGAGACGCTCCGAGAACGCAGACTCCTTGTCGGAGATCCAGCGCAGAGCCCAGTCGGCCTTCTTCTTGATGCAAGGAATGGTATCGATAGCGTCGAACAGGCGTTCGCGCTCCTGGGGGTCCTTGATGTAGGTGTCGATGAGGAGCGAGTAGGTCTCGGAGTGGATGTTCTCCATCATGATCTGGAATCCGTAGAAGCAGCGAGCCTCAGCAGCCTGGACCTCGTTGGAGAACCGCTCGACGAGGTTCTCGTTGACGATGCCGTCCGAGGCGGCGAAGAACGCGAGAACGTGGGAGACGAAGTGACGCTCATCATTGGTGAGACGGTTGTTCCAGTCGTGCATGTCCTTGGACAAGTCCATCTCCTCCGCGGTCCAGAAGGACGCCTCAGCCTTCTTGTACATTTGCCAGATCTACGAGCCATGTACTTGTTAGGACAAGCTCATGTGGTCGCATGGGCCCGCGTACCTCGTGATATTGGATGGGGAAGAGAACAAACCGGCGCTTAGACTCGATGAGCAGAGGCTCCATGTCTACGCGACGAAGACTAATTAGCACGCGTCGCGACACGTTATTACGCGTTGAAATGGCTTACGTTCAGGCAGGTCAACCTCGCCAACCCAACGGCGCTCCCTCGAAGAGGAGGCTATGGGCTGCTCATCGTCGGACTCCGGAGACTCGGAGCGGCGCGCGTCGTCGATGATGTTGAGCTTCTTCGCGCTCTTAGTAGGTGTAGTCAAGGCCATCTCCTTCAAGGCCGCAGCCGCCTGGCATATAATGTGAGCAGTGAACAGGTAGTATGTGGCGCGTGGGTTGTACCTTCTTAGACGGCGTCGGGGCGGGAGAGGGGAGGCGGGGAGGGACGGCAACAGCAGCAACAGACATGACGACGATGTCAAAGGTGTGTAGGACGTTGTGTAGAGCAGCAGAGGACTCGAGGACGTCGTGGTGAAGCTGGCGGGCTGGTGGACTGAATGGCCTTATATATTGGAGGACGCATGGATTTTCAACAGCGGACGCCTACGCGTTGTTTGTCCGTGTTGACGCGTCAACACGTCGCGTGCTGGTATAAAACCCTCAGACTGCCCGCGCCCGTGGGAAAATGCCCCACCTCGCCTTAGCCCAGCCAGCGGATGACAAAGCCGAACAAAGCCGAGACGCCCTGGCGGAAACGGCACGGCGCCTATTACGGCACGCGACAGCACGCGACGCGTGACATAACGCGATTCATGTGCGGAGCCGGCGGGCGCCTACTTTCTTTAGCAGCCACCGCTGAGTGCGGCAGAAATTCTATCCTTCCCCCCCTTTCCGCTGTGAATGCATCCCATGTCATCCTCATCGTACGACCGCACAAGCGCACCCTCAACGTCAGCGGCAGTCCAAGCCAAGCCTGTGCGATACAGCGGCCCCTCGTCGTCGCCAAACGGCGGCGCACATCTACCAAGCGTCTCGCCCTCTTCGCCAAGAAGTCCCATTGCAAAGCACCGGCTCTCCAAGAGTGGGTCCCACCCCAAGCTTGGGGCCGTAGAACAGTGTGCTGCAACACCTCAAAACGAGGAAAACCCACATGAGAGATTTGTAGGGGAGGTGGACTTGCCTGAGTGTACGTCCTTGCTGTCATCCGCATCTGAGCCCCGAGATTTATGGTTGCATGTAGACCAAGAGCCATTACTTACAGAGACTACTCGTCGCTTCGTTCTCTTCCCAATACAGTACGACGAGGTGCGTTGAAAAGACCGTACGCGCATGCTCCTCTTATTCGCTGAACTGTCACCCTTAGATATGGCAAATGTACAAGACCGCTCAAGCATCCTTCTGGACGGTCGAGGAGATAAACCTCTCCTATGACCTTATGGACTGGAGCGACAAGCTGAATGACAACGAACGGCACTTCATCTCTTACGTCCTCGCCTTCTTCGCCGCCTCAGACGGTATCGTCAACGAAAACCTCGTCGAGCGGTTCTCCAACGAGGTGCAAGCCGCCGAGGCTCGTTGCTTCTACGGCTTTCAAATCATGATGGAGAACGTACACTCCGAAACGTATTCGCTGCTCATCGACACCTACATCCGCGACCCCGCGGCCCGCGCCTTCCTCTTCGACGCTATCGATACCATTCCGTGCATCAAGAAGAAGGCGGACTGGGCGCTGCGCTGGATTGCAGACGAGCGCTCCGCGTTCACCGAGCGACTCGTCGCGTTCGCCGCGGTCGAGGGCATCTTCTTCTCCGGGTCGTTCGCCGCTATCTTTTGGCTGAAGAAGCGCGGCCTCATGCCGGGGCTCACGTTCTCGAACGAGCTCATCAGCCGCGACGAGGGCATGCACACGGACTTTGCCTGCTTGCTGTTTCACCACCTCCGCCGCCGGGCGCACCCCAACCGGGTGCTGAAGATTATTATCGAGGCGGTTGATATCGAGAAGGAGTTCCTCACAGGTGCGCCCCCTGTCTATGCGCACCCGCCTTTCACTCACCGCCCCTATCTCGCAGAGGCACTACCAGTATCCCTTATCGGCATGAACGCCGACCTCATGTGCCAGTACATCGAGTTCGTCGCAGACCGGCTGCTCGTCGCGCTCGGCAGCGAGAAACACTACCGCGCGACGAACCCGTTCGACTTCATGGACATGATTTCGCTCACTGGCAAGACGAACTTCTTCGAGAAGCGCGTGTCCGAGTACTCCATGGCCGGTTTCCAGCGCGGCGGCGCGCAGGACGGGCCTGGTCAGCCGCCCGCGGAGGGGCCTGCCAGCCGTCTCTTGTGAGTGGTCAGCCGTGCTTGATGCGGCGTCCGGAGGCTGACACGTTTTGTCGCAGCACCATGGACGAAGATTTTTGAGACTAATGATCGCATGTATGCTATATCTTATTCCTACTCCTAGTCATAAGACCACACTACCCCCACTCTTGTATTTTTCTTCGTTACCTATAGCCATGTTATAGTCGCACCGTACACTTTAATGTTAATTCATCCCTCTGCCTTGACATATCGGGGGAGTGCAGTGATAGAAATTGGTAATGAAGACACATAAGGCTACAACAGGTACAAAGCATGGTAACACAGACTGCGAAAGCTGGTCGACTACTTTTTGGAGATGTGGACAACTGTGGGGTACGTCTATCAGTACGGCTGCGTTTGACGGGGACACGAGACGGCGTACCATCCTCGTCCTCGAGCACATGGTCGAGGCCGACCTTCTGCCCTCGCGAGTGCTTCGCGCTTGCTCCCCAAACAATCGCACTACAACAACAGTCAGCCGCCTGTATTATACCGGGATTTGTGAGTAGCAGTACGCACTACTTCATCTGCTTCGCGATCTCCTTATGAATCGCGTTACAGAAGTCTTCGACCGTGCACTTGCCACGCCGCAGCACGACAGGCTGACTGTAGTCCGGCGCGAGCCCACGAGGCTTCGTGTATGCCCGCACGAGATTGAGCGTTTGCCACATGACGTCGATGAGCTCGTCGATGTTCCACCACTCGCGGGACGACACGGGCACGCTCATCGGGATGCGGTACAGCAGGTCGAGCTCCTCAATCGAGATCGCGTCGATCTTGTTCAGTACCTGCGCCCGCAGTTAGTCCCTGCGCAGCGTGTGCCCGGGCGGAACGGCACTCACGTATATTGCCGGAATGTACACCCTACGGACTTTAGGTCAGCCTCGGCCGGCGGCGCGCACACACACGGAGCCGAGGTGAAACGCACCTGTTCCCCTCGATCACGTCGACCAAATCATCCGCCGTCGCGCCGGCCTGGCGGATGGCGATGTCGCAATTGTTGAGGCGGTACTCGCTGAGAACGGCCTTGATCTCATCGTGATCGATATTCGTGAGCGGGACAGTGTTCGTGATAGAGATGCCGCCCTTGTCCTTCTTGCGCACGTTGATGGCGGGAGGTTTCTTGTTTAGACGGATCCCGAAGCCTTCGAGTTCAGCCTCGATGAGCGCCTTGTCGCCCAGCGGCTTCAGGACGTCGAGCACGATGAAGATGAGGTTGCATGTCCGGGCGACTGAGGGAATGATTGATACGTGCAAGCAGCTAATCTTGGCATGAGGAACATACCCGCGATGACTGGAAATATCATCAGTGAACAGGCAAACATGATACTGATGAACGGACGTACCTTGCCGACCTCGACCACGTCCATCGTTTGCACCCTCAATGATACCGGCTGGAAAGAGATGAGACCGTGAGCCCAGGGCAGTATAGCTATGAACGTACGCAGATCCAGAATTTGTATAGGCGCGCCGTGCACTTTTACTGTTCCGGGGACGGTAGTAAGTGTTGTGAAATCGATCTCGGACGCCTCCGAATGGGTGCCGGTGAGTTTGGACATCAGCGTCGACTGCGAAATGCACTGGTGAGGATATCGGCCGTCGCAAACCAGAGATGGACGTACCTTGCCCACTGAAGGGAACCCGACGAATCCCACTGTTGCTATACCTGTTCGCGCTACATCGAAGCCCACGCCTGCACCTCCTCCACCTCCGCCCGTAGGCCCGAGCAGCTCGCGGCGGAGCTTGGCGAGTTTAGCCTTGAGCTGACCCAAATGGTAGCTCGTGGCCTTATTCTTCTGCGCTGTGATGCGGGACGGTGTTTAGAGACGCGCGCGCAAATGTTTTGGGGGACATACTCCTGGCCTGCGATACTGAGCACGGCGTCTTCAAGGACGATGGGGGGAACTTACCATCTCATCTTCGACCTCCTTCACTCGGAAGAGCGGTCAGCACAATGAAATGCGGGGGCGGGGGGAGCGGTACCTTTATTTTCTGTACGGTGGTCATTGTGGCTGCGGTGAGAGAAGTGATGACGGGCGTCTGTTTGGCCGGGCAACAAGCAGACAGTGCGACGACCGCGTCTGTTGTGTCCCAGGTGTTTGCCTTCTCCCTCGTTGCGACGTCCGTCCCCTCCTGTCCTTCCTCCTCCCATCTCGCCGCCCTGTCTTGATCTCGCCCACCGCCTCTTCCCGCCCACGCCCGCGCCCACGACCTCTTATCCAGCCTCGTCCGCCTTTGGTTCCCTAGGTCCGCCTCCGGTCGTTATCCAAACCGCCGCTCACTCTCCCTGCGACTTGGCTGGCACGGGCGTTGCTTCTCACATCGAGGCCGCCTCCACGTCGCAATCCACTCTTTTACACCACCATCCCTACGCGAATCTGTGAGCCCTCATGTGCAAGACAGCAGATTGGAAGCGTGAGGTCGTCCCCGACCACAAGGTCAGTGCCACAGCCGTCAATTAGCAACACCGTCTCATTGTCCTGCTCAGTTCGACTTCGTCGACACGCGAGAATTCAGAGACAACAGCTGTGGTGGACGCCTGAAGTGAGCTCACTGCTATGCATGTCACCGTATGCCTACAGAGCTGACTGCGCATCTAGGTACCTTTGGCTCTATGTCGGCGTCCTCATCTCCTTCCTCGTCTATGTCTCCGACATATTCACGGCAGTGACCATGCTCACAACAACATCCTGGTCCAACGCGATCTTCAACAGTTGTCCCGCCGACCAATCTAACGGATGTGTCTACATCCCCTTCGACGTCGGCCGTTGGCTCTTCTTCGGCTGCGTCGTCTTCTCTTTCCTCCTGGTATGTTTCACTTTAGCGCCCGCTTTCCTCGCAACAAGATCTCACTTTCCGGTAGCTTGCGTACGAGGCATACAAAGCCAAGAAGATCATTCAGAGCCGCGACATTTCGTACGCATTCACCAATGTCATGGCCAACAAATACTACTCACTCCGTAAGGCCGCACAATGCCCGTAAAGCTACACCTGCTGATCGCTGTTCGCAGGGTCTTACGACCACTTTTGCTTCTTTAACCACATCGCCGCTTCAACGAAGCGAATGGACGACTTCGCGTTCTTCGTCTTCTTCACGTTCAAAAGTACGTCGATACAAGCCTCTCCGAACTCACCGTCCTGACCAGAATACCAGGTTGGAAGCGCTTGCTCTTCGCCGACGGTCCGCGTCAGTCTATCAACGCGTTGACCTTGTACGCGTTCTACCTCTCCAAGGAGGATGACGGTCCGTTCTGGCAGGTCAGCAAGTACTTCGACGGCGACTACATCACCTCTGCCCTCACGGTGTCGACGGCCTTCACCGTCTTCGTCTTTGCCCTCTCCCTGCTCATGCTCATCATCGCCGGTATCTGCTACATTCCCCTACTTTGCCACATTCAAGGTAACCTCAAGGTAAAGCCAATTTATATTTGCATGAATTATGCGTGCTCACTATCTGCAGGAATACTGCTGCCACAAAGTCGACAAGGTCCGTGTATATATGCGTGCATGCTTGATGCGCGATATTAACTCCCTTCCAGCGTATCACGGAGATTATCAAGCGCAGGAACAAGCAGCGTCTTGCCAAGGCTGCCGCCCTCGCGAAGAAGGAAGCCGCTGGCGACTACTCGCATCTCAAGAACAAGAAGGGCGAGCTCATTGCCAAGCCTCTTCCCCAGCCTACCCTCCCGAACGTCTCCATCGACGACGACCGCGACGACGTCGCCTCCGTCCGCACTCGTGGTCCTCCGGCTAGTACGATCGGAGGACAGAGCGATTTCTACTATGCGGACTACAAGGCACCCGTCGACTATGGCGTGGAGTACCCCCCACTCGACTATCCCCCTATGCCTGCGTATGCTCAGCAGTCAGGCTACCACCAGTACAACGGCTCGGTCGGCACGCTGCCCGACTCCCCGCAGATGCCATACGACGACGATCACGCAAGCCAGGTCCACCTCTCGTCCGCCGCGGCGCCGTTCGGCCAGACGGACGACCACTCGTCGATGCAGCACAGCGCGTATGGCGGCTACGAGTCGTACGACCGCCGCTCACCGAGCGCTGCACCCGACTACCGTTCCCAGAGTACTGCGCCCGACTACCGCTCCCAGAGCACTGCTCCAGATTACCGCTCGGGCGCGGGGAGCGTCGCTCCCGACTATCGCTCTGGCAGCGTAGCGCCGGACTACAGATCGGGGAGCGTCGCCCCGGATTACAGGTCGCAGAGTACCGCACCCGACTATAGGTCGGCGAGCACCGCGCCGTACGGGCAGCAACAGCAGCAGTACCAGGGCCAGGAGTACCCGAACCCGTACTCGCCTGGCCCGCACCAGATGTTCCAGCCCACACAGCATGGAGGGTACCACCCGCAGCAGCAACAGCAGCAGGATCGGCAGAGTGGAGGCAGCGACGGCTATGACACCTACAGTGCCGGACACGTTCAACATGCTATGTAGTCGTACCACCCATCCAACTCATGTCCGTTCCCTTGAAGTCCGCACCGCTGTTGTCGCATGATCAAGGCTCTTGGCCGTGGATGTGGTCCCCTCGTCGTCGCTATCGTTGTCTGTTCGTTCGTACTCCCGCTCGTCCGTCCGTCCCACCGAGCGAACACTTCTCTTGACTGTATCCCATCTGTCGTCCTGACACACCTTCTCTTCTATTTTATTGCCAATCCAGCACGTTGTACCTCTATAATTTCCTTTCTATTGGACTGTAGCTAAGACATACGTGCCTCTCTATGCCTCGCGCTATGTTCCATGCTCGACCGTCGCTGGTGGTTCTATGGGAGGAGGTGCAACGGTGACTCGCGAGCTCCGCCACTGTGTACGCTCGAGTTCGGCTTTGCCTCGTCGCCAGTCGGGGCTGCCTATGGGGGCGTCGTGTCGCCGTACGAGGGGCGCTCCCAGAGGACCGAAGCGCTTCCATGGCCAGAGGATGTACGCAAGACGAGACTCGACCAATCCTAGCGGAACCTGCGGGTTAGATGTTAGCACTGCACTCATCGCCGGGGAGAGGCGGGAGACGTACGGGCCCGAAGTGGTTGCTGTCTTCCGTGTGGAAGGGCTCGTCGCCTTCCACCCATGCATGTCCTGGGGGCACACGCACCTCCGCGTCAGGATATGGTGGAAGTGTCCTGACCTGCGAAAGTTCCATGTCTTCGCACATAGTAATGGGTAATTTGGGGACTTACGATATCACCCTCCAGCGCAACTATGCGCTTCACGATGCGCTTCGAGTCTGACGGAGACCTGCGTAGCGGAAAGGCCGAGCATCAGCACCGGCGCCCACCCAAGGAACAGGTCTACGCACTGTAGCGCGACGATGTCGCCGCGGTTGAAGTTTTGTGCGAACCGTATCGAGAAGCAGTCGAACAGCGCGATGTCCTTCGACGTAGAGTCGTCCGGGTTAAGCGCAGGCTAGCTAGCATGGCGTCCGTCAGTGCATACTCTCCTTCCTCTTTCCCCTTCTCCTCCATCGCCACGGCCGGGAAAAGCGAGACGCACCTGCATACTGCGGCCTACTATAACCTTCACGTTCACCCCATACTCAGTCACGAAGATGGCGAGCGGGAGCCAGACCAGCGCGGAGACCGTCCACCGGAACGGGCTCCCGCGCGCGAAGACGGTGGGCGAGACCTGACGAATAGACGTGAGGCGCGCGCGTACGCCGCGGAGAGCTTGCATCTATGTGTTCACCGAACAGTCGTTTGCTGAGAGGCCTATGCGATGAGGAGGAGGTACGAGTGCAAGCTGCGCCGATCGTGGAGGCCACGCTATGCGCGGCGCGGGTAGCGCGGTCCGGGGACGCGTCGCGCCGTCGGCGGGCGGGTGAAGCTCTTGGCACTTGCATGAGGCTCTCGATCCCTGCGCCAGTGGCAATAGCTGTCATATTACTTGATAGTAGATACGAGCACTGACTCATTCTGAGCACACTATATAGTGCGCGATTAGAAGCTCCATTGATATCCAATCTTGCACACGATGGAGCTCAATATCCGCAACGCAACTGAAGATGACCTCCCCGCCGTCATCGACATCTACAACGACCAGATCCTGCACGGGACTGCGACATTCCATACAGAGCCCCAAACGCTCGAAGAACGCGTGAAATGGCTTGAAAGCGTGCGTGCCGAGAACTACCCATGCAGCGTAGCGGAAGTCGTGGACGACGCGTCTGCGACGGGAGGCACGCGCACTGTGGGCTGGTGCAACCTGGGGCACTATAACATGCGGCCCGCGTATGACGGGTGAGTGCTGAATGCATGGGTGGGAGTGGCAGGTCCTATGAGAGGTACTCAACGCGTGAGTCTCAAGGTCTGCGGAGCTGTCCCTCTACGTTCACAAGGACTTCCGAGGAAAGGGCATCGGAGAGAAGCTCCTGCAGCGCATGTTTGAGGAGGCACGGTCGCAGGGAGGCCGGTTCCATGTCATCATCGGTGAGTCCTGAGCTCCTACCGGCCCACACAGCACGTCCACTGACACAGATGGGGGCGACAGCGGGCGTGACCGCGGAGAACGCGCGAACGGTGAACTTCTGGCAGAAGCAAGGTTTCGAGCTGTGCGGGACGCTCCGCGAGGTGGGGTACAAGTTCGGGCGATGGCTGGACGTGTCGTATTTCCAGATTTTTATATGAACCAAGGCGTAGAAGTGGCGTGGAAGTTATAGCAGATATACAATATAAGGGGAGTGGACGGCGGAAAGCATGCTACCGATCCTTTTTGGTTTCGCCTTGCTGCTTCTCGCGCGCACGCATGCGCGATTCGTCCCGCATTGCCTCGAAGATGTAGAGGACCAACACTACGTTGGCAGCCACGATGGCGGTTATTGCGGCGTAAATGGTGTTACCTGCTCGGGTATGAGGGCGCACTGTCAGCCGCTAGTCCGGTAGTGTGGACGTACCATTCCACAGATAGTCCCTTGATAGGAAGTAGGATGATATTGGGACGAGACCCAAGGAAAGCGCGAAGAGTATGAGCTTGCCGAGAACACTCCTAGCATACGCAAAAACGGTCAGAGCTGAAGGATATGTAAGTGCATGAAGGGTAAGGCAGACCCGGATTCTTCAGTTTGCGCAACAAGCTTTCCTACTGCGGCCTGTTCACTCATTTTCAGCCCGTTTATCGTTCAGAGGGGATGTTTCTCGTTGGATGAATCGTGGTCTTGAGGAGCAACAACAGGCCAAGGGAGTGGGTGGCGGTGGTCGGGGACAAGGCGCGACGCGTGCCTACGCGTCTGCTCATCATGTGCGAGCGCCTCGCGCGCGATGTGGCACATCCTCGTTCTCTGCTACCACCATCTCCTCTGAGGGCATATCTGGGCTGAGCTGATTCCGAAGGCCTGTATGCTCTCAACTGCTAGTCTACTGTAACAATTGGCTTAGGAACCCGTTCCGTCTAATTTGTTGCCCGCTATGAGCCAAGCCCGACGCTCGCCTGTCTTGAGCCGTTCCTCTTCTGGTCTCCCTGGAGGAGAGAAGGCACACCCTCTTCCGGAGGCTATACCTGAAGAAACCACAAGCAAAGATATCCAGGATGGAGCTGCCGCGCCAGGGGCGGGACGTTTCTCGTGGCTGAGCCTTGACATGACGAAGGCCGAATGGGACATTCTCATCGCCTCAACATGCCTGAAGGTTCTGCTGTTCCCCGCATAGTACGTATTGATTTGCTTTGGGCCCTCCATGGTAGTAAACTTCGGTTCTAGCCGGTCAACGGATTTCGAGGTGCACCGTAACTGGTTAGCAATCACCCATTCGCTGCCTATTTCCAAGTGGTACTACGATGTACGAGTCCTTCCGTCAATATATGCATCCCTATTCTCATGACGACTGTAGACAACTTCTGAATGGAGTGAGCATGATTGCTGTCATTGAAAGACGACCGAGCTCATCGCTGCGCAGCGCTCGACTATCCGCCTTTCTTTGCGTATTTCGAGAAGCTGCTGTCAATTCCCGCATATCTGGTCGACCCCCGAATAGTCGACCTCAATAACCTGAACTATGGCGCGTGGTCTGTAATCGCGTACCAGCGAGCAACAGTCATTGTCACCGAGCTTGTGCTTGGTGCTGCTGCACTGAAGTAAGTGGTTTTCGTGGTACCCGAGCTGACCTGAACTGACGAGTGCAGATTTGCGCGAGGGGCGGAGAATCCAACTATGCAGCGCATTATATCTGCGTCGCTGTTCCTGCATCCCGGTTTCCTAATTGTGGATCACATCCACTTCCAGTACAACGGGTTTATGTTTGGCATCCTCCTCTGGTCTCTACTCATGGCTCGCAATGTAAGACACTCTTCAGGCCAACCCGCCCAAAGTGATCAGCGGTTGCTCACATGTTATGTAGGGCCGCAAACTCGCGAGTGGCTTCCTATTCGCAGTGCTACTCAATTTCAAGCATATCTACCTCTATCTAGCCGTGAGTGTATCCAACAGATTGCGCGACGGTCACGTCCTAACGTTTTACTGTAGCCAGCATACTTTGTGTACCTCCTCCGCTCATATTGCTTGTCGCCCACTGGCACGCTGCTTCCTGGTCGCTTCCTCTCTCTTGCCAACGCCGTCATCCTCGTGTTCCTTGCTTCTCTTGGGCCATTCCTGCTCATGGGTCAACTGCCGCAGCTACTAAGCCGACTCTTTCCATTTACGCGTGGGTTGAACCATGCGTACTGGGCATCCAACGTGTGGGCTTTGGTTACAGCCCTAGACCGTGTCCTGCTCAAATGTGCGTATTTTCTTTCGCTATATTATTCGCTTACTGAGACCTTGTATAGTCGTGAGCAAAGGGCAGTTGAGCGGCCTGGACGTGAACGTATCTGGTGTAGCGTCTACCTCGCGAGGTCTTGTAGGAGACACCATTTTCGCGGTCCTTCCGACCGTCAAGCCGATGCACACCTTCGCCATCACAGTCGCGTTCCAGACTGTACGTATGGGTTTATCGCTGTGGTTAGAAGTTGACCTCACTATTCATTGCAGATCTATATGGGAAAGCTCTGGACTAACACCTCGTACAAGTCATTCGTGACGGCGTTGACATTGTGTGGCTTTACGTCGTACATGTTCGGCTGGCATGTGCACGAGAAGGCCATTTTGCTTGTCCTCGTCCCTCTCAGGTGCGTCCTTCTGGCACGTCCCCTTCGTTTCAGGCCTGAGTAGTCTGTAGCTTGTTGGCTGCCCAGGACAACGCCTACTTCCGCACTTTCATGATTGCGTCCGTAGCGGGGATATATTCGCTGTTCCCCCTTCTCTTCACGCCCGCAGGTATGTGCTGCCATCCCGTTACGTTTTTCTTCTCTGACTGTGGTTTCAGAGACGTTGGTCAAGATCATATATTCGGTGCTTTGGGCCGTCTTCATCCTCAGGCCGATTCACCGACAAGTGTATCAGTGAGTGTCTCGCTTTTACTAAGGTCTAGCTGATCCTGACCGCTTGCTGTGCAGGTTCCCCCAAGGAATCTTTGCGGTGGGCATCGACGTCCTGGAGAGGCTATACATCGCAGGTTTCCCTCTGCTTCAGCTTTTCGTAACCTTGTTCCCACTCGTCACAAAGAGGCGTACCCCCTCCGAGGCAGCTGCGAGCGAGAAGGGAACTGGTGTGGACGAGAACGGGTCGGCCCTGGAGTTCCTTCCACTGATGTTGACGAGCGTGTACTGCGCGGTCGGGCTGGTGTGGGCATTTGTTCGGTTGTCTGTAATCTACCTCACGCGCAACGATTGAATATCACTTGTACTCGCTTTCTACGGCCCTGTTTCCCTCGCACGCTTTGAAAGCATTTGGTCAGATTCGCAACGAGTTAACGTTCGCCACCCGAGGCCTGCACTGGAGGATCTAATCTTATCTAACGACAACTCGATCGAAATTTGCGAAGCGCCGTAATTGAGTACGTTCCCAGTAGGCGCTCACAAGCCTGGTCTTTCGCTGCCTCTGCACGTCCTTCGCTCTCAGCCACTCCCTCCTTTTTCGCTATCCACAGCTATGGTGAGCTCGTCAGCGTCTTAGGATATGCCCGCAATGCTCAAAACAAGTACAGATTCGTCGGCAAGCGCGTGAACGTCGCCAATACATCTACGCGAAGTCAGTAGAGTCGCAGGAGCGGCAGACATATGCCCGGAAACAGCAGATCAAGGATGCCCTCGCGGGTGGAAAATCATTGCCTACAGAGTTGCGAAAAGACGCGAAGGACCTGGGGCGCGACCTCGCTTTCGACGAGGCGCAGGCGGGTACGTCCAACTGTTCTGAACTCACCACTACGCGGCTTAGCCTTGGTTGTAGAACCCTCGGATCACATCGACAATGAGTATTCTCGCGCCGGGATCCTGGACCCTAAGATCGTCGTCACGACATCAAGAGATCCTAGCTCGAAACTTATACAGTTCGCTAAGGTGTGTACGCTTCACGTCTCGCCGGTGCACAATGGAATGACCTTGCGTGTAATAGGAAATGCGCCTGGTCTTCCCCAACTCTCACCGCATAAATCGCGGAAACTACGTTGTGAAGGAACTCGCCGAGGCGTGTAGGGCGAATGATGTCTCAGACTTAGTTGTGTTGCACGAACACCGTGGTGTACCAGGTGCGTTCGTATGCGTTCAAATTCGACGGAACGTCGACAAACCTCCCGCCTCCTTAACAGACGCAATGATTGTTTCTCACTTCCCCCACGGACCCACCGTATACTTCACACTGCACAACGTCCAACTACGACACGACATTGCCTCGTACAAGTCGTCCACCGTCTCCGAACAATACCCTCACCTCATCTTCGAGAACTTCTCGTCCAAGCTCGGCGAGCGGATACAAGACGTGCTCAAGTACCTCTTCCCTGTACCAAAAGAGGACAGCAAGCGTGTAATGACTTTCTCCACCGAGGATGACTTCATCTCGTTCAGGTAGGACGGCGTGTATGTGACGCTTTTTAGGTCGTGCTCATCAACTGCATTCTATGATAGGCACCACGTCTTCATGAAGATTCCACCAAAGCAAATTCAGCTTGCTGAGGTTGGGCCGCGATTCGAGATGAAGCGTACGTCTGCTGCTCTAGTGTCCATCGCTCTTTATGCTCACACATGCCGTATCTTAGCATATGAAATCCGACAAGGGACCATCGAGCAGACCGAGGCTGAGCGCGAATGGGTACTCGCGCACTACTCCCGTACTGCGAAGAAACGGAGCTTGCTCAGCGGCCCTGCACCACGGCCGTCTGCCAACGCGGCAGCAGCAGAGGACGACTCAGAAAATAAGCGGAAGAAACGGGTACGACGGTAGTCTCACCTCACGTTCTCTGCAGCTATGGCCCACTCTTGCCGTCATACCAGCTGATGGTCGAGAGCACGGATTCTATCCCTTGTCAATATTCTTATATGTCGCGCTGGTTGTATAATGTCACTGCTGGTATGCTTTCGCGTCACGATGGATGTGTCCGCCGCCTCCAGCTCCCCTCCGCGCCCCTGAGATGCCTCATGCAGTGATTGGTATGTGAATTGCATTTTCGACAGCTTTGGCTGAACCATCTCTTCCCACACAGCTGCACTCTAGATACTTTGCCTACCAGCGTTCGCTGGTCTCAGCATCTGTGCACGACTTCAGCGTCGCCGACGTACGACAGTATAACGATCACGTACAACGCGCAGAGTCACCGGCTCGCGATCCCACTTCGGATTGCTCGCTCCTATGGTCTCCTCGCCGACAATCGAGAAGCCCAGCGTTTCGTAGAACTTGTATGCGCTTGTGGTAAGCACCCATACATCGTGGCCGTCAGCGTCACCCTGTAAATCCACGACGTTCAGTCACGGGCACCACCATTCGTTTTCCAAACCTTACCATGTCGGTCACAGTGGTTACCAAGGCAGAGGCGAAGCCTTTTCCTTGGGCTTCTGGGGCGGTGGCCAAGGACTGTAACTCATACATCACTTCGACTTTGTCCCCAAAGGCAGACTGGGTCAGGGCCTCTATCTTCTCGAAGCATTCCTTCCACCTCTGAGGTTTCAGCTGCGTCAACACGGCCGCCCTGCTCCACCGGATCTACACAGAGCATGCTTACTTTCTTGACCTCCGGGGGGTCGGACAGACGTACGAAATATGCGAGCCATGCGTATATTCTCCCGGTCTTTGCGTTTCCCGGCAATCCGCTGCAACGGTACTCGTCAGCGTGCGCTTCATACACGCAATGATATGCTTCTCCGTACTCACTATTTGAGTTGGGAGTCGCCCCTGTTCACGGTAAGCATCCGCTTTTGACTGATTCCGTCCGCAAAGTTGATCGAATTTTTCAGCTTCCACCGCGTCTCGAAGAAGGGAGCCGTATCAGCGGACTAAAACGCCTCACGGAGGGAGAATCAGCGGGTGCGTCGAAGGTTGCAGCGTAGGAACTCACGATGAGGTACTCCATCATGGCTTCATCGTGCATGATTTTCTGCACGTTGTCAACGCTTCTCGGGATGTCCGCTAGGTATGATACAGATGAGTGCGCAGTGCAAGCGAAGTTGCTCTGGTACGGCTCCTCACCATATCGCATAGGCTTCACTTCGATCTTTTGGTGTATCCCGGCCTTGTTCTCGTCCAGGAGAGGCGTTTTCTCGCTCACAGCAGCAAAACTGTAGCGTTCTGAGGCCATTGGTGTTACCGCAGCTAGATTCCGTCAACAAAGTTGCCTAGTGGTGCGGACGTATGTGGTCGCGACCTGCGTCTGGAGCTTTATATCCAAAACCTTATCATAGCGGACCGCCCGCGGCCATACATACCGCCGACTTTGAACATCAACATCACACGGTGCTAGCGTTCAATGCTGTCCGGTGAGTCAATGATAGTTTTGCCAGGCGCTCATCTGGAACTGAACCACACCCTATTGTATAGGCGCAGTATGTAGCAGACCGTGGCGGGGCCGAAGAATTTGAAAACAGAAAGACACTCCATTTCCCATCTGCATCCGGGCGGCGATAGTCCCAAACTCAGGATGTGTGGCCCCTCGGTACCTCTGGTACCTGAACCGCGGAGACGTCAAGACGAGCAGGTGCGGAGTTGGCAGTTACACCGTGGATGCATCTTTCAATATCCTGGCCAGGATCGATGGGCAGGGATAGAAGCCCCACAAGATTACAGTTGGTACGGCACAAGCAGTTCGGGCAGCATTGTCTAAACTATTTCGTCCTGTACGGTAAGTACTACATCCTACTGGTATTCGTGATACACATCAGACGGTGTCTTTGGTAGTGTTCGCCGGTCTCAGCATCTGATTCACGACCTCAGCATCGTCTACGTCAGTGAGGATGAGCATCGCTTACGACGCGCAAGGTCACTGGATCGCGATCCCACTTTGGATTGTCCGCTCCTACGCACGTGGCCTGGCCGACAATCGAGAAGCCCAACATCTCGTAAAACCCGTATGCGCTTGTGGTAAGCACCCACACATCGTGACTGTCGGCATCCCCCTGCACATAAAGAACAGTCAGGTATATGCACCATGATTCGTCACACATGCCTACCATATCCGTTATAGTGGTCACCAAGGCCGAAGCAAAGCCATTCCCTTGGGCTTTTGGAGCAGTGCCCAGGGTCTGTATCTCGTACATTTCCTCAATCCTGTCTCCAAAAGAGGACTGGGCTAAGGCTCCTGTCGCTTCCATGCATTCTTTCCACCTCTATAGTTGTTACACGCCATCAGTTGCTTCACAGGATTCATTGAGACCGTTCTTACTTTCCGGACTTCAGGAGGGTCAAATAACCGCGCGAGGTCGGAGAGCCATGCAAACACCTTCCTGATATTTCTGTTTCCCGGCACTCCGCTGCAACACAGATTGTCAGCGCGCGCTCCATACAGGCAGCCTAGGCTCACTATCTCAGGTTCGATTCGCCTCTGTTCACAGTGAGCATCCGGTGTTGACTGATACCGTCTGCCACTTCCATCGTGTCTCAAAGAAAGGCCATGTATCGGCCGACTGTGGTACCACACCGGCGGACAGTTGAGCTAGATGCGTGTGGAGGTGGAGCATATGCACTCACGATGAGGTACTCCATCATGGCTTGGTCGTGTAAAACTGTCTGGGCCGTGTCGACGCCTTTTGGCAGGTCCGCTGGAGGTTGGAAGGTGTGGGTGCGTGCGTTCTTCAGGCACAGAGTGGTCCAGGTGCGCCTCAAGTTCCTCACCGTATCTCATTGCCTTCACTTCGATCTTCTGGCGACTCGGAATTCCACCCTCCTCACTCAGGAGAGGCGTCTTCTCGCCCAAGCCGGCCAATGAGCAGTGTCCTGAGGCCATCTGTATCTCTACCACTGCTAGGCTCCCAAAGCGAAGCTCCCCGGGCATGCGGAGAAATGCAGCCGTAGTCCGCCCGGTTGGAAGTTCAGATCCAAGTTGGATTCTCTTGAAACGCCCGCGGCCACACAGATCGCCGAGGAACGTCAGCACACACGGTCATGCTTTCATTGTTATCACTTCCCGGCGCTCGTCCGAACCATACTATAAAGCGCAGCATCGCCTAGGCCGTGGCAACACCGAAGGTATAGAACCGGGGTGGCGGTACATGGAGGTCTGAGTCGACGAAACTTTCACCTACACGTCCGACACATGCCTATCCATCTTACTAGCGTTGACCAGGGCAAACTTGGTAAACAATTAGCTGTAAAGTGAGTGCATCCTTTAAATCACTGTCGACCAGTATACCGCTAACGTTCAGCGCTATCGATCCATCTAATACATAGGAAATACATGCGAGCCGGCAGAGATACCTCCTATCAACCTGTACGTGTCACCACATAATAAACCCACTAAACGTCTTCAATTGACTTCTTCCAAGGTCGGTGCATCTATATGGTAGTAGTCAGTACGATCAAATTATGTGCTGTCCTCGTGGGGTGTCGACTCACAACGCGAACAGTAATGGGTGCCTTTGCCCAGGTTGGGTTAGCATCTCCGACAATGAAGCTCCGGACGGTAGCAAAACCCAGAAATTCGTAGAACGCGTACGCATCTGTGGTGACTAGCCACACGTCGCGACTGTCAGCGTCCGCCTGGAAGGAGGTGTTAGTACTCATTGACCCAAGATTTGAAACTCAAACTAACCATGTCTGTTACTGCGGTGACCAAGGCGGAACCAAAGCCCTGACCCTGGAACTCCGGATCTGTTCCAAGGGATTGAATTTCGTACATTTCCGCCAGCTTCTCGCCAAAGGCGTCCACGACCGCGGCAACCGTCTTCTCTGCGAACTCCGTGACACGCTATGTCATAACAAACATCAGCTGCGCCGATGATGGGTGACCGCGAGCAGTGATACCTTCGTGAGCTCACGCGTATCGAACAGCTTGCGACTGACGTTTGTCAGGTATGTATGTACCCAAGGATCCTCGCGACCTCCAGGTACCTGGCTGTGGCAGTCGCGCTTAGTGGGCAAATAACTTTTTGGGAGTATTTGCTGACTCACTACTTCAGGACAGCGGCTCCCGCGTCAACAGTTAGCTGACGATGCTGCCGAATTCCAGCATCGAACATGAGATAGTAACGAAATTTTGCCCGTCTCTCGAGAAAAGGTGCAGTGTCGGCGTCCTGCACTCAGTGACCATCTAATCATACTTCGCACGAACAGGATGTGTGCACTTACGTCGAAATACTGCATCAACGAGTCCGTGTGAAAGGCGGTATGAATAGTGTTAGCACCGCGTGCCATGTCACCTACATGTTCATTCTGCCTCAGCTATATTTTCACTCATGCACTCATTTACAGACACGTACTGCGCTTCATGGGCACGATTTCGACCTTCCGGGCCTTAAGACGCTCATCGCGCTGCTGCCGTAGCAGTGGCGTCTTCTCATCGTGGGACCTGGTTTCAAGGATTTCCTGCATGTTGGCACGCAACCGACTCTGGGCCGACTGACGGAACGGCGAGAAAGCAGCGATGGGGCGGGGAAGTCAACACGACAGATGCCCTGCTCGGAGGGGTACTTGTAGGAAATGAAGGCCGAGCATACCGGACCATCACCATCATCGGTGATAGTTGAATCGGCGAAGAAGACTCGGACGTCGAGGCACTGCGGCCGGACATCAACTGCCATTCGGAAGTAGTCCGGGGCATGTGCATCCGCTGCGCGTCTCTCACCCGGTTTCTCAGGCCCAGCGCTCAATGTCCAAGCTTTCGCAGGGTCCTGTGTCCTGTACTATCGCTCAGTAGGAGTAGTGATTCGGCAGTGGTAAGACGGCGCACACAATGATGCCATTCAATCTTCTTTCAGACCACTTGTCAACTAACCAGCCTTCAAGCGTTCTAGGACTTCTCCGTCATGCCATCCCTGGGCGCAACCCTCGCCTTACTGGCACGTTTTCGCAGCTGTAGTTCATTCGCTCTCAGCCGTTTAGCAGGTCGAGGAGCAGGTAGTCAACATACCACGAAGACCGGGACGGGCTTGCCCTCCCAACTTGGGTTGTCATCTCCCAGGACGCCTTTACGGACGATCTGGAAACCAAGGTGCTGGTAGAATCCGGAGGCGTTGACCGTGATGACCCATGTGTCTCGACCTTCGGCGTCTGCCTAGGAGCACTGGCGCGTCAATAAGAGTTTTGCGACGAACAGTTGGTCTTCGCCGTACCATATCCGTGACAGCGTTGACCAGCGCCGAACCGTAGCCCCGCCCTTGTGCTTCGGGAGCGGTCGCCAACATTTGTAGGTCGTACATGTCGTTGACCTGCTCACCAAACGCGTCTTTAACAAACTCCATAACCTTGCCACGGAATTCGGCCTTCCTCTGCGATACCCAGTCACATCAAGAAAGCTCGGAGCCCAGGCAAGACAACACACCCTTTTGAGCTCGGGAGTGTCGAAACTCTCTAACAGCTTATGGAAGAGCTTATACCCTGTGCTGGGCGTATTGTTTCCAGGGATGCCGCTGCCAATTTATACCCACGGTGAGTGGCATGCGGTCAAACGCAGAGTGGGCATAAGAGGGCTTACTACTCCAGAACAGCGTCCCCTTGGTTCACGGTGAGCACCCGCTTTTGGTGTACTGCGTCCAGCAATGTGACGTTGTGCCTGAGCTTCCAGCGCGCGTGGAAGAATGGCGCGGTGTCGACCGACTGGGATCGGACTGGTATAAGCATGGCGCCAGCTGCGTGCGTCACGCGCGCACAGACGCACCCCATAGTAGATCATGATGGGATCGTTAGCAAACGCTCTCTGGAGAGTGTCCGCAGCCTTGGAGATACGACCTAGGGGCAAGAGGATTGGTTTTCACTGCTCTGCTCGTAAAGTGAATGAGAGGATGGGCCTCACCATATTTCAAGGGCGCCGCCTCGGCCTTCTGATCATAGACCTCTCCATGCCTTTGCAAGAGTGGGGTCCGGTCGGATAGGGATACAGCAAGCGATGAGTCGTAAATTCGTGCCTCCATGAGGACCTACCACTCTCTGCACTGGGTTAGCAGTTCGGACGTGCGCCGTCAGGGACTACGGAAGCCCAAGCGATTAAGTAGAGCTGTAGGCGGCTGTGGATTCCATATATGTCCAAGTACGATAGCCATACATCGGACCATCATCACAATTTCAAACAGGTGCGCCGGCGTGAACCGGCAACGCCGTTGGACGCAGTGGGCTGCGCGCTGCATAGCCGCGCAACAAGCCTCAACCTCAGATCACCGAGAGACCTTCTCCGACTCCGAGTCACTAGGGGGAAAGGGGAACCCCAATGGACGTCTGTACATCTGTGGAGGTGAATGAAGATTGTACCAGCGTTGCGCAGGACGGAATAGGAGGTGCCGCTCACTACACGTATGTGAACCGGTTCCCCAGTCCACTTTGGGTTGTCCGCTCCGAGGACATCTTCTGCAACAATGTGGTAGCCGAATCTCTGGTAGAATCCGTGTGCATCTGTGGTAAGCAGATACACGCCACGTTTCTGCACGTCCGCCTGAATTTGAGAACATCAGCTCATTGAAGTTAGTGCGGCATGGCATGGCAAGGCATGGCAAGGCAAGGCACCTACCAAAGCATTTACGAGTAGCATCAGTGCAGTGCCGTAGCCCTTGCCCTGATGTTCCGGAGCGGTTGCCAAGCCTTGTATCTCGATGAGGTTCTCTATCGAGTCCCCGAAGGCCCGCTTGAGCATCGGCCCCACCTTTGCGCCAAACTCTTTCTTCCGCTATAGACCCGGGACAGTCAGACTTCTTCGTCTCGTCGCTGCTCGCGAGAACAACGAACCTTGACTAACTCCTCGGTGTCAAACGGCCTCAAGAGAGGGGTGAAGAATGGCAACAATCTTCCCCGTTTGCCCCCAGGGAACACACTGTTTATGGTGGTCAGCGCCGGCGAGCAGCGGACTCGGGGTGCGACGGATATACAGAGTCAGGATGGCATCGCCGCCGCGGTCGCCGATAGTCCACCCGGTGTGAAGGGAGACATGGTCTGAGAGTGAGAGCCCATGTGAAATCTTCTGTCTCAACGCCCGGCCAGGAACGGTATCAACATCCTGAACGAGGAGGTCCATAATATGAGTGGCTTTAAATGACAACCGCGGGTGAACTACTCACATCTAGGTACCGAGTCAGGGCGTCGTCGAGGATAGCATTGTAGCTCGTTCTCACCGCGTTCGGAACATCTCCTGAAGAAGTCGATACATGGCATGAACGCAAAGTTCGAAGAAGTTAATACATCACCCCGTTCGCTAGTTCGCACGCACCGTATCCCAGCGGCCGCAAGATAGGCAGTGTTGGGGCTACCCCGTCCTCCAGGGTGAGTAGCGGGGACTTCTCGTCGTCGCTTTCGCGAGGTGCAGCATGCCCCCTGTATCCCTTGCTTAGGGTCGTCATGAGGGGCGCTCGATAAGCTGGCCAGGAACGAAACTACGTGCGTACGTGGTGTACGTGGTCGCCCACTAGTAAGCTGCGCACAAATTCGCACGGGATATCAATGGGCCGTCAGCGCTGCCGCAGTATGATCAGCAGCGTGGAGACTCAATCTAGAGCTGTAGCATGCAACTACTGAACTGGCAGTGGAGTATCGTAGAGAGAATAGGTCCAGGGTGCCCACACCAGCTGACTGCCGACGAGATGTGCGTCGGCGACGCGCCTAAATCTGAGGGAACAGTGGATGTCATGTCTGTCTCTATCCGAACGAGCCAGACTAGATGAAATCATAGGGAGACGGGGTAATATGGCACGCAAGCCGTAAGGCGTAGAACGTCGACCCTGCCATTCAAGCTCTCCTCTGAGTTAACGCTTTTGGTGCTCGATATACCTACACCGCAGCGTGGGCATAAGTCCTGAGAAGACAACGAAGAATATGAAACTGCTTACAATGCGAAAACCGATGGGAGGCCCGTCCCATTTGGGATTGTCCCCTCCAATAAAACCTTCCTGCAGAACGGTGTACCCTTGTGCCTCGTAGAACCTGTACGCATCCGTGGTAATCGCGTACACACCGCGTCCCTGCGCGTCAGCCTGCACATTCCCGGTAGCATTTAGTACGAGCTTTGGAGGGAGTGATATGCAAGCACGACGCACCATCTCTCCAACGACGCCCATGAGCGCGCTGGCGTAGCCCAGCCCCTGCTTCTCAGGGGCGGTCGAGAGCCCGTGTATCTCGATCATGTCCTCGGGGCTGTCGCCGAACGCGGCGTTCACTAGCTCGGTCGCTTTCTCCACGATCTCATTCCGTCTCTGAGGGACATTGAAGATCAGCATCGGGGGATGAGTGTCATCCCACATACCTTCCTGTACTCCTCTGGGGCGAGGGCCATAAAGAGCGGCTGCACAATGGCACCCAGCGGGCCACGGGTTCTTCCAGATCCACCACTGATGGATGGAGGTCAGTCCTGTGTACTGGAACACAGTACGTATGTATGGGGATCACGAACATTAGGATGAGGGATTCGCCGCCGTTGATGCAGAACGTCTGCAGCAAGCGTACGCTGTCGACAAGGAACGCAAATTGTCTTACGTATTGGCGTTGGTCCCAGAAAGGAGTAGTATCGGCATCCTATACGTATGCGCTAGTCAGCTCTGGTCACCGTGTGGCGGGTAATCGTCGCTCGCGTATTTACCGCGAGATACTTAGTCTCGGAGTCTTGACCGAAAGCATCGACGGAGTGCCGAGTCGCCTTTGGAACGTCCACTGAGTTGCTCGGTGAGCATATTACCTAGACAAAGACCTAGGGCGTATATTTAGACGCACCGTATCTCAAGGGCTTGATATCGAAGGCTTGCGCGTGATAACCATGACCTGCCTTCTCTGCGTCGGCCAATTGCAACATCCTGTATTGCAGACAGATCTCGCTGCCGCCGCCGGTGCTGGTAGTCGAGCTTTAAGAAAGAACTGGCTGGACCTACTGCGGGGCTTCAAATTTAGTAACATATACTGCGGGTCTTCACATGCCCGTCAGAGTCAGTCGGTTGGGTGCGCCGCAATGCTATTGCACATGGGGAGGTCTCAGGAACACACGCCTCGTGTATCCCAGGGCGCCAAAGGGTATAAATCGTGAGGTATGCCCTCTTGGTTGTACATACATTACATCACTCGATGTTGAGCGACTTGTTGAGCTCCGCGAAGCCCTCGAAGAAAGACGAGAACAGGTCGATCGCGTTCTGTACGTCGTCCGACCCGGCGGTCTCGCGGATAGAGTGCATCGAGAGCATCGCGCAGCCGACATCCACGGTGCGCACGCCGAGCTTCGACAGCATCGGGCCGACGGTGGAACCACACGCCCTAGATAAACGCCGTCAGCGAATCGTTGCGCGCACATGCAACCGGGCCACGTACATGTCGTTCCGGACCTCGTACTCCTGCACCTTGCCGCCCTTCTTCTCGATGAGCTTCTTGACGATGAAGCTGCCGATGGCGTCGCTCGCGTAGCGCTGCTTCGCGTTCGTCTTGATGACCACGCCCTCGTTGACATGGGGCGTGTGGTTGTCCTCGTGCTTGCTGGTGTAGTTCGGGTGCACTGCGTGCCCCATGTCCGCGCTCACGAGGAAGGAACGCGCGATGGACTGGGCGTATGCGGCAGGAGAGGGAGACAGACGCTGCAGCAGGGACGGGATGAGGGACGACTCCGCGCCGGATGTCGACACAGAGCCAATCTCTTCGTGGTTGAAGAGCGCAATGCAGTTCACGTTGCCGTCAAGAACGTTGAAAGATGACGAAGAGGCGAAGGTCGCTATCGCCTCGACGGCTGCGAACCTGTGAACGTGTCAATCCTAGCTCAAGAAAGGACGAACTGCGAGATACTCACGAAGAGAATTGATTGTCCAATCGAGGGCTGAACACGAACTCGTTGTTCAACCCGCCGAGAGTGGAGGGCTGGAAGTCGTACAAGTGGCTAAACCGCACGGTGAGCACGTATGTGAGCAGATCATGGAGCGAACTAACAGTTCGAAGTCATGGATCAATTCGGGCGAGACGGAAAGTTCTTCGGCCAATAGTGACAAAAGCGCAGGGTGGTGGTTGTCTTGGATGCTTGAAGCGCCTGGAGCCGATCCTGCGCCTTCTTTCGGCGACGAGTTGAGCTGTGCCGACACACGCCCTAGGATGGGGACAAACTCAGTTTCCGTGTTGAACTGGAAGTTATCTCCGGAGAGTCTATCCACTAGGATATTCGATTAGCGAAGGCCTCCGGGAATAACGCGATTTGTCCTACAATGAATGGCGAGAGTTGGGATCCGGAGCAGAGGCTTGTTGATCCTCACAAGCTTAGCGTGGAAGTTCCCGTTCTTGTCTGCGATGACAACTCTGCCCGCCAAAGCCAAATCGCGGTCGAACCAAGAGTGCCAGATACCGCCGCCATAGGTCTCGATGCCTACTTGGAGATAGCCAGCCTTAGTACGCTTCGATATAGGCCTGATCTATACAGATGGGTGCATCAGCGCCTGGAGGACCGAAGGTTTGACGGCAGAAGACTGACTCGCAGGTTGGGGCTGTCAATGTGAGTTGCGACGATGGACACACCGGCGCCAGGCTGCCACTTCTGTGGGACCGTGAATGCGACGAGAGCACTCTGGTTGCTGTAAAAGCACATGCATTTACTTCAGAATACTAAAACCGAGCGCGATATACAGGTACGGACCGGGTGAAGAAGTACTTGCCCGCAGGCTTGAGGCTCTTCTCCCAATCATCCTGCTCCTTGACCTGACAAAACATCAGAGAAATCCCGCAGCCTTCCTCCGCTCATTGTACCTTCACGAACCCAGCCTTCTCCAAGCGGGCGGTGGCAGCCTGGACGGCGTGGAAGGGTGTGGGCGAGGCATTGAGGAAATCGACGAGCTTGTGCGCGGCCTCTGGACCGGGTTGCTGCATGATGGTCATGGTACGGAAGAGAGAGAAGTGCGAGCGTGGGCCTCTAGACACTGCCTGGAGCGCAGTTCTCGGAATAAACGAGCCTGGGATAGAGCACGCACGCGCGCAGAGGCTTGGCGGTGGGGTCGACCTCAGTGACCGAACGAGCATGAGAGCACCCGTGGGAACGTCCAAAATATTCGCTCTTCGGCATCTCATTAAGGCTCTCGCGCTGCCCTCCGCGCGCCCATCCTCGATCCTTGCTCCTCCCCACCATACCTAGTCGCGCGCGATGGTCCAAAGCTACCTTCGCCACGGCCCTACAGAGGTGCGCACAGCGTGCGCTCTACCCTCGCGCGCCGCGCTGACTTTCCGCTAGGCGTTCGGAGTCGTATGCAGCGCTTCGTCCAATTCGCACTACGACGGCAAATTGGCCTATGTGCCTGCACTCGAAGATGTGCTAGTGTGGGACGTCAAAAGGGGCCAAATGGTACGACCCGTGCTTAATATGCCTTACGTCTCGTTAACAACGGTGTAGCTTTCAATGTGGCATGAGACCGGACATCGAGCGGAGGTCACTTGTATCCTTCGCTCCCCTCAGAAGGATGTCTTCGCCGTCGGTTACGCGGACGGCTCTGTACGCCTATGGAGCGCTTCGTCCACCTCTGTCATTGCGACCTTCAACGGGCACAAGAAAGCCGTCACTGCGCTCGCTTTCGACGGGTCCGGCACCCGGCTAGCTTCTGGCTCGCAAGACACCGATCTCATCTTGTGGGATGTAGTTGGCGAAGCAGGGCTCTACCGGTACGTCTATCATTTTGTCTTCTACGCCCTGCGTCTGACCCTGTTAGTCTGCGAGGCCACCGTGACCAAATTACCGCCATCCGTTTCGTCCGCCCTGCCGCAGAGTCCGCGCCTTCTACTTCTACCGGCATCGCACCCGGGTACCTCTTGACTGCGTCTAAGGACACCTTCCTCAAGCTCTGGGATCTACAAACACAGCACTGCACACAAACGGTCGTTGCTCACCGGTCGGAAGTATGGACCATGGACCTTAACCCCGAGCAAGACCTGGTCTTTACTGGCAGTGGTGAGGGCGAGCTGAAGGCATGGAAAATCGACCATGAGGCGCTGGCTCAAGGTCTTCGGGAGACAGACACCGGCGAGGTACGTCTACGAGTGGTCATTTCTCTATAATGCCGTATTCATGAAGACTTTCTAGGTCTCAAAATTCCTCCACCCTGTCACGACACTCCCTCTGGCCTCTTCCCACCGCGTCTCGCAAATAACCTTCCACCCACATCAACCGTACCTTGCCGTTCAGTCCCATGACAAGTCCGTAGAAATCTTCAGGATACGGACGGAAGATGAGATCAAGAAAAAGCAGGCTCGCCGGCGGAGACGCGTCAAGGAGAAGGAGCTTGAGAAGAAGGGCAAGAAAAAGGGCGAGGCGGCTGACGCAGACGTCCACGCAGATGCCGAACACAGCGAGGAGATTGAGCTCGCGGACCGCTTCACCCCATATCTCATCGTGCGCGCGAGCGGCAAAGTCAGGTCATTCGGCTTCGGAGACGAGGAGGTCGCGGTCAAGGGCAACACCCAGCTGTTTGTCGCGTTGGCAAGCAACGCATTGGAGGTATATAGCATACCGCCTCCCGGGAAATCGAAGGACGCACCCCCGGAAGCAGGCCGTGTTTTCTCTGTCGACCTGCCTGGGCATAGAACAGATGTCCGCACTCTGTGCCTTAGCTCCGACGACGCTCTCCTGGCTTCTGCATCCAATGGATCGCTGAAAATCTGGAACATGAAGACTACTGCGTGCATTCGCACGATGGACTGCGGGTACGCAATCTGCAGTACATTCCTGCCTGGTGACCGCCAAATCGCCATCGGAACCAAGTCCGGCGAGATCCTCATATATGACATCGCTTCGTCTTCCCTCGTGGACACCATCCAAGCGCACTCTGCGACTGTGTGGTCCATCCACATCCGCCCTGACGAGCAAGGGCTTGTCAGCGGCAGCGCTGACAAGGACGTCAAGTTTTGGGAGTTCGAGCGGAAGCCTGCAAACAGTGATAACGTGCGCATTTCTTCGTCTTATTCTCATCACAATTGTCCTTTTTGCTCATGTACCGGTATGTAGCCTCGGAGCGCAAGTTTGCTCACACTGGTCCACATACGGACGTTGAAGATGACAGACGACGTGTTGTCCGTACGATACAGCCCGAACGGCAAGCTCCTCGCAGTCGCGCTGCTCGACTCGACAGTAAAGGTCTTCTACCAAGACACGCTCAAGTTCTTCCTCTCCCTCTACGGGCACAAGGTACGCACGCTTATGGCATCTGCGCTCCAAACGATTCTTACGCCCCCCCCCCAGCTCCCCGTGCTCTCTATGGACATCTCGGCCGACTCGAAGCTCATTGTGACGTGCTCTGCGGACAAGAACGTGAAGATCTGGGGGCTCGACTTCGGCGACTGCCACAAGTCGATCTTCGCGCACGACGAGAGCGTGATGCAGGTCGCGTTCGAGGGCACGGACGCGCGCGACGGCGACGCGAAGGCGTCGCACAACTTCTGGACTGTCGGCAAGGACAAGATGGTCAAGTACTGGGACGGCGACAAGGTGCGTACACTGTGTACCTCGGCAGTCTTGCGCGCGCTGAGCTGACGAGGATACCTGGTGCAGTTTGAGAACATCCAGAAGCTCGAAGGCCACCACGGCGAGGTGTGGGCGCTCGCCGTCAGCCGCCATGGCAAGTTCGTGGTGACCGGCTCGCACGACAAGTCCATCCGTGTCTGGGAAAAGCTCGATGAACCTGTAAGCTTCCGCCTACACCCTATATGCGTGCCATGCCCCAATCTAACACACCCCACCAGCTCTTCCTCGAAGAAGAACGCGAGCGCGAGCTCGAGGCGCTCTACGACTCCGGCATCGCCGACACGCTCAACCGTGCCGACGCCACCATCGGCAGCGGCGCGCCCGACGCAGACCCCTCCGCCGCCACCTCCGGCGCTGCCGAGACCGGCGCGGTCACGAAGCAGACGACCGAGACGCTCATGGCGGGCGAGCGCATCATGGAGGCGCTCGAGCTCGCGGACGCGGAGCTGGAGGCGCTGCGCGAGTACGAGGACGCACGGGCCCGTGGGGGGCTCGCGGAGAGCGTCGCGCCGCCGCCGCGGCACCCGGTGCTCGCGGCGTATGATGTTGCGCCCGAGGCGTATGTGCTGCAGGTCGTCGAGCGCGTGCCGGCGACGGCGCTGTATGATGCGCTGCTCGTGCTTCCGTTCGGGAAGGTCGTGAGCCTGATGCGGTTCCTCAACGTCTGGGCCCAGAAGGCGCGTGTCCCGTTCCTCCTTTGCTTGCTTGTGTACCCAAGTGCTAATAACTCGTGTGGGGGATGCAGGAGTGGAACATCGTGCTCACGTCGCGCATCATCTTCTTCCTGCTCAAGACGCACCACCACCAGATCGTCGCGAACCGCGTGATGCGCACCGCGCTCGTCCCGCTCCGGCGGCACCTGCGCGAGGGCCTGCGCAAGCAGAAGGACGCGCTGGGGTACAACCTCGCCGCGCTGCGCTTCCTGCAGCGGCAGACGGACGCGAAGCGCACGGCGGAGTTCTACGAGGCGGAGGCGGACCTGTCCGAGGAGAAGGTCCGGGAGCGCATTGCGGAGGGCAAGAAGCGGAAGCGCGTGAGCATCAAGGCGTGAGGCGTCCGCGGCCTGAGGGCGAGACGAAAAGTAGTGTATTCTACAATACATAGTGTGTTTGTGTAGATGGTTCATCATCGCTAACGATACAATGCCATGCTACGGGGGTATACGCGTCTGTGCTAGCAGACGGCCCGGCCAGGGACCATACATAATTGCTGTCCGTGACCTCTCGGTCAGATGTTCATTAGACCTTGGGGCCCCACAAATCCTCGAGCCTGCGCAGAAGTGAGCATGTGCGTTCTGAATACGTATACCGATATAACATACCATCCGTCTTTAGGATCTGTCGCCGGCCGCATCTGCACAGTCAACAAGCCCGTATCGAGGTCCGCAAGCGAGGAGAAGGCGGCCTTCGTGAGATCGACGTGCTTCGACCCCTTGGCACAGCCCGCGCACGAGTCAACGACGCGCACGAAGACGCACTTCGTCGGCTGGTGGCAGACTAGACGATGTCGTGAGTAAAGGGGCGGGTTTCGTGAAGAGGTCGAGGTAGGCACTTACGCTCAAGAAACTTGAAGCAACTCGGCTTGGTCGTCCAGCCTTCCATGGTGAGCGCAGCGGCGAAAGATCCGTCCTATATCATTACACTTTGTTGAGAAACAAAAAACATCTCAGCGAGGGCTTGCGCATACAGATGGGTGCCAGGGCGTGTTGTCCCAGCAGCTAGGGTTGAGGAGATCGTGTCCAGTATACCAGGTGATAGTGACCGGCTCAGGTTTGCCGATCCCCTTGAGGGTGTTAATGACTTTGTTGAGGCCTCCAGTAAGCACGCCAGTGGTAGATCCCGTCAGCTTCTTAGTAGTTGACTTCGCGGACTTCGTAGTGGTCTTCTTCGAGATCTTCGAGGATGCCTTTGCTGCCTTCTTAACGGTCTTCTTGCTGACCTTGTGGTTGGCCTTCTTCGAGCGAGACTCCAGAACGTGCCCCTCAGAGTCCCCAGATTCGTCAGTGTCATCAGGGTCGTCATCCAGATCAGAGTCCGTGTCTGCCCGAGACGAGTACTTGTAGCTGAGGTTGGTAGTGTTGACAGTCTGCCAGCCGTCGCGGGGGTCAAACTGATAGTTTCTGCCGAGCGAGTGGGGAGTAGTGTATTTGCGCTCGAGCGCCATGCGGGTGTAGTCGATCTCAGCAGCCGAGACCCCAGTAAGATAGGTCATGAAGGAAGCAGCCAAAAGGGTCGCAGCGGCGAGGCGGAGGAAGCTGAAGGACATGGTGGGCGATGCAGTAGTGTAAAGACAGGCCAGCCTGGGAGGTACGAGTCGGACGAGAGAGGGCGGGAGTAGGCCGGTGGTGGATGTGGATGAAGAAGCGAGCGTGAACGAACGTCTGGCTGGACGCGGTCTCTTTGGCGGGCAACGCGTCCTGTCACACGCACGTGCTGCAAACGCCTCACGGCTCTCCGTGTCCGACTCTCCGCAGCCGGATCGGCAATGGGCGCTTGTGGCGGCTTGGGCAATCACGGCAGGCATCTGACCGTATTTCAGGATGTGAAATCCATGTGATATCCGAGTAAGTCAATTACCTTTGTTGAGTATACAGCAAGGTTAGCCCACCCAGGGAAAGCTAACATATCACACGGATAGCACACTCCTATCGCATGCTGTACGCCGTAAAATAATTTAACCGTGGTGCGCTAAAGTTCTTTGGACACTGCTTTGCGCGCCAATCCTCCATTAAGCGCCGATTACCGTGCCATAGGAGTGAGATATCCTTGTGATATGTTAGCTTTTCCATCGTGGGATAACTGTGCTATGTACTCGACATATATAACTGACTTACTCGGCTATAACACGAATTTCGCGTCCTGAGATACGGTCGGATGCCCGCCGTGAATCGCGCAATATGACTCCAGGCGCCCGCTGTATGTAAACAGCCTGCCCAAAACCACCAGGTCTTTATATAATTCCGGCGAACACACGTCGACTCCCGCTGTCAGTTCTCTAGACCGCACTTGCCCCTGGGTGCTCTCACAACTAACACGACCACGATGGCATCGAAGGTTGCCACGAAGCTGAACGGCACACAGCTCATCCACGCCGATGACGAGCTTCACGGTGCGGAGGTAGCGCCCTCCATCTCCGTCTCCACCAGTAAGATCCTCCTTCTCGTCCCATCCGTAGTATGTACTGAGACGCCGCGATCGCAGCCTTCCGGGCGCCCAACCCGCTGGAGACGACCGACGCGGATGAATTTGACGTGTGGAACCCCACTCGCCATATCTACTCGCGCTACACCCAGAACGTGAGCGGCCGTGCCGAGCGCGTCCTCAGCAAGATCAACGTAAGCGACACTGTCTACAGCCTCGCTATACTCCTACTTAATGCACAATTATAGGACGGGTACGCTATTACGCTCGCTTCTGGGCTCGCTGCCACCTACGCCGTAAGTGTACCACTGCGTGCTGCAGTACACACACAAGGCGGAGCTAAGCAGTGACTGCAGGCCCTTGTGTACTTCAAACCCAAGCGTATCGCCATTACCGGAGGGTACCACGGCTGCCATGCCTCTATCGACGTCTACAAGCGCACCCGTGAGACTGAGCTGCCCCTCATCGGCATCGACGATGAGTTCCAGCCTGGCGATCTCTGCTGGCTCGAGACTCCGCTCAACCCGACCGGAGAGGCTCGGTATGCCCTTCACTACGTCCGTTCAAACGAATGCTCATCTCTGTATTCACTCAGTGACATCAAGTACTACGCTGACAAGGTACGGCTACTAGCCACAGCTGAGGTATGAATGGCGCTGATGGTGTTACAGGTCCACGCCGCCGGTGGTTGGCTGCTCGTGGACTCGACCTTTGCCCCGCCCCCCATCCAGTACCCCTTCAAGTGGGGTGCGGATATCATCATGCACAGCGGTGCGTTCTTTTACACATTCGTGTCGCTAATGTATGCTTAGACCTATGTAGGCACGAAGTACTTCGGTGGACACTCTGACCTGCTCTGCGGTGTTCTGGTTGCCCCCACCCTGGAGAAGTGGAAGGAGGTAAGGACATACGATCTATTCCTACTTCCCATGGACGCTCATGCACCCGCTCGGTAGCTCTGGCACATCCGCACGTTCCTCGGCAACATGATGGGCTCGCTCGAGTCTTGGCTTCTCCTGCGCTCCCTCCGCACCCTCCACTTGCGCGTGCCGCGCCAGTCGGAGAACGCCTACGAGCTCGCGCAATGGCTATCCAAGGCCGCCGGGGTACGTTCATTCCGTACTGTCGGGCGGCGATTAGGATATTGACGAAGAGTCACGACGTAGGGCAAGTCCTCTGATGGTATCCCCGCTGGCATTATCGAGAAGGTGTGGCACTCAAGCCTGCAGGGCGTGGACGCGCGCGGGTTCGACCCGAAGACTCAGCTTGAGGGCGGATGGAACCCCACGTTCGCGCTGATTGTGAGTGCCCGGCTCTCACCTCTAAAATTGCCCTTTCAATGGGAAGCCTGTTGACACCCACACCTTCGAATTCAGACGACGAAGGAGGTATACGCGGCGCTCCTGCCGCACACCGTCAAGTACTTCATCGTAAGTACCGCCCTCCCTATCACTGCTGCCGCACCTGACACAGACGCACTCCTTCAGCCCGCAACCAGTCTCGGCGGCGTCGAGTCGCTCATCGAGCAGCGCATCCACTCCGACCCGGGCGCTGACCCGCGCCTCATTCGCATCAGTGTTGGTATCGAGGACGTCGAGGTGCGTTGCATATCCGCACACTTTGGTGATGACTAAAGGTCTCATATCTTGTCATAATGCAGGATCTCAAGAACGACTTGAGGAGGGCCTTCCAGGAGATCCTCAAGCACCCCAAGGCGAAACTTTGAGCAACTCACTAGAGCTTGTGTGTCGTTTTGTGCTCTGTAGAATTTAGAAAGAAGGTTTGGACGGTGGTTTGGCGGTACTACTACCGTTTGTGCAATTCATGTGTTGGTTGACATCGCTTCTCTGGGGCTTCGGATCTCCCTCTGCGGATCTCCCTCGGACGACAGGCGTCCGCGCCACTATTCGGGAAGGACGCGGTGCCTGCATCGAAGTGATCCCCGTCCGTGGCGGGCCGTTGACAGCCTTCACAGCACCGATCCACGTCTAATGCTCTCTTCACGTCGACGTCATTAATGTATAAGAGCTTCTTTGCGACGAGCCGCTTCTTGCTCTTGCCCCCAGGTTTGCCCCCATTCCCCGCAACTCGTCCTGCTGCGGATACCACCTAGCATGTCATCACGAGTGTATCTCGGTGGTGAGTTGCAGAGGGATATCGCGGTGTCGTTTGCTGAATTCAGCACATCCATGTCTAGCCTTGCCTGAGAATGTCAGCACGACAGAGGTACACAAGGTACGCGCATTTAATCCTCAAATATCTGTCGCAGACGTTGCTTATGCCTGACAATGCAGTACCTCTCGATGTATGGCCAAATTTTGGAGATCAAGCTGCGCCAAGGCGAGTCGCAAGAGGGTTACTCGCCGTATAGACTTGACGCAGGACAGCAGGTTTTGGCTTCGTGCAATTCGACAGCGCGAAGGTGGGCGAATTTTTCCGGGCCCGTTACACGCAGTGCTTTAATGGGAATGCTTCAGGACGCCTTGGTAATTCTCCACCCTCGGTTCCTTGTCGGGTGGCGGAGGAAGTTGACCGCGGTTGTAGGACGTCGTTCGGACCTTCGGTGGCCGACCTTTCCTCGGGGCTGGTAGTGCTGATTTACTACTATCATAAGAGTGATGGAGGTTGATGCTGATTACTGTGCTGCAGATGTTAAAGTGCAGCTGGCTCGGCCTGATCGACGCGTTCGAGTACACGGAACGCGTGGGGTCTCCCTAGTTCCCCCGACCCATCCCAGCCTGCCTTCCCGCACGAGGTGACGACCCATTGGCCTCCTATATCAGAAATTACCAATTCACGTATCCAGGTCCTCGAGAAGTACCGAAGAGCCGAAGATGAGGTTTCCAGTGTTGATAACGGGCGTAAATTCACGAACGTCTCGGCAGGTGTGTAGTGACCGACCGCCTATTTCTGTCAGATTTTGAACATCCCGCGCAGGAACTCATGGATTTCGGCTGTTCGCTGGGAGGAGAGATCGCCTACTGCGGTATCGACACGGGGGACCACACCCGACGGTGGGTTTTCTCGATGTTGTCACAGATTATCTCATGACATGTTTGTACATAGGTTCGTTGACTTCACGCTGGAAAAAGATGCAGAACACGCTGTGAAGGAGTTGAGCGGCCAGGCACTCCTAGGGAATATTGTGCAGCTCACCCGCTATGTGAGTCGTGTTTCCGTGTGGTACTATAGGCTTACAGGCTTGACCTTGCCTCACAGGCGGCTCGCCGCGAGGAAACGAGACTTACCCAGCCGATGCGGAGCCGCTCACGCTCTCCCCTACGCAACCAACGCCAACCGAGTATCACACCACCAGGTCCGCGGTCAGATCGTCAAGACCAGAGGCACTACGAAAGGTGCTCCTGGGACCGTGTTGTGCCTTGCTCGTGGGATCGTGACGACAGTGTGTCGGCTTACGAGACTCACAAACGAGCGGCCATGAGCGATGACAGTCGTGATGCCTCGGTGCCCTGCCAACCCGACCATATACAAGGACAGCCCTCGAGGATGTCGTGGACGCCGGCTCTGGGGTCGCACACCTTGCAGCTGCCGATCAGCAATAACGAGACCGACACCAAATTCAGAGCCTACTTATAGAGGGGGGATCCCCGGCGAAGAACAAGCTGCGTGAGGTGAGCAGCAAACAACATCAACATGCTTTTAACCGACTGAACCTCTATAGACGAGGCAGAATCTCTGCCTGTTTGTACGTCCGTGCTTTTTCTGTGATTTCCGTGGTCTGAAGGGTAGCGGGTGCCCGCAGTAGCATTGCAGTGCTTTGTACTCTACTTTCCACCTCTGTACAGCTTGAGAAAAGCCACCTTGTCCTCCCAGCCCAATGACACTCGCTTGACGCGGCCGATCTGAGCCATTAACGCCGCGCAGGACTCGGCAAGCGGGTCCGGGTAGGTACCGCCAGTTAGGAACTCGCTCAGGAGGAAAGAGCCCGAGCTCGGGGATTCTGACGGCGCGAGCAAGCGGATGGAGACAGTGAGCGGCGCTAGGGAGTTCGCTAGCCGGAAGACGTGTGCCAGCGGGTTCAGGAAACCGGAAGCGATCGAGTGCGACACGGTGGGCGCGAACGTGGTGGGCGGGTCGTAGCTACAAAGAACCAACAAAGTCAGCACGCCTACGCCGGGGACCTCATGCGGGCGCACTCACCGCACACACATGAGGAAGACCTTGTACCTCATCACGGGCAGCCTCACGTCCCCGAACACCTCCGCAAACCGGAGCAGTGCGCGCCCATTGCTCGTCGTGCACTCGGGGAACACGGCCACCGGCCTGTCCGCCCTGCTCCGGATGCCCTCCAGCGTGTCTGCGTCCTGCGTGTCCGCGGACTCCGCGACGGGCAGGCGCCCGGTCGCGGCGAGCATGGTGAGCAGCGAGACGCGGCGGAAGCCGACGATGGGGATGCGCGTGGAGGGCGCGCGGGTGGAGGGGGAGGAGATGGCGGCTGAGCCGGTGCCGGTGCGTCGGCCGGGGGTGCGGGAGATGGGGGAGGAGGTCTGCGAGGAGGCTGTGGGGATGTCGAGCGTTTCGCAGACGGGGAGGACGAACATTGGGTTGAAGCTAGGAGGGGAAGAATAATAATGATACATGAGGTTCGGTTCAATGGGGGACAGGATTCGAGAGCGGTAGACTTACCGGAATGCGAGCCAGAGAATTTCCACCCAGGACGCCCAGTTCGAGACAATGAGGTCGCCCGCACCAGGGTTCCACTTGTCTTGCGCGGGGGCCACTCGCCTAGCAGGCCGTACCATCTCTATTCAGTTGGGCCAGGCGAAAGGAATGGGTTTAGCTCACCCGCGTTTTCGCTGGACCACCTCGACCGGGATCCAGTAGAGTCCGACTAGGAACAGGGCTAGACGGGAGAGAATTGCGGTGAAAACATAGGTCACAGCTCTATGTAGTGGGGGGACTGGCGCCTGGTACCTGTTCCCGTGAGTCGGCCATATAGCTAAACGCAAACACTGGGGCACTCACGAAGACAAGGCAGAGTCCCTGCACAAGCACGGCGTAGACAAGCGCGACTGCGAGCACGAGGATAGTCTTGACGGCGCCGAGAGCGTAACCTAGCGGCGCTACGACAGTCGCAATTATATCCGAGCCTGACGGTGGGACTGGTCGCAGGAATGGCTGCAGTTGCGACGGTCAGGCGCTGAATTGAGCGGGAAGTCGGCGCACAAGTCTTTGTGCTACGAACCTGGATGCCCGTTCCCGGATCCTGCGATGCCCTTCAGCAACAACGAGGAGAGAACATACATTTCTGACTCACCCTGAATGCTGAGAATTTCTCCATATGTTTTCTAAGTGCGTAAACTTAGCAGGTCCAGGTGGTTCTGCGTATACGAGGTGTGGCGCAAGCGTCCTGCGTCGACGTGCGGAACGAGGTCGTGTCGGCGTCTACTACCCCGAAGACGCGTCTAGATAGGCGCTCATTGGGACGCGCACGATCACGCCGACGCAATGCGCAATGCGCATCACCGCAGCGGCTCTGCCGGAAGCACTCACGTCCCCTCGAGCCGGACCACCATCTCCTCTCCGGCCTCTACTTCAGTGTTCCGTAGCTTGCGTCCTGTTTCTACTGCAGAGCCTCGTCTGTGCTGTCGTGTTCACCGACAGAGTCTGCAATACCGTCGGGTCCTATCGTCCGACTCGGACGAAAGCTACTGCGGAGCTTGGGGTGGTACCGCACCAGTCGCTCACTTGCATAGTCTGAACACGACCCATCTTCATTCCCTCTTCATCGAAATACCTGGGTAGACATGGCCACCAGCGGTGACGGGGCCAAGCAGCGGCTCATGCTCGCCGCTGCTCAAGTCAAGCACCTCGGGCGGGCCGCTATACAGCGCTATAAGAAGCTCAATACGTACTCTAAGGTACGTCATTCTATCTGCAATCCTTCCTTGCATTCTCATCATCCATCGTGTACGCTATATAGCTATTCGTCTGGGGAACTTTCTTCCTCTACCTCTCCCTGGCCTTCACCGTCATCTACATCGGTCCGGACCGCATCGGTCAGGCCCTCTACAACACTGCGCAGAAGATCAGCCATTACCGCTTCGGTTGGCTCATCTTATTCGGACTGTTCTGTGAGTTCATAGCGGTGTCACCGTTCATATACTCAACAACCGTATCGAGACAGTTGTGGTATCGTTCCCGCCGGGGGTGGGCCACACCACACTCATCACACTATGCGGGTACGCGTATGGCATGAAGGGCTTCCCCATCGCTGCTGCCGGGTCCCTGTTCGGCTCGGCCTTCACGTTTGTCGTGTTGCGCCTTCTGTTTAGCAGGAGGCTACGAGCTTGGTCCCAGTCAAGCGAGAAGTGGCAGGCTCTGGAGACCGTGATCGTGCGTAACGCCTGCTCACAGCTATCAGAGATACTACTAACCTCTTAACGCCCTGGCCGTAGGCTAGCAAGGGCTTGCCTCTGATTATGCTCATCCGGGCGTCGCCGTTCCCTCCCTGGGTGTACTCGAACACGCTCTTCGCCGTGAGTCGGTCCAGGATTAACTGACATAAAGTTGCTCACGCCTCCGCCTGCAGTCGATACACTCCGTGGCGCTTTGGCAGTTCTTCATGGCGACATTCGTGGTCTTCCCAAAGATCGCGATCTTCGTGCTTGTCGGCTCACGCCTTGCCTCTCTTTCCGACGGCGAGCAGCGGTCGCATATGGACACGAGTAGGTGCACCGCATTATCCCCGTACGGAGCCTTACACGCATGTCATAGCAACGAAGATCCTGAACATCTCCATCTCCGTCGGAGGTGTTTTGATCACTGCTCTCGCGAGCTGGTTAGTTTCCGCTCGTCGCCACCTCAATCGCGCGCTAATGTCTCCCAGGGTCATATACCGCGCCATGCGCAAGGAGATCTTGCACCTGCAGGGCGTGCCGCCGGAGACCGACGAGCTCGCCGTAGAAGCTATCGAGGAGGCCGAGGAGGGCGCGCCGCTCCTCGGTCCTCACCGTGCATCCAGAGACAGGTACGATGGTTCATCTGCCTGAAGTGTACTGCGCTGTAACATTATGATACACGCCGTATCGGTGGGTATATACAGTCTCGTAGATATATAGTCGTGATAATCCTCGGGACACTGCATCTATCCATAGACCCTGGACCGGAATTCCATACACATACACGGAGCATAAGCCGGATCAATAGTAGTGCAAGAAGAGCAGCGACAAGCTCGCCCCGATGAGGAACAGCAGGATCCACTTGCGCCCGTCCCGCGCCCGGCGCCGCGCCTCCTTGAGCTGCTCGTTGCCCTTCTCGACCGTCGCCGCGGTCGCGATCGCGTCCTCGTACAGCTGCTCGGTCTGCTCGGTCTGCTTCGTGAGGTGCGCGACGAGCTCCATCTGCAGCGCGCCGATCTCGACGAGCCGCGCCTCCGCCTGCTGCACGGACGCGAGCGTGTCCTGCACGGACTGCAGGATGTTCGCGTTCTCCTCCTCGAACTGCTGGATCTGCGACGCGGACAGCTCGAGCTCCTCCTCGTCCGTCTCGGACATGTAGTCGTCTCGCAGCGACGCGGACGGCTTGAGCGTCGACGTCGACTCGAAGGGCGATGAGGACGGGCCGCCGATGCTGGCGGCGAAGCTCGAAGCGAGGTTGGACGCGCCCCCGAGCCAGCTCCCGCTGGCGGTCGACTCTGCCGGGGAAGGCGGGGCTTCGTATGCGCTGAGGTACATGGCCTCCCGTGCGGCGCCCGACCCGAGCGTGCGTGACCGCTCCAGTTGGCGCTTCATCCGCTCCTCTTGCATGTCGCGCAGGGCCTGGCTCGTCTCCGTGAGGCGTCGGCTGAGGTACCATGTCATGCCGGCATGGTGGGCTGCGACAAAGTCGGAGGCGGCCGTCGAGTCGTCCTGCCGAAGGCGTGCGGGCAGTAGTCTTGTGAACGGGTTTTGTTGGCTGGCAGCGAGCTCGACACGCTCTGGACCATAGTCAGCTACTGTAGCATGGCTTCAAAGGAATGTGATGAGATTGTAGAACACACTTTTCTCCAAGTCCTCCAGTTGTGCAACACGGTCCTTACATCGGGAGAGGATGACCCGTGCCTGCAGGTCTATCTGGTCCCGTTCCTCGTTCGTCAAGTGTCGGAGGTCACCCCATGACTGGTCGCCGCCAACTATGTCTATTGTTCGGCTGGTCGGCCGCAGCATTGGCGGACTCCGGGAGTCGACATTAAGGTATGCTTTCCGCACGGAGACAAGCATGCGTGCGAGGGTGCTGATGTGACTGAGCTAGCATCCGTAGTCCACGCGTGAATCTTTCACAACGGTATAGGTAGCTGTATGACTACTCACAACGACGTATGCCTCCTTCACGTACTCCTTGTTCAACGTCTCCAGCCTCTCGCCCTCAGGTGTTGAGCGCTTCGAAGGTCGCGAGAGCTTACGCCGTTTCGCCTCGGGGATGCCTCTCTCCTTCTCTCGCACCAGTTCGCGAAACTCAGAAGTGCGTGGAGTAGCCGGCATCTTAGCGCAAGAATCAGAAGTATAAACGTGCAAGCTAAGCGTGGTGTGTGTCCTGGGAGTGCGTTCCGTGGGCGGAGGTGCTGCTGCAGCCCCAGGACAGACGCCGACGCCCGCGGTGTCCACGATTCAGCCGATCTCGATTGGCGTACCACGTGGGCGCCGCGCGACGGAGTATAAAGGCAGGCGCGCGCGCGTCGCCTTTTCACTACATAAATTCTACCACAGGGATACGCTCTATGCCTCGCCGAGACGGCTCGACCGTGGACGGGGCCTATCTGCTGTGGAAGAGAACGACGTCCTCGTTTGAGGCGGATGGCGTGCGTTTTACCGCCGCTTGCCATAGTTTGCGACGTACATCTCTTCATCTCTGCACCGGTCCTCTGTACTCGTTCTGTGCCTCCGCTTTTTTGCAATACACCTCGTTTTACCGCAATGCTCTGTGCCCCGGAGTGCATGCGACTTCCACCGGGTATGTTGTGGGTCCCTAGGCAGGTTGCACCGGCCGACGACCGACCGCGACTCAGTTGCAGCTGAATTATAACAGACAGGATCGCAGTCTGATCGCTCCTGCAAGTTCTCCGAGCGAGCAGTCACGACTGAACGACTCCTGAAAGTCTAGTGAGTCGACAGCATGCTGTGATCTGGACATGTAGTATACTCATTGTCGAGGTTTATACACAGAGCTCTCCCCCAGGCTTTCCGTCGAAGCTCATCATTCTACTGGACGTTTGACGGCGCAATAGACCAGTACTTCGTCTTGGCAGCCATCGGAGTTTGGTGTGTATGCTTAACCACCTTCGATGGTACACATCTCAACCGGCGGTGTCCTTTGCTGCGATCTCATCTCGGGATTACCGCACCTCCAACAGGCATCTACAGCTACCTATCATCTTCTGCACCGCTGAGAAGCTTCTTGTGGCGTCGATTATCTCGCCTCGGAGCCTCATTCGGCATGCGCAAGTGAGGGCTGCGGGCGCCCATCGCGGCCATGTGGGGGGAGGTCAGTAGGTCCACAATCATGTCGGGCGCCCCCCTCATGCTCACGACCATCCTGTACAGATAGCACTACACATGCTCTCACTCGGCTTGCGCGAAGTGCAGCCTTGCGAGGCACGCTGATTTCATGGCACGCGGCACGTCGTGATGCCCATGCAGTCTGTACGCTGACCTCTAGTCCTCGCCGCAACGTCCTCATCCAGACGGCGGCGGCGCTCAGTATAAATGCCAGATGCGTCGTCCAGTATTCCACGCAACGCCGAGGTCTTGCGCTCTCCACCATGGACGTCTCCTTATACGCCGAGAAGTACGTCTGCACGCCGTTCTGATTTGCACTTTTTCTGACCCTCTCGTTCGGCAGCTTTGTCGAGGCATGCTGTGATTTTACGGCGTTCAGTGAGTACCCAAGTAAGCTCAATCAATGGAGTCCTCTTTCTGACCATATGCAGCTCTCATCTTTTATGAGTACCTCATCACCATCGACCGCGAGATCGACCAGGTGTGGGGCAGACGATTTACGGGTGCTACTGCCCTATTCTGGCTGAACCGCTACCTGGCGTTGTTGAAATATCCTGTCTACATCGTGGCACATCAGGCACTATCGGATATGGTGAGGGTCGTCGTGATCTGCGAGACCCATTATATTGTACTGACGAGTTGACTTGTAGAGGTACACACGTCTTGTGTATTTTGTACCAAACTCGCTAAACCACCTGGCCTTAGTTGCCATGCAGTCAACATCTACAGTATGGTAGTCCAGATACTGCCTTACGTCGTGTGGACAGGTAAGGGCTTGCCGCTCATCTTCCAAGGCCAGGCTCACGATTGTCGAAGCGTTCTCGACACTGCGCATATACGCGATTTGTGGGAATAGCTGGAAGATGGCACTCCTCGTACTGATACCCGGGTCGGTCCAGATCGCTTCAAACATAGTACGTTGCGCTCGCTTTGTGTCTACCTATTCCTTCAAACTCACCGCCGGTTAGTATCTGTATTCGCAGACATCCGCGATCAACTATCCACTTCCTATAGGATGTTTTGCGGAGTGGTTAATTCCGACCGAAATCTACGTTAGGTGTGTTTTCTCCCCCTTGTCACGGTCTCATGCTCGCCGTAGCTGACCACTGTGTTACTCTGCAGACGTGCGTATGGTTCTGGTTCGGGTCTTCTCAGGTGTCCCTGATAGCTGTGACTATCTGCAGTGCTGATCGCAACTCGTGCGAGTGTCATTGTCAACAATGTGCTCGTGATCGCTCTCACCTGGTGGAAAACCTACGGCATCAGGAAACTGGTAGCGCAAGCCAACATGAAGGTCTCACTTTCCACACTGCTACTGCGTGATGGTCGGTCGTTTGTCCATCCGTCGTATTGGTCCTGCTACTGACCGAATTATGTACAGGAACGATATATTTCCTGTGAGTATTGTGTACGGAGTTTCGTGCGCGTAGCGACTCACCGGTGCGCAGGCTCCTCTTCATTATGAGCATATTTCACATCGTGTTCAGCCTCACCGAGGTAAATATGAACATGCTTCCATCGTGCTTGCGACTTAGCTTACCCTTGAGCAGCGCTTCACGTATACACTCACGTTAGAGGAACCGTCAGTCGATGTCCTCGACGTATGATTTAAACGCTCACATAGAGTCTACAGGCTTACAGCGATTCTCGTCTCCCGTTTCCTGCTCAACTTACGAGAAGCAGATGGTTCCCGCAGCCTTGACGACCTCGACACCATGATCTCGTTCCCCTCATTCGCCCGGCATCCAAACGACTCGGACGAGAGCACGCCTCATTTCGTCGCTAGCTTCATCGGCCCCCTTGGCGCGCCCCTCGACCACACTCCAATTTCTCAGGACGACGCGTCTATCGCTGCCTCGACGGGGACAAGCCACTTTACCGACGCTAGGGCCTATACGACTCAGTATTTGTATCCTGGTAGCGAGGGCCACGCCGAACCTGTCATCTCTGTGTCCATGGAGGACGGCTTCCTGTCCTCACAATTCCGCGCCGGTGTCGTCGAGGTGTAGCCGAACTTGTCGATAGGTGTGTGGCATATCTGCGCAGCGCTCCATTTTCCATGCGTGTTCTGAAGGATACCGTTCTCCAGTCATTCATAGTCAAGTCTACTTTGGTTTCAAACTCGTGTAGCATATCATTAGAGTTGTACAACGTAGCAAGCAACTTTGTCATATCAAACACACTCATACCAAGGAGTGAGAATTTGTGATGATTGATGGCCTTAGCCTCACAAGGTCGCGCATGCGATCTAACGAGACGGCGAGAGCTGAGAACGGGCGTATACTCTTTAACCCGAGCATTAGGCAGGGCACCCCAGTGGCAGCCATGTTCCGAGTGTTCGAGCGAGCCGGGGCGGCGGAGCGCATCGCACTAAGGATGCCGGGGAGTTTCCAGGTCCCACAGGAGGCGGTTGAGGTGTTCACGGATGGCTCTTGCATCAACAACGGCATGTCCAACGCCTGCGCGGGGAGCGGGGTCTGGTTTGGAGAGCAAGATCCGCGCAACACTGGTGTACGAGTGCCACACAACGAACAGTCAAACCAAGCGGCGGAGATGTATGCTGTGACCCTGGCCCACATGCTCACCCCTCCCTTCGCACCGCTACATATCGTGAGCGACTCGAAGTATGTTGTTGAAGGACTAACGCAACATCTGCCGAAGTGGGAACGACGTGGATGGATAGGGGTGGCGAACGCGGAAGTAATTAAGGAGGCGGTCGCGCATCTTCGCACGAGGAGCGCACCGACGACCTTCAGGTGGGTGAAAGGCCATGCGAACGAGCGAGGCAACGAGGAAGCGGACCGCCTTGCGAGAGAAGGAGCGAACCTCCCACAACAACTCCGCCCCGTTGCACTCCCCCCGAGTGTCGAGTACGTGCATGAAGGGGCCTCTCTGTCTGACCTGACGCAGAGCCTGGCGTACAAGGGCATTAGAGCGCGGACACCGAGGCCTGCACGACGGGCGACGACCCGAGGGGTCAGCGAAGCGGTGGCCAGCGTTGCGAAGACGACCGGGGCGGAGCACAGAGAGGCTGCGCTGTGGATGCTGCTCCGAAAAGACCCGATTGCGAAGCGAGTGAGGGACTTTATCTGGAAGGCGCTGCACCAAGCATTCAGGGTGGGGGGGTTCTGGTCGAACATACCTGGGTACGAGGAGCGGAGCCGCTGCTCTAGATGCAACTGCGAAGAGTCAATGGAGCACATCCTGACAGAATGCGGAGCCCCGGGGCAGACTGAAGTATGGGACCTCACCAGGCAGCTCCTGAGTAAGAAAGGCGTCACGCTACCGGTCATGACATTGGGCGCTGTGACCGGAGCGCACCTGTGGACGATAATGAACGAGAAGGATGAGATCCGATGCGGCGCGACCCGCTTGGCACGGATGATTGTCGGCGAGGCGGCCTACTTGGTCTGGAAGCTGCGATGTGAACGGGTGATCGGATGGGCGGACGAACCGCAGAAAACTCACTCGAGAGAGGAGATCGCCAACCGATGGATGGCGACGGTGAACAAGCGTCTGAGCATGGACTGCGCTATGACTAGCAAGCGCCTTGCGGGACGGCACGTGATCGCACAGGAGGTGGTGGAAGCGACGTGGGGGGGAGTCTTGCACGACGAGAAGTCCCTCCCAAGAGACTGGGCGTGTATGTCGGGGGTTTTCGTGGGTAAGCTGACGCTGTCGGAGGTCAGGGATAACGGCTGAGGTCACTCAGCCGCGCCCTGGAGGTATGCAGTCCCACACTAGATGAACTAACATCGTGCATAAAGCATTTCCCCCGGCGCGGTGTGGGGGGTAACGCCCCCGTCTCTTGCAATTACTTAGCGGACTAGAATGTAGTAAATAGTCGCGTTAAGCAAGCACCGTCAAAAAAAGAGAATTTGTGATGATCGTTGGTTCGAATTATAACGTCTTGTCTGAGCATCTGTGTATCTTTAGAAAAGCCTGCAAGTTACAAGTGGGTATGAGACTTGCGAGCACCTGAACTCGTGGTGGCAATGAGGATTAGAGCTCAGAGAGGGATCAAACAGGTTCAAACGTTAACATTGATGGGCATGGTCCGTGCGCGCCTGCACGGTATAAAAGCCCTCCTCGAACATCCAAACAACTCATACTTACCTTGATGGCACGAGCCCCTTCATGTACCAGGGTTCGTGGGCCGTGGGGGCCTCTCATAGCACGGCGACCCTGTCCCCAGGGGGCCCTTGCGGTTTGTATGGGCTTCGGCTCATGCACCGTCTCAATATTTCCCTGTCCCGCTTCGGCCCTCGGGCTGGGCGGGCCTTTTTCATGTCGGCGCGTTGCGCTAACCCTAACCCTATGTCACGCTTAGGACTATCTCGTTCACTTGTTACGCTTTGTAAGATCTACTTGTAAAGTCAACTTATGGTATTCTAACTTCTTAAGAATGATTCTGTTGATGTTGAATGAACACACCTGTAACATACAACTGCTCGAATCAAGACACTGAGAATTACTTGCGTGAAGTATTCCTTAGACAGCTGTTCCGACAGAATTTTCGTTGGGATTTGGAAGAGGGTTTGGCAGCATCCAGAGGTGGAAGTTTGGGGCGACACTTGGCAACAAGCAGGGGAGGATAACAATACAGGTATTATACAGAACACGACCGAGCCCAACATACCACAGGTCGCATCACCGTATCGCCTCTAGTGTCTCCATCGAAGTAACGCTGTTGCCGCGGATGACCTATGTAAAAGAGGGACGATAACGTCGCAATGAACATATGCTAGGAGTCAGGGTAGCGCGCAGACTTACAACAGTGCCGATGGGGTGCTTTTGCGCGGGGTTGGTCTCCTCGAGGGCGTCGTCGATGACCAGGTTCAAGAACAGGTCGTACCCGCGCAGCGTCCCGCTAACTTTGCGGCCTCCTTGGAGGTGGACGAAGAGCTTCTTGTCCATAAACTGTGTGGATTGGAACAAGGCGGGATGAGCATCACGCGCATTTCGTATGGAGACTGGAGCGCACCTTTTTGAGCTCTGGCTGGGAGGCTTTCGACATGGTGGCGAGGGATGGAGGGCGACGATGGAGGAGAGCGTGAAGGCGCGCCGAGCACGCAGATCGCGCGGAGAGACGGCCACGTGGGAAGATCCGGAAGGGGAATGAGACCTGCCCATGCAGGAACGGGCAGCTCGCGAGGGCCCCTCTGCTCAACCCAACACGCTCTAGCCTCTCCCCTCCCCTTACGCCTCACGCCCCCCTCCACGCTGCTCTATCTATCGCCTCCTGCCCACGAAATATCACGAACGCCCGCCACGACACCTCCTTGTATACTCTCTCTGACACCCCTCACACCCTCCCCGTGGGTGCGTCTCTATTATCTCCCACTGACGTTGCTGAGAGGTGCCTGGCATGTTTACAGACTGCCCTGAACATCCAACACTAGCCCTTCGTATATATGGCCTCCGCTGCAGCACCATCAACGCCCTCTGGAGGTGTGAATACCTCCATGTGGGCCAGCCAGCCTCCAAGTCGTAGCGGCTGGGGTCGCAGTGGAGAACCTGGTTCTGCGTTTCGCGGTTCAGCCCGAGGACGGCCCGGAAGAGGCGGAAGTGGTCGAGGAGGACGCGGAGGTCGGGGTGGACGTGTTGGCGGGCCCAATACTCCGCGCGTGGAGGACAAGCCTTCCAAGCTGAACGGGGATCACAAGGATCTACCTAAGAAAGAACCGTCCGCGCCCCCGCTGACCTCGACTTCCTCTGTAACATCCGCAAGTGATCTGTCTTCCTCTCTGCCGCCGAAACCGTCGGGCCGACCCAAAGAGGTCAAGCCGCCCGTGAGGAAAGCGTCAGAGAGCAAACCCGGGCCCGCGCGCAAGCTCCCTCCAATTGTTGTGAACCCTCCTCCCGTCGCCTCTTCCGACGCGCCTCCCTCCGCAACGACGCCTAACCGCTCACGCCGTAAACGCTCTCAAAACAAAGGGAGCACATCATCCGTCTCATCAAAGAAGTCGCCCTCTACCGAGTCTAGTACGAGTCTTCTGCGCGCGGAGAAATCACCTGTGATCATGAAGGACCTCCCGCCCCACCTGGCCCCGCCTCCGCCGCCGGAGACGCCGTCGTTCGACATCAAGCATGATATCGACGCCCTCGTCGAGCGGGTCAGGGCCGTGGCCATGGACAGACCGCACACTCCGGGAAGCCATATTGACTGGGCGGGCGACGACGACGACAGTCTGCCCGACTTGGACGACTGGGGCGTTAAGAGCGTGTCGACTACGAGCAGCTTGCCGCCTCCTACCAGCCAGCCAGACCTGATCTCCCCCATCCTCGCGGGCGCTCTGAAACCTTTGCCGAATCTCGATTTTGGATCTCCGCAGCCCAGTGTTGCGGCGGATCTTACGGTCGAGAATGTAGCTACTCCCGAGGGGGACCACACACCCCGAGGTGAGCCGGAAATCAAGGCAAAGGCGGCGCATCCTACGAAGGGCAGCAGTCAAACGAAGGCGCTTGTACAATCGTTCTTCAACGGCTCGGCTCAGAATAGCGACCGGGCGCAGGCGAAAGGAGGACTACCGAAGTCTCCGCTGAACAAGTCCCAGCCATTGCATCCGTCTCTTCCACCCAAGCCAGCCGCTGCGGAAGATCCTCCAGTCAAGCAAACTCTTCCCAGCAAGCCTGTTCCGGCCTTGGAGGACCATACGTTGGAAGATGGTACAACAAGCGGCGTAAACAGCTCAATGCACGCGTCCATCCTTTCGGAGGGTCATAACGACTCCTCTTCATCCAAGGATACCTCGCCCGAGCGACAGGGCCTGGGTGCCTCCATGCACGCGCCGTTGTCCTCGTCCATGTCAGCCCCCAGTCACATCACCGCCCACACCACTACGTCCACCCCGTCCTTCCACCCCACGCACGGCCGCGCGCACACCGTCGGCCGCCCGAACGGCTTGCGCATGCCCTTCAGCCCCTCGCACGGCGCGTTCCCCGACACTGAGCGCGCGTCGCACCGGGACCGCATCAATCACGCGCGCACGCACTCCTCGCCGCCGACAGGTCCGGGCACGTCCACCGCCCGTGCGCGAGCCGGTAGTCGCCCCGTCATCACTGGAGCCGCGATGTCCCAGCTCATGCGCACGCTGAATGGTGCGCCGCCGCCGAAGCGCGAGGCCGCCGCCCCTGCTGCTCCCGCTGCGGCTGCCGCGACGAAGGAGTGACCGCCGCCGCTTACAACACTAGAATTGGTGCTGCCCCCGTGTATCGTGTACCGCTGCATATCTCCCTGGTTCCGTGCTGTCCGATGCTTCTCTTCCCGTTGGCTCGATGTTGGCTCGATACCCAGCTCAGTACCTAGTCCCTCCCCCTCTCCGTGTCCTTGTCCTGCGTGTGCTTCCACCCCCATCCATCTACATCCACGTCTATGTCTCCTGTGCCATCCCCCTCCAGTGCTCCGTGCCCCTCCCCATCCCATCTCATGCTTGTATACGATATTGCGTACGTTTCGGACCTTAATCTCCGTGCTGGATCTTTCAGGTGATAGTGTGCTAGTAGTGGCTCAGGCGTCTGGATGCATCTCGCAAATGGAAATCGATCATGACTCTTCTCCGTTATACTCAACTTGCTGCGAGTCGGACCGGTCAGGGTGAATGGGGTGTATTATCCGGAGCTAAAGTACGACAGCTCGAGCCCTACGGATTTTATGGGCTTCGAACGGCTAGAGAGGTTGGAGACGACGCCCAAGCTGACCAGGACGTTCCGGAGCCGTCCTTCCCATAGTAATGAGACGTCCTATGAATATTTCAGTCAGCGTACTTTAACTGATATAGATGAAAAGCGGGCACGCACGGTTGTTGTCGACACTTTGGCTTTCACCACTCCCTGGACCTCGTCAGCGAGCTCTGAGACCGAGACCGACCCCAGGGCCGACGGCGGTTCGTCTTCTGTGGGCAGTGGAGGATGATGTTTTCCGCGGCGTTGCCACCACTCTGCGCCTACGGACCACTCGCTCTCATAGCTGTAGACGTTGAAGTCGAAGCGGGACGCGAGCGAGAGGTCGCGGGACACTCGTGCGGCATACGCGCCGGATATATGGCCGAGCATAGGGTTGAAGAGCGCGGTGATGGTAGTGGGTGGCTGGGAGGGCGGGCCGCGCGGGGTTGGACTGGATGGCGAGGATGAGGATGAAGGGACCTGGAAGGATGGCGGGGTTGCGTCTGGTACTGTGGTGAAACGGATACCGGTAGACACTGAAATGCAGACGATCAGTGTTCACGAGAGGTGCCGGCGAATGTCAGGTTGCACGCACCTCCCGCGCTCTTCTCCTTCGCGCTGAAGTAGAACTCTCCGCCAACAGACACTCGGCCCCTCAACCCGCCCTCCATCGCCTCCTCTTCGTCGACCCGCTTCACGCCCGACCTCCTGCCCGCGGACGTATGCCCCGCTTTGTCGCTGTCGCTCTCCGGCGCGGGCCCGACCTTGCCGAAATTGTAGAGCGAGCGGACGCCCCACATCCCGTCCTCTGCACTCCATGTGTACTCGGTGCACCATTTTCCCGTGTCCTGCTGTAGGCTGAACATGATGTTGCTCGCCGGGCCGTGCCCCTTGGACTTTTCGTATGAGATGGGTGCACGTGGGTCTGAGATCGCCGCGACCATGCCCTGGAGGGTGGGCGTTATTCGGGTTGAGTACAGAGCATCAAGTCGACCCGTAGGGACATAAATACGGCCGTATAACAGATAGTCTGCTTGCACTGTAAGAACTTTGCTTGGGCACGATGCTCGGATGGGCTTACCTCGGGTGTCGACGCGCTCGCCTGCTAGCCATTCCTCCTCCTTGCCCTCGGGTTTTCGCGGCTGGTCAAAGACCTTGAAACGGTCGACCATGTCCTTGAAGCGGACGTCGCCGGAGCCCTTCACGTCCAGGTTACAGCTGGTGAATATATATCCCACGGAACCATTTAGGGAGGGCAGCGCATTCATGGAATACGTCGTCTTGAAGAGTGAGTTGGGGGACTTTGATATGGAGAAATGCAGCCCCCGGGGCACACTAAAGTCGAGCAGCGCTGTTCTAGCCGTCTGGGCGAAGTCCTGCAAGGATGAGAGCGAAGCAGCGTACCATTTGACGAGCGCGTGAGGTTCGCGTATAGATTATCCTCATTCCATCCGGTCTCCCTGTAGTAGCTGCGCAGAACATAGGAAGCGAAGGGGTGCATGGTCGCGAGTTGGGAGAGCTCGGCAAGGCAGTCGGAGGCAGTCGGCCAGCGACTTGGTCGGCGTCTCGGAGAGAAAGGCGCAGTGGGGAAGCGCCCATGGTTCAATATGGGCGCTCTTTGATTGATGCCCACGGGTATGACGTTGGGTCGGCTGGCGGACCGTCGGCTACCGCAGTCACAGTGAAGACGGCCTGCCTCGACGCGGCCTGCAGAACTTCCAGTTGGGCACAAAAGCTCGTTTGAGCATCCAAGGTACCCTCATCACTCCCACCACCATGGATTTGGATGACTTTGACGCTGCTGTCGAGCAGCTCCCCCTCGACCCTGGATCCTCAAACGCGCAAAGCCCCAAGGATGCGGTTCGCCTCATCGACGCGCAGTGGTACACTCCAGTCAGCAGACGGGGGCGGTGGATGGACCTCATCGGAGACTACGCCGGAAGTGAACCATTCGTTGTAGATGGTGCGCATCTACCGTTACTCTTTAGAGCTCGCGCACTGAACACATTGGTCAGGCGAGGCACTACTACAGCTCGTCCTCGACGACCCTCTACTTGCACTAGGGCGCACAGATGGTACAGTCAATATACAGTACTGCACGCCGCGGAAGTTGAAGCAGAGTTTATAGATGTCAGTTTCCAGATCGTCCACGCGATCTACACCATGGAGCGTGTCCTACACGAGATCTCGAGCCGCTCCGCGTCCTTCGAGATTGTGTTCTGGCATGGTGAGAGTGTTCACTCGGCAGCACCTTCTAATCTAACAGTGCTCCATCAGACAGACGCTTCCTCACGCTTCAGATCGGCGAGGACGAACACACCTCGTCGTCCCGTACACTGGCGCGGTCTATCCTCTTTAATCACTTGAGTGCGCTAGATATCCCAGTCCACACGTTTCTGGACACCTCAGATCCAGCCTGGTTGGCATATCGAATGCATACGAAGGTAAAATGCTCGCGGATCGGAGACATTACATTAGCGAGCTGACATGCTTTTAACGCCGTAGCCTATGTTCGTGATGACTAACGACGGAGGAGTCGTTGAAGGAGCTGCGTCAACAGCGCACACTGAACGAATCCTGCTTCAGCGTGTATTCATTTATACCCTCCTAGCCCAAGGCATCTCTATCACGCTGTTGAAGGGTGCTGAGTACCGAGACTCCAAGGTAGGTTGAGCGCACCAACCCGACACTCATGTACTGACATGGACAATCGCAGATCCTGTCGTTTGTTTACGAGCAACGTGTAGACGGTGATCCGAAGAGTCGGTTCCAACACGGGTTCTGGCTAGCCGTCCAGAATGCGTTGCAGTCGCTGACCGCACAAGAAACCGACCTACGTGCAGGCGATACCGCGACACCGCTGGAGGATGTCGAGTTGCTCCCTGCACGCGAGTTGGCCGTCGACCTCGTCAACAACCTGTCCGAATCTAGCGTATCGCAGCATGAGCTCTTTCCCGAACTCCTTCAGCTTTTTGTGGCACACATCCTCTTCGTGCCTCACCTCGGCTTGAAGGAGCGAGCTCAACCTCCCGTAGTCCTTCCCGCAGCCCTTTCTGACCACCTACACACTGCGTTTCTCCCGAGAGCATTCCTTGACCTCGAGGATGCCGCCTCCGCGGTCACCGTGGACGGTCGGGTATTTGCTGCGCTCCTGGACTATGTTCTCAGAGCTGAGCAACCATCCCTCTCCTCGATGCTTGGGCCTGAGATCTCAACGGCTGTGGAAGAAATATGGAGCGAATGCAACATACGCGCCCCCGACTTCGTCGCCCTCCGCGCTCGCTTCCCTCCTGCCCCGGTCGCTCCCGCGCAGGATGAACCTGAGGATCGTCCCTTGAGGCTGCTACCCTTCGAGCACCTTCTGTTCGATGAGGAACTTGCCTCCATTGCCCTCGATGTTGAGGTGGACAGCGGTGATGAAGACGAAGACCCCTCTCACCTCGAGTTCAACACCGTCTTCAGCGACACTCAACACTGGCACAACCACAAGCGTGCCATCCTTCCCCCGCATATGGGTGGAAGCGATACGCATGTCCAGCTGACCGAGTGGCAGCGCAAGCGCCAGCTCAAGAGCGAACAACGCTTCATGGCCAAGCTGCAGTGGCAGGCGGAGACCCTCACTGGCGCGTATGGCACTCCCCTGCAGCAGATGGTCATCCCCAGTGCCGCTGTTGCAAGAAAGTCGAAGGGAGCTCCCGCATCTAGTGCGAAGGCGGTACGTCGGAGTGTTTGCTCCACAAGCGTCCTCGGTAACATTGAATTGTAGGACGCTGCCGCTTCAAAACCCAGCAAGGGCGGTGCAGGAAAAAAGGGGAAGAAGGAAGTCATATCCTCTGCAGACAAAATTCGCCAGGCGAACCAGGCCAAAAAGCAGACGAAGGAGGATGACTCCAACGTCCAGTGGTGGAAAGACCAGCTCAAGGACATCGAGGAGAAGTCGGTCCCCGCAAGGATCGTCGCGATCGAGAACCTCATGCGGAACAAGCGCACGAAAGAGGGCTGGCTGGCCGTCGAAGCGCGCCTATACCGCCTCCACTTGGAGTTCTTGCGCTGGCTTGCCGACCCCGCGCAGGATTCGGCGGCGGCGCGCGACCGCTACAGCGTCACGGCCATGTGCATGTCCAAGGAGATCTTCGAGTCGAAGGAGCTCTTCCCAACGGCCGTGCGCAAGCTGGCTACGTGTCTCGCCGCGCTTGGGTTGGAAGAATACATCGACGCGTGGGCGGACGCAGCGACGGTGGTGAAGGAGGACCGCTTGCTCAACTTTGACTTCGTCAAGCTCGTGAAGTCGAAGAGCGGCCACGTGCTGCACAAGTGGATGCGCATCACCGAGGACCCCGTTGTGTGGCAGTTGCGCCTGTTCGGCGAGTACATGGACAGAAGCATGGACAGCCAGAGTGACCCGCGTGTGGCGTTCAAGCCTGACGCCTGGCAGCGCAAGGTGCTGGACTGCTTGGACCAGAACGAGTCAGTCTTGGTGGCCGGTGAGTACCTTGTAGTATCGCTTCAATCGAAAGCTGACTCCGAATGACAGCTCCTACCAGTGCCGGAAAGACGTTCATCTCCTACTACGCGATGGAGACGTTGCTGAGGTCGTCTGATGATGATATCCTCGTTTATGTTGCTCCTACGAAGGCGCTCGTCGGTCAGATCGCCGCTGAGGTCTACGCGCGATTCCGCAAAGAATTGGGCACCAGTGAGTGAAATCCTCATTTGAGATGGATATTTTTTAAAAATCCTTCGTCATCAGAGGCGTGCTGGGCCATTCATACGCGGGACTATCGAGTGCACAACCCCCAGAACTGCCAGATTCTTGTCACAGCACCGGAGGTGTTGGCGACGATGCTCCTGTCGCCTCCTATGGCGAAGACATGGACGCCGAGAATCAAGCGGTGAGTGTCGATTCATCGTGTCTGTGTGTAGTGTCTGAAGCGGAACCCAGGATCATTCTTGACGAGATCCACACCATCGGCCAGCAGGAAGGCGGTGCCGTCTGGGAGCAGATTATCCTCCTCGCTCCCTGCCCACTAATGTAAGGGAATGTCATATCATGCGTGGAAGGTACTAACGTCGAGGTCACAGCGGTCTTTCTGCCACCATTGGAGAACCCGAGAAGTTTAATGCATGGCTCGCATCCGTCCAGGAAGCGCATGGATTCAAGCACACATTCATCCGCCACCCCCACCGATACTCGCATCTCCGCAAGTACACGTACCTACTCCAGCCAAAAGACAAGCCCGCACCCTTCAACGGCCTCGCCGAGTACCGCAAGACCGAGCGCCTGCGCTTCATCCACCCGATATCTATGCTCTCGTTTGGGGCTCGCAGCCTGCCTTCCGACTTCTCGCTGGAAGCGGCGGACTGCCTGTCCCTCTTCTATGCGCTTGGGGATTTCCGGGACCGCCTTTCATTCGATCTGGATGCGCTGGATCCTACGCGCTTCTTCCCGGATTCAAAGGGAACCCTCCTGAAGCAGAAGGAGATCCTGCGCTATGAGGCGGCGCTCACGAAGGAGATCTCAGAAATGATGGAGTCGAACGATCCACAGGACCAGGATTCGGTATTGAACGGTGTGATCAGGAAGGTGTCCGATCCGATGGTCGAGACAGCAGACCAGAGATACATCCCCGCGGCGCAGGAGTTCTACACCAACCTGATCACCTTGGTGTCGGATCTGCAGGCGAGCGGAGACTTGGTGAGTGTTCAATTTTCTTTTCGCGTGAATATGTACTTATCATCCTACTTAGCCGGCTTTGTTGTTCAACTTCGATCGCAAGGTCTGTGAAAACATGGCGCAGGCAATCATCGATGTTCTCGAGAAGACTGAGGAGAGGTGGCGCGAGACGAACCCGGAGTGGAAGCGCAAGATCAAGCAGTTCGAGCTTTGGGAGTCGAAGGCCAAGGAGCGTGAACGCCAGGCAGATCGGCTCAAGAAGGCCAAGAAGGATGACGAGCCTGCGGCCGATCGGGACACGAGCTGGGAGGCATCCTTTGACCCTGACGACCCGTCGCCGCAGTTTTCCTTTGCGGGCAGCTCGCAGGCGTTCTCGAAGGCGGACCTCGATGATGAGATTCGGTCTCTCGGCTGGACCTCAACCCCGGACTGGGCCCTGAAGGCTCTGCGGAGGGGTGTCGGTGTGCATCATTCTGGTATGAACAAGCATTACCGGACGCTCGTTGAGAGGTGAGTAACGCTTCAAAGCTTATACGTCTACCGTCTCATCGTGCTGTCAGCCTCTACCGTTCAGGATTCCTGCGCGTCGTCATTGCCACAGGTATGTTGAATGTAGCGGTTACATACTGTAGATACTGAACATAGTCTTCTAGGAACATTGGCGCTTGGTATCAACGCCCCCACCAAGACTTCGGTGTTCTGCGGTGACTCGCCGTTCCTCACTGCTCTCATGGTAAGCGTTGTCTGGAGCGGGTCATTTATATCATACTCACCGCTTCTCCTAGTATCGCCAATGTGCTGGTCGTGGTAAGTGATTATTGTGGATCTTGTCAACATGGTGGACTAAAGGTAGTGAACCATAGCCGGCAGGAGAGGTTACGACCTGCTCGGGAAGGTTGTATTCTATGGCCTCGCGATGGACAGGTGTCAGCGACTCGTGTTGTCGAAGCTGCCTTCACTCGGTGGCAACTTCCCGCTAACATCGACCATGGTCCTCCGTCTGTTCAACCTTCTGCAAGGATCGAACGACGCCCCTGTTGCGCGCGACGCCATCCGGAGTATACTCCGTCTGCCTCACATCACTTTCGTCTCCGACGTCGGCCGAGAACAGCTCTTGCACCACATCCGGTTCAGCATCGACTATCTTCGCCGCGCTGGTCTTCTCGACGCACAAGGCAACCCTATCAACCTTTACGGCGTCGCCGCTCATCTCTACTACACCGAGCCGAGCAACTTAGCACTCATTGCCCTGCTCCGCCACGGTGTCGTCCACAAGATCTGCAGCCACGCCAACCCTGTTCGGGCCAAACGCGACCTCCTACTCCTTTTGTGTCATCTCTTCGGCCGTCGCTACCTGCCGAAAGCGTATGCATCCGCCACCAATCTCAAAGCGATCACGCAGAAGTCGCCGTCTGTGGTCGTTCTACCTCCCCTCCCGGGCGACGCCCGCAAGGTGTTGCTTGAGCACGAGCAGCACATCAAGCGCGTCTTCACTGGCTATGCGTTGGCGTACCTCTCGCAGCACCAGGATGCCTTGGGCGAGGACACCAAGCTTCCGTTCAGCGGGAAGACCGTTTGCGAACCGGAAAAGGAAGAATCGTCGCCTTTCCGCGAGCGGCTGCAGCGTACGGCAGTGTCCACCTTGGCACGCTCGCCGTTTGTTGCAACCTCGGGACACGGTGATTCGTTCGGCTCGGTATCAGAACTGGCGAGTACTGCCCGGCAAGGCCTCCATGTGTCCGAGCACGCCATCCCCTCCATGCGCCAATTCACTGCTATCCCAGGCGCAGACAACGACGAATTCGCGCTGAACGCGTACCTCCTCGACTTCTACACGCACGGACAGACCGCGGCGCTGAAGACGGCGAACGGTATCCGCGACGGCGAGGTGTGGTACGTCCTCCAGGACTTCACACTCACTCTCAAGACGATCCGCACGGGCCTCGTGCAGCTGCTGCAGAAGGCGGGCGCGAATGCGAGTCGGGCGGAGTCTGTTGCGGGCGACGGGGTGTCGGAGATCGACAGCGGGTACGGGACCATCGACCCCGCGGAGGCGGACGACGTGGACAGCGTGGACGGCGCGGAGTCGTACAAGCGGCCGGTGGGCGTGACTGACCGCGACTGGAGGGTGTTCGAGGTGCTGAACGCGGTGACCGCCGAGTTCGACGAGAAGTTCCGCGCCATGTGGGCGTGAAGGCTGCACCAGTCTCTGCTCGGTCTCCTCGTTACGATCCAAGTTACTACTAGCATCTGCTACTCGTCGATTTGCTTCCGTCCTGCACCCTCACATTATGCAATCGCTCTCGTGTTTTCGCCGCAATCCTAGATATATGCATGTATCCACAACACTGCCCCACATAACAAGATGTACCACCTCCGTAGTTGCAATATATAGAACGGAGCTTGCCCCTACTACTTATGCTGTGGCTGTGTGGGCGAGGGAGGAAGCAATCGCGCTTCCTAAAGAGGCTTCTCTTTGCACCATGACCACGAGCATGCCACCCACTGCTCACACCACACGATGGCCTTCTTGTTCCCCCAGCCGTGTCCAGAATTGCCGGAGTACCAAAACCTGCTCCTCAAGGGACCTTACCACGCTTCGGCGCCCGTACACCTACTCTTGTCGCATGCACTCACAAATCCTGACGCAAAAGCGATCCTCTTGTCACCTAACCGGGCCTCGTTCAAGGATGCGCTAGTCGACCTGGACGACGAATGGCTGGACCGTAACAGTGGCCACGGCCGCGTCGCATACGCCAGCCGCCGAACGGAGATATAGTGAGTGCCATACGATATCCGAGCCATGACACACTGACGAACGCGACGCTGTAGCTATCCGCCGACGCTGGCGCACCTGCGCCTCTTACTGTCGATGCTGCATGAATACGACACGACCGTCCACCACGAGAAGACGACACTCGACGCCGCGCCGAGTCTGCTGGTGCTGCACGAGATATCCTCGTATCTTGACAACGCGTCCTCTGAGACAACGTAGGTCCCCTTTAACGTTGAGCTTCCGCTGCGGATGCCGAGTGTAGTATGCACACAGGGTGTCCGCGTATCTCTCTGTCATTTCCTCCGCGCTCGCATTGACGAATTCATGGTCTCCTCGACAGTACGTACCTCCTCTTTTTGTCGGAGTAGTTACGCTGAAACATGGTGTGGCTTACAGTCCCACCAGTGGCAAAGCCTCCAAGCTGGTGGTCTTCGACTCGGGGCTGGCGGAGTTGAAGCTGCCCATTCTACGCCCTCTTTCCTTCGAAGACCAGACGCACGACGTACAGCGCCACCGAGACGCGTTGTCTGTGCTGCTGGAAAGATATTTTGAGTGGTGCGCAGATGCGCAAGTTCGTGAGTACCTCGGACTGTATGCGTCGGTTGTTGGACGTGAAGACTGATTAGTGGTCAACAGACGAAGAAGCGCAACCAGGCGAGGACCAGCCGGACGATGATGAGGGTGAAGCAACTTCGCCAGTCGCTCGTTCACTGACTCTCAAGCGCTGCCGCGGAGGTGGAGAAGGCGAGGGTATGGTGTGGCAGTGGACTGAGGTCGAGCATGTTCGCGAGAACGGCCGGCCATATACCAGCTTCCACTGGAACGAAACCGAGTCTTGAATTTTGTGTATCGATGTCACATTGCCTCTCTGTGTTTGTCTTGCCAGTCAAGGGGTGTTTGCCACATCGTTTACAGTAGGAGGTTGAGAGCCTCATGGCATGATCGCAAAGGGCGGCAGGCGCTCGGCATGACCTAGCTGCTAGCATATGATTACCGCCGCAACAGACGCTCAAAGCGCCTCCCCCACACCGCGAACGGTGACGTTCAAGCGGCTTCATGCGGTCCTACTACACGCTTCCTCATAACGTCGCGTCCCTGCTACCACCGCCTGCACGATGGAGTTCTACAATGACGTGGGCGAGGACCCGCTCAAGCCGACGCTGTTCGAGCTCGTCGCGCAAGAACAGCTGAGAGACCTCCTGCAGCCGGCTCTGAAGTACGTGCTCTCGGTGAGGGAACACGTTTCGATCACTCTCCGCGGATGCTCATGGGTATTGTAGGTGTTCGCGCAATCATACCCTCGATACTTGCTGCGGATAGTGAACCGACATGAGGAGTTCTACGCGCTGCTCATGTTCTTCGTCGAGAGGCATTACCTGCGCACTCAAGGTCCGTACCCACCACCTCGCGTCTGGGACGGCTTCATGACAATGTTTCGCAGGTGCATCTTTCGCGGAGAACTTCTATGGTCTGAAGCGACGGCGGACCCCGCTCTTCAAGACCGACCGTGCGCGGACCGCGTCGGGCGGGGTGTTTGCTGAGGAGAAGCTGAGGGACAGGGAGATCTGGCGTTCACTGCTGCTGCTGGTACGTCATAAACACCTCGGTGGCGACATTCGGGGATATTGAAGCAGCACAGGTGGGCCTCCCATACGCGCGTGCTAAGGCGCAAGACTATTTCGAGGAGCTCGGCGGGGGCATTCAGCACGACCTCATAGAAGAGAGCCGACAGCCAGTAGTGGACGAGGTGAGTATCGTATGATTCTAACATTGCCAGTATCCTGACGCCGCGCAGTCGTGGAAGGGGCGCTGGAGAAGAGCGTACAAGGCAGCGTACCCATGGCTTAACACCTCCTTCGAAGTATGGCTGCTGCTCTACAACGTTGCATACCTGTTCGAACGGACGCCGCACTACCGCCCATGGTTGTCGTGGGTGGGCGTCGACCTGCGTCGAATAAGCGCAGACGATATGGTAAGGTTGCGCACAGCGCATGCGGAACTATGGCTGACATGCCTCGCATATAGCGTGCGGCACAAGCCGGAGTGCGCAAATCCCCAAGACCGCCGCCTAAAGGGATCATCGCCGTCCTGAAGTATGCGCTGAGGAGATCGCCGCGGCTGCTGCTAGACTCGCTGAAGGTGCTTCTCCCGACGGCGATATTCTTCATCAAGTTCCTGGAGTGGTGGTATTCGCCGTCGTCGCCTGCGCGGTCGCTGTCGACGTCGCCGCTCGGGCCCGCGGTCCCGCCGCCGCGGCTGCTGCCTCCCCATCCGCAGGGGGTGAGGGTGGACGACATCGAGTACGGGGTGTGTCCGCTGTGCCGGGAGGTGCTGGGGAACGCGACGGGGCTGCCGTCTGGGTATGTGTTCTGCTACGGGTGCGCACACGAGTACGTAGAGGAGCATGGGCGATGCCCTGTGACGCTTGTACCGGCTCGGCTGTGGCAGCTCAGGAAAATCCTCGTGTAGGGTTCCAATGTGATTTTGACGATTGAACGCACGTTCGTCCGATCTGATCCCCGCGCGACCCGCGCTGTCGGGCGATAATCGAGATGCGGGATCTGTCCGCATATGGGTGCACGTGGGTCAATTCGCTTCGTCTCTCCCGCAAATACTCGAGCCTCTCCCGGACGGCGAATGGACTCGGACGCCCGCCGTCCTCCTCGCCGCCTCCTCGCTTCTCTCGCGTTCACGGCCTCGCGCCAGCACCCTCTCTCCGAGTCTTCCTGCCGCCATGAAGGTCCTCTTCCCCTCACTCTCCCCCCCGCGCCCCCGCTGAACCGCACATGCAGTTCGGCAAGCAAATCCAGGCCGAGCAGGTCCCCGGGTGGTCCGCGTACTACCTCGACTACAAGGCCCTCAAGAAGATCATCTCTTCTCTTTCTGCCAACCGCCCGCCCTCAGAGGCGGTCGCGTTCACGTCTTCGAGCGATGTGCGTGTCGGTACATACCACAACTTCAGGTCATTCGTCTCATGCGGCGCCACAGGTCCCCCCGCCGACAGACGAGCCTCCATTATACGCTGCTCTCGGCCAAGATGATGATCGTGGACCCAGTTTTCAGGCCCACAAAGCTGCGTTCTTCTTCAGGCTCGAACGAGAGCTCGAAAAGGTCAGGTCTTGTGCGCATCCATGCCTTACGGATGCTCATGCGCCGCGCATAGATCAACGCGTTCTACCTCGAGAAGGAGGCAGAGCTCAAGCTGCGTCTAGAGACACTACTGTCTAAGCGACGCGCAGCCGCCATGCGCGTCCTGCCCGACCCGCTCGACGACGCGACCAAGAACCACGTCGAATGGAGTGCCGTCGAGGAGGGGTTCCGGCTGCTGGAGCGAGATATCGGGAAGCTGCAGGTAGATGACAGCGCCTGCGTGTCGCCGAGCTCATCATACACACCTCCCGCCTCTCCAGCAATTCGTTGAGATCAACGGCATGGGCTTCCGCAAGATCCTCAAGAAGTGGGACAAGCGCTCTCGATCGACGACGAAGGAGCTCTACCTCGCTCGTCAGGTCGAGGTGCAGCCAGTGTTCAACAGACAGGTCCGTCGCCGGTTATCGCGCGCTGTGCCTGGGAATGACTGATATGCTCATGCTTTCGTAGCTCATTTCCGAGCTGGCGGACACTGTAGCGGCGTGTTTACTGGACATCACGGACCTCTCCGTAGGGCTGGGAAACGAGCTCACCGTTGCCGAGGATGTCATTCTCAGTCACCAGCTCAACATCGACCGCAGCGTGCAGATGACGCCCTTCTACGACCTCGAGAGCAACCTCCGCAAGGCGGTTGCAGATACAGACGCATCCACAATCCGCGATCTGGTCCGCTACTCCGACTCATTGGCGCAGTCTCGCGAGGCCCGCAATCATGTCACCCGTATACTGTGGAAAGCCGTTCTTGACGCCCCACAAGAATTGGCCGACCTCATCCTGGCGTCAACTGCCTCCCCGTTCGACTACACGTTCGTCGACGATATCAACGGGCGGACATGCTTACACGAGGCTGCCATTGCAGGTCTCCTCCGGCTAGTCGACCTCTGTCTTGCTGGAGGCGTACAGAAGGACAAGACGGATGCGTACGGGCGTTCCGCGCTCCACTATGCCGCCATGCATGCACACGGAGCCGTCTGCCAGAGGCTCATCCAGGTCGGACTCCCTCCCAACATCGTTGACCTCGACAACTGCACGCCTCTCATCTATGCGACACTCAAAGGCTGCGTGGTCTGCGTTCAGGCCCTCCTCGAGAATGACCAGGTCTCTGTCCGGACTCCGGGCGCAAATACAGATCTGATGCCTCTGTCGCTGGCCGCCCGTGCGGGTCACCAAGAGGTAGTCGTCCTGCTCTTGAACTACGGAGCCCCTAGCCTCCCGAACACCAATGGCGAGTACCCGATGCACCTAGCCGCGCAAGAAGGCCACGCAGACGTGTGTCGCATTCTCTCCCGCCAGGAGGGATGGGATGTGCCGGACAAATACAACGAGTGGACGCCGCCTTTCCATGCTGCGCGATTTGGCCGCGATCGTTGTCTACAGGTCTTGCTCGAGGTCGGCTGCCGCATCAATGTGGTCGACGAGTCTGGGAACTCGCCGATGTACTATGCCGCCTGGTATGGCCACCGAAATTGTGTCACGCTGCTAGTGGAAGCCGCTGCCCGGGCTCAGGCGGCTCACCTCCCTGCGTCTCGCTCATCCCCACTGACCGACACTCAAAGATCTTCTGGTACAGACTCCGATATCGACGCTATACCTTCCTTGTATCTGCCGCCTCCAATGATGCCGTACCGCGTCTACGGGCACAATTACCTCGACAAGACGGCGCTCATCCAGGTCACTATTGGGCATCTCACGACAAGCTATGGGGCCAACGGCCCGCAACCATCGTCTGCCGTGCGCCTCCGCCATCCACTTGTTGGACCACAATACGACGATCGACATCTACACGCATCTCCGCTGCTCAAGCTCGTGATGACGGCGACGCCCGTGGTCACTTCTGCCCCGTATAGCATTCCCCTCCCTATCCGCGACCAGAAGATTGTGTTCACGTTCCAGGTATCATCGCCGGACGCCCTCTCATTAGAGTTCTCGTTGTACCCCAACTTCGGGACGAAAACGATTGGTCGCGCCACTGCGCTCCCGTCGCTATTCCAGGCAATCCAGAATAGCGAGCCCTTCACGCTTCCTATCTTGGATCCAAGGTTGCATGTCATTGGAGAGGTACGATCCTTCTTTCCCCAGTGTTCTTCGCGGTATTTATATTTGGCCAAGGTGTCGTATGAGGTCAACGTGATATCTCCCTTCAATGGAGTCAAACTTGAGATTGGAGGAGCGGTAGAGACGTACTGGAAGTCGCTTGCCATGCCTGTACCGAGTGGTAGTGCGAAGATCCTGCCCCCTCGCGCGCCCCAGTTCGGGCGGCCGCTAGGGTCCGCGCCGACGTCCCCGTCGAACCCGACCCTCGCGATGGCCTCGGGCCACTCGCTCACACACTCCTCGGTGACCGGGAGCTACATCTACGTGACCGTGCAGGTCACCCGCGATCTGCAGCCCGTCATCTTCGCGGACTGGCGGCTGCCGGACGATCAGTACGAGCTCGGCGTCGCGGACGTGACCCTCGCGCAGTTCCGGGCGCTCGCTGCCCGGCTGGGGCGTGGCGGCGCGGTGCCGGACGCCGCGTCGGCGCCCCCGGCGGCGTGGGCGCGATGGATCTCGTCCTCGATGATCACCTTCCAGGACCTGTTCAGGGTCAGTCCCGTCCGATCTCTCCTCAATCTGCTAAGCTCATCAGGGTCGGCTCGTCGTGTCACTTCTGCAGCTCGTCCCGCCCTCGTTCGGCGTTTGTGTGGAGATTGCGTACGCCCCGCTCCGCGTGCAGCGGCGGCACTCGCTGCGGCACCAGCTCGACTGCAATGATGTCGTCAACGCCGTCCTGCGCACCGTTTACGACACGTCGTCGCTCGAGGGGCAGATGGGCCGCCGGCCCGTCGTCTTCACGTCTTTCGCCCCAGACGTGTGCGCAGCGCTGAACTGGAAACAGCCGAATTGTACGTGCTCTCTCTCGCCCCCTCCGCTCCTGCGCGGCACAAGGTTGACTGACCGGACGCGCCGACAGACCCCGTATTCCTGGCGTCGCAGTGCGGGGAGCGGAGCCGCGCGCCGCCGAGTGCGACCGCGCTCGACATCGACGACGTGCACGACTACCGGCTGTGGAGCCTGGACGCGGCCGTAGAGTTCAGCAAGCTGAACAATCTCCTCGGCGTGATCCTCGACGCCGGCCTGCTGGTACGTTTAGCCTTTGTTTAGTGTGTTCTGCGCGCCGTGCTGAGCGCGCCGTCTATTTGCACAGGCACGCGTGCCGTCCCTGATCCAGGGCGTCAAGGACTTCGGGCTGCTCGTGGGCACGTTCGGGCTGCGCGAGGATTTCGAGCGGCTGCCGCCGCCGTCGTCGGCGGCGGGCGCGGGGGCGGACGCGAACGGGGTCGACGCGGTGCTGCACGATGGGGTGCTCACGTACTTCAACCACGGCAAGCGCGGGCTGGGGCCGCAGGGGATATAGGGCGGGCGCATGTATCAGTAGCCGTATCAGTAGCGCGGGCCATTATTCTTATGTGTATTTCCGAATTAGTCGACGGCGGGCTGTGCCGCATCTAGTACTACATAGAAGTCTTCCGAACAAACCAAATGTATACCAAATATTAGATTTCCGGTTGGGGCGTGCACCTGGTCAGACGGAGGCGTCGTACATCGCGGCGTAACGGCCGTTCTGCGCGAGCAGCTCCTGGTGCGTGCCGAACTCTGTGATAGTCTGTGTGGAACGTCAGCGACTGCGGAAATGTGGTCGTATTATCCCAGAAGAACACTCACGCCGCTCTCCATCATCGCTATCTTGTCCGCCCGGCGCGCGGTGGAGAGCCGGTGCGTGATGAACACGACGGTCTTCGTCCGGTGCCCATCGGCGTCGCGCGAGATCTGCTCGACCGTGTCGAAGAAGTGCTTCTGGGCGTGCGCGTCAAGCGACGACGTCTGCGCAGCCACCCGCAAAACAAAAAACCACGGTCAGCGGAGGCTCCGTCCGCCGGGGCGCGCGTGCCATGCCATAAGAGTAACGTACCGGCTCGTCGAACACCAGCAGCTCCACCTCCGGCCGCTGGGCGCGCATGAAGGCGCGCGAGATTGCGATGCGCTGCCACTGCACGGCGCCACGGAACGATTCGTCAGACGCGCCTGCTGCGCTTCGATGCAAGAAGGAACGCACCTCTCCCCCGGACAGCCCGTGCGGTTTGCGCGCGGCAGAGCCCGAGAACGCCTCGCAGCCGCCGTGGTACGACGTGTCCCCGTCGAGCGTCGTGCGCACCCCGTCTGGGAGCGAGCTGACGAGGTCCTCTGCGCCGGCGAGCCCGAGCGCGGCGGTCACGGCGGCGGGGTCGTGCATGTCCGGGACGAAGCCGATGCCGACGTTGCCCTTGACGCTCGTGCTGAAGCGCGAGAAGCCCTGGAAGACGGCGGTGGCGCGCGCGTGCAGCTCCTGCGGGCGCACGGTGCGCGCGTCGAGGCCGTTCAAAAGGAGCTCGCCGCTGTCGAAGTCGAAGATGCGGAGGAGCACCTTCGCGAGCGTCGTTTTTCCTGCACGGATAGAAGTGAGCCCACTTGACAAGGGTTGCTAGTGGTAGACGGTTGCTTACCGGAGCCGTTGCAGCCGACGATGGCCACTGTTTCGCCGGCCGCGATGCAGAGCGTGACGCCCCGAAGGCTAGGTTGATTGTTGCCCGGGTATGTGAACGAGACGTTCCTGCGGTGGGTATAAGTAAGTGTCCAATAGGAGGCTAGGGTAGGGGTCAGCTCACTTGATGTCAATGGCCGCCCCACTCGGTGAAGGGCGGTAGGCGACCGCGCAATCCGCCGCAGGCTCAAGACGGGGCTGCAGCTTCGTGGCGGCACAGAACGCACCCATCAGGAACACCCCTTGGAACGCCATCCGGAGGGTCTGCAGCAGCGCACCCGCGGTGTGGAACATGCTCTGTAGCGTGTTGCGGTACAGCGTGAATGCGCCGAGGGAGGAGGCCGAGGAGTTGAGCACCAGCAGCACTGGAATCTAAGCAGGGCGACTCAATTCGGGTCCGCGGAGGAGGAATGAACGGTACGCACATGCTCAAATGCAGAGAACGCCCCTGAAAGATATATTTGGGAGAGGAAGCGGGAGGGCAGACCCCTCTCACAGCTCTCGTGGCGGCGCTCGACGCCGAGGAGCGCTTTCCGGGCGCGGGCCCACGAGCGGAGGATCCACGGCGCGAGGTCAAACAGGAGCACTTCGGGGCGGTACGATTCGCTGTGTGCGAGGTGGCGCATGGCTTCTTGTTTTGCGGTTAGACGGCCTTCTAACCGGGATGTGGGGTTATCCCACGGCTGAGAAGCGCTGCTGGACCAAGATAGAAGGGACGGAAGCGCGGACAGGGCGATGGAGACGAGAATTACGGGGAGCGGGGTAGTACCGAACGTCAGAGTGGACAAGATCCAGAGATGCGTCAAGAGCTCGGAAACGAGTGTAAAGATGCGCATGAAGTCTAGGGGAGAGAAAAGTCCGAAAGACGAGAAGCCGCTGAAAGAACGAACGAAGATGTCGGCCTCCTGCAGGAGATCGCGCACGAGCGGGTCTGAAAGAGTGGGTACGTCCGGGCGAAGTCGGTACTCTAGTTGGGCGTGTTCCACTAAGAAGCGAGCGGAGGCGTGTACAGTGTTCTCGTTGGATGCCCTGCAGACAGTCGGTAATGATTGTAAAATGTAGAGTTCGGCAACTTACGCGATACTATCCACAGCAGTCTCGCATCCCATCCGTAGTAGCTCGACTAAGGCACGCCTGAGGAGCTGGGATACCATAAAATTGCCTGACAGTATGGATTTTTGTACCTAAACCTGACAACATGAGACTACAGGCGGCCGATGGAGCTCATCAGACGCACCTCGTCAATAATTAGGGCGTGTGAATAGCCTCTCATAGCGGGAAATGCGCCCCGCAGAAGATCGAAGCCCACCATGACCGATATCCTGAACGGATGCATCTGCCATAGTTGGTGGAGTATATCGAAGGCGCACTGCTTGGATATCTCGGAGGCTAATACCACGTTTTGGTAAGTTAGCGGCCGAAGTCCTCCCGGCGGCAAGATGTTCCCAGGACATTGTGGGTGTTGCCGAGAGGCAGACCATAACGAATGGATGTCGCCTCCTTGGCGATGATTTAATGGCTCGGGATGCTGATCAGATGCAGCATTTTTCGAAGGAACGGAGGTGGGAATGCGCAGAAAGCACGCAGGAAAGGCCTCTGGGAAGGAAACGGCGTTAAATAGCAGCGAGGTCAGGGAGTGGGGCATGCTGACCGTGCAGCAGGGAGGGGGAACCAGCAGCAAATTTCCAGGGGATATATAAGCTCTGCGCACGGCCGGGGCATGGAGCGAGGAATGCCCACGCCGGGGTCTCTATTGTTATGCGCTGACCTCCGCACCGCAAGATTGGATCGACAGCGCTTGCTTCATTGCGAGCGAAGGCATTTTATGGGAAGGGGGTACCGGGGATGGCGGTCGGCGCATACGGCATAGCGTATGCGGTGCGAGCGTTTGGCGTCACGTCAGACCCTATGCGCAAATGAATGATAGGCAAAATGCGAGATGAAGGGTTGCCAACAAACTGCGAGCTCACCTGCCGTAAGTGGAATCTTCAATCGCAGTTATTCCGGCAGGGCTGGCAACGGCCTCCCTTTGATAATTCCCCCGGCGGCGACCAGGAACAGCCGCCGGGCGTAGCCTTTGTCCTTACCCATTTTGGCCGCCTTCCACGCCGCTAGAAGTGGCGATTTGACCACATCGATGTCAGTGCGCTGATGGGGGAGCGTGCTGGTCGTGGCGGTTTGCAGGCAACAGCGCAGGCTGGAAAAACAACGGGCATGCGCGTATTTAGGGCAGGTGTCGTCATCGCCTGAGTTGTAGGTCCAAGTGTGTCCATCCTGTTCCTCAGACATAGCATCGACGTCAGACATGCCTGCATCGCGCAGAGTAACGGGTCCGCTGCAAAAAACACGTCTGAATTATGCTCTCATTGCTGAGGGTGATGCTTCTCATGACGGCGCGGCTGCGGATGATCTTCGTGGTGCGAGAAACTGGATGTAGCCTGCACAAAATCGTACAATCGATACATCCCATGCTCGGCATGAGGTCAGCACCACGTCAATCGTGACTGAAGCACCATCAACGTCACCGCGGCCTGGGTCAACAGCACGCGAAAGACCGTGGAGTGACCACCAGCGATGCGCATCAAGGTGCGGCCATACCTTAGGTAGGGCTCCGGACGTCCACGAACAGATGGATGCTGATTGCGCCAGGGTCTACATCGACCGCCGCACCCACGATATATACTCCGGAGTCATTGAAAATGATCACAATGGCCCTAGGCCGTGCTAGATCGTCAGCTGAGTATCGCTTAGTGGGTACGGCAGGGCCTGCTTGAGACGGATCGTACGACCGGGCCTCCCAGCCGCAGAGCCTGTGCAACCTCGTCCATATTTTTCGGTGGATACGGATTTTTCAGGCTGTGGGACGAAGGTGTCGTGTTCATGTGAAAGGAGGAAGGAAGAGTGAATGCAATGTCGAGCAGAGTGCACGAAAATTCAGCGTCTAATTTCTCACTGTGCGCCACAGCGAGGGGGACTTTCAAGCGGTGGCTGTCTCCCGGTCCCGGGTCCGCATATATTCACACCCCCGCCCACCATGTCCTTTGACGACCCCGACAGCCAACACCAGCTCTCGACTAGCCTCGAGAAGCTCAAAATGGCCCAAGACGACGAGCACAGCGCCGCCCCAAACGGCGCGCACGCACATCCACATGAAGAGCACTCCGAGTCCGAGACCCACCCGGACGGTCCGTCCTCTTCCCAGCATCCCCCGCTGCAGCTCGCAACCCCGCGCCTCCGCGACGGCCTCGGATTCCGCCCTGCGTCGGGCATCTCGACGCCCCAGTACTCCTCGAGAGCGGTCGCAGTGGGCAAGGCAAGCAGCCCGCTGCCTGACTCGAACGGGCTCGGCTGGCCAGGTCAGGACTTCCCTCCGCTCGCGCGTCTCCCGCGCTGACCGCACTAAAAGCGAAGAGCACCCACCTCCGCCTGAACGCGACCGCCGAGGAGCGCGCGGAGCGCGAGAAGAAGCTCTCCTCCGCCGTGCGCACCATCCTCGAGTGCATAGGCGAGGATCCGGACAGGGAGGGGCTGCTCAAGACCCCCGACCGCTATGCGAAGGCGCTGCTGTGGATGACGAGGGGGTACGAGGAGCGATTAGCAGGTGCGCGGCATCCGGTCCACCCGCGAATGGAAGGCTCATCTCCGTGCGCCACAGATATTATCAATGACGCCGTGTTCGAAGAAGACCACGACGAGATGGTCCTTGTGCGGGACATCGACATCTCCAGTCTGTGCGAGCATCACCTCGTGCCCTTCACGGGCAAGGTGCGCACCCCTCCGTGATCCGTGCTTCCATTTCAGTCTTGAGCGATTCGCAATAGATCGCGATTGCCTACATACCCAACAAGCTCGTCCTAGGCCTGTCGAAGCTCGCGCGGATCGCAGAAGTTTTCAGCCGGCGGCTGCAAGTGCAGGAGCGACTGACGAAGCAAGTCGCGCTCGCCGTGCAAGAGGCGATAAATCCCCGCGGCGTCGCAGTCGTCATGGAGGCGACGTAGGTTTTCCGAAGCCAAGTACAGTCGATATCTTACTGACGGACCCGTCCAGACATATGTGTATGACCATGCGTGGCGTGCAAAAGCCCGGCGCGGTCACAGTCACCTCCTGCATGCTGGGTTGCTTCCGGACACAGCAGAAGACTCGTGAAGAGTTCCTCACTCTTATTAGGCGATAGCGCCACGGTAGTCTAGACTTCCATACATACGAATCTCGGTGCCGTGTGTTCTGCGACGATTCAACTCGCGGGTCCCTAACAGTTCAACCTTGTATCACCCCCACCTGTAGCCCTTCCCCGTCGGTCCAACATCGTACCTACAATTCAACATTGCCCCACATTATACGGATCTTCTGCGTAGTGTACAGTCTGTAATATCCCGCTAAACAGCTTAAAATTGTAATTCTCTCGCATTCGCATAGGTCAGGTTCACCTGCATGTCACTCGGTCCGATTATTAGGAAGGCGAGAGACTAGCAAATTTTGAGTTGAGAGCGGCAAATCGACAATATTACAAGAAGAATCTCGATAGTACAATAACAACGTGCGATAACGGGCTACGACGAGAGATGGGCAGCTAACTAGTTCGCCGCGTCCTTGCGCGCGGCCCTAGCCTTGTCTGCAGCTTGAGGGTCGATGGGGAGCACCTTCTTGGCAAAGCCATTGTTAGCAGGGCCAGAGCCGTAACGGTCTCGGATGAGCCTAATCCTCTTGGCCGGTTGAGGCGCAGGCTCGGTGCCCGCGGGCGCATCCGTCGCGTCCCTATCGCGCTCTACAAGAAAAGATGTCAGAATATGCCCGTACACGAACGCGCGAGCGCAAGCTTACCAGACAGCGTGCGCTTCCGGGCCCCGTCCCGGTCGTCGTCGCGGGCCCCGTCTTTCCTGTCGGCAGAAGGCGCCTGCGGCGGCGCGCGACTGTCCCTGTCTGCGGGTCCCGAGATGCGAGAGCGGAGACTGCCTCCAGGGCCTGGCTCCTGTGAGCTGCCGTTCTGGCCGCCCCCAGACGATGGCTGGTCGCGCTTCCAGTCCCTATCGCGACCGGGTCCATCGCCCTTGCGGTCTCCAGAGGTCATCGCTCGGGGAGCAGACGGCGTCGAAGGCGGGAGCGACTTGGCCGACGCTGGGCCGTCAGGAATGCGCTTGTCACCCAGCTGTGGTGAAGGCGTCAGTGCTAGAGCTAGTTTCGGAACAGATTGGCAACATACCTTGGTGTCTACCGACAGGCCTTTGCCGTTTCCGTCCCCGTCGCGGTCTTTCCGTCGGCGATCAGAATCACGTCCACGTTCACGGCCTTCCTTCTCAGACGAACGACGGCTCCGGTCCTCGGTATGGTCATCCTTGCGGGACGAACGCTTGGAGGAACGGTCAGTCTTCAGGAGCGGGTGAGTTGGGGAAGGTCGAGGGATTGCCAACGATCTACTCACGTCGTCCTCGGTGCCCCTGCGCCTCTTCCCCAGAGATTCATCGTGCTGGCCACCCCGGTGTCTCCCTGTGTCTGGCCTACTCGGCAGCCCACGATCGTCGACAGCTGGCGCTGAAGACGGCGTGGCAGCGGTCCCGCGCTCACGATCCTTCCGATCGCGGTCCCGGTCACGATCCTTCTCATCCCGACGGTGGCGATCGCGATCTCTGTCGCGGTCCCGTTCGCGGTCCCGATCCCGGTGGCTGTCACCGTCGCGGTGCCGCTCGCGATCCTTGTCTTTGTCGCGCTCACGGTCCCGCTCGCTGCGATCGCGCTCGGTACCGCGGTCCCGACGCTCGCGGTCGCCGTGCCTGTCGCGGCCCCGCTCTTTGGGGTCTCGGTCGGCGGCTTCGCGAGCCTCACGAGCCTTGCGCTCGCGACGCGAAGATTCGCGTCCCGGACGTTCTGAGCGCTTATCGTCCGACTTCTCAACAGACCCCCGGCCGGAGCGACGGTCGCCACTGGCCCTGGATTCTTGACTAGCTGGTCTGGTCCCAGGTCGGCTCGTCGGAGATGGAGAACGTCGGCGTGGCGAAGGAGCACTCGAAGGCGCTGCTTGGGCGCGGGGCTCTGTTGGGGGCAGGGTGGATCGGTCGTCTCTGTCGTTGGCGTTGCGGGTAAGTTTGGCCGAGTCCCGGAGTTCTTGAGCGGACACGGTTTGACTCGGTATGCTCGGAGGAGGCATGGTCTGTTGGTTTTCTCGGCTGGGTCGTTGGTCGAGAGAGCTGAGAGCTGCTCGGGGGGAGACGGGGATAGGTTTGTTCGCGCCAGCCAGGCGCGCGGCCATGGGTTGATTGGGGGTGGATGGGCGGGAGGAGCGTGCTGAGTCTGTGACACCACTTGGTAGAGGCAACGGGGCCTTCGGAGCAGATTGTTGCGACGCAGGTTGGTCGACGTCCATTGCATCGGGGCGCGGGGAGTCCTTCGACTCATTAGCGGCCTCTGAAGATCGATGCTCTGGTCGCACTCGCTTGACAACCTCGGGTCTCGGAATACTGCTGCATATGTCAGACGCGAGCTTTCAGCAGCCAAAAGAAACACTAACCTGTCTACAACCAGCTTCATCGAGTTTGGCGTTCCTACACGATCAGGCCCGGGCGACGCGGCACTCCCGTTCGCTGCCGCAAACTGAGCTTTCGGTGCTGACGGTGCGGTTGGCGGAGCAGCAGCTGCACGACGAGGCTCAGTGGGCGCTTGGTTCGAAGCTGTGGTGACGCCGTTGGGACCCTTCTCTGCAGGAGCCGAGGGCGTGCCTGACTTGGAAGCGGGCACAACAGCGGGCTATAGTGCGCAATGACGAGTCCAATGGTTTGCATTCAAGACTAATATAACTCACTTTAGGAATAGGGTGAGGAGCAGCCCAGATTGGCTCGCGCTTCTTCAAGCCAGCGTAGTACCTGCAAGACCATGTCAGTACACACACGAGAGACAACCATCCACGACGACTTACGCCCGGCCGAGAATCTTGAGATCGCCGCGCTCTTCCTTCTCCAAGAACCTCTCCATGGCTCTCTCCAGCATGACGCCACCGTACTCGGTCACAGCTGCAACAGGGAACACCGGCAGAATCTCTTTCAAGACCACGATGGCGTTGTAGATGTGCATGAACTCCCCGGACTCGACGCACTCTATCAAGGACTGCAACACTGGGTCAACTCTCGTCCGGGATTACATGGACGTGTTACTGACCTTGTTCAGCTTCCGATGCCACTTGCGCACAACTTGCTTGAAGTCCGCCCAAGTGATTAGGTCTTCTTCCGCGATCACCGGTTTCGGCGAGAAGCGAAGCTGGAGTCCAGGCAAGAAGACAGCGGTGCCGCTGACCTTCGTCCGGTTCTCCTGCAGGAACAGCTGCTCGTCTTGGAACCACTTCGAGATGTCGGTCAGGATGCCTAGCAAGAAGCGACCTGCGCGAAACGAGTGAGATACAGCATGAGCACGGGAACTGGGAATTGCTTACCGTAGTTGCGCGCCTCGTATTCACTGCAAGAGAATACGACGACCTTGACATGATCACTCAAAAGCTGCAATAACCTATGAGCCAGCCATACGTCATGGAGGTTGCTGGGACTGACCTTGTCGTAGCATTGCAGAGTGGAGAATCCCGGCGTTCCCTGCAAGTGCATGACCTTGATGAACTGCGCACAGAAATCGGCGTCCATGGGCGAGATCAGACACCTGGGCTGCAGGCAGTACTCGATGATACAGGAGGCGAGTGTGATAGCCTTGGGATCTGAACATGCTATTAGCTATGCTCTACCCCCAGTTCATCGTACTCACTGTGAGAGAACCAGTGATGCTTCTCGCGAGCCAAGCGCTTGATCGTGAACGCACGGGCAGCGGTTTGCTCCTTCAGCTCCTGGCTGAGCATGCCGACAATGGTGTTGATCCTGTTCCGCTTATCGCGATGTGTGTTCGCGGTCATGCGCTTGGCACGGTCCGCGGAGCGGTCGGCAGAAATGTACAACGAGTCTTCGGTGCGACTCAGTGTGCGGAGCGTCGCGCACTCTTCGTCGTACTTCGCGGCGGGCGGGGACAAGTCGTACGTGGACATCTGCCAGAAAGTGAGGTAGAAGCCGGGCCTATTGAACAGTTAGCTATTGTTCAATAGGAGTGTATAGGCAACACATACCCAATGATTTCAGCCGCGTTACCAGGAGCGATCTTCTTGACATCCTCGAAGTAAGGGAAGAGTTCAGGGAGCCAAGGGTTCTGTCGATAGTCCGCATTGAGCAACGTCCCGAAGCGAAGTTGGTGTCAGATTTATTCACCTCAGGGGTGGATATTGGCGGCGTGTCAGCGCTCTCCATCGAGACGTCCATCGGCTGAGACTCAGGTGCGGTGGACTTGACTTCGCTAGTTCCCTCGCTACTCGGTGCCGGATCTGAAGTCGCACCAGGGTTCGGGGATGCTACACGAGATGCACTGGGGTTGGGTTCACGCTTGGCAGTAAGTGCGGCCTTGAGACGCTTCTCGGCTTCTTCACTCGCGACGCGCTCCTTCTCCTGCAACGCAAGGGCGGCGGCCTACGAAGTCCTGATCAGCCTTAGAATGCATGTAGGCGCGGAGGATACTTGCCAGTAGTGTCCTGTTGAAGATAGGGCGGTAGATCTGCATGCATATGGGAGCACCAATACCGTACTTCACGCTCAGATCTCCTAGCGGCGGAACGACTTTGGTAGCGTAGTCTTCGGGAGTGATGACGGTTGGAGTGGTGAGCAACTCCAAATATTGCAAGAGCACTCCGTGTGTCTAACATTGAGGTCAGCGTACATGTAAAGGTGAAAATGCCGCTTTCACTTACGGTGTCGAACAGACTAGCAAGACTCTTGAGGTATGCATCGGGAGCCTGGAAGACACAAGCCTGACGTTGTTGGGCGACCTGAATAAGAAGCGGGAGCGCGAGGGACGAGTCGAGCAGCGCTCTCCCGAGCCGGTACGGCCCCTTCAAGGTGACGTCCGCAGGATCAAGACGGGCTCCCCGAGTGCTAGAGGCGACGGCTTCGATGCGCAGTGTCGGCCCTCCAGCCATTGCGGCAATCTGTGAGTCGGACAAGCTCGGGAGGGGTTGAATGCCGGCCATCTTCCAAATGACCTCACGGAAGACGATGATCTCTGTGGTCTGGCCATTGTGCAGCTGGTGCACGATGTAGGTGAGCAGCGGCGCCAGATCAGCGCTGTACCGGCGGAAGAGCATCCCAGTGAAGGAAGCGAGGCCTGCGAAAATGGTAAATCTGTGCCCCACATACATATGCGCCCATGCTTACTCTGTAGCCAATCTGTCGTGTTGACGCCGTCGTTCTTGACCCTGTCCTTGTTCGGGTTCGCCAGCGCCTCGAGGATGATATACACGAGCACATCGAAGCCCATGATGGTCACGTAGTTCAGCGCCTGGATCACGACTCCCGCAAGGTTGTCGTACGCCATGATCTGGTTGACGGCGTTCGTGAAGAAGATGCATGGGTTGGAGTGCGCGAGCTTTGCGACGGTGCCCGAAAGTGCGTCGATCGTGTTGTGCGAGAGTCGGCGCATGATACCCTTGGACTCCCTGTCCGTCTGCACCTGGCGCACCCGCAGCTCGGGATGCGACTTGTACGTGCTTGACTTCCATTCTCCGTATAGCTGCCAGCGAAGAGTCGTCTCGAACTGGCGGACGATGTTCCAAACGTCGACGGTGCACACCGCGTTACCGCGAATGAGGGGAAGGGCGGGGAGGAGGTAGAGACGGATGACCTTGAACCAGTATAGGCGAACGGGGTCGTTGGGGTCCGGAGTGCCCGTAGCCTTCTTCGTTTCGGGATCGAGCGGGACCTGGACAAAATTAGCATCGAGAGTATGTAAGGCGGGAGAAACGAACTCACCGTAGAGAGCATATGATGCCGGCCTAGCCGTAAGAACTTTGTCAAGAACGCAGTGTCACGAGACACATGCAGACCGATGAAGCGCATCAACGGCTCGAGAACGTCAATCAGGTCATCGTAGGTAGTGCATACAGGGACGCGCTGCGTCCAATCTGGGAAGAAGAAGACGAATTCCACAGTGCTTGTACAAGGCGGCGTGGGCGCCCAGAGTGTGAGATGCGACCTTCGCTCCGGAGCTGCGACGACGCCCGAAGCACCGTAGCGCATTCGGGGCTTCGTAAAGCTCGCAGTCTTGTCTTTCGACGGGACCGTGGTATCGTACAACGGAGCGATTGAATGCTTCAGAACCCGGAGCATCAGATCGGCGACCTCAGGATACGCGTCCACGATCCAGGGGAATTTGGAAAGGATGGCTAGCGCAGGTCGCAGAGCACCCACAGCGAGCAAACCGTTCAGAAGACCCAACTTCTGATTCGGGACCTCCTTTGCCTCTTCTTTCTGAGCTTCCGGTGCAGGGGCCGGTCGTGATTTGGTGTTCGACGAACCGCTCGATTCCAGGGGTGCAGCCATCGCGAGCTGACTGATCTTGGCACCGGCTATCCGAGTCTCGACGCTGCTCAGGTATGCCTTGTGGCGGTCGGCCATTTCGTCGTCCGTAGGCCCAATCTGTAACGAGCTTGCAGTGAGCGGTGAACCTGCAGGTATAGCTGTATTCACATACATGGGGGTACAAATCCTCGAGGCGGAGGAATCCCTCTCGGATGAGGATGGCGGTCATTAGATAGAGATTCTGTGGCGTAGACTCTGCAACCTCGGGGAGCTTTGAACAGGTCAATACTCGGTACACACAAACGTATACATATACTGACCTGATAATACGTGAACTTGAAACCCAAAACTTGGGCCAGAACTCTCGCATTGCTGCTGTCAACATCGTCCAAGTGTGCGCCTGACTCGGCTTCCGCAATCTTGAGCACCTCGAAGAGACTCTTTCCCTTGAACCGGCCTGCATCCGGCTCTACGACCATATCTTCCCGCTTCACGCCACGCTGTTCTCGACGGCCCCAAGGAGAGAAGGACAGCAGCGAGATGAAGAAGCTAGAGTGGGTCGCCAGATGAACCGAGAAGATATCCAGCAGTATGTCCAGCACCCTGTTAGGGTCCAGGTCGAAGTAACCGATCAGACCCAGCGCACGTTCCCAGGTGGGCAGCGCACGGGCTTCGATCACCTCGATGGGTTCGGACGGATACCCTGTCGAAGAGGAGTGGGAGGGACCCAGACTGCTCGTGAGTTCCGCGGTCAGCTTGCTGTACCCCTCGGACTCTTCACGCAGAAGGTTGAACTTGTTCTGCTTGTAGCTGTGCTGGACGGTGAGGATAATACGAAACATGCACAACGATCGACGCACAAGAGTCCTGTGCGAGTCCTGATCTCCTTCCTCTCGAAGGCGGTCTTGTCCGCCACCAGTCCTACATTCGCCACTAGCGCTAGGTCCAGGCGCTCCCTGCAAATGTCAGGGTCGATGACCCCAATAGCCTGCGGCACGCGTCAACGGCGCGACGAGACCTGTGAAGGGCAGAGAAATGCTTACAAGGAGTCTCCGGACTATAGACTCGACGGTGGTCTTATCCGTCTCCGCATTACCCTTCGCCTTCACTACTTGGTCAACGGTGGCGGGAGACATCGTGCCCTGCTCCGCCGTACTGGCGGCGGTCTTCGCATCCCCGACGATCTCCTCGAGCTCCGAGTCAATGGCCCAGATGATGTCCACCAAGATGTCTCCGAAGGCAAGAACATTGGGGCTCTTCTCTGACGAAGCCGAGGAGGATGGGAGACCGTCCGCCACGGACTGTACGAACGCAATCACGGTGTCCACGGACAGGCTCTTTTTCGCTGGCCATGAGAGCAGGGTCGCGGATAGAATTGAATGGTAGACGGTCGTGAGCGTCGCGTTTGCGTCCGCGTCGTGTGGATTGGAATGGGGTCCGGCCACTAGTTTGCGACTGCCGCCACAACGTCAGGATCGTCGCAGGTAGAATCGGTCGCGGCACGCACCATTCTGCTTCACCTCCGCTCTCCCAGTTCAACAAACATCTTTGTGTCGTGTCGAGTATATCCATGCAGCGCCGGAGAAGGAATGGAGACAAGACAAGACCAGCGGTGAGTATAAGGAGCAAGCTGCCGCACGCTGAGTCTCGGGTGCGGCGAGCGCTGCTGTTGTGGCGTGTTTGCGCATGATGGTTAGACGCTCAATATGATGTGGACGCCGGGCTGCGCGCGGTTCGTGTCCTTTACACTCATCTCGCTTTTTGCGACGCGTTCTCCAGATCCACCAGAGTCCCGTGCAGTACGGCAGGCAAACCACTTAGACGGCGTGTCAAGCTGTGGCTGCATGCTCTCTCCATATTGCGAACGTTCGCAGCCGCGTTGTTCCTGATCAGCTGTATCTGCATCCGACATGGACGGCATGAATGGTTCGCGCTCCATCGCGGCTGTCGACGTCCCGCTTGCCGCGCGGTTTGTGCAACCTTACAAGGAGGGTATGTCCAGAGCGTATCTATCTGTGTGTCCTCGGACGTTGCACGTTGACCGCTCCGCAGCGTGACCAAAGCCACTCAACTGGCGAGCGAAACACGCGACGCGGTGTAGCTTCTGTCATGCTTCTGCCGTCACATGAGCGACGTAAGGCCGGCGAGCACGATAACAGACATGCTCACAGAACGCAAGCAACATATGCAGGGCCTGACGCTTTGAATGCGTCACCTACATACCAGGCCGCGCCGGGTACACCCTGCCGTGTCTAGTATGCTCGCCTCCGAACATAGAATTCCCCCGCACGATCAGGCAACATGCCTCCGTCCTCATTCGCCAACTTGAAAAACATCCGCGGTTCCTTGGCTTCCTCTGTCGTCATTTTACTTCCTTAGCTTCGGCCCTGCTATCGCCCTGAAATCATCCGTCCTGGTCTCGAGTGCGATATAAGGCTGGCTGGTGAGAGGCTGACTTGCGAGGTGCCTAGCTTCTCCGCTCCGTCTCCCCTCTTCCCCCCTCACGCTCGCTCTAGACATGGTTCAGTACGCTGTACTCGCCGCCCTGCTAGGCTGCGTCGCTGTCTACGCCGCCCCGACTGCCGTGACGGGCTTCAGCAATGCGGCCATCACGAAGGTCAAGTCTAACCTGCTGCAGATCGCCACCCATAGGTGAGCATTTGCGGGGCGCACACGCGTTGAGACATCTTAACTCTTGGGGGCTCTAGCTGGGAGATAGGCACGGCCATGGAGGCTTTGACCGAGCTGGAGTGGCCTGAGCTGTCGGTGTTCGGAGGCTCTTTGCCTCCCCCTGTCAAGTTGGACCGGGATACTGCATCAGACATCATCTCATGGACAACGAAGTGAGCACTCCCTTCGCCTGGCCTTTATGCGATGTCTTAACAGTTTCCAGGATCGTGAAGGCCAAGCCCGACCCGAACTCTCTTCCCATAATCGACGGAGATGGCGCTGTCGGCGACCCCGCTAGTAAGTAATACAGCTCCGCTGTTTAGAGGATACCCGCTCACATTCTTCCAGGCATCGGAGTGGCAGTCGAGCTAACGAATTGGACCCGCGCGGATCGCGGCGATCACGAGTTCTCTACAGCAGCCGGCCACCAGCTCAAATACCTGCTCGACGATGCGCCGCGCACGTCCGACGGCGCGATCTCGCACCGCTCGGACCAAGTCCAACTTTGGTAAGATTATTTCCTCTGCAGCGCATAAACCCCGGCCTGACACATGCTCGCACTAGGGCCGACTTCGTTTATATGGCCCCTCCATTTATCGCGTACTACGGCGCGCTTAAAGGCGGCAGCGGGGGCTTAAGCCTTCTACAGATTGCGTACAAGCAGTGCAAGCTCTACCGGCAGTACTTGCGGGATCCCAGTGGCTTGTGGAAGCACATTGTCCTTGGAAACGGGCAGGACTTACATCACTGGGGGACTGGTATGTCGCAATGTTGGCGTACCTGACATGGTAACTCACGCCGGGAACAGGGAATGCATGGGCCGCGGCTGGCATGCTGCGCGTTCTCCAGACCATCAGTCACTCAAAGCTCTCTTCGAAGATGCAGACCGAGCAAGCAGACCTGAAGTCCTGGATCAACGAGATCGTCAGCGCATCATGGCAGCACCAGGTACGAACCCCGCCATCCTGCCAGTCCCCGTTGATGAAACTGTGCTCATGCAGTATTGCCGCAGCACTCGAATGGTACACTCTTCAACTACATCGACGAGAGCAACTCGTTCGCCGACACCTCGTCCACGGCGCTTCTTGCGGCGGTGACGTACCGGATGGCGACCCTAACGGGCGATACCGGGCACGTCTCCGCTGCTGACAAGGCGTACAACCTTATCAAAGCTAGCGTGGACTCTAACGGGTGGCTTCGTAATACTGTCGACCCCGAAACCTTCAACTCGCCGTCGCTCGCCGGCAGCCACAGCCCGGAAGGACAAGCCTTCGTTCTGCTTCTGCACGCGGCATATCGCGACTTCAAGGCATCATCATGATGAACAACGGTTTTGTGGGGGTTGGACGTGATTATCACCACTGCGAAGCCTATGCCGGGTTGGCTCCGTCATCGTGCACAGGTAGACAGTGGGAATGCTGTATGATGTATCATTATGGGCGCTCTCGTCCGTTTGTCGACGACTCCGCCGCGGGTGACAGCACAGTGACAGCGTCTAGTGTGCACAGGGTCGCAGACATCCCAATTTGAGGTATTGCGAATACGCGTAGAGGCGAATTTGCCTGCCTGCGGTTTGGCTATGCAGCTGTGTCGCGCAGCACGAGCAGGGTCGAGGAGAGTGGTGAGGATGTCGAGGAGTTGCCGGAGGTCGCGCGAGCATGGGGACGAGAAGGCCAATCGGAGGACTGGAAGCGCTGAGTAAGCGGATAAACGTGGCTTGGAATGGGAGCGGTTGTACGGATCCCCACGGAAAGATCGGGAAGCTTGTTTGGAAAGAGGGTGAGTGAGCTCGGGCGGGCGCCTGGGGCGTTGGCTGGCTTGCTCTCAACGGTCTCCCCGCGTCCTGGAGTGCCTCTACGGCCGTCCTGCTCGTAGAGCACGATGTCTCCCCTCGTCCTCCTCTCCTTCCTCGCGTCCCTCCTCCTATGCTGCCTCTGCTTTCCCTCCGTCTGGACATCCATCACCGGCGGAGATGAGTTCGACATGCACGAAGCTGGCCTCGCGGTTGTCGCGTCTCGTGAGTCCCTCCGCCCCTTCTCCTCGAGGCTCCGCACCGACCTCCGGCTGCGCTCTCCTTATAGGCACCCCCTTCCGCGAATCTGGCCCGCCAGCATGCATGGCGAAGCTTATCATGCTCAGGCATAAGGTCAGCCCACCCGCCCGCGCTGCGAGGTTACGCCGCAGAGACTCATCTTGAGTTGTGCGCTGCAGATACAGCAGGACAACACCAAACGGCGAAACCACACGAGCCAAGCCCGACGAGTCTCACGTACATTCAACGCATCACCCGCCCGCTCACCGCGCAACGTACCATGGGTGCGCTTTGGGCGGGCATACGGGAAGCAAAATTATTGACTGTATACCACCACACCACCCTTACTACTCATCGCGCGCGCTGCTGGGGTCGCATCTGTATACCCGGAGAATATAATACCTGTTGTTGGCTGTTGTCGCACACTACCACCTCCCTGCATGAGTGCGCTGCTGCCCCAACCCCAGAGACGTGCTTAGTTGCTTACGCGATCGAGACGCGTTCCTACGGCCGAACTAAGGCTCGGCGTCTCACGCTCATGTCCTCGACATGAACAACCCGCGGCGCGTCCAGCCAAAATCAACCTAATTATAACACGAAACAGAGTAGTACATGTGCGAAAGCTTACAACTGAGCGGCATACAAAAATACATATCGACATAGACTGGCACCGAGCCAAAAAGCCTCATACTCTGAACGCCTAGTTCGCAAACTTGGCACGCCTGCTGGAGACCGCGGACAGCACGCTCGGCGCCTTCGCGACCTTCGACCTCCCGCCAGTGCTGGCGCTTGACGACGCTGGCGCACGCGGTTCCTTGAAGGAACCATTGCTTGCCTTCGCCTTGCCGTGGCCGGTAACTGCGGCGGAGCCGCCTGAAGAGCGGCCCAGGATGCCGGCCGCGCGCGACCCGCTCTCCGCCTTGACCCACTTCGCCATCCTCCGACGGTCCACCTCCCCCATGGCCTCCCTTCGGTTAGGCTGCACGTTTTGTCAGCCGGGCACCCAGCGGCGGAGGGAACATTCCAGTGGCTTACCTCGTCAGCATCGTTATTTGTACCGAGACGTCCGGCGTCGCGCCGCTGGTCGAGGGAGACCTCTCTCACGCGTACGTCGCTGTCCATCTCATCTTCGCTCCCGTCGTCCCAGCGGGAGACATCGTGAGGGTTGAACACAGGAGCGGCCTCCTATACAGCTAATATCAGCAAGATACGAGCTAAACATGTCAACCCAGTACTCACGTTTTCCCTGGCCCGCTGCAGCATCTCCTCACGAAGTTGGGCGTGACTGATGACCTCACGCGGCTCCTCTTCCTCCTCCTCAGGCTCCTGGACGTCCATCTCCATGTCGTCTTGCTTCAGATAGGCGAACTCATTATCATCGTCATCCACGTTGGCACTGTACTCCAATGCGAACGGCGCGGTCTCCTTGTCCTTCGCTGGAGGTATCTCAGCAAGATGCAGGGTCGACGATAGCGGCCGAGATACGTACACAAAGCAGCGATGCTATCATTCAGGCGCGGCTTCTTGTTCGCTGGCCGAGCTCTCCTGCCGTCGTCCGAGCCTTCATCGGAGTCGCTGTCCTCGAAGCCGATGCCGCGATCCCTGCGCTTGACGCGGAGCTTGCCTGTCGCAGCGTCCCGGGCTGCCTTCTCCCTCGCCTTATCATCCAGCTCCTCGTGTTCACTGGGCACGCAAGGAGCATCAGTTGAGATTTCCTCGCGCGCTCAAGAAACTCAACACTCACCGATGCTTCTCGAGGACGGCCTGCTGTGCCAGAGTCTGGTCGTCCATCTCCTTGTCATCAACCAGGCCAGGGAGCGGCTGGTCCTGCGCATCGTCGTCACTGTCCTCCTCATCGTCGTCCTGCCTCTTGCCCCCGAAACCAAACGCCGCATCCTCGTCCGACTCCTCCGCCTCACCCTCGATGTAGGCCGACTTGGCGGGCCGCTTCGCTTTGGGCGATGGCGAGCGGCGGCCGAGGACCTCGAACGCGTTCTTTGGCCGGGAGGAGCTCGCCTGCGGGGGCGGCGTCCTGTCACGCTTCTTCAACCGCCGTCGCGGCAGGTCGTCATCGTCATCGTCGGGACCCTGCGTCAGCAAGGGCGCGAGCGGCTTCCGCACGGACGCCAGCAGTGTTGCGGGCGAGGACAGACGTAGGTTCGTCACAGGCTGGCTGGGTGTCATCATACTCATCGGGGTCCTGAGTTCTGGACGTGTCTGTGTCAAGAAACTGCGCGCGAAACGTGAGTAGCCGGAGGAGGTAGAGGGGAAGACTCTGCCTACCCGTTCTCGTCCACGAACATTTCCGGAGTCGGCTCCTTGCGCACCACCAGCTGCTCTTTCACAGCGAGCTCCTGCTCCTTCTCGAAGATCTCGTCTGCTTTCTTGGCGAGGCTTTGGTCGACCTCAAGTACAGGCTGCATTCCAGGTTCCAGCGTCAAGGAGATGTCGTCGTCGCGTTGGGCGGCCTTCAGTTTCTCGAAGCCACCACCCTTCGCGTAAAGCATGTCAGCACACCGCCCCGAGACGATAGTCAAGGTCGCTTACCCCTTCCTGGGTGAAGAATTGCGAGAAGCCGCCGGCACCAATGGGGAGCGCCTCTGCCAAGGGTAGTGGGCTAGGGGAAGGCGCCCGCTCTTTGCCCTTCCCGCTTAGCGAGAATGCCTCCTGCAAGCCGCCCCCACCGCTCAAGTTCAGATCCATGGGCGATCCCTCACGCGCCACGGCGTGCCCGGGCGTAGAGTTGCTCAGACGGAGAGGACCGGGACTGAACATGAACGGGTCCTCATCTTCCTCATCCGCCGGCAGCTCCTTCAGAGGCGAGCGCACGCCGTCGGTGATACTCCTGCTTGCTGCCAGAGGTGACGCCTGCAGTTCAGCAGCGAAGAGCGAGCCGAACCCACGGGTCGAGGAGAGAGAAAGCCCTGGAGACTGCACAGCGATCACCGTGTTCTCCTTGTCGTCACCACGGTCGAAGCTCAGACGGACGTCGTTTTCCTTGTCCGTGCCGTCCTCCGTTTGGTCGCCTAAGGAGGACATGGACCGACGGCGCGCGAGAGACGGGTCTTCTTCTACATCGCCACCAGCTTGAGGAGAGTGGGACGGGCGCGCGAACAAGGAATCTCGCACGAGAATGCGGCTTGGGGGTGGGCGGTTCTCGGAGTCTTCCTCGTCGTCCGACAAAACAGCTACTGCTGCTCTTCGGGCTACGGGGCGATGTGGGCGCGGGGCGAGGAAAGGGTTGTCATCATCCTCGTCATCTGCCTGTTCGCCAAGGTCTGCGCGTAAGGGAGGGGCGTTCTCGCCGTCTTCGTCGTTCTCCTCTTCGGAGTCCTCAGACCCATCGCGTCCCGCCACATCTTCAGGCTGGTACTCCTCGTCGCTGCCGCTGTCTTGGATCATCTCGACATCCGTATCTTGAACGTTTACTGCCCGACCTCTCTCCACGATGCGCTGAAGAGCTTCCTGAGGGTTAGGCACAGCCGCGTTCCCATCGGGGCGCTCCTTGATTCTCCCGCCCCGACGCTTGTAGTCCTCCTCTTTCTCCTTGATGGTCCGCACCTTCACCTTGTCGTCCTGAGCCAGGAGTATCATGTTCAAAGTCTTGGGATCCATCTGCACTGGTTTACCCTTCCCTTTCGTTTGAGGAGCCAAGAAGCTCGGCGTGGCGTTGGTCTCCAAGAGATGACGCGTGTCTTCCTCGTCCATAAGGAACACTTTGCTTTCGCGGGGACCAGTGCGAGCAAGCGTAAGATGCTTCTGGCGGCTACGAGACGGGAGGACGCCCTTCGCCGTCAACCCACGCCGACTCTGCGCCTCATCGCGTGCGACGTTCTTCGGGTCGTCCTCGATGAGCAGATCATCTTCACTGTCGGACACCGGTTGGGACTGCTGGGCCACCACCTTTGCCTTCAGTTCTTGAGCTCGCCGTTTGTTCTCCTCCGCTTTCCGCGCCTTCTCCTTTTCCTGGTACAGTTGTGCCGCGTCAGGGAACTCCTCTTCTGACGACGACTCGGAGTACGCCGCGCTCCCTCCGAGTAGACCAGTAGGCTGGAACTCGCGTTGGGAACCTTTAGAAGAGGAAGCAGTCGGACGTGGACTGTGTCTGTCCGCTGCTGGAGAAGAAGAAAATGCCTGGATGGGATCGGAGGGCAAAGGAGCGGCAGGCGAGTATGAGCGTGATTTGGACCGCGAGGGAAGTGTCGCGACCACGGTTGGCTGAAGGCTGGGAACATCATAGCGATTAGCCCGCGATTTCCTAGTAGCCAGTAGTTTGCGCGTCGCTCACCGTTGCAAGAACTCTGAAAGAGGATATTTGCTCTGCTGCGCGGGCTGAATGGCTACGGTTTGTTGCGCTGTTATGCGTGCCGTGGCCTTCCGTGTCTCGATTTGCTCTTTCTTTGTCGGCGCCTACGATAATCCACGAGCATTAGCCAAGTTGCCGCAATATATTCCGATGTGTTCAGACCCTACCTTAACGCGCTTCGTAGCACCAGAAGCCTTGGGTTTCTTCTGGCGCTTACCAGTGGCGGGCTTCGCATTTGATGGCAAGTCGTCCGCGCTCTCTACAGACAAGGTCAAGGAGCTGGCTTCTCTCTGTTTTCCTTTCCCTTTGTGAGATGACATCTCGATGGATGTAGGCGGTGTAGGAGAGGAGCGTGTTTGAGGTGTGTTTATGGGGTGACGCGGAGATGTTTGGGGAGTAGAGACGCGAAGGTCCGCGTCAGACTCTGGTTCTGAGGGGGGAAGAGCCTCCAGCCTGCGAGGGGCGCGTTTATGGATGATCAGGGAGGAAGATTGTGTAGTGGCAGTCAATGAGGATAGCGTGCCACCGAAGGCGTCCTGGGCCGCCTGATCGGTGGGAGACGCTGGTCGGGTGGGCACCCTCGGTATGCCTTGAGATGTCTCCCCGAGGGGATCCTGTGCAGTAGGGTGTGGGGACGGCTCATACTCGTCTGCATCAATCTTGTTCAGTCCAGCGCGCCAGGCGAACTGGAAACGTCCTGCGCCCTCATCAGGGCTCTCGTTGTCGCTGTCGTCGGCGTCTTCCGCGCGTGCGCTAACATACGACGTGTTCGACGCGTCCAAGTCGTCAGAGCTTGGTGGGAGTTCATGGTCCAGAGGTAGAGATGTGGAAGAAAGGGAGTCTTCGCGTGATTCGATGCTCGTGTTGCCGACGTCGAAGGAGATATCATGCTCAGACGTGTCTCGTCGTCGACCGTAAGTCCTGGTCGCGCGACGGATAACGGGAGAGGGAGAGCGCGACATGACGCGTGCTAGCAGGTAGCGGGGGGTTTAGGAGGGAGGGTGTCGCCGTGGGAGAGAGGAGGAGGACGGCGGGCACGGTGAACTCGGACGGAGGTGAGCGTGGTCGACACAGCTCCCCCGCTTCCAATCACCCTCGCAGGCGCTTACGGCGTGACTGCCCTGTGACAAGCGCGTTTTAGGAAATTCGCGACGCGATCGGCGCCAACGCGTCCTCCCGGAGCCGTCGCGTTCAGCAAACTCCAGCTCTTTGTACTGACAGAGTACATGTTTTTGGTGTGCAAACATGGGGTACATCCCAAATCTATGATACAGTAGGACGTAAGTTGCGACGTGACTCCTGAATTGTCTGCACCTCTTGAGCGACGTTCTTGATGTGCTCGTGGGTCCGCTGCACACTGGCTGTAATAGAGGCTCAACGCCTAATTAGACGTCATACGCCATAATCGCTACAAGATATGTCTACTGAGTTTCATATAGTACAGTTGCGACGAGCCGTACCTCATCGTTCCTTCTGAGATCCCGAATGAGATCGAGTAGCCGATTTGATCTCATAGGCGCGCAAGCCTCCGGCCAACACGGTCCGCCGAGCGACTTGCCTATTCAGGAGGTACTGTACAGTTGCATCAGCCACCGCCATTTCTCTGCTAGTGTCAGTGGAGGATACCCTCAACGACACCGCCGCCCTCAAGACCCCCTCAAAATGAGGTATGTTATGCCACTGTACGCCATGAATGACCGCTGATTGAATTCCACAGTCACCGTAAGGTCCGTCGAGACGAACCTGACATCGAACGGCCGAGTTTTGACTTTGCCCTTTCCTCCAGTACGAAGCCCCCCGTCACGGCTCCCTTGGTTTCCTGCCCCGCAAGCGTGCTGCGCGCCACCGCGGAAAGGTCAAGGCGTTCCCCAAGGTGTGTGCAGTGTGCAGAGTCAGCGTGTTGGCAGGAATGGACATTGAGGATGGAGTGAAATCAGGATGACCCCAAGAAGCCCGTTCACTTGACGGCCATCATGGGCTACAAGGCCGGTATGACCCACGTTGTCCGTGACCTTGACCGTCCAGGCTCCAGTAAGTCTTTCACATAACTTTGTTGGCGAAACCGTATGAACTGTGTTACAGAGATGCACAAGCGCGAGGTCGTGGAGGCGGTTACGGTTGTCGAGACTCCCCCGATGATTGTCGTCGGTGTCGTTGGCTACGTCGAGACTCCCCGTGGTCTCCGTACCCTCACCACCGTTTGGGCGTCCCATCTCTCCGACGAGCTCAAGCGTCGCTTCTACAAGAACTGGTACCGCTCCAAGAAGAAGGCGTTCACTCGCTACGCCAAGAAGCACGCTGAGGACGGCGGCAAGTCCATCGCCCGTGAGCTCGAGCGTATCCGCAAGTACTGCACGGTCGTCCGTGTCCTTGCGCACACTCAGATCCGCAAGACCGGCCTCACCCAGAAGAGGGCCCACCTCATGGAGATCCAGGTCAACGGTGGCTCCATCGCTGACAAGGTCGAGTTCGCGAACGGCCTCTTCGAGAAGCCCGTGGAGGTCAGCTCCGTCTTCGAGCAGGACGAGGTCATCGATGTTATCGCGGTGACCAAGGGTCACGGTTTCGAGGGTGTTACGCACCGTTGGGGTACCAAGAAGCTTCCTCGTAAGACGCACAAGGGTCTCCGCAAGGTCGCTTGTATCGGTGCCTGGCATCCGTCGAAGGTCATGTTCTCCGTTGCCCGTGCTGGTCAAAGTAAGTTTTATCAAATACACCGCGGTGGATCATTGTTAATGGCTTTTTAGACGGTTACCATCACCGTACCGAGCTCAACAAGAAGATCTACCGGATTGGCAGCGGCGAGGACGATGCTAACGCGTCGACCGAGCACGATGTTACCAAGAAGGCGATCACGCCCATGGGTGGCTTCCCCCACTACGGTATCGTCAAGAACGACTACCTCATGTTGAAGGGCTCGATCCCCGGCACGAAGAAGCGTGTCATCACCCTCCGCAAGTCTCTGATGGTCCACACTTCTCGTCGGGATCTCGAGAAGGTCCAGCTCAAGTTCATCGACACCTCGTCGAAGTTCGGCGTAAGTCATTTCGGTAATTTGTCTCCTCCGACCTCTACTAACAATCAACTCTACAGCACGGCGCGTTCCAGACCTTCGAGGAAAAGGCCGCGTTCTTGGGAACGCTCAAGGCCCGGGCTTGATTGCTGTCTTACTTCGTACCTTCCGCGCTTTTTACCGTTATGCTACTCCGTCCATGCTATGCTTTGTATTGCCCAATGACATGACGCACGCTTCTGACCTTGAAGCATTACGGTTGTACATCATCCATCCCACGCGTGTCCAGAGTTCGGTGCCCAGGCAGGGTGTACAACGGTCTGTCTGTGATTGTTGGGCTTCAGAAGCTTCAGACTCGCCGCAGTACAGAGGCTGTCATTGGACATGCGAAGGGGTCAGCGGAAAGAGGTCAGCGCGTTTCCGGCCAACGTATGGTATTGGTTCAGGCGAGCGCCTCCTCGGCTCCACCAATCGGGACGCGAGCATTGAAAGAGGCGCCCGCGATCACCCTGCGAAAAAGTGAGCGACGCTGGCGGCGACGCCTGTCCCCTACCACCGCGTCCCTCACGTCCTCCCGTTCTTCAGACCCTCCCGTCTGAGGCTTGTACGACGTACGACCGGTCAGACACAACGTGTGCTTGTATTGGTCGCTTGCTCACGCGACGTATGCAGGTGTACGGCAACAGCACGCTGGCGCGTCACCGCGTCTACACACTCGGTGCTGCTGTTCTGTCGTGTCGCGGTCAGTCCCTCTCTAGGCAGTGGCATACACAGCAAACTAAACAGCCACTTAGGATGACTGCTCATTGCATTGATGCTGAGAGCGTCCTCTCTGGGCCTCGCATTCACTCATGGGATCTCGCGCTGCAACCTCTTCCACAGTCCCCGCGGTTTGCACAAGCAACTCGGTCATGAGTCCCGGCCCGTCTCATCTGGAGTACCGCACTTGCATAGAGAGGAGACGACTGAGATGTCGACACGCCCGCCGGAGACCAGCGAGCTGCTTCCCCGATCATCCTCCCCATTACCTCCAGCCCCAATGGCGAGCGCACTTGCCACCACAACCAAGCTCCCCCTCACACATACCAATGGTCCAGACTCTGCGCACACGACCGCGAAAACCCCCGTTGCCGATACCCCCCAGGCAAGCTCCTCTTCCTGCCCGCCGCAAGCAGTCGAAGGACCCAGGGAGGACGCGCCTCCCCGTTACATGCTCTCGCGGTACGCGTCCCGCGATCACTATCTACGCCGTCCGATGTACGAGAAGCTTGCGGCGGCGACCGACCTAGACGAGGCGTGGCGGTTGTACCAGGACCTCCTCCGGCATCGACCTGCCTACCTCCAGCAGAGCATTCCGCACAAGTACCTCCACTCCTTCGCGTCTGCTCTGGTGAAGAAGAGCAAGTCGAAGCCAGCTTACAAAGCGCGTACGCGGACGGTGTTCCTCCGGCTGCTCTCCGTCCTCAACACCATCTACTACACTGGCGGGCAGCTGCGGTTGTGGGAGTGGAACGCGCTCATAGACTGTGCTGGGCGGGGGTGGCGGAAGACGAGGGTGGACGACTTCCAGGCGGCGCTGCACATCTATCGAGATATGGTCGCGAATCGTGCGCCTGGTTCGTCTTTTGCTGGTGATACACTCATCCCTGAGCATGACGCCTCCCGGATCGCTTCGCAGCCGGTCGAACCGGACGTCGTCACCTACACCTCTCTCATCAGCATTGCCGGGCGCACGCTCAACCCAGAACTCCTGCACCTTGCGGAGTCCTACCTAGTCTCCTCTGGTATTCCCCCCAACCGCATCACCTTCCTTGCTTATCTGCGATTCTATGCTCGCAAAGGTCGGCTGGGAAGCGTGCGCTCTATGATGTTCCGCGTAATGGAGAACGCCTGGCCGCTTAGCCAAGACGGGACCAATGCGCTGATTTACGCGTTTGGGCGTAACGGACGGCACGACGTCTCCGGATTGATCTACCGTGTTCTGCGGCACCACCTACTGGAAGAAGACTCTCTCCAGGATGACCCTGCCGTCGAAAGTGCCGTCAGCCATTTGGAAGAACACGAACGCATCGTCATCCCACCAGACATGAAGCCCGACGCCGTCACGTACTACACCCTCATCCAGGTGTACGCTTACCACGGATGCTTCCGCGACTGTTTGGACGTCTTCTCGGACATGATGACCTCTCCGGAGCCTATCACCGGAACGCTCGAAGATATAGCCAACTATGTCCCTGGAACCGTGCTTCCTAGCCCCATTCTCCCCATTTTCCGCTCCCTCTTCCTCGGCTTCGCGCGGCACGCGACGCTCCCGGACGACCTCGCAAGCACGGAGTTCGCATACGACGTGCACGGGGAGCCTGCGTGGCGCCCATGGACGCTCGAGCAGCTCCACACGCTGTTCGGCGACTTCATCGAGCTGCCGCACGAAGCGCGGCCGAGCTCTCGGACCGTATACTGGCTGCTCGTGGCGTTCGCGATTACGAGCGGGTACGACCGTGCGATCCTGCGCAGCGTGTGGGAACGGCTCGAGGGCCGGTACGGCGGGCGGTGGGATGGTCGTGTGCGGGAGCTGCGGGACAAGATCTACGCGGAGGAGTTCGACAGGGCTTTCTTTGAGCGGGTGCACAACAGCAGGGAGCAGCAGCGGGGCTGGCAGGCGTGAGCGGGCACACTGTACATTTGTCCGGAGAATACACTATGTAAAAACACCGTAATTGGATCACTCTATGGTACAGTCCGTGGTCGACGAGCACCCCCACGTTGTCAAAGAGAAACAAGAAGCCTGAGATCCGTCGCTTCTCCCGCCCCCAGTGCGGAGTTGTAGTTCGCAGTCCATAGTCACATGCGCGCGCGGGAGGAAGCCCAGCGCCGCGCGGAGGCCCCTACTTACCTACATCGCGCCCCCGTTCTCGGTCCGCCACTGCACGTACTCCTCCCAGCCGACAGAGCAGACCCGGCTCTGGTACCGGCGCACGGTGAGCGCGCGGCGGAGGTCCTCGGAGATGCGCCCGCTCCAGCCGGCCTTGTGGATCGCGCTGTCGATCGTCTCGAGCCGGTCCCAGCCCTGCTCCTCCGCGATCTCGGGCAGGAACGTCGCGGAGAACGAGTGGCGGAGCGTGCTACGCGTCGGCACCGTCGGCGCGGACCCAAGTGGGGACGGCGCGGACGACGGCGAGGGCGACGCGGGGATGAGCGACGGGTGCGGGAACGAGATGTGGATGCCGTGCACGCCGATCTCCCAGTCGAGGTACGACGCCGCGTCCTCGAAGTCCGTGAGCAGGGACACGCTGCGGGGGGAAAGGGGGCAGAGCAGGGCGCGTCAGTACGGCGGGCCTCGGGAGACACGCCGGAGGGGGGGGGTGGGGGGCACGTACGTGCACTCGAGGGTCTCCAGCTCCCACTCCTCGATCTTCCGGAAGCGGTGGTCGCGGAACGCGCTCGTGAGCGCGTACTCTGCGAGCCCCTCCCGCAGCGGCCGCGGGTCGAAGGTGCCTATGCAGCCCCGGAGCCTGGAAGCCTTCCCCGGGCGGACCGTGCTCCAGGTGACAAAGAGGGGGCTGTTGTCGTCAGCAGCTGACCGGGCCACCATGCGTGGGTGGGGGACGCACTACTTGCCCTCGGGGAACTTGGGGGGCACCGGCTTCTTGGAGGTGAGCGCGCAAAAGAGGGTGTCAAAGCAGTGGAAGCAGTGCTCCGGCAGGCACGTCTGCTCGACCTCCTCTCCGGGCTTGGGCAGCTCAGGCGCAGCGAGCGACATTGCGAGAGCTCTGGCCTGGGGCAGGGAGGGGAGCAGGGGGCAGTCGTGGGGGAAGGGAGAGCCCAGATGCGCAGTGGCGGACTGATCTGGGCGGTACTCTACACCTGCCTAATCGAGAACACTCAGCTCAATCGCCGCCGTTCGCGGTCGCAGAAATTCGAGAGCAGCTACGGAGGGCATTGCATTCATGATCACTACGGGAACCAATGAGCTGTACCACTATGGACAATGTATGTACAATACGATATGCAGTAAAAAGCGATAAATCGGGGAAGGGGACATGAGATAGTAGGCAGACGGAACGGGATATCCTGATGGTGTGGTGCGGGGCAAGCTGTGGCAGATGTGCGAGGGGAGTGTCATGGGTCATAACATGCGGCGTATCGAAGGTAATAACATAGAGTCATGGGGAAGAAGGATAGAGAGCAGCAGCGCGCCAGGCGGGCGCGGAAGGGGGAGGGGAGGTGGGGGTGAGGATGGGCGGGAAGTGTCCAAGAGAGGTTAGCGGCGCTGTCTAGCAACAGCTCCAAGACGATCCTGAGGCCACGCGGGCCTTTTCGCGAGCTTCCTCTTGGTCGGCCTGGGCTGCCCAGACGGGCATCGTAGTACTCGAGAGTAGAACACTATCGCGCCGCTTGATCTCGTTCTCTCGCTCGATCTTGTCCTTTTTCTGTATGATAGCGGCAATTAGATTGTCGAAGAGGGTCTGAATGCCTGCAGTGGAATTAGTACATCGCACGCTGGATGATGAGCGAGAAAGCTGACCAAAGTCGTCCTTGGCGGATACTTCGAACAGTTCCATTCCCTTATGTAGACCCCACTCGGAGTCGTCATCCCCAATTTCGGCCTCTTCGTCTTCTGGGAGGCTGTTGCTGCTGCCGTCACCTATCTCGTTCCATCCCCCTGGGCGATAACCCGCTCGTGGAGGTGCCGGACGTGAAGTTGGGGACACGGAATTGGATCTGGGTAAAAGGAGGTCGCCGCTCTTGGCGCGCGGACGGGTATAAGCTTGTGTGTTGGAGCGCTTCATCCCTGACGACCGCACGTCGTTGACGACGTCCGGTTCTAGTGGCGGCGGGAAGGGCTTGGGTGGTGTGAGGGCGGGGACGGAGCGTATGCTCGTGAAGGAGGTAAATCGGGGGCGGATGTAGGAAAACGTGGATGTCGGTGGTGGAGGGGCCGGAGGCGTGGGCGGCCGCGGTGGGGGGAACCAGGTATGGAGTGACAGACGGGCAAGATCAGACGTGACCTGTCGATGGTGTACAAGGTCGGCCTTCGCGCCCACGATATAGATAATGAGGTCGGGAGAGCAGTTCTTCTTGAGCTCTGCGTATTCGGAAGACAGCCGATTAGCCCAAATACGGGAGGGGGGACGCGTCCGCCGCGGGCGACGCTGCTCACCTTCGAGCCAGCCACGAACATCTTCGAAGCTAGACGCGTTCGTAATATCATACAACAACAGCGCCGCATTTGCACCGCGGTAATACATTGGTGCCTGTCAGGGCGTCAAGGCCACACTTTAACCTTCGGAATGGTTGGAATGGACGGAGCTGGCAACGCACCATGCTACGAAACCTCTCCTGGCCCGCCGTGTCCCACAGCTGTAACCGGACCTTTGTGCCATCTACGGTGACCTTCTTCGTGACGAAGAATGCGCCGGTGGTGGAGGTGGTGTTCTTCGGATCGAATTTGCCCTGGGTATATCTGTGCAGCAGGCTGGTCTTGCCAACGCCTGCACGTCAGGGGTGAGCATGACGGTTCGCGTGCGGGATATGCAGCGACAGGTGCTGGATATCCGGAAGAATGGACGGGGCGGGGCGTGCGTACCTGTGTTGCCCATTATGACAATCTTCGCGTCAACTCCCTGGTCGTATCTGGCCTTCCTGTAGGGGTCCATACGAGGATATTCTGCCATCATGGTGGGACGACCGGTAGGACGATGGGCGGGGCCGCCAGGGAGCGGGGGGACGACGGACGGAAGGCAGGGGCCGGGAGGGTAGGAGGGGGAAGAGAAGGGACGGAGAATGCGAAGGAGAGCCTATTGAGCCGTTTGAGACGGAGAACCACAACGGCCACGTGCGTCTATCTACCCGCTACTCCGGCTGTCCGGGGCGTACTACGGTCGCCAAAGCACGCCTTACGGCACTAGCTCTGCGCTCGGCCTCTCTCCCGGACACCGCTCTCCCAGATCCGTCCACCGACGGCGTTCACGCACAGGCACGCTCGCGCTAACTCGATCGCCAACACAGCACGGCGCAGGCCATATACAGGTCGCGGGCATGTAGAGGGGCATGCGCGCATACATTTTTGATGGAGGTGAGACAACAAATGACATAGTGCAATACACCCATAACGCCCAGCCAGCCGCAGTCCTCTACTCCTGCGCCTGCACGGGGAACTCGAACACGACGTCCTTCCCGGTCAGGCGGCGGTAGACCGATGAGAACGAGTCGAGCTTGTACTCCAATGACGTTGCGTCCTTCGAGTCAAGGAACCTGCAAGACGGCGACTGTCTGTCAGCCTGCATTCATTCACTGCACCGAGCAATTTCACGTACACCTTGAGGAGTTTTGAGCCGTCAACGGCCACACGCGTCCGCTTGCCAACAATCTCGGTGGGGAAGACGAGGTCCTCGAGGATACGCTCGTGGACGTTCGTGAGGGTGCGGCTACGGGGGCGCTTCTGCTGGACACGCGAAGTCCGGGTGGGCTTGCGGAGCATACGGCGCTGGGCAACGAAGACGACGTGGCGGTCGGAGAACTTCTTCTCGAGCTCCCGGGTCAGCCTGGACCGACGAGACGCGGTCAATATCGGCGTTTCGTGTGCGGATCCATTAATGCCTATTGCGGACCACTGACCTCTGCTGGACCTTGTGGAAAGCCTTGAGCTGGGGGACGGGGACGAAGATAACGATGGCCTTCTTTCCGCCGCGGACGTCGACTTCACGGGCGGCAGAGATCTGGAGGGGGCGGAGCTCCGCCTTCAGCTCAGGTGCGCTGTTCTCGAGGTCGATGATCGCCTGGGCGACAGCGGTCTCAGTCTCATCGGGGGCGGTCCTGGGCGCGTTGGCCGTGCGGAAGATCTTGTGCTGGACGGACATCTTGAAGCGTAAGGGACCTGGAAGAGATGCAGCGAGCCTGGTTAGCATCCAAATCGCGAGCAGTCAATCCAGCCCCTTCGAGTCGTCCCTCCTCTCCAAATCTCTCCAGACCGGTCTTGATGTCTCTCCAGCTCCCAACCGTGCATGATAACAGCATAATAACACTCACCGAGCCTGTCGCCGTCGTCGATAATGGATTCGTTGGGTGCCGTCTGGGGATCTTCTGCTGGGCGCTGGGCGTTGAGTGTGTGGGAAAATATTCTAACACGGACAAACTCAATGGGCGTCTATCCTTTCTAGGTCTGCTTTCTCCGAGCCGCCACCTCAGCCTAGCTCCGACCGCGAGATCTCCCACTGGCAGTACTGCTCGAAGCTCAGTGACTTCATACTCGAACATTTAGCTCGGCGGAAGACGTGCATATCACCCCGACACTGTGCTGCGTGTGCTAATTACCTAGGGGATTTACTGGCATCTCAACGATCAATAGACTCAACTCGAGTTCGCATATCGCAAACGTTAATAAACCACCCCAGCCTGCGAAACTCTGCAGAAAGAGCAACTCTATCATACACATTTCATTCACGTTATACATTCTGCGAGGCTCTGTTCTTCTTGAAGTCTTCTACCCATTTCTGTTCCTCCGGGCCTTTGGGGAGCACAACGAAAGTGAGCGTCCCATCTTTCAGCTCGAAGCCATCTCGCGGCTCGCCGTCCTTCGCCTTCGCCGCCTTGCACACATCCCGCAGCGTCATCTTTTTGCCGATCTTCAACAGCCGCTGCCGTCTCGTGAACCCATACACCACCAAGCTCCCATCGACGTACTCTCCCTTCGCGTCCCAGTCAGGCCGCGGCGCGTTCGGCGGGAACATCGCGCTTAGATGCGCGGAGAACGGGGTGTCTTCTTGGAAGTGCGAAATGAGGTCCGACGTCGCATACTGCGGGTAGAGGAACAGGACAGGGATGATCAGGGTGCCGGCCGTGGGATCCTCGGGGTCAAAGTGCGGCTCGTATGGGTTTTGCGCGACCGTGTCCGGAACGGGCACGACGATGAGGTTCCGCTCCTGTGCTTCCGTGAGCGCCCCGCATGAACCTCCGGTGAGACGGACGTACTCTGTACGCAACGCGTAGCCGTTCCTGTTTCAGCTTTTCCTGCTGTATCCGCTCCTGCCGTTCGCGCTCCTTCCGGTCTTTCGCCTCCTTAAGCTTAGCGGCCTTCTCTCGCGCAGCTTGTACAGTCTTGTTGTCCTTGTCGAATTGAAGGCAGTGATCGCAGCAGTCGAGTGCGTCGTCGTAGCGTTCTAGTGCGATCAAAGCGAGTGCTGAGCGGTAGTATGCCTTGGATGCCTTGGTGTTTATTCCGATTGCTTTGGAACAATCCCTGAGAACAGCCCCGTAATTTTCTAGGAAGCGAGATCAATCCATGTTTGAATGCGTGTATGATCGAACTCACGAAGCTCAAGGTTGCATGCCGCACGGTTGCATAGTAGCGCCTCCAGCACGGCTTTATCGGTAGGATGCGCGTCGACTCCTTGGGTATAGAAGCCGAGGGCTTCGCGATATCGCTTGCCCTTGTAGTACTCATTGCCCTGCTCCTTGAAGTTCTGTGCGATCTCTTCCAACGGCGCGTGTTAGCGCCCGAGCGTAACAGACACGCTAATATTTACCTTACCTACCATCTGGCGTCCCTTCATGGGCCAAGCTCTGCAGGGCCGCGAGCGCGACATCGTCGGCAGGGTCCTCAGGCAGGTTCTTCATGAATAGCGGCACCGCATCGAAGGCTGCCAGCTTCTCATCGGCGGATAGAGGCTGGGGTAGCGGGACATTCTCTTGCGTGGTCATGTCGTCTTTGTGGGGGCGGTATCGTCGACCGAGGAAAGCAGCGAAGTAGTGTGTAGGTGCGGTTGGGAGAGAGAACGGTGCAGAACGCGACCGATGGTCAAACTTTCGAGAGCTGATCGAGGATCGGAGGACGATCTGATCTTATCTTGCCATGACGTACAGCAGATCTGGCCACCGATCCCAATCGGCTCTCCGCCTCCGACAGCACGTCTCTCGACTCTCAGTGAGCTACTATTACTAGCTCGAGTCACTGTCTTGCGCGCGCCACGGCTGTTTGTCTCTCCCTCGCATCAGGGTTTTTGGCTACGTTGGCGGATGTCGGGGAAAGACATCTATCTGTTGAAACATCCCACATGCAAGTACGAGGCCTATTCGCTGCCTTGAACAGCAGCGGCAAGTTCAAATTCAAGGTTAGGTCGTCGCGCACATGCACATGCAGGGTCGATAATTCTAACGACGCTGCATTCTACAGGCACCGGAGTATGCTATTGACCACCTTGTCATTGGAGGAGGTAACTCGAAACAGGTTCTGTGCAGTACTGTATGGGGGTCTGAGGTGTCAGTCCAGGTGTGGTAGGGCTCGCGGTAGCACAACGGCTTGCTCAGCGATTCCCTGGGAAGTCGACATACCTTGTGGAGAGACATGCCACTGCAGGGGAAGAAATAAGGTGCGCTCCTTAGGACTCTCCATTTTAACAATGTCTGAACGGCACTGTCAGCTCGCGAAATTCGGAAGTCATCCATGCAGGTCCGACTGGAACGTCCGATGCAGCCAACCTGACGCTCATTGTTTTCCACCCGCAGGACTCTACTACCCTCCGGATTCTTTGAAGACGAGACTCTGCCTCCGTGGGAAGCGGCTCCTCTATGACCGTTGCAATGCGCACAATATACCCTACAAACAGACAGAAAAGCTGATCGTCGCCCGCGACGAACAGTTGCTCTACATCCAGTCCCTGCACGAAAAGGCTCAGGCACTACGGTGGCCGCCACACTCCACCCATACGGACAGCCTGTCGTCCGTCTTGCCCACGAAGCTACTGACGGGCGACGATGCACGCGTACTGGAGCCAGACCTATCCAAAGATATCTCCGCTGCGCTCTGGAGCCCCGGCACGGGAATAGTCGACTCGCATGCTCTCATGGAGAGCCTCGAGAAGGACATCATAGATGCGGAAAACAGCGAGCTGGTGTATTCCACGAAGGTCGTCCGTCTCGACCCCAGCCACGACGACCCGGGTTGGGTCGTACAGACCGTGACCGGGGACGCCGAGGAAGGAGATGCACTGCTCGCGCGGACGGTCATCAACTGCGCTGGCCTGACCGCGCCGCTCGTTCTCAACGCCCTCCTCCCGGAGTCGCAGCGGATACCCATGTTCTTCGCGCGTGGATCGTACGCGTCGTATCGCGGACCGGGCGTCGAGCACGTCTCCCACCTCATATACCCGTGCCCAGCCGTCGGCAAGGACAGTCACGCCTTCCAATCCCTCGGCACACACCTCACCCTCGACATGCAGGGGAAGATACGGTTTGGGCCGGACCTGGACTGGCTGGAACCCCCGCAAGACCACGAGGATCCGGACTTTTGGCAGAAGCACCTCGTGCCCAACGACTCACGGCTGGAACTCATGTACAAGGCCGTCAAGGAGTACCTTCCGGGCATCTCCAAAGACGGTTTCCAACCCGACTACTGTGGCATCCGGCCCAAGCTGGTCGGACCCGGAGGGCGCTTCCAGGACTTCGTTTTCCGCCGCGACAAGGCAAACGCACAAGGAGAGGGGGAGATGATCAGTTTGCTTGGGATAGAGAGCCCCGGGTTGACGTCCAGTCTAGCGATAGCAGAGTATGTGGTCGAAGATATGCTCGGCGGAAGTGCTTGATATGTGAAGCTAGTAAAAACGACGTGCTGTGATTCGTCTCGGACACAGTCCCTAGAACAATCACGCCCGAGCAGCCGTCTTGGGTTGCCACGCCTCGTACTTGGGCTTCGTGGTGTTGTACGTTCTGAAGGCTCCGCGGGTACCGGTGAGGTTCTCGTTCCAAGGCTGGTAGAATTGGCGAGATGGCGTGAGCTACATGCGTGGAGCTGTGGTGATCGAGCGAAACGTACCGTCTTCCACGGAGGGGAGAGGTTCTGCACGACGCGATCCTCCGTAGGGGGGTCCTTGCGAATGTGGCTGATCCACGAGTGCCACTCAGGAGGGACTTGGGTTGCATTGTAATCATGCTATGCGGGCATTCTATTGGCTGAAGAGCAACCAGAGAGATATACTAGAACTCACCTGAGCGAAGTCCACCCAGCGGTGCCGCCCTGGACGGAAGGTATTGGATGCCGTCAATGTGCACTATAGAACCGTCACTCACCAGGGATCTCCTCCTCCGGGTTCAAGTTCTCAAAGTAGCGGTTACCGAACCTGCAGCACATATCGCGTTCAATGCTTATGAGCATGGCACCGAAGGTGATGTTACGCACTGGTCCGTGCCTACGAGGCGCCCCGACTTGGCGTCGCCGATGTACTGCATCTGGTGCCACCACTCCTTGATGCCTACACGGCGGATACTGCGGATAGTCCGCGCGAGAGAGACCATGGCTGAGGTAGTCTGAACGAAGGTGAAGGCGGCCACCACAGAAAGCGCTCCTGAACGCCCCGCCGATGCTTATGTAAGCGATAGGCAACGCTTTCGCTGCTCGCCGGCGTCTGTCAGTCTTCGCTCTCGTCTCCTTCCGCCCCTTCTGCCAGTGTCTGTAGCATGCATACAGGACGGCTTGAGTCCCATCTCTCGTGCGGCTTATATCTGGGGTGTCTCTCTCTTGTCGACTGAGCGCCATAGCGGATCATACGGAGCCAGAATCTCAGACGCCGCTGCTACCGTGAAGGCGCTCGATGGCTTGACTCTTGCGTTGCCGGCACCGGGTACAAGACTCTGCATGCGGTTCTGGGTGCCTTAGTAGGGCTCACATCAGGGGTTTATACTGTCTTTAGTATCAGCGCCTGAATATGGTCTCGGCGTGATATATATACAGACTGCTTCTCCCATCTCAAGAGTGTGCAACTTGCCACCCTCTCACGCAATCCCTATCATGGCCACTCCCACCGCAACCGGTACAGCCGATTTCGACGCCAAGGCAGGCAAGCCGTGCCAGACCTGGTACGAAGTCCACGGCGACCTCAAGTCTGGTGTCACCCCCGTCGTCGCGGTACACGGCGGGCCAGGATCTACCCACCACTACATCCGCTCCTTCATCGATCTCGCGGCCGTATATTCTATCCCCGTCGTCCTTTATGATCAGCTCGGAAATGGGAATTCCACTCATATTCCCGAGAAATCTGGCGACGAGGGCGCGTTTTGGACCGAGCAGCTCTTCCTGGATGAGCTCGATAACCTCCTCCGCCACCTCGGCATCCAGGACAACTACGCGCTCCTCGGACAGTCTTGGGGCGGAATGCTCGCAGCGCGCCATGCGACGAGACAGCCCAAAGGCCTGAAACGCCTGATTATATCCGACAGTCCAGCCAGCATGGCGCTCTTTGTTAAAGCAGCTAACGAAGAGCTAATCGCGAAGCTCCCGGCTGACGTGCGGGTACGCGTGCAGTTTCCCTGTCCCCCTGTATAGCCATGCGTATTGATATTGCGTCTAAACAGGATGCCATCATCAAGCACGAGAAGGCTGAGACGACGGACTCGCAGGAGTACAAGGATGCTGTAGGAGTCTTCTACAAGCGCCACCTCTGCCGGCTCGATCCCTGGCCCATCGAGCTCCTGCAGAGCTTTGAGTGGATGGAAAAGGACCACACGGTCTACATGACGATGTTCGTGACTCTGGCAACAGTGTCGGATCGTGCGTTGATGTCTGTGCAGGAACGGGCCGTCCGAGTTCCATGTCATCGGATCCCTGAAGACCTGGACTATCGAAGAGGAGGCACACAAGATCAACGTCCCGACGCTGTTGCTTAACGGCGCGTACGATGAGGCGACAGACAGTACCGTGTTGCCGCTGTTCAAGGCGATTCCGAAGGTCAAGTGGTATACGTTCGCGCAGTCGAGCCACACGCCGCACTGGGAGGAAAGGGAGAAGTACATGAAGCTCGTCGCGGAATTCCTGACCACCTGACCGTCGACTGTACGGTTACACTGAATGTAATTGTATGCACGTAACTTACGGCAGGACGGGTGCAACGGCTCTATTCTCATTTCAGACTGTCATTGCATCGGTCTCATAATATGCCCCATTGAATTAATCATATGCTCAAAGACCTACCGGGTACCCCAGTGACTCGTGCTCGAACACGAGTTGTATGTGCGTGCTCACGTCGCGGTACCACTGCTTACAGTAATAACTTATACTCTTCCTCGCAGCAGACGGCGTACGCTAAACCTTGTACATCATGCACCCGAAAGCATCCGGCCGGCCCACAATCTCGTCCACGTAAGATCTCAGAGCTGTCATTTCGCATCACCGCAGCATTCGTTGCGTGTGGCCTGGGGCATGTCGCTGATGGATATCAGAACCTTTGTAGCGACGAACTGCATGCAGATTCATTTAGTTTGCGGCTGTACAGACAGGAGAAACCGCCAATGCAAGCAAAGCATGTTTTTGAAGCCTACTTGGAAGCTCTATCAGACACTAGTGAGTGGCGTGTTGAAGGTGATCAAGCACAAATACTGTGAGCTGATGCCGTGGGAAGAAGCTATAGCGATGGTGGTCTTTGCACACACATCTGCGGCTCAAATTCTGCATGCATGATGTCTGATGGCGCATTCTGCTCCAGCTTGTCGTGGTTGGCTATATCATCCTTCTGTCGCTGAGCACTGATTCCTTAAGCTTCCTCTTGGCCCCAACCACGACTCGCCGTGCGTATCACGGAGCCAAATTTCGGACGCCCACAACGCTTACGACGCTCGGCCGGTTGCTGAAGAAATCTGGAATCGTTTCACTATTGTGCCACCGTGCAGACATGCCTTTACGTATAGTATTGCGCAAGCCTCCGGCCGAACCCACATCAGGGGCACAAGTGCCCTACCCCGGTGTCCCCGTGAGCCCCCCGCCCGTGGCCGACTTTGTCTGTACAGCTTTTACATGCCCTAAGCGGGAGTGGTACACACGCACCCACCACCGCGGGCTGCAGTGACCGCAGTGGTGAACTGCGGTGCTGTCACTGCGCATCTAGGTACTGTACCAGACGCGCTATATAACTAACCAACTTCGTTCTTCAAGATCACAAGCTCAATATCCCACCTCATCCTCCTCTCACGCATAGTCCTTAGCATGGCCACCCCCACCGCAACTGGCACCGTTGAGTTCGACGCCAAGGCAGGCAAACCCGTCCAGACCTGGTACCAGATCTACGGTGACCTCAAGTCGGGCGTGACCCCCGTCGTCGCCCTGCACGGCGGCCCGGGATCCACGCACCACTACATCCTCCCCCTCATCGATCTCTTCACCCTGCACGCTATCCCCGTCGTCTTCTACGACCAGGTCGGGAACGGGAACTCGACGCACCTGCCCGAAAAGTCCGGCGACGCGGCCGGGTTCTGGACGGAGCAGCTCTTCCTGGACGAGCTCGACAACCTCATCCGCCATCTCGGCATCCAGGACGATTACGCGCTCCTCGGGCAGTCGTGGGGCGGGATGCTCGCTGCGCGTCACGCCTCGAAGCAGCCGAAGGGCTTGAAGCGGCTGGTCATCTCCGAGAGCCCCGCTAGCATTGCGCTCTTCGAGAAGGCGGCGAAGGAAGAGCTTATTGCCGGACTCCCGGCAGATGTGGCGGTATGTATACACTCATTAAGTTGCTGTCGTCTTTCGTGCTCAATACGCACTCGACCAGGATGCTCTTATCAAGCACACGGAGGCCGGCACGACCGACTCCGCGGAGTACAAGGCCGCATCTGCAGTTTTCTACAAGAAGCACGTGTGCCGGCTGGAAACCTGGCCCGCCGAACTCATGGAGAGCTTCGTGTGGATGCAGAAGGACCCGACGGTCTACCTTTCCTTGTCAGTGTCCCCCCGCCAGTCATTTCCGGAGTCACGCTAACGGTCGCGCAGCTACGGGCCGTCCGAGTTCAACGTCACTGGGCCCCTCAAGGACTGGAGCATCGTGGACGACGCGCCCAAGATCAATGTGCCAACCCTGCTGTTGAACGGCAAGTACGACCGGGTGACGGATAACACGGTGCTGCCGCTCTTTAAGGCGATCCCCAAGGTCAAGTGGTATACGTTCGCCGAGTCGAGTCACACGCCGGTCCTGGAGGAGAGGGAGAAGTACATCAAACTTGTTGCGGCGTTCCTCAAGGACTGACCGTCGGCCGTACCGCTACATTTGGTGTGGATGTGTGTAAGCTAGGAATACAGGGTGGGGATCAGGAACTGTTCAATGTCTCGATTGTCAGAGGGCTTCGTGGTTATAATTTATGAGGTCTTCGAACTTGACGAGGGTGCCTCCGAAGATGTCTAGCGAGCTACGAAGGCCGGGTTAAATCAGACGTTCCCGTTCGCCGGACAATCACGAACCTTCCGAACGTAAGGTCGACCTTTCCTGCCGATAGTCGGCCGACTAACTCCAGGTCCGTAACGCTCTTTGCTCCACCCGCGTATGTCGTGGGGATCGTGACCCACTCCCCAAGTTCTGTGTAAAAGTGTGAGCCGGTTCACAAATGGCCAGGCGATGTAGTGAACCCACTCGCGACGAGCTCCTCGTCGATGCCTTGACATAGACCTTCTACGTCTGCGGCGTGGACCAAGAATTCGCTGCAAAATTGTGAGATCAGGCAGCAGCCCCGCTACTAGTCATAGTTTAGCATACCTGCAATATTCGGCCAAGAGGTCCAGTGATTCTGGATGATACGAATGGTCAATGTCTACCCTCGACGAAGAACTTAAATTTCGGCCTGCCTTTGCCGACCTCCATGTCCGCGATCGTCTGCCATTTGTTCATGGCGACAAGCCATTTATTCTCCCTTCTCCTGCAACTGCGGCGCACATTAGCACCAACGTTTCAACGTGGCTCCGGCAGCTACCTGACGTCGACGACCAACCGGTCTTTTCCTACCGCACTAGAGACCGCCTTCAGCCTGTCAATCGAGAATCTTGCCTCCGGGAAGAGATACGAAGTCACGATAACCTAGCCAAACGGCAACCGGTCAGCGACTTGTCACCCGCAAGATAGAAAAACCAGACTTTGCTCGCGCCCGCGTCGAGCCATTCCCGCGCGTTTTCGGCAGTGATACCGCCGCCGATCTGGAGGTGACCTGCAGCCCAGGTCAGCAAAGCACCCTTGAAAATTAATCGTGCAACGCGCCTGGCCAGGCAGCGAGGGCCTCTTTCGCCGCGCGATCGTTCCCCGGGCCTAGCTTGATAACGTGCCCGCCTTCGAGCGCGTTTTCTTCATACAGCGCCGCATAGTATGACGACGGGTGGCTGTCAAAATACGTCGGGTCAGCAGATGCACACGGACAGTGAGCCTTGAGGGAAGAAAGCGTGCCTTGCGACGAAGTTCGTCTGCAGCCGGCTCGCGTCGTCCTCGTGCAATGTGCCCCCGACGATCTGCTTAACTTCGCCGTTGTGCAGGTCGATGCACGGCCGGAAGAGCGATTTGCGTCGTGGGTGTGCCATTTTTGACCGGGTTCACGGTACACGGTTTTGAGTGGGTGGTTGAGAGAGCGGTGCAAGAGTGATCTCAGATCTACGCGCGACGCGACGCGTCGATCGCGATCTTCAGGGCTGGAGTCATGTACGGAGGTTTTCAATTGCCATCGAGGGCAGCTCGCCACTCTATCTCAGTATTTCAATACAAGCAATGACAGCGTGAAAGCGTTCTATAGCATGTAGCAGAGTAACTGAGCGTTAAAATCGCTATATATACAAGTGGTCGTAAATCGTTGTGCTATCATACATCCTGAATTCCATCCACATATGCCCCCGACTCTCTCATGCAACGACTTGCTCCACCTAGTACTCCATCGAGTTCTCGATAATGCGCGTCAAATGCTCCCGCCCATCCTCACCCGCGACGTCGCCCACGCCCGGCGCGAGGTCCAGTACGCGCCGCTGCGGGATCGTGCCCTCCACGAGCGCGGGGATGTCCGCCGCCGTGTACCCGACGGCCTTCAGGCCGCGCGGGACGCCCAGGCCGTCGAGGAAGCGCGCGATCGCCTCGTACAGGTGCGCGCCGACCGCGCTGTCCGGGATCGCGGTGATCGACGGGTCGGACACCTCCGTCCCGCGGAAGACGGCGAGCGCCTCGCGGTGCCGGTCGGGCGAGGACGGCGCGGTGAACTGGAAGACGGCGGGCGCGGAGAGGGCGACGCTGTTGGGGGCGTTAAATATTGTAGGGGACAAGGAGGAGGAAGGAGAGCTTACGTGACGCCGTGGGGGATGATGGGGTGGTCGACGTTGTATCCCGGGTACTGGAACTTGGGGCCCTTCTTGTTCAGGCCGGATATCTGGACGCGGATGTCAGTCGCATCTTTGTGCAGGGACGAGCTGGACCAGACGTACGGGGTAGCTGATGCCGTGGCACAGGTGCACTCCGGCGTTACCGAAACCAATGCCGGCGAAGGACGCAGCAAGCCTAAGGATGGGAAGTGAGCAGAGAACAGCTACGTGCCTAGTGCAGTACCTACATCATCTGCGACAACGACTCAAAGTCATGGGGGTTCTTCGATATCCGCGGCAAGTGCTTCACGGTCGTCCGCAGGGCCCACATGGAGAAGATGTCGGCGACGGGGTTGCTGCCCTGGTATGCCGGGCGCAGGATGGGGTTGGAAGGCCGAGGAGTCCGCTCGGTATACCTGTACGCCTGTGTTGGTACTGATGGTCGAGTTGCGGCTCCAGGGACTTACGGAATGGCCGTGTAGCTCTCCAGACTGTGGAACAAGACATCGAGACCAGAGCTGATGTGCAACTCTACTCATCCCGGGTCAGTTAGCGTTTGTGAAAGTTGATGGTTAGGGTTGCGCACCCCTCGAGCAAGTCCGGGTGTTCAGGGTATCGACGATACCAAGCATGGGCTTCATTGCGCGGTTAGCAATGCCGGTCTTGAATGACATAGAGGTGATGTCGAGGATGGCGGTTCCAGTCGTCTCCGAGCCGGTACCCGCGGTGGTGGGAACTGAAGGCAACATACGTAAGAAGACGTCCGACGGAATGCGAGAGGAGCGCGCACCTGCAATAAGTGGATGGAGTTTCTTCGTAATGGGAAGACCCTTGCCGACTGGCGCGTTGATGAAGTCGAAGAGATCCGCGTCTTTGTAAACCGAGAAGCTGCGAACGGCGATGCATAAGCGCCATCCTCGACCTCAGAATGAGATGTCGGGAGACGTACAGGTTAGCCGCTTTCGCCGTGTCCATCACACTTCCGCCGCCGACACTGTCACAATGCGTCAATACGGCACGGATGTTGCAGGTGCGGAGCGACGCACGCAAGGAAGTGGCTGCAGTCCTCCTGCCTGGCCCAGGCGATGGCGTCTCGCCAGCTGGCCTCGGTGGGCTCCGCAACGACACGGTCGTACACGACGAAGGGCAGGTCCTCTTGGGCCTCGAGGGAGGCAATGGCCTGATCCGGGATGTGAGTGAAAGCGTCGCTGCGGAGCGCGTAGGGGAGAGACGCACCATCTTCGCCGGGGGCAGCTTCGCCACGTTCGGGTCCGTGAAGACTGCGACCTAGTGCGGCCGGTCAAGCCGAGCACAGAACGGCCTCGCGAAGGAACCGTACCTTGCGAGCTTTCATGTTCTTGAAGTCCATGCCCACCTCGCGCGTCACCCCCTCGCCGAAGCGCAGGTTCGCGGCGGCCACCTGCGCCGGAATGCGTGTTCAGCTGCTTGCGTGCACCACGACACGACCTCAAACGAGAGCGTCCTGTTTCTTGAACGCCCTGTTGTCCGGAACATATTCCCCGGAACATCGTAACCCGCACGGATCGCCTGGGTGAGTGACTGGGCCACTGCGGTCACTATCTGGGCACGTCGTCTGCGCGACGTCTCAGTGGCCTGTTCGGCTTCCCTGCCTGCGTGTTGCGTAGGCCAGCTCGCGGCCGACTTGACCATGAGTTTACCAGAAAAAGAGCGCTACGTGACGCGCGCAGGTCACTCGAAGGCCACGCATTCAGGTCGAAGCAAACCAGCGATCCGCGCTTGTTCCATGGGACGGGCTGAATGCGTTCCGCGGAACATCTGCGCCAGGTGACGGGACTTTCTGGTTCAAACGCACCTCGAACGCGTACTCCTTCTCGACCGGGAGGGACTCGACAGGGGTTGCATACTTGCGCATCTGCTGCAGGGCGTGTATGGGGTTGTGGGCGCCGCCGGTCCGGCAGCCGTGGCACGGGCATGCGGTGTGCTGGGCGGCGTTGATGAGCCGGCGGATGGCGCTCCTGGATGCGACGGCGGAGGACATGGCTGCAGTGGGTGGGGATGGGGGTACGGAATGGACATGGCTGCACGGTGCGCTTTATAGCTCGCGGCTGGGAAGCGGGAACGGGAAGGCCGACGCCCGTCTGCGGCGGCGGGAGGGTCACGAGAGGCTGAGCCGTACACGATCACGGGTCCTGTGATCGTGTCTACCGAGCGCCTGCACGCCAGCTCTCGCTCTCTGCCCGCTTCAGTGCTTTTCGACCTGTTTCGACGCCCTGCAGGATGGGCGGACGCCAGCGGGGACGTCGTGAACATCGTGTACACGGCAGGCTCCGAAGGGAGCGAAGAGAGCTCTCGGGTACTTACGCCTTCTGTGACTTACGAACGGGGCTCCGCGTGTGCGTATGAGGTTGTTCTCATTGGGTCCCAGTCGGTTCTTCGTCCAAGATTTGGGAGCGTTCGATGTGCTGCATTCGAAGTGAAGTCTGAGTGTGCCTATCTTCGCCGTGGAGGTTGCTACTCTTTCTCATGGTGTGGATATAGAGGCTGAGGTAACGGATACTTGAGAGCCATTTAAGCGTTCGAACGCGTTCACGCGCTCACGCACGGCGGTCAAACGCATCAGATCTCTGTGCACCTGAACGAGACCCGGGACTATCCGCTTAAGTATGGACGATAATAGCTAGTCTAGACGCACGTTGATTGACCCTTGCTCGTAAGGCACACTATACTGCCACCAGGTTTGAGCTTGACCCGGCTCTGACACCGAAGCGTGACTCTGTGAGGTGGGTTTACACTCGCCGTACGGCGCGTTTGGTGGAGACGGCGCGGCGCAGCGCAGGTATGGATATAGATGCTGCGCGCTTCTGGCCAGCGGAGATACGGAGAAGGCGCATTGGAAAATCGTTAACGATGCGCAGCAAGACTGGAAGTGATTGAGCTCGGGATCCACCCCGAGTTTGTGTTTCAACGCCCGCGGGCGCGCGCGGTCGGGATCGACGCGCTGGACGTGTATGCGTTTACTGGCGGGAGTGTGGCAGGGCGCAGCAGTATTTTCGAGCGATGATTTGCATGAAATGGGCCGATGGAGATAGAGCAGAGAGAGAAGACGGCCACGTGTAGCGGGGAAGAGGGAAGAACAAGGGCTGGTAGCGGAGAGGACCTGGCGCGGAGTGGAATTGCAACTCGCTCGGAGAAGCTTGAGCCAGTGCTTGATCCATGTTGCCACCCTCCGCTCGCCTCTGAGCAGTGTCCTCCTCCCCCTCCCTCCTCCTCCCACACAGCCCGTCGACGGCTCGTGTCCCCTCCTCCCCCTTCTCCCCCAGGTCTCTACGCCCACCACGCTCCCTCTCCCACACACTCCTTGACACTGTCTTCTCCCGCCCGGTCTCACTTGCCATGCGGGCTTACTCCCTCGCCCTGGCCGCTATTCTCTCCGGCACCTTAACCGAGGCGGCCAAATTATCCGTCTCCCAGCGCAAGCGTCCGAACAACACCCACCAGAGGAGATCCGGTAGCGCCTCCTTCAAGCGACCGGCGACAGTCCTCGCCGCGACCTCTAGCTCTGACGACTCTGATGTGGACTTGAGGTGTGTATCACGTCTTCCCGCTTCTTCTGCCCCGCGGCCTCAACCCGCCGCGTGCTAGCTCCTTTCACGACTTGTTATATATCGCCAACGTGAGCCCTGCTGTCATCTTGCTCTCGCACGCTGTCTAATCACCCTACAGGTCACTGTAGGAGGTACCGGTACGTGATCATACACAAGACATATCTGGCCGCGTCCTCAAAGTCGCGTAGAATACCCTTTGCAACTCGATACCGGTTCCTCAGACCTTTGGGTCAAGGGAGCATCTTCTCCGCTACCTAACACTGATCAGACGGTGCGTTATCACCCTCATTCGCACCTGTACTCGCGTTAACGCGATATCTGTTGGCACTCAGTCCTTGACACTGAACCTCACAGTAAGTCCTTTCTTGCGTTTGTTTCTGCGCCCGACGCTAAGTATTGTAGTATGGTATCGGGTCCACATTTGGCCATATCTCGTACACCCCCGTCGAGTTCGCAGGGTGAGTTGAAGCAGCTCCACCTGCTGAGCCATAACCAATTCTCCCTAGCATCAACATCTCCCAGCAAGCGATCATCGACGCCTCAAATGCCTCCAACCCTATATTGAACTACGGCGTGAGCGGAATCGTCGGCCTGGGCTTCACGAAACTGTCCAGCATCGACGCCGCGCTCACCAAGAGCGGCAAGTCCGACGGCAAGAGCCTGCTGTACAACCTCTTCGCGGACAACCCGAAGGAACCCAATTTCATCGCGTTCGCGCTGCAGAGGACTTTGGAAGCAACCGGGGATGTCGAGGGCTCCTTCACGATAGGTGCGCTCTTCCTCCGCGCGTGTGCTGGAACGTTTTGATACGACTTATGGTCAAGGCGAGTATGACGACGACTACAAGGATGTCGCCAACAGCCCCAAGATTCCAACCTACCCTGTCACTGACCCTATGCGGTGGACCGTCCTCCTGGACGCGTTTCTCATTGGCCAGGGCTCGGTTGCCCTGACGAGCACTGTCCCCAATGCACCCTCTGACAAGGCCGTAGTGATGCTCGACAGTGGTACTTCGTACACGTGAGTTAACAATTCCCGAATTTCGCCAATAAGCGATTCTGACCCTCCGCAGCTATGCACCCAAGGCAGTATGCGACGCGATGTACGGGAACATCACCGGCGCGTCCTACAGCTCCGCACTAGGCCAGTGGATCGTGCCGTGCAGCGCGGAAGTGGACGTCGCACTCCAGTTCGGGTGCGTGCACTGATCGTCATGTCCGGAACAGCGCTGACACCTATTCGCCCGCAGATCGTCTGTGTACCCCATCCACCCCATTGACGTAACGCCCGTCAGCCTGAGCGACGACTCGCTCTGTGTCGGCTCATTCGTCCCGCAGACCGTCTCCGTCGGAGCCGGCCAATTGTGAGTTCCCCTCCTCCTGCCAGCGAGAACGCCCGTGCGCTGACAGCCGCGCGCCCGCCGCAGCGACTGGCTGATCGGCGACAACGTCATGCGCTCGCTCTACACCGTCTACGACTTCGGCGACTTCGACAGCACGGGCACGACGATGGGCGACCCGTACATGCAGCTCCTCGCGCTCGTCGACCCGAACGCCGCCTCGACCGAGTTCCACAAGGCGCGCGGCGGCTCCGCGAGCGGCAACATCACCTACAACGCGCAGAACGTGTCCTCGTCCACCTCCGCGACCGCCGCGGCCGCCTCCGGCGGCACCTCCGTCGAGCTCTCCGACGAGCTCTCGAGCACGCTCAACAAGCTGCAGGGCTACCTCCCCGCGCTCCTCGCGGTCATGGCGCTCAACGCGCTCGTGCTTCTCGTCCTCGCGGGCGCCGGCGTCGCGTACATGTGCCGCCGCCGCGGCAAGGCGCGCGCGCGGCGCAACCCCGGCCGCCAGAGCGGCGCGGCGAGCCCGATGCCGCTCCAGCGCACGTCGTCGTTCGGGATGCCGAGCGGCTCGGGCGACACGCACGTCTACCAGCCGGTGTCGATGGCGCTCACGGAGGACACGTTCGTCCCGCCCTCGCCCGCGTTCTCGAAGGGCGGGCTGAGGGAGCCGAGCGGGCTCCGCATGGACGACCGCCCGAAGTCGGTCGCGTAGGCGCGTGTGGGTGGTTGGAGGGGGTGGGTTCTTGGATCTTTGAGTCTCTCATGTCGTGTTGCTCTGTCGATGGCGAACGGACACATCATTGGTTGGTAGTAGTACTAGTATACGGTATACGGTATGGCGCGGCACGTCCTTCTGGCGCACGCGCGATTGGAACATGGACTTTCAATACCCTCATTTCTCTCATGTACCCCGGGTGATTCTGCACTGCACGCCCTTGACGACGTCAGACAAGTGAATATGCACGCGTGGTGTTAAGCCAAGCACGCTATTTCAGAATTGTCTAAGTAAGATGTCAGTGTACAGTCCCGCCCTACCGCGCGCCCTTCTGCTCCCTATGTATCCGATCCCACTCGACCACGCTGTCCATCGCCGCGAGCCCCGCCGCGCTCCCCAGCGGCGTCTCCTCGAGCTGCGGCGTGCCCCGCGGCCGGTGCTCGCGCTGCTCGATCAGGAACGTCTTCGCCTCCGAGCGCACGCCGACCCACTCGCGCTCCTCCGCCGTCAGCCGCCGCGCGCCCTCCGTCTTCCGCGGCACGAGCACGTCCACGAGCTCCTGCACCGCGCGCGCGGCCTTGTGCGTGTAGAACGTGCGCTCCTGCGCGAAGCTCGCGCCCGCGTTCCCCCCGGGGCGCTGCTGCGCCGCCACCTCCGCCGCCCGCTCGCCGTCCTCCGTCGGCGCGAGGATCTGCGCGACGCCGAGGTGCGCGATGATGCGCGCGCACTGGCGCATTGCCGCGCGGTCGCCGCACTCCAGCGCGGTGCGGGCGAGGCACGACATCGCCGCGGCGTCGGGCTTGATGCTGCGCGTGCCCGCGGAGGGCTCTGGCTTGCCTATCGCGCCGTCGACGAACGCCTCGCCGCGGAGCCCGGTCATGAGCTCGAACGTGCGGAGCGCGCTCTCCCAGTCTTTGGCGCGCCAGCACACGGTGAGCACGAGCGTGTACGTTGCGAGCCCGGGGCGGAGGCGGTTGTCCTTCGCGGTGAGCGAGCGTTCGAGTAACCACTCGAGGGTCTGCAACGCTCGCGCGGCCTCGGTTAACGAACCGAGCGCACTCAGCTGCCCGTACGCTTGCAGGACGTGGTCGACGTGGCCGCGGTCGAGGACGTCCGGCTGGCGTTCCATGAGTTGCTGTACGAAGTGTACGCAGATCCGGTACTTCTGTGCGCGGTTGCACAGCCAGAGCACGTCCTGCACCAGGGGCGGCGAGACCTCTACTCGCGCAGGCCGCGCGGTCTCGCCGGGCTTCGCGAGCCCCGCGTAGTCGCGGAGGATGTCGAACGCGACGATGTGGTCTGCGGGCCGGCCGAGCGCGAGCACCTGTATGACGCTGCTGATGAGCCTGGCGTCGACCTTGATGTTCGTCCCGCCCTCGATGCGCTTCGTCAACTGCCGCCAGAGGAATCGCGCGTCGGACGCGGCGCGTTCTCGATTCTTCTGCGCCTGTACCTCGTCTTCCTCCTCTGCGGTGCCTTGCCTGTACATTGTCCGGAACATGGTGGTGTACGTGATGTGGTTCGCGGAAAGGGGCCCTTCCTCGTCAAGAGAGTTCAGCACGTCGAATGTCCGCGCGTATTCGCCCGCCCGCGAGAGGCAGGTCATATACAAGGTGGCAGGGATCGACGAGATCTCCGGGCTCTGCGGATTGGTCGCCTTGACCGTCGCAAGGTACTCAAGGTACTGACTGTAGACTTTTTCAACAGTTTGGAGCAGCTTCCCACGGGTTTGCCAAGATTCGATTTTGGTGAATGTGGTTAGGAGGGAGGAGTACGTGGAGAGGGTGGGTTTGAACCCGCGGCGCTTCATCTGGGTGCAGAAAGTGAGCCATAAATATCACTAGACACGAAGTAATCAGGTTTCGTCGTTCGGCTGAGAGCACCCTTGAGCTCAAGTCGAGGGTGCTCTCAACCGAGTTCTCCCAAGAATTTGTACACCGTGAGATGCACAGCATAGCATAGCATATACATCCTAGCGGAAAGACCATGCTAGTTAGCAATGTCTGAATTTGCCGGTTTTGTGCCTCAAGGCCCGTAAGTAAACTAGCTTGAGGCATCCGAGTCGAACGCGGCTTCATGAAAGTTCAGCCAATATAGAAAGTCGTGCACCCCGGCACGAGTGTTTGGGGAACGCCAAAATGAGTGAAGGCGTTGGGCCTTAGCACCGCGTCCAGGCTTTCCCGGGCAGCTGAACCTGCGATATACAGTGGTGTGAAGCAACTCACATCGGTGTATACCTCGTGGGCTAAGCGAAATCTCTTCACATGGCCGGCTTGCGATATGAGAGTGTTCCAAACGACGATGTTCAGCGCGTCAAGAGGCATACTCTGCACGTATTTCACCGCGTCTTCTATGTTCCCCTCTTTGCACATCTTGTGTACTCTGCCTGACACTTGGTGTGGTTTCAGGAGACGTTTGGGTGCTTCATCTTCACCATCCTGGGCCTCTTCAAATCGTCTTGATTTGTAATCTCCCTTCGAAAAGGTGCTGCGAGGTTTGGACGCGTTACCGATTCGGGGAGGTGGTATGGACCTGGAGGACGAAGGCTTGTCCGTAGAAGTCGACGCGAGTCGTACACCGGCAGAAAGAGGTTGCAAGCGACGAGTTACGGCTGTCAGTGAGGTACAGCCATTCCGTATCATGAGAGGCGAGAGTAGAGAACAAAGAAGTTGACAAGGAGGATGGTGGTGGAAAGGACGATCGCTGTCGACGCGCTCTCGCTCAGTCGAATTATGGGCGCTTATTCAGCAGCAGCACATTTTGTGAAGCGCCCGCCCGAGTTTCCTCATCCTCGGAGTCAGCACCGTCAAAACCACCGCGCGGGAATGTCCTCTTGATGCTCTGTCTCTCACCGTTATCGTCTCGCCATCTCTCTGTACATATACCTCCTCTGTCTGCCGTTTACAGGAGGACCATGGCGACGAGAACGTACCGGGAAGCGGTCGACCATCTCAACTCGCTGCAGTCCAATGCCGCGACCTTGGAAGCGGTTCGGGCCTCAGGTGGGCGGCTTAGCCAGTTTGCCATCCCCGAGATGGTCGAGTACTTGGGTAGAATAGGGTACAGCGCAAGTCTCTTCCTGTCTTGCTATGAGATTGGCCTCATCATAATGCTCTGCAACAGACGTCCGACTTAAACAAGTTGAACGTAATTCATATCACCGGCACGAAGGGCAAGGGCTCTACCTCCGCTTTCACAGACTCTATCATTCGTCGTGCACGCCCGGACTGGAAGACTGGTGAGTATTGTGTTGACGCCAATATACGTCGGTTGACACGGTTAGCTAGGGTTGTACACTTCGCCGCACCTGGTGGCCGTCCGTGAACGTATTCGCGTCAATGGCGCACCAATATCGGAAGAAGTGTTTACGAAATACTTCTTCGAGGTCTGGGACAAACTGAAAGATAATACAAAGGTGGCTACCTGACTTGCGCTTGCTCTACCCAACTGCTGATCTGGTTAAACAGACCGTGAATCCACAAACGCCGCTCATGCCTGGTTATTTCCGTTTTATCACGCTCCTCGCTTTACATACGTTCCTTGAGCTTCAAGTAAGCTGTGTTGAACCCGCAGGGATGCTGTTCGCACTCTGACGGTTCGTCCTAGGTCGACGCGACGATCTTGGAGGTCGGCGTGGGTGGAAGATACGATAGCACCAACATCGTTCCTAAGCCGATCGTGACCGGAATTACCGCGCTCGGTTTAGACCATACCGCTATTCTCGGCAAGACCCTGCAAGACATTGCATGGCAGAAGGGCGGCATCTTCAAGGTATTCCGCTTTATCCATGTACACACTACGTCTAAACTCACAGTCCTTATCTAGGAAGGTGTCCCAGCGCTGACAGTCGAGCAACCGGAGGAAGGCGTGACGGTGCTACGGGAACAAGCGCAAGAATTGAAGGTATGTATCTGTCGCAAAAAGGGATCATGCGAGCACCCAACTTACAGTTATCATAGGCGTCCGAGTTTGTTATCATCCCACAAGTGACGGGACTTTCGGAAATCAAGCTCGGTATGTGCTCAACGTGATACTTGTCATACACGCCTCTTAATTGCCCCACAGGTCTGGCGGGAAGACATCAGTACCAGAACGCGACCCTCGCCGTGCACCTTGCCAAGAAATTCATTGCCACGCAGACATCGGATTCCCTTGAGGGCGACCTCCCGCCCGTGTTCGTCGAAGGACTGAAGTCTACGAAGTGGCCGGGACGCTGCCAAACGGTCACAGATCCCACACACGCAGGCACCACCTGGTTCCTCGACGGAGCGCACACCCTCGAGAGTCTGCAATGCTGCATGGAGTGGTATGTCAGCCCTGATGCCGCGCTCAGGACATCTCCACAGTTGTACGTCCCCAATCAGTCATGTAATTGTTACACGCTGACACATAATGTGCCCATGCAGTGAAAATCGCTCACGCGTCCTAATTTTCAACTGCACAAATGGCCGCTCTGGGAACACGTTCCTCGGCGCGATGCTCAAGGGCGCAGCGGATCAGCTCAAGACACAGGGCGCCGCCGATACAGACACTGCGGCGTTGTTTGACCAGGTCGTTTTCTGTGCCAATGTCACGTACGCGGACGGCGGGTTCAAGGGCGGTACGTTCATCTCTCCTCTTTCGCTCGCTCGCGTAGTTACCTCATACCTCGGGAGTCAGACCTAACAACGCTCGCTATCCCCGAGGCTGACCTCGCGCATCTGAAGACGCAACACGAACTTGCCGACGCGTGGGCGTCCCTCGTCCCGTCTTTCCCGAAGGAGAACATCCACGTCCTCCCGTCCATCGAGCACGCTGTGAACGTCGTGCGCCAGTTGGGCGCTTCGGCTGGGAAAGATGTCGACGTCCTCGTCGCCGGCAGCTTGCACCTCGTCGGGGGAGTCATCGAGGTCGCTGGACTGTCGGACGTCGCTCTTTAACAGAGCGTCAGACCTCCCCTCTCCTTTCTCTCTTGACCTGGTTTATAGATTCGGAGTCGTAAGTAGTGTTGCATAGAGCATGGTGTGGCGAAACTTAGAGCCTTCAACAGGCACGGTTAATTTACTGATAATGTATGTAGCAGCCTCCGGTGATGGTGTACGAATGAATGTTATGGATGTCGTGTCCGCTTCGTGCGACTCTTGCTTGGGTCTGCGCCGTAAAAATGGATGGCCTTCGGTGCGTTGGGATATGAGCAAGACAGCAGGCATGAAACGGCAGAGCAGGCGTACCTTCTGGTCGAGGAACGCGCGCACTTTGTTCTTCAGCCCAGACCGCTTCGCCGGCATGCCCAGGGCGATCGCCATTTGCAGAAACACGTCGAAATGGATCGGCTTCGACAGGACCAGCGAGTCAGCAAATGTCATCTGACGCATGTGTATCGTGCAAGAAGACCTACCTCGTAGCGCAAGATACGAAGATGCAGTGCCGCGTCCGCTAACACGGCTTCCTTCATTTTTGCGTTCAGCTCGTCCTGCGAGACATCCGCAACCTTGCCCTCGGCACCCTCCGCGTCGCTCGCCTCCGCCGCCACCTTCTTCCGCCGTCCCCTCTTCTTCTTCGCAGGTTCCGGCGGTCCTGCTGCCGCCTCTGTCGAGGGTCTCGGTGCATCCTCGAGAATCGTTGTAAGGCGTTGCCGCAACGATGCGAGGGGTGGAGACGGGGAGCTGTCTGACGCGTGTGTGCCCGACGGCCCCGCCACGGCCGCGCCCGCGCCTCCGCCGTCCGGTTCTGGAACGTAGTGCAAGCACGCGCCGTCGTCCTCGTTCCAGATATCGTCCCGGATCCATTCGTTCCACGGACCGTCGTATTCGTTGTGGTTTTCCGGCGGCTCGTCGGAGTCTGCCCGAGGCTCTGCGGGCAGAGCGGGACCGGCGCGGCTCCCCCGGCCGTCACCAGTGGGTGATGGACTCCGTCTGCGGCGCGGAGAAGGCGTATGTCGCGCTGCGGTGCCGGCGCGGGGACTCGTCTTCCGCGAACGAGGTGGAGAGCTTGCGTTTGCGCGAGGGCTACGGGGTGCGCGCGGGTCACTCTGCTGGTCATGAGTCTCATTCAATATGACGTCAACACAAGGCACGTACCGGCTTGGGAGGAGACGAGGGTCGTGTAAAGTCGTCTTCGGAGGTGTCGTGGATGGAGATCGGTTCGTCGATGGCATCTGCTGCAGTCGATGAGTACCTACTGGAGGGGGGGAGATGGGACGAGGACGTACCGGGCGCGGCGACCACACGTCGCGTTACCCCGCGCACATTCGTCAATTTACTTTGAGCAAACACCTGAGTAGACGGAGGCAGTTGCTCCGAGTCGCTGTCTCCCTCTCGGCGGCTAGTGGGCACTTGTGTAAGAGGGGAAACGTCGGACTGCGCAGCGATCTCCGCTCCTGCACGGACAATGGCGCCCTGCAAGCGGGAAGGACCAGCCAACCTGCTGGGACCAAACACTTGGGTAGTGTCGGCCGCAGGTGGGTGGTCGTCGCGCCCAGCGATACGGCTCCTACTAAAGAGCTGCGTCGCAGGCGGCATTCCCAACTCTGCAGGCGCGGGTATGTTGCGAGAGCCCTCAGGAACAGAGCTGCTCGCGCGGATGGGTCCCTCACTCTGCAGGAGACTTCGCGCCCTATCCAAAATGGTCACCCGGGTATCCGCAACGCTCTTAACGGTCTGCAAGACTTGGGGTCGCCGGCCAGGCTTCTTCTTGTGTGTATCCTTGAGAAGGTCCTCCAAAAGCGTCTCGGGCGCAGCATCCTCAGGTGCAGGTGCAGGTGTCGCCGACTTCGACGTTGAAGCCACTGGGGGCAGGCTATCTAACCCTTTCTGCAACAGCGTCCGCACGGTGTCGTCCGAGAGGCCATTCTTCTTCGCGCACGTCTGGATGTGCTTCATCTTCTGCGCGACAGTCTTGCGCGTCGTCCACGCGAGGTCGCATGAGACGCATTTGAGTACGCGTCCGAGCTGCGCGTCGGAGAAGTCATCGCCGAAGCGGTGACCAGCAGCACCCTTCGCTTTGCCCTTCGCTTTAGCCACGACGGGAACCTCGGGAGGGACGGAACCACTCTCGGTCGGCGATGGTGTCTTCGATGCTGTCCGCCGTATCGGAGCGATATATGCGAATCGGCCTAGCTTCAGTGAGCCATCCTCATCTTCGCCGGAGCTATCCGCTGCCCTGGAGGGTGATAGGGATAGGGGTTGTGCGATTTGAAGGGTTGGGGGCCTTTCCCGATAGCGCAATTCTTGAGGAAGGGGGCGAGAATTTGCGTTAGTAGAAGGGCCCGCTTGGGGCGCTCGCTGAGGAAAGTTGAACATGTCTCTTATAGAGGGGAGCGAATCGTCCGTAGTGTCATCTGCTACATTGACGCGTCAAGCATTCCGATCTATGCCATATGAGGCGTGTCACTGACCCTCGTTGTCAGGAATAGCTGCTTCGTTATCTTGGGGTGCAGAGTTCTCCCTGGGTTCAAAGGAGTCGCGGGCTCCAGCCCGGGGTAAGGCGCCATCACTGCTGTCTGGTGTGGCCGGAAATAGGAGTTCAGCAAGGCGACTCAACTGATACGCAAGGTGCATACCTGAGATATCTATCACTATTATAGGCCCCTTCTTCACTTTGGGCGAGACGGGCTGCAATCTTCCAGCGTGGTAGGAGGCATCGCTGTCAGTCAACTCAATGACCTCAGTAGACGGGATGTTGACTTCGGGGCGTTTCTTCTTTCGACGTGACTTTTCCTGTGTCCTTCTTTCCTCTCTTTCTGGCTCCGAGTCCTCCACATACTCTTGAGCGCTGCTTTGTGAGAAGTGGCTTTGGCACCGTGCGAGCAGCGGTGCGAGCATCTTGCCACGGTTGAGGCTGCGGTAAGGCCTTGTGACCGAAAGCGCGATTAAATACCGCGCTTGTGCAAAGTCCACGGGAGAGTGTTTGCGAGGTGTATGTGTGGCGATAGAGAGGCGGAGGAGGGAGTTCATGCAGCGGAGGTGGTTTGCGGCAAGAGCAGCGGGAGCGGGGACGCGTCTCGGCTAAGGAGTATTACGCGCCGCTTTGTTGACGCGTTGTTTGGCGGGACACGCTAGAATTGGCGCGTGGTACGCCTCGCGTCTCCGACGTGCAGGGTCGCGCTTCGACATATATAACGTCCTCCTCACCTCCTCAGACCCTCCTCTGCCCGTCGCCCTACCTTGTACCTACCATATCTTCGAATTCTAACGCTTTGCCCGCGCGCGCCGTCTAGCTGCTCTGCTCACATGAACCGACCTGGACAAGCCCCCCCGCCTACCGTCTCCCCAGAGGAGCTCTTCAATGTAGTATGCGGCGCCGCGTCCCAGAACCCAGGACAAGTACAGGCATCTACTACCCGTCTCAAAGAGCTCCTGGACATTCCTGGGGCGTATGATCTCCTGCACGAGATCGCGGCGACGAAGACGGTGGCTTTGCAGGTGCGGCAACAGGCTATCATCCAGTTCAAGAATGCTGCGACGGGCCATTGGCGATCACGCAAGTAAGTCTTGACAGATCATGCTCATGTCCGTCCAAACCAACCCCCGCGCGTCGGCGTACGTAGGCTCTTCCCTCCCGAGCACAAGACGCGGATCAGGGACCGATGCATAGCCTTCCTAGACGAGACGGACGACATCGTACGCGGTCTTCTTCTGTCCATCAGTGCACGATCCCGATCCCCCCAACTCGCGCAGATATCTGAATGCAACGCGCTCGTCGTTGCTAAAATCGCGCGGCAGGACTACCCCGTTAGCTGGTACGTGAATGTGCGCAGGCACACCGCCTACTTCATTCACCTCCGCGTATAGGCCGGATCTGATCAATCAACTTCTTGGAGCAATCAACTCGTCTGTAGAAGGCCGGTACAGTGGCGCCAATCCTAGCGCAACTCTGGTGTTGCGGCGCTCTCTGGAGCTACTGAACGCCGTCCTTAAGGAGTATGCCGCGTACAAGATGCTCACAGGTGTCAAGACCATGGGCCAGGTGCGAGTTGTGTCAAGCTGATACTGAAATGTGATTAACAACGTTCTGTAGCTCGTCCGGGACTTGCGGCTGCCATTGCAGGCGCACTATGCACGCATGGCCTCCTCCTTACCAGCACTCACACCCGCATCCCTTAACCAAGCTAGCACGGTAGAGGACCTACTTCTTGCTCATTTAGCATTCAAGTGTCTCTCCAAGCTCACATTCTGGACCTATCATCGATACACTTGCTGCCACGATTACCAGGACCTCGAACCCTGGGTATGTGTCTATGGGCTGCACTTACAACTAGTATTGAATAGTTGACAGGTGAACGAGTTCTTCCAAAATTCCGCCGTCCAACTGCAAGCCGTCTCTGAGCTGCGCATCAACCTCGTCTCGGCTCTGGGCGCGGCTCCCAACGATCCTGTGACACAACGCGCGCTCGAGTTGCTCACCAGACATCTCCGCGTCTTTGGGAAGCTTTTTAGGCGTATGCAGCGCGACGCGAAAGTGCACTTCGTTATTCTGCCCATGTGTGGCGACTTGGTGTTGTACTACTGGAGCAAGGTCGTGCAGGCAACTACTGGGTCTCCCGAACAGATCGCAGGTATGACTGTTGGTAATCATTGCTGCTGGAATTTGAGTACGATTGCAATTGCAGACTCTCCTCTTGTCATCTTCCCTGTTCGCTTCCTCGTCCAGGGCATGGCACTCTTCAGGGATAGCCTCGCGCAATGGGCACCGAAGAAGAAGGATGGCTCAACAAATGACCGAGGTATGTTGCGCGATCCATGTGCCCCGAGTAGCGTCGCTAAGCTCCTCTTTCAAACGCTCCGCTTCAGTCCTTTCGAAGGAATTCGTCGAGGATGCGGTAAAGATCCTGGTCACGAGGTTCATTCCGCTCAACCCTACCGATCTGGAGGGCTGGATGGAGGATCCAGAGGAGTGGGTGAACACTGAGGAGAAGGAGAACGATCAGTGGGAATATGAGCTCCGAGTGGGTGTTTTTAATTCTCTGCCGAACGTCTGTCTGACTTTTGCCTCGGTCACTAGCCATGTGCTGAGCGCGTCTTGATGACGCTCGCGACGCAGTACCCGCAATACGTGACGCCGTTGATAGAGTTGACTTTCAACCAGGTAGTAGGTGAGCATGCCCTGCACAATACGGCGATACCACCCGACTCACCTTGAGCAGGCCAAAGGTCCATGGATCTCCCCGCTATCATCCAGAAGGAGGCGTTATACTGTGCTGTCGGGCGCTGTGCGATCCGCCTTAAAGACACCATCCCGTTCGAGCAATGGCTCGACACCACCCTCATCACTGAAGCTCAAGTCACTGACCACAGGTATACATTTATGTATCTTTCTGAAGGTTACATGTTGCTCAAATTGGTTGGCTAAGTTATGCCATCGTCAAGCGCCGGATCGCCTGGCTTCTCGGGAAGCTTGTGTCCGACGAGTGCATCGCGGCGAACAACGCGAAGCTCTGGCAGGTTCTCGTGCACCTCCTCCAAGACCAGGGCCCCGGCTCCGATGCGGTCGTGCGCCTGACCGCGGCCATCGCAATCCGCGAATGTGTTGACGTGCGTCCAGAGCGACTCAGCGCTATCGTATATGAGCTCATGCGCTGCGTCTTTGCTTTTCCAGAGCCTGAATTTCGACGCGGACGTGTTCGCGACGTTTCTTCCCGCCGTCGTGTCTGCACTCGTGCGCTTGACGGCGGAGGCGGACACGCTCGAGAGCAAGCGGAGGATCACAGATAGCTTGAACACCGTCATTGAACGTGCAGAGGCTCGCGTAAGCGCCGAATTTCTATGTCTATTACTCTGCTAAGGTTCTTTGCAGATTGTGCCGCTGATGGGCATGGTAGCGGAGCCGATACCCCAACTCTGTGAGTGTCGACGTTGCGTGTTTACGACTAAGTGCTAAGCGCAAATGCAGGGACTGATGCTGCCGAGGACTGGCTATTCAAGGCATGTCTGTTGGGTACAGTCACAAAACTCGTCGAGGTGCGCAGGTTCCTGTGCAAATCTGTATGAGACACGATACTGACTAGACACAGTCAGCGAAGGAAAACGCAAACTCGTTGAGCGCGCTCGTCGTACCACTCGTCCGCGACTGCTTCAACTCTCCTGTACGTCGATCTGCGCAGCGGCGGCGGAAAACAAGCTTACATCTGTACGTCTTTGTAGGCACAGATGCACCTGGATGAAGACGCGTTCGCCCTTTGGCAAGCCGCCCTGAGAAGCACGACGACCATCGAGGGCATGAACGGCGCGCCGGGCCTGATTGATCTCGTCCCTCTGATCGTCCAACAGCTCTCGAGCAACCTCGACGTCTTGGGCACTATCGTGCACATTGTGGAATCATACATTTTGCTTGATGGTCCCCGGATCCTCCAGGTAGGTATTCTTCACTTGTGCGCACCCACGGAGTCTGAGCGCTGGTGTTTCAGATGTGTGCAGTGGACTTGCTGCGGGCGTTCGATGCCGCCATGAAGCAGGCGACGGGGACTAACGTCAAACAGATGACCACCGCTCTCTGCTTGCTGTTCCAGATTGCGCCTCCCGGGTTGTGGGGCGAGGCCATGCACATCTCCGGTCTTTTCGCTGCCATCGTCAAGGGTTTGGAGGAGGAAAAGGTGAGATCTCCGGCATGAACCCGCGATGAGCACGTCCTGACCAAAGTGCCCGCGCAGCTCCCGACCATGGTGCTCACGGAATACGTCTACGTGCTCGCCCGCGTGGCCGTCGCCGACCGCCAGCTCTTCGTGCAGCTCGTCTCTGCGACCGCCGCGGCGCAAAACGTCAAGGAGACGCTCGTCTGGGAGGCCATTCTCAACCAATGGTGGAACAGGGTGCGTCGCGCCCATAACTTTTCTAGACGCAGAAGCGTGACTGCTATGGTCCAGTTTGACAACATGTCGGAACCGCGCCTGCGCAAGCTCACCGCGATGGGTATCGCGAACCTTGTGGCGACGGGCCGGCCGGAAGTGCTTGACCGGCTGTCCACGGAGATCTGCAACCTCTGGATAGACGTGTTCGGGGAGATCAAAGAGGCGCAGGAGAACGCCAGCAACGAGTGCGTGTCGCTAGCTGATTTTACAACCTACGAAGGCTGACAGAGTGCGTATCCCTTGCAGCTCGTCCCTCACGTTGTACTGGGACCGGCCTTTCGAGGAGACATACACCGACGCGGAAGGCACGCCCGAGTACCAGCGACGCAAAGCCGTGAGTGTCGCGTCTCTTCCGGCACCCGGATGCGCTTGTGTTGACTATTCGGATATCTTGCAGGTCTTCGACAACGACCCCGTCCGTACGACACCATTGACTGCGTTCATTGGGGCGCGCCTGCGCGAGGCGGAGGCGGCGTGCGGGGGTGGCACGGAGCTCGAGTCGCGGTACCTCGCGAAGGCCGAGCCGCTGCTGCTCAAGCAGGTTTGGGACGCCCTCAACGGCGCCCTGCCTTGAGCATCGGACTGAGAATGAGCGGGAGCTATGTCGGCACGGCCACTGTCTTGTTTACTCTACAGTATACTATGTTCGGAGCAAGGGTTGGAAGTCTCGCGTCGTCACGCGCATAGCTGTAATGCTCATTCCAAGGAGCTCGTGTTGACTCACCCGGGCGTAGTGGTCGCGAGGTTGTGCACTGGCCCGCCCCGCAGCCCGGGGCAAACCCAAAACTGCACTTACAGTCTTTCCCGTTTCTCGATGGCGGAGATTTGTTCCCTCGTTTCCACACCGCTGATGTGACTGGCCGGTGTATTGCAAGATCTAGAGTGGTGGCGACATAACTGCCATCCTAAGTTAACAGTAAGGATACTAGACGATGACACAACTAGTGATAGACAAAGACGCAGAGATACACGAGTAAGTGTGGATGGGCATGGGAACATAGAAAAACAATAAGGATACAAAGGGGGGAGTCAAGCTACAGATTGTCCGATAGCGCGGTTACACGTGTCGGAGTTATGAACCCGGACGTTAAGGACGGCGGCAGTGCAATAGGGGAGACAGAGGAGAGGAGACAGACTTGAATGGAAAGCGAGCGAGCACATAGTCTATACATCTAAGTCGTTTGTTATGAGTACATGAAGATGAGATAGAACAGAAAGACAAACCAATACACCGCTCAAAGCACCAACGGCCAACCAATTGATGACGGAACCCGGCGAAATGGTCTCGCTGGCGCCGACGACATCGTTCTTGCCATCGGGATCGAGGAGCCTAGGTGTCGATGGTGGTGGGGTTCAGGCCGGCACCAGGAAAATGGGTCTTGATGCGAGGCCACAGCCAAAACATCGGGGTCGCATAGGTGACATCGGAGGTTGGGGTGATGCCGGTGCCTCCCGTAAGAAGCCCCCCGATGCGACCACAGTCGTCGACGATCACGGACCCAGAGTCGCCGGGGGCAGAGAAGACATTGGACTCCATGTCCGTATCGTAGTTGTAGATCGCCCACGCCCTAGATTCCTCGCCAGTGGTAGCGTCACGAACAAATGAAAAGGGTCCCGTCGCGCATCCGATGGTGACGCCCGTACCGTGCCCGTTCTTGATGACGAGAAGGTAAGGCTCAATATCAGGGTCGGGCATGGTGGGGCAGCGGATGGTGTCCTCGCTGAGGATCTCGCGGAGCGGAAGGAGACGATCGAAGGGGTACTTGAAAACCGTCCGCCTCAGGCCGTTGTGTCGGGGGGACATCTTCCGGGTGAAGACGTGACGAGGGATCGTTGTACCTGAGAGTGACCGTTGAACAGTAAGGCGGTCTGGAGTAAGGTGAATTGCAGATGAAGCGAAACGCACCGAGATCGATAACATTGCCTTTGAACGCCTTCTCGAACTTTCCACCGTCAAGTTCAACTGCAGCCCAGTCTTCAGTGAAGCCTTTGGGGCCAATGTCTGAAGTTACGCGGCTGGGGGTGGGGCGGACGTGGCCTATGATGCGCTGCTCGGGCAGGCTCCAGTCCTTCTGAACCTCAGCATAGAAGTTCTCGAGCGCCTCGATCGCCTTGACCGTGGTCTCCAACAGGGCCCGGGTCTGCCTCAACTTTTCCTCCACCGCTGCAACGTTGTCGTCGGCGCCATCAGCGCCACCAGCCAATCTCTCCTCCAGGTGCTGGATCTGGTCCTGTTGCATCTCCAACATGATCGCGCGGTGACCGATGCAGATTTTGATGTTGCTAAGGAGTGCGTTGAAAGCCTCAGTCCCAAGCAGCTGGACATGCTTGCGTGGTGCATCGGAGGCGTTTGTGAGGATAGATGTGTCGCTGGTGGTGTCCGCTCCAGATAGGACATGGTTACACGTAAGACCTAGGACTTTGCTGCTTGTGCCGCCCTCGGCGAAGTAGAGGCCCATGGTGCCCTGGGCGTCTTGCCTGTCGGAGGCAGAGATGGACAGTCCGAGAGCAGGAGTAAGGGGCTCGCGAACATCTACTGTGTGATGGAGGCTGGAAACAGGACAAAGAAGCGGTGGACCGCCCAGCTGCCGGTAGATGGACTCGCGAAACTCGGTGTCGACATCGTCGATGCCAAAACTCTCGAGAAGCTCTATGATCTGGTTACCCAAGCTGAACGCTTGTTCTCCCTGAAGCGAATCGGGACAAACGCCAATCCAGATCACGACAGGCCCAGTGATCTTCTTGCTTCCTTCTCCATCGGTGATGAAACGAGCAACATCGATAGATGTCCACTGGACGTGATACAGTGTCAGTAGATCCCGAATCTGGGGACCCACATGCTCCCAGACGTCGTTGAGTCTATGGCCAAACACGCCACGAGCCCGCTTCAGCCTGCGATAAGCCTCGAATCCTGTCGGCTTGGTCCATGGCCTCTTCAACAGCCCCGTACGGTAGACGAGCTTCGGGGGAGACGGAGAGAGACCGGCATAGTAGAATTGAGCTTCGGCAACGGAAACGGAGTGGGGAGGGGGAGGGGAGCCGGAGGAATCACTGGATGGATAGGAGCCCACATGTCCGAGCGTCGCCGGGTGGTCGCGGTCGGCGCCGGGTGGGCGTGCGGAGGCGGCGGGCTGGTGGACGCATTTATAAGCATGAGCGATACAGGCTTCAACGAAGGCAGTGGAAATCACTGAACAAATATACGGGCGGGTCAGTACGAAAGAATTGCAGCAGGACGTTCGGAAAGAACTCACTTGCGCTTGTTGGAGTTACGACGGTACAAGAGTGAAGAGGAGCACTGAGTGTAGAAAGGGGTTTGCTGGGGTATTGAAACTCCGCTGCGGATGCAGACCTATGCAGCCCGGCGACCCGACGATTTTCCTGTCTTGCTCGAAACTCTCGTCACCGTCCGATCCGGAGCTCTGAGGATGTGCTAGTGTTAGCTCATTTTCATTGTTATGGTATCACATTATGCACTGAAATAAGCTCCTACACGGGCTCATTCTCACCGGGCGTGCGAGCGCCCGCAGCGCCTTACTAGGCAGCTTTCGAAAGCTGTGCTGCACCATGCTCGTGGCAGGCTTTCTAGCCGAGTTTCTCTCACCAGTGCTCGCTCCTATACATGATCCAACCTCACCAACTCACGAGATGTTTCTGGCGCTTGTCATTGCCCTAGTCGTGAACATCTTACAATCGGTTCGAGGACGTAACTTCCAGGGGCGTATAATAGACCTTCCTTTTGGTCTCATCCTGAAGATGAGTTCGCCAACGAAGGCTGCCAAAGAAGCCGATATCATACGGTTCGTCCAGCGCCACACCTCTATCCCTACTCCCCGCGTCGTCGCTTCGGACGATGCATTTGGAGACCGCTACTTGGTAATGAAGAAGGTCGCCGGCGAGAGCTTGGACCGGGTGTGGCCGACGCTGGAACCCGCCCAGCGGACTAGGATCGTCGAGCAGCTGCGCTCGTACATAACCCAGCTCCGTTCACTCCCGTCGCCTCACGACCGCGCCATTTGCTCACTGAATGGAACCCCACTCTTCGATGTCCGTATCACTTGCACTGGTCCAGTGGGTCCGTTCGTGAACGAGAACGCGTTCAATGACCGTCTCTTGGAGACGACGGCCATCTACGACAAGAGGGCCACCCTCCCAGAATACCGCTCACGCCTGCGCGGAGACCACGTCATCGTGTTCACACATGGAGACATCGCGCCACGCAACATCATGGTCGACGGGGATACCATTGTCGCTCTGATAGACTGGGAACAGTCGGGATGGTGTCCAGAGCACTGGGAGATGGTGAAGGCGATGTGGTGCCCGCCATACACCAAGCTCTCCCGTGATCTCTGGGTGGAAGCTGTCAAGGATCTATTTGACAAGGACTATGAGGCCGAATGGCAGGTCGAGCGTGACCTCTCGGAGTATATCGTTGGTTTTTTCTAATAACGCGTAGGTTTTTTGGTTCGATTGGTCCCTCTCAACATGCTGATGCTACGTTTCAGGCATGATCGGGCCTCTAGTACCTCAGACCGTAGCAGTGTGTGAACATGTCCCACAGGTACGCGCACTTCACTTCGGTCCATATTCCGTTCTAACAACGTTAAGTGAATCAAGGAACAGTAATCTCGGCGAGAGGACTACTTGGAATGGTGGCGCGGGTTACAAGTTTGTACAATTAACGTCAAGCGTCATCGAGAGCAATCACAGTTTGACATTCCAACTGCGCCGTCAGTGCGCTTGCTTGCTTCATCGCAGGAAACAAGTCCTCCTGACGCCGGAGTCTGTGGTCCGCCCATCCATTTTCCTGCATAATCTCGATGCACTCCATGACCCAATCACGGCAGTTCCAGTCCTTGGACTTCGGCACCGGGATGTTTCGACGGATTTCCTGTGAATGTGCGTCGACCATGAGCGACTTAACTCGAGGGGCGATGATGAGACGGGGCGGGCCACATACTTTGTTCAGGCTATCCATCTGCCCCTCTCTGACGCTCCCGATGCGGACACCTCCAAGACATTTGGAGGACTTGTACAAGGACGCCTTGTCGCTGGTAGCGAGCTCCCAAGTTGTCCCATTGCGTATGCTCCCGGGGCTGCCAGTGACAATCTGGTACATGCGCCCCTTCAAGTTCCGCTCGTCGGTGATGATGACTATGGACCAGTGGGGTTTCTCCTCGGCCCCCAAGCCATATATCACCCGGATATACTGGGAAACCACGATGGAATATACCCGTTCCTTGCCGATCAGCTTCCGGGGCAGCAGTAACGATTTGAGGTAAGTCTGTAGTAACATCGAATTCAAGACGAGGGATGGGTGATAGCCTTGGAAACGAGACGCAGCGGGCGGGTATGCGGCAGATGAGGATGTTTGAGTGGACAAATACGCCCTAACATTGGAGGAGGTACGACGTTTTATATCGCTCTTCCGGATTGTTTTCAACTACTTCGGACCTCCAGGGTCTGTGCGCCAGGCGTAGGTACTACGGAAGGAGATGGGACCATATCATGGGCGTGGTGGTCGCGAAGCCGTGCGCTGTGCACTGCCTAACTGACTTGGAAGGAGTTTTCATCGATACTCGCACAGTGGGCCCTCCGCGGACGAACACTACATCATCGGAGCTCAGCTCGCAGACCCTGCTGCAGCGGTATCAGATGCAGCTCGGAGAGGAGAAGCAAATGCGCATCACCAAGAAGCCAAGAAGTCGCCGCACAGGATGCCTGACCACGAACCTTTTGTGCCCTGGCGGAGTCAGACTTGCGGATATAGTACGCTGCACGATCTGTTATTGTGCGCTATCCACCGATCAAGGAAGAAGGCCGGGTCGAGAGGTTGCCCGTGCGCGAAGATTGTTAGCTGCACACACCGTCGCCCAAGGAGCCCCGGCGGCGGTAATTTATCCCGTACGCAGATACGGCGCCCAATCCCCCTACATGCGTCGAAGCCCAGTAGGATCCCGCAGATCCCCTTCGAAACCGAAGAGGCAGTAATACACACGCGGCGATAATCGTTGCAGCAGCGCTGGCTACGGCTCTTGTGCGGCGGTAACTTTTTGTTTCTTCTTGCTTCTAGTCGGCACCAGGCCAGTCCGCACATCTGGACCGGCGGAATGACCATGCCCTGTGCAACCCAATCGAACAGTACGGAGGCTGCTAACTGGTCACTGCGCGCGCCATGCGTAGAGTCTGCGTGAGGGAATCGATAAGCATGCAAGAAGTTTATGATACATCGCGTTGCGTTGTAAGCGTAGGTCGTGAATGTCGTGCACGTCGTGTGATTCAAATCTTGCCAATGTGCTCCATATGCCGAGCACTCTCCTTGTCACTGGCACCGTCGGAGACAGGCGCCCTGTTCTCGTGCACCTCCTCCTCGATGCGCTTTTGCTGCTCCTCGCGAATTTTGTCGCCCTCGAACACTGCGTGTATAAATCAGCGTCGCGTCCTTGCCCACGAATACACGCGTTCGGTACTCACAGAAGGCGAGCTCCTCGAGTGTGCGATTCGACGTCTCGGGGAAGAGGAACCAGACGAAGATGACTTCGAAGAGCAAGAAGATGCAGTAGGAGATGTAGTACTTCCAGCCGGCATTCGCAATCCCGATTGGGTTGACGAACTGGTTGAAGAAGCCCGCCGCACGGCCCCACCACTGGAAGACAGCGATACCCTTGGCACGAGCGTGGTAGGGGAAAAGCTCGACCAGGTACGCTGTGCACGACATCGCGGTTAGTTCATTCAGATCGCCAGAAGGGTGCAGTGATACGCACTGTAAGTAAGAGCGTTGAATCCCATGTTGTACGCTGGACTGTAGAGGAAGATGAAGCTTGGGTGGCGATCGTGAGTCAGGGTCGGAGAAGAGCAAAGACAGGTAAAAGACATACGCAATCACAGCACGCGACGCTGCCTGGCTGCCAGTGATGGAGTATTGTGCACTCGCGACCGTCCATCCGGTGAAGATGAGTGTAAGCACGATCGTACATGTGAGGTACGCGGCGCGACGTGGCATCTTCGTCACCGTGAGCGCGAGCGTCGTGCCGTTCACGAAGCCCCAGCACGTCATCGCAAGGTTGATGAGGTTCTTCGTGCGGTCGTCGTGGATGCCGACATTGTCGAGGATGCGCGCCAGGAAGTACGAGGTAAGACCGTTCCCGGACCATTGCGTTGCGAGGCCGAGGAACGAGCAGATGAGGAGCCGCTTGCGCATTCCCGGCGTCGCGACGAGCTCCTTCCACCCGCCCTTGGCCTGTTCCTTCTCGAGCTCGAGCGTCGTCTCGATTTCGGCGTACTCGAGACGCACGAACTCCGAGTTGATGTCGCCCTCAGCGTGGTACTTGGTGAGGATCGCGTACGCCTCTTCACCGCGGCCTTTCGAAACCAGCCACCTAGACGAACGTATGAGATACCGCTTTCGCACTCCAACGAGTAGCGATTCTCACCTAGGCGACTCGGGCAAGAACCAGATGAAGATGAGCTGCAAGGTACTTGGAATGACCTGCAGCAAGGATGGGATACGCCAGCCCCAGTTAGTTGGCATTTGGAACGTGCCAAGCGTCGTTCCGGCCGCAACGATAGCGCCTAGCATATCACTGGTTCGAAATACTAGTACGAGCTAATGGAAGTTGCACATGCTTACCGATGAACCATGATGCGTTGAACAACGATCCCATGCGTGCGCGCTCCTTCGGGTACGCAAGCTCACCGATCATAGACGAAGCTGCGACGATCGCGAATGGGATACCGAATCCTAGCAGGAACCGCGCGATGACGAACATTGCGACTACAGAGTGTACGTCAGGTCTGTGTCTCCGAGATTATTAGAGTACTCACAATCCTGCGATGCTGTCTGAAGGGCAGCGCCGATGACCATGATGACGCTACCGAAAATGATCGCAAATCGCCGCCCGAAACGGTCCGTCACGAAAGGAACGAAGGGGAGGGAGCATATCGAGCCGAGGGAGTAGAGAGCGGAGAGGAGACCGAGGATTGTGGATCTTGGATGTCCGAAGACTGAGCAGGCATCGTCAACTTGAGTTGAGGTGTAATCGAAGCTACACGAAGATACTCACAAGCATCCCAGGTCGGCACCGCTTGCAAGCCGTTCATCATTGACGAATCGAATCTGGTCCGCGTCGTTCATTTAGCATATGAAGCGACCTGAAAGCTAGATCAAACTCACCCGCTTGTCATTTCGATCCCGATGCACGTCGGGAACATGAGAATGTACAACATGCGCAGATTGCGCTTCTTGTACCACGGAACCTTGTCCTGCTGGACATACCGGTTAATCGGGTTGTTGTCTCCCCCGCCAGGTCCTGCGCCAATTGACATCTTGTCTGGAGCAGAGGTGTATGAAAGGCGACAGGGAGTGATAGTAGTCCAAAGGCGAATGGGCTCGGAGTCTCCCTATCCACGGGCGCGGGCATATATATCCTCTGCCCCCAAATCCCTCACGAGTCCCGGTCAGGGACGGCCTGCAGGTTTTCAATTCGGCAGTAGTATCAGGATCAGCCTGAGAGGCCGAGTGGACGAAACGCACCTTGCACGCCATGTCGTACTGATCCATGGAAACTCCGGAGAAACTACTTGGCGCTCAATTGTACTTCTCTGTGCATGTAAGGCGGCCGAAAGGTGGAGGCTACACACCCGCCAAAATTTATCGCAGCTCGTAAGCCATTGATAGTGGGAGGAAGCGATTGACGTCGCCGTATGTGCTATTCTTGCCCCTATCTTCGAAGTCTGTCGGATGCTCGCAGAAGAGAAGCAGAAAGCAGGATGCAGTCGCGCAAGATCGTCCCAAGGTCATGGGAGGGGCCCCGGAGAAAGGTCGGTCGAGGGCTGTGTCGTTTGCGCCCACGGAGCGCGCCTTGGCATAGAGACTCTGAACGTTGGATTGCCGCGACCACAGAGATCCGGAGAGCAGCGTGTCGGTTCGCTATCAATGTCCCGGACTCTGGATTTTCGATCCTGTCGAGAATGCTGCGTCTATCACTACCCCGCACTTCGCGAGGACCAGGGGTACGGGGCATCATGCATCAAGACCGCATCGCGGAGACACAAACACGCTCGAGAGAGACCAGCGTCCACGCTGACAGCGATAGCGTGCAAAAACGCCTTCGGAAGTGTTGGGAGACCGTCGGAACAACGGTATGGATAATCCGACGAAGATTGGAGCTGGAGGGAAACTTGAGCTCGCGAAGATCGGCATAGGCATGGCCGAGGGGGAAATGAAAGGAGATCCTCGCCATTGACGTCGTAATTAGACATCGGAGAATGTGCATGCGTTTTCCACTATCCCCGTCGCCGATGACGAACAAGTCGCCAACCGCACTGCGTGAGCGGGTTGCCTCTGCGAGTAGTTTCGGTCCGTTGTCACTGTCGCTGAAGCCCTGCCTCATGAACTCGATCCCGTCAACTAACCAATACGAAGGCATCTACCGCATCGCCGTTGCTATTGGGAGCAGCGTCAGCTCACCAATGGCCAATACTGTTCCTCCCGACTTGAAGCTCTTCTGCAAGGCGATGTCACAGTGTGAAGTTGAGCACGTAGCGCTGTGTTTCATTGAGCCATCCTCAGTGAGACATACGTAAGAAGAGACTAGACACAGTTAATGTCGGGAGAACGTAGGAACGAAGGAGTGAATGTACATATTTGGCCACGCGCCCTGGCACCAGTACGGGCGCCTAAACGATGCCGAGTCTCTCGCCGCACGCACATCGCTTCCAATCACTCACAGAGTCTCTAGTTTGTCGCACCTTCGAAGTAAGGAGAAATTTGAATGAGGTGATATACATAATGCTACTTCAGCGCATCCACAGAGGATACTAAAGAACTACATACACGTGAAATGTTCCGTATTCCGTACAACTTCTTCTGATCAGTCCCTTCCGTCAGCCCTCGTAGCGATACACCATAAGCCTCTGCACGCCCCCGCAGAACTCCTGACCGTCGCCCGGAGGGAGCGGGCATAGCGTGCTGCACTCGGACTCGTCCGCGTCCTGCACGCCCGGCGCAAACCCGAAGCTGCACTGGCAGTCCTCCCCGTTCTCGACGCCCGCGAACGGGTACCCGATGTGCTGGCACAAGAGGATGCATTGGTCGATGAATTCGAGGTTCGTCGCGAAAGAGTGGTGGACGACCGGGTCGCCAAAGGCCGGTGACGTCGGGGTGTCAACGAAGCAGCCTTGCAGGCCCCAGCCGCCGCCGGGGAGCGCGGGCGATTTGTAGATCTTCGTGTGGCGAAGGCGAGGTCAGATGTGCATACAAAAGAAGACAGATCCAGAGGTGCCTGGACAAAGTTAACGTACCTGGATGCGGTCGGAGCCTCCGCAGGAGAGGCTGGCGTCACCGGTGCAGGCCATGTTGCACTCTGAGGTGGGCCGTGCCTCCGGGGTGCTCTTCAGGCCAGTCCCGCAGTGGCACTCGTTGCTGAACTCGACGCCGGCGTAGATGAAGTTTTGGGCGTCGCAACGCTCGACGCACGAGGCGGGGGTGTTGTTCGGATCCTGGACGGTGATGTCTCCGGCGATAATGCGTGAGCCAAAGTCCACCGCGCAGGGGAATACGGTGGTCCAGTTGAGGGGAATGTCGGGTTGATCGAACGCCAGGGTTCCTATAGTCAAGGCCGCGAGGGCGAGTCCCAGAGTAGGGTGTCTGCGCATGAGTGTTTCGACGACGGCAAGTTGGTGCTGGGGATGCCGTCGTGAGCAACGTCTTGTGCATTTATACCACTAGATGGAAAGCGCCTCGCTTCGGACACCTTAGTCGAGGCACCCGAGAACGATGAAGTAGTAGAAAGCATCCGTGAAAGGCGGCCATGACCCAGGCGGCACAGGAACAGAGCTAGGCAGCGTTGGCGGCGTTAGACAGGTAGAAGGCGTCCCAGACGCGTCCAGAGGTCGATGCGTAGCTCTGCAACGCGCTTCCGGGGCTATCTTGTGATGTTTCTTCGGCGCCCCTAGGCCAGGGCAGTCAACAGGACTGATCTGGGGAGTAAACAGAGAGCGTACGCCAAGAGAATTGACCTAGGAAAGGTGCTAGAACGTGACACTTCAGAGGATGAGAGCTGTCTGTAAAGGGTTCCGACTACACATTGGTAGCCGAAGCTGCATATGACGACCCAAAGCTGATGGGTGCGGGATAAGGACCTCCTGTACCAGAGAAAGATTCGTGAATCAGGCACGAGTCGCACAGCAATGAGGTTCAGGGTCTCATACCATAATGTCTGGAGTTGTATACGTTAACGTTCGGCGCTTTCGAGTTGGTCGTTTCTTACTATGAACATGATAATTCCGCTGTATCGAGTCCCTTCTGCATTAACTAAAACACCAGTAGCGCAAATTTACCGGGGTAAATACAGGTCCTCCTGCTGTGTAGAGTGCTGATAGTCTCTTGCTTGTCGACACTAGAATAGAGCCGAGTCAGACTAGTACTTGATGTAAGGCAGGGCGCTTGCGCGTATCGAGGCTGCTAGCCCATAGCCTACAATCCAAACTTTGCGAGATGTGAATAGATAATCAGCGGTGGAAGAACATGCTCACAGTGCCCGAGTAGGTGGTGGTGGTGGTAAGCGACGCTCAGGATTCGCTTCGGCAATGTCCGGGCGTTGAGTAGTATTTACGGGATGTTCGTGTTAGCGCCCGTCTACTCGACGTCGCCAACTTCAACGCAATCATCTCTCGTGGATCACACACCGCTGAACCTCTAGATCCCTTTCTGACCATATCTAGAGAAGAGCAAGAGAATCTGAAAGTTCGTAAACAAGCATGCTCCATCACAGCTCTATGGCCAACGATGCAGTCAACCTCCGTACGTCTGCTTAAACTGGTGGGGGGGCTCCAAGGCCTTTGTTCGGAGTAATCGAACGTGCAAACTAGCGTGATTACGACTCTCGCAAGTCCCCGATGCACAATAGCTGTGGCAAGCATTGTTTCCAAGATAACTGCTGTGAGTACTACTAATCAACTTCCTGACTTATTTTGAAAAGGATCTGCGGGAATCCGTTGGGCGCCAACGGTCTGTTAAGTACTCTGTGCCAAGGCTAATCACCGCCGGCCTAGTAGATGCCCTCTAGCGATGCGTATAGGTGATGGTTATCCGGTGGACAGCTCTGTCTCGCGGAGGCCGCCGCAGCTCCCCCACCGTATGAATCCCGATCTGTCCTCGACAGTCGACCTAAGGGCACAATAGTATACTGTAGAGATCAGACCCAGTGAGAATCGACAACAACGGCATCCAACTAAATCCATCTAAATCCAATGGCATCAAACTGTATCTATTTGGAATAGCTTTGATTGCTTTTTGCTCCCCAAATGCCGAGTTTGTCTCGTTCGAGCCTCGTTCGAGTTCCTCAACTCAGTTCATTTTTCTTAATCACACGACGGGCATTGGCCCATGTTCCCGTCCTGAATAGGCAAGGAATAGCGCCGGAACTGTTCTCCTGTCACCAGACTGGTTCAGGTCCGGAATTCCAGTTAGAGAAATTACTTACCGGATAACAAACTGCGTTAGAGTGGAGCTTTGTTCTCCATTGTTCGATTTCTTAGCCTGTCTCCGGTCCGGAAAAGGAGAATAATTCAGGACATATTCCTGACCTATTCAGGACCGGAATACGGGCCAATGCCCGTCGTGTCACACCGTCGCACTCGTCGAGTGAGTGAGTCAAATGCGAGTCCTTTGCTAACCTCATAGAACTCGCTGCCAGCCGGCGCTTCATACTCTCAGCCACCGCCGGCTCGTTGGGGGAGTCACGACGTCATAATACCCTTGCCATCGGTGTCGGCTGTCCCCGAAGCCCTCAAATAACGAACCAACTTGCGACTCGATGTCTACGCGTCGTCCTTCTTCCCCCTCATCATCTCGTCCTGCAGCTTCCCCCTGGTCTAGTCTCTGGGGTTCTCACTTTGGCTTGTCTAACTTCATTACTGCTTCCTACTTTCGCTATCTTTTCCTGGCAGCTTTCCGGATACTCTGTAAGAGCCAGATGATTCATTCTGTTCCGTTGCTGTGGTACGTCCCCTCATTCCTCGTTCACTCTGGTCTGTTCTTCATACAAAAGGTACGTCTCTTTACGGCTCAAAGACACAGGTACAGGACCTAGGCAAGGAGCCCCTCAAGAACGCCGTCGTGGTCCAGCCGGCGGAGGTGCCTCCACCGCAGCTCGATTGTGCCACGCGCTTGTACACCCCCGTAACAGACGGGCCTCCACCATGCATGGCAACATCGCGCCTGAATTGAGTGAGTGAGCGTCGGCGGCGTCACGCAGGAGGACAACGGGCCCGCGCAGGACGCACATGCCCGCCGAGCAGGACCCGAGCAGCAGGACGCGCCCGATGGCAACGACGCGCAGGAACGCGAGCACACGCAGGACGCGCAGGATGCGCAGAGCGCACGGTGGGTCGCGCAGAGCGCACGGTGGGTCGCGTAGAGCGCACGGTGGGTCGCGTAGAGCGCACGGTGGGTCGCGCGCGGTAGGGCGCGCAGGACCGCGGAGGGTCCCGGGAGGAGGCGGGTATGCGCACGGGCGAGGTCGGAATGTAGAGCCGCGTAGTTTAGAGCCCGATCCAATGACATCTCGGTATACCCACACGATTGGATGTGAATGGATTGCGAATGGATTGGTATGGATTCGATTGGCGAAAAATACAAGCAGGAGACATAAATCCATTGGGATCTATTCGGTGCTGTATCGTGTACGGAACAGATGTGAATGGATTTGATTGGATGCCGTTGGTGTCGATTCTCACTGGGGATCAGACGTTAGAGGCGGCGGGTTTGGGTGTGACCGGTCGGAGACGATGCGGCGGAGCGGCGGGGCCCACGGTGACCTGTGACCGCGCCCTCCGGAGCGGCGATTGTGACACTCCCTACCGCCGCCGCGTCAGCGGCGGCCGGCGCTACGGTGTGTCGTACCTTTGTCACAAGCGGCGACGACCTCGGTGACCAGTGACCGAGGGGCCAATAGCGGCGGGGCGGAGGCCGCTGTGACCTGTGACGCGCCGCTAACGTCTGATCTCTACAGTACTGTGAAGCGTTCTATATCCGCTCAGTCAGGGCACACAGGGTCCGTAGGCCATCCTGTGCGGTGACTTCTAGGCTTGTTGGTGGTATCAATTCAGTTCTATTCTCTGAACCATGTCTGCAGGGTCTGCAAGAGCGAACACAGATGATGTAATTGCAGCCTTCCAGTCGCCAGGGGAACATTGTTGTTCACGGAGGAAGTACTCGGCGGCTATCGGTACCTTTCCCCCTCAAGCTGGTCAAGAAGTGTATGTCGCGCCGCTTCGCAACCGCCACGTTGTTATGAGACACTGCGTCTCCCACAGGGCCCACAAGAGTATGCTCTGCGAGAGATCCTGGAGGTTGGGAAGGGTTGACAATAACTCGGCCGAGCGATATATACTAGCGCAACCCTCAGGCTTCAGGCCTCAGGCTCAAGCATACCCATCCAGTCAAACACCTACACCTCCCCCAGCGTCCGGCTTACACTCAGGCTCGTCGCATATATCCGCATCCACCGCCACCAACCTTCTTCTCGATGCTTCGATTTTTGCGGAGGTTGTTCGGCCGTCGACCCCACGGGTACGTAGAGTACACCATCGTCGTCTGTCAATACAGACGCGCGGGCCTGGGCGCACGGAGAGAGGAGCAGCTCCGATGGTCAATCATGGTCATGACCAACGAGCTCACGTTGCGGGGCCGCTTGTTCCAGGTCACCAGCTCGAACGAACGCTGGGCGGCCACCATGCGCACAGGTTCGTCCGGGCCGACCTGGAGGCTCTCGGTCGTCGACAAGACGTCGTTGAGGTCGCGGAAGTCCCTGGGGGGCGTCCGCATCGGTTCCATCCCGCCGAGGCAGATGGAGGCCCTGGACGAGGTGCGCCGCGTTGTCACTGACTCCACCCGACGATTCGGCTGAACGGCTGGAGCGCGTTGGGCAGGTGATTCGCAGCAACACCCCGGTGGCGAAGCACGCGAACTGGAATAGCCGTGACTGGGTGACGGAGTGCGTCGCGCTCATGGCCACCAATGGGTTCCCAGTGGACGTGAACCCCTGCGGGTTACAGGCACAGCTGCTGCCTGTGATGAGACAGGCCGGTGTGCTGACGGCGCAGGGCGGTCGTCCAGCCATAGTTGATTTCTATGAGTTCGAAGCCTCGGCCTGGAATGTGTCGTTCTAGTTGGGATTTTGGTTGATTGTAAAAATCTATTAACTCAGCTGCGTTCCCGTCCTTTGCAGCACCGTCGTCGGATGGTTTGCTACTCGATCTGCATGATAATGTCGGCACGACGCGTGAGCGAGAAGTCGAATGTGTACTGAAAACATCCACATTCAGTCTAGTCGGACATCCACCTGAAACGGATGAGGGGAGCACAGCCGTTCCAAGTACTCACAAATTCTCATATAGGCCCCACTATGCGCTCCGAAAGGCCGCGCTCGACCAGCCACTCGGCGTCGTAATCCTTCTCAAACATATCCTTGACCAGCTCCACCCAGAGTTCACCTGCAGCCTCGGGGTATGGCGGGCACCGCATCGCCTTCACCAACTCCCAATGCTCGGGATACCAGCCCGCCTGCTCCCAGTCCAGCAACGCGACGATGGTGTCTCCATCGACCAAGATGTTGCGCGGCGCGATGTCTCCATGCGTGAAGACAATGGAGTGGTCCCCGCGCATACGCGCACGGAACTCCGCGCGGGTGGCTCTCTTGTAGAAAGGGGCCGACGTCTCGACCAGACGGTCGTTGAACGCGTCCTCGTCCGCAAACGGCCCTACCGGCCCCTCGCCGGTGATGCGGAAATCTCGAAGGGGAGCACCGTTGAGGGAGCAAACGGTGCGGCCGTGAGGAGGCGGGAGCGAGCGCAGCTGGGATATGAACGCGCGCAGCTGCTCGACGATCCTGGTTCGCTGGGCGGGTTCCAGAGTTGGCCATACGCGCTGCAGGTTTTCGCCAGCGACCTTCTTCATCAACAGGTAATGGTGGCCATACCCTGTCGCGGAAGCGACGACGCGGGGCGTGGGGATGGAGGTGTGGCGCTGGACGAACCGTATGATTTCGGCCTCCTGGGCGGCGCCGCGGGGCATCGTGGAAGTGGTCTTTAGAACAAGGCCGAATGGAAGGTCGATTATACGCGCATAGAAGTCGCGGCCGCGCATGCAGTGGAGAACCTCTATGACTAGCTCGAAGACAGTAGCGAGGAACATCTTTTGAACTGGAGATGTTGGACGTACAGGAGTGAGTTCTCTTCCCCCAAACCTGATCCATGATCATCGAAGTTCGGCAGCTTCACGTGGTCGTGTATATAGTTATGGAAACATACATTCGCAGAGGGAAACTTAGATCGTACACACTCAATCCCACCCACTGCCAGAATGGGGTCCTACGTAGACTTCTCTTCGTGGGCCGACTTGCGCGAAGGCCCAGCTCCAAAGATGTCCGAAATCTTGAGCGTAGTTGCGATCTTGATGACCGAATATTCCCGCTCAGACAGCCGCGTGCCCGCGTCGATACTATCCGTCACCCACTCGGGGCGCACGACATGCACGAGGTTCTTCGACTTGCTCGTCAGCAGCTTCTGCGTCTTCGACCCGCTCAGTTGCTGGGACGTCAGGATGTGCGTTGCACCCGACGCCGTGTGTCTGCGCTATCGCTCACTCCGCGCCCTTTGCATGTTCATGATAGAGGCACCTACTGCACGGTTCCGCCGGCCAGGGTGACTATTCGCTTCATCTCGATGTCGGTGGTGTTGTCCAGGTAGCCGTTGATGTAGACTCGGACGTTGCGGAGTACTAGCGCGCCCTCAGCTGGTTTCTCAGGTAGCTGCTCTGTGAGCTTGCTCCTCCGGACGTCGATATAAGATTTGCGTGGCCCGCGACCATCTGAGACCTGATGCCCGGTGGCTGCTGAACTGATGTGGTCTAAAAAGCTATGAGTGCCGATGTCATACGGGCTCTAAGATTATGGACGCACCTGATCGCTGATAGATAGTAGAATGCGTTACGGGGTTCGACTCATCCTTGAGTGTGCTCAAAACGTGTTTGGTGAGTGCCGACGTCGATGGTTTGCTTTGGCCATCCTTCCGTAACGGTGCGAGAATCCTGCAAGCGAAGGCGAATCAGCGTTCACGCTCCACGGCGGGCAGAAAGCGCCATGCGCGCACTTCTCTATCTTCTTCTTGTCTTTCCAGTCGTCAAGCTTGCGTTCGTTCGCCTTGTGTACGCCGTACGGGTTGTATCTGAACTTGTGGCGATCGTTCTTCGCATCGTCCTTGTCGCAGCGCACCGCGGACGGCTTCTTGGCATATACGAATTTGTCCATCACACGAGATACTGTACACACTAGCCAAGATGATGTGGTGGTCGTCAAGCAGTCATGGGAGGATAAGTTAGAGGATGTGGAGGAAGACAAGGCCGCGGCGGTTGACTCGACGCCACAGACGTGTTGTGTTTGCGCAAACAACCGCGATCACGTGGCCCATTAAGCACCGGGCGCTAGCGGCGGCGCCTTTCGTGGACTTCGAGTCCGAAGCACAGAACGTCCCAGCAGCGGAGAGATCTGTCCCGCAGAACACGTTCCGGCCCATAGTGCTCGTTCTAGTGGCTTGGCAGAGTGTCAGAGGTGAGCGCTGAGCAGTGGGCTATCAGTACTTGTATCAATACCACGCGGTGTGTGGTGTGTTGCCCGCTCCGACGTGAACTTGAGTGGCGGGCTTATGCCTCGCGCTTTGGCCGTGTACGCTCGCCACAGTATGCGGCCGTTGCCACTGTGGCCATCTTTATCGCACTCGGTCACCAAGAACGTAAAATGTGTTCCGGAACACGTTGCACGGAACACATCCCGTGGCCCCAGGACGTTCTCCCGAAGCAACGCCTTGGATTATCCCCTTCTGCCGCACCGCACACTTTCGCGGCGAGTCACCTGCCCCGTGTTTATACAGCCCCGAAGCAACGCCTGAAAGAGCCTGAAGGCTACTTGTGCGCGACGTCACGGAGCGTCTCTGGTTGAACACGACGATGGGGCCCATTCCTCCGCCGGCCCCGTGCGGACGACGTGGTCCGTCGGGCAGTCTCTGCGCGGATTCTCCGAGCGCACGGTATTTAGTGCCCTCACGACGACGAGCGACCCCTCTCTCGTCCGACGACCGACACCTCAGCCCACCATGGCCTTCACAGCGCTGCTCCTCGCAATCGCCGCGTACCTCGCACCACTGCTCCTGGTCTCGGGGATGCCGTCCTTCGACGGTGTCACATCCTGGTCGACGATGAACACGCTCGTCCCGGGCATGTCGCAGCTCCAGGGGCTCGGCCCTGCCGCCGCCGCCGCAGGCGAGGTCAACAGCGTACCCTTCTACATGTCTATCGCAGCGCCCCGCGGTACGCTCCCCGCCCCCTCCGGCTCACACGCCCGTGCCCATGCTCACGCGCGCCGCCGCCCACAGGCCTCCCGGGGAACGTGACCATCTACCGGAACAAGTCCCCGCCGCTGTTCTACATCCACCAAAACCAGCTCTGGCACTACCACAACGAGTCCACGATCCTCCCCGTGAACGTGCAGAACTCGACGCAGGCCGCGGGCCTCCCGCTGCAGATGGTCGCGGACCCGCAGCCCGGCGGCGTCCCCGGCGGCCGCTGGCGCTGGCAGGGCACCATGCTCTTCTACGAGAACGGCCCGCAGAATAACCAGGGCCTCTTCTACTCGTGCCAGGACGTGAACGGCCTCAACGGGCTCTTCCTCTTCCTCCAGTGGTGCGTGTCCCCGCTTGTGAACAGTGGCCCCGTGCGCTGACACAACGATGGGCAGCTCTCCGCCTCCAGCGGGATGCACGCCGTTCACCATCCACAGCTTCAGCAGCAGCAGGATGACCCACTAAGGCTGCGGAAGCCGGAAGACAACGACGACGACACCAACGCATGTACACTAGATCCCTGTATCAATTAGACTGCATAATACCCACACGCGTTTGCGATCGTCCGGAAGAAAAGCTTAAATTATTTTGAACAGCAACGACCGGGAACGTACACGTCACTTCCGCCGGATGCGGGTATCGACACGCCTCCACGTCAACGCGAGCGCAAAGACACCGAGGAAGGCCGTCGCAACGGCAAGCGGCTTCTGCATGTGCGCGCGGAACGGCACCTTGTAGGTGACCTAGCGAACGGGTGGGGCGATGAGCCAGTCTGTACTGTCCACGAGATGGGATACTCACGTAGATGTTGCCGGTGTGCTTGTCTGTCAGCTCCTTGTACTTGAGTGTGATCTTCGGCCTGCCGATGGTGTCGAGGTAGGTGATATGGTTTGAGATGCGCTCGCTCAGCGCCGGGTAGGGCGTGAAGTACTCGATGTCGCTACAGAGAAAGAAGGCGGTTAGTCTACTCACTCGCCGATACACGAGCACGAGCAACGTACGTAGCGCCCTCGGGGAGGATAAGCGTGATCTCCGCCTCGTCCACGACCGCGGTGGGGATGACGGTCATGAGCGGCACCCCAACGATGTGCTTGCCGGTGCTCTTGTCGTACCCAGCATAGTCCTGGAGCGGCGAGTCCCACCCAAGCGTGAAGCTGTAGTTCCAGCCGCCCATCACGGGGTAGCGCGGACGCAGCTCGAGGAGGCTGTAGGCGTTGCTGTTCTCACCTTTGGGGACGGACGGCGCGGTGCGGAGATGCGAAGTGGACACGTTCCCTACGAGGTCGTAGTAATACGCGGAGTGGATGCCGGCGGGCAGGATCAGGTTGATGCCAGGGAGCATGTGCGCCGCGGCGCGTCCGAAGTAGTTCTGCGTCTGGTACTCGAGGCGCGAGAAGTGGCCCTTCAGACTGGCCGCCGCCGTGAGCCTAGCTGACGCGTCAGAAGAGTTTACGCTTACCGAGGGCCGGCGTTGTAGAACACCATCGTGTTGTCGACGTTCAGGTTGGCGCCCCAGTGGCTGATTTCTACCGCGCGCTCCAGCTTCTTGACCTCGACCACGGGATGGTCATATGTATAATGCACGGTGACCTGCTTCTGCTTAGTGTCGACAAAGTCTTGAGTAGCTGAGGCGGGGATCTCGTGGAAAGGGCCATAGGTGATAGTCGCGCCCGCTTTCGTCACCACCGCGTCCGTCGTGAACGCGACATCCTCCGGCTCGGTGTACGAGTGCACGGTCGTGGTAGGTGCCCTACCGCAGGGTTGGCATGCGCGGCAATGACACGTCGGGCCTGAACTCACCTAATCTTTGTCCGCTGGACAGAGGTCTTGTAGGGGCTGATCACGAACAGCTCGGCAGTGTACTTGAGCGACTGCGGGTCCTTCTGAGCCGCCTCCTGGGGCCAGGGGAACGTCGCGTGTGTCTGGACGGTCTCAACGACCAGGTTCGCAGTCCCGTTCGTATTCAACGCTTTCGGGAGCTCGACCGTGTACAAGAAGACTCCGCTACAGCAGCAACAGCACCAGCGTCAAGGCCCGTCTTCACAGACATTCGAGCACGGAACTGCGCACCTGTCCGGGTGGTATCCGAAGTCCTCCAGCGGGAGCACCTCAGACTGGCCCTTGAGCTTCGCCTCCAGCCAGCTCGTGTGCGCGTGCTCCTGCTCGCCAAGCGCGAGGGTGTATATGCTCGAGCCGTCCTCGAGCGCCTTGACGGCATACGTGGTGGTGACGTGCACAAGCGCGCCCCCGAGCTCGACCGTGCGCACGATCGCGGTGTTTTCGAATGAGTTAGCGGCGGACGCGCATAGCGGGAGAACGAGAGCGGAGAGAATGAGCGAGAGGGGCGTGTGCCAGTTCCGGGGCATGGCTGCCAGTGAGGGAGAGGGAGGTGAGATGTGCCAGTGCTGCGCCCGCGCGAGCGAGCGTGTCGTGGCGCGTCGCCCAAAATAGCGCCGCTAATTACCTATAGGTAGTTGAGCAGAATTGGTGATCACTCCGGTACTACGAACTTTGTCGGTCACCCAGAAATGGTCCCAAGACAGGATAGTAGAAATACAATTGATAAGAAAGATTCCAAGGACAGTAGATTCCTAGAAACGGTTGACCAGAAGTCATATTCTTGTGACCCATTCTCGAACCAAATCAATATGCATTTGAGCGCTATCAAGTCGTCCAGCTACTACCAGTGCTCAAGTGGCTCGGACGGATCGCTGATAGAAAATAAGCGAGCCTAAGTCATATCGGCGAGGAATGCCTGAAGGTCAATAAGATACAAATCAGCACCGGGGAACTCCTCCTCGACGAGAGAGTAGCGTAAATGATGTCGGAGCCATGCGTCAAGCTAGTCAGCCCGCCTGTCGTCTCTTCCGCTTGATCAAACGTCTCACACATCCGCATAAAATCATCTCAAATCAAAACATGCCGTGTTAAAAGCCAAGGCAATGCGAGTCAAAAATGAACTATGCGCGGTTCTGCACACCTCGGCAAGCTTGTAGTGGCAGAACACAACGATGCGGCAGCCTTCCCAGAAACTGTGAGGAGGCACTGGAGCTGGCGCATCCAGGAATCTCAATTAGCATTCGAGTAATACTATACGCAAAAACCAGGCATAAGCCTCTACCACGCCCAGGCGGGCCCAGGGTTGCGGAGGGGAACGTCCTCCCGGACATAACCCGCCGACACGATCCGCCTCAACTTCCTCGCGCGCTCCTCGTCCCGCAGCTCAGCCCGCGTCTTGCCCTCCTTCAGCACTACGTGCAGCCGCGCGTGGGGATGGGTTTTGACACCAGCCCTGCCGCGACCCTTGATATCGTACCGCTTGAACTGATGGGGCCCCTTCGTCACCCAGGACTCGGCTGTAGTGTAAGAAGGCTCTATCAATTCGGGTGCAGCTTCACGGTGCATGCGTACGTACCAACGACGAGCTTCCCCTCATCAAGACTCTTGAGCTTCACGGCGTGCGACTTGGCGACCACCAGCATGCTCTTGATGCGCTTACTCGCGCGCTTCTCGCTGAACATCATCTGCAGGATGGCCGAGTCCACGGGCTTGCCCGCGATTTGGCGGCCGATCATGTTCAGCTTGCGGTGCGAGATCTTGAAGTTCCCCGTGGAGTACTTGTGCTGAGAGACCCCCGCGTGCGCGTGAGCACCCGTGCGCGCCCGAGTAGGTGAGTGTCAGGACGTACCTCCGTGTAGGTCTTCTTCTTCCACGCAGGCACCTCTTCCGCGGCACCTTCGCCCTCCCCGACTGTGGGCACGGAGTCAAAGACACTCAGCTGGCCCTTGTCCGCAGCCTGCTTCCGCGCCGCGTCGATCTCTTCCTGCGTATTTTGCTGGCGCACGTTCGGCGCGAGGGATTCGCGGAGCCATGTCACCGGCCCTTTGAAGTTTGGCAGGCGGAGCGAAACACTGATAGCGGCCTGTAAGGGACAGGAGCCAGGGAATCTAGAGCAGGCATACGTACTTGCGGCGCTGGACGCCCTGAAGCTGGAACACTCGCGAACTTGAAGCGACGGTGTGAGCGGGCACATTAAGGCAGGCCGCTCTGCTCGCTGCAGCATAGAAGACGTTCAAATCCTGTCTCAAAGCGCGGTAGTCAAGCGTACGCACCAGAGCGGAGGCTGGCCCCGACAGACTGCATAGCAAGACTCGGACAAGCTGGGAGGAGAACGCAAGGAAAGCGCAACGGGCGTCTCTTCCTGCACGCGATCGTCCAGTGCATGGGCGCCTACGCAACGACACGCTCTCGGACACGTCCACCACCACCCATCTATGCTCTACCTCGGCACGATTCTCTATGTCTCGCTACTCCTCATAAACGCTATGGCTGTTCTCAGCGAAGACAGGTTCCTGGCACGAAGTACGTCTCTTAGGCCCTGTACTGTGGCGCGGTCCGCTCATGGTACCCTGCTTCAAGTCGGCTGGTCTTCCGCGCAGCCACAACCAGCGAACCCCGGCTTTGGCCAGCCATATGCTCAACCATACGACCAAGCAGCATACCCCGGAGCGCAGGATGTCGGCGTGAAGGGACGGCTAATAATCTTGATCAGCGCTGTGCGGACACTCATGCGGAGTGAGTCTTGTTTGCGTCTTCTCCATGGGATTCCAACTTATGCTGCTTCAGTACCACTCATAGGGCTGAACCTGGTCATCATCGGATACGAGCTTATTTTGGGTGGTTGAAGAGCCCGCGGATCATACATGCGTGGTATAATGACATCGCCCCTACGCCGATATACTACTTCTGTCCTCCTCACGACTGGTTAAGTTTGTTGTACTCCTCCTCAATCTGCCTGATGAAGTCCTTCGGGGCATGGCCGCCCTGATATGAACAGCCCGTCAGCCACGACGGTACAGCATAGATGCACATGTGAGTTCCCACCTCGCACTCCTTCCACGTTTCGTCGTGAATGCAAACGGGCTTCCCGTTGATCACTATAGTGCAGCTCTTCCTGTGGGCGGGCGGGCTTGATGTCAAAACAAACGCTAACTGGCGGATGGCTGTGAACGCACTCGATGCCCATCTCTTCCGTTACGGCAACGCTCTGTTGCAGCATCCGCACGCCCTCTTCTCCTTTCCCACTCCCATCCAGCCCGGCGCACGCGCCCACACCGCTGTTCTCCCAGTCGAGTTCTGTCGTCTTCGCGCATTGCAGCGCCGTTTCAGGCTTCCCGATCTCAGTTCGGCCCTTGAAGTTCAGGCAATGGACGAAGTTCCACCACCGCTGTGTGGGAGCGTATTTGATAGCGCACAGTTCGTGCACATTCCCCGCGCACTCCTCGGGACCATGTTTGCATGTCACGCCAAAGTCGGGCTCGGAGGCGTTGATCCTGTGCCTCATCTCAGTCTCAAAATAGTGTAGTCGTGTTGCACGTACTCACTTCCCGATGAACGTGAGCGAGAGATCCACTTTGTCGGCAACGCGCTGCAGAACATGATCGAAGACGGTCTCGCACAGAACGGCATCGGGGCAGCGGCTCATCACGCCGAGCACGACTGGAACTTTGACATCATCAAAGCCGCCTGTATATGCGTCACTTGTCTGTACGCCCAGCGAGCCAGCGACTGCGCCGTGCGCGAGTGAAACGAGACCGGCAAGGAGGCAGATGAGAGCAAGGCTGGCTGTGAACATGGTGGTCGCAGACAATGTTGGAGAGCGCAGCCGACGTCGGCGTCGAGAAGAGATGTGCCGATGAGGGCGCGTGCACGGCTGGCTGCCCATGGCGGGTGCATGAACCGACCCCTCGCGCGAGACGACTGCTCAGTGTCGTCATACCCACGTGGACTGGCCGCCCGATTGCATCTCGGAGGGCGGCCGTGCTGTTCAGGACAATGATCGAGAGCCCTCCGTGTCCGAGGCCGGGGTACCCGGCGGGTCAGGATGCAACTCTCCTGAGTTTCTGAGATTGACCTCGATAGCGTTTACTGACATGGTTTGACGCGAGTCATCGGCAGTGCCAGAGGACCAACCTCGGACCTTGATCAGGGCACAACAATAGCACAACCTCCTCGGAGTACCGTCACGACGCATCTCACACCATGTTCTCCCCAACACGATGGCGATGTCTCGAGATGTTGGGGTGCTGGTTGGACGGCCATGGAGCACTAGTCCCGCTGGTCGATTGTTGTAGCTGATAGAAGCGCGCACTGCATTCCTACGGGCGCAGTGCGGAGAATACACTCTCTTCCACCGACGTACATATCCGCGCGCGGTAGAAGCCCATCCCTGCGGGCGGCGAAGGGATATCACCATCGAATTTGAGCGATCATCCCACGCCGGGGTGCTGTGGTTGGATACGTCTGCAAGGAGAACAAGGGAGAGGAGCGCCACAGATCCGCTCAGTGTCAGACGGCGTCCCACCACTTGCGGGCTTCTGCATCGGACGGCGGCGGTTCGAAATATCGACACCGAGACCGGAATGCTGTGCACAACGTTCTGCTTCACAAGAGTCAGTCAAAGACGGCGCTGAGGTGCGTACCTTCGGAGGCGCGCTTGCGCACGATGGTCTCGACCGTCAGCTCGTTGTGGAGTTGGTTTCGCTGCGCACAGGCTCAGCGGCAGTCGGGTGCGGACGGGGAACTTCCTGACCTTGACCTCTTCCGCGTACAAGACGCCCTTCGCTTTGCGCTGGGCTGAGGCATCATCTCCGGCGCTCTGGAGCAGCTCGCGCTTCTCTTCTAGCGACTGGTCAACTACCCCAACGCAGTAGTCCACAATATCTTTGCGCCGGGACCAGTTCGCTTGGGGGGCGTCAACGCAGCCTAGAAACGCGAGGGCCGGCGAGGCGCACCGACGAGCTCCCTCCAGACCTGGATGCAGGCTTGCTCCTCCACACCGCCCTTCCCACTGAGCCCTGACCGCTCCCTGTCGCGGAACTGTGCGGTCGTGCGATTCAGCCGCATGTTGATTGTATCGTCGAGCTTCCTATACTGGTTCATCAGGTCTGGCGGACCGGGCGCAATGGAGCAGGGCGCAATGCCGGACGTCAGGGCTGGGAGAACTGTGGCAGAACAGCGCCGACGGAACGCACCCTTGAAGACAGAGATATCACGACACGTTGATGGAGTTACGTGCACCGTCCTGGGAGTCAATGTGGGTGCTTGGATGGCGAGGCTGCCGAGCTGCGGTTGTTTTGACGACATGGGGGGACGTGCGAGATGGAAGAGCAGCGCAAAGGGGGACGGATGACCCCGAGCCGCGTTCGCCGAGGGAGGCGCGCCCTTTCGGCGCCTGATGTGGTCGGAAGCGCCTGCGCCCAGGAAGAAGAAGCTGGAGTAACGGCACCTCGTCAAGTTCCTCATGAGACTGTCATCTCGATTCCTGCCTTCTATCACCATCGTGTCCCAGGGTAGAGGTAAAGCTGACCGGAGATTGATTGGGCTGTACAAAGGTGTGTGTGCGTTACAGAACAACAGACTCAGAACAAAGACGTAGCGAAGGAAACAGCATAGTGAGGCAACTCGAAGAGCACGACAGGACGTTATCGACAGCAAAGATTCTAACAACACCCGTTCCAGGTCAATAGCGATACAAGAGGCTCAAACTCGAATGATACAATATACGAAACGTGGGGACAGATAATAGGTAACATCGGACGTCGAAGCCCGGGGGGACAGGTATGGAAAGCGAAGATCAGGAGAACGTCCTGGGAGCGGAAAGGTCACAAGAAGCAATGGTGCACTGCAAGAGCACAAGCCGAGCAGCTGATCACGTCGATGGGCCAGGGGCTCTATCGTCAGCATCGGATTGAGCCCCAGGGTCGGAGGCCTCAGAGGCCTCAGATGCAGCGGCTTCGGCCCCCGCCTCTGCAGCCTTCTTGGCCGCCTCCTCGCGCTCGGCTTTTTCGGCGGCCAACCTTGCCTTGCGCATCGGCACCGTCTCATGTCCATGTTCTTTCATGTGTCGCTGACGACGCGCGGGATCCTTGAAACGCATGCCGCAGTAATAGCACTTGTGTGGCGTGGCACCGGTGCTGGCGAAAGGGTCTCAGCATGCAAGCAAAACACTCAAACGAAGTCCACGTACTGTGTGTTCATGTGCGTCTCCAAGTTGCTCTTCTGCGAGATTCGCCTGTTGCAGCCTGGGAAGGTGCACTGCCAACCGCTGACGACTCTCAGTCAGCGCCGCCGCTAGGGACTTTGCTCCGGTGCAACTCACCGTAGCTGCAGGTGCTTGGACTCAATGTGGCGTTTGACAAGGTGTTTCTTGGCCTTGTAGTCACAATCTCCGGTCTTCCCGTCGTCCCTCAGGCCGTGCCAAATACACGCCCACTCGCGCCCGCCCTTCACTTCCTCCTGAGGCACCTTCCTGACGTACTTCAACCAGTCGTTCTTCCGCGACGGGTCCACCAAGAGCACGGGCATGGGCACGATTGCGGGCCTCCGCCGCGCAGGAGCCCTGTCGAGCGCGGGAGGCGTAGCCGCCCGCGCCGGGGGGCATGGAGCCTGGGTGTGGGCGGACTTTGACTGATGGGCGGTGTGCGCGACGGCTTCGCCCCGCTGCTCGGCATCGCTCCTTTCAGAGGCGAGCCCGAGGGTCTGGAACGACCGCCGCAGCTTCCTCTCCCCCAGGCGCGGGGGGAGATCTGCTGAGGGCGCAAGCGCTGGGATGATGCGCTCAGGCAGGGGGCTGTGGCGCGAAGTCCTGAGGCAAAATCAGCATCCACAGAAGTGATATCGCGCGCGGGGCTCTGACCTTGGGCGTTTGAGGAAACGGTCGGACGGACTTGCGGGATTGTCGCTGCAGTGGATGCCCGGGTTAGCGCGGTGGCGTTGACATGGGGTGAGGCGCACTTACTCGGTCTCGGATGAGGAGCTTCTCTTGCGCGAGGCCTCGCGCGGGGGCGTAGAAGCGGGCGTAGAACGAGCAGTCAAATTCGAGGGCTCGGACCTGCGCGACATGAGATGAGTGCTACGCCTCGGGGATACTGCGGAAGGACGGCCTACCACAGCGAAGAATGCGCGGACATGGTCGGCGACGAATCAGGATGTTCGGAATCACTGTGGGTGGGCTTGTCTTGGCCAGGCCTGTACTTGACGTAGATTATCGGGTCGACTGGGAGGGGTTCGGCTGCCTTTGAGGCGAAGCTGGGCCACATGAACGTTGCAGTAGGGAGCTCGTACACGGAGAGGCTGGCGGGTGGACGAGCGGGCTGCGACGAATAGCTCGCGATTGCGTGCTTCTCTAGTAGGGAGTGCTCTCTCGGGCTATAGTGCTAGTTCAATGCGAGATCCTAATACAGGGAACGTGGAACTGACCGCGTGGGCGGGGGATAGATGGACGGTGGCGTCGTGGTGGTGGATGTCCGTTGTTGTGGCGAGGGGATCAGGCTGGTCAGTGGAGGTAGCCCGCGTGACATGGGGCCGTTTTGAATGGTCTGGGCGGTGCTTGACGAGGGCAATCTGCGGGAGGGAGATGTGGCGTCGGTCAGTACTATGCCCACTCTAGGGCAGAAATCAGAGGTATGGGTTGTACAACGCGTCGGAAACGCGTCGTACGCGGATCGCGCAGTCATATAAGACGTTTTGAGCGCGTTCTGGTGGTATGGGGGATGTATGATAGTGCTCGCCACAATCTCACTCACCTTGCGAAGCTCCCATGCAGGGAGTCAGCGCGGCGCGAAGTCATGGCAATGTACGAAACGCAAAGTAGAGCGAGAAGTAGGACGCACGAAGCAGAAGTCGAGCTGGGTATGAGCAAGAGAGATTCCAGGCGGGGCGGTGGAGGGTAGGTAGAGACCAGGGTACTGAGGGAGAGGCTTTAAGACCGGCGCGTGCACTTGTCGGAATTTGAATGCATGCGTTCTGGTGGGCGCTAACGACGCGTGGGGAAGAATCAAGATTGCGCACAGCTGCAAAAGGCGCGCGCTCTGGTATTGACTGGGAAATGAGTTTCGATCGCGAATCTCACCCTGCCACAGCGCCCGGGTCCAGGCAGAAATGCGCGAGGCGCGCCCGGGAGGAAGGTCTCCGCCGAAGATCAGGCGCCGACACGGCGGGCTCCGTGATGGCAGAGCACCCACACGCACAACAAAGGCCAAACAATCCGGCGCCTAAGGAGTTCTCCGGGTCCGGTGATCGCCCAATATGGGACGTTCCACGTGTGGCCGGATCGCGGGACCCGACTGCGACGTCCTCCGTGAGACGTTCTCCCATATCTGGGCCATCTCCCCGCGGCTCTCACCTCTCCGGGCTCGGAAGCGCCTTTGTACTCTGCTTCCCATTGGTAACCTCGTGGACACTGTCATATCACGCCGCTCAAAATCAATCTTCTGTGCCTCTCGCGTGGGCCCGGCGCTGACCCGCTCACCTCCTAGGGCATTCAGAAGCATAATGCCATTGCGTGGCGTAGCGCTAGTCAGCGCGCCGTTGCCATCTGCTCCGCCGAATTGAATGGGACAGATGCGCAGCCCAAGGGTTCGCAAAGAAAGGTTGTCGCTCCGGGGATCGCTCATTATCCCAAGCAACAGAAGGGGCGATGGGACATCGTGCCAGTGCCCTAGTACAATACCTAGCTGCATAGCGCTGCCAGTGACATGAATGTGGTCCAAATCATGCGGTACGTGGACCGCCTTTTCAATTGTCGACGAATCGCGCTCAAAATCCGACGCACAGGATGCAATGGGCACCGACGCTCACGCTAGTGGTGGACAAAGTTAGCAGATCAGCCTGCTGATCAACGTGCCGAGGTTCCCCCTGTCTCTTGTAGCAACGGCAACCTACGAGGGTGGAATCTTCATGCCAGTGGCGTAATAGCATTCAGGGTGAGTGCTGTGTGGAGGAACGGACCGCGGGCACCCTTTCATTGACGACAATCTCATGTATCGACGTCCACGAATGGGATGCTGCGGTATTCTTCGTGGCATTCGCTCGCCACGACGTTGACGCCCAGTGCCATCGCCTGACCGGGGCGTGGTACGTTCTGACCTCACTCGCGGGGTTGGACGTCCGGTGGTGAAATCTGCGGAGTTGCTGGCGTTTGTCGCGGGTGGCGTGCGTGCGTCTACGAGGACTCTTCTTAGGTCGCCGAGGATGGCGCACCCCATTTCTAGCGAGGCCGGGGCGATACTGACGTGTGCTGCGCGCTGCGACAGGCCAGTCACCCGTCAGCGGCGCGCCGGATGGATCCCGTCCCGTTCGGCGTCCGCAGAGCCTGGCGCTTAACTCATCTCCTCCCACGTCTAAGTACCTTTTCCGACGTTCAAAGGACGGACTCTCACTTCGCATGCCAATAGATGTAGTATGGTATAGTATAATATATTCTATGCTAAACAACTAGATGGACTGCACGATGCTGTGGATACAGTACTACACTACAGGGGAAATACAAGATAAGTAGATGGACGATATGTAATGGCTCTACGCATCGTTCTGTCCATGCCGTCGAGTGGGAAGCTTGTATGCTACATTAACAGATGATTAGGGAATGACCATTATCATGAACGGCAAGGATAGAATGAGCGATGCGGGGAGAGCAGAGAGAGGCTATCAGTGCACAACTTGTAGTGTTTGCAGATGCAACACTACAACGGTGGTAGGTCTGTAGTCGCAGAGTACCCATGAGAGGTGCAGAAGTGGCGCAGTCGCTCTTCCGAACACCGGAAGCTCTTATTGCACACCGTGCATTTCTTTGTCGAGACGCTGTTAGCAGATCCGTAAGCCACATCGCCCAAGGACACAGAAGTTGAGTCGTACTGCATGATCTGGTGCGCGAGGTACCTGGCAAGGTTATTGTTGAACGACCACGTGCACTTTTTACATCTCATATTCGGTGGGCTAGAGCGCATCGAATCAGACTGGGAGAGAGAGAGCAGGACGGATGCGAACTCACAGTACGACATTATGCGCTCTGACAAGATGGACTTGCGCCTGGGTAGGAGTCATCATCGCGGGGCAAGTGCTGACTCGGATGTGTTTTGCGCAAATAAAGTGTTCGGGCACGTCCGCGGGACACAATATATGTTGAATTTCTCTACAGCACGGAGATGTCAGCTAAGCCAAATACGACCGGGCAACGCAGCCGTCATGGTGCAACATAGTTGCACCGACTGCTGCATTGCGGCGGCGAGGCGGCAAGAGGAGAGGAAGTTGGAAGACTCACTCAATGTCTTCGACCTTCACCTTCATCGTACAGTATACAGGAGATGAGCTCCGCGCATTCTATCCAGCTCGCGGAGATGTCATATATTCTGGCGCGAGCGTCCCTGTAGCGTTCAGCGCGATCCAGTCGATGAGGACGACCACATACCTCATGTCCCGGCGCACGCCTCGCTGCACGATGATGCAAGGGCTTCGGACGCCTTGCGCAGAGGAGAGATGGGGCAGAGCGCTGGGCGGTCGCCCGGGTCGCGGGGACTGAACCTGTGTGCCATCGGTGTATGATCTCGGTCTTAGGGGACGGAGGGCTGAGTGACTTCCCTGAACGAATAGGAGCGCGGCGCATGCGCGGCTCCATCCTCGAGGAGGCGTTGTCGATGATTGTGGTTGCCGTCTGAACTTGCGCCGGGCCGCTGCTCAACCTTACGTTGAGTGGTTCGCTCCCCGGCGTGCTCCCCGCATTTAGTTATAGTGCAGCTTCATGAGGAGATGCCATACCCTTGGCTCGCTTCGTACACGCAATCTCTGCTTCAGGATTATCGATAGAGCGCGCCGAGGGACGGGGAAGACCCTGTAAGCAATTTTGGTGGGTTCTGGTGCGGCCGCACAGCGTATTCCGGGTCTTGATGCGGTATAAGATTGGGTTCTCGCGGACTGTGCGCGCGGCCGACGCTGGGCCTCCGCATGCGGAGGTACTTCCGCACGCGCGGTGAGTCGCCTTATCGGGTCGTGACTATCGTCACCCCGCGCGCGACGGGATGATCAAGTGGCCCTCGAGCTTGTGCGCCACAGCGCGCCAGAGCATTCGCGGTAGCATTCGTGCTCCGCGAGCATGTCGCTGGAGTCCGGGCGGGCTCGGGCTGGCCTCGAGTCCGTCCGCCCGTGTGGAGACATGATGTTGATGCAGCTGGTATATGTGGGCGATGAGCAGGGGGGCGCGCGAGACATGATAGACGATGGTATCCAACTCATCTGCCGCGGAGTAGAGTATGGCGATGACGCTGCCACTGGTACTCTCAAACTGGGCTGCACTTTGGCATATACCGGGGGTATCCTTCTAGCGAAGCCACTGGCAGGGTTGAGTTCTAGGAGACGTATTTAGATGCGCCTTGAGGCGCAAAGATGATTGAGGGGCCGACGCCACCATTACTTGCGCCCCAAGCCCAGGACAGTCGGGCGGCGAGCGCACGGACCAGGGCATATGCACCGCCCTAATAAGTGGGCGACTGTGTACACACAACCAGCAAACCAGCGGTATCAGATGTATCATATCGCGACTGCGGTATGGAGAGATTCAAACGCACCGGAATTCGCCTTCTAAGAGTCTATTTGGACGCCTCGAGGCACCAATTGGGTGGACTCGAGCTGGAGAGGTGGTCGGCAGCTGCGTTACTGGTCAGATCGGTCTGAAACGCATCAGCATGCGGGTCAGGACAACGCGATAGTTATGATCACTACGGGAATTTACCGTCCATTTTTCAGCCCCGTTGGAGGGCCGAGGGCAGGCGCAGGGATTCGACCGTTCAAGCTGCTGGCAGGAAGAGGCTGGGGCCGTAGTAGGGCACAAGAAGGTGCGAACAGTGAAGGATGGTAGCCGAAATGGGCGCTACCTCGTGCCACGTGGGGATCTGGCAGGGGATCTACGCGCTCGCATTGTGGCGACATGCAAGATCTGCTATGCAGATCCTGGAGAATTACATTACGTTGGTTGAGGCCTACACAATCTTCTCTTGGATTCGTAACGCACTGGGTTACCCTGCAGAAGAGCACCATCCCCTTGCTTGCCACCAGCTTCATCTTGGTACTACAGAAGGGATAGTAGGGAGGGTGACCGCTCGATGTGATGATCACGGCTAGTGTGTCACCGCTGGCCGTAGAACAGGCTCGGGGAGCTGAGAGAGCGGTAGCAACTGCGATGGGAGTCTAGTTGTCTACAACATCTAGCGACTCAACATGGTTCTAGTGACCTTGAGGGGCGGGACTTTACGTCCGATGCTACGCGCGGCAGGCCTTCATGAATCGCCGTGCCGGCGGCGCCATCTGCCAGACACAGGATGTGGTAGCCTCACCGATGCAACGCGCCAAGAAGAACATAGCGTTGGGTGCGAATGCGCGCGCAACAAGATATCTATGTTTAGAATCAGTAGAGGCAATATCCGTAACGCCATATGGAGAAATAGGACGGTGAAATATTGCTGACGGCCTTGCCCCAGTGACCGCCCAACTTGCCGCCTGATCACAGGTCTCGAGATGAAGAACATATTACGCCCGAAAGATACACGCGCTTATTTGGGACCGTGCTCTAGATGGCCCCCCGAATAATGTTGCTCGCACTAGAAGAAAATACTGTGAGAGGAGTTCACGCGGTGAAGCTGCCGCCACCACCGACGGCGACGACATCTGATACTTTATAATACCGTGCGGACGCTAGGTCGCACGTCTTCGCACCTTATCAGGTTGCTACCTGAACATGTGTGGAGCAAGATCAATGGCTGGGAACTTAGAAGACGTACGACGTGGCTCACCGATATAAATAGGGCCTCAAGTCCGTCCGAGTTGTTAGTCTAAGTTGGGTAACTGCGACCGCCACAATGCTGCTGGGGCACAGTGAACTTTGGACCGAGAGTCTGCTCTGAGCCGCAGAGATCGTCGAAGGGCGGACTCGGTGCCCGTACGGACATGCAGGATGATACGATCCGAGCTGGGGCGGAGTTTTTGTGGCCTAGATTTGTTGTGAGCCATCAGACATGAGCAATACCTCTGGAACTGCTGCCGCCTGCTGAGAACGGCATCCGCAGTCCGGCCTGCGAACGGGCGGCAGCGGATTCGAGAAGCTCGCCGAACAGAGGGCTGCCCTTGAGCGAGCGGACCAAAATTCGTGCATGAATTCGAGTAGACAGCGGCGGGGAATGCAGTCTCAGAGATCGTTGCTTGGCGGTGGAATATGATACATAGGAGGCTGTGGGGGATGATGAGAGGAGGACAAGGCTGGATTGGCCGTGGGCGGCCGCAGGAGACCGTTCCGAAGAGGCGAGGCAGAGAGGCGCCCGGGGCGGGACGGTTCGCCTGTGCGGGGACCTCCTGGCCCTTGGGCGGAGAACGCGTCTGGCGAACAACCACATCGATCCGCTGGCTTTGTCCTCCTCCCCCGTCTGCTCGCCCTGAGCGTGGGCTCATCGCGCCCCTCACCACCCCTCTCTGGTCCACAATGTCTCCCTCGTCGTCCTCTCGCTCTCGCCATGTTGTCCTCGGTCTCGTGTTCTCGTTCGTCTCGTCTCTTGTCTCCGTTCATGCCCAGGCCATCTCCTCTACCATGCCCGTCCCGCCACTCCAGTGGATCAACCTCTCTAAGCTCCTCAGTGGACCTGCCGCCCCGCCTCTCAAAGACGCGACGATCGGCTACGACGATACGAACGGAGTCCTCATGATCTTCGGCGGAGAGTCGCAGCAAGGCTTCCCTACCGCACAAACCTATATGTGCGCCTGTCCTCCTTTTCCTCTTTCTGAATTTAGGCTCAGGCCACACTGTTCAAAGTATCGACCTCCACAATCTCCTGTGGACAACTGCTACGATGCCCTCTGGTCTGACCAATTCACCATCCATTAGGACCGCTGCAATAGGCGGCGATGATTCCGCTGCCAGTTAGTAAGTATACTGTTTAGGTTCATTTGACGCGTCTCACCTCGGGTAGTCGCCATGGTCATGTCGTCATTGACGGAGAAGGGTCAAATGGCAATCCCGTATCTGATATCTGGGTAAGTGTTACCGGCCCAACTCACCCCAGTGGAGCTCACATTTCCCATAGGAATTCGACTACACCAGCCAGTTCTGGGCGCAGGTCAGTGTATCACCCGGTGGACCGTCCGCGCGATGGGGTGCCGTTGGTGGCATCGACACCCGCACCGTGTTCACCACCGATCCCGTAACGACCACTCCGAACAACACGATCTACATGGCCGGTGGCTTCGACGGGAAGACGGCCTATCCTCTATCCGAGGTGTGGCAACTGGAAGTTTCCGGAACCCTCTCCTCCAACTTGCCCAAGAGCGTAACTGCGAGTTGGTCTCGCGTCGACGTCTCTACTAACATCAACGCGCGAGTGTCCTTGGGTGGGACGGTTGTTGGTCAGAAGGTAGTTGCTGTCGGCGGCTGTTCACCTGGAACCTCTGCGGCTTCTATCTTGGATTCTTCTTGCGCACTACAAGATGCGCAAATCATCGACACGCCCACCGGCAACGTGCTGAGCGCGGGCTCATGCATAGCGCCTCGCATTGATCCAGCTGTGGTCCCAAATATGTGTCAAGCATCCCAAAGCTTCAAGACACAGGCCTTCGTACTGTTCGGAACGTTTAGCAGCTCACAATGGGATGACGGCGGTGGGTTGCAGCGAGGTGAAGTTGTAAGTACTGCCCCCGCGTGATTGTCTTATAATGCATCTAAAGGACTTGGCAGGCTGTACTAGATGTCGGAACAGGTTTGTCGTCGAATTTGCAACACGCGTTCGCTGCAATTCTGACTTGACGTAAACTAGCTGCCTGGGCAAGAGTACTTCCTGCCGGTGATCCAGGTTCGGACGGCACGCCATCGTATCCTACACCGCGTCAAGGAGCTGCCGCTCTGTCATGGAAAGGGCCGTTGGTAGGAGGTTCCGGCATAGCTGCTTACGACACGGTCGTCTTTGGTGGTCGCGATGCGTCCGGGAACTATCTTTCGGACATCTGGATTCTGAGAGCCTACAATGACACGCTAACGGGCTCGAACCAGAAATGGTCGGGTTTCGGCAGTGGAACACTGAGTACCGGTGTTAGCGCCGACGGACAAGGCGTTACCCTCCAATACCTAACGCAATGCGCTACATCCATCGGGACCCCATCCAAGACGTCATCTTCAGGGCCATCCAGCACGTCAGGTTCAGGACAGCAATCGGGGTCGGGGTCGCCGGGCCAAACATCCCCTGCATCATCCTCAAACACCATCGTGTACGACACCTCGACTATCCACAAGGCTAGTGCGGCTGTCTCTGTCGCGCTGCTCTTCCCTGCCTTTGTTCTCTACCGCTCGTCCTCCCCTACTGTTGAGGCATCGTTCAAGGCAGAACGTAACGTGGTGCTCCAGCTCTTCGCAGTTATCATGTTCATCGCAGCGTACGGTCTCGGCATAGCTGGGTTGGCAACTGCATTCACCTCCATCACATCCACCAACACAACCGTGCTCAAACGCTCCCTATCCTCCGTCGATCTACAGACCTCACATTCCAAAGCTGGCCTAGCTCTGTTCGCTGGCATGTATGTCCTGGTGCCACTTCTGTACGTTGTTGCACTGGTTATTAGACGCCGCGATGGCCCGAACGACGCGGAACTACTAGCAGATCGACAGCGGGCGGATTCAACACTGGAGAAGTTCAGTATGAACGGCCGCGCGGCAAGTCCATCGCAGCGCTCGGAGCCGCTGTCGCACGACACACGTAATGGCGAGACGCGGAAGCGAGTTCGGTCGTGGGCGGGCATAGGTACCTGGGCCGGCATAACGGGTCGGCGATCGCACGAGACGACTTCTGAAGATCATACGCATACGCCATCATCGCGATCCTTCGAAGTTACAAACAGGCCCACCCGCCAGCGCCGCGCAAGCGGAAACAGCCTTGCCGCTTTCTCCGACCCGCGTCCTACGCATACGCCGCGCAATCTCAGCGACATGAGTTGGCTTGACACCAGGCGTAGTGCGAGTGGCATGGTGCGTCCACTTCCCGCAGTGACTTCTTTTGCCGTAGCTTAAACGACACTTCCAGGGCGATCTTGGATACAATCTCAGCCCTATGGACCGCAGAGGCCAGGAGCAGTGGACGCCAGGCACGACGCCAATGGAGATCACGAGCACCAACGGCCTCATGATGGGCCACCAAAGCCCCGCCGAGCATCCCGTTCTCCCAACGCCGTTCGAAGGCTTCATTCACGTGCTCTTCCATGCACTCTTGCTTGCCCTCTCAGTCCTCTCCCTGGTCGCGCTATGGATGCGCGGTCCCAAGCCCGCATTCGGCGTCTTCCTCGCGTGGGTGGTCGCCTACTATACCATCCTCATCACGCTCGCATGGAACGGCTACCCGCGCCAGTCCATCCTCTCCGTCATCTTCAGCCGCCTGCGTGCAGAGCCTGTCGCCTTCTCCCCTGTCCCCCGCGGCGGTTCACCGAGCGGCTCCCGCCCGATGTCTACGGCCGAGCCTGATGCGGTGCCGTTCCCCTCGGAGAACCGCGGGCCGTACCAGCACCACCAGCCGCCGTACCGCGCGACGCTGAACGCGGAGGCGGACTACCCGATGTCGCTCTCGCACTCGCACGGACATGGCTCGCCAGACGTGGACGAGGATGACGACGAGGACGAGGACACGCGGCAGCGGCGCATCGAGGACGAGCTTAGCCGCCGCGACGTGTCGATCGTGACCGTGCCGAAGCGCCGCTTGTACGTTCTCAATCCGAATCCGCCGGACACGCCAGCGCACTAGGATCGCTGCCGTCTCCCCCACCGCCCCCCAAGTACAGTAGTTAGCTATTTATGCCTTATGCACCCCGTATTGGTTGCATTGTGTCCCTGTAGGTACGAACCCCACCCTCCCTGGCCCGATTAGGTTCCCCCTTCACCCCCATATCATCCCACCCCCACCTTGCATAGTCGCATTGCTCTTCCGCCAGAGATACCACCGGAGCCTAGGTCTCTTCATGACACCCCTTGTAGTCGCACACGCATAATTCTCCGGACATTCTACAAGTTACTGTATTCTTTCCTTGCTGCGGGATATGATATGAGATGATGTGTGCTACGGACATGCATGCGGCAGACAACGACGAGCGAGAGAGATTTTGTATGCGACATACGACTGATGTCCGAATGAGGGGAGAATTAGGGAGTGAGTGCGCTAACACTAAGCTGACGGGACTGCGAAAGCCGGCCAAAGCGAATTTAGCGAGGAATACCGGTTACCATCCAGAAGCACCAGAGATTGACAAGAAAAAGTCCAAGTCCGTGATGAGTACTCAATGCTCGATGCTCGATGCTGAAACGAAAGAGGGTATCCGGAAGGAAGGGGTGGAGGGAGAGGGCGCCCGCGCTCATGACCGCTCGCCCTCGACCGCGACGTCGTGCCGCCACTTGTCGACGCGCCCGAGCTTGTCCTGTATCGGCGGCGGCGTCGGCGGCAGCTGCGGGTACATCATCATCGGCGGCGGCATCGGCGGCCCAAAGTAGCCCGAGCCCATCATCGACGGCGGCGTCGCGTACATCATCGCGTGCTGCATCTGCGCCATCTGCGCCTGCGCGAGCATCTGCTGCTGTTGTTGCTGCTGCGCGGCCATGAAGAACTGCGACTTGCGGAGCTGCTCGGGGTGCATCCCGAGCGGCTTGTCGTCGTCGTCGTCCCCGCCTGCTCCGAAGCCGGGCGGTATGCGTGAGGCGCGCAGCCCGAGCGGCATGTCGTCCTCGTCCTCGTCATCGTCAGCGGGCCCGGGGCGCAATGAAGTCGGTGAGAGCTGGCTACCGCCCAGAGACGGAAGTTTCTGCCTCGTCTTGTCGAGCAGGGCTGTTAGCGGCTTATCTTCGTCTGAGCTGTCGTCCGCGGCGGTGGACCCGAGGCGCGTTTGTCGCTGCGCAGCCCGCCCAATCGTCGCAACTAGCGGGACATCCTCTTCGCTGCTGTCGTCGTCTTGCGGCACAACCTGTGGTAGGCGCGGGGGTCCGCTCTGGGGATAACGCGGACCCGTGCCCGTCGTCCGCCGGGGGCCTTCCTCCTCCTCGTCCGAGTGCCAGCCTGATGTCTGCGGTGCACGGCGAGGTGGGGCAGGAGCGTCGCTGTCGTCGCTCTCCTCGTCCGACTCGTCGTCGAATTCTCCAGGGGGTGGGGGTCGCCGCCTGACCGTCTTCGGGATCTCCGGGAGGACGTGCGGCGGCGTCGGGGGCTTCTCGTCAGAACCCCCAGGCGACGCGTTCAGCGCAGGCGAGAGCGTCTCCGCACCAGTGAGCGCGGGGGAGGGCTCGTCGCCATCCCTGCCCTTGCCCTTCTTCTTGCCCCTCTTCTTCGCGTTCTTCGCCTCCTCCGCGGCCTCGCGCTGCTTGCGCGCCTCTTCTTCCCGCCGCTCCTGCTCCTCGATGACCTTGAGCTTCGCGAGCTCGCGCTGCCAGACCGTGTCCACCCCAAACACAGAGCGGGTGTTCCCCCCGGCGGAAGGGCTCCCGGGGAGAAGCATAGACTTACGCGGGGCCCCAGGAAGCTCCTCCTCGAACTCGAGCAACGGCTTCGCGTTCACCGAGTTCCGCCGTGTGAGATTCGGCTGCGAGTTGAAGCTAGCGAGATGCTGCGACGTCGGGCGCTTCAGCTCGTCGGGGTTGATGAGGGTGCTCGAGCGCGCCATCATCGACGGCCGTTCGTCGCCCCGGAATACACTGGAACGCGCGTTAGATATCAAAACAGCGCGCAACGTCAGCTTGAGGAATGGACGCACCGTTGCTTTCCGCGCATCTCCGCCTTGCGCGCTTCGAGGTCGTCGATGAGGCTGCGCCCATACAGTTTGCCAACAGGCCTTTTCTGACCGGGCTCCTCGACCTGCACGATGGGCACCTCGCGCGCGATCTCTGGCTCCGGCTCCGATTCAAGCTCGACCTTCTCCCCGTCCTCCGTAGCGCGCTTGATGTGGCCCTCGATATCGGCATACGCGACGTCGCGCTCTCCGTCAACCATAAGCGTATTCCGGAACACGAGCTGCGAGAGTGTGAGACTGCTACGCGGATTCGGCGTAAACGAGTTCGACGCGACTGGGGTGGCATTGAGCCCAGGCTCGAGCACGGAGAGCGTCACGGAGGAACGGCGCGCCGCCCGTGCGCCCGGAGGCAGCGGACGTCCATCGGTCGAGAGCTCAAAGCCCTCTTTCGCGCGCACGCCAGGCTGTGCGGACGACGTGCTTTGAGACTGCAGCGGGCTGGGCATGATGAGCACCTTGGGCCGCATGAGCTCCATGCGCGAGTAGCGGCGGTCATGCGGCGGGCGCACGTCGCGCTCCAGCTGCGCGTCGCGGTCGTCGAGCATCATCTGCGTCGCAAGCGTGCCCTGCGAGATCGTGCGCGCGCGCTGCGCCTTCGGGTCGAAGCGCGACATACGAGAGGGAGACGGGGGACGAAGGGCGAACGGGTTGTCCTCGTCCGCCTGTTGAGGCTCGGCGACGAGCATGTTGCTCATGGAGCCGCTGGAGAGCGTGCGCCCTCGGGCGGACCTGGGGTCGAAGCGGAGATCGTCGTTCAGGAGTGCACGCGAGCCCATGCTAAGCGAGGACTGTGCCCGTGGCCGCTCCGCCCCGTCCGCTTGCGGGGACGGAGAGCGGACTGTCTCGCTTGATGGGAACGGCACGGAGTGCAGGGGGGAATGCAGTGGTAGATTGTCGATAAGCGCATGCGCAGATGGGCTGCGAGAGCGCGAGCGCGGCGGGAACATGTTGTCCGCAGAATGGGATGTGGGGACATTGAGCGGGTCGCCGATAGAGTGTCGGCGGGGGCCGAGCGGTGGAGGTGTGATAGAGTGCGAGTCGAGGAAGGCCCCGCCGTCGCCGAGGCCGTTCAGCATGTTCACGCTCATGGCCCTCGTATGCGGCGCATGCGGCTTGCCCACCTCTCGCACAGGAACTGATTGCTCGTACGGGTTGGGTAGGGCATCCGACTTTGTCTTCTTGCGCGAGTGTTTGGGCTTATCCTTCGGCACGAGAGCGTCCAGGCCCCATGACGCCAAGTCTACCTCCAGTTCTTCCTCTTCGTCGTCATCGAGTCCTCCCTCGTAGGTCGATTCGCGAGCAAAGGGATTGCGGAGGGCGTCGATCGAGGCGCGCGATCTGCGGTCAAAAGCTAGAGAGTCACGGGGAGCGATGCTACCAGTCTCGCTCGGGAGGGCGACTCCGAGGTAATCGGTGCTCCTGCGCTCGGGAGCAGGTGGTCGGAGCGGTCGGTTGCGAAAGGGGAGGAATATGGCGCTCTCTTGAGCAGACCTCTTTGGTTTCTCGGGGTCCTCCAGGTCATTGTCGTACTCTGATATACCGTGCGGGGGACCTTGATCAGAGACTGCAAGCACGTTAGCTCGTAATGAGACAGCTCACCGATGAGGGCTGCAGCAAGCTGCAAACGAGAGAATGATGCGGGCATGCTGCAGAGTGATGTCCTGAAAGAACCTCCGCCCCACGAGTGGACGGAAAGAGTGGAGGAGGCGGCGGAGAAGCGGTCGGAGAGGTCGTCGAGCTGAGCGAAGCGGACAACGCGCCTGCCCTGCTGCCCAGCGCTTCTTTGCGATCCTATACAGCTGTCCATAATGGAAATACCACGTGGCATCCTGTACACAGCGGGGGAGCTGCACCTGAAGTCATGTTGGCCTTGGTTGGCCCGTTCTTAAGAGCCAGCACTACTGTCCATTCTTAAAACATTGCTCGGTAGATAGAATTTCAGTGATACAATATTGCTGAAGCTCGCAAAGTGAGTCAACCACAGCTACGTCTAACCTCAAGGGATGCCAGTGGCCGGTGACCCCATTATTGAGATTTGAGCATTCATCGAGTTCGGTCCGCTCAAGCTGACCGTTCCCGGGTCTCAAGCTGCCAACTCCACTACTGTCGGACGTCCGGACAGTTTCGAATTAACGCATCAACACAATGCAGTGTCGCGGTGGGGCATCCTCATTACTCATAGCCGCCCAGAGCAAGACGTCCGTATCGCCCAAGAGTTTTGTCGTGTGCTTGAGATCGTGTAATACACAACGGTAGCTCCTACGAGCACAGATGGAACAGTTCTCCCTTGAAGACACTACGGGTGCACTTAACGAGCCTTCCGCGGGCGCGAAGGGACGTCACGAGACAAGTGTATAGGATCCCGTGATCGCGTTTCGCGGTGTGCGATGGTGATCGCGATCATTGACACGTCAGTGAACGCTGGAAAGCTCTGTGTCTCCGTCCGCGGTTCGCCCGTCCGCAGTACTTATACCGCCAACGCCCGGGACACGTCGCACGGCCCTCTCTCTACACCTCTCTGAGTTCTCCCCTACCATCTGCCAGCCATGCGGCTGCTCCATACCCTCCTCGTAACGCTCAGCGTCTTCTCGCTCTACGTCTTCGCGCAGGCCGACTCGGACGCACCGAAGCAGAGGCACGCGTATCAGGTACGTCCGGGATGCACACTCGCTAGCGACCACGAGTCTGACCGTCAAACTAGAGTGACGTCGCCCGTCTCCGGAAGATCGTCATTAACAGGTGTGTACCGTGCTACACGTTTACCTCATAGGCTAACTAACGTATTTGTTTCGATAGTCTCTATTCGCATAGGTTCGTCTGGCACGCTATACATTGGGTATATGCGGGGAAGTTAACATCGCTGCAGAGATGTCTTCCTCCGTGAACTGATCTCCAACGCAAACGATGCCCTCGAGAAGCTCCGACTCACGTCCCTCACCGAACCGGAGGTTCTCTCTGGCGCGGAGAGCATGAACATTACCATTAAGGCGGAGAAGGAGGCGGATGGCACTGCGAAGATTATCATTAGGGGTATGTGCTATCTACTGGGCACAGGTACTTGGTGCTTAGGTGCATACAGACACTGGCATTGGTATGACCCCGGAGGAGCTCGCGAACAACCTCGTACGCATGCGCATGTCCCTTCCATCACCTCGTCTTAATAATTTGTGTGTCTCTTTAGGGTACTCTCGCCAAGTCTGGCACCTCCGAGTTCCTCTCGCGGGCCGAGAGTGATACCTCGAGCAACGGCAATTTGATCGGCGCTTTCGGTCTTGGTTTCTACAGCAGGTATGTTGTGTATCGCGTAAGTACAGGCAGGCACTGACCTTCTGCAGTTTCTTGGTAGCGGACCGCGTACAGGTAACCTCACGCGCGGCCAAATCCTCGAAGAACCCGAAGCCCCAGCAATACATCTTTAGCTCCGGCGCCGACGAGAACTCGTATGAGATCTACCCCGACCCTCGCGGCGAGACTCTCGGGCGCGGCACGGAGATCACCCTCTACCTCAAGCCCGACGCGCTAGAGTACGCTGACACGCACACGATCTCGGAACTGGTGTAGGTGCCTTTTCAGTCAGTTCAGATGTATCTCGGACGCTCACCCTATTGCAGTGCCAAGCACTCTTCCTTCTCGACGACGTTCCCCATCTACATGCACACCACGCGCACCGAGATGGTCGTCGACGAAGAGGCCGAAGCCGCCGCCGCCGCATCCGAGCTCGAAAAGCCCGCCCCCGCTTCATCCGATGACCCCAAGGAGGTCGACGAGGACGAAGCCGTCGTCGAGGACGTCAGCGAGGACGCGGAGCCCGCGGCGAAGCGCGAGCCCAAGATGAAGCCGGTCAGCGTCGAGGAGTGGCTGCAGCTGAACTCGCAGCCGCCGATCTGGATGCGCGACCCGAAGACGGTGACGGACGAGGAGTACGAGAGCTTCTACCAGGTCACGTTCAAGGACTACCAGAAGCCGCTCGCGTGGTACCACTTCTCAGGCGACTCGGGCTCGGGCGTGTCCTTCCGCTCGATCATCTACGTGCCGGCGCGCCTCGACGACAGCTACTGGCAGAACCCGCTGCAGAGCATCACGAAGGACATCCGACTGATGGTCAAGCGCGTGTTCATCACGTCCGACCTCGGCGAGGACGCGCTCCCGAAGTGGGCGAACTGGGTGAAGGTCGTCGTTGACGCGGAGGACCTGCCGCTGAACGTCTCGCGCGAGACGCTGCAGTCGACCGCGTTCCTCAAGCAGCTCAAGGGCATCATCCTCAAGCGCCTCCTGCAGCTGCTCTCGCGTGTGCAGACCGAGGACGCGGAGAAGTGGGAGAAGGTGCAGGAGACGTTCGGAAATGTGTTCAAGCTCGGCGCTGTCGAGGACCATAAGAACCGCGAGAAGCTGTCGACACTTGTGCGCTTCGCGACCAACCAGCGTAACAGCACATCGCTTGACGAGGTGCGTGGAGTGTCTTGCGTGTACGTGTGGGACATAGGCTGATAGCTCGTGCAGTACCTCGAGAACAAGAAGCAGGGCCAGAACCAGATCTTCTACCTTGCGGACATGGGCAAGAGCACTTCTGAGCTCGCGGGCAGTGTCTTCATTGAGAAGCTCCACGCGCGTGGCTATGAGGTCCTGCTCCTGGGTGACCCGCTCGATGAAGTTTTCATTACCAACATCCGCCGCTGGAAGAAGATCCCCTTCCAGGATGTTGCGAAAGCGGGCCTAAAGTTCGGTGACGAGGGTACGTGTCTCGATAGAGTATCCCGACTGCAAACTGATCATTACGTCCGCAGAAATGAGCCCTGAGGAAGAAAAGGAAGAGCAGGTCCGGCTTACTGAGAAGTTCAAGCCTTTGATCGAATGGCTTCGCAAGGAGGTCCGCGAGAAGGGCGCCGCCCGTGATGGTCAGTGCGCCATCCCTCTTCACATTCGTCCATAGCTGACCTCCCGAGCACAGTCGTCATCTCGAACCGCCTCGTCACCAGCTCCTGCGCAATCGTCGCCGACGAGAGCGGCTACACCGCCAACCTCGAGAAGCTCATCAGTACGTCCCACCCTCAGAATCTGTCACGCAGTCCGACCGACTAACTGTGCACTCTAGGCTCCTCGCACGCGCAGGCGAACCATAAGCACATGATGGACTTCGCGAAGAAGCAGAAGGTGCTCGAGATCAACCCGCGCTCGCCGCTCATCGAGGGCCTCCTCCGGCGCATCGAGCAGCTCCCCGCCGAGGACTCGGAGGAGGAGCGCGACACCGAGGCGGAGGACGAGCTCAAGGAGGTCGCGACCGTCCTCGTCGACGGCGCGCTCGTGCGCTCCGGGTTCGCCGTCACGGACTCGAACGAGTGAGTGCCCCTCCCCTTGCCCCCATCCAGATCGACTGACGCTGACGGGGGAATCAGCTTCTTCACGCGCGTGGACCGCATCCTGCGCCGCTCGCTCGGCGTGTCCGAGACCGCGCCAACGGACACGACCGTGAAGCCCGCGCCGCCCGTCGACCCGGAGCTGCCGCCGAACGCGGACGAGCCCGAGGTGGAGGAGTTCGCGGACGGGCGCGGGAAGGTCTCGTGGGAGGTCGAAGAGATCGACGAGTTCGGGAACGTCGTCAAGGACGTCCCCGTCGACATGAAGGCCCACGACGAGCTGTGAGGCTTTGCGAGGCGTGTCATGGCTTTGAAGGGGAGGCTCGAGCAGGTTTGCTTGGAGTGTGCTGGATGTATCAAAATTTGGCAGTAACTTATCGGAATGGAATTTTATTGGAAACAGGGCGGCGGACGATGGCTGGCTCTGTGCCCGATGGTACGGCTATGTACAGGTGAGAATTCGCGAGTGATTCAATGCTATCCTGCTGCGTTGACGATAGTCAGCGTGTTTTGCCTATGGTTCTCTTCTTCGAACGTCCCGCTCTATCACTGATAGCAGCACGCATGCGTTTGCAGGCTTCTCTCTCCAGAAATGATGACCCAGGAAGCGTTCAACAACGGTAGCGACCTTATGACACATAGCCCATCGATCCCCTTCCCCTCTAACGCGGTGAGCTTGGTCCTTATGAAACACAACTTCACGAATAGTAACGGACTCAAATGTCCAATAATCTGTGACGTGGGTACTGTAAACTGCTTATACGACGATAGAACGACGAGCCGACATGGCCCGAAGCGTCAACAAACACATGAAGAGGAGTGGCCAGGACGGCCTCGCCGTGTACAAAAAAACAGACAACGCATTTCGGTTTCCCCATCCGCGCGCCGACCCCGAGAGAGGCCGGACACGGGTAGGTACTTATCCCGAGGACCACGAAAAGGTATGCGCCAGGACCGAAGTCCCTCCCTCGGGGAAAGAAACACTCACCGTCCCACCTTCGCAATACGCACTACTTTCTTAAGGAGCTTCTGACCGCTTGCTTGCAGTACTCTGACGACGCTTGGAGCGGCCCTGCCCATCGGCAATTGGGAACATCGCTGACGCCAGGGGAGAGCCGCAGCTTGATGGCCCCTGCCTGTCGGCGTGGTGACTCATGGCGGGTAGTGGGGGAGGGGAGGGGGATGGAGGGGGGAACAGAGCGCGAATGGCGAAGAGACGCGTTCGAGCGTGGTACTTATCCCAAGGAGGCTGCCTGGAGGCTGACATCCGCTACACCTGCGATCTATTTGCATCCGCGCAAGAGAAACTCTGTGCGGTCAGCCTCAGCGGTGCACCGAATCTGGGCACGGCCATCGAGACCAAGCAACAACTTCTCCCTCGCGCCCAGTCTAAAGTACAACTCGATCAAAGCCCGTTGCAATTCGCTCGTCTTGTGCATCTGCAGGTACGGCGACTGCCCAGAGGTCGCTTGAAATCTACCACTAAATTACGCCTTGTAAGTACAGCATATTCCTGTGCGATGATTTCTGAACTTACCGCGCTGTAGCAGCTTCGTTACGACCTTCGTGCATCTCCATGCTTCTATGCCTTTGTTCCTCCCCGTCCTTTTGGCAGCGTCGTTGAGGTAAGCATACACTACATTCCTGATGTACGCTGACATAGACTCGAATGATGGCCTGCGCCGCATGCGATCCTCATGCTCACGGTGAGTTTGAGCCCTAAACTTGAATGCCACTGCAGGTACTCACGGCGTTCGATCAGAAGGTGACACGACACACGGCGCTCACCAAATTGACTTATCTTGCGGACAGAGTTACGAGAGGGTCTCCATAGGGGAAGCTCGGTTCAAGCGGCAAAATGACAAGTCAATTGGCTATTCTTTGGGATGGAGATGCAGGACGACCGGCTGCCGTATCCTAGCCAGGCAAGAAGCTGCACCGTGTGCGGCGGGTTGCACTTGTTCGGGTATGCTGAACTCGTCGCCGGACTCCCACCAGAGGCGTGTCTTCCGATTCAGCTCCGGTCGGGGAATGTGCAGCAAGTTGCGGACCATATGCTTTGCATCAACTGTGCAGACATCCCGCCGTGTTCGCCGTCAGAACACGCTGGAGGCGGTCTCTCATGGCGCCCATTGGCACCCACGTTACTCAGCAGTGAAGACCATGTTTTACCCCACGGTCGACTTGTGGGAGAAGGTCTGTGAGTTGAGATTTTGCCTCACCAGAAGCAGCGCTGAAGCCATTCTCTGAAGCGCGGGCGACAAGATGAATGTATGCCGCATTCGCTTTCCTTCAAGGTACCCGCTACAGCGCCGACGGTGTCTTCAAAGGTGCGTAGTACTTGGGCTCGACACCGAGTCTCTTCGAGTTACCTTGATCTCTTATCTCACAAGGAAGCATCATCTGCAGAAAGCTCGTGAATCTTTGAACATGATTAAATGCATTGCTCCGAGGTCCGGATCTTCTCCCCTGAGGATCTCCGGGAGTAACTTCTCCTGCGGCCAGAAGAGAAGACCCTCGAGTTACGGCGTGTTGGTCCTAGAACGACATTGTTCACCTCCAGCAGGGATCGCAGCGAGTCACCATTCTCACGACGCTGCAAACTGCCCGAGATGCTGGACGGACACCTTTTTCTACCTACAAGCAAGCAGCACCCCCAGATTGATGGTAGGGGTCCGGAGGGATATAAAGGCAGGTGCTTGCTCGTATCGCTAGCGTAACCCAAGCGAGCCGCACAGTCGCACCCACTCTACTTTATCACTCCTCCTTCGCATTGGCAATGGGACTAGTGAATTCATCGCGCCCAGCCAGTGATGCGGTCCTAGATGTCATGGTGTCGTCGACCACCACCTTCTCAACTCCCCTAGCGTTGTGAGTATCCATTGCGTGCCATGACCGTTCCTCGTGTTAACTAGGTTACGGTGATCCCTCGAAGACACAAAACGGAGGAAAACATCAGCTGTCCGGTGCTTACCCATTCATCGCAATCTTATCTATTTCCTCTGCTCATGAGCCTCCCTAAGATACTCGTCATACAAGAGACTATCCGTGATCTCCTCCACCGCTGCGCATACCGGTCTCCCAAGAGTGAAACGGATCACGCGCTTCGCCGCGAGCTTGCGGAGGAGGTAGCCAAATGGGACACAGATCTCCCGCCGGCTGCCATCGGCAAGTTGGTCCACGCAAGCTGCAGCGTGGTAGAGACCATGTATGGACACACGCCCGCAGCGCACAGGGGCTACATTGGACTCTATACTGCCTGTATAATCTACGCGGACGACGTCGGCGAGCAGGACCCAGACGCGCTCAAGCTGTTCACGCAGCGCTTCGCTCGGTCGGAGCCGCAGCCCAACGCGGTGTTCGAGTGCCTAGCGGGCCTGCTCCGACAGGCGTACGACCTGTGGCCGCAGTTCGGCGCGGACTGCATCATCTCGGGCACGCTCGACGCGATTTCGGCGAACTACATCGAGTGCACGACGCACGAGATGAGGGCCAAGCCGCTCGCGACGTGCTATCCCACGTACCTGCGTCAGCGGGCGAGTTTCGGGCCCGCGTTCACGAGCTTCATGTTCCCGAACACCTGGCGGGCAACCCCCGAGTCGTACATCCAAATTTTACCGTGAGTCCTATATTGCTTGGTGACGCGCTGTAGCTGAATGCGAGCTATTCTGGTTTTAGTGACATAGAATCCTGGACGCTCGGCGTAAAGTGCGTGTCGTTTTCCTGCCGTGTGTACCTTGGATGCTGATTGTAGAGTGCTCCGTATCAGTGACATGTAAGCAATCCCTGTGCGCAATCATTCAGCTACTGATCCAACGCCCGTAGTCTGTCGTTTTACAAGGAAGAGCTCGCTGGGGAAGACAACAACTACATTCACCTCCGCGCGGCGGCTGAGCAGGTCCCCACCGACAAAGTGCTCCGCAATCTGGTTGAGGAAGTCTCAAACACCACCTTACGCGTGGGAAAGGTCGTGGCGGACGATGCGGAGCTGTCTAAGATGTGGTCGAGATATATGCTGGTGCGTCCGACATAATTGGCCCGCTTTCAATAACTTATAAACACTCGGGCGACAGTGCTCCTTGGAGTTCCATCTCAAGACGCGGCGTTACCGCCTCGATGAACTTGGATTCACAGCGTGATAGCGAGGTCTCGCGAAGGTGAAGAAAGTGAAGCTGGAGACCATAGAGCGTGAACATCTTTAATTGTGGCATCACTATTTGTACCGTGTACCAGACTGTTGTATCTCAACTATAGACGTTGCGTGTCATTTTTTGTGCTCGCTCTTATCAAGGGTTTACTTGCGAAGGAACCTGACAGGTCTGTGCTGGACTTGACCGTGGTATGTATGGGGGCTGCGCGATGAATCAAAAACGCCCACGAGCAGCATTACAAGGGCCGGGTCAGGAACGCACAAGGTAGCATGTACGGCACGGGAACTAGAATACAGTCTTCTTCCCCTGGCTGGGAACGATCGCGACATCCTCGCGTTTTGCCAAAGCAAGCGCAGCACCGGGCCTCGTCCGTGGACGCGGGCCCTTTCCCCCTCTGCCGCCCCTCCCGCCCCTCCCTGCGCCGTCCCCTCTCCGTCCGCGGTCGCCCCCCTCCTCTGCATCCTCGAAGCGCTGCCTTTTCGCAGGCGAGCCGGTGTCCTCGCCCTCGGCGGCATCGGCGGCGGCGCGGGCGCGCTTCCCTGTGTACTGCTCCTTTCTCTCCGGGCGCGGCCCGGCGCCACCTCGACGGACGGCCTCGGGCGAGGCGTACTCGACAACGAGCTTGCGGCCGTCGAGCTGGTGATTGCGCGGGTTCGTGAGCGCAACGGTGGCGTGCTCTGCGGTCGTGAAGTCCACGAATGCCCAGCTGATGGAAATGCGGAGCGTCAGCGGCTGTGTCTGCGAAAACAGGTCGAGAAGAACAGCGAGTAGCCGGGCGAGAACCACGGGAGACGCAGTACGCTGGACCATACCTCGCCCGGTCGCGCCATTGAATGCGCATCGAGAAGCGGAGACGAACGTAAATAAGGACGTACCCTTTACACTTTCCGGTGTCTTCGAACGTGCCCATGCGAATCTTCCTGATCCACTTGTCAGCGGCGTCGCCTTCCGCGGCGGCTTCGACGGTGGGTTTAGGCCGGTGCGAGTCCAGAAGTGCACGGATAGACTTGTCCGTCGTCTCGAACCCGAGGTTGCCGAAGAAGAGCGTGGGGCCCGGGGGCTGCTTTTGCACGCGCAGGATCTTCTGCCCGGTTTTTGAGATGCCTGCGACTGTGGGGGCGCCGGCCTCTGCACCGTCTGCGCCTGGGGCTGCTGCTACAGGAGCGGGTCGACCCTTGAAGTCATCGCCTGAGAGCAGTCAAAGATACATGTGTATTTCATGATATGTACAGACTTCCGGGGCGACATACCGTCCTTGATGAGCAGACGCCGTCCGTCCAAGTTGTTTTCTGACATCGTGATCGCCACCGTTTTCGCGTCGGGCGTCGCAAAATCCACATACGCAAAACTGAGGAGCAAAGAAGATATATTGGTACGCTGCGGTGATAGAAATAAAAGACAGCCGTGCAGCAGGACTAACCCGCGGTTCTCCTGCCTCGGACGCCTATCCTGCGGTCCGCCCGTGACCATCTTCATGGGCATATGTATTCGCGTGATCTCCCCTACGCCCTCGAAGAAGTTTCGGAGCGCCGCAGCGTCGGTCTTGAACGCGAGGTTGCCAATCCATACCGAGTTCTGCCGTTTGGGCACCTTCGAGGGAGGCAGGTCGGCCGAGTTCTTCACCTTCTTCTTGTCTGAGCCTTCCGCAGAGACTCCGCCCGCCTTAGCCTCGTCCTTCTTCTTCTGCCTGCGCTTTTCAGCATGCGAGAGCACGGGAGTGTCGCTGGTCTCGCCGGCGTCGGACTCCTCGCCTGAGCCGTCTGAGTTCTCCTCGTTGTCCGAGTCATCGCTGTCCGCATCATCAGACACGCGCGCCCGTTTTGGAGGAGGTGGGGACGAGGACGAGGCCCGTTCCGAGTCCGAGGAGCTGCCAGAGGTGGAGGAGGACATGGAGGCAGAAATTATGTGCGTGAGATCTCGATCGGGCGCGCCTACCCTTGGTTAGATCGTAGCCGGTGGCGGTAAACGCCCGTCACAAACATCGCAAACTCCCGGTCCTAGGTTGGCGCTCGACCACATCGACGTTCCGCGGACTCGGATGCGGCAAAGGCACCCTGGCTGCTTGCATTTACACGACGACTACCTGTAGGACCTACTGTTGCTATTATTACCTCTCTTTTGTGCCGTCGTGCCTATACCGCCCCGTTGCTCCGATGTGCTAGTGCCATGCATCCACCAGCTGGCAGGAGCGCTTTCTTCCAGACTGACCCCGGGCTATCTTTGTCTATGAGGCACGCAACCATGCCCCACATATTACGGTCCCTACGATGGCCCCGGCCTACCAGGTGAGTGCCCTGATCAATACGCACATCCAAAGCTCTGGAGGACCGACGACGGGAGAACGATGGGGTGCCCGCCACAGCAAACAATCTGATAAGATTAAAAACCTCTGGAGACGGGCGAGATGTGATCCCGCTTAACTTCCGTACCGCATCTAATCAGATAGTTCGCTCTCGCCCTTCCTCACCACCGCTCCGAGTCCTGCAATGTTTCAGACTGGCAGCGACCATACGGTACGCCGTGCGGGCATTTCATTCCGTTTCGGCTCGAGTCATAGACTTTAATGTGCATGCACTCGCCATGCGTTTTCCAACTTCTCAGCGCGATTTGTACGAGCCACGATGTTCGGCCGTTCCGCGCATAAATGGCTGGAACTGGCCATGGAAAGAACATGTACTTGCTCAAGGACATACCGTGCGGAATATTCACGCCATCGCGAAGACCCCGTTGGCTTCCCAAAGATACCTGGTTAGTCTCGTTTCTATCCTTAGGTCGTTACGGCCGCTTTTGATGTATCCCCGAGCCGTTTCCGGGCTACGCACATGGCTCATCGTTACGCATTGAAAAGTGGTCAACAACGTGAGCTCTGGTAAGACATGCTTACTCTGCCTCTGGGTATCTTGCAGTATCCTTGGATAGATCCGTATGTTCTCCGTGAATGTGTATGAGCACATGCAATGAATGGCATGCTCGTGGATCTGTGCCGAGACGAACGGGATCCGCGCAAGATTCCGAAGCTCTAGTGGATTTTACGTACGTTTGTAGCACGCGAAGCTCCACACCCTTGTGATAACGTCCACTGGTTTCATAGCTTCGACGCCCGTATGCACCATGTGTATGCATGAGGCATTCTGACAAGTTTACATCACTCGTACTTCGCGCGCACGACTCACCAGAGGAGTAGGTTCGGAGCAAGCCCTGGAGCACGAAAATTCCCGTCGGAGTAAGGCGGCTTGATCCGAACCTACCAGAGGAGTGCGTCGCTCGGCGCTGCCCTGGTGGTCGGCTCTACATGACCTTGTTGGGAATACGGAAGGTCTCCAGCCTCCCGGTTCCGACCACGGTCGCGACGCAGCGACGGTCCACGGACTCGAGAGGAATGACGTCTGGTGCGAGAGAGATAAGATAATCTAGCGAGGCTCAGGAACGATAAGGAGAGGAGTGGCGCGATGATCGTGCGCAGCAACAGGCCGCATCTAATCAGATAAACGCATTCCTGGCTTTTCTCCGAGTCCGATCGCCAAGGACTCGTTTGCCGCCGGAGATCGTGCGCGCGGGTTCGGCGTTTGCGACTCCTCCTTCTACCCCGCCCCCTGTCCAGGTCTCTCGCAGTCTCGTCTCTCATCCTCTTACAATTTATTTGCACCAAGAAAAATTCCGCTGCACACTCGTATGGCTACATCAGGCAATACCGACGCGGCGGGCATACAGCCACCCGCCCTCCCGCCATCATGAGCTCCCTTGAAGGTCAGGTCTCTAGCGCGTTCGCTACCTCTACCATTGCCTCCTCCGCCAGCACCATTATCAACGCAGCAAGCTCTTCCAGCGCGGCCAAGAGCAGTGGCGCTGCCACGACCGTCAGGCACAAGCAGGTGCGTTCATACTTGGGCTTCATGAAGACACTTGGCGCTGAGCATTCGGCCCCCGGCTTGCGTACTTATAGGCAAACGTTGAGCACGTCTGGTACGGCATTCTGGCTCTACTCGGTCTGGCAACCCTCGTCAATGCATCCTACATTGTCTGGTCGATATTCTTCCGCTACCGCGCTCGCCATGTACGCTCTACAACGCCCGCTCGACCCTCCGGGAGGGTAGCTCTTCGGCGACTTCCTCAGGCAGCCTTGTCTCTGCTGCGCATAGTCAGCTTCCGGATGCGGGTTCCTTTCGTCGACATGACGCTCCTGGAGTTGCTGTTGGCGATTGTGTACGTCGGTGGATGTTTGGCATGGTCCTTTGTACCCAGTGAGTACTCATCCTCTACTCAAACGATGTTTCCGTTTAATTTGTTTGTAACTTGAATAGGAGACAACATCTTGCCTAGGGTCAACCTCGAGCCGGCGACTTGGGGCGGGAACTCTGGAAAGCTCGCTGCGGGTCAGCTACCTCTTGCAGTCGTACTTGCATTGAAGAACAACCCCATTACATGTGAGTACTCGCACGATGTCTACGAAATTGCTACTTACTCGTTCGCAGGGTTGACGGGCATCGGACACGAAAGGGTAGCTATCCGCTCTCAAAGCATAACAAAACATCCGCTAATTGCTTTGTAGCTTGTCCCAGTTCACCGCATGGTCTCGAGATGCATCTTCGTACTCGTATGGCTGCATCTGGTTGGAGTGTACGTGAAACTCGTTTTCTCACGTGATAGTCCTTCGGCTCACCCCGCATCGACTATTTTAGATATCTCCGGTCGTGAGTATGCAAACCCGCTCTCTCAAAGCATTTCCTGACCTAGCATGCGTGTAGGCCTGCACAATTCATCAACGAAGGCTGGAAGGTCGCAGGACTAGTAGGTGCCGTGGCGCAAACCATCACCACAATATTCGGCATCAAGCAAATACGCCGTCGTTATTACGAAGTATTCTACTCAAGCCACGTCGTTCTCATCCTGTGAGTTGCGTTCGCACTACCCGATTTGTTGGTGCTGACGCATTCGCGGCAGCGTATTCCTGATTGCCGTACACATTCACTGCATCCCTGTGAAGTTTGACATGTACATGTGGGCGGTTTGGGCGATATGGGGTTTCGACAGGCTGGTACGCGCTAGTCGCTACATCCTCTTCAACCTGCTGCTCCCTTGCACGAGGCCCAAGGCGCTTGTCGAGTGCATAAGGGCGAAGGGTCTGCGTGTAACGCTGAAGCGTAAAATCCCCGGCGGTTGGAAGGCTGGACAGCACGCTTTCCTCGCGTTCCCCAAGTTGGGGATCGAGTCGCACCCGTTCACCATCCTCAGCGTCTACGACAAGGACCAAGCTAGCGGAGAGGCCGAGATGGTGTTCATCATCCGTGCGATGGGCGGCCAAACGAGCACTCTTTTGGACCTTGCAATGCCAACCGGACACTGCGAGCTGACGGCGCTGGTGGATGGACCGTACGGCCACCCGGAGGACATCCGGCCGTTTTCGACGTGCGTCTTCATCGCAGGTACGTCGGATATATTGCACCGAGGAGGTCATTTCTCAATGTTGTTTAGGAGGCACCGGTGTCACGTATACCATGGCCCGCATGCATCAGCTCTTCAGGTACGTCGGAGACGTTAGTGTGGCTTTATGGCGGCTAATCCTATTTGCGCAGGGACGTCCTGGCGTCGAACGCTTGCACCAAACGCGTGGTCTTTGTCTGGGCCGTACGTACCGAAGGTACGTCTCCACCCCGATATATTTTCGTCGTATACGTTCCTTACGCCCTGGGGCATCTAGCCGAGTCTCAGTGGATTCTGGCCGATCTCGCGAAGATCACCGCCCTCACGCCCCAATCCCTCTCAGTGTCTGTTGCGGTATTTGTCACTGGCGCTGGCAGTAATCGCGCGACCGCCTACCTTCCGACGCTCGGGAAGGACTGCGACCTTGGGAAGGCGCTGGCTCTGTCAACGCTCGCCCGCTCCGACTGTCGCTCGCCGACCTCATCCCGCGTCGAAAAAGAAGACGCTCGTTGCGACGAGAAGACCGACGAGGGGTCCTCGGGCTCGCAGGGGTCTGGGACGTGCACTCCGACGAACACGGACACAGACTACTTTGGTTCGGGCGCGTCCACGCCGACGTTCACCGCATGCGCCGACGCTGCTCTCCCTCTCTCTCGCGGAGGCATCACACGCAGGTCCGGCAGGCCTGACGTACGGAAGATTCTGGAGGAAGAAATCACTGCTTCTACGGGTGCGGTTGCAGTGGATGGTGAGCAACGCTTCCTCGTCGCGTTGGTCGTCCTGGATTGCTAACGGGCGTTGCGTAGTATCTGGCCCGGACGGGCTCGTGAACGCTGTGCGTTCCGCGCTCTGCCAGCCCTTTACCGGACCGGCGGTGACGCTGAGGGGCACCCCCACCGTCATGCTCAGCGTCGAGCAGTTCCGGATGTAATTCCGTCGGCGCATATGTGCGGCAGACAAGGCACACGCTTGAAGCGTGTAGAGCCCGGAGACCGGTTTTCCCATATCGTACGCCCTTCCTAATACTCGTCCTGTATCGCTACCATTATTAGAGGGCCATCCCACAGCTGTATCGAGTAGCACCTTGTATCAATCTAGAGCTTACACTGTATCCATTGATTATCCCCCGCACGCGCCGGATGCTTTCGTACGTGACCACGCCTAATTGACAGTGCTCTTGTGGCGATCTCACCGGAACCACCCAGGCGGCGCGCATGGCGGTGCACCCCAAACGGCGTGCGGGAGAACCCACCCGAAGTGACACCGCAGTACCTTGCGAAAGGCGGGAGCACTTTCAGCCGTGTTGGAGGGCTTCCATACAGGTACACCCAGATCTCGAGATTAGCGGAAAACTGGCTTCATTCACTGAATGCGGTTGGTTCCAGGAAGCGTCTACTGAACGCATGTATCACTGGGGGAAGACAGTCGGCATCTGGTTGCCCCCCGCCGCCCTGGGGTGCACCTGGTCCCGTCTAGACGGGCGCACCGGGTGGCGCCTTGTGCAGGGAGTGCGGGGGTGTCATGCTGGCGCGATGCGCTCCGTGGGGCATGGTGCACCCGAGGCCGCACCGCGTGGTACCACCGAGACTAAGCGAGTCGAGCGTCGGGCCCTGTCGTGATGCTGTAAAGTGCGTCCCCGGCCGTCGTAGGTCACACACTGAAACACAGAATATCCGTTCTCTCACCCGAGGCCCACCGCCATTACTGCGAGACGCTTCGCGCATCGCTGCAGGCCGTGGGCGCGGCCGCTGCGAATGAGGTGCTGCGGATGTGCTCTTGACTTCGGTACCGACGTCCAATTGCGCCACAGCCAACTTCCTCCACTAGGAACGGTCAGCGCGCGGGTGCAGAACGAATAAGCAGACGTGCGGTGGAGCGACGGGCATCGGGCACTCAGTCTGCGTACGCGTCGAGACCATCACTACGCCGACGTCGATTTGCTCCTTGGCGGGACGGCAAGGCACGCCGACCGTCGGGGACGCGCCCGGAGGTCCGCATGCCCCAGAGACGCTTCTCGCGCACTACGTCCTCGACCCTACTCACCGGTACTGGGGCCAGCGCTCCAGATGGCTCCGCGCGCGCAGCCGGGGTTCGGAGAGGGCGTTGTCTCAACGCGGCCGACCCGGCGCGGTAGCGGACACGTTCGGACGCTGTGCGCACCCGAGGCAGACTCGAGGGTGGCCATACGGGTGGTAAATTGGCCAGAAATAATGGCGAGCCTCTGTTCTGGGACGGAGCATATGCTGCGGGAGGAGGGATGCGGGCGGAAGACGAACTCGGCGAACTAGAGCGCCTTCCTTTTGGAAGTCTGTCGCGCGCATTGATGGGACGCTCATCTTATCAGATAAAACGAGGGTGATCCCGATCAAGCGCCGACGACAAGTTCATGCGGTTCGATCCTCCGGAAGCTCCACCGCCCCCGCCTCGACGTCCGCGACTCTTCCCATTATTTTTCTCCCGGCGAATATACAGCGGGGTGCCTGCGAAATGCGTACAAATATGGACGGCGTTGTGGCCGTGGTTCTGTGCACGCCGCCCCCTCCCCGACGCCAATACGCCCCGACATGAGCAACTTCGCCGTTCCTCAGGCTACGCCTCATGCCTCTTCGAGCAGCCTAGCCGATGTCGTAGCTGCCATACCGTCCTTCACGGCCACGCCTCTCTTGCGTCCACTGACCACGTACACGTACACCGAGGATGGTGTGGTAGAAACCTACGTCTACATCCGCCATAAGGACGTAGGTCACGCATCCCATCCTCTTTGCAAATAGCTACTCATCTATGCTTTATAGCCAATCCCCGAGAATGCGTACTGGGGCGTCTTTGCGCTGATGGGTCTGGCGACCGTCATCAACATTGGTTTCATTGCATGGGCGACGTACCGCCGATATCAGGTCCGCTGGAAGAAGGACATTCCTGCGTCCCCGCGGCCCTCCGGTCGACTCTCAATCCGCCGTCTTCCGCATGCCATTTTGTCGGCGTCTCGTATCTGGGGCTTCCGGCTGCGTATCCCTTATGTCGAGATGACCCTGGTCGAGTTTGCCCTCAGTATGATGTACCTAACTGGATGCCTGGCCTTCACGTACGCCCCCAGTAAGCCAACTCGCTCGACGACGTCGTTCGCGCCTAACAATCATGACAGCCGATTCTGAGAAGCCCGCCGTCCACCTCCTACCAAATTACTGGGGTGCTAAGGCCGGTCTGCTCGGCGCTGCGCAGATGCCATTGGCCGTTTTCCTCGCGCTGAAGAACAACCCTGTCACTTGTAAGCTGATGTTGACCGTTTGTTCATTCACTCGTCTCAATCAATCATACAGGGCTCACAGGACTGGGGCATGAGAAGGTAGCCGCTTATAGTCGTTCGTGGCCGTTTCCACCGCTAACATGCCGGGCAGCTCATTTTGATGCATCGCGTTGTCTCCCGATGCATCTTCGTCCTGACATGGCTTCACTTCGTCGGCGAGTACTACCGATCGTGAGTAAGAGTGCTATCAATTTCTACGGCCTCCTGACATCACAACCAGACCCGAGCTTCTCATGGACGAAGGTTGGAAAGTGGCCGGCATGGTCGGAGCCGTCGCACAGACCGTGACCACCATCTTCGGCATCAAGCAGATCCGCCACGCCTATTACGAGATCTTCTATTCATCTCACGTTGTACTCATCCTGTGAGCAGCCCTAGCCTCTCTTTTCCTCTCGTCCATGTCCTAATCCATACTGGCAGGACGTTCATCATAACGATGCACATCCACTGCATCCCCATGGAGTGCGCGTACTACATCTGGCCCTGCTACGTCATCTGGGGCTTCGACCGCCTCTTCCGCGGCTCGCGCTACGTCCTCTTCAACCTCATCCTGCGCCCGAAGAACCGCAAGGCGCTCATCGAGGACATCGGCTCGGACGGCCTCCGCGTCACCCTCAAGCGCCGCATCCCCGGCGGCTGGAAGGCCGGCCAGCACGTCTTCCTTGCGTTCCCCGGGCTCGGCATCGAGTCGCACCCCTTCACGATCGGCAACATATATGAGAAGGAGGAGGGCGGCGACGAGGCGGAGATGCTGTTCATCATCCGCGCGATGGGCGGTCAGACGCGCATGCTCATGAACCGCGCGATGCCTACGGGGTCGTGCGAGCTGAATGCGCTCTTCGACGGGCCGTATGGCCACCCCGAGGATATCCGCGCGTTCACGACGTGTATCTTTATCGCGGGCGGCACAGGTGTTACATATACTGTTGCACGCATGCACCAGCTGTTCAAGTACGTCTGTCTCGGTCTGGCCTTTTTCCGAAACTCACCCCGCAATCTAGGGACATACACGCGTCGAACGCTCGTGCGAAACGCGTCGTCTTCGTATGGGCCGTCCGCACCGAGGGTGAGTCCCACTCAACGTACCAACGCACTATTATTCATCCAACCACAATTTACAGTCGAGTACAACTGGGTCGCCGCCGACATCGCCAAAGTCGTCGCCCTCGTCCCCTCCTCCGTCTCCCTCCTCGTCGACATCTACCTCACCGGCGGCGCGCGCAAGGACCCTGCCCTCGCCGCGCTCCCGCAGCTCGAGAAGGCCTTCGACGTCGAGAAGGACACGATCCTCACCGCCTCCGCCTCCGCGACGCCCACACGCACCCGCTCCAACACGTCCAGCGACGAGAACGAGAAGGCGGACGCGTCGGGCGCGTCGACGCCCACGAAGCCCGCGCCCGCGTACTTCGCGTCGGGGGCGAACACCCCCACGACCGCCGTCGATGGCGTGTTCGCGTTCCACCGCCCGGGCATCGCGCGCAAGGACGGCCGCCCGGACATGCGGCGCATCCTCGAGGAGGAGATCACCGTGTCCGAGGGCGCGGTCGCGGTAGATGGTCGGTCCCTGCAGTACTTTTCTTGGCGAGGTGTTCGGTAGTGCTGATGTCGCTTTTTGCTCCGCAGTCTCTGGCCCCGACGGGCTCGTCAACTCCGTGCGCTCCGCGCTCTCGCAGCCGTTCACCGGGCCTATCGCGACGATGCGCGGCACGCCCACGGTGCTGCTCAGCGCGGAGCAGTTCCGGATGTGATCACCGTCTGCCGCTAGGGTATGGCGTGATCGCTTTCTTTGTTTCTTCTTCTTATGACTCGGATGACTCGGAGTGCGCCGACGTGCCGGACACGACACGATACTTACAAAAGGCTTTTGGCTGGAATATGTGCATGCGGATGTGCGACATGACTTACGATGGAGAGATACGATAGTACGCCGAAGACGTGCGACTCGGACCAACGATGCTGTATCATAGAACAGTACTGTGTGCGGGCTAGATAGAGCCCTTATAGAATGTTTTCCATATCACGACTGTCTTTGTTCTTCGTCGCCGTGCGAGCTCCTGGACGTCTGATTTGACTGACATTGAGGTGCTGCGGTTGCCGCGACGTCGGGGGCCTGCTCTGGGTTAGCCTTGCGATAGGACGCGAACTACGATACTACTCAACGCCATGCCGAATCGAGCACATCTCAGAACCCTGACACAGCCACTTGAAGGAGCGGCCTCGGGAGAAGAGCGATTCACGGCGGGCCCTGAGCTGCTTCGCAGATCTAGACGCCGCTAGCTCGGTCCAATCGCGCCTGCTTATGAGGTCATGGTAAGGCCAATGATACTGCCTGGATGCAGTGAGCATTCCAAATTTTGCAGGTAGCGCAACAAAACGCACACTGAAAGGCGTTGCAAAGCTGTGGGAATGGCCAATGAGATTCACCAGTTTGTCAAAAACTGAGCGAGTTCGCCTACTGAAGCATGTCGCAGGCCTTGCGTTTCAAAGAATGTGAAAACCCTTTAATTATCACCATGTTTCCTCGCGGGTGTTCAGACGTCTGATGAATGCGAACAACAAAGTGTCCATAAGTTCAGAGTAAATATGAAGGGATCCCACGTCGGCCCGACTAGGAGTGTACTAAGATACATGTATGCAATAGGGAGCGTGGGAGGAGGTGGTGGTATGCGTAGATGATACAGTCGTCATGTCGTGCCCAAAAGGAATCCAATCGCGGCCCGGGGTACGATTATGTCGAGGGCGCGGGTGCGGGTGCCTGCGTGCGCGCAAGCTCGCGGAACTGGGCGTTCTCGCGCTCCTCCTTCTCCTGCTCGGCGAGGATGTTCGCCCACGAGTGGTCGACGGAGCGGTTGTCGTGCGACGCCTGGCGCGAGCTCTGCGTGAGCACGCCGGCGGCGATGAGGACGCCGATCGTGAGGCCCTGCGCCCACATACGCGCCTGCACGACCTTTTGCGGGGTGCTCTGGTAACTGTAGAAGGGTACCGGTCAGCCCCTACCCATGCATAGTGCGAAGTGTGCAAAGAGTACGTACCGATCGCGCATGACGATCACCCCAGCGACGGCCATGGACGCCGCCCACGACCCAACGATGATTTTGTACTGGTTGCGCAGCGCCCACTCCTTTATCTTCGTCCGCGCGTCCATCGTCTCCCAGCGGCTCTGCTCGACGCGCTCCTCGCGGTCGAGCTCGGCCTTGCCGGCGCCCGTCCAGGTGGACTTGTCGAACTCGACGCCGCGGCGCTCGGCCTGGATGGCGTAGCACGGGGCGACGACGAAGATGACGCCGAGCGCCTTGAGGTGCGGGGGAAGGGCGCGGTAGTAGCGCCAGTTGCGCTGCATGTAGAAGGAGGCGGGGAGGGAGAGGACGAGGCCGCCGAGCACGCCCTCGATGGCGCCGCGGACAGTCGCGGCGTGGTGGCCGGCGAGCTCTTCCTCGGTGGCGAACTGGAGAACAATCGATGAGCTGCGTGGAAGCAAACATAGCCGAGTTAACGTACCTTCATGCTTCTGAGTGGCAGGAAAGTCTAATGTCTATTCCGTGAGGTCTCTAGCAGACTAGTGGTTGCAGGGGAGTCTCGGGGTTGCTGGACACTCGCAGACGGGAGTGGGTGCAGAGGAGATGAGTGGAGGAACGAGGCGGAGCGGTGAGAGGATATATAGGGCCTGGAGGGAGAGTTCGAAGGCTGGGTCGGGCAGCGGAACGTCCGGGGCGGATGGCGGAGAGGACCGGAGGCGGCGAAATGAGGGCTCGGGAGGGACAAGCACCGCGCGCACCGGAGCCAGCCTGCGCGTAATTGCAAGCGCTGCTCGCGTTGCTCAGCAGCGTCCACATCCCGTGCTCCCCTTCCCACCCACGCCTAGACCGTCGTCCACCACTCTCGCCGCCTCCCGCCCCTGCATGCCGAGCGATCATCTGCCCCTTCCGATTGGCTCCCTGGCTCCGATGCCTATATTCGGATGATAGACGCCCGCTTCCGCGACTGCGTTGTGGGCGCCTGATGCCACACTGGCTGCTGCTAACGCCAGTGCATCGCGCAGTAGCAGAATGGCAGCCAGGATGCTCTCCTCCCTCGTCCCCTCGCCCTCCCTCGACCTCTCCTCGCCCACAAAGAACAGGCCAAATAAACAGAAGACGCGTACGCTCTCCAATGGAACACTTCTAAACACCGACCCAAGCCCTGCACTCACGCGCACTGCCGTCTCGCTCGAATATGCCTCCCTGCGCCACACCGGACACTGCCCATTAGGCATGTATGTAACCCCGTCCCCCGACAACCTCATGGTCTGGGACGCTGTCTTCTTCGTCCATCAGGGTGCGTGCTGTGCCGTGCCCAGAGCCATCTATCTGTCTGTCTGCTCACGCTCTAGGCCCGCAGGATACTACACCGACTCCATCTTAAAGTTCAGGCTCACATTCCCGCCTGACTACCCGGAGCGCCCGCCGACCGTGCAGTTCCTCACCGACGTCTTCCACCCGCTCATCTCGCAGCAGGACGGCACGTTCAACCTCGCGCCACGCTTCCGCCCGTGGAGGCCGAAGGAGCACCATGTCTTCGACGTGCTGCACTGGGTGAAGGCCGCGTTCAAGAAGCACGCGCTTGACGACATCAAGGACTCGGACTGCTTCAACAAGGAGGCATACAGGCTGTGAGTAACCAACGTCGCTCTGACTTTCGCCCGTCCACCATTCCCCCGGCGATCGTACACTTACACACCGCAAACCCCACCCCCGCACCCGTTGGCCATAACTTACGCCCACCCTCCGCAGATACCACGACACCACATCCTCCTTCGCCGCGCTCGCGACGCAGTCCTCCATGCTCTCCCAGTCCGCGTCCGCCCTCTTCGACCGAGACCACCCGTCCATGGCCGGCAAGGGCACGCACAGCATGCAGTTCCGCGAGCTCCGCGCCGAGCAGCTCGCCTCCCTCCGCGCAAAGCTCGGCCTGCACGACTGGGAGGACGTCGTGCCCGAGGCGTGAATATTTGAATGTTGGGGAGTGTGGAGGTAGATACCCGTTTTGTGTGCGTCGATTTCTCCGCTGGGTGTGCGCTTGCTGACCTGTGTGGGTCCCGCAGATGTACGGCACATCTGTATACGCACTCGTTGGACTCGGCTGTGGGCGTTGTGTTTTGCCTGGGAGGCATGTCAGATAGGTGGTTGGAACTTGATCCTCAGCCGATCTCTCTGTCCCTCGCAAGATTAAAGTTCGCCGCGAACGGGGACGAGCCCGGGGCTAAGCAGTGCAGCTGTTATACATGTCAATTTGACGTGCAGCTCCTTTTGAAAGGTCAGTAACGCGCTGACTGTAGTCCCAGATGAAATTCCAGAACTGAACCTCGATCGGTCCGTTCAAGTTTTATGAGCGCGAATGTAAGAGCAGGCAACCACGCATCCATCCGAAGCACCGCCGTGGTATACTAGCATTAGATATTGTACGTTCTACTCTACGCATATCTACTCTCGGGGCCTAGCCCGTCACTGATGTTTGCTAGGTCATGTAAGCGCGTGTATGGTGAGCTCGAAGGCACTATACGGGGGTATAATGATACGAGGTATACTGTCGTCTTTGGGCTCTCTACCGAGCCGCATGGCTGTGCGCAGGCGATTTACAGGACATCGCAGGGATGCACCAGCGCATCCCGGCGCACCGCGGGTCTATGGAGTGGCTTGCGAGGATCGGAACCGGGGCCGACGCCTGCGCCGGCGTGGCCTCGAGCCCGGGAGGCGGCAGGACGAACGACGGCGTCGCAGCGGACTGCCGGTCGTCCGCGGCCCCGAGTCAGGGATCGTCTAGCGGTGCGGTGGACGCTACCGGGGCCTGCAGCGCGTCGATCGTCTCGTACGGGGTGTCCGGGCCTGTGTCATCGTCCTACATTCCGACAATGTCAGCTCGACACGTACGTATATACCGGTAGGAGAGTGTACGCACGTCCGAGACACGCCCGAAGTGCTTGGAAAGCCGTTCGATGACGAGGCTGTAGGGTAGGTGCTGCGTGAGCTTCCTGCGCGGCTGCACGTTGAGCGAGTGGCGCGCGTCGAGCGCGGAGTCGAGCACGTTGGACGAGTGTGCGCCTTCGCTGAGCGAGAGCTTGATCGAGTACTCCTTGTCCGACTTGCCGCGCCCATGGTTACGCTCGTACAGCTCGAACCTATGCGAATGGTCAGTCAGCCACATACATGCCATGACGTCACACATGTGCACTCACGTTATGTGCGCCTGTAGTGGTTCGCACGCAGAAGAGCAATATCGGCGGTCAGCGGGGAAAATATAGGAACGTAGCGCTACTCACGCAGTAGTCGAGCTCCGGGATGCGCCGATTCGCGATAGGCACGCCGGAGAGCAGGACAAGGTTCACGAGCGTGTGGATGTGGCTCTCCTTCGTGAAGTAGAGCGTGAGCCCGCACTCCTCGTTGTTCCGCGCCCGCTCGAGGTCGCCCACAACGTTGCGCAGAAGCGGCAGTGAGGTCAGCACGCCGATTTCCTCCCTGGTTACTGTCAGCAGTAGGTACGCGTCGGCAGTAGAGCGGGTACGCACTTCTCTTCGGGCTCGATGCCGTACTCCTGCGGCGCGACGAGGTCGAAGAGCGCCTTCGCACGGCCATACAGCTCGTGCAGGCGGCGGTCCTGGCCCTGCTGCTCGACACCCTCGCCGTGCTCGCTGAAGATCGAGAACAAGAACGTGCGGTGGTGCAACGCACAGTACTTGATCGTGTCGTACAGCTCCGACACCCGTGACGGGTCGAACTTTTCCTGCTTGACGTCGCAAAAGTCCTCGAAGAGCTTCTCCCAGCGCTCGCGGAATAGCCAGGGCTCGTCACCGCAGCACCAGCGCTCCTGAATGCGGTCCACGTCCTCCGTCTCCCAATTGCGCCGCATGATGTCGCGAAACTTGCTTAGGAGTTCAATCACTTCCTTGACGACCTCCACTGGCTCCTTCTTCATGCTCTTCGGCCACGTCAGCTCCGGTCGCTTTTCCGGCTCGCCCGGGCGCAACAATATCTTGAGCCGCTTCTTCACGTCGTCCATCAAGTCCTTAGCCGCGTTCGAGTCGTCAAGCAGGTCTTTGCGAACGATGAGCTTCGGCGGCCGGACTGCGGGCATAGAATTCTCGCGGCGCGTACTGAACTGGCTGCCGGAGGGATGGCCGCCATCTTGGGAAGAACGCGACGACGGCGCGCCGCTGTTCGCGGATAATGAGCTCGGGCCGGTCCCGGATGTGGTGTTGTCGAAGAGGGCCGCAGCGAATATCTCGGCAGAGGCCACGACGCGGCGCTCGGATGAGGTGTAGATCTAAAAGTATGTTTAGCAACCCCGACCGACATCGGGAAAAGACGATGCATACCCTAACGTTCTTCAGGATGTCCTTGTCTGTAGGTGCTGAATAAGCAGTAATATTGTCTGAAACGCGTACACTTACTCATTATAGAGATGTCCTTCTTCATGTTCTCTCCCAAGTCGCGCGATTGGTATCGTGCAGAATGAGTAAACTACACGAAGCATCAGTAAGCCGGCCGAAAAGCAGAAAACGTGGTGCCATACCTCGCCGCCCCATTTGAAAACGAGCGTTAACTTCGTCAGCTTGCGAACTTGACCAGCCGACTTCTTCGAGTACACCGGCTTGAGCTGCGCCTTCGTGCCAGGAAGGTCGATCTTGCTGAACAACGCGTTGTTCAGCTGCGTCAGTTTCACGAGGTCCTCGCCATCCGCGCCGAGGCCCTTGGCCTCCTCGACAGCAGTGGCGATGAGGTTGAGCTGTGCCCGTTCGCGCAGGATAATCTCCTCGCGCTCGCCATTGAGCAGCGTGACGAACGGCTGCGTCCAATGCTCGCCGATCGGGAAGTTGAATTTGAGCTTCTGCTTGGGCGTACGGTCCGCATGGCGGAAGACGGTCACGTTGGCCTTGAGCAGCCAGGTGGGCTCTTCGATCGTCGCTTCCGCGGCAGGAAGGGCACGCTCCGGGGAGGCAGCGACTCTTACGCACAAAGATGCGAGTATCTCGGCGGTTTTGTCTGTGGCACAAGTTTTGGGCAAAAATGTCTCTTTCGTAAAGGAAACTGCTCACCGTAGTATGTGTCATTACCCTTCACGAAACTCCATCCGTTGACGTCAATGACCTGGCTTGTCCTGCCGTTATCGCAGCGCAGCATGTCGAAGCCGCAGACCATCTGACCAAAGCCGTCACTGATGCGAGAAGCCCACGTCTTCTCTTCCTCACTCAGGTGCGTGATGAAGCTATATAACGTCATAAGCCCCTCTATTGAATTTCCGTGCGCACACAGACTTACCGAATCTCCTTGCCCTCTGTGTTGCGCCGCACAACGCCGTCTACGAATGGCGACTTGCGCGTCTCGGCGTGTGTGTAGTCCTTGCCGACAGTGTATACCTTGATGTCTTCGGAGTTGTCGACGTCCACGAACTTCTCGTAGATGTACGAACCGTCGGTGCGAGGAAAGTTAAGTTGCGGATCTAGTTCGCTCGACTTGTTGCCGACCTGCCGACCAGAGTTAATCAGACACAGTCGGGTGCGATTGTGTGACGCTAGAGTTAATTCACACTCACCTTACGGAAAAGGCGACGGCCTCCACCTCCGCGGAAGTAGATGTACACGTTATGATCCTCGCCGCTAACGGGCTTTTCCACGAAAGGCTTCTCCATGACCTGCCCGTCTATGATGATCGCGTTGCCGTCGTCGCTCATGGTCACCTCGGGGGTGACCTGGAAACCGCCCAACGCAAGACCGATCTTCTTCTTCATGATGTCGCGCAACTCCTCGTCCACTTTCGGGCCGCCATCGCGAGAAACTTCTAGGCGACGCGGGGTCGGAACCTTTAGGTGGTCAAGGACTGCTCCGACAAGACGGCGGTCCCAGAGCAAGGCTTGCGGGGCGAGGTCGTTGATGCAAAACGGACGCCGTAGTTTGACGTACGATATTGCCTTGTCCAGGGGAAAGTCGGTGGAAAAGAACGAAATGAGGACATCGCACCGAGGCCAGTTCTCGACGTCTAATAACCAGAACAGGTGAGGCCACGCATTACGATACTCGGCTCTATACGCCGTACCTTCGTCTAGGATGACCTTGTCACCGAAGACCTTGACTTCGATGGTCCCGTTCGATCGCTCTACCAATCTTGTGAGGATCTCGCGCATGGCCTTCGAACGGGCCTTTATGTCCATAGCGCAGATGCCCAGGATAGTGGGAGGCCGGACCTGGTCCGTGATGGCGGACAAGTCGGAGTGGGAGCCATTTGGGGAGGGCGTGGCGGACCTGGCAGCAGAGGCGGAGCGGGGGGAACGCTCGGGAGAGTGGACGAGGGAACTCATGGGGATGCTGCTCTCCCAGCGGCGGATCTGGTGTTCGTTCATGTAGATTTGGGCGGGAAGCTAGAAAGGGAGTCGAGGCAGAGAGACGCGGTGCGGCGTCACCCCGCAGAGGGAGGAGGAGAGCTGGACGCGGCGGAGGACGTGGTCGTGTGCAAGGAGCAGGAGGAGGTCGATCAGCCACAATCCATTGACTTTTTTGGACGGACAGATCTAGATCGATGGAGAATCGCTGTGCCATAATCACGGGCGCTGCCGGCGTGAGGGACTTGTGCGAGTCAATGACGAGTGCGCTCTTAAGCGGGCGTCTACCGTACCTGAGGCATTTTGTGGACCGCGCGATGACCAAGAAAGGAGAACTCGACGCCTACTTAGAGCCCCCCCATGCTGCTTTCCCCGACAATCTGTCCTCCTCAAATTTCCCTCACAATTTCTCACCGCTTCGCACATAATGGCGCCCACTATATCAGACCGCCGGGGCGTGTCCTCTCGTCACCTTCGCCCCCTCCGCCTCCCCCACCTCTCCGACATGGATTCAGAGTCCAGTGAGACCACGACCACCGTCTTCGTCTCGAACATGCACTGCGGAAGGTCCGACACTCCTTCTACTATCCCCTCTACTCACCTAATGCGTTCGCACCCTCAGCTGCGTGAAGACCATCCAGGACGCGTTGGCCGCGCTATCCCCCGCCCCCTCCGTCGTCGACGTGTCCATAGTCACCCAGTCCGTCACCGTCAAGCACCCCCGCACGCTCAGCCTTGAAGATATCAAGTCCGCCCTCGACACCGCAGGCTACGACGTCCTATCAACCCCCACAGATAAGAGCTCGTCGTACCCCCCGCTCTCGTGGTCGGGCAGTCTCGCCCGACTGTCCGCTTTCCCGACCTCGAACCGGATGAAGCATTTCGACAACTGCGACCAGTGTCGGTCCGAACGTGCGGCGCAAGAACCTGTGGCCGGGGAAACCGCGTTGGCCAAAGTGCGTCCTAAATTAGCTCGGCGGAAATACCAGGCCTAGGGGATGTACTGACCGCATGCTATATGTACCAGGCCTCTTCAGACGAGAAGCTCACTGCGGACGACGCACCTGCTGCCTCCGAAACGGGCGACGCGCCTCCTGGCTCCGAAACGGGGCATGCGCCTTCTGCGGCAGCGGTACCTTCTCGGGTGTCTCTGTCCGTCGGCGGAATGACCTGTGCATCGTGCTCGAACACCATCAACGAAGCTCTCGCAGAGCTGTCAGGCGTATCCGAGGTCTCTATCAACCTGCTGGGAAATTCAGCCACGCTCGTCGTGTCCCACCCCGAGATCGTGCCTACCGTTGTATCTGCCATTGAGGACATCGGCTACGAGGCGGAGGTAGTGAGCGTGGAGCCGGTTCGCAAGCCCGTTCACAGCCCCGTACCACAGACAAAGGCCGATGGACCCCAGTGGGTTGATCTCTCCATAGACGGGATGACTTGCGCATCCTGTTCCAACACCATAACGAGGATCCTTTCCGACATCCCCGGTGTGTCCGACGTGGCCGTAAATCTCCTGGGGAAGTCTGCGACCGCAGTTGTACAGGACAAGGATATCGCGCCACAGCTGATTGAAGCCGTTAATGACGCCGGATACGAGGCCGAACTCGTCGGCCTCCGGCCATTGCATGCGCCCGAGGTCGAAGATGCAGGTCCTCGGACTGTGTCCTTACGCGTCGACGGGATGTTCTGCGTGTAAGTGTGGCCGTTGTGTGACCTGCGATTTATCTGACCACGTTGGTTCAGCCACTGTCCAGGGAAAATTATGGCTGCCCTGAAGGCTTTCGGCAACGATGTTACGGTGTCGAAGCCACTCACCTCGCACATCGACCCCATAATGACCTTGTCCTACACACCTTCCCCTCCGAATCTTACGATTCGTTCCATCATCCACGCGATCGAGGGTGCCGGCGAGCCTGCCACTCCATTTTCGGCCTCTATCCATCGGCCTCCTTCCCTCGAAGACCGCGCGCGCTACATGCAGCGCCGCGAGCAGAAGAGCCTCCTCCAGCGCCTTCTCTTCTCAGTCGTCGTCGCCATTCCGACTTTCATCATCGGGATCGTCTACATGAGCCTCGTACCGTCGAGCGACCCCACCCGCATGTGGTTCGAAGAGCCCATGTGGACGGGGAACACGTCCCGCGCGGAATGGGCACTCTTCTTCCTCGCCACGCCGGTGATGTTCTACAGCGCGGGCACGTACCACCGTCGGAGCCTCCGGGAGATCTACGCGCTCTGGCGCAAAGGGAGCCGCGTACCCGTGTGGAAGCGGTTTGTGAGGTTCGGGAGTATGAACCTACTGGTGTCCACTGGGGTGTCCGTGGCGTACTTTGCGTCCATTGCGCTGCTGGCCTTGTCAGCCACTCAGACGCGTTCAGCTTCCGGTCAAGGAGATACCACGACGTACTTCGACTCGGTCGTCCTCTTGACGATGTTCCTCCTTGCAGGTACGTAGCGTAATGCGGAGAGATGAATAAAACTGACGCAGCTGATTGCGTTCCAGGCCGCTTCCTCGAAGCGTTTAGCAAAGGCCGGACCGCCGACGCAATCACCGCCCTGGGAAAGCTGCGCCCAACCACCGCGCTCGTCCTCGTGCCCGCTCCCTTGCGTCCCGATAGTGCCATCGCACTCTCGCGATCGACGTCCGGCCAGACGGCCGCAGGCACACACATCGACGACCCGGAAAAAGGTGACGCCTCTGCAGAGGAGCACAACTTCGCGTCGAAGCCCGGCACGAAGGTTGAGCGCGTCGATGCGGAGCTGCTGGAGGTAGGCGACATCGTGCGCGTGATGAATGGTGCGAGTCCGCCGGCGGACGGGACGGTCGTCGCGGGAGAGGGCGGCGCCTTTGATGAGAGCTCGTTAACGGGCGAGTCAAGGCTGGTCAAGAAGATGGCCGGGGACAAGGTGTTCTTGGGCACGATCAACAAGGCGGGTGTCGTTGACGTGCGCGTCGACGAGATCGGCGGCCAGACCATGTAAGTTGCTCCCAGCCAACGTCAGAGGACCTGACTAACAATCCGACTTACCAGGCTGGACCACGTCGTAAAGGTAGTTCGCGAAGGGCAGACGCGCCGCGCACCTATCGAGCGAGTCGCAGATATCATTACTGGGTACTTCGTCCCCGTCGTGACGCTGCTCGCGATCATCACCTGGGTCGTATGGCTCGGCCTTGGTCTGGGCGGCGCGCTCCCGCCGGACTACCTCGACATCGAAGTCGGCGGATACGGTGAGTCTGATTTGCGTCTGCCTATTGTCCATGCACTTACCGATAGCAACAGCGGTGTGGTCTCTCGAGTTCGCCATCGCCGTCTTCGTCGTTGCGTGCCCGTGCGGTATCGGCCTCGCCGCCCCCACGGCCCTGCTCGTTGGATCCGGTCTCGCGGCGAAATACGGCATCCTCGCGCGCGGGGGCGGAGAGGCTTTCCAGGAAGCCGCTCAGCTCGACGTCTTCGTCTTCGACAAGACCGGCACGCTCACCGAGGGCGGCGACCCTAAAGTCACCGATGTGGACATCATCGCCGACAACGCCGCTGGCCTCTCCAGCAAGGTCATCCTTGGGATCGCTGCCGAGATCGAGTCCGCGAGCTCGCACCCCCTAGCGGGCGCCATCCGCGGGTATTGCGAAGAGAAGGGCGCGCCTGCGCAGACGGCGTCCGAGGTCGAAGAGACACCCGGACGCGGGTTGACGGCGACTTTCTCCGCGCTAAACTACACGGCGATCATCGGGAACGAGGCGTGGATGGAGGTCCACCACTGCGAGGTCGACGGGCGGCTTTCCAAGCTGCTCCACTCGTGGAAGTCCGAGGGGAAGAGCGTCGTGCTGCTTGCTGCCCGCTCGGAGAGTAGCGCCGCATCGCTACATTTCGCGGTCGTTGCTGCGTTCGCGGTCGCGGATCCCATTAGGCCTGAGGCGAAGGAGGTGCTCGCGCGGCTGCAGGGTCAAGGGATCGGGACGTGGATGATCTCTGGGGACAATGCGATGACTGCGAAGGCGGTCGCGAGGTCGGTCGGTATTCCCGAGACCAACGTTATCGCAGAGGTGCTCCCGCATCAAAAGGTCAGTCCCATGTTCAAATGTCTGAGCGCGTCCCTGATGCTGACTACCCTTCAGGCTGAGAAGATTCAATGGCTCCAGCAGGTCGGCATGAAGAGACCTCAGACGGGCCTAGCGCGCCTCTTTGGTCGCCGGAGGCTCAACGAACGCTGCATAGTAGCCATGGTTGGCGATGGTATCAACGACGCCCCGGCTTTGACAGCTGCGGATGTTGGGATCGCCATCGGCTCTGGCAGCGACGTAGCAATCTCTAGCGCGTCGTTCATCCTCGTGTCGTCTAACCTGCGAAGCCTGTTGACGCTGTCCGACCTGTCTCGGACAGTGTTCAACCGCGTCAAGTTTAACTTCGTGAGCCGTTCCCTTTGCATCGTGATAGACAACTGAACTTACCTTGGTGATCAGTTCTGGGCCTCTATATACAACCTCATTGCTTTACCTATCGCCGCTGGTGTGGTGTACCCCGCTGGGCATGCGCGACTTGCACCTGTATGGGCTTCCCTGGCTATGGCGCTATCGTGAGTATTCCGGCGTCATAAATCCCTACAGTTGATCTGACACTCTTTCACAGGTCTGTGTCAGTAGTCTGCAGCTCCCTTCTGCTGCGACTGTACCGGGAGCCTAAGATATCCTCATGATTCACGACCGTCCGCCACGTACCGTTATGCATACCACTATCTGTACCATGTTACAACATATGTGATCACTGTAGTGTACAGTATTGTACAATCAAGCACGTAGCTGTTGTTCCTTCCTCGTCTTGTAAAAGTCGCTGAAAGAGAGCCGGATACCCAAGAAACGGCAGTCGAGGTCGGGGTGCGCGGCGAGCGCTTGCACGATCGCCTGGACGCGCTCGGAGAACGCTGCGCCATATTCACGGACACGGGAGAGGATGCCTGGGAGGGACTCGATGGTATATCTGCGGTCTTCTGCGGTCTCGATGCGCGTGTGCACCCCCTGGACGGTGCACTCATTAGCGGATCATAGAGTATGCAGGGTGATGTTGCTTACCCTGGTAGCGTCTTTCTCTGCATCACGTCGAGCTGACTCAGATAGACAATAATTGTAGAGATCATCCTGCACGACATTAGCATCCCACCCATCTCACTTTACCCAGCGTGCGGACTCACCGTTGCCTCGCGGAAGTTCAAGATCATCGTGAACACGTCCCGAACCTGGTTCAGCAGGTTCTCCTCCCGGCCCGCCTTCGGGCTGAGCAGGAGCACCTTCTTGACCATGCGGTCCAGGTACGCGCGGTGCGTCTCGATGAGCGCGTCCAGGTCGCCCTCCTTCTTCTCGACGAACGCGATCAGCTCCGTCCACGAGCACTCGATCACCTCCAGGTTGCAGTACGCCTCCATTTGGCGCATGAAGTGGATCATCTCCGCCATCACGAGCCGGATCTGGTGCCAGTCGTACTCGAGTTCTGCGAACGCGGCGCCCTAGTCAGCGCACGCACGACGCTGAAGGTGCTGTGAACGAACACTTACCTGGGACGCGCAAGAAGGTCTTCGCGCCGCCCGCGATGCGCATCCAGCCCGTGCTGAGCGTGCCCCCGATGCGCTTGACACGCCAGAGGTGGTTGAAGAGCTTGAGGTATTTCATCATCGCCGTCGGGTCGAGCACGGTGTCGATCGGCGCGTCAACCTTGTACTCGAGCGTGAAGACGTCCCAACCGATCTCGCCGTGTGAATACTCGAGCATGCGCGCGTCGAGCCGCCGGAGCACGTCGGAGGGGTCGTTCTGCGCATTCGAGGAGCGAAGTGCGGATTCGAGTGTGGCGGTCAAGTTGTGTCGATAGAGAGTGTTTGCGGGGCGGGACAGACTTGGACTGAGGACACAATACTATCAGCCAAAGGTTGAATGTTGAACGCAGGAGACCGTACCCAAGAGTGTCCATCAGCTGGTCTGCGAAATCGCCGTATCCCAGAAGCAGATAGTGCTTGAGCGCCAATAGATGGTCCAACAGGCGATACTTGTCAAAGAACACGTCGAATAGCCGTTGACTGGCAATCTGGTACGCGACATCTATACTCCTCTCGAGGCCGACGATGTCACTGTATTTGAGCGCTATAGCGCGCACTGTGTCAATAAACGTGTCCTGTTCAATGGATGTGACACTCACTGCCACCGGTGTTGCTGAGTCGTTCCCGGGTCGCGACCCAATCGCTGTCATGACAGCTGTATCGGATGAAGTTCAAACTCTTGCCTGTAGAGAAGATCTACAACGCCGTCAATGTCGACCCTGACGGGCCAGACCTGTGAACTGACCTTCCGGCCAAAGGTCTCTCCCACAAAGGCGGGCAACATGTCCTTCTGGAACTGGTACTTCCGTTCCCAGAGTTGTAGCCCGCCTGCATGCTCCTCCGAAGTATCCTCCATATCGCCCCCGCCAAACCCACCGTCAGTGGCTAGCTGACCAACTCCCTGCAGGGAGGGTTGCATGTATTGCAAATGGGCGAGCTCCGGATCGACCGCAACGAAGAACTCTGAAAATGGGTCGTAGAGCTCTCCGGAGAACAGCCACTTGTGGAGGGTCGCAAAGAAGGGCTTAGATACCTGTGGGACGACATTGAGCTTTAAATCCTATAGATTGCTCGAACAGCGGTGTTACCTCCTCCAGTAGCTGGTTGGTGAATTTGCGAATGAAGGGATCTCCATTCTCTGCGTAGCCGTGTATAAGATTGACGAGGGCCCCTCCCTGTGCGTCTGTGTGTTTTGTGTCAGTCCCCTATCCCATGAATCCCGATGGATGTGAGATACTACCTCTGGCACCTTCCACACATACGCTCATCATCCGCATTCGTAGTCGCCAGTCCTCAATCCACACATCCAAGCGCTTGAGTGTTAACCCAGTCTCTTCCCGCGTGTGCTCTCCCTCGTTCGCGTTCTCGTCCTGCTTCGACACGGCGGACATCTGTGACTCCAGGACTGCGATCAGTCTGTAGTACTCCGTGAGTTGGGACTGGAGGTGGTGACACAGGCTCTGCTCGATCATGCCCACCCCGACTTTCCCTTCGCGTTCGCGCACGAATGCATCTACGCGTTGATACAGGTGGCCCACCTCAGCGAGCCGGTGGATGAGGGCTCGCGTTGGTGGTGGCACGTGGTATCTCTACGAATGTCAAGAAAAAAAACAAATATAGCGGATTAGGTGCTTACAGGGTCTTCGGTGAAGATGAGCTCCTTGTTCTGCTCGGCATCCTTCGTTACCGAGAATTGGACGTATTTCCCGGAGATGCCTTGTAGAAGGTAAAGTGTATCCCGAAGAATGAGATGCTCGGGTATATGCGGCTGGCCTATACAGCTCGAGCTGTCAATCTTATGTCCAGAGGAGGTACACAGAGCGCGAACCTAGCCGTAGGCGGTATTCTCGGAGGAGGTCGGCCTTAGATTTCCCCCTCTGTTGCCTATGTGTAGAGTTTGCATCGATGGGAGTAGTCGCTTTCGACGATGGTCGCGTAGGCGGAGGTGGAGCGAGAGCAGGGAGGAATGAGGTTACGGGAGCAGGGGCGGGGGCGGCAGCGAGGGTGTATAGGAATTGGAGGGAGGCGTGCTTTCTTGACAATACGGGCTTTCTGGGGTGTAAGGGGCGGGAGTATAGCATCGGAGGTTGAGACGTACTTGGTCTAACAATCTTGACAACAGATTCGTGAAACGGAGCGTACTCGAACTGCTCGAGGTTGTCTGCAGCACTGTGGGTAGTCGATATTGAGCACGCTTGATTTGGAGCCGCGAGGGTACGAACGATGGCGTTTTATGAGGTCTGCAAGGTGGCCTATGTCCTTTTCCGCCGCTTGGCCTATGTGACTTTCAGAGGGATGAGCACGTTTCCTCCAGAATGCAGCCCCGGATGCTCGGCCTCATCCAGTGGGTCGCGTTTGTCCGGGAGTATTGCATTACCTGCTCAAGATCTCTTCGCAGTGCGCTATGAGCTGTCGCTTGAGGCGTTCATCTTGACGAGCGTTGGGCACGAGGGAGTATACGAGAGACTCGAGGGCGTTAGACATGGCTGATCATGGTCAAGTGTGGCTGCAGTCGCGTCGACGCGACGCGCGCGCGCGACTCTAGCCACTCACGCGTTCCGGCGTGGAGATCGTCGTTCATTTCTCGCACATAGAGTCCTCTCGCCGAGACCTGATAACCATGATACATGATACACGCCCCCCAAGTCGCGAGAACGACGTGAACCCATGGTGCGTGGGAGACAACCGTTCATTCCGTCGGCGGCATTAAGCGCCCGTAAAGTATGTGTTTAGAAGCTCGAATTCATGCCACAAAACGTTAACCAACATGAATTCTGTCTGCTAGTATGTTCTTTGTGCTGCAGATACGTCCAAAGCGCGCCTTGGAGGGTATCTGTTCGAGATGTCGTACGCCAAGACATGAAAGAGAGCATAACTGTGGCTGAGTGGGAGATGGAGGCAGGAGGGTAAAGGGTTCCTGAAGCGGTCGTCGTCATCGTGCGAGCCTCAGCCACAGTCGGTCTCGGGCAGATCACTCTTGTCCTCCTTCCTCTCCCCGTGCGCCTCCCGCTTGCTCGACTGCAGCCAAACCTGATCTACTCCCTCCCACACGCTCGCTTTTTCTGTCTGAACCATTCGATCGTCCTGGGGCTATCCCCAGGCCCCCCTTGACGACACTCACGAAATGGACAGATCAGATTCCACCTCCTCTAACGGTTCGGCTAGAGTACGGCACAATTCTGCTCAGGAGTCTGGCCAGTTTGCATACCAAAGAGCCCTGCTCGAGCGCACTTCTTCTCGCTCCGGAACCCTCTCTCGGACGAGCTCTCAGGCGTCGCGCAACACGCTCTTGTCTACTCCCACTGGTAGCAGCACTGGCGGCCCAAGCTCTCCTAGTCCCGGTCCCAATGCCACCAGAAGATGGACTCCTACGCATCGTGTCGGTGGAAGCTTGGATATCAATGCAGTGCGCGGGAAATGGGAGGAACGAGCTAGGACGGCTGAAGGTGTTTCTGCTGAGAGTCGCCCGCTCGCCGACAGAACGCGATCGGATTTCCCGACACCCTCGCCGACTCGTCCTTCGTACGACACTCCGACGCGAACACGAACGACCGATGGTTTCACTTTTCCGCAGGCGTCCCCCTCGCGGCTGGATCTTGGACAGTATGACTACTCCCCGAGCCCTCCATCGAAGAGGCATACAATGCCTGCACCCATCATCGCTTCTCCGCTCTCCCCAAACACCACTGGTATCACGGTCGAGAACGAGAATGACTCTCCGACCTCATATTCTTTCTCTACGCCGACGCCCCAACGCATCCACCTTCCTGTATCTACCCCCTTACAATCTTCGTCAATCGCTGCTATCCGCAACCTGGGCTCTTACACGCAGACCTCGGACTTCCCTTCGTATTCCCCATCCACGAGACTGCGACGCTCTAACACGCTAGAGAGTATCAATCCCAGCTCGACCGGCTCCTCGGTCTCGTCGGAGAACTCCGTCCGCTCTGTTACGACATCGCAGACGTCTGTGCCGACCTCCCCGGACGCGTCCACAGTATCTGTAAGGCGTAGGCCTACTTCGCTGTACGGTGGGGACAGAGATGCAACCATTCCATCGCCGGACAGGCTCACTCGTCGTCCACTATCGAGTGCAGGAATGTCGCGTGACTCTTCTTCCTCACCTGACAAGCGTCCTGGCTCTACCAGTGTCCCACCGTCTCCATCTTCGGCCTCGTCTTCGAATCCTATGTTTCCATCACAATATCGCAGTTCTTTCATGGCGAAGAAGCGCGGCCTCGACCACCTCGGAACCGGCCAATCCGTTCGTCGCCTGGAGCGCATTGCGAGTGGCGACGCGCCAGAAGAGTGGCCTGGGACCATGATTCCGAACGACGAACCGCCACCGCCGTCTCCCGAAAGGTTCAGTCGACGCGAGGAGAGAGCACTTCGAACGCAAGAGTGGAGACAGCCGTCGCCCGAGCGCAAGCCCCTTCCACAACTGGTGGCGCCAGAACCGAAGGAGCCGAAGGGCGAGTTGGTGATTCCGAGCGTCATGAACGCGGACGATGTAGTAGGCATACCCCGGCGCAAGCGGTTACTGCGGGACACAATCCCCAGCAACAATCCACTACCATCCTCCCGACTAACTCGTGGGCTGTGGGCCGACGTCCAACGGCACCTCATACAGGCGTACGAATACCTGTGCCACGTTGGTGAAGCCAAGGAGTGGATTGAGGGCTGCTTGGGAGGGGAGCTTCCTTTCGGCGTGGTGGAGTTGGAGGAGCAGCTTCGCAACGGCGTCATCCTCGCGAAGCTCGTCAGGGTCTTCCAGGGCGAAGCATCTGTGCGCAGGATCTACGATGTATGTGGACGGAAGTGCCTTGATCTGCGCGGAACTGATCGTCGTTTGCAGGCGCCCAAGCTGGACTTCAGGCACTCTGACAACATCAACCACTTCTTCGTTTTCGTCCGCTATGTCGGACTACCCGAGGTTTGTGACACTGCATCTCTAATTCCGCGCGAGTTTTTCACACTAAGTTTGTATAGGGTTTCATTTTTGAGTTAACGGATCTGTACGAGAAGAAGAACCTGCCTAAAGTCATCTACTGTATACATGCTCTGAGGTAGGAGAAGACCTTATGGTTCGTGGGGTATCGCTGACCTCTAACATAGTCACTTGCTCGCTCGTCGCGGTCTTGCACGGCGAATCGGGAATCTCGTTGGTCACTTGCAGTTTTCAGACGATCAGCTGCAGAAGACGCAGAGAGGGCTGAAAGAAGCCGGTGTACCCATGCCTAACTTCGGGAATATCGGGCGGGAGCTAGCCAAAGAGATCAACGAGGAGCCTGAGGAGGAGCCGGAAACAGAGGATGAAAGTATGTCGACTTGCGCCCTTTGGCTCAACCCGCAGAGGACTAACCCACGAGCTAGGACGCGATCGGCTATTGTTGGAATGCGAAGACTCTATCGCCGAGCTGCAGGCAACTGCTCGAGCTTTCCTGGTCCGGAAAGCGCAGGCCACTCAGCGAGCTCGTATCCGCATGGCCGAACGCTACGTTCCGAAAATCCAAGCCATCGCTCGCGCCGCCCTCGTCCGAAAGCAATTGAAGCAAGACAGGAAGCAAGTTGCCGACCTCGGACCGTGGGCGACCGCCCTCCAGGCCCGCGCCCGTGGTATCCTCGTGCGTAGACAGTGGAAGCAACACCTCCGCCTGATCCGCTCCTCCATCCCGTTTGTCGTGAAGGTGCAGGCCCAGTCCCGCGGCGTCCTTCAGCGGCGTAAGTTCCAGAAGCTGAAGGCCGCTATCCGGAGCTGCAAGATGTCCGTGGTGAAGCTGCAGTCGATGGCGCGAGCTCGCATTGCGCAGCGTAGCCACAAGGAGATTTCGAAGGAGTTCGCGCGGCCTGTGGTCATGGGCAACATCGTCGCCCTGCAGGCTCACATGCGTGGTGCCCTCGAGCGCGCGCACATCGCTCGTCAGCGCGCGGCTCTTGCGCGTGCAGCGTCCGGGGTAGTCGGATTGCAGGCACAAGTCCGAGGCGTGTTGATTCGCCGGCGAGTCCGGACGCAGCTTGCGAAGCTGGAAGACGTGACGGACGTGGTCGTGCGCATCCAGGCCGCGGTCAGGACCTATCTGGCGCGGAAGCGGCTTCTGAACCTCATTCGCAGTCTGCGCAAGGCTACCCCGGCGCTTGTGGGTCTTCAGGCCATTGCTCGTGCCAAGCTTGCCCGTCAACAACACAAGGAGATGCACCACGCGCTCTCAGAGGTAAAGGTTGTCATGGCGGTTGGCGGCTTCCAAGCACGGGCTCGCGCTGCTCTAGCGCGGTCTCGCCATCAGGAACAGGTGAAGAAGCTCGAGTTCGTGGAGCCTGACGTCGTTGGCTTCCAAGCGACTGCCCGCGGCTACCTCGTCCGTCTCGAGTGGCTCGCGTGGCGGGACTACATCCGGAGCAGCCACCCGCAGGCGACGATACTGCAGGCACTGCTGCGTGGTGTGCTCCAGCGGCGACGGTTCCGCGAGAAGATGGCGTACTACCGCTCAAACCTGGACAAGATCGTGCAGATCCAGTCGCTCTTCCGCGCGAAGGAGACGCGCGAGCAGTACCGGCAGCTCACGCTGGGCACGAACGTGACCGTCGGCACGATCAAGAACTTCGTCCATCTGTTGGACGACTCGGAGGCGGACTTCCAGGAGGAGATCAAGGTCGAGCGCCTGCGCCAGGAGGTCGTGAAGCGCATCCGCGATAACCAGGGCCTGGAGCACGACGTGAGCGAGTTGGATGTCAAGATTGCGCTCGTCGTGCAGAACGTGAAGAACTTCGAGGAGCTTGTGAAGGCGAAGCGTCGGCTGGGCACTGATAGCGCTGCGATACACGCTGCTAGGGCGTCGGTGCTCGCTGCGCATGGAGACCCTTTCGCTAGTCCCAGTACGCTGGATCGCACGGCGAAGCGCAAGCTCGAGCTCTACCAGCAGCTGTTCTACGTCCTCCAGACGGACGGCAAGTACCTCACGCGATTGTTCGCCAAGTTGTCTTCGATGGACAGCTGGGAGAAGAACCGCAAACTGCTCGAACGTGTTGTCCTCACGCTGTTTGGCTACGGTCAAGCGCCTCGAGAGGAGTATCTTCTGCTCAAGTTCTTCCAGGTTTGTACCTGCCCTTTCAGGAAGCAGCGCTTAGCTCACCGTTTCGTAGACCGCTGTGCATGATGAAGTAGCGGCGGCCAACTCCGTCGAGGACATCATCCGCTCTCACCCTTCTTTCATCAATGTCGCAGTGCACTACTTGAGACCCAAGCAGACCCCCTTCATCCGCGAGACCCTGCAAGGTGTCGTCCGTGAGGTCATCAATGCTGACGACCTTGACTTGGAGACCGATCCCTGCGTTGTAAGTTGGCTTAGCGCGGTTAACATGACGTTTCACTAACCAGCGTATGTAGATCTACCGTGTCAGGACCGACGTCGAAGAGATGAGGTCCGGCGCAGCAAGCAACAGGACGAAAGACATCGCGTTCCATCAAGCCCTCCATGATCCAGACACACGAGCGGAGTACATTCGACGTAAATAACTTATATTCCTCTAGTGCTACTCACCATGCTAATGTTGATGAATAGACTTGCAAGTTCTGCAGTGGTGGACGGAAGAGTTCGTCAGGGCAATCACGACCTCCTTGTCGCGAATGCCGTATGGGATGCGGTACATGGCTCGGGAAACGCTCAATGCGGTCAAGGCAAGTCTATGCATAACCTGCGCATGTGCAGTTGTCATATTGATACCGAGTTACTGCAGAACAAGTTCCCCGATACTCCTCCCGAAGCATGCGCTGCGTGTGTAGCAAGGCTGGTGTACTATCGGTATATCAACCCCGCCATCATGTATGCCCACCTCCGTTTCCTCGCCATGACACGACTAACATCCAGTTCAGCACACCAGAGACGTTCGATATTGTGTCAACAACAGTCGACATTGCTTCACGCAAGAACCTGGCGCAGATATCGAAGATGTTGGCCCAGATCACAAGCGGCGCCGAGTTTGGCGACGAGAGCCCTGCGTATATACCCGTCAACGACTATGTTCGGAAGAGCATCGCTCAGATTACTGCTTGGCTTCTGCAAGGTATGTCCCCAAGACCATAATTTTGTTTGCGTTTATTGACTATTGTGGCAGTCGCTGACGTCTCCGATGCCGAGACCGAGTTCCACGCACATGAGTTCCTTGATGCCACCATTCAGCCGAGACCCATCTGGATTTCGCCGAACGAGGTATACTCGATGCACACATTGTTGTCACAACAGTTAGACCACCTGGTGTGTTCAATAGTCTTGTGCGCCTGCCTTCGCATCTAATATCGACTGTAGGCACCGGCTCGTGACGACACCCTCCGCGTCATCCTAACGGAGCTCGATGGGGTGCCCAACGTAGGCAATGATGAGCTCAACGAGGCGCGGGACACAGCGCTCGAACTGCAGCTGTCAAACCGATTCGCCCGCGTGAAGGGTTCGTTACATCTCATCGCCCTGTACAACCTCGTCTGACCTTGGCGTTAGATCCGGGAGCAGATGAGAAAGCGCTGTGGGTTCAAGCGAAGAGAGCCGTGCTTGCGATCCTCCGTGTGCAGCCTGCAAAGGACCTCGTCGAGTCCTTGATGCAACCAGTCACGGATGAGCATGAGCTAGTATGGGAAGGCATCCTCGAAGAGATGGAACGGGACCAACTTCGCCACCAGCGGCGCATGCCCTCCACTACCGGCGCCGATTCCGCATACCGGCTAGAGGATATTCGATCGTAAGCTTGCTAATGTTCATCGTGAAGTGGTCAGGATTGACACAGACATGCTGTAGCATGACCTTCCGCGAAGTCAAAGCGCACGCAATCTTCTTCCTCCTCGAGCTTGAGAAGCAGGGGAAGATCACTCGCATGGACGGATACCAAGGCATCCTGAACGCCATTGCTGGTGATGTTCGGAGCAAGAACCGACGCAGAGTTCAGCGTTTGCATGAGAAGGAGAGCTTAGAGGAGTCGCTGAAGCACTTAGCGGAGCGCAAGAAGTACTTCGAGGAGCAGATCCGCCAGTACCACGACTATGTGGAGACCGCCATGAACACCATGCAGCGTGGGAAAGGGTGAGTGACATGCCATGCCCATACCATACGTCCTGTTTACTCATTTTCTTCCGCCAGGAAACGTCGTTTGCTCCCGTTCACGCCGCAATACTTCCACATGCGCGAGCTGCAGAAGGCGGGCAAGATGCCGCAGTTCGGGTCGTACAAGTACACCGCTCAGCGTTTCTACGACAAGGGCATCCTGCTCTCTATCGAGAACTACTCACCTCGACAATTCGACAAGCTGGACATTGTGATGTCCTCGAACGCCGTCGGTATCTTCACCATCGAGATCTTTAACCATACGCTGGGCATCACGAACCGGATGGCCACTTGCGACGTGAAGATGGAGGAACTCTTGCAGGCACAGTTCGAAGACCGCGCTTCTTTCTCAATGTTCAACGGACTCGCGAAGTTCAACCTCAACTTGCTGTTGTGGCAAATTAACAAGAAGTAAGTCGTATAACATTGCACCGTAGGTCGAAGTACTTATTTAACCACTTGACAGGTTCTACCGGTAGTAGTATTTATCGCTCCCCTGATCCCCCTGCTTTGCTTTACGACCCACGCTACGACTTCACGACTCTATCCTACTGCGTACTTATTTGCCCTCTCACATTCACATGTACCGATACGCTGAAGCACAACCATCCTCGATGTATCATGACATTCATTCATCTCTGTCCTGGACTCGTTACAATTACAGTCGGTGCTTCAACACACGCCCTTCCCTCGAGCGAGCTCAGAGTGTGAAGCGGAATTCGGGGTGCCTGTCTCCGATCGGGGCGCGCGTCTTGCCCGCATCCCACAGCTCCTGGTACTTCGTCAGGTTGTCTTGTCGGCGACCTTGGGCGCGGGCGCGGTTCTCCCAGACACAGTACAAGCTATCAGAACCCTGTGAGTACAATCACACTCCTGAACGTGTCTGGGTACTGACACGTTGCACAGCATCGCCAACCATGCCACGACGACGAATCCAAGCGTGATGCTGTGGCCACGGATGTATGTCGGTGCTTGGGACGAATCGTAGGTGAACGTCGCGACGAATCCTCTGTGGCGAGATTAATACACTGCGTCAGCGAATCGGGAACATAACGCACCCGCAGTTCGCGACAGCAAGTTGGAGCGCCACCGCAGTAGCCTTCTTGTAGTGCCCGGCACTGTTGTTCGGCAAGATAGACAGGATGCAGGGTCCACAAGGGTAGCTGTATCATGATGCAGTGTCGGTCACGAAGCTTTCGCCGCACTCACAGCCCATCGGGACTTACATTCCTGCCGCCATGAGGAAGACTACAGAGAGTTAGCATGTTGCAGGAAACCACATATACAAGCTTGATAAACTCACCAGCTGCGTAACGCTGGGTGTTCGTCTATATGTGCAGATGTCAGCTGGAGCTCGAGATCCTCGTATGTCAAACCACATTACCGTCGCCGCTATGGCCAGAATGTACCCTGCATGAATCGTTTCAGCGCCATACTACGTGATGAATGGAATGAATTTCTCACCGGCCATGCTGATGGGCAGGAATATCAGGATGAACGGCCCTCGCCATCTGAGCCGGTCACTCGCAACCGCAACAACTACTGTCAATACCACTGCTGGGACGTATGGCGGTACTGGAATGTTATCGTGAGCTGCCTATCATCAAAAGCGAAACGAGCCATCATACTCACCGGTATGGAGTTGCGCAGCCCCTCCCGAGTAGCCCAGTCCGGAGACGATCGTTGGTCTGGATGGTGTTAGTATATCAAATATGTACCGGGAGAATGTAAGATAGACTCACAGGAACAGAGAGAATGAGTAGAGGCTGATGATGATGCCCATATACGATATTGCCGACATCCAAACTTGGGGATCCTTGACACCTTACCAACAATGGGTAGTCAGCGATGCGAGCAAAACACATAGTAATGAAACCGGTACCTCGCATCACCTCTCCCCATTCGAACTTCTCGTCCGCTTGGTCGACAACGAGTGCTTCTTCTGTGCGCACTTCTTCAGTCTTGATATCCTCACCCTTCTCCCCGAGCTCCGGAGTGGCCTCTGCTCTAGTAATACGCTGGGAAGGCTCTGATAGTGGCGCGGTCATCGCTGGCCCATGGGATATTTGGAGACGGCGCACTACCATACTAATGAGTACCCTGTGGTCCTAGTAACAAAATGAAAGCTTACGCGCGAACTGGCGTTCCTCATGGTTGAGGAACTTGGCAGTTCCTATATCCGCTGGCAAAAAGATCATGGACGTGAGGGCGATGAGAACCGTGGCGATGCCTTCAAGGATGAAGATCCATCTCCATCCAGCCAGTCCGCCGATACCGTCCATCTTGATAATGGCGGTCGCAAGAAGACCTGAGCGCAAGTCAGTACGCTGAATTTTCATGTTGGCGAGGTCATACCTCCGAATGCGCCAGAGAGGGATGCTGACGCATAAAATATGCCGACTCTGAGAAGGATGTGATCAGCTATGTCTTCGGCTGGCGGGCAGAATAGGGTACTGATGCTTACCGTTGTTGAAGTTCGTGGCGTTCATACAGTGTACTCAAGTACAGCATCTGCCGCAACCGTTAGCGTAGTGCATAGGCGAGTGAACCAGCATGAACGTACAATTCCTGGGAGGAGACCGCCTTCACAGAATCCAAGGAAGAAGCGGATTGCAATCAACCCGCTGTAGTTGTGCACGAGCCCGCTGAGCGTCGTTACGGTGCCCCACAGGGCGACGAGGAACGGAAGCCATCGGCTTGCTTTGAATCGCTTGAGCACCCAGTTTGACGCTGTCGAGGCCGTCAGCTACATTTTGACATCGAGCAGAGCAGAGGGGGCTCACGAAGTTCCACGAGGATATATCTAGACAAGATTGGTCAGGAAATCAAGCTTGAACGAGGAGCGCTCTCGGACGTACGAGACATAGAAGACTAGGATGGCACAATACGTTAACATAGGGAGGGTCCCACCAGCAGAAGAAGACATACCAGCAAGGGCGGTGTTGAATTGGGTACCGTGTAGGTGGGTGTCCCGCTCAAGCCCCGCGATTCTGGAAGTTCGCTTGACGAGGGACCCCATACTGTGGACAGAGAACTCACCTTGCGTTACCGATGTTCGTCCTGTCAATAAAGTTTGCCAACCACAGCTGATTTGCACAAGCACGAGGTCAGCGTCAAAAACTCGGATCCAAGGAGGGCGAAGACGAACCAGTGCCAAGGGTGGTAAGACGTGGATGTCCAACTTCCACAGGACCCGCTTCGTCATGGCTCTTTTGTACTCCAGGTCGTTCTGCATGACGGACATAGCGCAAGTTGACGGCGCAATGCTCAGTAGACGACGCAGCCCGCAACTCCGAGATGGTGGGGTGAGTGATAGGCACTCAAGGGCTGTCAAGAGACGACCCCCAATCTGCCGGTCTTGCGGCGGCGCGGTTATATTGGGAACGCTTCGATCCCAATGCTCGGGGACCGCGGCGGCCGTCGCCTGCAGCTACCGGGGGAAGGCACGAATCTCAGGCCTATCTCGTAACTGATTGACACCTGCGTATATGGGAGGCGCAGGAAGGCGCATGACCAGCGCTGCGGGCAAGTTGGTCACAAGAACTAGGACAAAATTTGATGTTGATGTCAGTAAACGCGTACTGCTCGGAGGAGCGTTTTGGAATGCGGCTTACCTCCATCGGGGCTTCAGCTGACCCAATTTCCAGCTGATAGCGCGCGAGGGCAGCTGCTAACGGCGGCGTCCAGGCGGGTACCACCAAAAGTGTAGATGTCAATCAGTCCAACATGGGGTCATGGGGCATTGATCCCAGTGCATCATGGTCAGGGAATGGCATGTCCTCCGGGGTGTATCGAGACATATAGTCGATATAGTCGACGACTGCCAGCAAGTATCATCCTCGGACGATAGCGATGTGCAAATTTTTCCGGGTTCCTCGCCTCTTGAACCTAGTAAGTCTACGGCAGCACCCCACTTTGGTGACGGCAAGGCATGACGGGACATTACGAAGACGCACCTAAATCTGCCATCCGTGGAAATGAACAGAGCATATGAATAGCATGGGCTCACTCACGCTCTTCCAAGGGCGGCGGCACTTACGCATGGCACGCTCGAGCGGTTAGTTAGAATGACAGGCACAGAGGTGCCGGACGAGCGGTACCGTCAGCCTGTAAGACGCTTCCGAATCCGAATCGACGGCCCGAGTTTTAAACGTCTTCGCCCGCTCGACGATGTGTACACGCCTGCGGGGAACCCTCTATTCATAGTCCAGGTAAGACAGCTGGTGGAGTAGAGAGATACTCAGGACCAACAGCACACAATTCGGTAGTGGAAGGAGAAGGAGAAGGACGAGCAAGCCAGCATATTACTACAAACAGAGGCCGCACGTGGCAATTAATAACGGTCCAGTGTCCTATGATACATCATGCGCGCACTACAATACAAATGTTACAACGAAGGTGATGCATGTGTGAGAAGAGTCCGAGGTCGGTGACAGTACGGTGAGAGGATTCCGCCACGACTGGTAGCATAAAGTCCACGAGACGCCGAGGACGCCATCACGAATCCAAAGGAAGGGCATGCAGGAATAGATGGGAGCCACTGTGCGAGACGACGGTGTCCATGGGTATCACGACCGGTACCGAATGCGTCCAGTCCCTGAGCGAGCAGTTCACAACACCTTCGGACGTTCCGCGCTCTCCGCCTTCGATATCGACCGGACGCCCGTGATGATCTCCTTCAGGCCCGTCTGATGTGACGGCCCGCTCCACCCGTCGGGCAGCCTCTCCTCGCCGAGCCACTGTTCCAGGAACGACTTCGGCACCACCAGCTCGTCATGCACAGTCTCCTCGGCGTTCGGGACGAGCGTCTCTGACGCGTGGATGCCAAAGACCTCCATGATGAGATCCAATTCGCCCTTGGAGACGATAGACTGTAGCGCGTGGAGTGGCGGAGACGCGGCCTGGCGTGAGACCTGTGCCTGAGTGAGGTCTTTGAGCGAGAGGTAACCCGTCGAGGACGTGTCGAGCAGTTGGCGCAGGAGCGCGGGGTCGACGTTCGTCGGCGCGTACTTCTGGCCCTCGCTGGTGTCGGCGTGAACGAGTGAGCCGTCGTGCTCGACGAGATTATGTGCAGCGAGGTCGTGTAGGTTGAGCTTGCCCCCCGCGCCACAGCGCGCTACGCCACCATACGCGAGGATCGTAGCGAATACGCGCGAGATGCCGTAGACCTTCTGGATAGCCTGTGAGAGCTGAGGGGCGGTCAAGTCGCGCCCGTCGTGGGGTCTATGGAGAACTTGTGAGTATGTGGTGTAGACAATGGTGCAGAGAGTCATGTGCTCACATATAGCCATGGTTGGCGAGGGCGTTGAGGGCGGGACAGGGGGACCGGCTATCGCCTGCGGTAGCCGGGCACCAGGTGTGTTTGTCGTCGGGGGTATAGCTGGACGTAGACATGATGGTCGTCGCGGGGAGTCGTAAAGGGATGTTGGTGGGGCATGGCTACGACTTGCGGTTCTTATAGGGAGCCACCTTGTGGTGTGGGTCCACCGCGAGGGGGCCATCACGACTCGGATCTGCCTGCGGCAAAGGCGCTGAAAGCACATCCCCGCATTATGACAACACAGGGCTGCTGCGGGGTTTGTACCGCCGATGACGCGCGGGAAGCTCAGGCTACGGTACGTCCGAAAGAAGACAGCCGCAGTAGCATCGCACAACCGCCGCAGGACTGTGCCTGCATACTCAGAGACGGCCAATAGGAGAAGCAAGAATGTACGAGTATGAGTGGACCGGAAGAGAACAATACAGTGGCTAGTATCAGTACAAACGGTTACTTTTCCGGTACATGCACGGATAGCGTTGGCGCTGACAGTTGCGACAGGTAGTCCTATAGGCGACATCAGATTACCGTTGGCCGGCGTACCGCCGGATCGACGCACCCTTAACCACTGTTCCCGTTGCTCAGGGATGTGATCGAAGACGAGGTAGCGCTTGTCGTTCTAAATGGGACGCGTTGTGAGCCATACCGACCGGGCTGGACGGGGTGAGCAGGCGATGCAGGAGGCTACTGACCTTCAGGACCTTGATCATCTCTTTCAGATCCACGCCCTTTGCGAGCACCTTCATGTCGACTTGTGCCTCCTCGTCGTCGTCACCAAGGTCTTCGTTCGTGATGCTAAAGTTGACGCCCTTGTCGCCCATCTTCCCAAGCCGGCCCCAAAACTCGACAAAGGTGTTTTCACCCAGCATCTGATCGAAGGCTGCACGCGACGCGGTCCAGCGCTCCCTCTGCCATTTGTCGAATTCCCGTTCAAGCTGATCAACGTCAAAGCCAAGTTTGAGTGTAGGAGGTGACGAGAGCAACGTTGCGACAGGAAGCGCGGTGAACGGCGTGTTCAACGCCGGCGCATGCGACGCGAAGAGCGCCTGCATTGTCTCCAAATGCTTAGCGCGCAACGCGTTAACGTGCGCATGAAACAGGTGGAGTTGTTGATTGGGGGGCAAGGGCGAGTTGACAAATCGCGGATCTGTCTGAAGCTGAGGCAGGACGGTTTCCCAAGTGACCTGATAGACACGCAATTTCCAAAAAGTCAGCCATCTGTACATGTATGGAGGAATGGCATACCTGTGGGTCCCGGATGGCATCAGTCAGCATCGTCCTGTAAGGCAATACCGAAACGAAACAAGGTGAGCGGCGCCGAGTAACGTTTCAGTGGCGAAGGCTAACTGGCGCACCTAAACCCAAGTTCCCCTTCTTCCCTCGTGAGGCCAAGCTTTGAGCGGTCGATCTCGGCGTTCACTTTGCTCCGCTCTACTCTGACCTTGTTCTCGCGGTCCAGGACGGCGCGCTCCTTGCGTTCCTTCTTCCTGCGATCTCGTTCATGATCGTCTTCTGCGGGCTGCTGCTCCGCACCATCTTTCGGTGTCGACGTTTCCGCAGGCTCGTCAGATGCTACACCCGCCTTAAGATACGTATTGAAGAGCTCCTCGCGCAGAGACGATGAGCCCACCGCATCATATCGCGGGTCAGAGACTAGGTGCTTCTTGATCTGTATTGTCGTGAACAACCGGCGGCCCATCTCGGAAGAGCAGGGGCACCTACATCTTTCCAGACGGTCGAAGGTTTGGCCAAGCCACTTTCCTTGAGCAGCGCAAAGAAGTCTTTCTCGGCCTTCTGTGCCGCCGCTCTTTTTTCTGTCCGGTGACATGTCAGCTGTGAGCGTTCAAAGAGCCACAGAATGATGGCACATACGTTCACCGAGCTCTTTGAGGTACTCCCTGAAACGCTTCTCACGTTCACGATCGTCGCGCCCCCAGCCGTAGAATCGACGGTCTTTCTTCCACTGCCTTCGCCATTCGGTCCAGCTGGTCCGTGTGCTCTTCACCTCGTCTTTGAGCAGGCGCTCGAATTCTTGGCGCGGGTCTACGGTCACCTTCTCCACCTTCACTTTGGATTCACGGAGCTCCCGAGCGCGTTCTCGGCAATACTCGTCAAAAGTCTCCCGTCGCGCGGAGACTGAGGGGAGCAGCACGTATCGCGGATCTGACACGAAGAGCGGCAGCGATGTATCCCAAGGATGGAGGGGGTTGATGTTCTTCTCCCGAAGGAGTGTCTGTAAGACCTGCATTAAGCACGCTTCCATCTCTGCGAAAATACGATCGGTGACCTACCTTGAACAATGCCTTGGCCTCCTCGATCGAAAGGTCGACGCGCTCTGGCATGTGGAGCTGGGCTTTGCCCCTCTGCTTTTCCGCTTCTTTGAGTTTGCGGGCCTCCTCCTCTTCCCGCTTCCGCTCTTCCTCCTGTCGCACTTTCTCCTCTTCCGCCTCCTTCGCAAGCTGTGCGGCCGCCTCTTTCTGCCATTCTTCCTCTTCGCTCTCATCGCTATCCTCGTCATCCTCCTCGTCACTCATGCCCTCATCCTCCGCCTCTCCAGACACCTTCGCCTTCTTCGACACCACGAACTCGTCCATAGGGACCGACTCCGCCGCCTTGCGCTTCACCGCGATGCCTTGCGCCTCGACCAGTATCCGCTCGGCCTCTCTCGCCGCCTTCTTCTCCTCAGCTTTGCGCGCAGTCTCTTCAGCCTCCTTAGCCTTCTTCAGCGCCTCATCGCGCTCGAGCTGTTCCACCGCCTCCTTTATCTCGTCGGGGACGGTCCACACGCTCTGCTTTCGTGCGGTGTGCGTGTAGAACGTGTTCCCCTCGTTCGTGATGACACGCAGCCATTCAGTCCCCGGGATCGGGGTCTTCACCACCGGCTTCTCCTTCTTAGGCTTCTTGGGAACAGAGGCCGCGGGTGCTGCGGCAGCCTGAGGAATGATGGGGAACGCCGGGAGCGGTCGGACGTACGTGGACTCCTGCGTGTGTGTGTTGAAGTAGTACGGTTGGCCATTCGGACCTGTTCAGCGCAAGTGCCGTCAGCGGCGTGGTGGCGTGCGCAGGGCGAGTGGTCACACACCAGTATGCTCCGTCCACCCTGGCGGAAGAGGCGGTGGCACGACGAATGGTGGTGGAGGCATGGCGGCCATGGCAGTTTCCTGTCTCGAGGGTGTCTCGGGCTGGTGGACGCGAATGAGAGGAAATGGGCGCTTGCACTGCGTCACAGCTTAATTGTGTAGACGCCCATGCTGGATAGGCCGGCCCGGGCTCCCGCACTTGTTCAAGACCGACGCGGACGCACGGACGAAGCGCGGACGAGCAGAGTATGCGCGGGTCTTTCGGTCTGCGAGCGGTGAGTGGACGAGAATGGTATGGCATTACAAGCACTACTACAACTACTGCTACTGCTACTATCACCGGGAAAAATATATGGGTGTACATGTGGCACTCTGCCGTAGGAGAGGATGACCACAGCGCTACGCGCGCGCAGCTCTTTCACGACTCGTCCCCGGACTCCTCCTGCACCATCCCAATCTCGAACTCGCCGCAGATGTCCCACCGCGAGCCCTCGGCTGCGGCGGAGACATACTTGACGAAGCGCATCACGCCTTCGTCGCGCAGGACAAGCAGCAGCCGGTTGAAGCCCGGCTGGACCGTCAGCAGTGTGCCGTCGTCTTCCTCATCGTCCTCGTCTGCGTCTTCGTCGTCCGCATCGGCCATCTCCGCCTCTTCGTCCGCGACGTGGCCGTTAGTACCGTTGGTACCGTTCGCGCCGTTGACCGTCTTCTTGTGCGAGCCCGAGCGGTAGACCGCCGGGTCGTCTTCCTCGTCGTGAGGCGCCATGTAGCACTTTGAACACACGTCAATTAGCGATGCGCTCCCAGGCTGTGCAAGGTGTGATTCTCACCTCCCAAGCTCCCCACTCTCCGCTCTGCCACCCTCGCAACGGCTCCTCCTCGCCACTGCCACTCGCGGGCGCCGTATCGTGCCCCTCAATTTGCGGCGTAAGTCCGAGGACGACATCTAGCCGCGTGTCCTTCGCCTCGCTCGTCGCGAGCGTATAGTCCAGGCCAGGCCTAAAGCGGCGCGCCTCCGCAGAATAGCGCATCGGGAGCAGATTCGACACGCACGCAAGCCATGCACGGAACGCAGGGCTCGGGAGCAGTTCGTCCTGTAGGCTGCGTACCGCCTCGTCCGGGTCCGTATGTGCCCAGCGTGGGCTGACCGCCATACGGGCGCCGCCCCCAGGGGCCCGAAGCGTGCAGTAGCGCCATTTGTGTGGAGGACCGCGCAACTCCCACGCGCCCTCTGCCCCTGCGGAGTGTGGGGGGATGCGTGTGGGGCGGTTCGGGCCGAGCCCGTCTGCGTCGTCCCTGTCCTTGAGCCCGGCGCGCAGTTTGTCGGCGAGTGGGGCACAGAGGAAGGAGTGTAGCTCGAGACTGGACTCTTCGACGAAGCGGGACGCGAGAGCCTTCATGGTACGTGTCTGGAGGTAGACGGGGTTGAGGTACTCGGAGAGGAAGGATACGTGGTCTTCTGTCAACGAATCGCTCGGGAGTGGAGGCTCGATGTTTTCGGGGTACGCCCGGAAGTCCGTCTGGGTGGAGGCCTACAAATAGAACGGATATTTAGTATGCTTCCCCCTGCATAACGGAGTGGAAGGCGACCTACAAGTTGCTCTCGTGAGCTCTTCAGCTCTGGCTGGTGCTCTGGCTGGTAGCCCTCCTCTCCAGGCTGAGCGGCATGGAACCAGCCACTGATGCTCAACCGCTGCCGGCCGTCCTCCGACTCGCCCACGACTACCTCCTCGACCGAGTGGAAGCTGTGTCCTGGCTGCACCTCGAAAAACACAAACTGGTTCCACACGGGCGGGATGCTCTTGCTCGGGACCGCCTCGGGCTCGGGCACACCGTCCGGTCCCGGTCTGACGGGGTACAGCTCGAGCGCGCCGCCCCACTCGCGCTGCCAGCCCTGGTAATGTGGGAGCGGCATGTAAAGGATGTACGAGACGCGGCGGGTCCCGATGACGTCGTCGTGGTTGAGCAGATGGCAGCCCTTGCGGTAGCTGACGATGGACATGTCCTGCTTCGTGCCCGAGAGCGGGCCGCAGCCGGTGACCGCGCGCAGGAAGGAGCGGAACATGGGCGAGTAGAGTGCATCGCGCAGTGTAAGCAGTGATGGCAGGAGCGCGATCTGCTGCAGGTCGAGGAAGTTGAGCGAGGCGAGGTCGCCAGTTTGGTAGACCTGATTAGATAAAGCGCGGACGCAGGCTCAGCCACCGATTGCGATTTGCGCGGGGAAGCGGACGGGGGCGCGGGCGCGGGCGAGCGGGCCTGGTCCCGTCCGCTTAGCAGCAGCAGCAGAGGTCGGGGACGCACCTTGTAGATATCTGTCTCTTTTTCCGAGAAGCTGAGCTCTGCCAAGGCCTCGTCCTTCACGCGCTGGAGGAGATCGTCCTGGAAGAGCTTGTCGACGACGGCGTGCTTGAAGGGCGCGCTCGCGTCGTACTCGGTGTGCAGCCGGTGGATATTCGACGGCCCAAAGAGGTCCGGCGCGAAGTGCGGGGTCGGGTCGACGGTCGCGCTCGAGGCGGCGCCGGTTCCCGAGATGTGGCTCGACTTGAGCCTTTTGAGCAGCCCGGGCTCTGAGGCGTCGGGCTGGGGGGACGGGGAGCGTTCGTGCGTCCGGTGCGTCATAGCCGTGTGGGTCGTGTGGGCGAGGCGGGGGGGAGGGTGATGTCGGGGAGGGCGGGGAGGGGGAGGGGGGTATATGTGAGCTCGAGGAGGATGATGGAGAGCGAAAGCCTCGGCCAGACCAGACTGCGAAATCTTGCTCTCGGGGCCACCCCGTAGGCGCCCACGCTGCCCGCGCCCACAATTTACTCCCAGGCAACCGTCCCGGGAAAATTAGTCATACCAAGGGCTCGGACGGTGCGAAACGGGCCGCGCAGCGGCCCATATATGGTGCCCAGGGTGGGATGGTCGCGCGCGCCGAAGGCGCGTTCGGGACGTGCAAGGGCGCGCACTCGACTGCCCTGGCGCGCGACTTCTGCGCGAGCGTCGCGTACGATGCATACATATTAACCATACTTACCTGCAAATTTTGAGTCAGAAATATATGGATTTGCGAGAGCTTCGCGGCGGCTCACGCCGCCGCACTGTACGGATATGGGCGCTTATATTATGACTACCCGCGAAGCGGAGGACGAGGTGGACGGTGTTTATGTGCTCGAACATCGCTCAAAGTCGTTTCAAAGTGCCCAAAATTTACAAGAGATATCCTCTGGCTTTTTTGGAGGTTTCGCGGCGGCGCGCCGCCGCGAATGTATGCACATAGAGTAACTTTAGCTCTTCCTGGTCAAGTATACATGCTGTACCACAAGCGTATTCCTTCTG